GGTCGTCTCTTTCATGTTCTAGCTTCGCAAATTGACAGGACCTTGGCGGAACACCGTCTACAAATTTACAGTAATTCAAATTACCCTCAAGGCCGACATACAGACGGCACATGTCCAGAGACATTAACAGAACGAGCTGGAACTTTGGGAACCCTCCGAATCTGTGGGATTCCACATTGCCACGTACGCTGTCCAAACCCCAACTCTCAGAATTCCCTATGAACTTTTAACAGCGTGTAGTCAAAGTGGCACTTCTGGAACCCAAACAAAGAGCTACCATTCAAAGAGCTACCATAACAAATACCTTAACCTAAACCCTTCAAATTTTTAACTATTGTTTCTCTTCAATTTTCTTCTTTTGTTTATTGTATAAGCGGCGTTGGTCCTTCAATAAATCATTCATTCATTCATTCGATGTAAGACTATTTAGGAGCTGGATCTACTCATCTACAACACATCTCAAACACGAAGGACACGGAAAAAGAGGTCGTTGACATCATCGGAAAATTGTTCAAAATGCGTAATTCAGTCACTTGAAGCAACCTGGCAACCTGTCACAGTCCGGGTAAAGTCAGAAATGACTAGATTGCAGCGCCTTGAGGACACTCCTGCAATCTGGTCATTAGTGATTCTAGTGCTCGTGCCAGGTAGTCTGATGGGTCCAATTGAGTGAAAACTGATTGAATATGAGCAAAAGAAGTAATTATTAATCAAAAACACCCCACTCGTGTGATAAGTCAATAAATGGGTCCAGAAAGACTATTCATCTACAACACATCTCAAATGCGAAGTGGAAATCTGATACCGAAAACAGAGCAGAAATTGTAAGCTTAAAAAATGATGTACATTGACTGGGTTTATCTATATGTCACAAGAGCAGAATAATGGTATTGTCATGGAAAGTGAATGGAAATGATTATGACAATTGGATCGAGAAAACGAAAAAGTAAGTATAAAATGTTAGGGGATCAAATGAAAAGGGCATAGAATCGAGATCAACTGAAAGAGGGAAACGGGGAGAATCAAGAATGAAGCATAAAACAGTAGTAGAATGAACTGAAGAAGTTAAGAGAATAGGATCGAGTGTTACCGTTTAGAAAACGTACAAATTGATTGGGAGTATCAATAGTGGAATAACATATGGGTCTGATCTTCGGGGAAAGATTCGAATGGAACATGAGAGTAGTAGAGATCGGGTTGAGCAGGAGGGTAAGGAATGGGGTGATATGGAGTTGGAGTGGGGACGTAATGGTGCGGAGCCGGAGTGGGGACGTAGTGATGAGTTGAGGGGACGGGAACGAATTCCGGAGAGTACGAGGTGCGATCGGAAGAGTAGCCGGAACTGTTTGTGGGACTATCGGGATCCCAACGGACGACATCCGAAGTGGATGCAGCCATCACTTGGCCATCCATCTGGAACGGAGCTGCAGTGACGACAGGACTGGGAGATTTCAGATTGGATGGAAGACCAGGCACGTACTTGTTGTCGTTTGACTTCATGGTGCGGACAAGTGGGTTCTGAAAAGATGAAGAGTTAAAGAAAATACTCAGAAGTATGAAGCTTACCTTGTATCCAGTGCAAGTGAGGAACTGGGTTTCAGCGGCAGAAAACCATTGAACCTCGCGCAGCGTTCCGTCCGGAAGGATTTGCCAGATGGTCAGAATTGGCAAGTATTTCGTCAATGACTTGATCTCAATCTGAAACATAAATATTGAACACTTTTTGTTGAATTTGGTCAAAACTTACACTCATTGCCAGGGTTTCCCTCAGTTTCTGGGCCTTCTCAGCCGCTCTCACAGCTGCCAAACGATCGTTCGGATCGACCGGCTTGCCACCGACCTTCTTCGGGTTGCCAATATTGTAGATTTTCAAATGTTCGGCATTTATACCAGCAGCCATCCAATCTTTTCCGCTCATGGTGCCCACAGTGTAGTAGTTTGTGCATTCCGGAGCGTCAATTGGCTTCGAAGATTCCTTCCACTCCCCCTCCTCGTATTTCATGAAGTAATCACACTTTCTTTGCAGAAAGATGGTAATAGTGTAAGGGATATCGGGGTAGAGTCCCTTCACATCGTACTTCAACTTGGGGAACAGTTCGCGGCCGGTGGTGAGCACCATCATCTCGTTCGGCAACCCGCAGTACTTCGACCACAGCTTCTTCTCATCGTTCAGAGAGATCACAACCGGATTCGGTCCGTTCAGAGGCAGAGACACCGTTGGAGCTGAAAGGAAGAAATGAAAATTGATTGGAAAAGAGTACAACTCACCATTTTGGGGCACTTGCTCGTTGCAGTAGATGTAGCCGTTGCAGTTGGTCGAGACCATGTTCACAGCGGAAGACGAAGAATATTCAGCCATTTTCGAGAGGATCGAATAAATCGAATGAAGAGAATACCGTCCGAGTTTCTTGTGAATAGAGGAAGGGGCGGAGCAAATGACTGTAATGGGGCGTGGTCTGACAGAGTGACCGTTTTGGAGTCCCGAGTGTGAGATTTTATGGGGGAGGTAGAGTCCGGAAGGAGGTATACCGCCGGGACTGTAAATGGAAGGGACTCTGGGAAGGTACTGGGAACGAGGACGGGAAAGTCGAGGGCGACGGAGAAGAAACTGTGGGAAGAGCATGTTGAGGCGACTGGGGGAATTCTCGAAATATGCACGGAAGACGATGATAATGAATGCTCGGATTTGAAGAAATTCATTAGAAACTACATATTGTCTATTCTGTCCTTACCTTACTGTGTAAGTCTGTCTATGAGAACAGGTTTTCGCATCAAATCAACTGACCGAATTACCGCTTCTCTGGAACCCACAATCTTCCAGTCACTTCCCGCTGTGATGTGTGGCTCCAGAATAAGCAACTCACTTCACACAAATGACTGACAAAGTCGGCGCTTCCTCTCGCTTCGTCTCGCTTCCTCTCGCAAAAGCTTCATCTTCTTTGTGCTCACCTCGTTCCGTTCCTCCGAGAGCACAGAAGCTGGGGTCGCGTCACCGAACAAAGAATCGAGATTCTTCACGCGCTCTTCAATTCTCTTCATCGTCGTTTCGGAAGCGTACGAGTTGCCAGACTTCATTTGCTCCTTATCATCCAGAAACTGACCAATTTCAATGTGATTTTCGATGCGGGCGATTCCTGGTTTCCTGTTGGATAGTGTAACCAGGTTCACAGAATAAATATTTTGTTAATTGTCCATCTCATTTTGGGGAAAACCTGAAAAAATTCAACGGCGAAGAAAATAACCGTTCTTTTTCTTTCTAATCGCAACTCCTCCGTGCTCTCCCGATTTCCATCCGCGTCGAGCGTTTCCATATTTACGGCCCTTTCCGATGACTCCTAAAAGCATGAGTATACTTCTCTATCTCATTTTATTACAATTACTAATAATGAGCTGTAAAAATAGCTTACCGATGTCATAAAGTATGCGATCGAGTATACACATTTACAACACTCAGGTGACTTCCCGAGAGCAACGGAAAACAGGGCCATGAAGACTGGCGGCGTCCTTTTGTAGAGGTCGTTAACTGGACGGAACGGTGAAATGCATTCAAATGAAAAAGTGCGGGCAAGTAGCCAATGGATGATATACTGTTTGGGGAATATGAAAAGTACGACTGTTCGGAAAGAGCAGATCCTGAAAACCCGACATCGGTCTCAGGAGTTAGTTTCACTCGGATAGCTGACTCGGATAGTCCTGAGCAGAAAACTGACGCAAATTTTAATGACGCCTTTAGTTAGATTCGGCTTGCAATTTTGATCAAATTGCCGTAAATACTGTATTACAAGGGCATGCCCTTCTGTTTTTCAGAGTGCCTGAATTGAACATTTCGAACTTTTGAAATGATGTGAAACGTCGGCTCTATCCTGGACGGAACGGTACTTTGAAGGAATGGACGGTACCAACGACTGCAAATAGTTTTCACCCGTTTTAAAACCAATATTTCGTTTATTTCGTTTTCTTTTGTTTATATAAGTGATGTGATAATAAAAATAGAACAACGCGAATTGCTGAAGACAGAAAGGATGAAAGTAAAAAAACGATGCCACGAAAAAAGAATCGGAGCAGGATTATTTCAGATTTCATTGACTTGCGGCTGTTGTTCGCTTTCACCATCCCTCATCATCATGTTGTTCTCCGTCCTCGTATTCTTCAGCATGTGTTGGCTGATCGGTCCCCTCAAAAGCGATATATGGCACTTCCACATCTCCCGTAATTACGAGAACTTGATCGTTCGCAAACACCAATCGGTGCGGAAAAAAAGAATATAGACACCATCAAACGTAGGAACATCCGGAAACCGTGGCCGTGGAAGAGGGGCAGCCTCAATGCCTGCTCGAGCCATACAAGCATCAGGAGCATCAGCAAACAGGAGCCGCAGAAGAGGAGCAGCCGGAGCAGCACAAGGAGCTCCAGCAAGAAAGCGTGGACGTGGAAAGAAGTCTCCTTGATGCTTATGTTTTCCGAATACAATTTTTCCACTTTTATGAATAATGTTCACCTTTTTCTATTGACAACTATGTATTGTTATTTGAAAACGAAATAAATACAAAGAATAATGGCAAACAGTGAAACACTTAATCCTGACTCGTTCAGTCGTTGATTGCGTGTATTTCGTTGAGGTACCGCTTATTCCGACATGGTCCCACTCTAATACAGTATTACGGTGTTTGTAATTAAAATTTCATCCTTAAATGTTCCGTTTCGCTGAAAATTATACAGGAAGGATATACTAGACAATACTTCTTCATATCCGAGCATTCATTAACATCGTCTTCCGTTCATATTGCGAGTATTCTCCTAATCGCCTCAACATTCTCTTCCCACAGTTTCTTCTCCGTCGTCCTCGACTTTCCCGTCCTCGTTTCCAGTACCTTCCCAGAGTCCCTTCCATTTACAGTCCCGGCGGTATACCTCCTTCCGGTCTCTACCTCCCCCATAAAATCCTCGGGTCTCCAAAACGGTCCCTCTGTCAGACCACAAACTACTACACTGTGGGCACCATGAGCGGAAAAGATTGGATGGCTGCTGGTATAAATGCCGAACATTTGAAAATCTACAATATTGGCAACCCGAAGAAGGTCGGTGGCAAGCCGGTCGATCCGAACGATCGTTTGGCAGCTGTGAGAGCGGCTGAGAAGGCCCAGAAACTGAGGGAAACCCTGGCAATGAGTGTAAGTTTTGACCAAATTCAACAAAAAGTGTTCACTATTTATGTTTCAGATTGAGATCAAGTCATTGACGAAATACTTGCCAATTCTGACCATCTGGCAAATCCTTCCGGACGGAACGCTGCGCGAGGTTCAATGGTTTTCTGCCGCTGAAACCCAGTTCCTCACTTGCACTGGATACAAGGTAAGCTTCATACTTCTGAGTATTTTCTTTAACTCTTCATCTTTTCAGAACCCACTTGTCCGCACCATGAAGTCAAACGACAATAAGTACGTGCCTGGTCTTCCATCCAATCTGGACGCTCCCAGTCCTGTCGTCACCGCAGCTCCGTTCCAGATGGATGGCCAAGTGATGGCTGCATCCACTTCGGATGTCGTCCGATGGGATCCCGATAGTCCCACGAACAGTTCCGGCTACTCTTCCGATCGCACCTCGTACTCTCCGGAATTCGTTCCCGTCCCCTCAACTCATCACTATGTCCCCACTCCAGATCCATATCACCCCATTCCTTACCCTCCTGCTCAACCCGATCTCTACTACTCTCATGTTCCATTCGAATCTTTCCCCGAAGACCACATGTTATTCCACTATTGATACTCCCAATCAATTTGTACGTTTTCTAAACGGTAACACTCGATCCTATTCTCTTAACTTCTTCGGTTCATTCTACTACTATTTTATGTGTCATTCTTGATTCTCCCCGTTTCCCTCTTTCAGTTGATCTCGATTCTATGCCCTTTTCATTTGATCCCCTAACATTTTATACTTACTTTTTCGTTTTCTCGATCCAATTGTCATAATCATTTCCATTCACTTTCCATGACAATACCATTATTCTGCTCTTGTGACATATAAATAAACCCATTCAATATACATCATCTTTTAAGCTTACATATTCCGGAAATTACGTTTCCAACCTTTGCCTACAATTGTCTTCGTTTTACAGCATTCTACTCTCACGATGAAGCCGTTCACCCTCTTTTCTCGTATTCCGGATGGTGCTCCCCGTGCTCTCACCCCACTTGATACGCACAAAACAAAGAAAACGAAGGAGGAGGGCGTCAACTATCCGTCCGTCGCACCATTGATATGCAAATCAGGAACATATATTGTGTTTAAAGTCTTCATGAAGCACTTTTATATTCTACTTGTGATATGTGCACTGGAATAAGATTGCAAGTCATTCAGTTCTTTGTTTTTATACGTTTTCTGTCCCGACGACATCTGTATTGTCAACTTTTTTGCCAATAAATTTCTTGTTTAGATATCCTGCTCTATGAATTCTAGAAAATATTAGTACTGAAACCTGAAGCTGCCTCAGAAACCTATGATTTCAGCGAAGAGTGAGTTGATTTATGTTTAGATAATATTAAGGACTTGCCAATAGTGTGCTAGTGATTTTTTACTTCACAATTACTGATGATTTACTTTTTCTAAGCAATATTTATGAAGATTGCTTATAATGAGTTCTAGAATGAATCAAAAACCGCGAAAGCCCACAGTTTTCAAAATTCGAATCGATTCTGCCCTCCTCTTTCCTCCCTCTGCCTCTCTTTGTGTCCCTTTCCAATAAACGCATCGCCCCCCGTGGTTTCGTCTTTCGAAAGGACACAATTCATCCGGGATACTGTACCTCCTCTTATCATTTCTTTTCTTTGCATTCCTTTCATCTCACCGCCAATTAGTCATTTTCCTATCACGAGTAGGCGAGAGGAACACGAAGAGTGATAGTGATCATCGGTGGCATCGGAAGGCCGTCTAATTTGTTTTTCTTTTATATGTCACTTGGATCGGCGGCATTTCTCTGCTTCTGCCAAAGGCTTTCTTTTTTGATTTCGAGGATATTCAGTCCATTCATTCTGAATGTTCAACTTTTTCATTCAAATTGTCCCTAGACCCTGTCTGCTACCTTCTATTGTCCACAGTGCTGAAGAAGCTAGTCTCAAAGAAAGTTGTCACTAAAAATTGAACTTCTCAAGGTGCGTGTACCATTCTATAAAGCATTCAAAGTTACATTAGGTTGCAGTACACCATTGTTCACAAATGGTGAACGCTATTTAGAAACTAGGCCATAACTCAAGCGTGACAAATTTTGAAATAACATTATCACTTACAAAGTTGTTCAACACCAAATTTACAACAACTTCTCAGTTAACCACTTTTGAAAATAATTGCTGGATCTCGAAATATACGCGTCCAAAGATCCACGATTATCTTGGTGAGACGACAAGTTATTTTGAGCCCAACAAAGCCCTTGAGCAAATTTTTGAGGAATACAATGTACAACATCTTTGTGTAACTTTTGATATCCAATTCGCGAATTCTTTAGTGAGATCTTCAATTGGTAGCCGCTCTGAGCGCCTTGAAGATGAAGAAGTTCTAGAAGTTATGTTCGAATCAATTATGCTTTCATGAGACTTGAACTCGTTCTATTGCCTATCTCTGAATCTGGCCGAATGAATGAACTCCTTCTCAAATGAGTTTATTAGAAGAGAAACATTCTCGATCACAATACTTCTGATACTATCTTTGGCGTCTTATTTTACAAACTTTCAATGCAAATTCAAACTTGTTCCTCTTCTCCTTAACCATTTTCCAATGAGAAACTCCACAACCTTCTGCCACAATCGGAATATCTTCCTTCGCCGACGTCTACCGTAATCTGAATATGCAGATGGATCCAGTTTCCTTTCGGAATTCATCCGCTCCTTCGTAATATTTCTTCGTTTCGCACTCCCCAGCTCCCCTATGTTCCTCCGTTTTCTTCGACGACGTCTTCATTTGCATCTGCCTCACGGGTTACGGTAGCAGTCGTCCATATGTTTCCCGCTGCGGCACGTGCGCCAGGGTGTCAGCCAATCGATAGATTCAGTGGGCGAAGAGGTTTCCTCAAGTTTCTTAGGCTTCTGAGACTGATCGGAGCAGGACCAGTGAATAGAACTCGTAGAACCATTTGTCTATAATACAGAGCTTGAAATAGGTTCTCAGAGTTGTCAGTGAAGTTCTAGGGCAACGGAACTCTAGTGAGCCCACAACGAGCTTTCTGAATAACCAATATATCTATTGGATGCTCTGATGCCGATCCCGTCCAACTAAACTTGCTCTCAACTTCTTCTTCTTCTTCTTCTTCTTTTACTTAGTCACTATCCTCACCTGCTCTTCCTTCTAATCCCCTATAAATCAAGCGGGCGCCCAGCCACATGTCGTGTGCCATCACTCCAAACTTCTACTTACCGCCAATCAATTTCAAATCGCAACATTCCCTCCTCGCACTTTTCTTTCCGGTTTCCATCCATTCCTTTGTCTCATTCACGTCCTTGCACTTTGAAGAACTTTCAAAGAATTGGGCGGAGCCTATTGGGGTACTGTAGGCGTGTTTAGAGTCGGACAAAGCGGTGCAAGCTTTCGGGTTGAGAATTATCTCTTTTTGGAGGATTGGGTCACTTGACGGAGCTCTGAGAACTGATCCAGACTCCACTAACTTCATCTAGCTTTTCTATTCGATTTCCTTTCACTCACTGTCTTCATGCATGACCAATACTCATATAAGAACGATTGTTTTTTAACTTGTCACTCAGGTAGTTGCGCTTCGTTTTTTACAGTAAGTCTCAAATTGTGGAACTACACCGATCTACTAGGAAGATCTTCTGAAAAAACTTGAATTTTACCGTACGCTGAATGAAAATTCTGTTTTTGCGGCTCCGCCTAGTCTCATCGTTTCTGAAAACGGAAGACTGACCACTCAAGAGTTTTGGGAAAAAGATTGCTTTGACGTTATTCGTCCCCCCCCCCCTCTGAAAGCGTTCCCCAGTCCCCGATCCCATCCTGAAGCTGAAACCACACCCTCTACCCATTCTTCATGTCCTCGTGGTCCAATTTCCTTCTCCAATGTATTCATTACTTTTTGCGCTTTCCTCTCTTTCCCCGAGAACCCCTATTTTTTGATTAATGAACCGCTACCGTAGTCCAAACGCACAAAAATTGATGAACTTGTCTTCTTGTCTGCTTGTTCAATCAGCCCCGGAAAAAGTGTGGATGAGAAATTGGAGAACATCAATTGGAGGGAGTGTCCCTGCCTTCCGTGTTCATCCGATTCCACCTATGACTAATCGGATTCCATCCATTATTTGCCACTTTTTCCGTACTGCAAGAGCCATAAATCAGGGGATGAGGGAAGGAACGGAACGGAAGAGTTTATCTGAATGCCAGTGTGTCTGACTAATCACTCCACGATTTATTTATTCTTTTTTATGATCGTTACGTAAGTGGTGGCGTGTTACTGATTGTTATCGCGATGCTAACGGCCTGGTAATGGATATCTTGATTCGATACTTTGAAGGTCCAAAGTTGATATCTTCTGGTACCTCTAAGATGTGAAAGTTCTCTGAAAATTCTTTCTAGATCACCCAGATTGTTCTGTTTTCACCCAAATGTCACTGTACCCTTTAGAGTAGAACATTTGACGGTTTGGAAGATAACTGGAGTTTCTGACGGACTTGTGTACAATGCTCACTCAACCTCCATTCAAAAAGCAGGACCATCAGCGAAGGGTACCGTTAGAAGCCGTTGGGATACCTGTTTCTACATACAGATCTTCCTCAAACCCGTTCCACTTCTTCTTCTTCTTCTTCTTCATCTTCTTCTTCTCCTCGCCCCATTTGTCTCTCCAACTTTTCCATATGTCACTTGTAGTATCAGTAGATATGAAGAAGGCAAGTGTCTTGCTCTTCAACTCCATTTGAACAAAAGCGGCAAACTTGAAAGCGAGAATTCATTCCTCTTTGACGGCTTACGGTACCTGTCGTTCTCGCTTCGGTTAGTGATGAATTGAGAGAAGCAGAAAGAGAGAGAAAGAGAGAGAGAGAAAGAGAGAGAGAAAGAGAGAGAGACTCTCGGTGGCTCCCTTTCTCGAGCACTGCCTTTCATCTAGCCGACGCATGCTCTTCCACGTGTCTCTGCGTCTCCTATTGTGCCCCGGATTAGACATAAAGTGGGCAAGAGGAGGCCGAAAAGATGCCACTTTGAGAGCAAAGACCCCGAAAAGTTTTGGCGTGATTTGTGAGACGATGAGCGAACCAGGACCGGCCTTCATTTAGCACATAGTAAATCATTCGAATTGGCTGAAAATGAGTGGGGAGAGAGCTTTTAGTGTTGGCAGAACTCTCTGAAACTCTAGCTCAACTAACTATGAACTGAATGTGAGATGAGCCGCGAATCCACATGTTTCTAGATGAAATCATCCGATTGGTATGGAACTTGAATCCAAGATACTTCAATCCAAGTCTAATCGCAAAAGTACAACTGGGCCAAAAGTTTTGGCCTCAAAATATCTTCGAAAAACCTGCAATTCCTAATCTGGCCGAGTTTTCTCGCCGCGCAATAATTTTTAGTTGCTTTTCACTAGAAAAATGGTCGAATCGTTTCATTTTTCTTCAAACTCGGTTTCTCGACAGAGCGCGATTGCAGTGAAGTGCCCCAAATGAGGTACATTTCCCCGAACCGGTTTATAGTTGACCCTTCCAGTATCGGTTCTTCTAAACGAGTGAAATGTTTCATTTTTGGTAGTGGCGAGGCTGTCAACACTTGAAAAACTGTTAACAACAAGATTTTTAAACCGGAGCTCAGGCTCGGAAGTCGCTTTTCCGTTTTATTGCTTCTCGAAACTGTTCGAAAGTTCACATGATCATTTATTGCTTTCTACATCACCACCAAAGCATATAATTCTATTGAGTTCAAGAAGTTTGAAGCTTTCATATTCTTACATGTTTTTGGAATGCAAAACTGATTACTTTTGAGCAGAGTTGTGCTGGTGTCCGGCTCAGAATCCGGTTCGAAGGGTCGGAACATCTTGTCTTCTTAGATCTTCCGGGACCGGAGTTCGGATGCTAAGCTCAGCGCTCAAGAAATACTGAGTCATACCTTGAACTTCTGAGAATCAAAACTCACGTTACTGCTCAATGGCTGCTCCTTTGCTCACTGCTCAACTCGTCGTACCTGTCTTCTGTTCCGCCTGCTCTTCTCGTCGGGACCTCCCAGTAATCGCTCCTGATCGCTCCTATTTATCACCGTCATCATCCGCTCCCTCGTCGTCCGTCTGTTCCTTTTCTCTTTCTCTCGTCTCCACTGGCTTCTTCTTCTTCTTCTTCTCCTCTATCTCCTTCACGCAATCATTCACTCGGCGCCCCGTTCCATCCCTTCTCCACGGCTATCCTTATCACTTCCCATATACTAGTAATCATCCGTCCATTTTCATATAATTAACCCGCTCTCGCTTCTCTCTATCCCTCTCCACACTCTCTTTCTTCGCTCGCACCGCCCATTTCCTGCCCGCACCAATCGGCTTGTCCGAATGGGCGGAGCATCGGGCGGCGCCCTTCTCTCCCCCTGTAGAAAGAGGAGGCAAGAGACACATCACATTTTTAACAAATGTTCACCCGCCGCCTCTCGTCATTTATTATATCACCTCCAGCAATCTTATCAATCACTTTCTCACCGTCTCGCTCTCATTTTCAGATGACCACTTCCACATCGACGACGTCTCCGTCTTCGGTCGACGCTTCCGGAGGCGCCGGAGTCACTGCTCCGGCCGCCGCTTCGTCTTCTTCGTCTTCTTCATCGTCCTCGTCTTCATCCTCTTCCGGCACCTCCAGATCCGCTCTTCAGACGTCCGGACTCATCGGACTTCAGGATTACGATCCGACGACGTCCGCAGCGTTGGCGTCGCACTTTGGCAGCTATTACGATCCGGCGAGCTCATCACAAATCGCTTCGTATTTCGCGTCGAGTCAGGGATTGGCCGGACCTCAGTATACGGGCATTGGAGATCAGGTGAGCCGCTGAGAATGTGCAATGAGATCCGCTCATGAAAGTTTAAGTGTTAAAAAAAACGAGAGAGAGAGAGAGAGAGAAGGGGATTTAGAGGAAAAGAGCAGACGCTTTTTGAACGATTCCTAGTGAAAACTATTGGTTTCTTCAAATCTATTGGCCAAAGTTTGTTATTTTCTGATCTGTCTTGGTCGCTTTTGACCGCCAACTCACCCGCTTCCTCTTCTAAGTCCCCTCAAGTACAGTACCCACAGCTTCTCTTTCTTCCTCATCATTTCCCTTTCCCATTTCTCATTTATTTCCCATTTTGGCCTCCTCCTCCTCCACATTTCAATCGATGTTTTCACACCTGAACAAAATGGGCGGAGCCAATCGGAAGGCCAATTTTTCATTTTGTCTCCTCTCTTTTTGTCGGGCGGCACGCGGGAAGTCAGCGCCAATTGATGAGTTGTTGAGAAACGAAATATCATTGAGATTGAGATGAATGAGGAGGGAAACGGTGGGAACAAGTGGGAGACTGATATTGTGAAATTGTTAGAAGTTAACAAATGAGCATATAATAGAAAAGGCACCCTTCCCCACTAGGGTCGCAACTTACAGCCGAACAGTCTAAACCAGTTTGTCCAGTTACACAGATACACTATTTTTGGCTAACTAACTTCTACTCGATATTGTATAAAAGTAAGTAAGTGATGGGAGGGAAAGAAAGAAAGAAAGCAAGAAATAAAAGAAGCGTGCTGTGCGCACTGGCGCTCTGGGGAGAGGCAAGTGGCGGAGGGAAGGGAAGGAAGGAAGGAAGGAAGAGACATACTTTCAAGATTAATTGTGCCGGCTGTTTGTCGCCGACTGAGAATCAGACAAGACCACCGCATTATTATTAGTGTCTTTTTCGTGATTTCCTCCCTTTTCAGTCGCTTTGCTATAATCCGTCGTTGGCGCAAGACTGGAAGCAGCTGGAGGACGATGATAAGGATGATTCGAAGAAGAGCGGCGGCGACGGAGAGGACGACGATCTGGAAAAGAGCTCGGGCGGTGCGGTCTACCCGTGGATGACGCGTGTTCACTCGACAACAGGTTAGTTTTGGGGGGTAATTGGCTCACGGAGCACAGGAAGGAAACTACAGTAATCCCGGGGTGGCTGACATGAAGCATAAGGAAGGCGACGCGCCTCTAGTTGACGTGAAAGCGGTCGGGAGAAGAGATGGCATGTCGCGAGCCCATTTATCTTTCGTGTCAAGACCCCACCACACATTGTTTTTGGTGGTGCGAGAGTGGAAAAGAAGAGAAGAGAAGAGAAGCTTCTAGGGCGAGAAGGGCGAGAAGGAAAGTGTGAAGGAGTCTCAGTCTACAGTACCCGCAAGATATGGTCTCCGACCGGCAGGCGGCTGCCTCTTTTATGTCCCGCGCATGTTTCGTTATCCGACACTCATCATCACCGAATCACACCCACCCACTCGAATGTTTTTGAACCGTTTCGGGCGTGTATGAGACAAGTGCATTACACTATCATTAGGGGACGAAACTTGTCAAAGTATTTGGACGGGCGGCTTCTTAGCGACAGTTGTGAGATGTGCACCTTGCGCGCGCAGCTCGCGGCTTCTTTTCTTTTGCTCCCCCTCCCACCGACACTTTTGTGATCGATGATGATTGTGAGGAGCCCGGGCGAAGGGTTAACAAGTTGAAAACTTTCGGGGAGAGAGAGAGAAAGACCTGACCCACTCTCGAGTCGAGAAAAGAAGAGAGAGACGAAATAATTGCGAATCCGTTCCTTTTTCTTCATTGTCCCGATTAAAGTCTCACGCGTGTCTCAAAATGAGGGACAAGCTGTCGGCGACGATCCATGTGCACACAGGTGTCTTCATCTCCCCCCTCCCCCCTCTTTCCGTTTTCATTCCCCCTTTCCCATGTCGACCATATGGCGCTGCGCCCTCTCCGCTTAGCACAACATCCATTATGTGAACGTTGAAATAAATCCAAATCGCACGCACATCGTAAATATTATACGGGATTTGAGGAGGGCGGCGGAATGGGTTTAATGAGCTGTTTAGGGGGTCCCGGTGATGTTGCCGCAGAATCTTTGCCAAGTTGGACTGGCCACGCAGGGGAACCGCTAGCGAACGATCTGCGCCTTTAAAATTGAGGCGGATACGGTACGGTAGATCTCGATTTCCCAATTTTTTTCCAAAAAAGTAGAGTTCACACGCATTTGTGCAAAGTAGTAAATAGAAAATTGTTCATAACCGCCGAGAAAGGCGTTGCCACGAGCTGCTCAATCATATCAGCGTCTCCAGAGAGCAATATAATGAGCATAAGGTGAGCGAGCGCGCAACGCAACACTAAAAGCTGTTTATTTTGACACCCGTAAATCGTTTGGGCTCCTTCTCCTCCGTCTCCCGAACTGTCATCAGTCAGCTGGTTGCATTTACACCCGCACCAATCCCTTAACAGTTGCTCTTCTCGCACACAATTGTATATTATGATGGGCGATCTCCAAAAGAGAGGGGGGGGGGGGGGCAAAAGTGTGACAAGTGTGAAAAAGATGACCCCACGGGCCATCCTTCGCCCTCTTCGACCGGGCATGTCCATCCTCGAAATTGTGATTTATGGCGGTGCGTGCCTCACTGATTGTATCTTTTGTATTTAGAGGGCGCAGATTTAGACGAGAAATCAGGAAAATGGGGGAAATGAGAGTGTCTGTCGCCACTCCGCCGCGCCGCTTTTATCATAGCCCTCGAGCCCATGGGCGCCGGAGGTTCGAATCCTGCCGACTGCGCCGACACTTTTGTCATCTCAGGCGGTGGTCGAGGTGAGAAGCGGCAAAGGACAGCGTACACGAGGAATCAGGTGTTAGAATTGGAGAAGGAGTTTCACACGCACAAGTACCTGACGAGGAAACGACGGATCGAAGTGGCACACTCGTTGATGCTCACCGAACGGCAGGTACTTTCCATACTCGAGTTTCACTTCCAGTCTACAACTTTCCCGTCGTTTCAGGTCAAAATCTGGTTCCAGAATCGTCGGATGAAGCACAAAAAGGAAAATAAGGTGCGTTTTTGTTGTTCATTCACAAAACTGCTCGAATATTTATGGGTTCGTCGAGCACCTGTTTCTGGAGCCGCCGCAATTTTGCAACAATCACAATTAATCGTTGCGCGTTTCTGTCGACAAAGAGCCTTTCTCTGCGTCTCTCCGAACTGCGCGCTCTTTCGCTTAAAAGCTTTGGCACGCCGCGTACGTCGACCATTATACGGTGATAAATGGGCGCCCGGAACATTTGTATGCACGGAGAAAAGGGGCAAAGTGACTGGTAATCGAATATGCTCACTAGTCAGGTGAGCACATTGGGATGGAGCCTATCTGCCAATACCGTTTGATCAAAGCATGGTATCTCAGTTGTCTGCAGAGATATCAAAACGTTTTCAACTAAGAAAATGTACAAAATTTCTTAATGAACAATACATTAGTTGACAAAATTTTGATATCTCTACTGGCAGCTGAGATAATTTGCCTTGAATGAACGGTACTCGATAGCGTGCTCTTCTCTTACAGTAAACCAAACTTTTTCGTTGTTTTCTGACTGAAATATCCGAAAATGAGTTCCAATACCACCCAAACATGCCCAATTTGCAGGACAAGCCGATGACGCCTCCGATGATGCCGTTCGGTGCGAATCTTCCGTTCGGCGCCTTCCGTTTCCCCCTCTTCCAACAGTTCTGATCTTTCTCTCTTCATATTTTCTATCACTACCACACATTTCTCTCTCTCTCTCTCTTTCTCTCTCTCGCTTTACTTCCATCTCACTCACTTCTCCGGCTTTTCGTTTCCAGCTTTAGCCCTCCCTCACAGGGTCGAATCCATCCCCGAATATCCTTCCGACAGAGTAATTCCCATTGTCCGCAACAAGGTTTGACCCCTTTCTCTCATCTGAAAATCATTTGAAATTGTGATCCTCGCCGCCGCCCCCACAACAACAATTCCCTCCTTCTCTCTCTCTTTCTTTCTCTCTCGCTTCCTCTCCCCGCTTCCTTTTCTGACTTTCTTCCGAAAAAAGTCATTTTCAAGAGTCACTTGCCAAGTTTTTTGTATTTTTTTTGTACCTTTGTAGATTTTTCAATAAATCATTGTCTATGGTGCACGTAAGGATTTGTTTCTGATCTTTCAGATTGTGCACTTGCGAATCGATCGGTTTTTCAGCGTCTCCATCAATGATTTCTTGATTCAATTTCAGGCTGCTCTCAAAGAACTCTACTAATTTTATAACTGACCGTGTCTTGAAAATTTTGAACAAATTGCTCGCCAATGTATTATTGAAAAGACTGTGATCTCCTAAAATCCTAACTGATTCAGTTGAGATTAATCCTTGAGCGTCTACTGTCAGTCTACAATTTCAATGCGAACAAGTTCAATTGTGAAGAGTCTCACTTTATAGAAGTTTTATCGATGATGGGTCTCGCACGGATCATCACTTTTCAAGCAAGCCACACACCTTAGAGTTGTACACCTTTTAATTTGATTTCGGTTTCGGTAGATCATGATTTCTCTGTTTTTGAAACAAAGAAAGAAGTTTTAGATCACATTGTATTTCTTTCGTACTTGAAAAGTTATAGACATTCACAAGGTCAAGAATAAAAGTAGGTGTCGATGAAAACGAATTCAAGGTGCTTTAGGCTGACTAGGCACAGGCTCAGAAGTACTTTTTTCTTTTAGCTCTTAATAATAATTAATGATTAACGATTTATTGAAGGACAACGCCGCTTATACAATAAACGAAAGAAAGAAGAGTGGAGAAAATGATAGTGAAAAATGCTCTCAGCTCTCTCAGGTTTAAAAAGTGTTCCTAACTTTTTGCGAAACTATCCTAGAATCTGACGGGTATCAAAACACCCAAATAAATTTAAAAATAGACAATCTAATAATCAAGCACGAGCTGTAAGGTACTTTATGAAAGAGGTTTTGTAAAGGAACGATCCCCTTGAGTTCATAACGGATTCTCCATGACTCACTCCTTTAATCTATCTATCTATCACCTCTTCTATCAATGTTTACACCGATGCTCTCGGTCCGACGTGACCCCGGTTCCTGCCTTTCCGTTGGGCAATTAGTCTCCGCGCGTGTCGGCTTCTTTCGACTGACCGCTATCAACTGTAAAACAATTAATATCCGCCACAAATCGACGACACTCTATATCTTTAATCTAGCCGATCGAGCAGAGGGAAAGCAGTGCTTTTGGGTGTTTGAGGAGGAGAGAAAAGCGGATTACGGTAGGAAGAGAGAAGAAGAAGAGAGAAGAAGAAGAAAGGGAACGACCAATGGGAACGGGAAAAGGGGCGGCGCTTCGGGGGACGCAGGCAGATTTTGAATATTTGAACAAGTTTGTGGTATCACTTACTATTAGGACTACTCTAACTAGTCAGCTTGGTTTCACATCTGAGTTGCTCTTAATGTTCCCTTTTTCAAAAACTAACTTGACAATAGTCTTACCATGTTTTATTATCATAAAACTTGGATTTCTTTCTCAAAGCAACGCTGGACGTACTCGAGATGTAAAACTGATTTCTGTGAGTACGGACTGTAAGAACAAGGCAAAGCATTGAAAAATAATAATAATAGTACTTCTCTTAGCTCCTTTTGAAACTGCTGACTATGAATGCCTTGAGCTCATTCGAGCATTCTACTTTTCTAGTTTTTTCAACCTTTAGCCTATCGTTAGTTGAATAATGCCACTATTTACAGACCCAGAAGTTTGCCAGTCAGTCCATCAAAACGTCGATTACTACTATCATAGTTTGAAATTTAAAGGCGCATTCCGACCTCTATCCACTCTCTAAAAAGCCGCACTGAGCCTTAACTTTTGGTGATCCGAAAAGAAAGAGTGTCCGGACACCTTGCAGATTTATGAGTGTCTCCCGAGTTGTCGCCCGCAAACTTGTCTCTTTACACTTCCATACGCACCCATAATTCACGTTTGTCACAGAAATGCAAACAAACTGACACTTTACTCGCGAATACGGAAAAGAAGACGGAGAAGTTTCAGAGATTTGAAATCAGGATGAGTCAAAAGTGCCTGAGCCGGCCGAGCCCGGCTTGAAATTGGAAAAGAGAAGCTGATAGTGAGGCTAAAAGTACAAGTACAAACTGAAGGAATTCGTTCTGATCTGCACCAATTTGAAAGCACCCTTAGAGTGATGAATCTGGGAGTCTTGGGCGTTTATGAAACTTCGGGGAGTGAGCTAGGGGTGGTGGAATATGTAAATTTTCATATTTTCTAAGCGTATCTGCCAACATTCTCAATTTCAGAAATGAAAGATCTCAAAAGGATACCACGAGTTAAATGATTAGTTCTTCTAGACTTTTCCAGATTCGTTTCAGACCATCTTCTTCATATGATTTACTATAATTTAGGCGGCGTCTGGGATCTGGAAGTTTGACAAGTTTCAAAGCAAAAACGGTACACTCAGAAGTTACCCAGAGACTGTCTGACCGGGGGAAGGATCGGACCGACTGCAGGACCGTCTCCCCTAAACTGATCCCATCATGATCGGAGCGGACTACCGTAATCCCTCCCACTTCCACTGGTTCCATGCCCTCCCGCTGTCTGCTGGGGTGTCAGTTGTGTGCGGAAATTGATCGGTGTCTTCTTCTTCCTCTTCTTCTTCTTCTTCTTTTGCAGAGGCTGTTGTCGTGTTGTCGCATGATGACGACGACGGGACGACACGAAGAGATGCTTTCTTCCGGGGACCAAAGGGCCGGGCTACCGTATTCTGGCCCCCAGGAGGATAACATCTTTCGACAGTTACCGCACACCAACTTGTGGATGGCATAATTTACGATAGGCGACAATATATTTAGTCTTACAAATCACACAGATAATATCGATGTTAGTTGTGATACAGGAATGGATGAGAACGGGCGATATTAAAGATCGGCGGAGAGTCGGAATCCCCCGTCGACGACGTGGAATGCTTCATCGGGGAGCCACTCTTGAACCAGATCCTCTTTGTTGCACCGGTCAAGCCACGTGGATTTGAGGATGGTCACCGAGTTGAGCGCAATTGCTTGTGCGGTCTTCGGATGCGTCGGCTTCGGAGCGGTGGCGATGCAGAGCTGAGTGGAAGGCGCTGGAATGAATTCCGAATTAATATGGAAAAACCACGTTGTAAATCAGACGCCGGCAAGATGATCGGCTTAGGGATTACCCTCCGCTCTTTCTGTCTCTGTCCTCGGACCACTTCAATTGATGACTTACACAGCTGGTCTGTGACACTTGTACTATTTATCAATGTCCACGGAAAGTACACGGGGTGGCAGAAGGGGGCGAACTAATGGAATGCCTCGGAGACCCGCAGGGAAACTCACTGATCCCTTTGACCACAATCGCGTCGAAATGCTTCAGAATCTCCTCGCAACGTCTCCTGACAGCTTCAGAAGTGCCCTGAAGGACTGCGACTTCGACTCCCGACAGACTCGATTCTATTTTTGCTCTTTTTAATTTTAGAGGCGCCGTCTCGTGGATCGCCTTCCGAGTCACTTTCTCCACTTTCAACGGATCCGCCTTCTTCTCCTCCTCTTCGTCTCCGCTGCCGTCGTGGTCATTATCGCCCAGTTTACACTCTTGAACTTTCTGAAAATCACAATAATCGTATGTTTTTGTTAGTCCTCGTACAGTTGCATAATCGGAGAAATCCTCGAAAGTGTTGATCTGATCGACCGGTTTATCCAGCCGCCATTCCCTCATCACCGGGTCCACAAGTTTCCCGTTGCGCACTCCGTTTGACGTGATTTTGATGACTTGCCACCTTTCGAAATCAATGTATCCGCCTTCGCCACGTGGAATCTTCGCAGGCCGTTTCCCATAAAACGTGAGCTCTTCCGGCGCTTCCTCCAACAATTGACCGTATTCGTAACGGATCGCCTCACGGACGGCGTCGCTGAGACCGTACGAGCACGAGAGACACTGTTTGTATTTTCCGGACGCTGAAATTGAGCAGTTATTGATGAAAACGCACTGCGTCGTACCTTCGTCAAACGCGGCGAATCGATAAAGCGTTTTTCCGTTTCTCCCGGCTCCTGGGAGCACGGCGACGAGCGCCATATCGAGGTCACAGTCCTTCGAAGCTGACGGTTTCAGTTTGAACCATCCGTTGGCTGCACTTCTGAAAAATAATTTGAAAAAAAAAAGAAATTTCCAGAAATGCTCTAACCTTTGGCCCTTTACGTACACACTATCCGCCCGTTTCACCACAATTCCCTCCTCATTGGCCGCCATCGCAATCTCGAAAAATTTCTGAATATCTTCCCTGAAAATTTGTACTTTTTGACCTGACAAATTTCAAAGCATTTCTCTCACTTTTTGGTACCCTCTTCGTATTTCGCCACGAAAATCGTGTCCTCCCTCTCTTTTTTCAGCGGCGCCACCTTGAGCAGTTCGAGTCTCTGCCAGAGCGGAGCGCCGAAGAACGGCTTGCCATTCAGGTAGAGCAGATCGAAAAGGACGACAGCTGCAGATGACGTTATCAACTGATAAATGGGATTCGGACCTACTCAATTGCTGATTGTCATCCGGTTTCACGTGGCGGAACGAAAGAACTTGAGCGTCAGAAGTGGCCGAAGCGTCGTTGTGACGGCCTGAAAGAAAACAATTGAAATCCTCGTTCTTGGCTTATTTAGTTACACAATTTCTTTGTTTTTTTATCCCACAACATTAGTTCACAGTTGAAAATCGCCGAATCGACACTTTTATTGAAGAACGAATGAATGCGGCTCGACAGTTTTCCTATGGCCATTGAGGAGTCACCGTACTCCTGAAAGCTCGATAAATATAACGTGTTCTTCTTAAAGTTGAAAAACCTTTGAAAAATCGTTGTTATTCCTGCTGAACCAACGGTACTCGTTGCCTTTTTTGTGTAAAAGAACGTTTTCACCGTCGAATTTGGTTTGCATGAAAAACTTGGAACCGCCGTACTTTTCGATCTGAACTAGTTGGTCTGACGGGATCGATTTCCAGCAGAGCCCTTACATTAGCGTACCAATCGCCTCTCTTCTGCTTCTGAAGCAACATCGGAGTCCATATTCTGAAAAGGTGCTCATCTGCCACGTCATCTTCTGGCGCTTTCTCAGCCGTTTGCTCGGAGCTCAATTCCGACGGTTTCTCCGCCAGTTTCCCGCGTAGAACCGCTTTCAAATCGTGCGTCTGATCCCAGATGGCACACGCATTCGAGGAAACCCAATCGAGAATCTTGTTGCTCGGAGCTCCGAGAGCTCCTTCCACGTTACGCATTACCACATTGAACACCCATTCCAACTCGTCTTCCGAGCAGTTCTTCACCAATTTCGTCATTTTGTCGCGTTCTGGAGTAGTAATAAAAAGATGCTACATGCGAAGGAAACAAGGCTCACTGGATTGATCATCAGATCCGTTCGCCAGAGAATCTAGTGCTTCGTTGAGCTCAGAGACTTTCAAAACGCCGAAGTCATCATTTTCAGTTCGATATTCTTCAGAAACTTTGTCCGCCAATTGCCGAGCAGCCGTTGAAGCCTAGAAGAGTCATGTTCCGATAAGTTCCTTTCGCAAATCCGAACCTCTTTTGAAATATTCGCCACGTATTCCGCCCTGACGTCGTGGAACGTCTTCGCGAGGAAACTTGCCAGCTTCGTCGGTCCCATGTCAAATTTACGAAGTCTTTCGTAATCGGAAAGGAAAAGCCGCAAAATTGGAAAAATGTCGGCTGGATTTTCGCCTGAAAGCTCGACAAAATCCTCTTTTTATTCTCATTTTGCTCACATTTCTCCTTCCACGCTTCAAAACTCTTCTGAAATGTCGCTTGTTTGATTTTCTGATTGGAAGTCCGCCGGATTTTGTTGAAAACGTCGACAAGGTCTTCGAACAGCAAGTTTTCGGCCATCTTTAACAAAAATTTATTGGAATTTGATTTCGGAAAGAAAAGTATGCACAAAATGGACGAAAAATGAGAAGGGGAAGAAACGAGAGGGAAAATCAATAGACTTGTTAATCAGAGCTCTTGTGCTCGTGCTCCGGGTGCTTTTTCTGCTCGACATGACCACGACAATGACCGGTTTCGCAATCAGAGCCCGAATCGGAGTCAGAATCTTGCCAGTTCTTGGGTTTCTTATAAATGCAGCAGCACTTGCTCTTCTTCTTGCCCATTCCCTCGTTGTCGACTGTTTCGGTGGCCCACACGACGTGCCGACGTTCGGATGTCGACGGTTGTGTGGAATCGGGGTTGGGACGGAGCACAAGATGTTCAGGTTGGGCAGTTTCTGTTTCCGTGACCGTGATCGTCGTTGTCACGCTGCCAGATCCCGTTTGCTGTTGAGTATGACTCATTTCGGCGTCTGTGAGAAAATTCTATGAACAACGGGGAATTTCGACGAAGACTCGGAAGGTGTCAGATGATCGAACGGAGAGGAGATAAAAATAAACAAGAGACCGAGAGGAGTACACGGGGCTGTTTCGGTACATGGTCTCGCCACGCGGGGACTAGGAATCCAAATGTTTCTGCGGCCGTCCCACTTGTGGACTCCTTTCGGACAATCTTGTCTGGTCGCTTTTTTTCCAACAATTCGTGAATTGTGAAAAAATGGCACGGAATGGCCCGGCTGCCCTTGACTATCTGGGCACAGAAGCCGAAGATTTCTGCAATCCGCAACACTTGTACCTGAAACCGATGGCAATCATCAAAATTGTAGTTGTTCTGCCGAGAGTAAGTCAATTTCATGCACATTAAATCAATAACTCATTATTGTCTTCTTCATTTTGCAGATGACTATTCCTGGTCAATCGATTTCTAACTGGGACCTAATGGAACGTCTGAAACGTGCAATCGACCCGATTCAGATGGATTCAATCAAAGTCCGCGAAAGTAACATTGACAGTGTGGTATTCGAAGCGGAACTTTTATCACTTGGAATTATGCAGAAAACTATGAAAATTCTGGACGGCTTCTCATTGAAAGTTTCCGGTTTCGCCGAGGCACTGAAAGTGAAGACCAAAGAGGCAAAATTGGATTTTCCGAGCAGGCACGACTGGGATAATTGGTTCATGAAAAACAAAATGGACGAGGCGAAGCCCGGAGAACGTCCGGACACGGTTTATCTGGCGAAGATTCCAGTGAAATGGTTCAATGTAATAATAAAAATAGTATAATAATATCACTTTCTTCGTTTTTAGGACGGTCGCTCAGATCTTCCATCGGAACGACGACTCCGTTTGGCAATGGAGAACTTTGGAGCAGTTCGAGCAGTTGATATTCCCATTTGTGATCCTTTGAGAGCTCAGATGAATCCGAAAATATCTGGAATTCAACAGAAAGGGTTCGGATTGGGACAGGTAACCTATCCGTTGAAGAAATTTCCAAAAAACCGAGTTTTCGTGAGTTCAGGATGTGTTTTTCGAAGCGTATGTGCAGTACACCGAGTACAAAGGCTTCGCGACTGCAATGGACGCACTCAGAAACCGAAAATGGGCAAAACGGATTGACGGACGATTCTTTCAGGCTATGATAAAGGTACAGTATCTGATAGATACTCCAAAGTTGTGCTTTTTTTTTCATAGTTTTCTGGGGGTTGGGCTGAGCCATAGTTTTAAATGTGATAAAACGTCTGAAAATTGCATATCCCTCGTCTTCTTCTTCCATCGGGACCACTCTGCAGGCGAGTCTCATAACACGTGCTCCAAATGAGAATCTGAAAGCTTCGCAGGTGGATTTCGATCGGACGCGTCATCTGAGCGAAGTTCAAATTGCGAAACGAGCCGAAGAGCGAAGGAAAATTGAGACGGAGCGACTGCGGAAAGAAGAGGAGGAATTGACTGCAAAGTATGAATTGAGAATGGAGAATTCAAAATCGTTCGATTGTTTTAGACGTCAAGAAGAGCTGAAGAAGAAGCAAGAGCAAGATGAGAAGGATAGAAGACGTGAGGAAAGGGAACGGAAAAGGAGGGAAAAAGTGAGAACAGTGCTGTTTCAGTTTAGATGTAAAATGAATGAATTACAGAGAGAACAAGAGAGAATCGCCGAGGAAGAGAAGAAAAGAAAAGAGATCGAGCAGCAGGAAACGGAGCACCGTGCTCGAGTGTCCCGTCGTCTCGAAGGCGTTCGTCTTCTGAAGTTTTTGTTCGAAAAGATTGAAGAGAGAGAGGAAAGAAGGAAAAGAAAGGAGGAGGACAAACTGAGAGAGGAACTCAGCAAGATCAAAGGGCTGGAAGATCAGCCGGTGGAGCAGGAAGACGCCCTCAGACAGGCACTGCTGCAGCAGAGAGAAATTAGGATGAGGGAGCGGCTGAAGGAGAAAATGAAGATTGGACAGAAGCCGAAGGAGAAGAAGAAGCAGAAGAAGACGGAGAGAAAGAGAAAGAGCAACAGACACGACAGTAAGTTGGAATCGAATGGGAACTGATGGAAATTGGATTATTTCAGCATCTTCGAGTGATTCTGACTCCGACGACTCCACTGGCGGCAATTCTTCGTCCTCTTCGGCGTCTTCTGAGCGGAGTCTTCGTCGCCGTCGGAAACGTCGAAGCGACGAAGGCAAGAGCTCTTCTGATTCCTCGCGACGTCATCGTCATCATCACGAGAGGAAGCATCGTAAACGCGATTAGCTTCCCGTAGAGATCTCTAATTTCCATCTCACTTATCAGGTGTACTGGTATATTTATTCTACGATTTAATGTCCTGTTTTTATCGTTTTTCGTGATTAATTTTCTATCTGTTCCCAGGACTGGAATGAAAATCGTCATTGTTTTCCGATGAATGAGTGTATGTATTTTGTTTGATCAATGTTTCTTCACATTTGAATCTGGTTCGGACCCATTTTTGAATTCTTTTCCGTTTTTTCTCTTTATTTGAAAACAATTTAAGCTGAATTTTAGTTATGAATTTGCAAACTCGGCTGGAATTGGTGACAGAGCGGCAAGTGCTCTTTCAGATTTTGAACGATGTTCAGAAAGTGATAAAGCCTTTTAAAAACTGTGAAATTCGCCCGATTTTAGGACCCAGAAGAATACCAAAATGTGATCGAATCGTTCTGTAAATCGCTCAATTTGTTCGGGAAGTTTTTGACAGCGAAAGAGGTATTTTTTCCGCGAAAACAACTAAAAACGTATCTTTTTCCAGCTCACCACGAAAATTGAGCCAATTCTAGCGGTTCAAGACCCGATTCGAGCAATAATTGCCTTCTCGAAATGCATTTCCCGAACGATTTTTGATTCTTTCCGAGACGTAATGACAGTGCTCGAGTGGCTGAAATTCGTGGTCGAACAGCACATGGAAAGGGCAATTTGTGACAGTTTGAAGGTCAACGAAACGGACGGTACGGGAGCCCGAAGAGCTGAGAGCAATCAGTTTGCATTTCAGAAGACACCCTCCAACTGTACCGCGAGTTCGCCGTCGCCTGCATCAATTTGCCCGAAAAGATTTCGAATTGCCGCGCGCTCGCCGGGAATGAAGAGCACAACAAGTACATTGAAAGTGCCATCTGGCTATTTAAGGTTGGATCGATAATCCGGGCATTCAAATGATAATACCTTACAGATGAGCCTGTTTCAAGGCATTCAGAAGGCCATGTTCAAGGCTCATGACTGCTCGGAACGGTCGAATCACAGAACTCTGGCCGAATTGCTGTCGGCCGGGAGAAATATGGAATTGGAAAAGTTTCCACTGCTTTCCAAGACGATGGAATGGTTGGAAACGATAGAGAAGTTCGATTCGAAGTGGCGTCTCATAATGTACGACATCTTCATGATTCCGACCCATCAGGGCACTCAAGTGCACGAATCGCTCCTCACTTCCGTCTTCCTCACGGCTAAGAACGAGCAGCAATTGAAAGTATTCGACAGGAAGAGTTTATTTTCTTGCAAATATCTGGTTTCAGCGTTGTATCGATGTGAAAGATCTGAATGGAACACTCAAGCGTGTCGTCACGGTCAAATTGCCATTGCAAAGAATTTTGAGCCCGTGGAACATTAAGCTTCTCGTGGATTTCATCATTCGGACGAAAGAGAGCTTCGCAGTGAATCTTCTGGAGGTTAGAGGGTCTTAACACGAAGAGCTACATTAGTTCGAAGGTTTCAGACTGCCGTCAAGGTGTGGAGTGACAATAATTACGCGAGAAAGGCAGCCGAAGGACAGGAGCAGCACATGGTCCGACTCATCCTTTACCTGATTCATCGTTTGAAGTAAGAGAATCAACAGAGCATCAGAATCTTCAGACTGAACTTCCAGAAAGCGCTCCTCGATACCCTGGTCGGATCTCTTTCTGATCGCCTCGAACGGAGTGCGCACTCGAATGGAACTCCTGCCCACTTCCATCCGATCTGGTCTCTTCATCAACAAAACTCTTTTGAAACTCGCTTCCAGCAACCTGCCACAAGAAGCGCAAGCTCCGCCCACTCCGGAAGACGACGAATTTGAAATTAACATTGCGGGAATTGAGTGGAATGAAGAGATGAAAAGCATCGTTGCCGATGGAATCAAGGATCCGAAGATCAAAAAGGAACCGACTTCCTCGCCGACAAAGTTCAAGAAGTTTAATATGCTGCAGAAGTACAAAAATCGCATACTTCGGCGGGGAAAAGTGAAAAGACCTGTGGATTCTGATGACGATGAAGACGTGGAGGAGGAGGAAGAAGAAATTGAAGAAGACGAGGATTTCCCGCTCTATTCAGTTGACGATTCGGAGAAAGACTTCCGGAATTTGGAGGTCGGAGAAGAGCCGAAGACGAAAGTCCGCCCACCTCCGTACATCGCCGATGCCTACGAGCAGTTGCTCGAAAAGGAAAAGTACGAAGTGTTCGAAGCGGCATTCTTCCATCTGCCCATTCTCATTCGTAAAAAGGCCATCGGATTTCCGCAGCTCGCCGAAAAGATTGTCCTCCGCGCCCTCCTGCTTCCCAATAACTTTGGCACTCGTCAGTTCAATGAAACGATTGAAGAGATCGTCGTCGCGTGCATCTCCCTCCGTCCCGAATGCGTTCCCGCACTCGTCACCCAAATAATCCAGCCGGAACAGGGAGAGGGTCTTCAACTGAGATTGCTGCATTACATCCACAAAGCGGCCGATGAGATGGGACGACTCGATCGAAGACAGGCGGTGTTCGTGGAGAAACATCAGAGGAAACTGCAGAAATTGTATCCGAAAAAGATTATTTTCGACAAGTACGGAAATTCGGACACGGAAGAGCTGGAAGACGAGGAGGAGGAGCCGAACTGGAGGGAAGTCGTCGATGCGAGAGTGCGCGCGAAGACGAAACTGCTCTCCGAACGGGCGGTCAATCATCCGGGAGTTCCGAATCGGTTGGGACAGTCCTCCCGTTTCATGTTCTTCCCTTTGCTGATACTTCCGAGAGGAGAGCGTGCTAGTCTTCTGGTAGACACAATTTCACGGAATTCACGTTGGAAATATCATTTTTGCAGCACAGAGACTCGGATCTGTTGTCGATGATCATCATGGTGGCGTCGATGATCTACGTGAGAAGCGGAGTGACTCCGAATATTATGCTTATGTCCCAGTGAGTGCCTGTTCAGACGATTTTCGAAATGTTTCCTGTTGCAGTGAGCTCATTTCGTATGTGACTCCTCATCGTTTCTCTGAGAACGCGAAAGTGCGCGCCGCCTGTCTCTCCGCCCATATAAACGTGATGGCTCTTTTGCCGTCGGAGCTGCTCATGCATCTGTTCCCGGTTGACACGCGCAGACAATGGCTCGAATGGGTCGAACTCGTGCTCGACCAGGACGTGATGCCGCCTGTGGAAGCCGAAATGGCCGGACAACTGCACCGAATGATCTTGGAACAGTTCCAAGAATCTCAGGAAATCCAATCCATTTCAATTTGATCTATTTCCACTTGCCAAACAAACAAATTTTCCATTTGTATTTATTCTGCATAAATTTTCATAATACATAACTTCTGAATAATGTTCATAACCCGTCAGATATTCTTCAAAACTATTGGGTGCGGCGGCAGGTTAATCAGTTCGATGAGGTTCCCGACTCGGACGACTTTGCGCGTCCCACATAAAGGTCGATCAGATTGAGTTTGCTGGCATTCAAGCTCTTCAAATGCGGCTCCATTCTGGGCATTCCGATCCGCTGCACAAGAGCCACTAGGCCGAAAACTGCACATTTGCGGACCGAGGAAGAGGGCGAATCGTAGGCTTGCACGAAGCACGGAGCCACGTTGTCGAATATCAGCTGCAGCTCCTCGACGTCAATGTCCTGGAACATTCGGGTGAGCATCTTCAGAATGAGCACACTTCGCTGGTCGTCGTCTTGCGACAGAATTCGATGCGATACCTGCAAAAGTGTCTGAAATGCGAGAATCGTCGAGTGGAACTGACCTGAACAATCCTCGGAAGCGGAAGATGCGTCGCCAGAATCCGAAGACAGTCCTCGGCGGCCACGCCCATCGTGCTGTCTTCAGAAGTCACCGCACAATGGAGCACCTTCGAGACGGCGATTTCGGTGGAGTCGAACAGCTTCGCCGCCTGCGCATTGCACATTTTCTGCAGAATGCGAAGCGCCAACTTCTTGCGGATCGCCGCGCAAAATGTGGACAGAATCTGGTAGACCGAATCGAGAAGCTCGTCGAAGAACTGATTCCAGAGGGTGAACGAGCCCTCGCACATCATTCCGTGCAGGTTAGCCATCGCCTCGTTCACCCGCTCCGGTCGCTCGAACTCGCGGATTCCGTCCAGTTGCTGCCGGATGTACGCCGCCTGATCCACGTGGTTTTGGGCCAGATGGACGGTCGATTTGCGCTCCGGTGAAGTCACGGAGAAGGAGGATTCGATGCGTTCGGAGTACTCGCGACGCGTGGATTCGTACGTCGAGTAGGCGACTTTCTGGACGGGGGGCTCCACGATTTCCTGATCCAGCGGGCACGGCTTGTAGTTGTTATTACTGAACGCCTCCTTTTCCCTCTCGATTGTCGTCGGCTCATTCCTTCTCTGCTGTCCGTTCAATTGAAGAATCCGATAGGACCAATCCCGGCATTCCGGGCTCAGATCGCCGAAGATCATTGTGAAATCGGCAGCATTTAGAGCGAACAGAGCACAAACCAAGCGCTCACAGGCCTAAAAAAAACAGTGCGATAGAAGGTCAAGTAAGGGGGTTGGAAACTAAAACGAACCGGCATAAGAATGGCTCCGATTCTCGGGTCGAACATCCACGCGAACATCTTGCGAATGGCCGCCCGTGTGTACGGAGTGTCCAGGTGATTGTGTCTGTCCAGACATCTCGGATCCTCCGGCCAAATCTCCTCGAACAACAGACAAATGTACTCGAGAAGAGCCAGTCGGGACTTTGGAACAAGCAAGTGGACGGGGTCGCACATGAAGTCGCAGACGGCTTTTAGTTGAATGGACGGATCGAACGAGGTGAGGATGACTTTCTGACACGAGTTCAACGCCGATCTCACATTCGGAAGCGCCTCGGCTCCCATTTTGGCGAACAGTTTACCCAGGGCGAGTTTGAGCCAGGGCTCGAGCTTTTGGAAGTGGCACTTGACGAAGAGAGAGATGGTGTCGAGGATGGATATGATCAGAGTGGTGTTCCCTTCGGCCAGAAGACGTGTCAAAGTGTCCCCGATGTGCTTGCACTCCAAGTCCCCGAGGTTCATATCACTGACAATGTGAGCCAGATTGCGAAGAGCGTCCCTCTTCTCATTGACCGAACTGCTCGTGCATGCTTTCAGAATGTGCTCGACACTGTTGTAGTCGCTCGTTCCGTTGATGTTGTTGTTACTACGCGGAGGAGTCTGAGCATGCGGGCTCTTGGGGATCGCGCCGAGCAGAAACTCGTCGTCCTCGTTGTTCCGTCCTCTGCTCATTTCGTCGCGAGCATTATCCATTGCGGATTGAAGGTTCGAAGCTTGTTCTTGAGTCAGAGAGGCCACGAACGAAGAACTGCCGAGGTTGGAAGCGACGCGTTGGATCGGAGTTTGGATGGTCGAAGTGGACGGCGAGGAGGAGGAGGACTTGGCGCCCCCGAATCCGTCGTTCGGAGTTTTGGCCCTTGATTGGGCGGCCGGTTGCTGTCCGTATCCACTCGATCTCACTGCTGCTGGAATAGCCTTTTCAGACAATTTCAGACTTTGGGCGTACTTACAGAATGACGTAGAAGTGGATGACTTTGGGAGTTTATGATTGATGGATGTCGGCCGGGTCGGCTGCTTCACAGGGATCATCTGGACCTTTGTGTCCACCGCGGAGGCACTTCTTTGCGAAAGGAACTCTGCAATTATATGTACTTTTCATATAATTATAGCCTTTCTCACTTTGACTGATGTTCTGCTGCTGCTGCTGCTGTCGTTGATTGTTATTATCGCGATCGCTGTTCAGACTGGATGACGACGAAGAGACACCTTCCCGAAGCATTTTTTGTTTCGCCGGGTCCAGTTCCTACAGAATCGCATTATTGAAAGTACTTGAGTTTGGTGAACTCACTCTAAATATCTGATCGGCCACTGACGAGTGAAACTGCTCTAACTTGGTGAACGCCTTCCTTCCAGCCACTCTCGTCTCTCCGTCCGCATCACAAATCGCATTCTGAACCAATTGGCCTATAGGATTGAGAAGAGGTTGCTTGGATTTCTGGTCCCACGACGAAATGAGCACCTCCAGCAGAGCAGCCAACTGACGGCGTTGCTCCTTGGCCTTGGAAGCAGAGAGTTCGGAGAGAATTGTGAAGATCTGACGGGTCGGAATCTTCTGGACGATGAAGACGGTCAACGTGGAGGCGCTGGACGCAATGATCTTCGTGCTCACCGCCATTTGAGACAGGGCGGCTGGGAGCACGTTCTCGGCGATTCCCTTCACTTCCATTCCGAACGTCTCGAAGAGGAAGCTGCAGGTGACGGCGGCTTCGCGGACAATCTGAGAGCGGAGATCTCGGACGGAGAACTCGAGAGCATCGGAGAGCTCGTTGAGGGATTGGAGCAAGAGCCGATGCTCGATGGACTCGTCGCTGTTGATCACGACCGAGCGGATGAGCTTCAACTGATTCGCCCGTTTGCTCCAATCTTCATTCGCATTGCAGAGCACTGACTTGGCGAGTTCCAGCTTGTCACGAACATCCAAACCCGAGTATATTGTCTGCAAAAACGATAAATGCAAACATCAATATACTTATGCACTCACAGTCTTCGGAACAGCCGTGAACGCCTTCCTGAAGTCATCCTGGCTGACTGCGCACTGAGCCGGAGCACAGCTCGAACTGCGGTACCTTGAGATCGACATTCCGGCCGGAGCACGCATGGAACTCCGATTCGAGTCTCTGGATCTGGCGGGTAAAGCCGTCGGCGGAGCCATTGAGCTGGGCGAAGTGAGGGAAATTGGAGAAGAAAGTGGCGAGAGGGACAACGGGGCCAGGGAAGTGGCGAGGGAGGTCCGTGGCGGAGTGGAAATACGCGAAGGATAGGCGACCTTGGCGGGCGAACGGAGAGAGCGACGGAGCAGAGAGTTGCGGGCGGGCTGCGGAGTCGAGGACGTCTCCATGGAGATGGAGTGCTTGGGCGGAAGATCCCCACGGGCGGCCACGGTCGACTGGTACCGTTGGACGAGGGACGTCATCCTGGAAACGGAAATGGTTGAGGGGGCTGTCAAAGTTCGATGCGAATCAATTGAGAAAGAGCTGAGAAAAGTAAGATTACAATAACAGTTGGAAAGAGAAGACGACGTCTGCTGGCAATTGGAATACGGTCGCCGTTTGATTTCATTGATGATAATGTTCGTGTGTCATTTTCGAAACTATGTAGAGCGTGAATGATTTGGGAAAGAGAAAGAGAGAGAGAGAGAGGAACTGTACATATTCATATAAATCCTTCTCTCTCTCTCTCCCCCTTCCGTACGTTCTTCTTCTTCTTCTTCTTCTTCTCACCATTGCGCATTTATCTCTCTCTCTCTCTCTCTCTTTCGCTTTCCATCCGTCACTTCACTTTGCATAAGAACTCGTACAGTTGACGAAATGACGTCGGGGGAAGACAAGGCGAAAACATCGGATTGGGGACACTCACTTCTGCTCATTAATCAGTCGCGTTCCGGCGATCTTAACTTCAATCGGCTTCCCTCCGAACACCATCAGATCCACGAGCGCCGACGTGGCGGCGTCTCGAACTTCGGAATTCGGGTCGTTCGTCAGACGGCACAATTGAGCGATCAGTCCGATCGCTTGTGGAAGGACCAGGGCGAAACTAAGAGAGTACTGAAGACAGGAGTACGGTAGGTGGGCGGTTACCTGCTGCTCAGAAACTCTCTGAGAATAGTGATAGAGCCGAGTTTGACGAGCCATTGCTTGTGCTCGAAACCCGTTCCACGGATACAGAGGCGGTCGAGCAGCATCACTGGGGAGGCGTTTTCGAGGTAAGCGAGTTGGAGGCACAGGTTGACGGCCATCTCACGCACTTGCGTCTTCGCGTCTCCCATTCTGGAAGCAATCAGATAAGGACTGGATCTCTTCTATATACGGTTTTTCACTGAACATGGAAGTGTACTCGTCTACCACTCCAATACCGTCCATTCAAATCGATGTATCCCAGCCACGAGTAGACATATCAAAACGTGATCAACGGATAAAACGTACAACAAGTTCTAATGAGCAATTTGTTAGTTTACAACTTTTTGATATCTCTTTCGGCAACTGTGATATACTGTCTATAATGTACGGTATTGGGGTATGAGCTACAGTAGTCTATCATTCAGTTTTCCTATCCACAGTACACACTAAAAGTTCAGTAGGAAATCCATCCTTGATTGGCAGGCTTTTGAAGTTGGTAATCAGCAGCAGACAGACACTATTCCTACCTCTCAATGAGCACCGCTAACCGATCGAAGTAGTAACTGGCGAGCACTTCCGGCGACGTCCTCAACGCGGCGTCCAGAATTTCCAAAGCGATCGTTGACACCTGAACTCTTCCGGTTGTGCTCCAAAGCAATAAATCAACGGACGCCACCGACAACTCTTTTCTTTCTCTTTTTTTATTACAACGCTCCGCGAAACACGTCATTTTTGCAGAAATTTCAAGAATTTGCCCTGTGTTTTGTTGTGAAACAACTTCTGATAAGGAGAAGAGGGAAGACCCCGTCGTCTTATCAGTCATCGACCGGGTACCTTGAAATTGCTGCCGGTCAGCCAGCCGGACATGACGTCCAGAAAGTCATTGACCAGTTTTGGGTGTGGCGACACTTTTCGTTGCGCCACCTCGTTCTGAAAAGGCAACAGTTTCAGAGGGGAACGGGAGAGGGATCACCGACCAGGATCACATTTCCGAGCTTGAGACGTTCGAGCGGGTCCGCCGTGCTTCTTTGCAACAACACGTACAACCAGTTGGTGTCCATCAGGAAGAGTCGGCACGCATAGTGTGCTCAGGAGCAACTGGAAAAAGTGATTGTGAAGAGAGAAAGAGAGAGAGAGAAAGAGAGAGAGAGAAAGAGAGAGAGAGAAAGAGAGAGATGGTAGTGGAGAAGTACTCCTTTTGGTACTGGAAATGTTGGAGAACTAACCCGCTTCCGGAAAGCGGGATAAATAAAGTTTCAAGGGTCTCGGTTGCAAAATGGCTCAGTTCCAATGTTTCCTGACAAGTTGCACGATGCACTAGAGGTTGCCGAACATGGTACATGCTTCAGAAGCATTAGTCCCAAGAGGATCGTAAAGAAAATACAGAAAACATTTGACAAGGCAAAATGTGGTCACAGTTCACCCTAAACGAAGGGATCCAGCACGGTTCCATGTGAATGGTAGAGAGAAACCAGACGAGGTAAAGAAAACCTTTGACTAGAACAGAGTAGGTAACCAGTTTCAATCTCACGGTTGCAAAACGTCTCAGTTTCGATGTGGCGTGGAACAGAGAACTAGTTGTGAGATGCACCATGTGGTTCCAGGATACAGTGCATGGTTCTGAAGCGATGGTCCCAAGAGGCTGGCGGAGAAAAAGTTTGTCAGGAACCTTGTAGGTGACCATAACTTTTCCCAAAAAATAAATGAGCAAAAGCGAAAAAGAAGAATTCAGACTTTGTTCCAGAACATTCTCGAGTCGCCTAACCGGATCAGCATCCGATTAGGCCGTGAGTCACCCACGTGTCCCAAGTGTAAAGAACACATCATGATGAGAAGGCAAAAGGATGGTGTCGGCAAAAAAGGATTCGGCGCGACCGGCGGGCGCCTAATCCATTCAGTCAACGGAATGGCTGTTCTTCCGACGGTTAGGCGTCGCCCCGAGCGAGAAGAAGAAGAAGAAGAAGAAGAAGAAGAAGAAAAAGAAGGAGAAGAAGAAGGAGACGGGCACTCTCTTTCTCTTTCTCTCTCTCTCTCCCTTTTCAAAGTCCTAGGGCAAACATAGCGGGGCATGATCATGATGATGCGAGAGAAAGAGAGAGAGAGAGAGAGAGAGAGAGAGAGAGAGAGAGAGAGAGAAGAAGCTTCACCTTGGAAGAATCGGAAGGTCGTACCCATCCGCATTTGCATAAAGAGAAAGTTAGATGACTAAGGGGAGGGTCTGAATGGAAAAAATGGTGTTTGTGTTGAAAATATATAAAATCGCTTGCGTTCGGCGCCACCTCCTCTTCCGATGTTTTGTGTTTGGGTAAGTGTACACACGAGCGAGAGAGAGAGAGAGAGAGAGAGGGAGGAGGAGCAGTAATAGTGGTACAAATGGAAGTTAGAACAGCTGAATGGACGATGCACCATGTTCTCTCTCTCTCTCTCTCTCTCTCTCTCTCTCTCTCTTTCTTTCTCTTTTTTACTTGAGTAGGAGAAAGAGAGAGCATAGAATACTGTAGCTTTTGCAGGAAACACTTCTGGAACGGAACAAACACACGAGGGAGTTAAAGTCACTTTTCTTTGTGTCATTCCATTCAGAGTCAATATCAATTCAATACCATAAAATCGCTCTCTCTCTCTCGTATCACCATTTTTATCGAAAAGGCGGCGTTCCTTTTAGTTTTTCCCTCTTTTTTGGCAGAAATGCATCAAAGACCAGTGCAATTCAATTTTGGAGGCGCTTCCATTCGACAAGGGCCATTTATTTGAAAGGTTACAGGTTAGGATGGCTAGAATTGAAAAGAGAGAGAGAGAGAGAAAGAAAGAGAGAGAGAGAGAGGTTGCTATTTGGTTTCTTCCAACCGGGAGGCCAGATGAATGGCAAACACAAGAAACTATTGGGCGGAATTGGAAAGACGGATCCGGAACTGATTGGGGTAAAAGGGAAAGAGAGAGAGAGGAAGAGGGAGAGAGAGCATGGTGCATCGTAAAGGTTAAACCTACTAAAAGGGAGCCAGAGCGCCATTCGATCGGTGCTGAGAATAAGGCGGAAGACGGAAATGACAAGAAATCTCGGAATCTCGGATTTCCGCTCAGCAGTACAGTAACCTTCAGTTCCGCCGCTTAGGACCGCCAGAAAAGCGTCGAGCTCTCAGTGACAGGTTAATGGAGAAAAGAAAAGAAGCGAACTCATTTCGAAAGCAGAACATATGTCATAAAACGTTTTTGACGGCGGCGGCGGCGGAATGAATGGAATAGAGACGTTGAAAGGCCTCTTCCTCTTCTTCTTCCTCTTCTTTTTCCTCTTCTGCCGCCCTCCTCGACATGTGTTTTCTGTCGCTCAACTAAGAAATTTAAGCAATTCCGCCACTTCACATTTTCAGACGAAAAGCACAATTAGAGACGGAGAGAGAGAGAGAGAGAGGAAGAGGTTATCAGTTATAAAAGGAAAGATGGCGCCATTGCGGAGGGGTGAGAGTAAACATAAATAAGGGAAAGACCGTCTATTTCTAGTGCTGGTGGAAACGAAAAAGATGGGGAAGGGGGTCGAGGTGAACTGGGAAGGGGCCTCATGCTTCGGTGAGCACAAAAGACTCTCGCCAAAGATTCAGTGATCCACGAGTAAATGAAAAAAGAGGCTCTCACACACTGGCTGCAAACTCGGAACCCGCAAGAAACATTCGGGCTATTACACAAGCCAGAGGGCACCCACCTCCTTCTCAACCCCTGCTTTTCACTCATTTTCTTCTCTTTTCACTCTCTGTTCTTCTCCTTCTTCTCCTTCTTCTTCGGATGATGATGACACGTCAATCCGTCGCCGCCCAATCGCTCATCAACAATTTTTTCGAGCCGTCGTCGGGGATAAGTGATAGAAGAAGAAGAGATTTCAGAATTTCGAAGGATTCATAGCATTTTTTGCTATAGGTAAACCTGAAGGCGTTTTTACTGGGTTTTTCGTGAAGAAAAGGGCTTCCACCAAATTCACTTTTTTTGCTCAATTCTGGCAGCATTGAGCGCTCCTTAACGGACTGACTACTTGGCGAAGTTTTCTCTGGCAGATCCTGAACAAATCCTTCTGTTGTTTTGGACCGACGAAGAACTGTTTGTCCGTCTGTAAGCCCTGAACGTGTCGAAGCATTTTTGGTGAACATTCTTGAAAGGTCGAATGGATTTTAGATAATCGCTGTTTACATTTAACATCTACACAAAGGCTTGAACGATGAAACGATTTTCGCAGCGTGACTATTCCCGAATCGATGCGAACTCACTTCCCTTTCACTAAAAAAAGAAGTTTGTGTTCGGACATTTTTTTTGTGAAAAATTTATAAAAATAAATGTTTTTAGCCTCTCACTACTTTTTTATGTCTTTTTTTTCGCTCAGCCGCAGAGGGTTTAGCTGCGATATGCCCAAAAAACCAAAAATCCAGTTCAAGTATCGAGAGGGTGATATATAGCGGAAAACCCAAAATCGCGGATGCCAAGAGTAGAAGAAAATGCCAAAAAATGCGGAAAACGAACATTTGCGCATGCGCCTTTGAATTTGAAATTTTGACCGTACTAAGTGACGTTTTGATGGACTGGTTGGGACATTTTTGGGACAGTAAATTGTGGGACTATTCTATAAGGCGTTCAAAATAGATAATATTGCGAATGCTCGTTTTCAGCTATTTTCTTCCGCTATTTTGTCACCCTCTCCAAATTTAATTATTTTTTGCAGATTTGCGCGTGATCTTCAAACACGCTGGCGCGAAAATGCACGAAATCCCGCAACAAAAAAAAACCAGTTTTTGAATTGGCGCCGGACGTTGCCTGAGTATCCAACGTTTGTGTGTTCGGTGTACGCAGTGAATTGTCTCCGACCCGGTGGCCGCTGCCTCCTCTTGGCCTACACTCGTTGGCCGCTTTCTTTTCTTTCTCTGCTGTGTCTCTCTTCTTCGCGATCTCCCAAACTGCCGTTTCGTCGTTCGCCACGTGTTTCTCGCTGATTCTGTCTCTTTTGGTGCGATTCAAAATGTTTCGAAGTGCAAAATTCATTTTATCGATGTCGCCTGCCCTTTTGACTCCTTTTCTTATCAGTTTCACCGTCAGTTTTACGAATATCAAAGAGGATTTTCAATTTCTTCTACCGCAGTTTAGGCCCAGCTCATAATATCGGTACTATTCGAATAGTGATTATTATTTTATTGCAGGTCATTTTCCCTAATTATATGATCTTATTCATCATTTACCGCTCAAATGTTATCAAATTTTGTTCTTGTTTATGAGTATTTCTAGTTTCATTGGAAACATCTTCTCTTCTACACCATTTGCTGGCATGGGTTGATATAACACGTCGGCCAAAATTTATCGATTACTCTCTGTCCGCAAACCCTTAACTGCCCGCATCGTCTAGGGTGTGCAAGAGGAGTGTCTGTGCGTCTCTATGCGGCGGCTGGCTACGCTTCGCGTTTTTCTAACAGTTATTGATCGTGCGCATAGACTACGCGCGTGCGAGACACCGGCTTCACAGAAAATGTCCCCTTTGACGAGGTTTTTTTGTGTAGTATCCAAAGGTTCTGCGGGCATATCAGTCTGTATTATAGGGGCACCGGACAGAAAAGCAATCTGGCCGAATTTCTAGGCCGCGAAGTAATTTTCCACTGAAAATGTGGCCTAACGTTTCAAACTCGCCCCGAGGTCGCTCAATTTGCACTGCAAAAAGAGTTTCTCAACAGAGCGCCATTTCTGTGCGGTGCCCCTATAATATCGATCCATCTCTACCTCGTGGTTTTGTCTTCCAGAATGCTGCTGTTTGCATTTAGCTCTCTAACTTCGTGTGTTTTCATTTTTCCCCTCAGCACTCAATCCATGCTTTCTTTAAATATTGTTTTTCAGATCTCTTCAGGAAATCAAACCTACTGCGAACTAAAGTAATAATGAGTGGAGCTGAGCTTCAACAAGTCGTACCTGCCAACAACGGTGATGAGAACTGGAAATCGGCTCTAAACCTGCCAGCCAAGGATAGACGCTTCAAGACTGCTGATGTGACTGACACCAAGGGAGTCGAGTTCGAGGACTTCTGCCTCGGCCGCGACCTGCTCATGGGAATCTTCGAGAAAGGATGGGAGAAGCCGAGTCCAATTCAGGAGGCTTCAATCGGAGTTGCTCTTACTGGACAAGACATTCTCGCCAGAGCTAAGAACGGAACCGGAAAGACTGGAGCTTACTGCATCCCGGTCATCGAGAAGATCCAACCAGCTATCAAGGCTATCCAAGCTGTTGTCATTGTCCCGACTCGTGAATTGGCTCTCCAGACTTCTCAAATTTGCGTCGAACTCTCTAAGCACATTCAACTCAAGGTCATGGTTACCACCGGAGGAACCGATCTTCGTGACGATATCATGCGTCTCAACGGAACCGTTCATATGGTAATTGCCACACCAGGAAGAATTCTCGATCTGATGGAGAAGGGAGTCGCCAAGATGGACCAATGCAAGACTCTTGTGCTCGATGAAGCTGACAAACTTCTCAGCCAGGACTTCCAGGTAAAGAGCTAGTCGTTTAGTTCATCAACATAAGTTCCATTTTTCAGGGAATCCTTGACCGTCTTATCCACTTCTTGCCAAAGGAGCGCCAGGTTATGCTGTACTCTGCTACCTTCCCGCACACCGTCACTGCTTTCATGCAGAAGCACATGCACAAGCCATACGAGATCAATCTTATGGAGGAACTCACTCTTCTCGGAGTCACCCAGTACTACGCTTTTGTCCAGGAGAAACAGAAGGTCCACTGTTTGAACACGCTTTTCCGCAAGCTACAGATCAACCAGTCAATCATCTTCTGCAACTCTACTCAACGTGTCGAGCTTCTCGCTAAGAAGATCACCGAGATCGGATACTCCTGCTACTACATCCATTCCAAGATGGCGCAAAACCACAGAAACCGTGTGTTCCATGACTTCCGCCAAGGAAACTGCAGAAACTTGGTCTGCTCTGACTTGCTCACCCGTGGTAAGTCGTGGGGATTTGATGAGTGATGCGCGATGAGGACAGCAAACACATACACACACTCCGAATTATTGTGAGGAGATAATTAAGAACGGATATCTGAGCGCCTATTAGCATTCAAAATTAGATTAACTTCGGGATGATGTAAAGTGTCAGAAGATAGATTCGAAATTTTATTCTTCCAGGTATCGATATCCAGGCTGTCAACGTTGTCATCAACTTCGACTTCCCGAGAAACGCTGAGACTTACCTCCACAGAATCGGTCGTTCTGGACGTTTCGGTCACCTTGGAGTTGCCATAAACCTCATCACTTACGAGGACCGCCACACTCTGCGTCGCATCGAGCAGGAGCTCCGTACTCGCATTGAGCCCATCCCGAAGACGGTCGACCCGAAGCTGTACGTCGCTGACCAACAGCTTGTTGATCCTGCTGACGAAACCACTGCCTAAGCATTTAGTCCCTCCTTCTTCCACAACACAGGTCTATACGTTTTTTCCACCGTCCGTGATCTCATTATGATTGTGTACGTTCTCCTTTTCGCTAATTGCACAGTTTGTGTTAAATTTAATATTGTTCAAACATAAGCATCTTTGGTCCCCCTCTACTTCCCCCCACCAAAAATCTTTTCAAAATTGTATCCCCATTTCCCGGAATTCCCCACACCCGTTCAAAATTCATGCGGTGTAAAACTCAAGTTTTCCCCCCTCATTAGATTCCTTTATATATTCCCCACACCACTTGCAATCCTGGATTGCAATTCACTCGAGTCGTTGTGTTTTCTTAGTCATTTAAGGTAGTCCCTACTTTCCCGAAGCATCAACTTTTCGAAAATTGAACTGGTGAGACCTAATCCACATCAATGTCTTCGGGAAACTGAGGATTTGTTCACACTTCGGGTTCCGATGACGTGTTCCAAATGGGTAGTTGTCTCGGTGGCTCTTAAGAAAAGCCGAGTCACACTCTTCATTGATCAACATTGTAATTTCCACATCTCATCCCTCAAATTGCCCCAACCCCAAATTATAAAACCTCAATCCCATACTCGCGGTTTTCCCTTGCCCATCTGTAGGGTTTTCCTCCGCTCCTGTGCACCATTTGAGTTCAACTTGTCACCCCCACTCTAATCTGATAGATATTTATTGCAACTATTTTCTCATGTCAAATGGCTTCAAAGACGTTCCAAGTCTTGGAAGGCTCCCGGCTGGCCATGTGTCTCGCTTACAGCTCTTCCTCCCCTTTCCCAAATCCATTTGCCTCCATCCCACACCCAATCAATCTTGTTTATTGTATAATTTGTAGAAGTTGACACTTAAATTTTGCACAATTCGATTCGCGAAAGATCCGTTCATCCGTCAGGATGTTCTGGTCCCCAAATAAAATCATCGAATCGAAAACCGTGTTTATACATTCTTTCAGGCAAGTCAAACCGAGAGTAAAGCAAGTGAAAGCCTTGAGAAAAACCGAAAACCAACGGGTGAGATACATTAAAGCACATTAACGCATTACCTTCGGGAAGGGACGGGCGCGAGAAAGGAAAGTAATATCAAGCGAAACGATTTACTTTCGTTTCGCCCTCGACGGGATGCGACTGTTTAGAGAGGAGGTCGGAATCCAATTTACTGCCGCGTCATCGGCGGATTGGCCATCCGTATCCGCGCGGAATGATATTGCGGTGGAGGCGGAAAAGGGAACGACAAGGTCAGAAATGGCATCCGGGGGGGGAGACCATTTATTCAATTATTATTAGTCGGCAGTCAGTCGGTGCGCGGAAGTTTCAAATTCTTTCCCCTCGGCCGATTCGTTCCTTTTTCGGATTGTATGCAAATGTTAACAGGCCGTATCCATCCGGCCATTCTGCTCGAACCGGTCCCTTTTCGCCTTCCGATCGGATGGCAATCCAACGCGAATCCGACCGCCCCCACACCTTCCGATCCCTGATTTTAGTTCATCTTTTCGCAAACGTTATTTGGCCTTGTGCAAAGTTTTTGAACAATATGAAGTTCACTTTTTCTGAATCGTTGCTTTGTAACCTAAAGTTGGTTGCAAATCGTCCAGTTGCAAAAAGTACCTGGGAAATTGTTCACTTTTTTTTGCAGTTCTCAATGTCATTTCTGGCCGAAAATGGCCGAAAATGGACGTGTGTTGGTGCGTAAAATTATAAAGTGAAAATCAAACAAATGTTGTACTTGGAAGAAATGGTGAATTGGCACACTGCCAAAAGTGTGTCGTTTTGTGAGAATCCTTCAAATCAGACCGAAATGGAGAATCGCTTTCGTCTCTCTCTCTCTCTCTTTCTTTCTTTCTCTCTCTCTCTCTCTCTCTTCGAAGTTTTTGGCATTCGAATATGTTGATGACCACTTAGAGACCTATTCATTTCACCACAAAAAACAGCGATCAGAAGTGTGTTTGAAACGGTTTTGCGAAATGGAAAAACGAGAAGAATCGACTTGAGAAGTGGCGAGCGATTTCGATTCGGAATTTCGAATTTCTTATTCATTCACTCTTATTATCTGTCCCGCTCTTCTTCTTCTTCTTCTTCTTCTTCTTCTTGTTCTGATAAGAAGAGGACAATAGGATTCGGAATTCCTCATTTCTGCACTTTCTTGTCTCGTTTCTCTCGATTCCAGTGTGCTACAGTAACTTTGAATGAGGATTGTAGAATCTGACGATGATCTGAAATTCTGTAATCTTCATCCCTAGTACTTCATTTTTCTACGTAAAAATTCTTTTGTACGACCACTCCGAAGAGTACTGTAGCTCTGGGAAGTTAACACTGAAATTCATATGCTCTAGTCTGGAACTAACTGCCAATCGCTACAGTACTCTTTGGAGTGGTCGTACTAAAAATAAGTCAACTAGAAAAATGATGATAGTCCGAACCAAAAGTATAACGTCTTCTGACTGAACGACATCCACTCTCACACTTTGCCATTCATAGATTCCCCTCAAATTCTCGCGCCTTGAATCGTTTATTTGGGAAGGGAACAACCTCGGGCACCCCCACCCAAAATGCCATTAGGTCCACTGGGTCACCCCGTCAGAACCGGATCTTCTTCTTCTTCTCCTTCTTCTCCTTCTCCTTCTTGTGTCTGTCTGCCAACCGCTTCATTCCCTCTGCCGCCCTACGACCGCAACTCGGATTGCAACACAACAATTATGGTTTGCAGAGAAAAAGAGGAAGAGAGAGAGAGAGAGAGAAAGATGTACTTGTTTCTCAATTATAGTTCCACAAATACGTGTCCACTTTTCTTCATTCAGCTCTTCACTATCGAGTCGAGACCGTGTGCATTTAGAGACGAAAATGAAAAACCCAAAGTAACGAGCCCAGCGGAGCACGTTTGCGTATCGCGGCGGGTCAGTTCATCTCACCAAATTTGCGCAGAATTCCGCTTTCCAAATAATCACTGGCACCGCTCCGGGACATCTTCCGGGTCGAACTCCGAACCCAACCAATTTGCCACTCCATTTAAACCTCCCGCCTTCCTTCCGTTCCATTGTTTGATGGTTTTCAGACGGAAACCTTCTTCTTCTTCTTCTTCTTCTGCTTCTTCTTCCGAAATACCGGCGCATTTCGTTTCGAAATCATCTCCCATTACACTGTGAAAACCCAATTAACAAACACCCCACGTCTTCTTCTTCTTCTTCTTCTTCTTCTTCTCCTGCCCTGCCAATTTAGCCCCCCCCCCTTTCCCATTAGTCCCCCATTTTTCGGCTTTTCCTCCCCTGTTTAGTGTTCGTTAATCATTGCGTTGGCAGTGATTACGCAATCCACCGCGCGCGCGAAAGGTCGCCCTCCTCAATGTGATATCCTAAACGATATTCCGGCTTTTGCCCCCGCTGTCGGCGAAAAAAAGCGAGTTTCGCATTTGGAAAGTTGCAATCAATTGTTGATAAATGCCATCGTCATGAATGGCAAAGACCTGTTAACTGTTTTGGGAGGGGGGCGTTTTCCGATTTGGACGGACGCCCAGGTGAAACCAAAAATGTAAGCGAAAGTAGACGATTGTTCGCCTTTCTGATAAGAGCTTTCAACTTCTTTCTCTTCTCCTTCAAGCTCTTATCGTTTCCTCCGAACAGTCCCTTACAATCAGGTACCCAGATCTTCCGGCCATCAAAAATAGTTTTATGGGTTCGGCATAGATATACGCGATACGACTACTAGTAGTAAAAAGAAGTATACTTCCGGAGATCGAACGCTTTGTAGTCCCCCGAGTTTTGCCAATTGTGCTCTCGATTGCTAATCTCGGATTATCAAGGGTCCCCGCATTATGGACACTTTTCCTTCCTCTCATTTTCAACTGAATGCTCCGCAGGTACATGCAAATGAATTGGCATACCGTAGAGTGCCTTGCTCGTTTGGCTCGCGGTTTTTTTTAATTTCCAGTAAACCACGTTACCTAAGAGTCATTAGATGGCACAATCTTGTTCAAATTTGGTGCCAATCGGTTCAGTGTCAGCCAAATTACAACGTTTTGAAGTTATTATAGAAACTGGACTATCTATTGTGCTCTCAACTTGCAGCTCTTAACCATTGAATAGCCTTGCCCATCTTCTTTTGTGTTGGGAGCGATCTCTGCGGCTCTCGGAGCATCCACTGGTTTCCAAGGATCCTGATAGCTCTTCGTCGACTTCCGAACACCCTCCCTCCTTTTTCCGCACCTCTGAACACAAGTTATCTCTTCTTCCCTCCGACTCCCTCTCCGAAAAAGTTGATAATACTCCAATTGGCGCATGTCGCCTAATAAGACCTAGAACACCGACGATCACCTCGCCAGCCGCTGCTAGTGTAAACCATCCTTCATCTGTAATCAATCAAAGTTGCCACGCCTTTTGCCTCATCTCTCCACAAACTATTGCCTGCCGGACAGTAGGGGCGGCGGACAACGCAATTATACACGCAGGCGCGCGGTGGGGGGAGTGTCCGTGTGAGACACCTACACCTTTTGGTATCCTCTCCGCCTCATATTATGCTTCTGTTCGTGTTGGCTTTTCGGAAACTTGAAAGTCGTGGGCATCAGGGCATTCGGGCCGTCCGTTTAGCCAATCAACCGACCGATTATGTTGTTGCTTTCTCTTTTTCTGCCGCCTCCGACGAACGAAACGTCTTCTTCTTCTTCTTCTTCTTTTTCTTCTTTCCCTTCGCAACCGGTGTTCGTGTCAGTGTTACGTAATTGATAAGGAAGGACGATATGCGATGATGATAGAGTCTGGTGCGGACTTGATAGAATAGACACTTTCGTTTGGGAAAGGAAGTGGAAGAAGAGGAAGAAGAAGAAGAAGGTGATGGTGGAATATTTCGTCACGGAGGAGGGCTACCGTATCCTTTCCTCACGTTGCCACGTCATTCTTTGCGTCCCAACTACCGTACCCCCTTCCCTTGTCGTTTTTCATCCAAAAGCATTGATCTGTACACAATCCATGTCTCATTCCTTCTTCTTCTTCTTCTTCTTCTTCTTCTGCCGTTGCCAGCATTTCAATTCTCAAAACCAGCCTATCAGAATCAGGCAAAATGAGAAAGAGAGAGAGAGAGAGAGAGGCACTCCTTCTCCCTCTCTGTCTATCGGTCAGGTTCGATATCTTCTGCGTCTTCGATCAATTCGCCTCTGCCAGCCACACCTTCCAGATATATTCTGTTTGTTTCACGTCTTCTCCTTCTTCTTCTTCTTCTTCTTCTTCTTCTTCTCCCTTTCTCCAATCTGATGATCAGATCAAACCAGTCAATTTCCTTCCTCCGTTATCTTTGTAACCGCAAACACAACAATTGTTTCGTTTCAAAACTTTCACTTTTTGAAGGGTCGAATGAGGTGGGTGCCGTTAGTGCTCCTGCCGCTCATCGCCTCGGCGGCAACAACTTATCAGCACAGGCAGACGTATTGTGAGTTTTTTTCCCGGATTTCGGTAGACTTCTGTGCACTGATTATTCTAAAAATGTTTGTGTGAAATCTCCATATCTAGTTCGCCATTTTCCTAGTTGATCAGGTTTCAATACGACCACTTCTAAGAGTACTGTAGCTCTGCGAACTTCCAAGAGCTACAGTAGTCTTCGGAGTGATCGTACACAAAAGATATCAACTACAAAAGCAAAGTGCTAGGTATGAAGATTTCACAGAGCAATGTTGACAATGATAGATCCTCTTGTGTGGCAGATCTTACAACACTAACTCAGCGATTGATCGTAGAGCTAAGAACAGCTAAAGAAATCTTTGCGTAATAAGACATGACAGTCGCCGTATCCATACTACCGTAACCCAATCCTAATCATCTTAAGGTCCCTTCTCCCGCCGCCATCCATCTCTTTGCCCAATCTGTCAGTGTTTTGGTTCACAGTTTGACAGTGTAATATTCCTCCGTTAGCCCTCTCTCTTCTTCTTCTTCTTCTTCTTTCGACACAACGGCATTTTCATTATCATTACCAGTGTGTGTGTGTGTCTCCAATGAGAGATTCGGCAAATCGAGGAGAGGCGCACGCGGGGGAGGATGGCAAGGGCGTGGCGCCCATGTTGGCACACCCAAAAGTGACCTTGTAGGAACAATATCTTTCGTTGGGCGGGGCACACTTGCTGCATTCCGTTTTTTGGGGGACGAGTGTGGGATGGAATATTTATGGGTCAAAAAAAGACGGAATGAGTCATTGGAAAAAAGTGTTTTTCAGCCAGCCTGCAATGCCGAGTAAACGACCCGCTATCATGTAATCAGGCGAAGAGCGAGGTATTCGAAAAAGATAAGGGGGAGCTGATTTAAACTCGTAGATCTCTTTCAGGTTTGCGTGTTCGTAAACGGACAATACCGTTGCGAGTGCCCGGTGGGAGTCTCCCGACTCTCGGACGGTCGCTGCCTCGTCGTCAACGAATGCGCGCGTCCCTCCCTGAATGCCTGTCACAAAGACGCCGATTGCGTCGATCTGGCAGAGGGATACACGTGCCGATGCCATGCCGGATTCGCCGACACCTCCCCGGACAAGGTGAACAAGCCGGGAAGAATGTGCCAGAAGACGGCAAACGAGTGCGGCGCGAAGAGCACTTACGGAGTGGACTGCGATGAAAACGCCGCCTGCGTGGACACTCCCGAAGGATTCCAATGCGTGTGTCAACCGGGATACGTGGATGTTTCCACGTCGATTTCTAAACTTCCGGGCAGGAAATGCGTTGAATCGGTGAACGAATGCACGAACGGAGAGGCGGATTGCTCCACCAACGCCGATTGCTTCGACCGTCCGGACGGGTACGAATGCAAATGCCGGCCCGGATTCGTCGACGCTTCCCCGAACGTCGACAAGTACCCGGGAAGAGTGTGCAACAAGCCCAAGGCTCCAGAATACTACGGACAACAAAGTCGGCAGCCGCAGTGCTCAGAGGGATCCGGATGCGGGCCGAACGAGGAGTGCAGGTTCAACACGGCCGGAGAGCGAGTGTGCCAGTGCAGAAGAGGAAGTGTGCAGCAGTCGAACGGAGTGTGCAAGGTGTTCAGTCAGTGCGAGCAGGCCAACGAATGCGACAAGAACGCGTTCTGCTCGAACACCTACGACGGACCAAAGTGCCAATGCAAGGCTGATTTCCTAGACGTCTCCCCGGATCCGGTCAGATTGCCAGGAAGAAAGTGCCAGCAAGGTAAGATCCAGTTAGACTTTATCTTTGATATTCTTGTGATTTAGTCCGCAATGAGTGCGCCGACGGCTCTCACGACTGCTCCCATCAGGCCGATTGCCAAGACACCCCCACCGGATACATCTGTACTTGCAAGTCGAACTGCATCGACGTCTCCTCCAGATACAACCTTCCACCGGGAAGAAAGTGCAGCGTCGGTAAGTGAATGCTTCTTTGCATCTCAACTATTTTGAAAATGAACTTGAATTACATAAACTAATTCAGAGAAGCATCGTGATCCAGGTAAGTAAGAATGTGGAAATAAGGTGCATGGGATATGGATAGGTTCCAGGGCTAATAATGAGTTCGCCTTGCATGTTTCTAGCTTTGGCTGAAATCTCTTTCTCCCCCGACTTGGTTCACTGCTCGTCTCGTTAATTCTTCTTCCGATCGCACCTTTTCCCTTTTTCCAGCCGCCAACCAGTGCTCCGACAAATCCCTGAACTCCTGCGACGAGAATGCCGATTGCGTGCAGCTCCCCGACGGATACACTTGCAAATGTTTCGCAGGATACGTCGACGTTTCCTCTAACGCGAACCTGCCGCCAGGACGCGTCTGCACTCTCTCCACCGCTTGCCCCGCGCAACCGACCGATCTCGTCTTCCTCATCGACGGTTCCGGCTCCATCGGATCCTACGTGTTCCAGACGGAAGTGCTCCGATTCTTGGCCGAATTCACTGAACTCTTCGACATTGCTCCACAGAAGACCCGAGTCTCTGTCGTTCAGTACTCTGATCAGATTCGCCACGAGTTCGGATTGGATAACTATTCGGACAGAAAGTCCCTTCAGAACGCCATCAGAAACATTGAATATCTAACCGGACTCACGAGAACCGGAGCTGCCATCGAGCACGTTGCCAACGAGGCGTTCAGTGAGAGAAGAGGAGCCCGACCAGTGGGACAGGTCTCTCGAGTCGCCATTGTGATCACAGACGGAAGATCTCAGGACAATGTGACCCGTCCTTCGGACAACGCGCGTATCCAGGACATCCAGCTGTTCGCCGTCGGAGTCACCAACCACGTGCTCGACGCCGAACTCGAGGAGATCTCCGGCTCCAAAGACCGCACTTTCCACGTCTCCGGCTTCGAAGACCTGAACACCCGTCTCCGATCGGCCATTCAACGTGTCGCGTGCCCGCATCAGAACAACGAGGACACCTTCAACAAGGGACCATGCGACCCGAGCAACCACAACGGATGCGACCGTTCCCTCAATCAAGTGTGCCAGCAGACGGACGGAAAATTCATCTGCGCCTGCCCGCCCGGATTCGACATCCATCCGGTGACGAAAGTGTGCGGAGGAGACGTCTGTAACCCGGAGATTGCCACCTCATGCCCGGATCCGGAGATTTGCGAGAAGACTCCGTTCGGAAACTGGAGATGCACCTGCCCGGCGGATCTCGGATGGAGAGACAGACTCACCGGAGTTTGCAGTAAGTTCCATACAAACAGAAACGAAAACTAATGCTCTTCTCCTCTTTCAGAGATCGGTGAGAAACCAGAGGTCTCCCTGGCGACCGATGAGTGCCATCCGAATGATATCCACAGCTGCCCACCAAACTCAAAGTGTGAGAAGGGAGCCGGCGGAGAGTTCATCTGCAAGTGCGACGCCGGATTCCAAAGAAACGGACGGACGAACAAGTGCGAGGCGCCAGGAACCTGCGACCCACGAGTCCCCGACTCTTGCGACGCCAGAAAGAAGGAGAAGTGCCTGCCGGACGGACGAGGAGCCTTCGCGTGCATGTGCGACAGACATCACAAGAGACACCCGGTCACCGACATTTGCTGTCAGTTTCGGAGACTTGATATATATATATATAATCTAAATGTGTTTCAGTGATTGATGAGTGTGCCGCCGGAGTTGCCGACTGTGACCCGAATGCCAAGTGCACAGACACCGACGAATCGTTCCTTTGTACTTGTAACGAAGGATTCTTGGACAAATCGCCGGAGCAGAACAAGAAACCAGGAAGAGTTTGCTCGAAACGTAAGTTGCCAACCTACAATCATCATCAAATTCATGTTCAGAACGTAACGAATGTCTCGACGCCACGCACAACTGCTCGATGAACGCCGACTGCATCGACCTGCCCGACGGCTTCTTGTGCCGATGCAAGGAAGACTTTGTCGACATCTCCCCGAACCCGCACGCCTTCGGAGGCATCGACTGTCGTGCTCTGGTCAACGAGTGCCTCATACCGGGAGGTCATAATTGCCACGAGCACGCCATCTGCATCGACACCAGAGACTCCTACAAATGCCAGTGCAAAGAGGGATACGTCGACCACGATGAGCTGCGAAATCCAGGAAGAACGTGCAAGAAGCGTGAGTTCCAACGTGGCCCTTCGGCATGAGAATGTACATAATTATTTCAGTCAACCAAATCTGCGAGTCCGGAAAGCATGAATGCGACAAGAACGCGCGGTGCGTCGAGAAGGGAGCCAACGACTACGAATGTGTGTGCAACGCCGGATTCATCGACAAGAGCCCGCTTGTGCATCGTCCCGGACGCAAGTGCGTGGAGCCGATCTGCTCGGACGACACGAAACACGACTGCCACTCGGCCGCCATCTGCGAGGAGAACGACGCCGTTCCGGAGAAGTACACGTGCAAGTGCAGAGACGGATACCTCGACGTGTCCGACGGAAACAAGGGTCGTGACTGCAAAGAGCTCGTGAACGAATGTCTCGATTCCTCGCTCAATTCCTGCGACGCGGCCGCCACGTGTATCGATTTGGAGGACGGATACACGTGCAAATGCCCATTGGGATCCAAGGACGAGTCTCCGGACCAGAAGCTTCCGGGAAGATCGTGCAAGGGACTGGTGAACGAGTGCAACATCCCGCACCTAAACAACTGTTCCCACTTTGCCACGTGCATTGATTTGGAAGACGGCTACGAGTGCAAGTGCAAGCCTGAGTACCACGATCAGAAGCCGGAAGAGCCAGGAACTCAGTGCAAATTCAGTAAGTGCTTTGGTATCTTTCTCTTTCCAAACTCCTTCCACTTACAGTCATCAACGAATGCCTCGCTGAGAACCTGAACGACTGCAGCCTCAACGCTCTTTGCGTCGACAAAATTGACGGATACGAGTGCAAGTGCAAGGCTCCATATGTGGATCAGATGCCGTCCAATCCGGGAAGAGTGTGCCGATTCGACGAGTGCGCCAATCCACGAGACAATGATTGCGACAAGAACGCGCAGTGCATCGACACCGACGACTCGTACACTTGCCAGTGCAAGGAAGGATTCTTCGATGAGATCTCGGACCCGAAGAAGCCCGGACGAGTGTGCATTGGTGAGTGGGGGACCGTTAAGAATAGGCGATTAACTAAGAGAAACCTACTAACTCATCCCGTGTGCCACACTAGCACCGCCTCCTACGAGCGCATTTCCATGCAATAATATTGAAGAAGTAGGTCTCATCATCGAACCGCAACTTCAACAAGAGGACCACACCACTCCGGACCCGAACCTCGTCAAGTGCGGAAACGGACTGTGCCGTCTGAACCTCGGAGAAGTTTGCGTCGGAGGATCGACGTGCTCTTGCCGCCCCGGGGAATCGAGAGACAACGAGAAGGAGAAGTGCGTGCCAGTCACCTCGGTTCCTTTGGTCGTTCGTGTCATGGAATACGACGGAGAGCCCATCCAATACCGTACCGACTACTCGAAGCCAGACACTCCGGCCCACGTGGAAATTGTCGACGCGGTCAAGAAGAGCGTCGGAAAGATCATTGCGAAGACTGACATCGCGCCGAGATTCGTCACCACCGACGTCAACTACATCACCAATCCTAAAGTGAAGAATAGCGATTGGGACAAGGGATTGTTGGGCAATGTGACCCTTCAATTGGCTGGAAACGAGGAGGTCGACAAGTGCAGAATCTACGAGCAATTCGCGGAAGTCGTCAGAGAAATGGGAGGACGAGTGGACAGAATCAAGCTGAGCGACGACTCCGAACTGGATCCGTGCAGAAAGGAGGAGGAGAAGAAGGGAATCCCGTGCGGCAACACCTTCTGCTCCATCGAACTCGGCGAGGAATGTGTGGCCGGAAAGATCTGCGGATGTCCGAAAGGACAGAAGAGAAAGGACGCGAGCAGTCCATGCAGAGCCGTCGAGTCCTGGAACCTCCCGCTGTACGTCGTCCGTGACGGACACGAGAAGATCACCTACTCGCCCTCGCTGGCCAATCCGCTCAACGACGAACACAAGGATCTGGTGTCTCGGTTCGAGTCGGGAGTGGCTCAGAGTTACGATAAGACGCCACTGAAGAGCGCGTTCGTCACTGCCGAAGTGAACGAAATCGAGAATCCGGAGAGCAGAAAGAAGGCGTGGGACACTGGAATTCTCTACAATTTCACGTCGCACTTTGTGAAAGGAAGTGTCGCCGAACCGGCCAGCGTCTTCACCGATTTGATCGATTACATTCAGAAGAGAAACAACTTTGAGGTTTGTTTTTCTGCGTTTGAATGCGCCTAACAAACTGTTTTCAGGTCGGAAAGTCGAAGCTGTTCATCTCGCCGGAGCAGTTGAATCCATTCTCGACTTGCTATCACTCCGACTGTCACCCGGATGCCATTTGCAAAGAAGTCGGCAAGGGATACACGTGCACGTGCCCCGACGGGTTCCGTGATCTCAATCCATCGCGACCGGGACGCAACTGTCTCTCCTACCGCGGTGTGAACGAATGTGAGAAGCCGGAGCTGAACGAGTGCTCTCCACACGCCCGATGCATTGATCTGGACTACCTGTACAAGTGCGAGTGCATCCGTCCGTACGTCAATTCGGCCGTCGGAGATGCTCTTCCGGGCTCCGTGTGCTCCATTGATTACTGCCAGGACGTCAACTTCTGTCCTCTCAATTCCACTTGCGTCAACGTCGATGAACAGGTATTTTACGGGTCTCCTAAATCTATCGGTGGATGGTATATTCAGTTGTCTCCTCTTTTTCTTTTGGTGTCAGATTCTAGTCCACTTCTACCTAATCTAGTTCTTCCCTACTAACCTCCCCATAGTTTGGGACTTTGTTTCTACCCCGCTGATCAGACTTATGATGGACAGGCTCGGTGCGACTGCAAACCTGGATTCGTGGATCTCCGCAAGTCGGGACATCTTTCCGAGGCCGGACTCGGAGACACCATCTGTCTGAGACAGAACGACATTGACGAGTGTGCTCTGGGACTGCACAACTGCTCCGCCGCCGCGGTATGCATCGACAAGAAGATCGGATACGAATGCAAGTGCCAGGAAGGGTCAGTGTGGAACTTTCTCAGACGATTGTGCACACTTCTTGTTCAGATACGAAGACGGAAACCCTCTGGAGCCGGGACGCATCTGTGCCGCTTCCCTGTGCGGTCTGTGCAACGGCCACGGAGACTGCATCCACGACGCGCTCTCCTCCAACGTCACGTGTGCCTGCCTGGACGGCTACACCGGACAGTTCTGCGAGACGGCTCCGTCCAACCTGCCCCTCATCCTCATGACCCTTCTCGCCCTTCTCTTCCTGCTTCTCACTCTTCTCTGCTGTCTTTACATGTGCGCCAGATGCAGATGCTTCGGAGCACGCGGACGAAGTGAAGGATCGGCGAGCGGACAGGAGATACTCGGATCCGATTACTACACGATACCGAGAGCCAAACTCGCACGTCCGTTGTACGCCGATGACATGGGCGAGGACCACGCGGGAGCCCTGGCCGCCTATTTGGACGACGGAGCATCCATCTCGTCGGACGGAAGCATTGAGGAGATCGAGAGAAGAGTCACGACCGATGTGACCACGAGAGAAGTGCGCACGACGACAGTCAGGGATGAGAGTGGGAACATCATCAGCCAGAGCCAGGTGGGTACTAGGAGTCAATGATCTTTCGGAATCCTTCCATTTCAGATTGTCTCGCACGGAAATCCGCACGAGACCGACACGGAGCAGTACGGAATGATCTCTTCCGATCACTACAAGACTTCCGCCTCCGAGGCCATGGACGCGGCGATGTCCGCTTCCGCCTCCGGAGCCTACGAACACAGCGCCTCGGCTTCTGCGTCTGCCGCCGGAATGTCTTCCTCAGCCGCGATGGCTCAAAGAGCCGGAGGATACAACGCCGGATACGCATCCGATTCCGACGCGGATTCAGATGCCGGACACGCAGTTTATGACAGAACCACGAGGACAAATCAGGTAAAAAGCTAGGTGAAAGGGTTTGAGAACTTGAATTGAACATTTCAGTCGCACGATTTCGAGCCGGGAGTCGACCCGCGCACCGGTGTGGAACGTACCAAACGGGAGTTCGTGACGAGCACGAAAGCCGAAGAAGTCAACTATTTCTAATCTTTTTTCTTTCTAGAAAACTCCCAAATTCCTTCAGTTTCCCATTCTTTCCAGGAATAATTGCTCAAAAACCTCATTGCTCCTGTACATAAACCCATTAGAAACATACGAAGTACCCCTCCCCCTCCCCCCCATCCCTAGTAGTTATCCATCAAAAATGTTTGCAATCAATCCCCGTGCTCACTTTCTCATCCTTTGTTTCTTCATCCATTCATTCGTTCATTCATTTGCCCCTGCCATCCGATCCGATTTTCTTTCTTTTCTGCGAGATTCTGCCAACACTTCCACCCACATATATTTATCACATTTTCCCGAATAAATGTTGTTCTGAAATCAGAAGATTACACACATTGCGTTGAACGAGTGCGAGACGCGCGCGTTTATACAGGCGGCCGACGTTTCACTGCGAAGGGCGAGGAGAGCATGGACACAGTGTCGACACATCATTTCGGGGAGTTTTCGCGTTCGGCAGTTTGTGCTCAATCTCGTCTCCAAAACAAGGTACACCCTATAAACGTGGTGAACTCTTTTCCACGTGGATTCCCGGTAGCAATGTCCTCTCGATTGGCATTTCTTATCAAGTTCCTTCGTGTGAAAGTGAGAAAACGAGCCAAATGCTCCCCAGGTAACCCGAATTCTCCGCCCGCGGCCTTCTATTCAGCTTCTTTTCAGAGTCTCAAGAACGCATGCGTTATACTTTCTGATCTGTTCCCTTTTCTTTGTTATCTTCTCCATCAATTCATCTTACAAACAACAGAAAGCCGTTCTGAGACCTCGTCTCAGATTCCACGATCCTTTGGCGGTGGCGAAGAGTCCGGAACAGGTGAAAGTGTTAATCGAATGTGAAAAACTGCTCGAAAGTCTGCCCGTCCTCTCCGCTCCGGCTCTTCTGATCGACGAGGATTTGCTCAAAGAGATTCAAATCGGAAAGTGCAGCAAATTGGACGGGAAAAGGGTCAAAGTGAGCGAAAAGTTTACAGAAAGAAGATCTTTCCATTCCAAACTTCATTCAGATTGCTGTGGAAAGCGACTCCAACTTCACGACTGAAACCGGCCATTTCGACGTAGTTCACTATGAGAGTCTTCCGCAGAACGACTACTTTCTCTTCGAGAACGACATGAAACGAATCATTCCAAAGTGAGTTCTCATGTTTATAAAATCCGTCAGACAGGGTGTCTTCAGGCACTTCCCCTTCCGTTTGATCAACAATCTCCAAATCCCCAGTGACATTCCAACTTTCCTCGAGTTTTGGAGACGCTCTAAGATGATCGAGTGCTTGAATCTCCACGTTCCGAGGAATGAAACTGAAGTAGGATGACTTTGAATCACCATAGAGTTCGTTTTCTTTAAGGTGTACATGAACGCAACTGTGTCCACGAATGCTCTAGCTTCTCTCCGTAACGAGCTCCTCCAGCACGGAATGTTCTCATCGCTTAACGGAGGAACTCTTCTCGGATGGTACAGGGAATGCACGGTCATTCCGCACACAACTGACATGGACGTAGCCATTTTCGCTGAAGATTATCAACCGGGATTCTTGAAAAGCCTCTTCCGAAACGAGTCGAATTTCAAATTGAGTAGGAAGTTGGGATTGCTGAACGATTCATTCGAATTGACTGTGGAGCCGAGAGAAGAATTCCCGGGGCTTTACATTGACATTTTCATGATGTACAAGGGCGTGAAGGATAATGGAGAGGAATATGATTGGGTGGGCGGAAGCAGTCGTGAGTTCCGAGAATTCATTGATCTCCAATATCATCGTTTGTTCAGCGGACGGCTCGAAGTTCAAGTTCCCGTACACTCCGTACGATCCGTGGTGCTCTGCAGACCTTCACGGACACATCTTCTGGGTGACATGCAGTCCGAACGAAAGGATGAAGGCAGAGTACGGAGAGCTCTGGTACAAGGATGCACCTTCGGACACGTTCGTTTGGAATTCGAACTCTGTTCCTAACGGCGAATGGACGAGCGAACAGATGAAAACGGTGTACAAAGTGTACGATTGGCACGGCGTTCGGACACACCGTCTAGAGGAGGAAGTTGCGTAGTGGACAGGTGTACATTTGATTAGTTATTTCATAAATGCCTTTTTATATCAAATGGACTCTGCCCAACTTGCCCTTCAGTTTATTCCACTCCAATACAGTCGGGGATCGAAATACCAACACGCGGGAATCCTCCCTCGGACAGCTTCCTCTTCTTGTTCATCTTTCTCTACCCGCTTCACATACAAAACACGGTTCTCCGCCTTCTTTTCGTGCTGAAAGTGAGTGGGGTAGCGAACTATTTTCAATTCGATGAAACGTCAGGATGAGTACGGAGAACTGTGGTATTTGAATAGAAACTCGAAGAAATATGTCTGGCACGCGGCCAAGAATGCGGAAAAGAACGGAAGATTGACAAACGAACAAAATAAGACGGACGTGTTGATCTTTTACGAAAGATGCGTATGGTGAAGCCAATTCGATTACTGTAGATAGACTACGATTCATTTCGTCGCAATGTATAAATTGTATTATTCGTTCACTTCGGAGGCATGTCTATTGGAGCAGGACGTTTCAGCTGGGACAACACTTTCGACCGAGAGTTCTTCTGAAAACACAATTGCTCGAAATTGTCCTGAAATCTGCTGATTTACCTGTTCTTGGTCATAAATCGCCACCGAACTCAATGATCTTTGCCGTGGAAAATCGAGCGGCGTGATTGAAATGGACTCGGCCGTTGCGGTGGAAATTTGAGTGAATGCGTCGTCGTCGGAGGTTTTCCGACGGATTACTGTAGCTCGCTGAGCCCGGATTCCCTCGTCATCGGATGAGTTTGCGAGAGGCGAAGAAGAAGAAGAAGGAGAAGAAGAAGAAGAAGAAGAAGTGTCGGATTCTTTGGAGAAAAGGGAAGATCGGGACGAAGAATGAATGGAAGGTTCCGAGTGACAAGGGGAATGGCGGGGCGGAGGAGGCGGAGGACTCGTCGGGATCGGGGGATCCGAGGCGGAGGGACTCTGCAAGAGATGAGCTCAGAGAATTCCATTTTACGATATACACTTACACTTCTAAACTTTCTCTTCGGAATCCTCGGAGGAGTTCGTCGCCTCGTGGGGCTTCTGCACTTGTAATTCACAGGCATCGACTCCGCGAATCGGGGCACTTTCTCCTTGTCGTCACTGATTGCGGGTGGCGATCCGAATAACGTCAGTTCCATGTCATTCTCATTCTGATTGTGTTTCACCGTGGAAGCCATGAAAGAGTTCGTAGACTCGTTCTCTTCGGAATAAGCCGTGGAGGCAGCAATTTGCTCGCGGAGCCGGCCGATCTTCCATCCGTAAGGGTCCATGTTGAGCGAGGGAATGGTTGAAAGGGGGAAGACTCGTGAACGGACCGTCGGACCCCGAGAGTCGATGTACTGTGAAGGAACACGTGAAACTACAGTAATCCCTGCCAACTTACCATATAAGTGTTCTCACGGTGGGTGAATATAGTCGGAGTTCTTCTCCTATTCGGCGGACTGTCCAACTTTTCAAACCGAACTCCCCGCCCGTCGTCCTCCATTCCTTCCTCTATTCCTCCGTCGTCCTGGACCCATTCGGAAGTGTCAAACAGAGAGTTCAGAAGCTTTCCCTCATTCCGAATCTGTCTGATTTGAAGGAAAGCGACGAGCGGCACGACGAGCAGGGGACCAATCATGACCACCCAGGCGACGACTTCGTAGTCGATTGGAATCGGGCGGCCGGCGAATGATATCCGCTGGTAGCCAAGAACGGAGGCAACGAGGAGAACAGTCAGAATGACGGGGCAGATGAAGCAGAGCGAGAACTTGATGTAGATGCCGCCCGGCCCGAAAATCGAGAGCATCTTGTCCTGAAAGTGGCCTCACTGGAACCATTCCCAACCGAACCGACTCACCCTGCACCTCGTTGCTTTGGAGATGGGGATTCTGGGCACTCGGAGCATGGCCGAAATGTCGGTCAGGTAGTTGTCTATTCCGTACACATAACACACAATGGCCACGGACAAAAGAGCCAGAGAAAAGGAGTTCCAGTTGGCGTTCAGGTTTTCGACTGCGTGAAAAATGAATATTCCTCCCTGAAAGTCAAAGATTTCATGAAATTGCAGAATGAATGAAACCTGCGCACACAGCGGGAGCCCGAAGAAGAAGCCGGCGAGACAGAGAAAGGCGAGGAGCCGATTCTCGACCGCCTTGTTCTTTGTGGAGAAGTGATTCATGAAGGCCGACGCGATCATTTCGAGCCATGCGAACTCTGCGTCCAACGCCGCCAGCACGAGCATTCCGAAGAACAGAGTCGCCCAGAGACCTCCCCAGTACATGAATGACGTCACTCCGGGGTACACTGTGAACGAGAGGTATAGCGGATCGTGCTCTGAACTGTCACATTTAAATGATGAGTACTTTAGAAGTTGATCTACTCAAAACGTCGTTCACATTGCTGTTAGATTCACTGGCAATGAATCCGACGAACGAGAAAATGACCATTCCCGAGAGGATCGAAGTCAGGGCGTCCCTAAAAGGAGGCAGCATGGATTACGGTAGTCTCTCGAGCACTTGCATGATAACCAAAAGGACCGAGTCCCGGTAGACATTGTTGCGATAGCGAGAGAAGGCCGCCATGGAAATCAGAGGACCCGCGTCGATGCCCAGCTCATAGAACACTTGCTCGGCGGCCGATTTCCATATCTGCCACTTCCAAAGTTTGGTGCTGTCGACGGTGAAAAGGAAGGAGAGTCCCTTGTTGGCGCCGGGGAGCGAGATGCCGCGCAGAAGGAGAATTGAGAGCAGCAGGTAGGGCACAGTCGCAGTCACATTCATAGTTTGGGCAATAGATCCGAGCCCTTTGAAAACTCCGAAGAAGACGAGAAGCCACGCGGCAGCGAGGGAAAGGACGAGGTGGGATTGGAGGGGACCGAGGGCAAAGTCCCCGAAAGTTGAGAGGGAAAGCACTTCAGAACTGTAAACGTGGAGAGGTTGGGATGGTGGAAAACTGAAGCGAACCCACTGGAAGAAAGCCTCGGGGGCTGTGATGGAGGTGGTTGAGTTGAAGCACGAGTGCAGATTGTGCAGATTACAGCACCGATTGTCCAGTTGCCACTCTGAGAGTTCACAGGAATTCAAGGGACATGTGAGCACTCAGATACCTTCTTTACAAAACTCCCAAGGCAAACTGCCGCCGAGGAGAAGTCCTTTCGCAGATTGGAAGAAGTAATGAATGGCCCAGGCAACGATGATATTGTAATAGACAGCCACTGGGATCGCAATGACAACAAGGGCCCAGCCAACTCCTGAAATGTTCCCGTTCTTTTCCTCTCTCTTCAATTTCTCCACTAACCGGAACCAATTGGCATCAACTTCTGAAAGGCCGTATTGGCAGCTTGACCAGTGTACTGTCCGAGAGATAAATGCAGGAAGACTAATGGCAAACCGAAGAATATCAGAGAAAAGAAGTAAGGAATGAAGAACACGCCGCCCCCGTGCTGATAAACCTTCGCAGGAAACCGCATCGTGTGCCCTACTCCGACCATGAATCCGAGACAGGTCAGGAAGAAATCTTTCTGAGTCCTCCAGAGTTCTCTCCGATCGTTCTGCTTCGAAAGACGCAGCAGATCCGTTCGTCGGTACAGCTGAAATTGGTCCCACCAGTGAGGTCTCTGGGGCATTGTGGACTGCGCCTCGAGGGCCGAGACGTCGATTGTTTGGATCACTTCGGGAGAGGACTGGAGCATCATTTCTACGAATAAAAACTGAAGGACCAACAACTAACCACACTGGGAAACGATGATATTGTATGAGAAGGGGGGAGATCGAGGGCGGAGTGTCCGGGCGTCGAGCTCTTCTTCTTCCTCCGCTTCTTCCCTTGCGACGATCCTCTGTTCATTATCTGCTCCGTTTCGTCCGCATGACACACACATTCCAGGTAGAAGAGGGCCGCTTCGTTGGCACTCGAACTGACGAGCTCTCGGAGCCGCACGATTCGTTTGTCCATGTCGGCGGTTCTCCGTTTGACCTCTTCGTACGAAGACTTCCGATGCAAATCATTCCGTTTGGCGAGTGCTTCGATTTGAAGACGAAGCGCCGATTTCCATTCTCCGTGCATGATTCAGTGAGCAAAGAATCAGAAGGTAAGGGAAATCGAGTAGAAATACAGACGATGAAAGACGATGTCGAAGGTGAAGAGCGAGAGATTCGCGATGAAGACGGACACGCAGATGGAGAGAAAGAAGATGTCTACGGGCGGAAAGGGGAACCTGTTTTAGGTTCTTGTTCGACAAACTCCCGACGTCTTCAAGTAAATAACCTGTAGAAAAACTGGTTACATTTCCCCCCACGACAAATATTTATTCCAGGAAATGCCGTATTTCAAATACGGTACCCATTTGTTTCGAAAAAAAAATTTCTATTTTTATTTTTTCACAAGTTTACATTTTTTCAATTCGCCATTCAATCTGTCTGAAAAACCTGAATTGCGCAGGAAAAATTCCAAACTTTTTTTGACTACGGTGTGAAAAAGTCCGCAATGCACTGAACCTTACGCGCAAAAACTAACGCAGCGCGACCGCAGCGCGACCGCAACGCGTCCTCCACTCTTCGGTCATCTTCACGTGAGCATTCCGAAAAACCTATAGATTTTTTGTGCGCGCTTTCATGGAGATTTGTTCTATTGCCAGTTTTGCAATGGCAATGAACTCCGAGCGCTCTTCGTATGCCGATTTAACGCCTGTTTCGTTCACCAACAGCTCTTCGACGCCCAATTTGGATGCTGCTGCCTTCGCCGCCATTTCAGACGCTGATCTAAGCCGATCTGTAAAGCTTACGGTAAAGTTTTTTGCGGCGCGCGATTTGCTGATCGGTTTTTTGTACAATGCCCCAGAAATCAAAGATTACGGGGGAGTTTTTCGTTCCAAAACAGCGAATTTACCGCCTGGGTCAGTTCAAAGTGTACTTCAAACAAGTGTAATTAAACCTACCACTCAAACTTGGGAAAATTAAACCTACTCAGACATCGTATGCTGAGGTCTTCCGGTTCTCATTTCAATTTTATAATTATCGATTTTTCAGAAAGTCCATGAGTTCAACCGACTTGTCGCGGAACTTGACTTCGACGGCGGGTATCCGGATGAGGAGATTACCATAAATGAAGAAGTGCAAGTCGTAGAAGAACAAAGAGAAGAAAGTGATGATGAGGATGTGAATGTAAAATATCCGTACGAAAGAAAGGATCGCTATGCCGACCTGTGCAAACGAGTCGAAGAGAGACTGAACAATGACGACTCAACTAGAGAAATTGATGACAGAGCTCGGGTAAGTCACCAGCACCAAAATGAAGCAGTAGCTATGGTTTCCAGGAAATCGAGTTGATGCTCAAAGTTGACGAGGAGAAGCGGAAAATGGAGGCTAAACAAATCGGTTTCACCCACTTTGAACGACCTTTCTTCACTTGTGTCATGTGTGCCAGATCCTATTCGTCAGCAGAAGAACTTCAAGCTCACACTGCCAAAGCTCACGATCTGTCAGGCAACCAATGGAAGTGCAAAATGTGCGGAAAGGCCTACAAGCACAGAAAGAACCTCTCATCTCACATGGTCCTTCATCGAAAAGAGTTTCAGTGCAAAGAGTGTTCTCTCGTTTTCCAATCTAAAGCAACTCTTGAAAGTCACATCAGCCGGCACAATACGAACTCGAAAAATGAGAAGGTTGCCGACGTAGAAAAGCCGATGAAGAATTGCGATATCTGCGAAAAACGCGTTCCGGAGAAGCTCATGGCCAGGCACAAGTATTACTGCGTCAACAAGGAGCAAATTGCAAAACAACGCGCTGAGAAAAAGGCATTAAGCGTGCCGCCAAGTCCAGCCATGTCAATGATAAGTTGCGCATCGTTCGCCAGCTATCAGCCGGGACCCAGCAGCTCTTCTCCGATGACCAGCCCCGTCGTCTCCCTGCGTGACAAGTCATGCCGAGTATGCGGAGAGTCGTTCGCCAGCCGACAATCGATGCTCCGACACGTAGGAAGGAAACACCCAGAAGTGAAAGACGACCCAAATGTCACCGCCGTCAGATATGTGTCCGTGGAATCGGTAAGGAAAACACCGCTCATTCGAAGTACCAATTCATTTATTTTTCAGCCTACGCATCCATACGCGTGCATGGATTGTGGAAAACGAGTGACGACTCGAGCCGCTCTCACAGCCCACAGAGCTCGAGCCCACGAGAACGCAACACGTCACGAATGTCACGTCTGCCACAAATCGTACATCGTCCCGTCGGAGCTGAGAAAGCACATCAAGAGAGTTCATGAGAATGCTTCGACGACGTCTTCGCGCGAGGAGATACCTGATATTGACTCTATCTTCTAACCGATCAAATACTTTATTTTTAGTTAGTTTTCTGTCATTTTCTGTATATTACTGATTACTTTACGGGTTTGTCGACCCGATGTTCTTCAATTTGGTCAGTTTTCAATAAAATTATAATAGCTTCAAAGATGAAACTACGCGAACAGATGTACTTCGTTTAGCTGCTCTTCCAAAATGGGATGAAACTTGTTCATAAAAATATTTGAACTTGAAGATATTCATCAAACATGTTTTTCTCGATTCCACAATTTTAAGCATCGTACTGCGCCTTGTTTAGCAGAAAGTGGCTTTTTTTTTCAAGAAGTTTCCAGAAATATTTTGCCGAATCTCAAAGTCGGAAAATGTTCTCCATATCTTATAGTACCACCCTGATTTTTTTTCAGAATTTTTAAAAATGATACAAAAAAGGAATTCCCTAGTTAGACTGGCTGCTGTTCAATACGGTGAAAAGTTTTAAACCGACAAATCTGACACAATACGAAAAACTACTGTAGATAGCTTTTATACTGTGAATTTGGGTGCTTTTTTGAATTTTTTAAATACTTGTACTCAATTGGTCTCGAAATGTGACGACGCGCATTATCACACCTGTGGGCCTAAAATACTTCAGTACTTCAAGTCCAAGAAGCTTGCAAAGTTTGGGTCATTCCAGCAATCTGAACATTTCCGACTATCGGGCTCGGTACAGGTATTCTAGAGGGTGCAATTGAGTCAAAAGTGAAGGACAGTGACAAAAAGAAGATATTCAGACAGTGAGAAGGACCTAATAACAAAGTAGTATTAAAATAAACGGCGGACACCGAGCTTCTCTAGGCTGTTGGTGGTCGGCGCCTCCATCGGAACCTCTCCATCAGAATTCCACATTGAGAACGACGGACGCTCGGGCGGCCGCCACTCCGAGCGAGCAGAGCCACTTGCATTCGCTCCTTCCACTTCGCCGTCCCCTTTACGCACTTCTGCTGCTTTCAGCAGGTGTCTATCGCCTGCTCGAGGGGTCTCAGAATACCTGCCCATCAGAATTAAATTATGGCATCGTCGGGTGCTCGGAGAGCAGCCACTCGAAGCGAACGGAGCCACTTGCGTGCGATCCGCCCGCGTCGCCGTCCTTTCCCTGTCTTCTACGCGCTCCTCCTGCTTCCAGCAGACTTCTGATGCATTCTCCAGGCTTCTCAGAAAACTCGCCCACCAGAATCTCACGACGTCTCCCCCGGAGGCTGGAAGAGCAGCATCTCCAGCATCAATTACACTACATTTTTGAAAACTGAAGGGATTTTGCTGCAAGGCAGCTAAATAAATGTTATATGGTTTCCGAAAATGCATTGTCAAATTTGTAAAATAGTCACTTTTATTTCTTCTTGCGTTTTAAATCTTTTTTACTTTTGTTCTCTTCTGATCTTCAACGATTCTTTGGCGAATTCGGAAAATGCTGCTTTCTGCTAAACCGAGCGACATTACGACACTCCAAATGTCGTAGACGAGTCTCCGACTTGAGTTTTTTCAGTGAGTTTTTTTTTTGCAAAAAATAAGTTAATATTCACCAATTTATCGTTGTTTTCAGTCAAAATTCGTCCACAAATGCACAGAAATGGACACAAATTTTAAAGTAGTCATATAATTCTCGAAAACCAAACTCTCCTCAATCCCATTTTCAGCTATCCAATTGTGTGGGAACTGTGTACCGAGACGGTCAAGTGGCTTTTAGCAAAGACGGATTCTCAGTCATCTCGCCGATTGGCAACAAGCTATCAATATTTGATCTCAAAAAGTTCGTATTGAATGTGTTCGTCTCCGTAAAATGACCCTTTTTGCAGCAATGTCTCGAGAACGGTGGATGTTGGCTGTAATTTTAGTATCAAGTCGACGGCGATCAGTCCGTCGGGCACGCATATGCTCGCCGCTGATGAACGTAAGAAAACCACTCTGAAACCTGCTGAAAATGCCGTGAATTTCAGGCGGAGACGTCCATTACATCAATCTGGTGACCGAAACGAAAATATTCACATTCCGCAGTAACCGAACCATCAAATCACTGCAGTTTTCGCCGGACGGAAAGTAAATATTGTTTATCTGCACCATTTTTATCAAAATCCCGTTCAGAAAGATCGCAGTTGGTCGTGAGCGAGATCTGCAAATCCAAGAGATAGGTCGTATCGAAGAGCAGGCGTTCCATCCGTTTCATCTCATGAGAACGTACAAATTGAGCAGTGAACAGTTGAATTGTGTCGATTGGTCGTTCGATTCGAAGTAACACATTTTCAAAATCCCATTTTTCCATCAAATTTTTCATTTATTCAGTCTGATCGTAGCCGGCGGAGATGACAGAGTTCTCCGTATCGTCGGAGCTCGTGACTTCAAAAATCTCTTCATTCATCCGTTGGCTTCTCACAAAGGAACCATCGTTCACTGTCAATTCTTGAAAGATTCCTATGATGTGAGCTTATCAGCTGGTTTTGAAATATCTAACTATGTTTTTCAGATGATTTCTGTCTGTAAACGTGGCCTCTGCAACGTGTGGACGTGTAATCTTCGTCCCGGAGAACTTCAAGAAGGCGTGTGGAAAAAGGACGAAGAGCCGGAAGACAACGGTGATGAACCGATGGAAGTGGAGCCGGAAGAGGTCGAGAAGATTTTCTTCGAGAAGAGTCACAAGTACTGGCTGACCGAATCTTCGGGATCTGGAAAGACTGTAGACGTGACTGCCGCCAAGTATAACGTGGAGACGAAGATTCTGGCGACCGCGTTCAACAACGGAGTCATCGTTCTTCACGAGATCCCCACTTTCGCACTGATCCACAATTTGCGCGTCTCTGAGATGAAAATTCAGACGGTCGCGTGGAATTTGACTGGCGAATGGCTAGCGATCGGCTGCGGAAAGGGATCCGCCGCTCAGTTGGTCGTTTGGGAGTGGCAATCGGAGAGTTACGTGATGAAGCAGCAGGCGCATTCTCTACGGGTCACGTCCGCCGAATACTCCCCCGACGGAGGACAAATTGCGACTGGAGCGGAGGACGGAAAAGTGAAGATCTGGAGCTGTCGCACCTCGTTCTGCACGGTCACTTTCGACGAGCACACTGCCGGAGTGACGGCCGTTAAGTGGACTCAGAGCGGCAGAGCCATTCTGAGTGCTTCTCTCGATGGAACTGTCAGGGCGCACGACCTGAAACGATACAGAAATTTCCGGACTTTGGTCTGTCCCGAGCCCACTCAGCTGGCTACTTTGGCTGTTGACAAGGCCGGAGACCTCGTGATTGCCGGAGCCAAAGAAGTATTCAACATCTACGTTTGGTCGTTCGAAACTGGTCATCTTCTGGACATCCTCTCAGGCCATGAATCGGCAGTCTCTTCAATCGATATTCATGGAAACCTGCTCGTCAGTGGATCATGGGATCGAACGATCAAAGTGTGGACGATCATCGATTCGAAGGCGGAAACGGTGGAAGTGTCGCACGAGGTGCTCGACGTGAAGTTCTCGCCTTCCGGAGAAGTGATCGGAGTGCTCACTTCGGACGGAGTCATCACTTTCTTCGAATCGAAGGAAATGCTCAATTTGGGATCGATCGATACCCGTTTGGATGTGGATCCGGCACGTGGCGAACGGGATACCATCACTCGACAGAACGCGGCGAAGAGCAAATCATTCACGAGGATTCGATTCTCTCCGGATGGAAATTTGATTTTGGCGGGCGGAGAATCTAACAATTTCTGTTTGTATTCGGTGCCAGAGCGAATGATTCTCAAAAAATTCCGAATTACTGAGAATCGCAGTCTCGACGGCGTCGTTCTGGATATCAATCGGAGAAATATCACAGAATTCGGAAACATGAACTTGATCGACACTTCCGATGAGGAGGATGAGCCCGACAACAAGATGGCCATCAAACTGCCGGGAACGAAGAACTTCGATCTGGGAGAAAGGAGGGCGAAACTGGAAGTGAATGTCTACGAAGTGACGTACTGTCCAACGGGAAGACGGTTCGCGGTCGCATCAACGGAAGGCGTCGCCATCTACTCCCTCGACACCGTTTCTCTCTTCGACCCATTCCAACTCGACAGTCAGACCAGCCCGGAAGTGATCAGAAGAGCACTCTCCATGAACGACTTCACCACTGCTCTCATGGCTTCTCTGCGGCTCAACGACGGAAAATTCATCACGGACTGCATGGAATCCACGAGCATTTCTCAAAGTAAACTCCCGTAAATCTTCATTGTCTCTCTCAACTATCCCCTTGTTCAGTTCCCCTCGTTGCTCGATCTCTTCCGCTTTTGTACGCTGAACGCCTTCTGAAGTGGATGTCCGAAGGAAACGTGATGTCATCGACGAAGCACGTCCACTTTTACATGCTGTGGCTCCGCGCAGTGCTCCAAGAGCACGGAATGCACCTGAAGGGACACGCCGACGTGGCAACTCTCACCGGAATTCAGCAGATCATCACCCATCATTCACAATATGTCACCAGATTGTACGGTTCTTTAAAACTTCAAATTTTTCTAATCTTAACTGTTTAGAGCCAATCAAAACAAGTTTTCACTCCAATGGATCCGCCAAATCCGTAAGAATCAGGCGGAAGAAAAGAAGGAAGAAGACGAGGATTATGGATTCGAACGGGTGGACATCAAAGACGAAGAAGAGGATTCAGATGAGAACGACGAGGAGGAGGAGGAGGACGATTCTGATGAGATCCAGGTGGATTCGGACTCGGATAGCGAAGTTATTGAATAAGAAACCCATTTAAAATAACTTGCTTTCCAATTGTTTTTGTTACTTTCTGACAGTTCTTTACCCTTGTTGTTGTTTTTCCTCCATTTTTCATTGTTATCTGATCTGATATTGTTTCTTTCTGAAAATTTGGATTACAAAACTCTTTTTCCATGTCTTTTACATGAGTTTCACAGCTCGTTCCATATTTTTCATACTGTTTTTCCCATTTTTCATCTCATGTTGTTTCAGATGGCAAAAGTTTCCATTCCGGAAAATGCCGAATGGCAAACTGCCGATCTCGAAATTGACGGCGATTTCGACGATGACATGCTCCAGTTTTTAGGCTCTTTCGAAGAAGTTCTTCCCAAAGAGCTCCAGAATGCTCCGGAGAAGAAAAAAGGCAAAAAACAGGTAACATGAGATGACAAGCACACCAATTCAACAAATTTTTACAGAAGAAAGATAAAAAGGTGAAACCATCAGAAGATGAAGAAAAGTCGACAGAAGAGCGTCGATTGGCGAAAAAACAACGGAGAAAAGAGCAGATGGCTCAGAATCGAAAGCTGAAAAAGGAGAGATGGGCGAGGAGAAAACAGAAGGAATCGGCCGAAAAGGAGGAAGGAAAAGAGAAGGAAAATGGCGAGGAAAAGAAGAAAAAAGCGGGAGAAAAGAGGAAAAATGAGGAAGAAGGTGGTCCGAAAGAGAAGAAAAAGAAGGGAAAGAGCACTGACATCTCCGCGTGGAAGCAGTTCTTCTTCCTGCCGCCCGAGATTCTGAACGCCATCGAGGAAATGGGATTTGCCGAACCGACCGAAATCCAATCGGCCGTCCTTCCAGTGGCAGTACGTGACCGTCAAGACGTGCTCGGAGCAGCGGAGACCGGAAGCGGAAAGACGCTCGCATTCGGAATCCCCCTCGTCGCACGTCTTCTCGAGACTTCCGAAACACCTCCAGAATCCGCAGAAACGACGGAGAGAACGCGCGGACCTCGTGCTCTGATTGTTGCTCCAACTCGTGAGCTGGTTATTCAGATCATGAAGCATTTGAGTGCTCTCATCGTCCACACCTCATTGAAGGCGACCAGTATTGTGGGAGGATTGGCTCAGGTGAAGCAGGAAAGAGTGATTGCTCAGCAGAGTCCTGACATCGTCGTCGCCACTCCCGGAAGACTGTGGGCGATGATGGAAGCGGCGGAAGAGGGAAGTTATCTGAAGGAGTGGAAGGATCTCAAGTGTCTGGTGGTGGATGAGACGGATCGGATGGTCGAGGAGGGGTACTTCAACGAACTGACCCATATTCTCAATAAGGTTCACGAGTGAGTCCGAACCTTCTGAAGATATCCAAACGAAGAGGTTTTCAGAGAATCAGATGCGGAAAAATTGCAAACTCTGGTGTTTTCGGCCACTTTGACGTTCGCCAAGGCGCAGGATGTGGCCGAAGAGGAGAAGAAGAAGAACAGAGAGCTCAGCTCGCACCAGAAAATTCGTGTGTCCTTCGGAATCCCTCAGAATCCTCGCAACAGTTTCAATTTCCAGAACGTCTCATCAAACTGACGGGTCTCCGTGAGAACAAACACAAAGTGATCGATCTGACGCGTCAAATGGGAACCGCCGGGTGTCTCGTCGAGGCGAGAATCAACTGTGGGAATCTCGTGGAGAAGGACACTGCGCTCGTCTACCTGCTCACCCGATATCCCGGCCGAACGATCGTGTTCGTGAACTCGGTCGACGCCGCCCGTCGTCTCTACAGTATTCTCAAAGCGGTCGGAATCGATCCAATGATTCTGCACGCCAAAATGATTCAGAAGCAGAGACTGAAGAACTTGGAGAAGTTCAGCGAGTCCAAAAATGCGGTTCTTCTGGCGACAGACGTGGCGGCGCGTGGATTGGATATCCAGGGAATCGACCATGTCATCCACTACCAAGTGCCTAAGAAAGTCGAGATTTACATTCACAGGAGTGGTCGTACCGCCCGTGCCAGCCATCGGGGACTGACCGTTGTGCTGGTGGATCCGCCGAGCAGACAGTTCTATATCAAACTGTGCAAGGGACTCAATCGAAGTGGGATTCTTATCATAAATCACACGAATTCATTCTTTTTCAGTGCAAGATCTCGATATCTTCCCGATTGACTTCGAGCCTCTGTTGAATGCGATCAAAAAGAGAGTCCGACTGGCTTCTGAGATCGATACTCTCGGATTCCGGTGCAAGAAGGTATTAACATGTTCCTGTTCTCTTCCAAACTCGTTCTCTATTGCTTCCAGATCAAAATGTCCGAGTCGTGGTTCGAAAAAGCGGCGCGCGCGGCGGATCTCGACTACGACGAAACCCGTCATCGCGAGATGGACGGTCTGAATTCGGAAGTGGACGGAATGCTCCAGAAGAGCAGACAACTGCAAGCTCAGCTCCGCGACGAGCTCGCTGCTTTGTTACCCCGTCCGGACGGCTCCGATTCGCTGCGCACCAAGTATATCACCCCGGAAATTGTGGCCAAATTGAGATCGGTCGGCGACGACGCGATTGACGTGCTGCATCAGAAGATGGAGGAGACGAAGGAGTGGAAACGAAAGAGCCGCAAAGCCGCCAGGACCGATGAGACTAATTCGGTGAGCGCGGATTTGCTGGGATTCCCTGACGGATAAGCTCCCTCGCTAACCAACATGCCCATCCGTCCTTCCTCTTATCGCCGATGTACTATCACTAAAAGCGAACGGGCGGCTGGCTTTCGTGCTCTCTGCTCCCTTCCGCCCTCTCTCTCTCCCTCTTATTCACTCTCGCAGTGATTCACGACCTCCCGTCCGTCCGCGCAAACACCTCTCGCTTCTCATTTTTCTCTGTTTTTCGCCCTGTTCTCGTCGTTTTTTGCGTCTCTTCCGCCGCTCCGAACAAGCGCGTTCCGTTCTTCTGACCATTAAGCTTGCTAGTGAGCATGTAGATGGGCTCTCTTATTCCTTATTTGATTTAGAAAACATATTTTCATAAAATGTGCACTTTCAGATGAAGAAGTCCCTGAAAAACGCCCAAAAGAACAAAGAACGTTTGGTCGAGAAGAAGAAGAAGAGTATCGCTGCCAAACGTGTCGATTTGACCGAAAACGAATGATTATATCCAGTTCTTAACCTTTTTTGTTATCATTTATCACATTTGTTGCTTGTTTCCTTTCATTGTTACTTTTTTCGTCGTTCTCGTTTTGCCCTTGAAATGAATCATTTGTTCGGTTCTTTCTCTCTCATCCGCCCTTTTCCCCATCATCGTTTCTTTATGAGCGATTCGATATTTCTATGGTTTCTCTTTTTCCCATAACCTTTTCATCATTCTCTCGCTTTCTGATTCTGAAAATCAATGCCAAAAAAGCGTGGTGATGAAATGAACGAACGAAAAGGTCTCGAAGCGAATGCTGGACACTTCGGAAATTGCGAAACGTTTGACAGATCTTTTTGGGCATCTTTCTTCTCGAAAGTGTGAACCATTCATCCAATTCTTCATTTTTCCAGAAGATGAGTGATGTTCAGGAGCAGCCGCCTCCACGGGTGCCCTCCGCCGCCTCCTCTTCTTCAGACATTGTCTTCGAAATCGATCCGGCTGTAATGAAGCAAGAGAGCGCTAGGAAGTTCGAGGATCTGTTCGCAGACCGTCAAAAGAGTGTTCGTCGCATTCTGGAGGAGACGTTCGAGGAGGAAATGAAGATGTACGGAAACGGTCAGAAAATGCCGACACCGCCGCCGGAGGCCATTCCAGTCAGATTCAGGGCGACGATGTGCCCCGGACCCATTCACGACGTTTTCGGAGACGCCCTTTACGCAATATTCCAGAAGTTGAATCGCAGGTAAGCTCTCTTCAATGTTTTGTGTGAACTTTTCAAACTTCAGAGGCCAAACTGCGGAATACTGTCACTGGATGGCCTACCTGATTGCTCATCAGTTTGATCTGAAGGAAGAACCCTACTTCCATCAGATAAAATTCTCTCCGCAAGTGTACGAAACAGCGGGAAGTCACGAGGCGAAACAAGCGTTCGCCAACGGAATTTGGCCGACCGTCGACAAGATTCTCATCCAGACGGCCGATCGATTCGAGCCGCTCGGAGAGAAATGGAATGGAATCCACGTGTCGGCGGATCAGATCAAAGGACAGAGGCACAAACAGGAGGACCGATTCGTCGCTTATCCCAGCGGACAGTACATCAATCACGGAACGGACCCGGTAGCCCTCCTGGCAGTGTTCGACGGACACGGCGGAATGGAATGCTCCCACTACGCGGCCGGCCACTTTTGGGAAGAGTGGGTCAAGGCGCGGCAGATGTTCGACGGATACCTTGAGCAGTCGCTCACTTCCGCGCTCTGCTCGCTGGACGAGAGAATGACGGTTCGTAGCGAGAAAGAGTTGTGGAAGGGCGGAACGACGGCCGTCTGCTGCGCCATCGATCCGGAGAAGATGGAGATGGCATTCGCGTGGCTCGGAGATTCCCCAGGGTTCGTTTGAGTGGAGACCGTGTTGGAAACAAGTGAGTTTTCATTTGCAGATACATTATGAACAACGTGGAATTCCGCAAAGTCACACGTGAGCACTCTCCGAAAGATCCAGACGAAGCGCGTCGCGTGGAGGAAGCAGGCGGCCAGCTGTTTGTGATTGGCGGAGAGCTTCGCGTGAACGGAGTGCTCAACTTGACGAGAGCTCTCGGAGACGTCCAAGGGCGTCCGATGATCTCGAACCAGCCAGAAACCGTGCGCGTCGACTACGATGCCTCCGATTATCTCGTGCTTTTGGCATGCGATGGCATTTCCGACGTGTTCGGCCCCGCCGATCTCTACCAGGTTATCGAGGCGTTCGTCAGAGACAACACAGTGGAAGGTGGGTGTGGGGAAGTGTTCCGACCTGAAGCCTTTCTTTTAGACTACACCGAGCTGGCCCGTTTCGTCTGCAGCGAGGCCATCGAGCACGGCAGTGCGGACAACGTGACCGTCGTTATCGGATTCCTCCGTCCGCCCGCCGAAGTATGGAGCCTTTTCGAATGCGCCTCTGATATGTCGGAAGACGACGACGAAGAATAAACTCTAACAAAGTTCCCTCATTTTTCCGTATTTTCAATTTTATTCTAATCACCTGGGTACTCTCTCTGTTTTCTATTTCTAACTGTGCATATCCCCCGAATAGTTTGTGTCTCTGATTCTGAAATAGTATCATCCCCGCCCAATTTTCCTGTAGCATTTTCATTTCCATCTCCTTCCCCCGTTTTCTAGAATATCGTTTCGTGATATGCCCTCAACCGTCCTATATTGTTTTGTGAATCAAATGTGAAAAACAAACGTCCGTAGAAATGGTGTTTATAAAGGCAAATGCACCAGAAACTGAGGGTGGAAAGTTTAATGACGACGTCATGAGATAAAAAGAGAGAGAGGGAGAATAAGGCAGTGGATATCAGAGTGAGCATGATCGGGAATGTAATAGGAATGGGAGGGAAAAAGGCACGATAACAAAAGGTACACATAAAAGAAGAAGAAAAAGAAGTGAACAGAGTCTAATGATGAATAGTTTGATTGGTGCTCAAACTCTTGCGAGTCCGCGATAATCCCTGCGCCTGAGTGGTCGGAATCCAGTTGACCCACTCGCCGTTCTTGTCTCTTTTCGTGCTTTCGCTCGACAACGGGTACTTCCAGTGACCGCCTCCGACGTCCGTTTCCACTCTGAAACGTGTTGCAATTCTGTGACATTCTGCCAAATGCGCTCTACCGCAATTCCGGTGCGGTATGGCGCATTTTGAACGAAACAGTGACAGAATGCGTTGTTTTGTGGGTATTTATCAAAATTTAAGTGACAGTGGCAAGGACTGGGAAAGTTGCTTTTGGACCACTTGCGATTATCCAAAAATCTTGAAAGTTTCAGGCCGATCGGATTCTGATCAGGAGATATATTGATTTGGAATCGAAAAGCTCGGAACCAAATAATTCGATCGACCTGACACTTGAACCGAAATACTACAATCCAAGGCTAAGAAGCTTGCAAAGTTCGGAATATTGCAGCTGCATCAACTGCCCCATTTGTAGAATTCCAAAAAAAAAGAAAAGCTCACCGGAAATTCCTCCATTCGGGTACGTACATGCGGAAACAGTTGAGTCTCCGAACGCCCAAAGTCGACTGATCCTCGTACTTCTCTTTGCGAACGACCGCCCAATCGGGCAAGCAGAAGTCGTAGCAGTCACTGCACGAGGCGTCTGAAATCAGACACGGAAATGCAATGAACTAGAGTGTCGCAGTTACCTTTCGCGTGCACAGTCTGTCTCAAAAGGTACCACTTGGCGCCCTGGCAGTCGTCGATTCGCTCCGTGAACTTTTGATTCGCAGTCATCGGCTCAATCGGTTCCGGGTCGAATTGATAGAATTCCTGCCAGCCGTACGTGGATTGAATCTGAACAGAAAGTGATGTTCCGACGATGAAAAGTGCCCGAGTACCTCATAACTGGAGTCGGAGACTGCTTCCGAGAGCTGATCGATGCTGTCGATGGCACTGCGGTCGAGGGGCATCAGGAAGCACGTGAAGTGGTTGCCTTGCGCGTCCGTCAGAGAGTGGTCCGCGATTGCGGCGTAGCCCTGGAAACATTTATGTATCTCAGCTGCCTGTACAGATATCAAAAAGTTGTCAACTGATAGAATGTAGAGAATGTTTTGACGAATAATTTATTTGTTGACAAGGTTTTGATATCTCTACCAGCAACTCAAATATATAGTCTAGAATTCCCATCAGAGCGAAAAGACTCACAGTGGTAAAGTCGATAGCCGTGAAACTGTTAGATTTGAACGGAGCATTGCCTCTGAGCTCGAAATGCGCCTGATGCTTCGAGTAGAAGTGCACAAAGACGGAAGAGGGAAGGGCCGCGGACACGAGCGCCGGGTTCTTCCGCCGACATTCTTCGCAGACGGGCGGATACAAAAGGAACTCGGAGACGGCGTAACGGTTGAAAATCGCATTGAAAATGATGAAGAGGAGGATCAGGAGGAGGATTAGAAGCAGGAGAATGCAGCAGAGACTGCGCAGAAGAGCCGGCGAGTACTCGGCGTTTCTGGAAAGGGTTGGAATGGGATGGAATGTCTCTTGGAATGTCTCACCTGAAGGCGTAAGTGACTTCGTCGTAAAAGTTACGAAGCCTCTCGAGACATCCGACGCTCTTCTCGGTGGCGCCCGTTTCTCGGGAGACAAGCGAAGTCTGCGACTGCGGAGGAAACCGTCTCGACGACAAATTCGACGCGATTTTGTGTTTTTCCTCTCCGTCCCACGAGGATTGCATCGCGCGATAACTGTCTTTTCGGGCCAGTGATCTGAAGAAATTGCATGTTCTTTTTGTAGTTGCATTATTATAAAAACAACTATTGTTTTTCGACCCACGTCTTCAACTCTTCCATTTCAAATATAGTTTCCATGAGAATTAAAGGTTAGAATCAATCAATACTTTGTTCGGAATACTAGACACTTCAAGTTCTCCGACCATCCTAGTCGCTCGGCTTATTTGCTTTTTTGTCCGCATCATTGCGTTCAACACCCCTTTTCCCGCCCTTCTATATTTACATTTATCCGCATTAGAGCGACTGAAAAAATAGCGAAAGATATTCGATGAGGATGGAATCCCGAAAGCGTCGATAAACACGCCTTATTTCGTCGAAAACTCACTCGTTATCACTGGAGTAGTCCTGTCGATAGGAAATGTTTTGTGTGGGCACTGTGAAGATGTTCGGGTTGCTCCGTGCGGCTCCAGAATTGCGGAGCGCCGAAGTGAGCACCGGACGAGTGATCGTCTCTTCCACGTGTTCGATTCGGCTGGTCTCCCGCAACGGACCGCTTCCGTGCGTCTCGATTATCCGGGCTCCGCCTTCTAAAGAAAGTACATTACTCCTTTTGTTACTCCTTTTGAGTGGCCGATGCTCACCAGTGGTGTGCACTTCATGAATATCGTATCCGTAGTTGTTGATCACAGTCGTTTCGTTGCTCGTGTTGGCTCCCGGGTAGCTGAGTCGGCTCTCTCCGGAAGTGTTCAGGAAGCTGTTGTTCGTGGCTCCACTCACATTGTATCTCTGTTGTTGCGGCGGAGACATTTCAATGTGCTGACCGTAATCTGAAACGATTTCATGGAGTTGGAGTTCTGGAGAGGAGGAGGATGCTCACTGGCAGAAGTGTGCAAAAAGGAGGGCTCCCGGCTGACATCCCTCTCGCCGGTCACCTCGAATCTCCGATCGTGGATCGTCCCGTCGGCCCTCTGCTCGTACGACTCGCGGCTTTCCCGAATCGTCGAGAAGGGCGGCATGAGGGCTCCGCCGGAAGGTCTCCGGCCCTCCTCAATGATCCTGTGCTCAATCACCTCGATCTGCTCCACCACCATCTTGATTTATTGGTTCTAGATTCCAATTTCAGACTTTTTCTGCAATTACAATGACTTGAAAAACAAAAGCGAAACAAAACAAGTAGCCAGTGGTGGTGGTCGATGAAAAAAGGAAGGACACGAGTCGAAAAAGAACCGGTCGGCCAATGGGTTTACGACCTGCGGGCGACTAGTCACTACTGCTGACCGATGGATGCAGGCGACAAAAAAACAAAGAGAAAGAGAGAGAGAGAGAGAGATTTATGTGATATTTCAGAGGGAAAAGCTGAAAAAAGGGTGGGGGATTAATAGTAGAAAGACGGAGGGGAAATTGGAAAGAGAGAGGGTAATTATGGGAAATGAAGGAACCGGATCTTAGGATTCTGAAGGCGAATGGGTGAGTCATAGTAGAAGAATTCTCAAGTATCGAACAGAAACTTTAGAGAGCTGAAAGCGAAGCCTTAGAAAGATCCACGTGGATTCTAGGGATCTTGTACCGAAAACGGGGTTGATTAGACATTTCAAACCTGCAGAAAATTCAAAACAACCGGTAGAAGGGCATCGCGGTCTAATCAAAACAATGTATCTCCGTTGCCGGTAGAGTTATCAGAATGGTGTCAACTAACAAATTGTCTGTTACATTATTGTGCATATTTTATCAATACGACACTTTTTGAAATCTTTACAGGCAACCGAGATACATTGTTTTGAATGCACGGTGCTTGGATGTTTTACGGTAGTTTTTAAATTGTTTCAAGCATCATTTAGACCTTTGGAATGAGGTCAACTTTAGGAAAATTACTGCAAGCAGTTCAAACAAAGTGAAAATAACATTTTAGAAATCAAACAGCGATATATTATGAACTGAGCTCGTAATCAGGTTGTACTGTGAAAGTCTGAGAAGCTGAAAGTGCGAAACAAAAGATGCCGGCCATAAGATAATAATCAAACTTGGAAAGTCAAAAAAGATGAGTCACTAGCCTTTGAGACACTCGCAAACAAAATGAACAATTTATTTCGGGCCGTCGCCTCGTTTCGGAGAAAATCTCCCACAGCGAAGGGAAAAGGAGATGCGATCGTCGGGTTGCTTCCTCGCAAAAGTTTAGTTGGAACCGGAGGAATAGCGGGCGGAAACGGGAGACGCAGACAAGAGTGACTCGCTAATTTCAAGGGCAGTGACCGATCGGAAAACGGTGGAGGTGAAATTAAACGGAGGAACGGCGAAAGAATTCCGAAATCGACACCAATTTCGTCTGTTGACAGACGAGGAAGACGATAATAGTGGAAGAGGTCCGCACCGTTCGAATTTTATGGATTACTGTAACTTGGAGGAACTTGGAGGAGATCTACCAAACCCGTATTCGCGATTTTTCGGCCGGGATCCTGCATTTAAATCAAATTAATTGTTATTAGTTAGAAAATGACCAAAAACTTGAAAAAAACTAGCTTGAAAGGATGTGAAACCGAAATTAAAAGTTAGTCCACTAAAAACCCTAAAAAAAGCGAGGCCATGAATGTTTCATGAACCTCGGAGAATGGTGGCGGAAATCGAGTGATTCCCTCCTTAAACGGCGATAAAATCAAGGCGTGTTGACGAGAAGAACAAAACAAAGAAGACGACAATAATAGGATATTTGGAAGAAGGCGGAAAGCGAATTGAGATGTCAAAAATGGCAAGATATCGGAGGGCTGAGAAGAAGCTGGAATTTGTGTCCTTCCCAATGAAATGTGAAATGTGAAATGCCCTTCAATTCGTCGAAACTACAGTAATCCGCTTTGCTTTCCGACGGTCACTAGTTATGAATGTATTCACTGGACGATCCATCACATGTGTACACGGATCATTACGAGTATTGTAGTTGTTTTAGAGAGCGGAGGGGTGATTGCGAAGGGCGCCACAAAGGTATTTATCTCAGCTGTCTGTAGAGGTATCAGAAAGTGATCAACAGAGAAAATGTACAAAATTTCATAATGAACAATTTGTTAGTTTACAACATTTTGATATCTCTACTGACAGCCGAGATATAACGCCTTAAACTGGAGATGCACTTCTGAAACCGTAGAATAGAAGAAACTCTCAAAGGCTCTCAACGTGACAATGGACAAAAGAAGAGGAAGAACAGATTCAAAAGTGACCCAGATCCTTTGACTGCATATTGTACTGCCCACGAACACCTACGAATTAGCCGAGTGACACGCCTCATCGGAGACATCGCCAGCACACAAAAAAGAAGCGATCGGTGTCCTTCGTGTGATCGGAAATTCATTTCATACCCGGTGCGGTGCAATAACATTTGTCTCGTCAGTACCTTTGACTGCGAGGGAGTGACCGGCACTCGAATGCGCCCGCGTCCGTCACAATTCACAATGCCCCCTTTCCTCTGTTTCGCTTCCAATTTGCATGTTTCGAACTCGAATGAATGAGAATGGCAACGGAGAAAAGAGAGGTAAAAGAGACGGAGAGAAAGTGGAGACTAGCCGGAAAACCAGTTGAGAAAAGCAAGGATTCAGGAGAGGGCGAAAAATGGGAAAGAGAAGGGAGACAGGTATCTGCGATGGTGACAAGTACGTACACGGACAGAAGTGCACTTGGGCGTAAACATTGCATTGATGGACACGAATATACCATCCAGAAGAGAGAGAGAGTAACCGATCCGATCGCAATGCATAGATACTGAAGTATTTGGGTTCTCGCACCGAGACAAAAGTGTTTGGAGAGACTCTGGACGAGGAGCAACAATAGTTCAAGTTCTGGAGGAGGTTAAAGTGTGACTTGTCTATTTTATCCAGCGATGGGCAAATGGCCGGCACAGTTGTAAAACTTGGATTTGGCCCAAAATTCGCTGGCTTTTTGGAGATATTTAGAACTTTAGGAAATGTGGCATGATCACTTTGTGAGAATGCCGATAGAGCTCAATAGAACCAAAGCTTTGAAACGACAAGAATGGAAAACTGAATGACTCGAAAATGTATGTATCCATACAACAATCCTAAATGTGTACTACTAAAAAGAGCACTCCCCGGCCGTCTGGTCAATGGAATCCAGAAGCCCATTCGGGTGCATTTGCGGGAAATCTCGAGTGGACATCAGGAAGATGTGATGGGACTTTTTATAGGTTATACTATAGTTTTGCGTTTGCACCTTTCCTGATAAGCATAATAGTCTCGGAGGTGTGTGCGTTTGAGGTACGCTTTGTTTTCCATGGATTTGAAGGATTTTCACAAATTTAGCTAAAAGAGGCTTTTGGACGTTTTGCGAAAGCAAGACTCCAGATCAGATAATTCAAGGAAACTATATAGAGACTGAAAATCGCCCAAAGTGTGGATCCGATCGGATAATCGCAAGTGGTCCCGGAAAAGCCCTTTTCCCAGTCCTGGTCTGGTCACTCTCAGATCCCAGATTCTCCGCAACCTCAACACCTTTTCTTTTCGTCCGAATCTGTTCCGATTAATCGAAACTGGTAGAAGTCGGTTTCCGTTAAACTTTTAATGGGCGGGCGGTGGGGATGAGAATGAAAATGAAAAGTGTCATCATTCAGGTGAATTCAGGTCAAAACGCGTCAAAAGGGCGAGACGCGGTAGGAGAAAGGCGGGCGCAAAGGGATTTCCGCGCGGACAAACGAATGTGTCCGCGCGGATTAAAATGGCACGCCGGAACATGGAAAGAGGCGGAGAGAGCGGCAGAAGCGGCGCGACGCAGACACTCTCATGAACGAGTAATTATATAATATTGGAGGTGTATTCGACGCAAGGGGACCGGCCCAGGGGGAAGGGATTTGAGGGGAGAAGTGTCGACTTTATCTCTATAATATCACATGGTAACGTTATATGAACATGGGATCAAGGAGTTTGTTCGCAAGCGAATGCGAAACGAAATAAAACAGAGAGCAACCCGTATCGCATACGAATTTCGAGCAGAAAATGGGGAAAAAGTGTAGAAAAGCATCACCCGGGTAAGAGACAATTGCGAAGAGGGATCGGAACCTGAAGACTAGAAGATATAAGCAATCACAAAATAATTATCAGATTATTATCATTTGATATCTGATTCGATTCAAATGTCCCTGATTGCGGACGGAGCATGAGTGCTCTTCTGAAGATTCGCCTCAACGTCCAGGAACTGTTTCATCGTGTCCACCTGAATTGGCTTTTCATTGATTTGAGTGAATCTATCCGGCCGCTTACCTTATCCTTAAAGCGTCCCAATGAGTGCGAAACGCGGTTCTTGTGGATCAGATAACTGAAGACGACGAAGACGACGCCGACGGGAATGAGCATGGCGGTGGTGATGTATCCGGCCGTCGGATAGCCGACTGCCAGGAACTTTACGTAGAAAATGACACCGATTTCGACGAGGAAGAGGAGAAGACCGATGCACGTGGAGAACAGCCATGAGAGGTCGATGTAGAACCTGAAAAACGGACATAATTTTACGATTTTTACGATCTACTCACTTCAATTTGATGTGCGGAGAGTCCTGAGTGCATCCGGTAGCCTCCATGTACGGCAAAATGCACGTCGACATCATGAGAGCCAGCAAGTGGACGGAGACCTGAAGGCACAGTGTTTCTACAGTAATCTCGCGTCGAGACCCTACCAAAAGACTCGTCACCACTCCCAACACAATCAGCAGCGGCTTCGGCGTCGAAGCATCGTACTGCAGCTCGACGAGACACACCTGAAGACCTGGGGAGTTTCAGATGAAGTCCATACGCATCGGAGGAGACTAACCATTGCGAATCCGGCGAGAAGGGCGGACGTTCTGCTGCTCGCTTTCAGCTGGGCTCTGCTCAAATCATAATTGTACTTCTCGGAGATGTCCAGCTCGCCGCGGTGTCTGAAACTGTTGCAATGCGATGAAAATGAGTCGGATTAGTTGGAGCATTTGAGAATTTGTTTTGTGAGCTCTTAAATTTCCCACCCCAAGTCCACTTCATCGTCGTTCTTCTTGCTGCTGAACGGAAATCTCAACGAGTTTACAGATCCGCCCGGCGATCCATTTTTACTTCCACCGGCTCCGTTCGTGGTGGACGGCGGTTGGAGGTAGAACTGGGGAAGAGGATACGGAGCGATGGGCTTGCTGGCTGCTCCGCCGGCTCCGGCTTCATTTTTAAGTGTTCTCCAGGATCCGTTAGCTCCGAGAGCCCCACGGATATCCTCGACTGAGACCGAGACCCGCTTCTCGGCCAGTTGCCGGTCCTCTTTACGGAGCAATTCGACACGTGTCGGATCGTGGGAACGAGGCATGGTTACTGTAGGAAACGGTGGGTTACGGTAGTAGAGTAATGACGAAGATCAGATTGAATGCGACGTAAATAAGGTACTAATTTTTAAATTGATAGGAAATGCTCAAATTTGGTTACAGACGAAATAGTACTAGGCCGCTGAAGATGCACTTTAACGAAAGAAAGAGGAAAGAAAAACGAAGAGAGGTGTGTGCCTGATGAGTCATCTTTCAGCAACCAAATGAATAGGAGGCACTATCGATTGATTATGCGAAAGTTCGAATATCAGACCAAGAATCAGTAAATGAAATAGAACACTTGATCCTGGATGACGTCAGCAATTACCGAATTTCATGGAAATTTTCAAAATAGTCAATGAAGAAACTGTGCATGTGAGTTGGCGCTTCGCGTGCACATGTCCGCTATTTCCAGGCCGTTATCAGGTGGTGTTGCGGGAAAAATCAAAGAAAATCGAAAAGAAGGCGCGGCGGAGGGAAATAATGTTTTCAGAGAGAGATTTCTGCAGGACACAGGAGAAAATTGTTTTGAAATGGCCATGAAAGACTTAGTTGTCGGACGGAAAATCGGAGGAAAATGGGAAGGAGAAGAAGTGAGACCGTCCGTCTGATTATAATCTCTGGGAACGTTTTGGACGGGAATGTTCTAAAAACTGAAGTCGGAAGACGTCATTCTCACACGAAAATGACAACATTACGGGAACTGTTTGAGTCCATTATCAATTAACACACTCTTCGCGTTTCTCTTTTCCTTATCACATCGAGCTCATTCTTCCCGCAAAAAGGGTGGCTCCGTTTTCATTCTGTGAACAGATCGAAAACCGACACAAATGGAGAAAAATTGAAATCGAAAACAAACCAATGAATTGGAAACATGCAAATTAACTTTTTAGGCCGAATGAGATGGTAACGGAAACGGGTCTCGAAGCGACATGGTGGACTACCCGAGAGGGCTGACAAAATGATAATAAGACGCTGACGAAGTGCCCGATGTCAGAAGACACTATCGTACGGAGGACACCCAACAAAAAGAAGATCATCATAAAAATGATTGGTAAGAATTGAGAGATCATGGGCAGAAAGCGAGAATTGGATCGATGCATCGTAGGTGCGACAACGTGCCCTGTGTTTGTATTGATATTTTTATGACACCCCCCGCTTTTTCCATTTTCTCCCATCGCCGCCACCACAACATCAATTCTTTTTTGTTTCGTTTCTTCTGATTTCACTTCCAGTTTTCCTGTTTTCGCTTACTGTATGAGAAGGTGTTCCAGATCGTCCGACGACTTTTCGCTGTCTCCGAAGACCATTGGGAATATCATTGTGAAAGGGGTCAGAGAAGTAAAAGTAGAAGTAGAAGGGAAAGTAGAGGACGTCAGAATTCAGATCAGAGACTGACGAAGCTAAAAAGTCGGGTTGGGTGCAAAACGATGGTTTCTCTCGAACAATAGGCGATCGAATGCGAAGAAAAAGCGCACCGCAATATGTGTGAAGTGTACGACGAATTGATGTTTGTGTTTGACGAATACAACTGATGGATGGAAAGCACGGGGGCAACAAGGACTGATATTTCTGATCCGCAGACCGATCCTCGTCGTATTTTCGTAGATACTCGCGGAAGGGAACTACGGAAGTGACGAGTGACTCAGGTCGAATTGTTATTGTTCGAAGTGGTGGTACTCTCCACGTGCACGGCTGCCAACCAGTATCTCTCCGTCACGGTCATTGTTCTTCGCTCTTAGTTTCGATGAAGCTGAACCCGACGCCGACGGAAGAAGAAGAAGAAGACACATTTCAAAGTTCGATCACAGTTACACATTTTGCAGAAGCTGTTTCTAGTTTAAGTTATTGAACATGTTTTCAGCATCATTTTCACTCTTCGAACTCACTTTGCAAACTGCATGAGCACAGTCATACTCATCTGCGTTACAGATTCAAATTAGAATTCCGATTCAAAAACAGAAATAGTCAAGTTTTTGGGGGAGCACGAAGAACGACACATTTTGTGCCCTTGATGTTGTCTGTTTTGTGGGTGGGAACTCTTTTTTTTTTGAAAACTGATAACGTTTGAAAGTATTCAGGGTAAAAACTAACTGCTCTTGGAAGCTCTGAAGAACGGGCGACAGGGTGTGATGCGTGGTGCTCGTAGTGTTTCCAGCGCCGTTGAAAAGCGTCGGAGCCGTGTTCGATTGGCTCATCGGAGGCGTTTGCGATAGAGCGAATTGTACTCTGAAAATACATTATTTATGGGGTTATTTACAAATATGCTATGTAAAACCATTGTTTTTAGAGTTTCCCACCTGGAATTCATAAGTGAGAAATAGGAAAATTCGCTCTGCCGACGGAAATCTTTCAGACTCTCTCCATGCTGGCTTTTTGTCACCATTACTGGTCGTTTCAGGTACAAAAGAGTTCAACAACAGAACAAAAACCGAAGGGAAGAAGACGGAAGACGACTTAGCAGAAAAACCTGCGAGCGCCGACGGCATGTGTTGTTTTCTTCTCAGTGAAAAGATCAAGAAAGTGGAGGTGGAAGGGAGAAAATGAATTTTTCGCAATAAATAGTTTTAGTTTTTTCTTTCCGCAGAAGCGCTTCGTCATTAGCTGACTCACCGAGTTTCTCCGGCCAATGAGCCCTGTGAGGAGAACATTTCGCGACGGTTTCCGGTGGTTCGGGCATCTGAAATCACACAAAACTGTAGTTTTTTAAAATTTTAACCAATTAATTTGAAATAATTTGAATAAAATTATTCAGTTAATGATTAGATTTTTCAGGCAAGAAACGTGGGACAGTGTCAGTTAGTCAAACCTCTTCCGGCGGTGAACTCCCTCATTTCGTGGTGATCCTCGCTGCTCAGCATACTGTAATTGTCCATTTCGGCGACGTGGAAGTCGACGGAATGCGGCGACACCGTGCGGAAATCCGTCTGTTTTGGCGACGAAATTGAATTCGAATGACCCTGTGGGCACGACGAGAGAGTGTGCGAACTCAGGATACGCAGACAGCCGAGAGAAAGAGATTTAGACAACGAGACAGCGAAGAACGGAGGGACTTTTCGTTCCGTTTTCCGTTTTTCCGTTCTCTCGCTCTCGGCTGTTTTTGTTGAAAAGCAGAATAAACAAGCGATTATGAGAGGGCGAACGGAGTGTAAAAAAGTGAGAGACGCAGAGAAACAATCGTTTAACGAGAGCCATCCGCACAAGCATCCGCAAGTTTGCCGCTTTTACAGCACAAACGAAAGTGAGGGCGCACTTGACTGCGTTATAAAATAGGGGAAAGGAAAAGGAAAAACTGACCGTGCTCTGCAGTTATTTTGTGAAGACGTCGTTTCGCCGACTTCAGAAGATCCCGCACGTCGCGATGCTTGTACGGAGCGGAAGTGTCGAAACGCTGCAAAAAGACCATAGTTGTCAAGGTTCGGGCGGGCCCGTAAAATAACAAGTTAGTAGAAAACGGCCTAGCAAACGTTTTGCTTTGAGACCAGCTGAAAACCGAGAAGCTGACTCACCCTGTACTGCTTTGGTTTCTGCCGAACCGCCGAGATTGACGTCATCGCAGAGCTCGTCGAATCGGACACTTTCCTGCGGACTGTCGTGCCTGAAAATCTTCTTGCCTTTTCTCCTCTGTTCCACTCGGATTCCCACTTACCATAACTCCTGACACTTGTCGTTTCGCTGCCCGGATCCACCACAATCCGCGGTATTTCCGTCTTCTCCTGCGGTCGTTTTATCGTTGCTCTCGGCGTGTAAAACTTCTCAAAATCTTCGGGCGAGGGCGGCAATTCGAGGCTGGACGTTCGGTTTATCGAAAAGTTCGAGGCGGACATCGAGTTGAGCGGCAGATTCAGTTGTTCCGGACGCGAGAGTTGAGGGTTCGAGCTCCACGAATTCATTTCGTCCCGGACTGCCTGCAAGATGAGTTTTACACCGATTTTGAGCGAAGCATTCCGTAAACGTAAAACTGTGCAGTCTTTTCAAGACGATGTATCTCAGTTTCCAGAATAGCTATCAAGAAATTGTCAACTAACAAATTGTTCATTACGAAATGGTGTGCATTTTATCAGTTGACAGTTTTTCGATAACTCTACAGAGAACTGAGATATATTAAGCTTTCGAGAGGCTACCAAAAAACTCGTTGAAAACGGGAAAAAGAAAGGTTCTGACAGGTGAAAACTCTCAGAAAGTGACTCGTAGGCGTGAGAGTGTTTGCTTTTATCATGTTCTTCGATAAAAAGTGTACACACATTCTCTTCAGGGCAGAAATATGGAGACGTGGCCTAGAAACAGGATAATCAAATGAGGACACTTATCGTTCGAATTTTAAAATTCGAAAGATCGGAAGCATTTTCAAAGTGTGGCCAAACTTTGGACGGAGGAACTGACGTGAAATTAACTTCCGCCATAATGCCCCCTCAGCTACAGTAATCCCTTAGATCTGTTAGCCAAACAATGTTAAATTGGTAACTTCTCTTGTGTGTGTTTGCAAATGAAACTGATCAGATCGAGACCATCAGGCACAAAAGATCATTTGACGCTTTTTATGAATACTCCCACTACTACCTTTTATGGGCGAAAATACTAGTTCTAATCGGATTTCCTTCAAAAAAGTCAGCTGGATGTCATTCCGGACCGGTTTCCAGTTTTCACTGATAATTTATGAGGTAAACGTTTGAAAAAGCAAGGGAAATGACAATAAAAAATACTGAAAACTTCAAAGTTTGCAGAAAAAGCGTTTCTAAAAATGATTGTGAGCAGAAAACCAGAGAAGGCAAATAAAACAACAAAAAGTGGGTAACAACGGGATGAACGGGAAGGGAAAATAACAAAAAGTCAATGAAATTGAGGGGAAATGTTAACTTTTCTTTTTCGTCGGTGATTTCGGCTGATTAATCGTCTTCTTCAGATCGTTGAACACCTCGATCCATCGCTCTTTCTCAGCAACCACGTGCTTCTGCATCGACGGACTGAAAGTTGAGAAATAATTGAAAGAAAAGGGGGAAGGTGATAAACTCGTTGAGAAAATCTTCATCTCGTTCGATCCGCAGGTTCCACGAACGCGTGGCCTGGCATCGGACCCCAAATGTCGCCAGAATCTCGTCCGCGTCTTTTTCGCTCAGTTTGAAGCATCTGAACATGTACAATCACTTCTGAATGTCGACCGTAATCGCTTACGTCATCAGCGTGAGCCTCGTGATTCGATGTCCTCCGTCGATGAGACAGAGCGCCAGATCCCGCGCGTTCCTCCACAATTCCGCACGATATAAATCTGTCTGAAAAATGAGGGAATATTTAAAATTTGAGAACACTCCTGCATAAATTCTGACTTTTCCAGCGGTGTTCGAGTGGGCGGGTGGCAGATTGATGAACATGAGGTTCGAGTCGAGCACCCAGACTCCGTTGACCAGTCGGGAGCACGATTTGAGCTGTTCGATCATCGCGTCCGTGCTCATTCGCTCCTCGTCGATCAGTTTCCTCATTTCCGAAGTTCTCATCACATGCGATTTGACCATGTGCGCTTTGATCTGCATCTCTGGAGCCAGCTCATCAATGCGCTGCTTCGAGAGCATGTGCTCTTTTCCCGATTCGATTACTCTGAAAAGTAATCAAAATGTTGACGTTCTGAATGGAGCGCAGTTGCTCACAGCTCTTCTTTGACACTGCAAATGATGGCTTTGTTCACGAGTTCTCGGATGTCCAGGGAGTCCGGTTCCGGCACTTGATGTTCGGTTTTCACGCCAGTTTTACTGATAATTCCCACCTTTTGAGCGACCGGCTCGTCCTGAAATGAAAAACAGTGCAATTAGCTTTGTCCATCTCATTTTCCCACTTCTTTAAGATGCACTTTCATCGGAATCCACACATCCTCTGCAATTTTCTTCTCTCTGTGCAGCGCCGACGCTTCTCTCCTTTTCTTCTGCCGTTCGGTCTCTGGACGCGAGAATTTGACGCGGACGGCCGAGGAGGTGGGCTTCTTTTCGTCTTCTTCTTCCTCGTCCGACGTCTCATCGTCCTCTCCCTTTCCGCCTTTTCCTCCCTTTTTCTTCCTGTTCAGCCCAGTTATCGATCGGTGCATTTCGAAGGATCCAGTCAGCGGATGCACGTAGAATTGGTTGTTTCGCATGAATCCGATTGAATTCACAATCGGGTGATCGTGCACGAAAGCGCGTCCTTCGTAGATTTCATCGTTCGAACGGATGTTACTGAAATCGAGGGGTTATGATAAAAGCTGAAAACACAGGGTTTACTCTATGCTCGAAGAAGGCCCAGCCCCTTTTCTGGGTGATCCTCCGTCTGCATACATCAGCTCCGCCTTCTTTTTATCGTAGGAGCCAGTGTGCGTGTCTGTCATGAAGCGCATTTCCAGCTGAAGAAAATTAAATAAAACTACATTAATTATTTCAGTTTTGCACTTACCAATCGAACATTTTTCTTGTATCGAGCGACCGGAAACCGATTTCCATCCCACGCGTCTTTCTTGCTCGACGGGTACGAAACACAGTACATGTCTGTGTTCGGCGTCGAATTGCAAACTACAACGTCTTTCTGAAACTCAAATGATTTTCAGATGTTATCCGAGGACTCCAACCTCCCAAACCACTTCATCGTCTTCGCCTTCGTCCGACAGAAAATCCGGCTTCTTTGTCGTTTTCCGCACTGTCACTTGCTCTTCGTCATCCGATCCGTCCACTTCCATCATTCTGAATGCACCCGCTGAAAATATTTCATCTGGAATTATTCTAGGAATAAACATTAGATATCCAACAAGTTCAGAACTTGCTTTGTCAGAAAAAAAACCAAGAATGACAACAAAAATCAATTCAAAAACGATTGAGAACAACAAAAACGAAAAGAGCAACAAAAGGGATGAGAAAATTGTTTCTAGTCAGCAAAAGTGGGAAAACGAAAAGAAAGTAAAAAAAATAACGAGATAACGAGAAAAAACAGAGGAGTTAAAGGTGTTTCTGCTTATTTTCTGAGCAGATTGATCAGTTTTCGAGGATTTCCGTTGCTTTCAGTGGTGGTTCCTGCAAAGTCAGAATAGTTATTGGTACAAAATGGGAATCTGATCACCGTATGCTTTATTTCTTTGTTTTCGAGAGTCCAACTCAAGAACTGCCGTCTTTTTGATCTTTTTGAGTCCTGGGTGAACTTCAGCAGTCTCTGGAATTGGCTCTTCGCCCTCTTCGTAAATGGAACCGCCCAAATGTTTATGTTTCACTTCTTGTGGCAAAATGGTGATCGCTCCCTCGACAAAACTGCCTGGAAAATATTATTTTGCATTTATCTGAGATGACTTTCAGAAACTCACGAGCTTTTATATTTTTCGCATCTTCTTCTTCCTTCTCTCTGAACGCCGGGACGTACACCATTCGCTCTTTTTTGCTTTTCGGGGCCACCACAGCTCGAAACGAGCCGGATTCAGTCTTGATCTTTGACTTTGCCAGCACTTCATTGTCATTGGACCATCTTAATGCCCTCAAATCCTCCAAGCTCACTCCGATCGGCTTTTTGATGAGAAACACTTTGAACTTCTCGCTGCCATCGATCGATACATTGTTCAGACCGTTTATCGTGCCGTCCTGAATGCATAGCAATGGGCTTACTGCTTAAATAGGTTAAAATTACCTGATCATCGCTCTCATGTTTCACACGTTTGTTCCACAAGTCTTCGTCGCCGTTTTCCTCATGTTTCCTCTTTTTCCCCATGACTGAAAAGTGCAAAAATTATGTTTCTAAAATATGGTTTTTAAATAAACAAAATATTTTGAAAAGTAAACACAAATTAAAGAAATTCAGGTGAAACTGAGGAAAATAAAACAATTTTTCTGTGGCGAGTGCGGTAGAGCGCGTTTGCATTCCCGGTCCCGAGGCCTCTGGGTCGATCGATTTTCGGCCGGCTCTCCGCCACTTTCCTTTCTGATTTCGACTATTCGTTGCCAATTCTGCAACATTTCGCAATCTAAATCAACAATTCAGTCGTTTCAGCCAATGTCACAAGTGTCGCCAGCGTCGCCGACGCCGCCGGCGGCCGTGAGCCAGTCGTCGTCCGACGAGGAGCCGGAGATTGATGTGATCTCGAGCAGCGACGAGTCGGAGCCTATTTATATTCCTCGCGAGAAAGAGCCCGTCGTCATTCGGGGAATCGGCAACATCACTGTGTAAGTATCCGAATTCGTGAAAATGGGACGGACTATTGCGAGGGTATTGCACGGTTTATTGCGTTCCCAGCAATTTAGGTTTACAAGACTCAACTCGACATGAAAACAGCAATGAAAAATACAAAAAATGAACCTCTCGCACCCAAAGCGAGAATCATACCACTAGATCAATTCCGCGGCCGATGCATCGGAATTATTCAGGTGACGGTGCGTTGATCATATACACAGCATTTTCTCGCTACCCACACAAAAACAGCTGCCTGCGCGGTAACTTTTCTTCCGCGTCTCTTTCCGCGCGGCAGCGTGCGTCTTCATCGAATTAGAGATATAGAAGCTTTGTACTAAGCTTCGGCCACTGGCCGAATGGTCTAGTGGTTCAATGTTCGGTCCATTCTTTTTACTTTCAATAGGGTTGCTCATGTGTAAATTAAAAACCCAAAATTCCTGTTCTTTAGATTTGGTATGAACTCTCGCTTCAACACGGAATATCCGCCCGAACTGACTGGCTACATTGCTCCAGAAGAGCTCTCCGCCACTCTTTCCCGTGTGAATGCGGTTCTGAAGCGGCACGTACAGACCTCGAGTCGCTGGCTTCTCTGCGGCCTCGCCTTCTGTTGCTGCTCACTGGGATGCTCCATGTGGCCGGTGCTTTGTTTGAACAGACGGGTAAGCGATCTGATTTCAACCGAACTTTCCTATAAAACACCTTGCAGACAGTGCTGGCTCTTGAAAAGTGTCTGGACCACGAAAATGTCAGTCTGTATCACAAATTGGGACTCCACTGGGTGCTCGCGCGCCGTCCCACCGAACCATCCGACCGGCTCACCGAGTATGTGCTCGAGCTGAGGATCATGCCGAAAGCTGCTCTCAATCTGCCCGACTGATTCGCTCAAACAGTGCATTTCCATTAATAACATGTAAAACTATCCGAATTCTTGCTCTCGACCCAATTCTGTGTTCCCTCAGAGCTGCCGCCCATCCGTCCGCCTCCACTTGCTCCGCGGGTCCATCCCAGTCCTTTCTGTTCATTCTGTACATAGTCTTCTCCCTTTTCTGTTCCAGTTTTATCCGTTCCGATCGATACGTAGTCTGTTCCTCCCCTCTCAACTCGGCGACTGGTTCCTCTTATTCTGTACGATTTGATTGCGAAAATCCGAACATTTCGCTTTCATTTTTCATTTTTCTGAAAATCTAAAGCTTTAGTTTCTGTAGCAAGTGTGCAAAACCTTGAAATTGACTCCTCTTTTCCCCACCACAAATATTACGGTAGCTATCAAACGATTCTATTAGCGCCTCGAAATTCTAGCAACGTCGCTCTACCGGAATCTCACGCGGAATGCCGCAACCTTTTCCAATTTGGAACTGAATTTACGTAGAGCGCGGTAGAGCGCGATTGCCCGACTTCTGCGGCTCCAAAACCACTGTTGACTTTCGAATGTGACATAATGCGCTCTTATAAATTTGTTCAATTTTCTTGTAAATCTTCCTTAAAGCTAATATCCAGTTTTGAACTGCCAATATATCTTTAGAAAAAAGAAGATATTCTAGAAAAAATTAATGATTAATGAATTCAGATGTCAAAGAACATCAAAACGCCGACAAATCAGAAAATTCTGACGAACGTGGCCGTCGTTCGAATGAAGAAGACCGGAAAACGATTCGAAATTGCGTGCTACAAGAACAAAGTGGTCAATTGGAGAAATAAGACGTAAACTGAACTGAAATTGTGACACAAAAATCGAATTGAAATTTTCAGCGAGAAAGACATTGACGAAGTGCTGCAAACGCACACAGTCTTCTCGAATGTCTCCAAAGGACAACTCGCCAAAAAAGACGAATTGATCGCCGCGTTCGGAATTGAGGATCAGCTCGAGATTTGTAAAATTGTAAGGGAATGAACTATTTTGCTTGAAGAACTAAATTTTCGCTTCAGATTCTGGATAAGGGAGACTTGCAAGTGTCGGAGAAGGAGAGACAGGCGGCGTCCGATCAGTCACTCAAAGAAGTGGGCATTTCAGACAAAGGAACGTTCTCGAATCTTCCGTTTCCAGGTCTCCCAACTGATTGCCTCGATGGTAGTGAATCCGGAAACGAAGCGTCCGGTTCCGCCGTCCGTCATCGACAAGGCCCTCCAGGAAATGCACTTCTCCCTCAAACCGAACCGCTCTTCGAAACAACAGGCGCTCGACGTGATCCCGAAACTCCGCGAAACCCTCAAAATCGAGAGGGCCAAAATGAAGGTGCGCGTGGCGATTCCGACGAAAGAGGCGAAGGCGGTGCACTCGAAACTGAAGGCGCTGTTCAGCGACGTTGAGGTGGACGACTGGGCCGAAGGAAGTCTCGAAATGGTCGGACTCATCGAGCCCGGATCATTCCGTGCTCTCGACGAACTTGTGAGAAACGACACCAAAGGCTCCGGACGTCTCGAGATTCTGAGTCTGAAGGACGTCGTCGAAGGAGAACTCCAGATTTCATAAGCATCGGTTCCGTGCTTCTTGTCGAATTTGGATCTCTTCATCTGCTTTTTCCCCTTGTTATTCTTCCATTGTTATTCTCATTCCAATTATCGAAAAAAAAATGTATTGAAAACAATGATATTAGATGAGAAGCATAGAATAACCAGTAGAGCTGATCACAATTAATTGGGCGAGCAATGGCTTCTGTTAGTTCTGATGGTCTTGAGTGTGTTGCATCACTGCGATCGGATCGTCAAACTTCTGAAACCTCAATTTCAGGAAAACGGAACACGTGTTTCGTTTCAACGAACCTCTCCACAAATGGGACATGTGAAGTTGAAATCCTCGCGATCCTCCTGAAAGTCCTCCTCCTCCTTCATCTCGGACTCGGGCTTCCGCATGTGATACACACAGTGCGCGTGGATCTGAGCATCCGATCGTAGGCTCTGACGGCATACCGGACAGTGGTGGTTGTGATCTTTCGCGTGACGCAGGCAGTGGTCCACAAAACTGAACAATTTGGGGAATTAGAGGCACTTTTGCGGTAGAGAGCGACTTCTAAGCCTTACCTCGTCTCCGTCTTGATCGGCGCCTGACAATCGGCGCACTTGTCCGCGAACCTCACTTTGCAGTGCATCCGAAGCCGATGATCGTCGAGCCCGTCCTCCCCGAGCACTTGCTCATCGCAAACCGAACATTGGAGCACGCGCGGCTTCGAAGGTTTCGGAGAGGGCGACGAGGATTTGGCGGCGAGAAGATTCGGATGGTAGAAGGTTTCTCTGAAAGATTACGGTGGAGGGAGACTTCTTGGGGTCTGAACTTCAGATTTGGATTGAAGTGCCTTGGGCCCAAGGTTTGGACCGATCGGATTATCTAGTCAGAAGGCCGCAAAGGCCGGGATTTTTCATAAAATGCGGCTTTTAGTTCGGGCTTGCTGCTGTGACGGGATAGCCGTGGCCGAGTAAAAGTTTAGAGCAGCCTTTTGGGAAATTGGAAAGAAAGAACCTTGTCTCCGAAATCACGCTTTGAACGTTTTGCATCCAAATAAGGGCCTGGCCCACGACAAATCTGGCCGAAAGGAAGTTCAAAGATTATTTTCTTTTCCCGTTTTCAAGTCGCATGCACTTGGTCCCTGAGGACGTCACCTTTGTCTATAATGACTTCCACTTCTCCTTTATCTCTCTCTCTCTCTCTCTCTCTCTCTCTCTCTCTCTCTCTCTCTCTTTTCCCTTCTCTCAACTCACTGCTGATCATGTGCCATCTGAACGTGATTAACCAGACTCTGCGGCGTGGGCCACGCCTGCCCGCAAAGTGAGCATCCGTACATGACGATCTGCCGCGAGTGCACTTTCGCGTGCTCCTTGAACGCCTTCTCGTTGTCGGTTGTGTATTCGCAGTTGGCGCACAGGAACTTCCGATGAGTGTCGGCGAAGTGAGAGGCCAGCGCGGTGTTCGTCGCACAGATCGCGTCGCAGTGAGTGCACACGTACTGTGTCAGCTGCACTTGCACGTGCTGTAGGGTGATGTGCTCGAGTTGGCTCTGAAATAGCGAACGGCTCACTTTATTTAGTACTCTTTGAAACACAAACACACCTTTTTATCGCGGAACTGGGCGCCCATCGGACAGACGGGACAGTAGAAGACCGAGTTGGTGGCGGAAAGATGCGACTTCATGTGGATGGCGAACTGCGGAAAGTTCTCGAAGGTGTCGGCGCACTGCTGGCACGAGATGCGTTGGACTGGAGTGACGGCGCCGCCTGACGACGTCTGCGAAGGGCAAGGTGACTGGCGGTTCATTAGCCGAGTCGAATGAGCGAGAGCACGGGCTAGGGAGGGGCGGGGCTTACCTTTCGCTTCGGGATGTGCTCCGAAAGAGTGTGCGATTGAAGCTGAGAGATGGAGGAGCACACCGTGTCGCAGAGCTCGCATTTCAGCTCCTCCGATTTGATGCTGAAAAGAGAGGGATGAGAGATTGCAAGAGCGCCCCAATGGCAATGATCTCGGTGCTCTTCGGGTGCGACTTCAAAATGGAACACTTCCATTTCGGAACAGTTCCATTTCGAAGTCACAACGCTCTTGGAGTCTCTTGGGAGTAACGTTTGGCAATCGCACTCTAAGGTATTCACACAGTTCGCGGCCGCAAACCAGTTAATTTACATGGACGAGTTTGCATCCATTTGCCCAGACGGGTCTCACCACGAATAGTCCCAGACCCCGGTGACATTTTCCGGTCCTTTTCCTGTCACAAATCCACGTCGTCGCTAAGGCCCCCTCATCAATGTCCCTGGAGAACATTGATGAGGGCTTGAGCAAAGCTTACGGAATAAAACGTTTTTAAAGAGAAGAACGGGGATGATTTTATGGACCTTTCTTAAGGATTGAGCAGTTCTAGCGATCTCAACCTATAGGGTCCGAAAGCAAAAAAAGTTTAGCTCAATCGGAGTCCTCTTTAGTTCAACATGGTTCCACATTCTATTGTTACTATTATGAAAAAGCACCAGAACATAAGGTACCAAGTATTCCGACTCACCTGCTCTTAACTGCCGGGGGAGAGGAACTGTGGAGTCCATTGTCGGTGTCCTCCGCCTCCTCCTCCTCCTCTTTGATGACCCGAGGTCTGAAACATACACCTACAGTAGTCCGTCTCCTCTCAACGAACCTCTTCATAATCTTGACAGACTCCAGTTCGAACGAAATAGATATCAAGGGCCGAAATAAGCGGTGTTGGGTCGGCGGCGGTTGTCGTGTGCTCTCCGGAGGGAGGCGTGCGAGAGCAGCCGCATGTGCCCGGAGCCCGCGGTCCCCAGGGAGTGCGCTTGATTAGAGCAGGCCCCACGGTCCCCAGGGACACGCCATTCGACTGTTTTCATTAGTTGTGAGGCAAGAGAGAGAGAGAGAGAGAGAGCGGGAGCATAGGGAAGAAGTCCAAGGGGAGAAGAAGTAGGAGAGGAAGAAGAAGAAGAAGAAGATTATCCGTTTTTAAATACCCACTAGCTTTTCGTTTTCGTTTGCATTTTTATTCCATTCTCTCTCTCTCTCTCTCTCGCTCGCTGTTCTTCTTCTTCTTTTTCTTCCGGCTCCCAGAGCTCCTCCATTCTTTTAATTAAGGAATTGTGTTTAATTTCGACGCGCCGCGCGTCTTTGACACATTTTACAGCCGTTTCGCCGCTGAAATGAATGAAATGTTTGTGTCGGTCAGAAGGGGAAAAAGTTAGAAAACGAGCGGGGAGCGGGCAGATGGGACCCGTCGCAAACGGGCAAACTCTGGGGACGGAACACTATTTTTGAAGAAGAGATTGCAACTATCTGAGTGCATGAGTACAGCTCTGGGAAAAGCATTGCGAAGATATGATTTAACTTACAGTGCGAATTGAGGAGAAAGTATTACAAAAGTTTGCAAATCGAAACATGATTCACAAAAGAACAACTGTTTTTCAGCTTCATTCCGAGCCCTTATTCGAACCTTCACCGTCAAAGTCGCCATTCTCTATTAAAAATCGTGTCGAAAAAGATCTGACGAGGAAAGTATCCCAAGGTTCACACCGAGGCTAAGGGGCATCGATAGACCATGCAAAAGTAATAAACGCCCTGAAATCGTTGTCTGACTATAGTTCAGAACTTCTCGAGATATCAATTTTCCAATTTTTTGAATTTCACCTCTTCTCTCTCCGTAACCTTGGGCCTGATCGAAAAGTGCTAAAAAACCTAACCGTCAGAATTTGATCTAGTATTGACCCGTGCTGAGCGGAATTCCGTCTTCCGTCTTCGGTGGATTTTTTGTAAAAAAAGTTTTCTTCCATCTGCCGTCTGCCGCCTTCCGGGATTTTTTCTTCTTACCGTAACAGAGTAATCGCTTTTCAGAAGCCATTTATTCGCCCCGCAGAACGCGAGTTTCCACGTGACCCAGATCCAAATTTTTGGTGCTTTAGTTATTTTTTTCAAAAAAAAAAAACCGGAAAAAAAGTTCTGCATTGACGATTTTTTTCTTCCATCTTGCGTCTGCCGTCTTCCGGATTTCAAAATTCCATTTCCGCTCAACTCTGGTGTTGACCACTAAATTCACCGTTGCTTTTTTAGTATATATTTCTTTTAGCCGTCCAACAGACATTCTTTATTGGACATTGCCCGTACGGAAACCGAAGACACAGATCTGCAATGTTCCACCTATTGTTAATCACTCGAGTGATATCCTGTCGAATATCGGCCCCGCCTGTCGCAGCCCATCGATATTTAAGAATTCCTACTCGAAAAATCGCATTTTTCATTGAACATAGCTATGAAAAGCCGGAAAACGCACGCACTTAGCATTTTCCTACTTAGAAACAGTCACGATTTTGAAAAAATTAGAGGGCCAGAATACGTGAGTCAACCCATTGTGCCGGTCTCGGTCATTTCCAGACAAGCCGTCATTCATTCATCATTTCGTAGTCTCACTTTTCCAATAAACACATTATGTTCCGGAAAGAAAACAAAACAAAAGGCATTGTTTGGCGTGGTCGTGTTTTGATGCAAAGAGAGAGAGAGAGAGAGAGAGAGAGAGAGAGAGAGAGAGAGAGAGAGAGAGAACGTGTGCATAGATTCCTATGCGAATTCTGAAAAGAACGAAAGTTTTGTTCGTTTTCAGTGCCGTCTCGTTTATTTATGGTCGCCGATAAGTCCATCTCTCTCTCTCTCTCTCTCTCTCTCTCTCTCTCTCGTTTCCAGCAGTAATTTATTTTTGTTTCTTTTCTATAAAATTTTCACACAATTCTTCGGCGCCATGTGTTGAAACATTTGAGAAATGAATTCTGTGAAATGAGACGGGAGAACAGATGCGTTTCCAACGTCACTTCCTTGGGAGCCGGCGCTGCCAAACGTGTGCATGGCGCAGTGGTAGCATTTTGGAATTTCTAAACGAACGGCCGCTGGTTCGAATCCCACTGCCCCGGGAATTATTTTGCGATGGAGTAGATCTCCAAGTTCGTCTTCTTATTTACGTGACATGCTCAAATATAAAAAGAAGAAAAAGAAGGAGAAGAAGCTATTTGTGTCTTCAAGATTTCTAAGAGAAATCTCAAATATCCTGCAGCAGCACTTGAGAAGAAAGAACAGTGCTCTTTCTTTCTCTTCTTCTCCATATGCAAAATTTGTACTGATAGGAGAAGAAAGGGGAGAGAGAAAGAGAGAGAAAGAGAGAGAGAGAGAGAGAGAGAGAGAGAGACTCCCCGCTATCTTTTGCTTTTTCTCCAAGATTTGCAAGGCGGCGGCGACTTCTTCTGCCTCCCTAACAAGCTTTTCCGTCACTTTGCCGCCACTCATCACAATTTCTCTCTCTTTCTCTCTCTTCATCTTTTTTTTTCTTTTTTTCATTCCTCGAATAGCTAAGTGCCTTATAATGTTACCGAGTTCTACCGAACCCTGTCAGTTCAGTAGAGCGCACTTTCTTCCTTCCTCCTCACATTTCCACAGCGGGAGGTGTCCAAATTAGTCCCTTTTCATCCTTACTACTCGTTGCCTTCTCCTTCTTCCTCTTCTTCTTCTTCTTCTTCTTCTTCTTCTGCTCGTCCGATCCATGTGTCAGTGCCACTTGCAATTACGTTTTTCCTCTCTCTCTCTCTCTCTCTCTCTCTCTCTCTCTCTCTCTCTCTCTCTCTCTTTTACTCTGCCGACGTCGTCGCCAAACTTGTGAATATTTCAAGGAAGCACACATTTTAGTGCCCGATGAAAGCATACCTACTTGTGTGTGTATGCGGCGATGACCGGGAGCTCAAAAGAATATCAACTTCGCTCTACCGAACTCGTTGTAGTTCGGTAGAGCGAGGTTGCAACATTGAGCCAATACGCTCTAATCTCGCCGTAACACCTCCTAACAATATCAGCTTGGGTCTCGCCATGAACTAAACTTGAGCGCTGCGCCTTTAGTACCGTACTCTTAGCACTTTCTGAGCCGAAATGCGACTTCCGTTCGCTTTGATTTTTATACCAATTTTTGATAGATTTTGAGTAGAAAACACAAGAAAACCTGTGTGAAATGTACAAAAGTGTTCGGCCAAATTTGAATTCGGAGCAAGGTATTAACGGCGCAGCATCAGAGTCGATTTCTGCCCGCCTACTGCGGAACCCAGGAAATCCAGAGAAAATCCCTTGTCGTCATCATCATAGAAAACCAAAAAAATCTTCGGCCGCCGTCATGACACGCAACAATAACAACAACAAAAGTATGTAAATTTTGTCGAAAATCAAACGAGATCCTCTCTTTTTCTCTTCCTCCCATCCCATCATTTCATCATTTCATCATTGGGGCACCCACTGGACCAACACAAATTTCGCCAATTATCTTCATTTCTCCCTTTCTCTCTCCCCCCGGTTGGATGTAAATGTACTAGGCGTGCCCGCCCGTAAAAAGCTCCCGTCCACCGACAAAATCTCGAATTTCTCTTTTTGATGGCGTTGGAGCAGTGGAGCTCGGGCTCCAAGCGGCGGCGCGTCGAATGTTTCAATTGAAATCGTGGGTTGTTTTGTGGTGGGCTCCGGGAGCTCTCTCACCTGAAGTCGGCTCTTCCAGAGACTCAGAGAGTCGGCCCCCGGCCCGCCGCTGTCCCGCATCGATTGCGGCGCTACGAAGCCGGCCGGCGGTGAGGAGGAGCACGAGCCACTGCTCTGCGTCGCGCCGCTTCTCGTGCTCCCTCTCCGTGCTCCTGCCACTTCAGTTCTTCCTCTTGCCACCTCCTCCTTCTTCTTCTTCTTCTTCTTCTCCATCTTCGTCTTCTTCTTCTTCTTCTTCTTCTTCCTTTGCCGCCTTCTCTCTTGACCATCTTCTGCAGCTCTCCTTTGCTCCAACTCGATTAACACCGACTTCAAGTCCCTCAAGTTTTTGCCCGTTTTCCTTTTCAGCGCGCCTTCTCGACTTTTTTTTTTGAAAAGGAAATGGCCGGCGGCGGCGATTTTTCCAACTTAAGAAGCGCGAAAAGACAATTCTCTTTGCTTTTGGAGCACACGCACACGCACGGCTTCTTGGAGAATCAGAGAAAAGAGGAGGTGCACTAACAGATGATTGCTTCTCCTTCTCCTTCTCCTTCTTCTTCTTCTTCTTCTTCCCGTGTTTCTCCATCCAGATGCCTACGTTTTCTCCTTTTTCGGGTTCCTTCCGTATTATTCAATTCATTCCCCCTCAATTCGTAATTCAATTATCCTATTCAAATTCCTTCCCAATTTGCTCACGCTCCCCTGCTTTCTCTCTCTCGCTTCCACCCAAATCCCCCTCTGATCTGCTGATCATTAATCAGTCTCTCTCTCTCTCTCTCTCTCTCTCTCTCTCTCTCTCTCTCTCTCTCTCTCTCTCTCTCTCTCTCTCTCTCTCTCTCTCTCTCTCTCTCTCTCTCTCTCTCTCTCTCTCTCTCTCTCTCTCTCTCTCTGTTCTGCCCGGTCTAAACAAACAAGTGGCCCCTGTTCACCTCCTCGTTTTTATCTTGTTCTTCTTCGGGGAGGGGAGCTGCCCCTTTCCCATCCTCAATTTTCATCATTTCCCATCTCTCTTTCTCGGTTCTCTCCTTATTTCGCACACTCTCTCGCCCTCTAATTGCTCTCATTTTTCTCACTTTGCAGTTTCTCCTTTTGCCGGCTCTAACTAGCGCCCCTTTTCCGAAACGTCACATTCCCGCCGCCGAGCTTGCTCTTGCTCATTTTCCCACGTAAAAGTGTGTCATAGGACCGTTTCTATGGTGATTTTCAGTCCCGCCTTTTCAAATGGATTCCTGGGACAATAGGTGATGGTGAACGAGACAGATAAGTGTGAGTGTGAGCTTTGCTCAAGCTATTTATCGTAGTTACTCAAGAATGACGGGGATTTGGATGAAATTATCTACTACAAAGTTGTTCAGTATTAAATTTGTCACAACTTTTCAGTTGACCGCTTTCGGAGAAAATATTTAGTTTCCAAGATATAGGTGTCCAAAAATAATGGGGTTTTGAAGTATTGAAAGTATTAAAATGTGATTTTTGACAATACTGACGTAGCTTTTGATGCTCTTCCTAGCACTAATTTTTCAGTGACAAATCTCCTTTAATGAGCTCACTAGTTTGAGAAGACGATAATAGTCGTGTTTCTGTTAGATCTATGAACTTTTACGGTGTGTTTTATTCAGTACACACCGCTCAATGCATTATAATTACTCATGATATTGTGGTGCATCTTGATTTCATAGTCCCTCTGCACTTTCTTTCTCTCACTCTCTCTCTCACTCTCTCTCTCTCTCTCTTTCCATCCCAAAACTTGCTGCGATTCTGTCTCAATCGGTCTTCTTTTGAAGCGTGCTTTGCCGATTTTCCGGTCGACGTCTTCCCATCAAAAGAGTGATTTCATTCGGAGCTTTTCGGATTTTGAGCTGAAAAGAATGAAGAACATTTTATAATAGAGCGAAAGTTGCGAAATATTTAGTAGGCTTCTGAAGGAGCACGCTCCGCTTCGCACCACTGAATTTCGTACCGGAGAACTGAAAAATTGAAGTACGTCAACATGGTGCATTGTTTTGAACACGAGTCTCGCTGCCCAGCTTACCTCACAATAATACTCTGGATATCGGCCAGACTTCCCACCTCCAGTCTCTTCCTCCTTCCCTCCTCTCCCTCCATAAATAACTCTTGCTCGCCGAGCTCTCCCCTCCCTTCCCGCTTCCTGTGCGGCCTTCTCGCCATCAATTCATTTACACGCACCTCTCCTCTTTCCCCCTCCGCACCGCCCGTTTCGTTCCTCACCTTGATTCCGTCCGTCCGGGCTGCAATTGCAGATTCGGGTCCCTTTTACTGAAAGCTTGAAACTCGTTAGTTCTCTTCTTTCGATACTACTTCTAAAGACCGGCCAAGCCGATCTCTCACACTCGTTTCCTGATAACAAGGAATTATATAATATCGACTCGATACATGTCTTGTCGGTTGAATATCACGACGTACGTACGATATGGTTAATTTCCATCAACTACAAAGTTGTAGAGCATGAAACTATATTTCGAATCATACTATAATTCAAAGGAAAATCTTTAGAAATGGCCGAGAAATACCCCTGGGAGCGAAGTACGACTGCTGTCAGTGCAAGGACCGTTCATGGACCTCTGGGAGCAGAGTAACGGGTTCCTAAAGCGGTTAATAGCATTTGTACCTGAGTGCGCTTCTGTCAAAGTTCACCGCAACCTTTCTCTTTTCCCTCTCCGCTCCCTCTTCTTCTTCTTCTTCTTCTTCTTCCTCTTTCCATTTTTTGCCCAAATCGGTTCGCCCAAATAGAGAATGTTGGAGCTCTCTCTCTCTCTCTCTCTCTTCTTACCCTTCTTCTTCTTCTTCTGTGGGTAACCCCCTTCCAGTCGCCGCCGCCCGTCCTAACTCAATTTCGCGCCCCTCTCGACGTGTGCTCCGCGCGAGCATGCGTGTGAGCTCCATGCGTGTAGAGAGGGTCACTACTCTCTCTCTCTCTCTCTCTCTCTCTCTCTCTTTTTCTAATTATGAAAGAGAGAGAGAGAGAGAGAGAGAGAGAGAGAGAGAGAATTTTTGTCGCGTTCGTGTCGAATCCACAATTTTTTATTGTTGTTGTTCATGTTCGGCGCCTCAGACTCACAGGGTTCTTCATCACTTTTCCTCCTACTCTCGCTCTCTCCTCTTCTTCTTCTTCGTCTTCTTCTTCTTCTTCTTCTTCCCTCTTCCTTTAATAAGTTTTGTGTTGCAGCAGCCTCAGCAGCAGCAGCAGCACATCTTCTTCCAAAATGGCAGACTTGGAAGCGGTGCTGGCCGACGTCAGTTACCTGATGGCCATGGAGAAGAGCCGGAGCCAGCCGGCGGCCAGGGCCAGCAAACGAATCGTTCTGCCAGATCCGAGCGTGCGGAGCATCATGCAAAAGTTTTTGGAAAAGTCCGGAGAGCTCAAGTTCGACAAGATATTCAATCAGAAGCTCGGATTTCTGCTGCTCAAGGACTTTGCGGAGAACGTGGCCGAGAACGCGTGTCCGCAGATCAAGTTTTATGAGGCGGTGAGAGAAAGAGAACTATGAAAAGTTACAAATTGAGGTTCAGATCAAGGAATACGAGAAAATGGAAACTCCGGACGAAAGGTTGACGAAGGCTCGCGAGATTTACGATCATCATATCATGGTGGAAATGCTGGCTCATTCGCATGTGAGCCCCTTCTCTCCGTGTCTTTCTACAGTAATCCCCTTCAGAACTACTCGAAAGAATCACTCCAACACGTACAATATCATCTTCTAAAAGCCAACGTACCACCAGACCTCTTCCAAAGATATGTAATCGAAATCTGCGATCAATTGAAAGGCGACATCTTCCAAAAGTTTTTGGAGAGCGAAAAGTTCACGCGATTCTGTCAGTGGAAGAATCTGGAGCTGAATATGCAGCTGACAATGAACGACTTCTCTGTGCATCGGATCATCGGAAGAGGAGGATTCGGCGAGGTGTACGGGTGCAGAAAGGCGGACACCGGCAAGATGTACGCGATGAAATGTCTGGACAAGAAGCGGATCAAGATGAAGCAGGGAGAGACGCTCGCGCTGAACGAACGGATTATGCTGAGTCTTGTGTCGACCGGCCAGGACTGCCCGTTCATTGTGTGCATGACGTACGCGTTCCAGTCGCCGGACAAGCTCTGTTTCATTCTGGACCTGATGAACGGAGGGGACCTCCACTACCACCTCTCCCAGCACGGAGTCTTCACCGAGCAGGAGATGCTCTTCTACGCGTCGGAAGTCATTTTGGGCCTCGAGCACATGCACAACCGGTTTGTGGTGTATCGAGACTTGAAGCCGGCGAACATTTTGTTGGACGAAAATGGACATGTGAGAGTTTCGGATCTGGGATTGGCGTGCGATTACTCGAAGAAGAAGCCGCATGCGAGTGTGTGAGTACCTCCGTTTCGCCCCCTTTCCCACCAAACAAATGAGTGTTTCAGCGGAACCCACGGCTACATGGCTCCAGAAGTGCTTGCGAAAGGCGTCGCCTACGACTCGTCGGCCGATTGGTTCTCGCTCGGATGCATGCTCTACAAACTGCTCAAAGGGCACTCTCCGTTCCGTCAGCACAAGAGCAAAGACAAGAACGAGATCGACAAAATGACGCTGACACAGGACATCGAACTGCCGAACGAGGGACTCACGAAGGACTGCCGCGATTTGCTCGAAGGACTGCTCAAACGAGACGTGCCCGATCGGTTAGGATGCCGCGGACGGGGACCGCTCGAGGTGAAGGACCATCCGTTCTTCAAGGACGTCGACTGGCAGACCGTCTACTTGAGAAGGATGACGCCTCCGTTGATCCCGCCGAGGGGAGAAGTCAACGCCGCCGACGCATTCGACATCGGAAATTTCGACGACGACGAGGTGAAAGGTGTCAAACTGCAGGATTCGGACTCTGATCTCTACAAGAACTTCAACATTGTCATATCGGAACGATGGCAGAACGAGATCGCGGAGACGATCTTCGAGGTGGTCAATCAGGACGCCGACAAGGCGGAAAACAAGAAAAGGTCGAAACAGAAGATCAAAGTTTCCGTGGATGAGAAAGGTTTGTCGCAAGAGGTCACTGAAGCTATGCGAATCTTTACAGATTCCGACGTCATCGTGCACGGATACATCAAGAAGTTGGGCGGTCCGTTCACCTCCGCCTGGCAGACCAAATACGGAAAACTGTATCCGTCGCGACTCGAACTCTATCCAGAATCACTCACTGCCAAGCCAGAGGTACCCAAACTGTAAGAGCAACACGCTCATTTTGCACTTTTCAGCTAGTGTTTATGGATCAAATCGAGGATGTGTGTGCCGAATTGCAGACGACAAAAGGAGAGAATGCGATTGTGGTGAAGCTGAGGGACGGCTTTAAAGAGCCCAAGATTTGTCTGACCAACTCGGTAAGAATGAAAGAGATCTGTGGAAAAAGTTCATTTCGTGTTCAGGATGAAATCTCTCTGAAAGAGTGGCACACATCGCTGCGGACCGCCCACAAAGTGTCGAGTGAACTGCTGCAACGGATGGGTCGGAAGGCCATCAAGATCTACGGAGTCAACCACGATCCGATGCTCTCGGAGAGTGAACGGCCCGGATCGGTGACCAGAGCGTTCATGAATCGCGCGAGCAGCGTCGATTCGGGAGCCTGAGCCCATGTAGATACCTAGGATTGTCCATATTTTCCCTCGCCCCAAATTCCTCGCCTAATTTGCTCATTTTCATCTCATTCTCGCCCCCCCCCCTTTCCCCCCTAGAAAATCTCTCCGATCCGTGCATTCCTCTCCGTCATCCTTCCCATCGCCTACGGTACCCTTTTCTTATGTGATTGCCCATTTCCCTACCGTAATCCTTCCGTTTCAATTCCATCAAACGGGCCGTTCCTTTCTCTCTTTCTCTCTCTCTCTCTCTCTCTCTCTCTTTCTTTCTCTTTCTCCCCGTTTCCAGAAAATGTGACGTCGGTTCGTGGGTTGTGCGCGGATCCGATTGGGTCCCGCCACGAATCTCTCACATATCCGTACTCAGTTTTCCACGCCTACGTGTCTTTTGCACTCTAAGTCACTCTTTGTCTCTGTCTCTCTCTTTCTCTCTCTCTCTCTTCCATTTTATCTCTTGCCCCTCCTACAGATACTTCATCTAGATCCATCCAAAAACATCACACTTTCATCCGTTGTTTTCTGTACCTAAATCCATTATATTATATCACTTCTGACTGTGTTTTGTATCCCTGTATTGTCCATAATTTCCACTGAATTACCATTTTAGTTAACTCATTTCGTTTTGATTAACGCAACAATAAATTAAGCTCACAATGAATCGCAATGAATCGGACGGAAAACACTGGAAAGATTGTTGGATTATCATCAAAGAAACAGAACTGAATGCAGTGGAAAAAGATTAGGCGGCGGAGAATTCTGTTGAATTGAAATGAATTTGTGAACTGCGCATTACGAAATGATGGCTTTTCTTCTCTATTTTTCCCATATTATGCAGATGATTTTCGTGGTTTTGAGCGTGTCAGACCTCAATTACTTGAACTGTCTTACAACAGAAAGTTCTGTCACAGTTTTCGTTCTTTGCCTCCTTTCAGACCTGCAATCGCATTCAGTCAGGTGACAAATGATCTACTCGCCTCTTCATCACAAAAAAGGGGCGGTCCGTCATTCGATACCCCTTCTTTTCATATAAACGTTTTCTCGGCTATTGTCCCATTCTTCGGAAGCACTACGGAGCCATGCGTTTCCTGATTCTCTTTTCGATATTGTCCACTTTACCGTCCGACGGATACGGTATTCCGGCGAACAACGAGACGTTGAAAGTGCGCCTCAACTTGCCGTTCTTCAAGTTTTTCAGCAGAAACGGACATCATGTGGTGGGCATTTTAATGGGTTGAACAGAGTGTTCAAATGATATTCAGGTGGACGAGGAGATCCCGAAGATCACGATTCCGGAGATCAAGCTGCCGTTTTCGACGAGTGTCGGACGGGGAATCGTGAGAACGAACGACTTGAAAATCGAAAAGTTCAGCTCGCCAAAGTGAGTTCCGCCACAACAACAACAATATTCATTTCCATCACCTTAACTTTTCAGAATTGACTTCAAACTTTCCGACTCTGGAATCGGCTGGTGGACGAGTGGCGGCGCGATCAAACTGTCCGGGAAGTGGCACGCAAAGTTCACAGAGCTGATTACGGTAGCTACAGTAATCCTTTGTTTCCTTTAAAAGCTTCCAGGTGCGTGACAAAGGATGGCTGAACGCGTACGCGACCGGAATCCAAATGAACATCTCGGCGTCGGCTTATCAATTGGACGGACAGCCGCAAGTGCGCATCGGAGACTGCACCGTCGACATTCAGAAGTTGGACGTTGAGTTCGGTAGAGTGCACTTTCCGCCGCTCACTCGCATCTTTTCAGAATCGGCGGAAGTGTCATCTCTTGGCTCGTCAATCTCTTCGAGACCCCGTTCTCGAAACTTGTGAAGCAAGTGATCAACTCGCAGGCGTGCACGGCCGCCCGCGGAATCCTTCTGGACGAGGCCAACCGATTCCTCCACTCGCTTCCCTCGCACGTGGACATCGGAAAGAACTTCTACGTGGATTACTTTGTAACCAAGAATCCACATTCAACTAGGTGATCGGAAGGGGTACGAATGAATCAGAAGATTCTATATTTTCAGTGATTACTCCGAGTTCGATTTGGCTGCTGATATTGTTTACGGGAAGAGTGAGTGTCACCCTGTGAAGGCTGCCAACTGGACCGGTATGTTTATATTGAGGCTCAAATGACCCACAACACCTACCGTAACCATCCAGATGCCGGCTCCCCTCCCGGAATGCTCACCTCGTGGCTCTCCGTCTCCGTCCCCAACTGCCTCATCGAATCCGCCCACCGTAACCAGCTCGTCCAGCTCGTCGTCTCCAAAGACATTCCCGTCGTCGAGCCGTATCTGAAGACGTCGTGCGGCTTCCTCGGTCTCTGCATCGGAAAGTTCTTCCCGAAACTGAAGTCGGAATATCCGAACGCCTACGTGGATCTGCTCTTCCACACCCACGACACACCGTTCTTCGTGATGAGCGAGCGGAGCGGAGTGCTGTTGAATATGAGTTTAGCCGTCGATTTGTTCATCAATCCGTACGCGAAGACCAAGAAGAGCATTCTGGCGCGTCTCGTCGTCGACACCTCTTCCGACGTGGAGCCCTTTCTGAACCACACGAAGATTCACGGACGTCTTCTGAACAGCACAATCAACGCACGCGAAGAGTTCTCCAATATCGGCAACGTCTCCGAGACGTGAGTCTTTCAGATCTTTTCGATTCTGCTACTCTGCTCATTTTCAGATTCCTAAAAACGTTCTCGAGTATCCTGTCGATGACTGCTCGGCAGGCGGTGAAGACGGTGCTCAGCGTCGGCATTCCGATTCCATCCTACGATAATGTGACTCTGGCGGGTGAGTAATCTCGGCCGTTTCATCGCAAAACAGTGGATTGTGTTGCAGACTCGTCGCAGATTGAAATCTTCGACCAATATCTTCGTGCCAACATCGACTTTGAGTACATCTGAATGTTAATCATCACTTTTTTGTCTATATATTTATATAAATGAGCATCTTCTCCGTTCCTCTTGAAAATGCATAGAGCTCTCGGAGCAGCTTCCTCGTGCCGTCGAGACCACACTTTGCCAGAGAGACGCAGAGAAGGAGGGGACGGGTTGTCTGCCCGACTGCGTCTCCGCCTCCTCCTCGTCATTCTCTCTCTCTCTTTTCACGAACAATACGGCATGTTCTTGTGCGTGCCGGAGGAGGCGCAGACGGGCGGTCTGGCCCGATGTTGCCGATAATATGTGACACAGAACTTTATGATATTTGCCTTTGAACAAAAGATTATATTTTTATTCGCTTTTTTGTTATCTTTTTTCCTTTTAAATGTTGCCATTTCACACTGTCCGCGGAGCATCCTCTTCCTCATTTCGTTTCGTTTCGCGCGTTTCGCGCGGAAGAAAGAGAAAGAAAGTGAATGCAAATATCGGGTGGGTACTAGAAGAACTACCGGTTTTCCCCCCTTCCCCCACTGATTTTCCAATTTTTTCAACTGCCCGGGTGGCGAATGGGAAAACGAACACTTTTACACATTTTACCTACGCATAGTCTTCTTTTCGAATTGCGCTTTAGGTTCGAATGGCTGTCGTTTGTAAAGAACATTGTAGAAAGTGAATAGATTTCAAAGAAATGCAAACTTTATTTACTCTTTTTCTTATCGAAACCGCTTGGACCGAAAGAGACGAACGAAAAACATGTTATTCCTGGTTCGGTGATAAAACCTTCAGTACCTCGGTGTCCCGATTCTGCACCCATTTTGAGTGTAATTTCGCTCTTCTATGCATGATTTCCGACGTTAATTGGGAAGTTGATTGTAAAGCGATTGGCCCCCGAGAAGTGAACTTTAGACCCGCATGAAGCATTTCACATTTAATTTTCAACATTTCTCATTTCGACTGAATTTATCGCTTTGCCATGATAAATGACTCATGGCCGCTTGTCCGTAATCACTCCATTATCGAACAGATATTCTATCCAATACGGGGCCAGGGAGGTGCGTCTTCTCGCGGCAGTGAGAAAGAGAAACAGTCGATTCGATTCGAATTACTACTCTTCGAAAATAGTCGATCATTCGTCGTTTCTCTTGCCGTCTGCGTCGCCCACTCCTGCTTCCTCTCGGGCTTTCCGTCGATGTTAAGCAAGAATCTGCCGGCGCCTCCGTTGTACTACTCGCAAACTGAAGTGAGCAAAAACCGAATCCTTATCTTTTTATCCGTTTTTTCGCACGCGTTTCGTTTTCGTTTCATTTCTCCGGAATGACCGTTTGGGTTTAGCAGATGAGATTTTTACTTTATCATGTGCTAAGCAACTTCGGGACTTTTAGAAGGTTCTTTAAGATATATTTAGTTGGTCACTCAAAGTTATTAGTCAGTCCTTGCAAGTAAACGGTCAGTATTTCAGCGTCCGTCATACTGATAAGACGAAGAGCGGGAAAAACTGAGTACAGAACGGAAAGGTCATGTGTTTTTAACACTTTCCAACTCGAGTGCACCGTCATTCTCCACGGTTATACCTGTGGTCACATGTTCCTGATATTTTCGCTCTCTTCCTCTCCCTGTTCATCCTCTTCTTCTCTCGCTCTTCTGGCCGGGCACTTTTTCCAATCAAAAACCTTTTCCACTCTCTGACTTACTGACAATTTATTTTTTCTCGCCCGGCCCTTCCGCCGACGTTGATTTAATTAAGTATTTATCATCTTGATCGAAAACCGTAAAACATTTAAACCCGAGAGAAGGGCAGTACCGGAAGGGAACGACGGATTGTTTGCCTAATGATGGCCGATTTCCACTCCAAATTGGCGCGGCGAATGTTCTTTCGAAATCCTTTTTCGATCGCCTCGTATGGCCGCTTTTTGTGCAGCGGAACACAAACATTTTTAGACGTCTGCGCCTTTAAGCTTCTACCGTTCTGCTTCCTCCTCCTTCGATCTTCTCCTTTTTCTCTGAAATCGCTTTTGAAGCTTCCGAATAAGCCGTCGTTTTTTTTGCAGACTTGGCGCTTGAGCCATCAAAAGGAGGGCATCCGTTAGATCGGCCCGAATCCGTCTCAAAAAATGTCGGAAACGTTGTCCCGATTGCTCACAATCACCGCCGGAACACTTTATCCGGCGTATCGAAGTTATAAGGTGAGTTCCGATTTTAAAAATGCTCTAATAGTAAGAACGTATTTTGCAGGCAGTCCGAACCAAAGACACTCGGGAATATGTGAAATGGATGATGTACTGGATAGTGTTCGCCCTCTACTCGTTTCTAGAGAATTTGCTCGATCTTCTTCTCGCATTTTGGTTTCCGTTCTATTTCCAACTCAAAATAGTTTTCATATTTTGGTTACTCAGTCCCTGGACCAAAGGAGCTTCTATTCTGTACAGAAAGGTAAGTTTTTTGTGAAAGTTCATTTGATAATCGAGCTTTTCAGTGGGTGCATCCGACGTTGAATCGACACGAGAAAGATATTGACGCGCTCCTGGAATCGGCTAAATCAGAGTCTTATAATCAGGTATTTTTGTTCCCTTTCTCTCTGAAAATGCTATAAAATTCCCTTCAGCTGATGCGAATCGGAAGCAAAAGTCTCGTTTACGCGAAGGATATTGTGGCGGAAGCGGCGGTTCGCGGACAGCAACAGCTGGTGAATCAGCTGCAACGGTTCGTTTTATTTGTACGAGGCGAGCGATGAGTCAGCGAGAAAATACAGTGGAAAGACGGCTTGATTGAATTTTTCTGTCGAACAGAGTGAAAACAGTTTTGGAAAGCAAAATGAAGAACTACGGGACTTTACCGACGTCCTTCTTTTTCCAGATCGTACAGCGCAAACGACGTCGGATCGGAGCGAGAAGCGATCTCGAAACGAGCCAACGTCGACCACGGAATCGAGGAGCTCGACGAGAATTCGGGTGCCTCGGACGCGGAAAACCATTCCGCTGCGCACCGCGCCGGAGACCGTTCCCCTCGCCGTCGCCGCACCGTCACAAAGTCCCGGTCGAGGTCCCGTTCGAGGACGCTCGACTCGACGGGCGCCGCGGAAACGGTCTACTCTTCCACGATTCCGCGTCGTTCCGCACGCAAACCCAACTATTGACTGAAAAGCAGCAAAGCAAACGATTGACGAGTCCTTCCACTACTTTCCCACTTTTACGCAATTTTAGTAGGCATAATAGATTCTCCATGTATTAAAAACGAAAATCTCCCTAATCTACTCGTTTTCACTTTGAGAATTGATCTTTTGCAGGATCAAGACGAGCTAGATTTTTTTTCGGATTTTCATCATTTCATCATGTTCCCCTCCTCAAAACCTCATTGTTTCCCTTATAGTCTGTGCCTTTTCCGCTCATTTCTTCATTCATTCAGTTTGTAAATACCTTCTCTCGCTCTCTCTCTCTTTTTTCTGTGCTGTCCTATTTATATGAATAAATCTGCATGAAAAACCTGAAAAATGCCAATGGTTTTTGTATAGTTTGATTCGAAACGGGCTTCTTCTTCTGTTCCGCACGGATGGGCACCCGCGCGGAACAGGTATTCTCAGTCCGCCCTTCATCTTTCTGCCTGCCTTTCGTCCATTTCGTATCACTTTTCTCCGAGAAATATGACGACGTGGACGACGGCGATTTTATCGATTTTTCTAGTCGGATGTGTTCTGTATTCCGGTGAGCTGATTACTTTTTAAGTGAACTTAAGGTTACGGTACTCGGGGAAGTGTGCAACTTGTCGCGGTTCAGTTCCGGTGATTGTCACAAAAGTCTGCAACAAGTCGTCAAAGTGTTGACACCCTGCCTTTTCAGAATGTCAGATCAGCGCAATGTTCGGCAATCCGATTCAAGCTTCCAATTGCGAGAATTGGTCCGAATGGGGACCGTGCGTTTGGCTGAAAGGAAAGGAAAAAAGGTCAGTTGTATACGAGTTGCCAGAAGTTGTAACAAAGACGGACGGCGCATAAAATGCGAATAAATCAGGCGTGTCCGTGCGGAGTCATAAAAATGTTTCCGATGGCTGCAGGGCGGCTTGTTTTGAAAGAAGAGAGGCTTCTGCCTGAGGACCTCCATTCTACCATAATCGTTTAATTTCAGATGGCAGCGATCGTACTTCGAGCAGTTGCTCCCCGGCCGAAAAGGATGTCGCAACCACGTCTTCTTCCGTCTTCTCGCGGATCGTTGGGGAGTGGTGAGTGGGTGTGAAAAACTTGAAGACTTTGGAGAGAGATAACACTGTGAAAAAGTGGAACACGAACCGTTTTTCCTCTTTTTCCGCCAAAAAAAGACGCCGGATAGCATCTTGGTGCGGTTTCCATTTGAGAATAAAAAAGATTTAGAAAAACAGATAAGGCAGACGCATTCTTTCAGGCTTTCAACAACTTTTACAACTATCTGAGAGACACGACTTCGAGCGAGGAGCAGTGCGGAGAGTGCTCTTATCAACAGAGTTGCGGACGTAAATGCCATAGAAGGTGGGGGAATACCGTAAAATTATTCGAGACGATGTAAGTCTGCTGCCGGTAAAGATGTCAAAAAATTGTCAATTGATAAAATATGCGTAATGTGGTCGTGAATACTTTATCAGTTGACAACTTTTTGATATCTCTTCAAGCATAATCATGAAAGAGCGGTATTCGGTATGTACAGTGCAAAAGAGGGTCATGAAGACATGGAGCGGAGGAAGGGAGCCAGACGGCAATGCAGCCCTACTCCGGCCCCAGAAATCCTTTTGATTGGGCAAGAATCTCCCTAAACAGACTGTTGATAGTACAAAATGGTCACAAACTTTCGAGAATGATCGTGCCCCGATATGGCCCGATCGAGCATTTGTAACAAGATTAAATGTTGAGACAAATAGAGATCCTAAAAGCGCACTCTTCCTGAATATGCTAAAAATGTTTCGCAGAGGCGACATCGGCATCATCAACCCGTTGTTCGTGGCGGAGCGCAAGTGCATGGGCGTGGACCAGAGCAAGGCGTGCGTGTCCTCATTCATGCCCGACTGCAAACTGTGGCCCAATCCGGCCGTCAAGCTCCCGAATGTCACCGAATCGATGCAACAGATCATCGACAACCTGGACTACTTGCAATGCGTTCCCGAGCACAGGTATTAACTGCCCCTTCCCGACGGAAAATTGAAATTGAAACTCGAAATGCAATTTGTGCAGCAGTGCAACACCGAAAAAACGAAAAGGAAGGGTGTGTCAAGATGAAAATTAAATGAGTTTCCCTTCACTTCTTCTTGCTCTCCTCCAAAAAGTTTCGAGTTTCCTTCAGACCGTCCGGATCGGTTTGCCGTTGCTGCTGCCATCCGTACGTGCCGAATCCGCAGACTTTCGAGTGCGAGCTGAAGCCCTTCCTGTCCGGATGAGTGACAGAAAAAGCACGGAAAAGACGAGATGTAAATATTTGATTGTTGAAATTGAATGAATAAATTATTTTCTTTTTGTCTACCTTACTTTTCTTGTCGACCACCTTGGCCAATTTATGGAGAAAATATGCAAATATGACCTCAAGATACGGTTGCTGATAAGGTCCGGAGCAGCCATTCCGTCTTCATGGGCTCATAAAAATGAGGATGAGACGGAACCCATAACTCTGAATTTCCGATCCTTTTTATGGCCTGTAATCAACTCTTAGGTATCTTCTGATCTTCAGTTTTTAGCTGAATTTTACAGTAGTCTAGGCCTGCTCTTTGAGATTGGACCAGACTTCGTGGCCTTGGATTGAATTGAAGTATCTTAGGCCCAAGTTTCAGACCGAGATCGGCGGATTTCTTCAACCTGGAATTGTTGAATTGTACTGCCGATCCGGGCCAAGTAGTCCCTGAGAAGCCCATTGTCCGGGCCAATTCCCACCTCCTCCATTTCATCTCGTTTTCGTATTCCCCCGCTTCCTGGGGCAGTTTTCGTCCCAATTGTTTCCGTATCTTTCTCGTTTCTCTGGCCGCCCCCCTCCCGCTCTCCAGATACACATCTTCTGGAGCACTGGACTCCGCCCACTTCTGCGCCCTCCCCCACTTCTTCTTCTTCTTCTTTGTCCCCATTTCATTCATTCCTTTCTCTTCTTCTTCTTGGCTTCTCTTGTTTCATCTTCCGAACACCAATCTTCAGGAGAAGATGTCGTCCGTCGAATCTGCGCCAGCTCCAGCCGCCCCGGCTCCGCCAACTCACGCACCACTTACTCCACACGTAAGTGACGGGATCTAGTCGACCAGAAACGCATTATTTTCGTATCCATCGACCCATTTATAAGATTACTTACTTGAAAACCGGCTGCCGATTGTTTTTCTTTCGTCGGCCGTTTCGCCCGCCAATTGGCACAAAAATAAGCTGCAATTGTGTAAAAAGTGGTCAAAAGAGGGGCGTAAACATGGAGCCAAATTGAGTGCCGGAGCAAGGGTCTCTCCAGAGAGCACAATAGACTTTTTCGGGAAGAGTGACGAGTTGGAGAAGAGGTACAGTAGCAAAAAGGACGGGGCTACGGGAGAAGCCGTCGCCTTCATTTCCTCACTTTTGGGTCCCCACCGGAAGTCATTTCATTCCACTTTAATCCTTTCGTTTCCTTTTCCTCAAAAAGCTCCCTCCTAATTTCGTGGCACTCTCTCTCTCTCTCTCTTTCCCTAAGATGCACTTTTTCTTCCTTTTTCATTACCCCCTCCCCATCATCTCATCCTTCTTCTTCTTCTTCTTTTTCACAGCCCCCATTCGCTCCTTCGTGTCTCACCCGTTTTCGGAATGAAAAAGGCGGCCGGATGTGGCCCCCATTGGACGGGATGACCAGAAACAGAATGTTTAGGGGAGCAAGGGAGCGAGTGCTCTTTCGGTCCAATCTAGTTGGTCAATCATAGAGACCAGATGAGTAATGGGCCGGCGGAAAGTGGGGAAAAAGGAGTTTGGTCAGGTAGAACCGACCGGAAAAGTGATAGGAATCAAGTGGTGCGCGCAGGAGGTAATTGAGGTGCACGGCTTCTCAAAAAGTACATCGGACCTGGAAGATCGACAGAAGAGTGCAAATCCTTCCAAGTATAGTAGTAGTCCGTAGCCCTTTTCGCTTCGAGACATTTTGAAAGTGTCACTCCTTCTTCTCACTTTTCGGAGGCGATTAAATTGAAACTTTATCCCAACACGTCAGTTTACTTCTTTGGTCACTGATCAAATTCCGGCTATTTCCGTCCAATTTCGTCGCCTTCTCCGGCCGGAAAAGGTGCCTCGAAACTTGCCCGTCCGCCGCTCAAGTTCTCAAAACATTTCCCAGGCGAGTAATCAGAAGGCGTGAATCATCACGTCACGCGGGCGGCGTCGAGGAACGGAAGAAATGATCAATGTGTGTTGGAGTCGCGCGCGCATCGCTTTCTCGAGGGAATTTCAGTCAGACAAAGGGAGGAAACCACACAACATGCACATAAAAAGTGTTGAAATTGACGAGAAGCGAATTCTTGGGCTCGTAAAGCGGCGGCGGCGGCGTGACGAAATCTGCGGAAGAGCAAAATGAATCTCATTAAAATTGACTTTCCATCATTCCGCCGAACGATTCAATTAGGCAAATGGTGGTGGTGGAGCAATGAGTCAGAAAAGAGCACGAGAAGAAGAAGAAGAAGAAGAAGAAGAAGTGGAGGATGGCTCTCGATTTCGTAACCGAAACCAATTTGACCGAATTGGAAACGCTTCTTTTCGGGGGAAGGGAGTCAAGTGGTTGGATGGATGGGCATCCGGTTACAGAAAACGGGCTCCCACGGTGAACTAAGAATTAAAAAAAAAAGCGCACTTTTTGAGCGTAGAAGTGTATATAAACGGGGTTTTGTTACCGAGGTCTCTTGGGACATACAAACTCTAAAGAAGACTTCAGAATCAGAATAGACTCGGATGACTGCAGAATGCGAGAATACAGCATGACTGGCAAAGTACGTAAATCCGGGTAGGGTCCAGAATACTGAATCAATGTACAAACATTCTCATTTTTCGTTTTCCCGAATAAACGCGAAAACCACAGTTTTTTTTTTGACAGCGTGGGTTCTATGAAGCTTTTGGGGTCAATGCGAGAAACTGAAAAAGTGGCGTCTTTACCAAGTCTCGGTGAAACTGAATTTCTGGGACCGTCCTCGTTCATCCCCCAATCAGTCCCCTAACCGTCAATTGTTTCCAGAGGCACTGCAACACCCGTGACCGTCTCTTCGGCCAGGATCTGCCGGCGGTGGCCTCTCCGAAGAGAGTCACTCCGACGTACAAGTCGCAGATCTTCGACGACGTGCCGCCATCGCCACAGAGAACTCCAAAGAGAGCGATTCCGGTCGTTTGTGAGTCATTTAACTGATTACACGGTAGTGCTGAATTCCCCGTTTTTAGCTCGCAACCCGGTGACCGGAGAGATCAAACAATTGGCTTCGCAGCAGGAGATCGCCGCCTGACGCCTGAACTTAAGATGCCTGAATGTCTTCTGAAGTCTGTGGATGATGATAATAACAAGCGCTTCTTTTCTGGAAACTTTTTTGTAAACTTCTTTTGTAATCTTCAAATTCTCTTCCACTTTCGATCATTTTCTCTTCGCTTTCCGTCTGTATTTACATACTTTTTCTTCGTCTCCGAATATTCTATTCATTGATAATAAAAATACGATTCGGAAAAGTAAACACGTGGAAGCAGAGATCAATAACAGACGAAGAAGAGAACGGAAAAGAAGGAAAAGAAGAAGAAGAAGAAGGAGAAGAAGGCACAGAAAGGAGGAGACGTCTTCGGGAAAGTGACCGTCAAACTGATGGAGACCGACAGTGCGTGATCTCTGCCACGTTCTTCTATTATATCGCTTTCTCAGATTCCTTTTCAACGACTACAGTCTTTTAACTTTTTTTTTGGCTACAAAAGGGGCTAAAAGTTTCACAGAATAAACTCTGACTGATAGGATCCGATTGGACAACTAACTAAGAACAAGTAGGCCTAAACTTGAGACCAAAGTATAATTTGGGCCTAAGAAGTGTCATGAATTCCTCAGACATCGATTTTCCCGGAACTCCACACAATACATGGTCACTTCTTTCCCAATCTTAACTTTCGAATGTACCGAACCTATTGATATTGTAGTCTTCCGTTTGAGTCCTCCTAATTCTTGTTGACATTTCGCTCAAACGTTTCTTCTTCTTCTCTTCACCGAAACCGTTCATTTTCACCTTGAACCACTCGAACTAATTGTGAAATTTTGCCAGAAACAAGGCCATCTCCTCATCTTTTCCGTTTCATTTCTCTTCGCCAATTAGTATTACTCACTTTGCCCTTTTAGATTACTCACTTGAATTCCACCCAACTCCATGTCTGTGTCTTGTTTGCTTCGACCAGAAAACGTGAAAAACATTGAAGATTTACAGGTCAATTTGGGTGGTGGGCGACAGGTTCTATCGGCGGGGAAGGGAACGAAAGACACGTCGAATTCAAAGTATTGTATGGTCCAAATGACTGTCAATTATCAATTGGATGTCTCCTCCGGAAACCCGCTGCTCTTTTTGAGGCTACTCGCAAGATGGAGAGGTGAGCAAAAGAGAAAATCAGAATTATGAACCTAAACTCACTCTAGGATCCTTCTGGAAGTCTGTGATCTGGGAACTGACCGCCTGGCTCATTTGTTTTTATGCAACCTACTTTACGTATCGATATGCTCTCCCCAAGGATTGGCAAACGTAAGCTTTGGATAGAGTGTATCTCAGCGTAGTGACATCAAACATTGGTTTCTGAATTTACAATTTCTGAATGAGCAATTTTTATTGACAACTTTTTGATATCTCAACCGACAGATTCGTCTAGAATGAACGGTATTGGAGTGCTATTCTATTAGAGGTTTCCAATTTTCAGAGTGTTCGAGAAGATCTCAGTGCATACAGACGAACGAATGAAGTACTTGCCGCTCACTTTCCTGCTCGGATTCTTCGTCACAACAGTGTTTGAAAGATGGAGAAGTGCGCTCAACGTGATGCCATTCATCGAGTCCGTCGCTCTCTCGACCGCCGTTCTGATTCCCGGCAAGAAAGAAGAAGACCGATTGTACCGAAGGGCCATCGTCAGATACGTGGTCCTGCATCAGGTTTGTCCCATCTTTCTTTCCTTCTTAGTACTGTACATGAGAATTCCAGCTGCTTGTGTTCCGTGACATCTCGATGCGAGTTCGTCGTCGTTTCCCCACTCTCCAATACGTCGTCGATGCGGGCTTCATGGAGCCAGAAGAGTACGATATCATAGACGAGGAGGAGAAGAAAAAGCACACGGGACCGATCTACTGGGTGCCGATCAATTGGGCCAACTCGCTCGCCCTGGAAGCCCATCAGAACAAGAACATTGATCAGCCGACAGCCTTCAACAACCTGGTGTTGGCGATCAAAGAGTTCCGAGTGGCCATGGAGACGCTTATCAAATTCGATTCTGTTCCGATTCCCATTGCATATCCACAAGTGAGTATTCTGAACTTTCAATAGATTCTATTATCTGCTTCGTTACAGGTAGTATTTCTGGCGGTACGTGTCTACTTTACCATCTGCATTATCAGCCGACAGTTCCTCATTTCCGATCTAAAATCGAAAACGCAAATGGATTGGCCTGTTCCGATCATGACGTGTTTGGAGTTGATATTTGTGATTGGATGGATGAAAGTGGCCGAAGTGCTTCTGAATCCTCTCGGAGAAGACGACGACGACTTTGAGATCAATTGGATCATTGACAAGAACATTTCTGTGAGTTGACTTTTGAAAAAGACCGTCAATTCTCCACATTTCATTTTCAGACAGGAATGGCAATTGTGGACACCACCCACGGATACCATCCAGGTCTTGTCAACGACAAATTCGCCGATCCAAACTACCTTCCCGCCTACGCAACTGACAGTCAACTTCCGAGAACTTTGACGGGATCAGCAGCCAAAGTGGAGCTCGCGGCGCCGGACGACGAAGTTAAGATTGTGAGGGTGATTCCGGAGAATGCGCCGGCGACCACAGGTACTGCTGGTAGTCCTTGAAGACCATTGTTCCCTTTTTTCAGAACGGACAAGTATTTTCAATCGGAAGGCGCAATCTCTTCGCAATCGGACTGTCTCTATCTCGTCGAACAACGTGGAAAGTCCGAGTGCGGAACGGAAATTCAACTTGTCCATGCCGGCGACTCTTCTGAGCAAGTGTAAGTGATGCGAATCGAGAAATCAATGAACTATGTATGCAGCCATGGCCATGTCATCCAAACAAACGGATCGGCCGACTTTGGAGACACTGAATGAGGAGACCGAACCGAATAACCACTTCAGAAGGGGAGATCGGGTGTACTCTTCCGACTCGGTAAGCTTTTCTCGAAAACTCTGACAAAAAGGGTCATCGATGTATTGTTTGTAGGGTCAAACACGGAAAAGTTCCGAGGAGAGTGGCAAGCACCGGTTGTGAGCGAAGGAAGCTTTCGTTGTTCGGAGTATTTTGTAATCATTTCAAAGAAGTAAAATGAAAATTTCATTCTAATGAATGCAATCTCTCGATTCTCCGGCGTACTTTCCGGCCAATTGAACTCGTCCGATGTTGAACGTCTACAATTATTATCCGTTTGAGGAAAAATGGAAAAGAGGTCTCACCGCAGATGGTTGTTTGGTGCTCGAGACGTATTTGCTCGGAATGAAGATGGTGAGACGACGTTGGCAAGGCTGGAAAGGGCTGGATTCGGAGGAAAGAGTTGGGGAGGATCTTACCAGAATTCCATCGTCGCAGTCGTGGTAAATGTTGATCTTGGGGTCGATTCCGGAGATTTCGTCAGCACTTCCGCTCAACTTGAAATGCCCATCGGAGTCGGTCTTTGCAGAATCCATCAGCTCATCCGGGGACACTGAAATCCGGTGCCTAATGCATTGAAGTACAGTTGTAAGTTACCGGTATCATGATCGTAGAGCTTGATGAGCACATCCTTCGCCGGTTTGTCATCGCACAAAAGGATTCCTTCGACTGCGGTCGATTGGCTCCTTCCGATGGAATGGCACGTGGCAACAAGAGACGAAAGTACTAGGAAAAGAGAAAAAGAAAAAGAAGAAGAAGAAGAAGAAGGCATATTGAATGAATGAGACAAAGTTAGACGAATTGAGAGGAGAAGAAGAAGAAGAAGGAAGTGATTGATCGCTGATAGTCGAGAATCAGATCGCTTTGTTTGCTTCTTATGTACACTGTTTTTGAGAAGAAAGAGAAAGAGAGAGAGAGAGAGAATGATAGTGTAGTGGTGACTAATTGTTCAGAAATATTATGAAAAGAAACTGTGGAAAAGAAATTGTAAATGATGTCATTGAACTAGACTGTTTCCGGTCAAAGAAGACATTGCGCAACTGACGGACGTTTTGAAACCAATAAAATACTTTGCACCCTGTGGTTTTTGGCCGAGGTTTCGAATAGTTCAAAACAGTGATTCCGAAATGGAAATGGATTGTTGATGTTTGTCTTCACGAATGATTCGATTGCGTATGCAGATGATGTTTTCCACGTCTTTCTGTTCCGTCTTCAGTTCTCCTTGGACCCTCTGCATAACCTCATTTCCCTTCAGAAGAAGCCCTTGTCCCCACAAGCTTCGCAACTTGAGGAACACGTAATAATGTGCATCGGTGGCCCCCAAATACTCTATTTACGCCCACTTCTCAGGGATGCATAACCTCTTCAACCTCCGCCTTTTCCATCTGGAGGTTCGTCGTCGTCGTCGCCCGAAAATGAAGATGTGTCGTGTCTTCTTTTCGGAGCGGGACGTTGATTGGCCGTCTCCGTCTGCGTCTCCTCCTTTCGCACACTCTCTTGTCGCTCAGAGGTGAGTCTGAAATGCAATTTAGGGTGCTCGCCGCCCTTCTGCCCGCTCCTCTTTACACACTTGGCTGCGGGCGACTCCGCCACTCCTACTTCCCCTCCCCCAGCTCTTCTTCTTCTTCTTCTTCTTCTTCTTCCCCTTCTGCCCCTTTGTACTCTTTCCCTGTGCTGTGCTAATCCACTTTTCACATTCAATTTAACACAAAAATGAGATAACCCGGGACCCGCCGCATCGGATCAAATTTCGAAAAGGAGAAGGTCTCTCCGTCGTGCCGCCCGTCTCCGGACATGTTCTTCTTCGCGAGCACCTCGATGATTTCGGCGCTGCTCGCCGTGCTCAACTTCACTGTCGTCACACCTTATCCAAGTCATGTTATCATCAGTGAGTTTCGCACTTCTTCATGGGCAACAATGACGATTCAGAATCGTTCGGGAACAATGAAGAAGTGTCGAGGATTGCGCTGAAAGCGATGGAGTACACTTCGGATAATATCAACTCTCGCGACGATGCGCCTTTCAAGTTCGTTCAACACTTATGATTACTGTAGCCCATGTCCCTAAGCTTGCTGTTTTCCCCTTTATTGTACTGAGCATGCTCACAAATATGCTTCAACCAATCAGCTCTTCCAGATTGGCCTTCGATCACCGGGTAGTGGAAGAAGGAGCTGCAGTCTCGTGGAACATGGTCAATGCCGTGTGCGATGAGCTCAAAGAAGGAGCAATGACTCTATTGAGCTCCGTCGACGGAAAGGGAAGAGAAGGTCTTCGAGGGGTGTCCGATGCGCTCGAAATGCCGCTGATCTCGCTGTCTGCGCCGACGAACGACGAGCCCCAATTCAGTAACCTATTCGAGCTGTCCGTGCGGCCTCCGATCAGCGAGCTTCTCGCTGACTTCATTGTTCACAAGGGATGGACGGAAGTAGTCGTGATGATCGATCCGCAGCACGGTAGGGCATTCATTGTTCCTTGACCCCTGAAACAGATCTGTTCAGCTAGCCTCCATCTCCCTTCACTTTGGCGTCATCTCCGATCACGAACGAACACCTCTATCAAAGCGTCCATGTTCGATCTTCCGGCCGATGAGACTCAATTCGAATCCTATCTAATGCAGTTCAACTTGTTGAGAAACAATGAAACAAACCGGTTATTATCATTCAGAAAAAGAGTACAATCGTGCATTTCATTTCAGAATCCTCATAGATTGTGCCTCTCCGAAGCGTCTCAAAAAGTTGTTGATCTCAATCCGATCGGCCCAATTCAATCAAGTCAACTTTCATTACGTTCTTGCCAATTATGTAAGTGGAGACCTCATTTTCTTATTCCAAGTCCGAATCTTTTCAGGACTTTCTGCCCTACGACCAAGAAATGTTCCAAAATGGCAACATAAACATCTCGGGCTTCAATATCATCAACAAAGACGGAAGGGAGTACTGGTCGCTCAAGAAACATCTGAAAACGTCGGGAAGCGTTTCCGACGACGTCAGTGTGGAAGCGGCGGTAGGCCACGACGCGATGCTCGTGACGTGGTACGGATTCGCAAAGTGTCTGCAGGCGAATGATTCTCTGTTCCATGGAACATTCAGACATCGACGGTTCTTCAATCGAGGATTCCCGGGTGAGACTGAAAAGAGTACGAAAAAGAGACTTTGAAGTTAAGGCATCTACTGTGATCCTCTTTCCGATCGTTCTCATCCGAATCGACCGTTTTCTTCGTTCGAGCACGGAAAGACTATCGGAATCGCTTTTCGAAATGTACGGATCCATACGCAAACCTTTTTCTATTTAATTGCAGATGAAAATCGGGGCGAAAGAAGGCACTCTGACTGGCAACATCGAGTTCGATCGTTTCGGAAACCGAAAGAACTTCGACGTCTCCGTTGTCGACCTGGTTTCGAATACGAAGGCGACGTTCAATCGGAAGGAAGTGCTGGCGTGGCGTCAGGGTGTCGGATTCTTCACGAATCGGACGGTCGCTCAGCACTCGAGAAAGATCCATCATGACCACAAAGAGGAGCAAGTCATTGTGCTAACTAATCTGGTCAGTCTCTCTCGTAGATTGAACAGCTTGTAATTGAACATGACTCAGGTGGCACCGTTCGTGATGATCAAAAGAGAATGCGTCGAAATGTCGAATCTGACAGAATGCGAGGGAAACAACAAGTTTGAGGGCTACTGCATTGATCTGCTGAAGCTTTTGGCGGACAAGATCGAAGGATTCAACTATGCCATCAAACTGGGAACCAAGGTACGGATCATGACAGTCACTTTTAGGTCTGTAACCACAACTGCAGGCCGGATCGAAGCAACCTGACGGCAGTTGGGATGGAATGATCGGAGAGTTACTGAACGGAAATGCGCACGCGGTGGTCGCCTCGCTCACGATCAATCAGGAAAGAGAACGAGTGGTCGACTTTTCGAAGCCGTTCATGACCACCGGAATATCGATTATGATAAAGAAGCCGGACAAGCAAGAGTTCTCCGTTTTCTCTTTCATGCAACCGCTTAGCACAGAGATTTGGATGTATATCATTTTCGCCTATATCGGGGTAGGTTCATTATCAATGGCACTTCATACTTCCTCTTCTGCTCTTGGCCGCCGTCTTCTTCACCTTCGCGGGCGTCGCTTTCCTATCCTTGGTGGCCTTCAGCTTCTTCTTCGTATTTTTCTCTTCCGCGCTCGACGTCGGCGAGGTTTTGGAAGAGCTACGAGCGGCCTGAAGACGGCGAGCCTGGAGACGGGTCAGCGGTCCCTTGCGCTCGGGCTCCACAGATCTTTTCGATCTGAAACATTTAAGAGTTGAAGCTAGGACAAGACAGAATGGGTCGATTACCTGGAAGATCTAGCGCTTCTGGAGCGATGAATGCTCCGACTGCGGCTTCTCGAACGATTCGAAGTAGCGGCCGCTTCTGGAGCGTGGCTCCTCTTCTTCCGATCCTTCGTCGTTGTTCTCATCGCTTCCGATCGATTCGAGTAGTTGCACAAGTAGACTGTATCGAAAACTGAGCTTCTCCTCCGCTTATTCAACCTTTTATGCCGAATTTGACCCAATGACCTCTAGAGATAAAGATTTTTGGAGCAGGCTACGGAAAAAGCGCACGCTTCAATTGAAATTCGACAATATTTTCAGGTATCGGTTGTGATCTTCCTGGTCTCCAGATTCTCTCCGTACGAATGGAGAGTCGAAGAGACTTCACGGGGAGGATTCACAATCTCCAATGACTTTTCGGTGTACAACTGCCTCTGGTTCACCCTCGCTGCATTCATGCAACAGGGAACGGACATCTTACCGAGGTAAACGACTACAGTAATCTTCTGAATGGAGCAAACTTTATCACAGATCCATCTCCGGTCGGATAGCCTCTTCCGCGTGGTGGTTCTTCACCATGATCATCGTCTCTTCGTACACCGCCAATCTGGCCGCTTTCCTGACCCTTGAAAAGATGCAGGCGCCCATCGAAAGTGTGGAGGACCTGGCGAAACAGACGAAGATCAAGTACGGAATCCAGGGAGGAGGCTCGACGGCTTCCTTCTTCCAGGTAACATTCCCTTCAGACTCTCTTGTGCCGACTCAACAATTACAGTTCTCTTCCGTTCAAATCTATCAAAGAATGTGGCGATACATGGAATCGCAAGTGCCGCCCGTGTTCGTTTCCAGTTATGCGGAAGGGATTGAGAGGGTGAGAAGTCACAAGGGAAGGTACGCGTTCCTTCTCGAGGCGACCGCTAATGAGTACGAGAACACCAGGAAACCATGCGATACTATGAAAGTTGGTGAGTTTGCAGAAGTAGTGTGAAGCGTAAGAAGTCATGTGACATGCTCCAGGAGCCAATCTGAACAGCATCGGCTACGGCATCGCCACTCCGTTCGGTTCTGACTGGAAGGATCACATCAACCTGGCCATCCTAGCCCTCCAGGAGAGGGGAGAGCTCAAAAAGCTGGAGAACAAGTGGTGGTACGACCGCGGGCAATGCGACGCCGGAATCACCGTCGACGGCTCTTCCGCCAGTCTGAATCTCTCCAAAGTCGCCGGAATATTCTACATTCTGATGGGCGGAATGGTCATTTCAATGTTGGCTGCTCTCGGAGAGTTCTTGTACAGGAGTAGGATCGAGGCGCGGAAGAGCAACTCGAATTCACTGGTGGCCAACTTTGCGGTGAGTCTGGAGCAGGCAAATTGCTCAGTTCATCACGGGTTTTCAGAAGAACCTGAAGAGTGCCTTGTCTTCTCAGCTGAGACTGTCGATCGAGGGCGGGGCGTTGGCTCAGCCGGGCTCCCAGTCACACAATGCGATCAGAAGGCAGCAGGTCATTCGGTCCCTTAAAAGTTCTCCTCGGTATTATCTCTTCTCTTCCAGGTTGCCGCTTTCCTTCCAGCCAACGAAAAAGACTTTCAAAACCCGGACCGTCCGGCCAGCACTCTCTACAATACTGCCGTCTAACCTCTTCTATTCTTTCCGTACCTTTTCTACTCAGCTCAGGGATTCATTGTTTGTATTTTGAAGCTGCGACGAATGTGTCAGTCAATGAATGAATAATAAAAACAAGAGAAAATTGGCCAAATCGGGTGAGAGGGGGAGCGAAAAACGGAAAGGAGCTCTAGAGGACAAGTCTCAATTATTGAGAGCAGGAGAGAGAGAATGAATTTTAGGGCAGAATGCACATTCTATCCGAAAAACGCGCCATCCAGCCGAATATCCTATCCGTCTCTCGCTCATTTTTCTCTCTTTGCTCAAACCATGATTTCTCGCCCATTTTGGCCCGAGTAATTTGAGAGTGAAGAACGAAGAAACGGAAAGGGTCAGATTTCGTGGCAAAGAAATGCGCGAGGCCTTGAACAAATTCGCTTTCTGGAAGGAAGTATATTGATCCCCTAGTAACTCGGACGGACATCAAGTAAATCATCCCGGAAGCTGTCCGGAAATCGTGTTAATGATGATTCGCTCGGTTTGCGCCGCTAGTTCCTACTTTTCGCGTGCATGCATTTCGAAAAGGTTTCAATGTTTGCAAGTGACACTGAACTTTTTCAGATTCTAATACTCAAAAGCAGACAACAAAAGGGACCATGGACTAGTGGGGCCGGTAGACTCTTAAAGTCGGTTTTTCTAGTTCCAGTTGCAAAGTGTCGTTTGCAGCCGTTTTGTTGCGCACACTTTGGCACCTTCATAATTCCTCTCACATTGGCTCTCTTTTCTCCATTGTCTTGTCCCGCTTCTTCTTGTTCACAATGCACTTCTTTCCTTCATTTTCTCTCATTCATTCTCTCCCCTTTTTCCGTCCCGTTTATGTCTATAAATCACGCCGAAATCGTGAAAACAAGAAGAGAGAGAGGGGCTAAAAACTCAATTTCCGTTCTTCCATATGCAAATGAAGCTGATTTCTTCTCCCCTCTCACGCTCGCGCCTTTTTTGTGAGCACTCACTTTTGCAGTTCTCGCCAATTTCCTCGTCCTTTTCGCCCAAATCAAGATGGACAGCGAAGGGGCGGTCCTGCGACAAACTTCTCGCGGAGCCACAAGAACTACCAGCTCCGGCATTCCGTTTTCTCACCAACTCGCCTATTTTTGTAGCAAAAACCAGAAAATGGCATTGGCACTTTCAGATTCATGTGATTTTCCCGGAATGCGATTACGCCATACCCATTTTTAGTTCACACATTACTGAAAAGCCTTCTGGTTCTGAATTGTCATTACTCTTACGGAACCGTACTAGTGTCAATTCTTCCGTATTTCTCTTCAGAATTCAGCAATATTGTCTTTTTCGGCACTTTTTTGTCATTTGGCTAGCATCAACTTGAAACCTTCTAGATGCCGGATGTTTAAGAACGCAAGGCAGCTGGGTATTGTGTGCTCTTGCTCTGTGATCCGCAAGAATACGCCGACCAAACTTCGAAACACAATTCCAAAGATTTCTATGGATAGTTTGTACCGAATTGACCTGCTCCGCCTCATTCCAACTACCCATCTTTCTCCTGATACACTCGAAAGTTTCATCCAATTTCCTGCTTGCCGGATATTTTCCACTCCAATTTCGCGCGGCGTTACCTCATCTTCATTTCACTCGCCGCCGCTTTTCCGTCTTCTCATTCGTCTTGTTTTCCTCCCCCTCGTCGTGTTTTCAAGAAGATTTCCATCTGGAAATCCTCGTTTCGCTGCGTGGAGGTCCGCATTTTTAATGTTTTGCTTTGCATGTGTGTTTTGACTATCGTGATTATTCGCTCTTAGACTCGGTAAGACCTCTGAGAAAGTGCCCCCGACGGCTTCTTGACTTTACCCATCAACTTCCACGTCATAACGGCCCGTCAATCTTCGCCACTTCCGCTCGATTCCATTCGATTTCCCTTCACGAGTTCACGCGCCTACGAATAATTGAAAACGTGCTCCATGTGTGCAAGGATGATGAAGAGCAAAAACAAAAGAGAAAATGAAATAGTTTTTCGGCGCTCGCTTTAATTTCCGGCCAAACGGACAGAGAGTGAGAGCGATGGCGCATCAATCTTTCCACTACGGTAGCTCTTGTTGCAGCCCACAGAAAGGGAGTGGCATGAGCCGCCGAGTGCTCGATTATCCTGTCACTCTTTCACCCATTCCATTGCTCGCCAAGAAAAGAGGAATTGTGGCCATGTTACCGAGAAATGTACATGAAACGGGCACAAACACTCGCCCCTAAGCACCCCTCATTATTCATTTCTCTCACTGATTCGTGTCCAATCGAAAAGTCCTTTCTTCTTGTTTTTCTCCTGAACTGAAGGGAATTCCATCTGTTCCCGAAACTGAGATTCCACCTGTCAGAGTGAAAAAGACAGATTATGATTACAGAGTAAGGCTCTGCTCATACACCGATTCTGTGTTCAACCTATAATCTCGACGTCGAAAACTTTCTTTCGACGGCTCAAAAACTATGATATTCTCGGGTTAGAAGTGTGTGAATCAATCAGTCTACTTTTGTCTGTTCTGTAGAGCGTTTAGACACTTCCGAAGCGGCAATAGATGAATGTCAATTCCCATTGAGCCTAAAATCAGATGCTTGCTCCAGAAGCTGTCCGAAAATTGCCAGGTCCAACCGTGCCATTTTCATTTCCCCTCCGATCATGTGATTTTCGTATACAAAATCACGTTTCTCTCGATTCCCACACTTTGGCACCGGATTGCGTGCAGCGACTTCTTAATTTTTTCTTCTCCGAAAAATCTTGTTTCCTATTTCTTTTTTATGTTTAATCTATAACCATCAGGTGTTTGTTGTCCCAAATAATTCAAACTCGACCTCATTAATCAAATTTCGCTAGGCAACGGAGAGCACTTTGCGGCCTACTCCCTCCCCGATTCTTTTCACTTTTCTCTTTTTGTAGTGTACGACTGGACACATCAAGAATGGGCCGTCGGAGGCTTTCGGCGGGCAGTCCGTCTGTCGATCACCGCATCTTTTCCTTGTACTCGTTGACCGTCTCATTTGTTTACATGCTCCGTATCGCCTTCGAACTCGTCGCCCAGACAACGACCGATGCGGATGTTCAGTGGCAAGGTACACGTCTCCAGATTCTTTCTTTGTTACAACTTACTTTCAGTGACCGAATGCCTTTTCGTAGTGTTCGGAGTGCTCATTTCGATTGCTCTTCACAACGCCTATGATACTGTGGGTCTCCGTAATCTTTCAGTTTCTTTATTTCCATTCTCTCCAGCGCATTTCTCTGATCTCAATTTCCTGGACAATTTGGATGTTCATCAACACAATCTTCGCACTTTTCGTCGTCAATTCCGATATCATTCAGGTAGGTGTTACCCATAAAATAGTTAAAACATTCATTTTCAGATGGTCGTCAAGAGAATCGAATCGAACGTGGTATTCACTCCGGTCGACGTCGTCAAGTTCATTCTCGACATTATCCATTTCTTCAACATCCCCGTCTCCGTGAGTCTTCTTCTTTCCAACTCTTCCACGTCTTCTCCTCCAGCTCTACTTCATTTGCGTGTTCCTCGTCTCCGCGAAAACCCACAAAACACGGCGTCACCGTCGCAAGAGGAGCAGTACTAAAACGGGTCAGCAGGTGGTCAAGAAGCAGTTCGAAGTGGCCAATGTGTTCGTCGGCGATGAGATGGTCTACTATGTCTGAATCCTCTCCAAATGCCCAAACAATCCACGTATCTAGATCTCTTTTGCAATATATGTACAAACCGAGTGTTTACCCTTGAATCCCTTCTCAAGTATTCTATTTTTGAATGAGAAAGTATAAATAAACATGTAATTTTATGAACTAAACAACAACAACAACTAAAAGCTCTTTTCTCAAATCACAGAAATCCGACGACTCTGCGGATCTCTTTCAGATTCTTCTCTGCGATTTCTCTCGCTGCTTCTCCGTTTTCCAGCAACACTTTATCCACTGCGTCGCTCTTTTCCAGCTCTTCGAACTTCTCTCGAATGGGAGCCAATCGGCGGTCGACGGCTTCTGCCAGATTCTGCTTCAGTTCAAGTGTCGTCCATTCGGAGAATCTGATTTCAGAGAATGGAGTTTTGGTGATAGCCGAGTAGAGATCCAGAAGATTCGAGACTGCCAACCGGTTCTCCTTGTCGTAGGTCACTTTCCCAGCGTTGTCGCTCTGCGCTTTCTGGCATTTATCGAAGATGACGTCGCGAGAATCGGTGATTTCGATCCTGCTCCTCGGCCCTCCGGACGACTTGCTCATCTTCTTTTCCGGTTCTCTCAAAGACCTGATTCTCGCGTTCTTCTCTCTTGTCAACTGCTTTGGAATCGGGAAAATGTCCGTGTTGTAGGTCTTGTTGAACGCGTAGGCGAGTCCTCCGAGCAGGTTCATGTGCTGGCTCTGATCCTCTCCAACTGGCACCGTCGTCGCTTTGAAAGTGAGAACGTCGGCGGCCTGGAGCAGCGGATAAGTGAGCAGTCCGACCGGAATGTCTCCCTTTTTGAATCTCTCCTGCTTCTCCTTGAACTGCGGAAGTCGCGCCAGTTTCGAAGTGGTCTGCAGTGCTCCCAGGATCCACGAAAGCTGGGCGATGTGGGGAACGTCGGACTGTCGGAATAGGAGCGTTCGTTGGGGATCGACTCCGCACGCGATCAGACTCGCTGCCATTTGACGCGTGTTTCGGCGGAGCTGAAAGCGGAGGGGTTTCAGGCGACGGTCAGCGGATCCTTGCGTATACCTGTTCAGCCGGAAGAGGTCCCAATGAAATCGCATGTTGATCCACAACCGAGAGCATCATCGGAGTCTCCCTATCTACCGTACTTTGTAGTTCTGTCCATGGCTCGATTGACCCGAAAAAGTTGCCGAGATGCGGAATACCCGTGGGTTGAATGCCAGTGAAATAGATCGTCGGATGAGTGGGAGCAGTTGAAAGAAGACGTGGATTTTGCTGAAAACATTAAGAGATGAATGACTCTTCTCATTAATCTCACTATTTTTGACGCGTTTTTTAAGAGATGAAGAGTTGTAAAGGGCATGATTTCGATCACAAATTGAGGAGAGGGGTGACGTCACGTGGCTGGAACTCGAGACGGCACTGCGGACAACGGGCGGATGACGTGGCGGTCGCGGAAACGGCGTGCTCCTGAATGCAGGCCCAGCAGAAGAGGTGGCCGCAGAAAAGGGCAGAAGGATCTTTGTGCTCAAGACAAATCGAGCACTGGAACCACGAGTGAGACAGCTGAAATTGCGTCATGGCTGGAGGAGAGGGAAAGGGAAACCAACCGAATGCACGTCAAGATCTTCTTCCGATCTCTCTGAATTCGTCTTGTTTTTCTGCTCCTCTTTGTTCGCTTTCGCTTTCTCTTTCTCCTGTTCCAAAAACGAAAAAACGGCTAATCCGGCACTGATTACCAATTGAATCAGTGTGATGTAACCCAAGAAACGGTACACTTTCAAGGCCTGAACTCAACAAAATCTTCAAAATGTTTTCGGAAACTCTTACCGGAATGTCCGTGTTGGCACTGGCCGAAATGAATCGAATTCCGGTGATTCTGCGGGAGATACTGTAGTAGGCGCCGGTGATGTAAAACAGAGCAATGTGGGCTCTCTGGAGCTGCGGGAAAAGAGTGGTTCGGAGCCAGAAAAAGAGATCGAGGAACGATTGACGGGCCTTCCGATTTTCGCGAATGGGAATACCGAAGAAACGATCTGTAGACGGATGCGTGAGCTTCGATTCGGCTTTCTGAAAACATTAGTATGCAAAATTCTCAGTGGAACGCACTTCCCACCTGCACCAGATAATTGGAGAGAAGTGGGAAAATGGAATGGAGAAGAACGAATGAAACTCTCGAAGGAACCGAGGGAACGACTCTTCGCAGTCCGTCCGATTCGAACAAATGCACGTATTCCTCGCCGAGCGTTTGATTTCCTGAATGCATTGAATTGGGTCTCGCAGCGAAAAAAAGCTATTACCGACGACTACGGTACTCGTGTAATAGAGAGTCGACGCGACGGTCTTCAAGTACGGAAACCAGCGAATCCACGTGCGCTGGCCGAGAAGCTCTTTGCTAACTTTGCTCAATCTCTGTGCGATTTCGTCGATAAACTCTTCGTCTCTCCGTTGTGCTCTCACAATCTCTCCAATCTCCGCCACGTACGCATTCATTTAAATATATACCGACCGGCTGAAATCATCCGAAAATAAGTGAATGAAGGACGGTGTAATGAGCAAGAAAAATTTATGAAACTTCAACAGTAACATCCTAAGATCTAAGTAATTAAAAAAAGAGTACACTATAATGCGAAAACAAAGGGGAACAACAAAGAATGAAGTAATATTTAGAAGGAGAGAGGAAAGAGAAGGAAAAGAAAAGAAGAGGGGACGGGAGAATGGGTGTTATCGGTTTTATCATCCAGCGGAAAGACTACATTGTAGTCTGATTGAAGTGAACCACGGACCGATTGAGCAGTCTGAAATCAATTAACTAGTGGGAAAGATAGGAAGGAGTGGTTCCGCACCTAAACAGTCTTTTCCGCCCGTCTCTCTTCCATTCTTCCGTGCTGAGTTCCGAGCGTCTGATCGTACAATCGTCCCTTCTGTCGAGTCGGCGTTCCCTCCTGATACTTCACTGGCTCCGGCACGAAGTACTTGTTGCCGGCCCGATCGATGGCGAAATCGTAGATCGTCGGCTTTTCGAGTGCTTCCAGAATCTTCGTCTCCAGATTTTCTCGGTTAACAAACGAATCGGAACGAGAGATCACTGCACGGACCTCGTCCTCCGCCGCCTTCTTCTCCGCGTTCCGTTTCTCCAGTTCGACGCGAATCTCGTCCAGAATCACCGACTTCGTCGCCTTCGCGTCAGATTCTTCGCGTGCGACACGTGCCGCCCGTCTTTCTGCGTTCCGTTTCTCGTTGGCGGCGATCAGTTCGTCGAGTTCCAGTGATTCCGCCTCTTTCATGGCGTCGATTCCTCGCCCGTGTGACGCATTCTGAGCGAGTTCCGTGCGGAACACTTCTCTCAGCGAAATGACCGCATTGTTGTAAGCGTGACGTCTCCAGAGGAGCTCCTCCACGTCTTCTGGCTTCTGCCAAGGAGCGTGAACCACGTGGTAGAGTACCTAAAATAAAGGACGAAGTCGATTCAGAAATAATAAAAATTAACTCACCTTTTTGGAAGGCGGTAAGATCGGTGGTTTACCCTGTTTCGGCTGTCTCCGTCCCATGTGTCTCTTCTGAATTCCTCCGATGGCGTCGTCGACCTGTGACGTGGCACCGACGAGAAGCGACCGTCCAGTGGACAGCGTCAAACGCGAACTGTTCATCAGCATTCTGAGAATTAGGAAACGTTATACTCAATTTACCGCTCTTGCCCCCTCGGTGTTTGTAGACTCAATCCTAATTTCAGGAACTTTGGCTTGAGTCTGCAAACACCAAGGGGTAGTAGCTACTAATTGAGTTTATATACGCGTATCTATTCCGTATATATACGGATTAGAGCAATAAGCACAAGTATTTAAAAATGGATTGGGAACCAATAGCAGAAATGAAACAGTGCAACTAGGAATTTTCATAGACCGGAAACAAGAATGTGGGAATGCCAGGAAGAACAGAACAATCATAATGGAGCAAATGGAAAACGAAACAAAACAAGGGGAAACAAGAAAAGATCACATTCTCATGTAATAGCTCTCGCCGTTCGGATTCTGAATCGGCGTACGACTGATGTCGCCGTTCGGCTTCTGCACTTCGACGTGCCATTCGTACCAGACTCCGGTCGCGTCCACCTTCCGATCCATCTTCATCCTAATCTTATCCCCCTCGCCGACTCTCAGCTGATCTCTCAACGGAATCACCGCAGGGAACCAGCTGACCATTCCGCGAGTGTGCGTCGACGGCTCTATTGAGAGCATCACGTTGTTATAGAGTTGGAGATCGAAGTAGCCACCGAATCCCATCAGCTGGAATGGATTGCGTGAGATTGGAAAAGGAAGGGAGCACTCACATCGGCGTTTCGATCGACGTCGAATTCCACACAAGCAGTCCGTTCGTTGCTCGCATTCAAAAAGTTCGGGTGTTCGAAAGTGAATACTGGCTTCGTGGATTCGGCGAGAGGTATGAATTTGTTGAGGTAGACCACGTAGATCTGATCCATATTATTGATAACATGGCCTTGACTGAAAAATGGAGCAAACCGATGCACTGCAGTGGGGAATATGAATTTACTGCTGAAGGGTGATGGCCTAGGAAACTCTGGCCGGCCATCGCTCACTGTTTACACAAATGCTATCGGGAGCAAGAAACTAACGGATAGTTTTGAAGCCACATTCCGTTCGAATCGAGTTGAGGTTGGCCCCTTCCGTGCGATGGCAATGCACGACTCAGATACGGAATACTCTGTTGGCGGATCGTTTGATGCAGATGAGTGCTCATTATGGGCACTGAAATGGAAAAGTTGTCAAAAGATAACCGAACAGATAAGATCACTCACAAACATAACTAGTGTACTTTTGTGGAATAGAAATTGTGGTCGGCTTGAGGAAGTCGGTCACGCCGTCCAGACACTCGGGGCTCAGCTCGTTGTCTCCGAAGCTTCCTAGCAGCTCGGAGACGATGATGTCTGGCTGCTCGAATCCAGCATCTCTGGCGATTCTCGGAAGGCTCCGCATGTCACTCTCGACGATCGTCACTCTACGTCTCCAGGATTGTGCGTTCATGAATTTGAGCGTCACAATCGCATTCGGATTTTTCTCCACAATGTACAATTTCACTCTGAGCGGAGTTGTGCTCTTTCTGAACGCCTTATTGTAGTTCTTCTCGGCACGAAGGATTTTGGTACCCTGAAATTGTAAAGTAGTTATTTGAATGGTGTGATCACTCACAATCGGACCTCTTCCGCCTCCGAGAAGATAAACGACGACGTTCCTGCGTCCGTCCGCTCCAAGATCTTTCAGTGCTCCTTCCACGGCTTCTCCGTACACCACGTACTTCATTTGGTCTTGTTCGAAAGTGTTATAAACTCCAGAATCCAAATTCTCGGATAATGGCTGAAGAGGTGCTTGGAGGACGTCTTTGTATTCGATCACATTCAAAAAGTGCTCCGAATCGGCCGATGACTCTCCAGATTCTCGTTGTTTCCGATATAAAACATCGCGAACGGCATGCCGAAGAGCTTGCGACCATTCCGATTTGATTGACGCATTGTACTTGAATGCGTCGGTGGAGGGTCGCAGAACAAAGCGAAGAGAGTCGGAAGACCACAGACTCTCGAAGAAGCCGATGTGCGCATTCGGGAGCACGGCTTCTCCGTTTCTGCCCGTGATGTACACTTCCGATTCGACAACGAATGCGCCCAACGGCTCCGCTTTCCACCTGTCCAACAGCTTATTTTCCGTGAATTCGTCCGGAAGATCTGAGGAGACCGTTAGCGCCACTGAAAACGACAACTTCTGAGAAAGACCGCTTTTTCGACCGTATCTAACCTTTCAGATAAATTCCACTGAAATTTCCGCAAAGTTTCCGGAAGTCTGCCCAAATCGACCAAATATCAGCTGACGAAGAGATTGTTTGGTTGTAATCCAAGCATTTTGCAATCGAAGAAGGCAACTGAACCCAAACTCTGTAAAGAACAAGCTTGAAAAAAAGTCAGATTAAGTCTATTCGTACGTGAATCTAGAATTTTTAGTCCAAATCCATTTGTTCACGATGGCGGCCGTGCGCGGCGACGAAATGCGTTTCAATTCGATCGTCATCGACTGCAGACCCAAATAGCACACGTAGTTCAGCTCCTGCAAAGAGGAAACGCTCTGAAATCGAAAAATATTCTGACAAACCTTCAGAAGATTCTCTTCAGAAAGTGCGGCGAACGACGGATCTTCAGAATCGCAATCAATCCACGGAGATATCTGTGGTAGAACAATTCTCTAATTACGATCCTCGTTTCGTTTCTCGAACCTTTCCAGTAATATACGTCTCCCATAGTGAGTTCGCCAACTGAACATCCGGCAGATCGATAACTGGCGGATTCTGACTGGCTGAAGGCGTCCAAAACGCACGGACGGTCCCTCCGATCGGGAATACGACGAAGTTATACTTGAACTCTCCCAGTTTCGTACAATACGGAGCCACCTGTCGGTCGAGATTCTCAGTCGAATCAATCGGAGACGTCATCCATCCCACGTGGATTCGGGCATTCGCCGCGTCCACTGGATTCAGGGGAGCAGGCGGAGGAGGCGATTGCTCTTCATCTTGCTCACACACTTCCAGTGGAAACAAGTCATCCGCGTATGTCCGATTACTCATTCGATTGATTCTGAAATACCGGTTCCCACAAAACAATCACTTCATTGACTTTCTATTTATTTCTGATCAAAATATGCTAGAAGTCAAATGAGGGTGTTGAATGTCTTTCTTTATTTTGTTGCCTATTCAGGGCATTTGAGTTGATTGAATTCGAAGAAGGGAGAGAGAGGGATGGAAAACAACGTATTGGATGTCACCAAATAGTGGTCTGAAGAAAACAGCACTATCGCAACAATACAATAAACTATACATTAAATTTATCACTACAAAAACTTTAAAAAAAGGAGACGAAACGTAGTGCCGGATTATAACAAAAAATAAAACTAATTGTCTGTCGTTCAGCTGTGCTGCTTGGCGAGCTCCTCAGCCTTCTTGAACACGTCATCGATTCCTCCTTGCATGTAGAAAGCAACCTCCGGAAGATGGTCGAGCTCTCCTGTAAACAAAATTATTTATAAATGATGTGAGAGATGCTTAGTTTCTTACCCTTGAGAATCATGGTGAATCCGCGAATTGTCTCCTCGAGCGAAACGAACTTTCCTTGATGACCAGTGAACACCTCGGCGACTTGGAATGGTTGGGAAAGGAAACGTTGGATCTTGCGGGCACGAGAGACAGTCAGCTTGTCTTCCTCAGACAACTCGTCCATTCCGAGGATAGCAATGATATCCTGGAGGGACTTGTAGTCCTGGAGGATCTTCTGAACTCCACGAGCAATGTCGTAGTGGATCTGTCCGACGATGTTGGGGTCCATAATACGGGAGGTAGAGTCGAGTGGGTCGACAGCTGGGTAGATAGCCAATTCGGCAATACCACGGGACAACACAGTGGTGGCGTCCAAGTGAGCGAAGGTGGTAGCTGGAGCTGGATCAGTCAAATCGTCAGCTGGCACGTAGATAGCCTGGACGGAGGTGATGGATCCCTTCTTGGTGGTGGTAATTCTCTCTTGCATACCACCCATGTCAGTGGCAAGGGTTGGTTGGTATCCGACAGCAGATGGAATACGTCCGAGAAGAGCGGACACCTCAGATCCGGCCTGGGTGAAACGGAAGATGTTGTCGATGAAAAGAAGCACATCCTGTCCCTCCTGATCACGGAAGTACTCGGCGACGGTGAGTCCGGTGAGGCACACACGAGCACGGGCACCTGGCGGCTCGTTCATCTGTCCGTACACAAGAGACACCTTAGAGTTCTTTCCCTGTAAATAGATGCTTGATTACACTCCATCTGTCCAAGTTGTTGTCAACAAACCTTGAGATCGATGACTCCTCCCTCAATCATTTCGTGGTAGAGATCGTTTCCTTCACGGGTGCGCTCTCCGACTCCGGCGAACACAGAGTAACCTCCGTGAGCCTTAGCGACGTTGTTGATGAGCTCCATGATAAGCACAGTCTTTCCGACTCCAGCTCCTCCGAAAAGTCCAATCTTTCCTCCCTTGGCGTATGGGGCGAGGAGATCGACGACCTTGATTCCGGTGACAAGAATCTCTTGCTCGACGGACATTTCGACGAACTCTGGAGCCTCAGCGTGGATAGCGGCGAAGTTCTTGGATGGGATTGGTCCTCTCTCGTCAATTGGCTCTCCAATGACGTTCATGATACGGCCAAGAGTCTCTGGTCCGACTGGGATCTTGATCGGATCTCCGGTGTCGGCAACTGGCTGTCCACGGACAAGTCCCTCAGTTCCGTCCATAGCAATGCATCTGACGACATTGTCTCCTGCAAACGATTTGAATGAAAAAAGAACGGCAACGAATGATCTAACCAAGATGCTGAGAGACTTCAAGGATGAGTCTTGGGGATCGGCCGATAACCTCGAGACCGTTGAGGATTGGTGGAAGGTTCTCGTCGAACTGAACGTCGACGACGGCTCCGATGACAGCGACAATGCGTCCGGAAGCGTTAGCAGCGGTGGCCTTGGCGGAGACCTAAAAAATATCTATTGGGAATGCACTTTAGCAATAAAAATACCTTGGTGGCAGCAGCAGCTTGCTGAGTGGCAACTCCAGTGTGGATTCCCTTCTTAGACTCGACAGAGCTCGAGCTCAGACGGACTGTAAAACGCGCGCCTAAGTAACAAATCTAAAAATTGATACAAACTCACTGGAAGCGGCCGGGAGAGCACACTTCTGAACGTTGCTTTGCAGAAGACGTGAAGCCTGGCGGCTGATAGAGGCCAACGAACGCGAAGCCATAGTTACCCCTGAAACAAATTTCAAATAAGAACAATTGTAATTAACCTAAAAACGTAGAAAACACGGAGCAAGCATTCAAAATACGTTCGCTACTGTTATAAAACAGACTGAGAAGTATCAAACTTCAAAATTTTCTGAAAACAATTTAGAAAAATACCTAAGAGTGGTAAGGAAATCGAAAACTTTGAAGGCTTTTGCACACTTGCACGGTAACGGCATAGACCGCCCGATGAGCGGGTTGCGGCGGGTCTCGACACGAAAATGATACGAAAGCGTGCGGCACTTGCGTTTTTGCGACGTTTGCAAGACAGCGGCACAGAAAATCGCGACTTTCTCGCACAGTTTTTTATTTTATTTTCACCCGTTTTGCATTCAATTTCCCAAAAATAGTAAGTCTTTCTCATTTTTTATCACAAAGCAAAAACACCACTGCAAATATAATTTTCAAAGTTTGCTAAAATAAAAATATTCAAACACAATGAGAAGGTTCAAAATGTCTCCAAGAAAAATAAAGATTTTTAAAATTCCGCGTTCTTTTCGCACAGAGAAACAAAAAGAAGTTTAATTATTTTCATATATTTGGCGTAACAAACGTTCTTCGAGTGTTCCCCGTTCTTTCATCTCACGAAACTACAAAAATAAGTAATGTTTCTGATTCTTGCAGGGTATGCCAAAGACCCAACAGCGACTGCTAAACTGCGCCACTTCAATCGCCAAGTGCCCTACTGAAACCACCGCCTACGGATCTTGTGTCTCTGCACAAGCTGAACGGATCAAACAAGGCGACTGTAGCGCAGAATTCAAGAAACTTATTGAGTGTGTCACGAAGAATATCAAAAAGGCATAAAAATGAAAGTCAAAAGGTGAGTGCTCACGCGTTTCAACTGAAAAAAGGTGTGATTGTTACAGACTGAAACGAGCAAATCGTCTGCTCACATTCTACAAATACAACTACAAATTTGTTCCCCCGTATCGAGTCCTGGTCGATGGAACGTTCTGCAATGCGGCTCTTCAGGAAAAACTGAACCTTGCCGAACAAATTCCCAAATATTTGACGGAGGAAACACATCTGATGACCACAAATTGTGTGATCAAGGAGCTCGAGAAGTTCGGACCTCTTCTTTACGGTGCTCTAGTAATTGCGAAACAATTCGAAGTAGCAGAATGTACACACGCGACACCACGAGCTGCTTCTGACTGTCTTGCACATTTGGCACGACGAGCAGCGAGCGGAAAGACGAAGTATCTGATTGCAACACAAGACGACGAACTGACGGAAAAGTTGAGAGCCATTGTGGGAACGCCCATTATGTACATCAAGTTCAAAACAGTTCTTCTGGATAATGTGAGCTTCGCAAAGTATTTTCACAACTCAAACGACCCATTTACAGGTTTCTGAAGCAACAAAAGCCGGATGTGCCAGGGAAGAGTCTGAAATTCAAAAGTTGAAAGCGTTAAAAGAAGTCGTCATCGGAAAAGAGGAGGTGAAAAAGAAGAGAAAGAAGAAGGGAGTGAATCCGCTTTCGTGCAAGAAGAAAGTGATGAAGGCGTCAGTGGAAACGGTTCGAACGGGAGAGAGGACATCATCGGGAAAGCGGAAACGTTCGAAGAAGAAGGCGCCCGCGGAAGATGTCTGAATCCCAGTATCTGATACTTTGCTGTTCATTTTTGTTGATCTTTTCTTTTTTTTTTCTTTATTGTTATCATGAATTCATAATACGAATACAATCGGGTCCATACAGGGAATGCAAAATATTCAGAGTGAAAAATGGGAAAGTGGGAAAATTAAGGGAAATTTCTTATTCAGTCAATTTTTTTGTAGTTTTCTTATTAGTAAAGCTTTTGTGGGACCGATTGAAAGGGCTCTAGTGAGCGGTGGCGATGTTTCCGTTGATGATGGAGAGGAGCGCATCGCGGTAGGCTCCGGAAGTGTCTCCCTTGACGACGTCGACGAGGCTCTTCGAGTAGAGCTCCGCGAATTCGGTCTTGATGAGCTCCAAGTCGACCTCGGAACGGGTGACGAGCACGCGGATGAGGTCGTTGTCGCGGGTTCCGAGTCCCTTCATCGAGCCGTACAGCTGCTGCGCGAAGAACTTTTGCTTGTCGGAAGCGGCGCGGACGATGGTCAGGTACGACTTCTGGACGTCCCCGGAGAACTCCTTCTCGATGCTCTTCTCGATCGAAGCACCGGCGAGCTCCTGGAAATAGGCGAACACCTTGCGCAGCTGGTACTGGTTCTGAGTGGCCAGAATGCTGAGGAAGTGCGATCCGTCCTTCTTCGACAGCTTGGCCTTTCCGTCGGCAAAGAGGCGAACGGCATCCTGGAAAGGGAAAAGTAAGGTTGTTGTCAATTTGGAAGCGAACTTACGTCCTTGGCCTGAGCGTCGTTGGTATCATGGGATCCGTCCTTGGATCCGGTGACGAGGCTGACGAGCAAGTCGCGGAACTCTCCGGAGGTGTCTCCGGCAACGTCGGCCTCGAGCGCCTTTCCGTATTGTTTCTCGTAGGCGACGCGGATCGCACGGAGCTGGTCGACGGTGCGCGAGCAGAGGATCTCGATGAGCACGGCCTCGTCGGTGCCGAGTCCCTTCATGGCGGCCTTCAGCTGCTTCACGTCGTAGTCGAGCGGGTTGTCCATCAGCGCGAAGATGGTCTTCTCGAGGTCTCCGGAGAACTTCTTGTCGAGCGCCTCGATGAGGTCCTTTCCGTACTTGAGCTTGTACGGCTCGCGGAGCTTCTGGCGCTGCGAGTTCGAGATCGAGGTGAGCACCTTCACGACGGCGTCCTTGTCTCCGGCGCGCAGAGCACGGTCGATCTTCTCGGCGAAGAGCGGAGCGTTGAAGTCCTTGGCGTCAACGATGGTGGCGTACGGGGAAGTCATTCTGTAAATTGAAAGGATGAGAAGATGAATGGGGAGAAGACAACAAAACAGAAAAAGAAGAAGAGGGCACTTATCAGAGTGATAAGAATCGTCGAAACTCTTGATAAGAGAAAGAAATGACTGATGTTCGGGGGCGACCGACGCGAGGGGTTGGCTAAGGAATGAATAAAGGAGCGAAGAAAATAAAGGGGAAAAGGACGGCAGGAAGTGGGCGGAGCCACCCGCCGGGATGAATCAGCGGGCGAGAGAGGAGAGACGGAGGCGAGAGAGTACGGGACGAAACAAAACAAAAATGCATCCAAATGATGAAATATCGTTCAAGATCTGATCATCTCCAGAAGGTTTTCAGGAGGGCTCTGACTCAGTGGGAACTATTACGAAATCGAGAAAGACGTGTCGTCGGGACGAGAATAGAAAAACAATTTAGAAAAGGAAAGAGCAACGGAAAGGCGATATCTCGACGCGAGTGAATCCCCATCAGTACTCACAGTTCGAGGATTCTGAGACGGATTACTGTAACTGCTTTGCGCGTCGAGACCCTCGGACGAAAACATGAAAACGTCAAATCGAAAACTCTTTCCGATTCCGAGATTTAATTTCGTGTGTCGGTTGGCCCATTCGGCCAGAAATGTTGTCTGTTGTGCTGCCACTGTTGGGAAAAGCAATATCAGTGACAGAAAGTGATTGCTGAGTCATCCGTCTCGACAGATAGATATTTTCTAATTTCCCCCTCGTACAGTACGCGCTCTCTCAATTTCTGATCGCTTACTCATGTGTCCGCATGATTCACGCCATCGATCTGTACAACAACATCTCTGGGTCGTTCGACGTGCGAACGCTCAAAAATAGAAAGCTGGCACCGACGGATACGACCGAAAAGGCAGAGCGGAAAGGGGGAAAAGAGCGATCGGCGCGGGAAATGTGTTATTGGAGAAGGAGGAAGAGGGGGAAGAACAACAAAAGCGACCGAATTGATGCTATTATACGTCCACATTTCGAAAGTGGAAATCTGAAGCGTGAGAGGGAGGGAAAGGGGCTCGCCCAGATGACATTCAGCTGCCAGCTCTTTTTTGGGTGACACATATTTCACTGTAATGGCCACAGGTGGTCGGGACAAGGTTCAGTGATTGATGTGTACGACGGTCGTGGTTCCAAGAAGACCCCCGGAAAGACACGTGTTCTACACCACATCCAGAAACCAGCAAACTATACGATAACATCGAGAACGTTCTACAACAAACAGTGTCCTGTGCCCCATTCAATTTGAACATGAATATTCAATCGAAATGTGTCGTGTCGTGGCAATCGGTCGAAGCCGATGTGTTCGGAAAGCCATAATCGCTTTCAATTGGAGACGGATTATAACGACAATTATCCGTAGGCTAAACGGTCACGGAAAAGCGAAGCCTCGACAGAGAAGAGAACGGTAGTCACACTAATGTGCACTGGGATCAAAAGGGCACTTCAACATCACAACTGTGACCTTGTAACTGTGAGTTTCAAAAGGCAAACTTGCCAGAAAGAAACACACAATATTCGTACTGAGTGAACACAAAGAAACGGGGCGCGCGAGTGGGTAAACAACAACCCGATAGCGCTCGCGGCCGCCCTTCCCGCCGACCCCTTTCGACCGATTCCATTTCATTTCGAAAAGGGGGCGGAGCTTGCGGTTTCTCAGTTGAACACACTCTCTCTCGGGTGGCCGTGAATTTATGAGTTTCACGGACAAAAACAAGGAAACAACATAACTGCTTGGGAAAAAAGAAGCCGTGAAATGTGTCTCGATCGGGTCCGAGGACATCTGGCCGAAAGGGTCATTCTGGAGGGATCACTGTCGTTAACACTGCGATGGGAATGTGGAAGAAGAGAAGAATCTTCTAGAAGACGATTTTTGATTTATTTATTTGAGTAGAACGTTCATCTAAATATTTGCCCTTGAAGCGATCAAAGATCTCAAAAATATTAGTGACACTTTCCTTTCAAAAATAGCGTATCGCCACGTAATAAGAACTTTTGCCTCTGTGTAGCAAGCTTCTTTCCGCTACACTATTTCTCTTATCACAACGCCAAACACAAACAAACTGTCGAGCTTTTTATTGGTTTTTTTAAAGCGGCGAAAGCGAGAACGAAGTGAGTGGCTCCAAAAGCTCGAGGAGCTCATCACTGATGACTCATCAGTGTCTACATCTCTTTGGTTTTCCCAGAATGGGCGTGACGTATACGGAATTCAAAACATCTTCTAATGACGGCAAAAATGAAACGTTTTGAAGGCCGATTCACTCAAAGTAAGGAGAGGGAGGAGAGATAAACAAGAGAGACGCAGACTAAAGTGATGAGGAGAGAAGAAGGGGAGAGAAAATTGGGGAGAAGGGACAATTTCTCGGGGGGTACGGCTTGACGATCGGCTCTTTGGGAACAACGGCTTCGATCTTCCGATTTGCAAACTTCGGGCATCTTCCCGTTTCGGATTGCCCATAGCATCTCAGCAGATACTGACATACATCACAGAGAAATAATACTTAGAATACCCATACTGCCTGTAGCATTTCAGAAAAGCCAGAGTAAAATATGGGAACCGTTCCTCGTCAGATGAATTTATAGCTCTTCGATAATATCTGACCCATATTATACTATAAAACTGTTTTCGTCATGTTCTGTGCCAAATGGGACAAAAAATGTCAGGAACTAACGGAATTGTGGAACAAACTGGCCAAAAAGTTTGAATCGAACCCGAATGTTGTCATTGCGAAAATGAACCCTGTTCTCAATGAAGTGAGTTTATCAGCGATATCATGAAAGCTCCTACATGTATTTTTCAGTTTCCTGATGGCAAGTTCGATGACTATTCAGATTTCAAGTTGTGGCCAGCGGGATCATTGGAGCCCGTCACTTACAAACTTGACAGCAAGCCTAGCCTGGAGACACCTATTGAGTTTGTCAGCGACGAGATAATTGAATCAGAAGCTGGGTTTACGAACAGATGTTATGACTATTACCAGGAACCGTTACGCAAATCCCCATCCTTCACAATTCGTGTTTTATTTATTATTCTGGCCACAGTACTGGCGTTCAGAAATGTACGGATATCTGTTTCGTGTATTTAGAGGCGAGTTGACGATTCGAATTAAACTGTTTCTGAAAAAACCTCATTTCCGTTTTGCTATTTTTGCACTTTTAGTATTGAAAATCCTCTCATTTCTTTCGGGTATTTTGAATATTTTAATCTCACTGTTTACCGCGATTGTTACATCTTTCTTATGGACCTAATCAAATAAAACTATCACGGATTCGTTTTTCTGTTTTTTGTTCATACCTGACTTTTTTCTGATGGCTCATTTTTCTCATTTTCTCCAGAATGGGCGTGACTTCTAAGGAATTCTCGTCATCTTATGATGGCGACAAAAAGTAAAACATTCGATAAAACGAGCTTACAAAATTTGAATTAATTTGGGTTATTTTGGTCTGGAATTAACGGCAACAAGATTTGTGAGGGGTTCCGTGAAGTACGGCTTGAGAATCGGCTCTTCGGGAAGGATGGCCTGGATTTCAAGGTTTGCGAACTTCGGGCCTCTGAAGGTCGGCACTTCGCAACGTTCTCCGCCACCGCCCAAGTTCTGCACAATCAAGTGCCTCATTCCCGATGGATACTCGTCTAATTCGACCGTCAAATCCGACCAATTGAGATCTCAATCATTCCTTCTTGAAGTCTACTTTTGTGGAAAGCGTACCTGCCTGATCAAATCGATCAAAGTAGCTTTTGCAGTCCATTTTGTTGCGTTTCGTTTCATACCAGGAGAGGTGGTCCATAAACTTTCTAGCTGGTTCCAGACGAGCACTGAGTCTCGCGTAAGCTCTTCTGCAGTCAATCGTGTAGTAATGACTGACCTTCTGAGTCACTCGGATTTTCGGACGCACAAAATCAAGCACCCAGGGATCGATTCCAGAAGCGACGAGGTCGATGTAATAGTGCAATTCTTGAACATCATAGGAGAAAGCGATGCATTTGGTGACCGACGGATGAGGATTACAGCCGATTCCCCCGTTCAATTCCAGCCGCATTCCGTCGCCTTCCGGCTCAATCAGACAATCACGGGTTTTCAGATCACTCTTCACAATTCGATTCGGAAACTTCTCAAAGATAGAGTAGAGATTCGGACGAATAACGGAATAGCCACGACGTGAGAGCACCTGAAAGCGGAAAAGATTTAAAAAATGCTGTTAGTACTTCTCTTTTACCATTTTTTGGATGTCAAACCTAAATTCTGACGTTTTAATCGTTCTCTCAACGTGTCCGATGAGCTTCTGCTCGTTCACCGCTTTTCTCTATTTCAGCGCCGGCAAAACTTGTTCCCTTTCGTGATCTCGAGCCTTTCTTATCCAAAAACTGTCCTGTAGAAGTGCGGAGTTGAGACTAGGCGCCACTCAGGGATCAGAGTTGTCTGCCGTCTTCCGTCTTCCGTGGTTTTTTTTGTTCCGTCTTCCGTCTGCCGTCTTCCGGAAAAAAGGTTTTCTTCCGTCTTCCGTCTGCCGCCTTCCGTAAAAAAAGGTTTTCTTCCGTCTGCCGTCTGCCGTCTTCCGGGATTTTTTCTTCTTACCGTGAAAGAGTAATAGCTTTTCAGAAGCCATTTACTAGCCCCGAAGAACGCGAATTTCCACGGGCAGTGACCCAGATCCAAATTTTTTGTTGTTTAGTTATTTTTTTCACAAAAAAAACCGGAGAAAAAGGTTCTGCATTGACGATTTTTTTGTTCCGTCTTCCGTCTGCCGTCTTCCGGGAAAAAAGTTGTCTTCCGTCTTCCGTCTGCCGTCTTCCGTGAGAAAAATTTTCTTCCGTCTTCCGTTTTCCGTGTTCCGTAAAAAAATTTTTCTTCCGTCTGCCGTCTGCCGTCTTCTGGATTTCAAAACTCCATTTCCGCTCAACTCTGTCAGGGATTTCTCAGCGATTTGAAGCATAGTTGCCACGGGCCGGGCCGGGCCGGGCCGGGCCGGGCCGAAATTTCCAAAACTCCGGCCCGACCCGGCCCGTCGGCCCGGCCCGGCCCGGCCCGGCCCGACCCGGCCCGGCCCGGTCGGCCCGGTTCAAAAAAAGCGGGAATTCAAAAATTTGAATTATTGATCGCATGAAGCCATTTTTTTTGTAGAATTAGGGGTTTTTTTGCAATCATCGAACATTGAAAAAAACAAATGTTTTTTTCTCATAAAAAAATCATAATAGCAAAAAAAGCAAAGAAGAAACACTAAAACTTTAGTTCGAAAAATTTTTTTTGTAATAACGAAAAAAATTTCCGCGAAAAATTTGAATTCCCACCTTTTTGAACCGGGCCGACCGGGCCGGGCCGGGCCAGCACTTCACCGACCCGGCCCGGCCCGGCCCGGCACTTTACCGGCCCGGCCCGGCCCGGCCCGGGCCGACCCGGGCCGGCCCGCATGGCCGACCCGAAATCTGGCAAGTCTGATTTGAAGTGAGGAAACAGCGGCGAAAGAGGCGTTTTGAGGAAACCGCGGATGACCGCTGTTTCGCCAAGCTCAAATCGTGGCGAGACCACAGCCGCGGCGCTTTTGTCGAAACGGCGGAGGAACGCCGTTTCAACGGAAAACAACGCACTGTTCTGGCGGAGTTCGGGCGAAACAGCGGCGGCACTGTGGCGAAACACGGTTGTAAGTGTGTTCGACCCGCTTTCCGCCGCTGTTTCCTCACTTCAAATCGCTGAGTTAAAGTGAGGAAACAGCGGCGGAAGAGGCGTTTTGAGGAAACTGCGGCGGAACGCTGTTTCGCCAAACTCAAATCGTGGCGAGACCACTGCGGCGGCAGCTTTGGCGAAACGGTGGCGGAACGCCGTTGCAAAGGAAAACGACGCAGTGTTCTGAGGAAACGGCGGCGAAAGAGTAAACAGGGAGGCAACATCGGAATATCGGACGGTCGTTTTTCTTTCGCGCGGCATTTTTCTTTTATCTTTCTCGTGCAAAATCGTTTCGAAAGGTGAAAGTGTGATTTTTTTAGGCCAGCACACAATTTCCACAGAAAATATGAGTGACGCAATGCTGCCGCACTTTCATTCGCCGGTAAGCTCGAATTTTGCACGAAATCCGTGCGAAACATTAAATTTTCAGCGACCCACAATGAAGTCTCGGTGAGCTACGACAAAGAGGTGCTGCGCGACATTTGCAACGGATTCAGCCCAGGGGTGTGCGGAAAATATTTCGATTTTCCGAAATTTTCCGATTTTCCGAGAAATTTTCGGAAAATTTTCCGACGGAAAATTTTCCGAAAATGTTCGGCAAAATTTTCGGAAAATTAGTGTGGATTCAAGGTCAATTTGTCCGAAACCACCGTATGCTTTTTAAAGGCGCATCACAAAATTTTTGGAAGGGTCTAGCAGCGAGCGTCTTTTTAAATTTGAAACAACCGCGCGTCTCATTCTCACTGACAATCGGAAAACACTGGACCCGGAGAGCTTCTCTCGGCTAATTTTTTTGCAAAAAAATATTCCATTGCTTGGCTTCCGCCCACTCAAGTGATTTCAAATCATAATAAGCATTTTTTTGTATTAGAACGTTGTTTAAACACTTTATTGAACCAATGAACAAGTGAGTTTTCCGATTTTTCCGATTTTTCCGAAATTTTCCGAAAAAAAAAATTCGGAAAACCCGATTTTCCGAAATTTTCCGAAAAAAAAAATTCGGAAAAACCGATTTTCCGAAATTTTCCGAAAAAAATTTTCCGCACACCCCTGATTCAGCCGCGCGAATAGGGCCGGGCGACGAATGACTTCATTAACGGCGAACTCGTGGACGCTCGGCGTCTTCGTGGCCGCTATCATCGTGTTTCCCATGCTCAAGCGCGGTCTCGCGTTCGGCATCTCTCCGTTCATTCAGAACTACGTTTTCGGGTCAGTTTAAAGGCGATTCATTCCCGAAAATCGAAATTTTTTGCTTGCAGCGACTGAAATATCGTCTAATCGATATCGACCGTGCTCGCCGGCTGTCTCCTTGGCTCATCTTCGTGCAACTGCCCCGTCTGAGCATCAAAACACTGTTGAAGTACAAGAAATGGATGACACCGCTCGGAAAGGTGTCGAAGCCGACGAAGCTGTGGCTCGGAGTGCTACACATGATCTCGATGGCCGATCCGATGCTGCACTCATTTCAGGAAGCGCTCCCACCTCTTCCGGTGCCGAATCTCGACGATGCCGTCAAAGAGGTAGCACATTGCCACCGCATTTTCGTCGAAAAGTTTGTTTTTCAGCACCTCATCTCGATGAAGCCGATTCGCAGCGAGGAAGACTCGACTTTCTATCGGAACGCTTCCGAAAGGGAGTTGGCCGACGTCTCCAACGCTACCTGACGCTGAAGTTGTTGTTCTCGACTAACTACGTGACCTACTGATGGGAGGACTTCGTCTACATGCGGCTGCTTCCCTCTGCGATTTCATCGTTCCCACCCTTTTCGGTTCCGTTCTTCAATATTTTTTTCCCTTAGTTGGAACCGGTTTCAGCTGTTTTCCGTCGATAAACTCAATTAAAATTGGAAAATGTTCTCAAGTCGTTTTCGTTGTTAGGTTTCTCACCGATTTCATGAATACTTATTTGTTATCACTTCGGTTCTCGCCAACATTGCGTGTTCGTATTGAACAGGTCCTGCGCGTATTGAACAACCTGCGCAATGAGCAAACGACGGGGAGATCGCGCGCACATCGGTCAGTTGAAATAGAACAATGGTGTATTAATTACTGCTTACAGAAGAACTGCTAAGTTCTCTCGGATGCCCCCTGAACTCACAACGCCATGCTTCAGAAAGTACAATAAATGGAATGGACAGAACCGCAGATGACGTGTTCCATATCGCTCGGCTATTAGAGGAGGAAACTTATGTAAATAACGATTGGGTGGAGTTTGAGCGTCGTGGTCAGAATGGCGTCGTGGTCCGACGTCAAATTCAACACGAAGCGAGTTCAGGACCCGTGATGGAGAGTCCAAACTGCATACCGGTCCAACGTCAATTTCATCAAGGAGCGTATGGAGGACCCCCGAGACAGACCCCCAAACGCATCCCGCTCCCACGTCACTTTCCGCAAGGAGAGTATTCCGGACCGCTCAGCGTTCCGGTTGGACGTAAATTTGAAAACGGTGAGAATTAATTGCGGGTGGGCGCCGGTTAAGAAGTGAACTAATAGCGGCTGAAGTGACCGGAAATCGTACAACTACGAGAGGAATACCGAGAGGAATCTGTTTTTCCAGGTGCTCCGTCCGCAACACCGTATGCGCCACAATGGAAACGTCCGCGGCTCCCGCTCTACGCCGGTGGTGCACGAGTTCCAGAAGCAACATCCACAGTCCCCCCTCTGCGTGGGCGTGCGCATCCACTGGCAGAATCCGGTATTGCGATTCGTTCAGGTATTACACGAAACAAATGGAAATAACGTGACATTGTAGATGCGATTTTCCTGTCCAACGCCGAGATCTGTTACTTCGAAACTATTGATTCGTCGATACCACTTCTACGTAACATGCAAATCTGTGAATCGATGAAATCATTGTTCCTACAGAAAATCTCCTCAAAACCTGCGAGCGAAACGAAGTGGATTTGGGAAAACTGGGGATAGTTCTGCTCAAATACGAAAAAACGAAACGGTTGGACAGCGGAACATACAAGGTAACTATAAACAAGCATGAATTAGATGGGAAACAAATGTTGAGGTGTGCGTCGCTGCATTTGCGCAGTTCTCATTGGAAATTGCATTCAACGTCAGCGTATTAGGGGAACTGGCTCCTAAAGTGTTTCAATTGGCCCACGTGTTCCTGGTAGGTCGAAGTATGCAGCGATGTAGTCGGAAAGAGTATTTAGCACAACGTGAATGTGAAACGTTCGGAAAATGCTCAGTTGAAGGAGCCCAAGACGATGAAACTGAAACCAACGTTTCAGTTTTGCACGAAGACTTTCGCCGGTAGTTTTCCGTTTGTAGTAAGCAATTTATGCTGTTGTTTTCGCGGAAATTTCTTGTTTTATTTCAGCAACATGCCGAAGTTTCTCTTCTCAATCGGGGAGCCGTCCCAGCCGATGTTCAGCGAGCAGTAACTTTTGTGATTAGGAACACGCTCGCCCAGGTGAACCGACATGATATATTCCCAATACGACTGAAGCAACTCAGATCTTCGCCGACAAGGACAGTCACCAATGCTATGCAGTCCGAATGCACGACAAAAACGGGAAGAGAGGGCACCAAGATCTGCCAGAAGAAGTGAAGGATTTCGTAAATGGTGAGCATTCCGTGCACAGAACACAATTGAAGATGAATGAGTTCATGACTTTCCGGGCATTAACGGTGCCGATTATTTGTTCAGACTTCGTTCTCTGTTCCTTCGGCTACCCACCGTCGATTCGCTTCGTCGGTTATACTTTGGAGAATCTCGGCTCAGATAATCCAGAGTGAGTTGAACTGGGAAGTTTGAATATCGTGCCTTGAACCATGTTTGTTCAGTCTGCTGGCGAAACTCGGAGAGACGACGGAAGAGCGAGAAAAAATAATACCTGTGCTGCAGCAGGACGTTCACACGTTCACCGCAATCATTCAGGAAAAGTTACAAAGAACTCTGTTAGTCGCTGAATTGAATACCTCTTTATATCAACGGTTTGTTTTACAGGAACGATTTGCGAAAGTACGAAATCCGCACGTCGCAGAGGACAGTCGATGGACGAGTGTACACGATGAAGACGTTCGTCAGACCTGGAACGGCTATCTCGGTATGATTTCTACTCAGAAATGACGCGGCTGCGAATTCACGCATATCTCTTTTGTCCGCAAATATTTGAAGAACAGTGTAGTGTTATGAAACGAACATCAGCCGACATAGTAAATTGTGAATTCCAGATCGAAGAGAACACTACCGAAGAACCACGTGCAAGTCCTCAAGCAGCTCCAAGTGCTCAGTGACGTGAAAACCGTCACCTTTGTCTCCCCCCTCATTGCTTTATTCTTCCCCGATTTCGGCCCTTCTTCATTCCCTCACCGCATTTCTCCATTTCGTCTTTCTCTTCTTCCCCATTTCAGTCATTCTCCTTCTCCCCGCACTGCTCACTTCCTTAGCTCTGTTCTTCCCCTATTCCTTCATCCCTCGCTGTTCGCAATCTGGTCGAATTTCTAGGCCGCGAAGTAATTTTCCACTGAAAATGTGGCCTAATTTTTCAAACTCGGCCCCGAGGTCGCTCAATTTGCACTGCAAAAAAAAGCAACAGAGCGCCATTTCTGTTCGGTGCCCCTATAATATAATAGAACTGGGCAGAATAGAACCGCGACATAATAGAACTACGCATAATAGAACTGGGCAGAATAGAACCGCGACACAATAGAACCGGCCACAATATAACTGTTTGGAGCGCCTTTTAAACCTTTCTGTAGAATAATTGTTTCGTAGAAAAAGATAATTTTTAAATCTCGTGAGCTTAATTTGTTCTATTCTGCCTATAGGTTCTATTATGTTGGACCGCCGTTAAATTAAATTAGATTTCAGCTCGGAAAAGATACTTTTTCAATAGACAATTTCCTTTTCTTTGTTGTTTTTTTTCATTGTTTTGTGCTGATCAAAGTTATTTCCCATCTCTCAATGCTACTCAAAAATATCGATTTTCGTTTCGAAACTATCATTCCTCCATCTGTACCGTCAATAAAATTTTTTTCGTTGTCCATTTTTTCAATCAGTTTTTAAAATGCTTCTGAGCTCTTTTTAAACTGAGCACACGTCGTGTCCATACATTCTCATCTTAGTGGCCGAAGAAAGGAATCGACGAAAAAGTTAGTCCGCGGATCCGCCAAGATGGAATCCATCGATATCTTTCAAAATAATTGTTTTCTTTGTCAGTTTGTTATCAAAAAACGAATTCTTGTCTTCAGATTACACCTCAATGCAATAATCTATGAGCTCAGTACCGAAAAAAGGGCGTATCGGACGCCGGAAAAGTGATCCAGGCACCCTGACAGTCCGGTCCAATGCAGACAAGTATGTTGTCCTTTCCTTACTAAACACTGCTATTTTTATCAAACACTGATTAAAAAGGAAATCTAACGTAAAATCTTCAGAATCGCAACGTGTGAACTTCCGTGGGGCGGCACTCGAATGGTTGCTCTCGGTCCCTTGGATCTCACCCAATCGAGCGGACCGTTCGTCGGACAGGCCACTCTCATGGACCTTTTCAACATATTCGAACGGAAATTGCACATTGTCACCGAAGAAGAGCCACTGGAGAAGATGCTGAACAAGACGTTGCAAAGAGGAGGCGACACGTATTTCGACAATTTGTGCCACACTCTGCACGGTCTCTCCGAGATTTGTCTGCCGCCCGTTCTCAAAGTAATTGTGGAATGGCACGAGAAGTACGACGAGTCGCTGTCTCTCTCGATGCTTTCTCCTTCGGTCACGAACGAAATGCGGCTGAAATTGGCGAAGAAACTGCTGGCAGTCAACTATCTCTTCTGCCTTGTTCTCATTGAAATCCTTCCGCAAGTGGAGTTCCATCTCCCTCAATGCGATCCGCTCGTCAAGAAAGTTCTTGAGATATGCTTTAAGAATGTGCAGTACAGAGAACCGTAAGTCTAAAAGCATTCTGAATTTTTTTGAAACAAACAATTTCTTAGATCGAGTGTCGGTGTGAACAAGACGAATCATTTGGTGGTTGCGGAGACGTACGGAGAAGTGCTGGGAGTGCTCTCCAACACGTATTTCACTCACATTCACAAAATCTTCATGACTCACATCACGGAACTTAAAAAAGACGTCTCACAAACCGCTTCACAGCAGATAGTCGCGCTGATAATGTCGATGAAATTCCTGCGAATCAACTCGACCCAAGTGGAGGATTTCGAGAACGGACTGAAGTTTCTGGACGATTTGGCCAGTTTGCTGTTGGAAGTGAAGGATAAGGACGTGAAGCATGCCGTCATGGGACTGCTTGTCGAGATTTTGTTGCCTGTGGCCGCCGTGAGCTATAGATTTTCGGCTTTTCCGAATAAAAGTTAATTTCAGCAAATAAAACGAGAGACCAACATCCCAGCACTGATTTCTCTCGTCCAGAAGCTATACACGACGACAAATGACATGACGTCGAAGAAACATCACAAATTGGTTAGTTCCGAAATAAAAACGCACTCGACGTCTTCTATTCCAGGCGGCGTTTCCTCTGATAACGTGTCTTCTTTGCGTCAGCCAGAAGCACTTCTTCCTTGCAAACTGGGTCCAATTCCTCAACGTGTGTCTTTCTCATCTAAAGAACAAGGACACGCAAGTGGCACGTGTCGCCCTGGAAAGTCTGTACAGACTTCTTTGGGTGTATATGATCCGAAACAACGCGGACGGTAATGCGGCAACTCGTTCTCGCCTCGATTCCATTTGCGGAAGTCTCTTCCCTAAAGGGAATCGGTACATTGGTAGGTAAACGGGCAGAGTGACACGTACCAAATGATAATTTCAGTCCCACGAGACGCGCCGCTCAACATCTTCGTCAAAATCATCCACTTCATCTCGCAGCAAAAACTGGATTTCGCCTTCAAAGAGATCATTTTCGACCTTCTCTGCGTCAACAATCGTACCCAGCGGTCCTTGTATGCCGAGCGGATGAACGTCGGCATCCGTGCTCTGATGGTCATCGCGGACGGTCTCCAGAAGAAGGACGATCCGCCGGCGATGCCGAAATCGATGGGTCCGTCTGCAAGTGGAACAGTGTACAAAACGAAAAGAAAAGCATTCATCCAACGGCCGCTGACCAACGAAATCTCTAAGTGAGTCACTCTCTCGGACACGTGTTGCTCAGGGAATGGTCAAACACTCTATCTCTATCCTTCTCTCTCATTTGGCCACATGACCAACTTTAGGCCAGCCGAAAACATAACTTTTTCTAGTGTCAATAGAGAATTTAGCACCTAAATAGAATGTTTATTTGATGAAATACCGTATCTCTCTGAATTGGCTATCCAATTGTTTCCCTCATTTCCCCCATTTCCATTCTTTTTTTTCCTCTTTCCCTATCATTCTCTTACTTTTCAGATCTATCGGAATCGACCAATTCTATCCGCAGTGCCGAAAGGCTTTCGATAGTATCCTTCGGCTTCTGGACGCGCAAATCGGAAAACCGCTCATGATGTCGTCGATTCAGAGCAGAGGAAAAGAGCCGGACGAGCTGATCAGCGGGGACGCGAAGCCAAAACTCGACCTGTTCCGCACTTGTATCGCCGCCATTCCACGTCTCATTCCCGAACCGATGACTCATGTGGTACGTTCGATTCGCCCGCTCACTGCTCATCAATTCATTTGTTTATTTTTTCAGGAATTGATTGACCTCCTCACTCGCCTGACTGTGCACATCGACGAAGAGCTCCGCAACATGTCCGGACTCACTCTTCAAACGATTATCGGAGAGTTTCCGGAATGGCGAGAGCAAGTGTTTATTGGACACATCTCGCTAATCCAATCGCAAATCTCTGACTTTTACCCACTTGTTTTGGATGATTCCCTTCGCCTGATGCTCCAATTGTTGACCACGTGGAAAACGGCGATTGCAGCTGAAAAGAAGAGAGAAGCAGAGAGGATCGTGCCGACGAGTCCGTTGACCGGCAGCCACCATAGTGCCTCCCACAGCACGCACATCTCGGTCAGCTTCCCGAACACCGTCTCCTCTGCCTCTTCCATCCTCTCCAACTCGTCCTCCCCTCACCAACCTACTCCTTCTCTCTGTTCCCTCCCCGAATCCTCGTCTCTTCATTCTATTCCAACTGCCGTCGCGGCTTCCACGTCCTCCACAACCACAACGCCCACGCACTCGCAAGGAGCTCCCTCTCAGGGAACCATTGCATCCGGAGGGAACAGTGCGCTTTCTGTGCTGCACACGATCGAAGGACTCGCAATCGTGTATCTCTGTCAGACGAGATCGGCCCCTCGCAAGTTGGCCGTTCAGATTCTGAAGGAAATCAAAATGATCTACGATTTGCTGGGAATGGAAATGACGGACACTCCGGTCATCGACGTGCTCGACCACGCGACTCCGTACGTTGTCAAGAAGTACATCGAACACGTGCCGTTGAGAGAACGAATGTCATGGAACATGGACTTTGCCTCCGTCTGCGAGAAGATCTCAACAATCGAGGCGGACAACACTCTGGTGAACAGTGATCGGGGAAACGAGTACCTGCAGTGGGACCCGTGGGGATGCGCCCTTTCCGGATATGCAGAGCTGAAACATCTTCTGACGAGGTGTCCGAGTGCCGTCGCCGCTGCCTGGCCTGTTCTCTTCTCTAGACTCAATGCAGTGTCCGGATACGTTGATCCAAAGTAAGAACTGTGGCGGTTTCTCCTTAAATCCATCTTTCAGCAATCCTCAAAACGAAAGCCGATCTTCTCTCTTGCGTGGATCCAAAAGCAAAGGAACGTCTTCCATTCTCGGAGAGCAACTCGGTCAGGAAGCGTGTCTCGCTCTCTGGCAGAAGTATCTCATCATGTGCTGCGCTTTGGCTCCCGCCCCCTACAACCTCTCGCAGCGGAGTTTCAGTCCTACAAACTCGATGGATGGTCCCGTCGACGTCTTCCGTTCAGTATCCGCTTCCCTCAGATCGTCGCGCACTCCTGTACCGAACTCTCTTTCCCAACTGATTTCGAAGGTTTGCATGATTCTGCGATGGGAGAACATGACGGACATCAGAGACAGCGTCGTTCTCGGAGTCGGATCCATCAATCCGCTCGCTTTCGAAATGCTCCTCGATGAACTAAAGTCCAATGGAATCCTTCGAGAAGCCACCGAAAAGAAGGCGGAAACGAACCTCCGTCGCAGAAAGAGAAAGGATTTGCTCCGTTTGCAAATAATTCGCGTGATCGAAGTGGCCATTTTCCGCGGTTTGCTTCTCGTTTCTTCGTCGGGAACGTCGGAATACACTCTTCATCCTTTGGTTCTCGACTTTATCGAATCAATGAGAATTAACTTGGAGAGTGATCACGATCGGGATATCACTGTTGTAACGAAACTCCGACTTCATTTCGCAAAACTGGTACATCTGATCATTGAGTCGACGCCTCATCTCTCCAGGCACTGTAAGTACCTTTTCCGAACTCATGCGTATGTTCTATTCGATCATTTTTAGCTCTGCTCTCCGAGGAACGCCGCTACAACCTTTTCTACCTGTTCATCAACTGGTGCTCTCGTACTATCGCCGCCGATCGGAAGATCCGTGACAAGGAGGTCGGATCATACGTGGAACAGAAGTCGGTGCTTGCGATGAGTCGCATCCTCTGCTGCGGACCAATCTTCGACCCAGTCAAGTCGATCGGAGAAGACGGATATCTGTACGGATGGCTCGAGAAACTGATCGTATCGACGAATCCGACGATGCAGGCGGAAGTGGAGGAGATGCTTGCCTGGATGCTCGAACTGAACGAGTCCGGAGTGCTTCTCGACTGGCTCATGATGCAGTGCTACAGCCAGCCAACTGCCGTCGCTTGCAGGTGCTTCCGCGCTCTCGTCCGCGTCTTTTCCCGCCGAGATTTCCCTTGCGAATTCGTGTCGCTGTTCGTTCTCTGCCAGTCGATGCTCGCGGTCAACTCGGTCACCGACTGTGCTCTTCACATGATCGAAATTCTTCGGAAGCAGTTCCTTGAAACGTCGAACATTCACGCGACGTCTCCTGCTCAACAAGTGGCTCCGATAGTTCAGATGCGCCATCAAACGGATGGGATTACGGTGAGAAATCCGTGCTTTTAACATTTTCATTTCATTTTCAGAGCCGCTACAACGGACACATCCTCCCGATCGAACAGCACGATATTTGCACTCGTCTCGCCAACGCCTATCCTCATCTGACGGTCACCATCTTCAGCGAAGTCTCCTACCGTCTTGAAACCGCGAATTGCTCAAACAAGGCTCAGCTGCTGTCGATTCTACAACCGTGGATTGCCAATCTCGAACTGGTCGACCAGAATGTAGTGGAAGAAGCGGCAGAGGGACCGCGAGGATGGGGATCCGAGGAGGCAACTCAACTCGTACTCAACAATCTGCTCTACCTGACAGTGACTCTCTCGACGGACTACGAAAAGGAACTGGCCGAAGTGTGGAGGACTCTCGCCATCTCTTTCCCCGCAAACCTTCCCGCCATTCTCAACTTCTTCTACACGACAACTCTTCTCTCGCAAGAGTCTCTTCTTCCGTTCACCAAACGGATTTGTGTGCTTATTTCGCAAATCGTCGGCACCAGAATATCTGCCATTCTGTTGGAATGGCTGAGTACGGTGCACGATAGTTCTAGAATCACACTCGACAGAAGCGAGATTCCACCGTACTACAGATGGAGAGATGAAATTTTGGACAGGAAGGAGAGGGTCGCCACGGAAGGATCGACCGCCCGAGACTCTCTAGAGAGGGAAGAACCGACAAAGGACGGAGTGAGACTTCTGCCGATGCCTGCGTACGGAGGACACTACTCCCCGCTCAGTCAGTTCCTTCCGCCAGTTGCCCAGCCAGTTCAGTTTTACAACAAGTAATACATCACCTAAAAAAAAGAAATGTGAAACATCAGAACGCTCACTGTTTTTCAGAAGCGAAGTGGGCCTTCTCCTCGTCTGTGACATCATCCGAACCCGCTGCTCCGTCGATTGGTCCGATTCGCTGGCCCTCCTCCTTCACTTCTCGATCCTCCGTCTTGATTCGCTCCGTCCAGCACTGTGCCGCCACGCCCGTCAAGTTATAATCAACGTCATCATGCTTTACATGGACAAGAGCCAACTGGCTTTGGTCTCGGCGATTTTGCTCAAAAACGAGATGATCTACGGCACAGAGACCAGTGAAATCATTGGAGACGTCGCTGTCGGAGTGTGCCGAGGAGAGTCTCCATCCTTCGCAAGAGCCACTGCCGATGAGTACAGAAAGATGATATTCGCCAGTCCGTCGCTTTTTTCACCGACTTCTGACCTTCTGTCGGCGGTAATCTTTTGTATGAGTGAAAAGTAAGCACATCCGTTATCGTTTCAAACTCGAATTGATTTGTTTTCCAGCATGGATTCTCCTCTGTGGGCGAACGAAGATGCGAACTCGCGCAACTGGAGAGTGCCCAGTTCAGAGCAACTCTCGTGCACGATCCAGCACATCGTCAAGTTGCTCATCGGCCGAATGCCAATGCTCGAGGTGATCTGGACGCAGCTGGCAATGAAGCAGGCCCTCTCCACTTCCAACCGCCACGTGGCTGGTCGATGCTTCCAAATTGTTTCTGCTCTCGGCCAACCGCCCAGTCCCTGGGTCCCGTCTCTCATGTCTCGATTAGTCGAAACTGCGGGAGAGCAGCACGATGAGACTCAGGCCTATGTGACGGATCTGATGACGTGTCTGGCCGACTGCTCGCCGTACATTTCACCGGTAAATATTAAAATGCCAATGTCTCTTCTCTCATTCCGTTCTCAGGACTTGCAGGCAATTGTGGAGACGATCGAAATGCGGCAGGCGATCTCTCCGACTCACATGCGCTCCACCTCGTACACTCCTGCTCTCGTCCGCCAGTCCGTCATCTGTTCCCGTGTGCAACAGTCGGACAAGAAAAGTGAGCGGAAAGCACCGACAGATTCACTCATTCAATCCCTGAAAGACTTTTTAGACGCTCGTCTCTCTTTGCTCGTGTCTGATCAGGAATCGTGGGCCGCAAAGTCGCCGGAAGCGCTCGTTCGGAGCAAAAGTGCGGAGCAGTTACAGAGTGAAAATGACGTTAACGAGGTGAGAATTTAAAGTTGCCTCTACACATGAATACTGTCGTTCTTTAGGAGACAATGTCACGAATGCAAATCCTGGCAATCGCAGTGAGCATGATGGAAAGCGGACTCGAGAACGAGTTTCTTCTGGCTCTACATCTGCTCAACAAAGTGCTCGACGTTCCGACGGCACAGAAAATGCAATGCCTCGTCAAATTCGATAAAATAGTCGGACAGCTTGAATGGAAGAACTTCAACGGAATCATCTCTCTAGTGACAAGAGGTTCGTCTGAAATCCCTTCCGGTCATTCCCCCCGTTCCTTCGAAACACGGTGTCCTGTGTCACCTGTCCACTCGCATCGCTTCACAAATCAAAAGGTGGACAGATCGAACTGGGTGATAATGTCAGTTCGCTTCGAAATGGTGGCGAACTTTTACCCCTGAACGGTTTTCATCGGATCTTCCGTTCAGATAAGACCGGAAGACTCGAGGACGCCCGTCGTTTTACGGCTTCTCAAGACATCCTAATGTTGCCGAATTACGGGATACTGTAGATGGAAAGAAACGGGTACTTCCAGGTGCCATAGTGCTGCCAGCCTACGAGTCTTCGATACAAGCGATGATCCGTCTGAGCGACGTCATGACGGAAGAAGTGGTCGGAGGTCCGAACGGAATCGCCATCTTCGTCTGCCACACTCTTCCTTATCTGGCCACCAACTTCGAAGCGCCAAATTCACTTTCCATTGACGTCGCCAATGCGATCGCAGCTGTAAGGACAACACGTCATTCCATTTCAACATGAATTCTTTCAGTTCTGCGATGAAGCTATCAAGACACAATCGGGAGCCCCTGCGGATCATCCGTTCGTTCATCTCTCAACGATAATGCGGCAGTATGCGATGCGAACATTCATGAAGGACTCGCAACAGTTCATGAAGTGCGTCCTCCAGTACATTTGCGACGGATGCATTGCGCTGAACGTCGACACGCTCATGTGTCTTCTGTCGGAAATGCTCGAGAGAGGAGTGAACACACAGTACGCCAGTGTGCTCCACATGCTCTATCTCCTGCTCCAACACAATCATCACGCAGTCTCCCCGCTCCTTATCAATGCTCAGGTGAGAAAAAATCCCTCATTTTTGCCAGTTACCCGCTCATTTCTCAATTCCATCTGTCACACGGTTGTTCTTTCGGGCGATGATCTCGAATTTCAAACGTGCACCGCGCGACAATCTGCGCTGTTTGATGGGCGATTGGCACCTTGAACGAGGTGAATAATTGGTTCGTCTCTATCAGCTGTGAACATGTGCAAGGGGCACGCCATAAAGTCGTTCGAAACAGAGAAGAAGATGGGCAATTGGAAACCATATTTGAATCGACACATTTATCATTTTTGAAAAGGAACGGATGACGTGGTCCTCAAAACTTCAATCCGGCCAAATCCGGTCCCCGAACACCTTCTTCTGGTGCCTATGCCTACTATGACATGTCACTTACGCAACACAGTTCACAATATCCCAGCCGGATAAAATCTTGTCGACAAGCAATTAACCTTCCGACAGTTCCTCTGTTCAATTGCCGCTTTCCCAACTCATTTCCGTTGAATGGTTGTTGTTGCTGCTGCTCATCGGATTCTTATCGTCGATACCTCCTTCCGTCACGGTCCCTACGTCGTCAAGAACGTCTCTATCAACGCGCCCCCTCGTTCAATCCTTCACTACCACCGCAAGTCGTTAATTTGCGCAATCAACGGCGGGTCAATTGACTATGAACAATCTCGTCCCGCCGCTCGTCGTTGTTCTGAAATTTATGCGTGTCGAGAGTCTCCCTCCCTTTGTTTGTCGCCTCCTCCTTCTCGGTCGCTTCTGGACGAGGATACGGTTTTATACGAATTTGATTGACGTCGTCGAAGACGTTTTTGATGTCTTGCCGCCGCCCCGACCATAACCTTTTTCGCTAGTCATTAACCGAAACAGGTGGCTGAAGGATTTGGATTTGACCGGCGCACTGAGAAAGAATAGAGTCGGCTGGCTGGAAACATGAGAAGCCCAGTAATCGCACTAATCCCTTTTTATTTTTCTTTTCAGGTCATTCGAAGCGTGTCGAAGTTCTTGCAAGGAGGACTGTGGAAAGACGCGTCGTTGATATACAAAATACTCATTGAAAAGTGGCGGAACGACAATCCGAATCAGAGCCCGGAGTTCCTGCTCGAAGGACTCTCTTCCACCGGAAATATTGCAGTGACGCCCGCAAAGCCTTCAGATGACAACTCGGTTCCGAACAGCGGTGGCAGTCCGAAACTGCTCCGAAAGCCGGAGAAGTCAACGGCAGACGTCGCGACCACCAGTCTGAAACGGATGCCGCCTGCCCACATGAGAGTGAGGGACAAACTAGTCGGGATTCTCTCGGCTTCTGGACTCCGCATCGGGCTTCCTTCTTCAGTTTCCCTTGTCTTCTCGAAATCAGACCTCGGAAGCACAACGTCTTCCACCGAGAGAGTCTGTGCGTCATCGCAGGAAGTGGCCTCCACCATGTCGCTCCCGGATCCATCTCAATCCGGAATCACGGATTCCTTTCCTAGAGTCTTCAAAGAGTTTGATTTCCTGGAAGCCGAGCATGACAGCGTCTCTGAGACGGCTGACAGTTGCTTCGGATGGCTGTCAACGATGAGACCGACACGAGAAGGGGACGAAAGAGCGTCGGAGAAGAATCTGTCGACAAGTGGAAAGGGAGAAGAAGAAGAGCCGGAAGAGGACGAGGAATCCGAATCGCACGAAGAAGAGAACAGCGAGAGTGACGATCGAGTGACATTGGGAGGAAGGCTGAGAATAGAGGACGACGAGGAAGAGCTGGAAGAAGACGACGACGAGGAAGAACGTACGCCGTGCCAGTCCGAGTGCGACGACAGAGAAGACGTCGATTTGATGCTCAGGCAAGACATCGAAGCTTTTACAAGTCGAGTGGGAAGTGTTGCCGCGTCCTCTTTGGTCGAGGATGATCTCCGAAGCCGTCTCACCAACAACATCGTCTCCATGTCTTCTCAGATGACGTGGGTTTCAGTTTCGGCAGTAGTCACTTCAAAAAGTGTGATTTCAGAGAGCACCGCCATCTGGAAGAGGAGAATACTTCAGTGGACGGATCGTCCGTTTGCGCGTACAGCAATGCGTCCATGCTCGCATCGGAGTACTATCCGAATCGAACGAGAACTCTTCGCATCCAATGCGCTCACCACGTGGATTCGAAAGTGGAACGCGAGTTTTGTATAACCGTCAATGAAATAAACGAGTCGACGGACGGAAATCTGCTCGCCTACGGAACCCTTCTCTCCACCCAACTCTACAAGGTACTATCGGAAATTCAACCTGTCCTAAATTTATATTTTTCAGGAATCGTGCGGGAAAGTATGTGCTCTGCTCCGTGATGCGTCTCACATGCTGACTAATCGGAATCTGTCGCGTGTTTTCGGCTCTGTTCAAGAGGTTCTCTGTAATGTCGTCGACATTCCGTTCTTGTTTGTTACTGAGCAATTTGTAAGTTAAAATGTTACCTCGAATCCCCGAAGGCGTCGTTTTTTTCAGCTTCGCAACTCGCCTCTGTTCCAACGCCTCAAGATGTCGCTGAATGAGCTCAAAGAGCACTGGGAGACTTTCGACGAGCGCCGGGATCAGTGCCAGAAGGTATGAAATCCCTCTTCCACACACCTTTCGTTGCCTTTTCTATCCCGCTAAATCTCCCGGTGATGCGAACCCGTTGTCCTAAACTAACAAAGTGATTTGTGATGGTTGGCAGTCCGTTGTTGCATCAATCCTTTCGATCGAAATCTCGGGACACCGTGCGAGGTGTTCTCTTCCTCGCCCATTGTGTTGTCACTGTCACCCTAACTTGTGGCGATGACACGTCGAGATACGACCGACGGAAGCCACCACCATCCTATCCGTCAGACAATTAATCTTTTCAGGCGATCAACTCCCTCCGTTCCGCATACAAATTGTCGGCTCTCGGCGGATCCACGTCATCGTTCAGTCTCACTTCGGAGCTCGACGTCGGAAAGCTTCTCAACAAGCTGGTGTTCCAAGTGAAACTGATGATCGACGCGCTGAAAGACATGTCGGATGCGGTCAAGAATTCGACTAGTTCGCAGGTAACAAACGGGATTACTGTAAAAAAGATTGGCACGTTAAATGTGCAATATCTGACGGCAAACTCGTCGTTTCCGCCGCCACCCAATCTACCGTATGCCTTGGAGCATTGTCGACAATTAATGAGCCGTGTCGAGATTAGAACACACTCGATTAACTTCTGGCGCTTCACAGCCGCTCTTTGCTTTCTTTATGGTCCCTTCTTCTGCCTTCTGAATGACTCGCTTTCATTGAGCTGCCGAGTTTCCGAGCGACGGAAGCCAAGGATTACGGTAGCGCCCAGTGTCTCAATATGACGGCGGCGGAGACACGCCGCCTATCATCTAGACTCATAATAATTGGTGTCGCGACGGAAGCCTCTTTTCCTCTATCCCGTCGTTTCTCTCCGCTGCTCCCGGTGCTGCTTTTGTGTGTGTATATAGACGCCGTGAGTTGTCATGCTTCCGAATGATTGATGGCAACAAGTTGGCTCCGTCGTCGTCGTCGTCGAGAAAGGCAGCTCCAGTGGCAGCTCACAAATTACGCCAGCTCGCGGTGTGCATTTGTATTCCAGTCGTGTCTGATGGAAAAGGCACGAAAATTGGCGCGCAGTCGTCAAAAACACACACTCAGGATTACTGTATCCACCGGATATATGAGGGAGGGCTGCCCGACAGCTGTGAAAACAGTGTAGAAACAAGGCCAAAGAATGAGACAATACAGAGAAGCGACGTGGATCGCATACTGTAATTGTCTGTTTCTCTCCCTTTTTGCGAGAAAGTTCCCCCCAACAACCGTATTGTCTCAAAAATAGCTCGTCTTCTCCTTCTTCGTCTCCCGTCGCTGTCAGGTGAAGCGAGAGAGGCCTGGATGAGATGCGCCAAATTAGACGAGCGGAGATATGATCAGCACACACTTGCCAGTTCCAATTTGTGAGATGAGTGATGAGAAGAACACGAGAACGTCAGTCCCCTCCCTTGGAGAAGAGGATGGACAGGTGACTCCGCCGTGACGGCGACGACGGCGACGACGACGAATTCTGAGATGGAGAAAAAGGAAAAGACGCGCTTAATCCGTCAACATTGTCGACTTGCCCCAAGTGGCGGCGTGGCGCAATTAGGATGAGCGGTGCCTGGTGTGACAGGTCGACGCGGATGATCTGATAATTGGGCACGGGTGGCGGTGGCGGCAAAAAGTCGTGACCCTCTTGTTGGTTTTCGGGTTACGGTACGAACCGGAAATTAAGATTCATTATTTTCAGACGTACTCCCTTTCGCCCGCCATTCTGGAGCATCACCGCGAACTGCTGATGTGCGCATCGGACGACGCCTCCGCCTCGGCCACTTCCTCGATGTCCCGCCTGAACGTGGACGATTCCGTGTCGCGATCCCAGCATTCCTGTGATTCGCTTGTTTTGCTGCTTGCCAACAAACGATACAAGCAAGCGTTGCAAGCAGTCCGACAATTGAGGTGAGCCCCCCGTCTGGGCCTTATTAGGAAAACGAAATGAGGCGTAGCATATCGGATTAGTACGGTAAACGAGTGGGAGAGCTACAACAACATAGACATGGACAAACACGGGTTGCCGGACGAGAGCGGATCGGACACAGAGAGATGAGGGCCGGTGATAGGGTGTGCACACGGGGAGAGAGATGTTAACCGTGTCGGAAGGAGGACGATGACATGTTTATTAGGCAGTACTACCGGTGTACTTGAGCAGGCCGAGTACGGTAGAAGAGACTTCCTGCTGTTATGTTTGATGACCAGATAGGGCGAGAGACAAATATCAGTGATTGAGAAAGAAATGCCGCCGCACTGCCGGAACCGTACCGTACCCGACCGGAAGATCCCTTTCGCACCTTTCCTCTTGAACGACTTACATACTCACTCGACCCCAGAAGGTTAAAGCTGTCGGTTTTACGAGCGACAATTATATCTGGGGGCCATGCGCGTGCGGGGCTGAGGCAGCAGCAAGCCTTTCCATCGAAGACGTGTGTTAGCATTATTATCGTTTCCGGTGAAAGGCAGCCGCCCCGTGACTGACATGAGTTATGAGCCGCCTTCCGTCTGATAGTAATTGCGCACTCGGACGAACCGCCCGTCCGGCCGACCGGCCAATGCTGTTTTGAACCCTGCGATCCGGGGGGTGGTTGCTCCTAATGATCATCTGATTGTGCTCATTTGACTGGTGTATTTTTGTTCGGTTTTCGGTTGTCTTGCTCGGAAATATTGTCGCATCGGATCACCGCCGCCTCCTCCTCCTTCTTTTCTTTCCCTACTCCTCTCTAGTGGTGGCTCAGAAAACCATGTCAACACTGATAGTGCGAGCAGCGACACGAAAACTGACGAAATGTCGAAATGAAGTGCAGTTGAGAGGGTTGAAAAGCGGTGGAAGAGCCCGCTGGGGCGCGCGGGCGCTGCTCACTCACAAGTGTTAACGCAAACATCGACTAGGTTTACAAGAACGAGAAGGAAGGAAGACACGCGGGAGCAAGAGACTCCCGGAGCAAGAAGGTACACTCGAGACTGCGGCGCCCCGAGGCGAGCGCGAAATTTAACACAACAAGCCAGGGTGCCGGGATTCGCGCCGCGTGTCTCACCGCGATCGGAGTACGGTAGTCTGCCGAGAGGATGATGATTAGTCTGGAATAATTGGACTGGCGGGGCGACGCGCAGAGATTTACACCCGCATCGCCGTCGTCGACGCAATTAAAATTGGGGCATAAAACGGTCGCGAATAAAGAAGAAGAAGGAGAAAGAGATGAAGGGAAAAGAAGCGATCGCTCCCTTCACCTTCCTGGCTGTCCTTTTGTGAATGTGTACAGTAACCAATTTTCATTTCAGAAGGACGTATGGCGAAGAATATGGATGCTGCGAGACCGTCGACGTGGACGTCCTTTTACTGCTGTATTGTCGAAGCCATTCGCTGAAGGCGTGGGCGTTAGTTGGAGCGTCGCCAGAAGTGAGAATCCGAACACATTTGGGAGAAGATATAAATTTTGTTTTTCAGGAAATCGCCCGTCAAAGTGAGCTGCTTCGGGAGGCGAACGCCGACATGGGCGCGTGCATCCGAAGAAGCACGCAGAGCCAGCAGAATCTCGAGAGAATGACGCCTTCGATGGGATCCGCCTCGATGACCGAGTCGTTCGCACAGTTGCCCTCTGATCATTACGATTGACAGACAGACAGACAGAACGAGATTGTACATTCCCAACCAATTTGCTTTACATTTGTTACATTTCATCCAAAATCCAAATAAAAACTTGTGTCATTTGCTCTTTTATTATTTATCACTAGGCTCGAAGAGAAAGGGAGAAAACGTACAATCACTGGGTGAAAGGAAATGTACAAGAGAGGGAGAGGAAGTGGGACGGGAAAATTGGGAAAACGCTAGAAAGCTATAAATAGGAAGGGACCAGATGAAGGGAAAAAGAGATAGAACAACGGATTCTATCGACTAAAATGGAAGGAAGGGAACGAATTATGCCCGCTTTTGGATGGGAGACTTGATGGAAACGAGATTTTCAGAGGAAAAGAGACCGTTTTGGTGGGGGGGAAACATATTATGGCTTTGCGAGCAGATCCGACACATCGAAGCCGCCCTTTTTCGGCGGCGTCGTCGGCTTGTCCGATTCGGAGGCGTCCGACACCTCCGCCTTGATCTCCTTTGCCTCCTCGACCTTGGCAAGATGTTTGGAGAGCAGAGAAGCGGCCGGAGAGCCCAAAGCGGCGAGGTGCGAGAAGGGAGAGAAGAGGGAGGCCATGTTCTGCCAGTGCGCGGCCGCCAGAATATCCAGGTTATTCGGGTAGATCATGTCCATCGGAGGCATGCAGAACGCCGGCGAACGGAGAGGATGCGCGGAGAGCGTCGGCGTCGTCGACGTGGAAAGACTCGAGGTGCTCGGAGTCTGCTGCTGCGCCGTCGGCTCCGGTTTCGACCGCTTCGCCGCCGGCTCGTCGTCTTCGGAAGCGGACTCGGACGGGTGCGGAGAATGCGTCGGAAGGGAGGCGGTCTTGCCGGGCGGGCTCTGCGTCGCGTCTCCGTTCATCCGGTGCAACTGCCGCTTCTTCTCGCGCTTCCCGGCTCCCGCATCCCGGAACCCTTTCGCGAACGGATTGTGATCGATTTTCAGTTCGGTGACCTGCAAAAAGACGGATTGTCTTCGTGATTCAATGGCAGGAACCAGATTGCTGGCGGGGAGGAACGAGTACGGTAGCGCGAATTAAAATGATGGGCGCCGTCGATAGAGAGGGAGGCGAGGGGGTGTACGGTAGCTCCGGTGTGAAATGTGACACACACTCACTCACCTTCTCGTTCTGATAGGCGGTGACGGCGATGAACTCGGTCTCGCGGAAGACGAACGTGCGGAACGTGCTGTAGATGAGATTGATACGGTCGGAGCATCGGACGACGTGCAGACGCGGCTGGTACTTGTGCATCGAGTTGAGAATCGTCTGCAAGGATTTGCGAAGATTAGTGATGGGAATAAGAAGAAGAAGAAGAAGAAGAAGGCAATGACATTCGAAACCGACAAATCTCTTCGGGGGCAACAAATAATACGAGAAAGCGGCAAAACTGACGGCGCCCGCGAAATTCGATGCCCCCGCGGAGAAGTGGAATCAGAGTCAGAAGTTCAGAAGGGAAAGTGACGTGCTCTTTAGACAAATCATTCGGAATGGGAACGGAAGAAGAAGAAGAAGAAGAAGAAACGAATGTGCATCCATATTTTCTTCATTCTAACATCTCAGTCCATCCGTTTTGACATACTACTTTGACGGATCACGTTAGAAGTACTACTGTAGTAATGCAATGACGTGGCAATTACGATACCCCCTTTCAGCCGTCTGTCGGCACTAGCATTCAAAAGAGTCTCTTTGCAAATTCATTTATTCTTTTGCCCCCCACAAAAGTCCTCTGTCTCGGTGCGAAATTCGACTCTTTCGCTTCGGATTCGCCCGGCTTCTTCTTCTTTGTTTTGGCGCGCGCATATGAAATGATTCGAGAGTACTGTAGCGAGCGGTCCCGCCAACAACAATCGCAGAGGATTTGGGGACTCAGACCGTCGACAGTAAAGGTAATCCGCCCAAAAAGGCAATAAAAAGAGGCCCTATTCACTCACATATCCGTGCTTATCCGAAATGTTATTCGTCAGTTTGAGTTTGTGAAAGTTGGCGCCCTTGGACATCCAATGCTCGCCTGCAAAGTTAATCCGATGCTAATCCTCTGTGCGATACAGTAATCCCGTTTACCTGTCGCCGGCGAATCCGGGTGTATGTAGAGGGTCTTGGGCATCTCGGGATCCGCCTTTCCGGCGATCATCCACCGGCTGTTGTTGAACTTGTACCTGTGCTCGTCGGCCGGCACCAGGTCCATCATCACAAAGTACTTGCTCTTCTTGTCGAGACCACTCACTTTCACCCGGTAGGCAGGGAATATCCGTCTGGAAAGAAGAAACAGTTGAGTTCCAGATGATCCCCAGTAATTCGTGCTCGATTTCCCCTCAGTTGCACACCAACACTACTGAAATTTGATCCGGGGGATATGGGAATGGAAATTGAATTATCCGAAATGCAAATAGGGCAACGAAGAAGAAGAAGAAGTCAAGTGGGTCCCCCACGGCTCCATCGATTCGGGCCCACTCCCGCGCCAATTGTCACACTTTTCCCCTCATTTTTTTTGAAAGCGACAAGCGAAAAGACGTCTGTGACACGGCTTGTGATAAACATTTTCACGCCTTTTTGTCGTCCTGCTCTTTCTTTTTCCCCCTCTCTTGCTCCCTTTTGCTCTCGTGTCGCCGCCGCCGAGATTACTGTAGGAAATTCGATTTGGGGTGTCAGAGAGGGCGACGATTTCTGGCACGGATGGTGTGAAATTTGACAATTTCAGGGAAGCATTTAAAAAAGGGAATGGGCTCAAAGACACGTTAGAGCCGACGAAAAAGCAGTGAATATAATGGGAAGAGCACTTGGAAAAGCAAAAAGTTCTGACAGCTGAGGGCCAGAAAAAATGGGTGCTGGAGTCTTGAGTGGATTGAGTGGATGTCGCAGAAGAAACTAACTATGTTTGTAATTTCAAATTTTAAAAAATTGGCAACCAAACTAACAAAATAGCAGCTATGGGAAAAGTGTTTTCTTGAAAGGCAAAACCGTAAGAAATGCTTAAAAAAGGAAGACAGAGTGTCTGGCTTATGAATGGGAACGGAGCCAAATGAGACAAGAAACGGGCGATAAGGAATTTGGAAAGTGAAAACCAACCTTCCGCTCTTTGTGATGACCATCTCGGTTCCGCACTGGGAAAACTTCTGCCAGAGCTCTCGATCGTCGAGCTCGACCTTCGGATCGTCGGTGACTCCGTCGTCTTCCGGAGGCGATCCGACAGTCGGCTGAGGTGGAATGAAGCCGGCCTGGAGCATGGCGAAGAACAGGTTCTGAGGGGGACCGACGGGTCCGGGAGCCCCTACTGGGGGCCCACCCATAAAAGGCATAAGGAGATCGGTCCGGTTGAATAACGGATTGAACGCCATTTGGGGAGCGGAACTCGGGAGAACAAGGACAGCGGGGTCTGCTGGCCAGCGTCTAAGTGAAAGAAGTCACGCCGTAGTCGTCCGTTTTGCCGCTCTGAGGCTCGGTCCCGCCCACCACCGCCGATTGGCCTCAGCGCCGTCTCTACGAGTGGGCGGGGCTTGTGGGCGAGAGAAGGCAGACTGACGGGAGGGTCTCACACTGCGGGTGTGGCTGATGACACGGCTCCCGCCGACGGTCCGCCACGAAGGAATGTGCCACGTGGCAAGTGGAAGAAGCTGGAGAGGTGGAAGGGAAAGTCGGTACCAGGCAACGAAGGAAGGGAAAGAGCCGATTCGTAATGCCTCCATTTCCACTTATTTCTCTCCTCACTCCGTTCACTGAATTTTACGTCTTCTCCTCCATCTTTTTTCTCCCCCCTCTCGTTGTTTTATTCGCAAAACTTCAAAGAGGCGCCAATTATCGTAAAATAGTCTCTCTTCTTCTTCTTCTTCTTCGTCTTCTTCTACTGCCGGATCGTCATATTCTTTTCGGTTCAAATCGTAAACACTAATGGAAAGCTCTTATCATTGCCGAAATTGCCACCGCTCACACGGTGGTTCACACCATTTGCTGATAAAATGGACAGAGACACAATTTGCAATGTTTTAATCAACAAACACGGAATTTGAAATTTAGACTAGGTATTAAGGATGCTCCTCCGTTTGTGTCGGATCTTTCGCTGGTTGCCACGTGAAGCTGCCTGAAAAAATGAAATGCGAATTAAGCCAGACACGCTTCGTCGCACACACAGTCAGTTTTCTCGCGATCGATTACCATCTCGAGATTACACAAAACAATTCCCAACTGCTAATCAGGCGGAAATTTTGGCGCCCTTCTTCTTCTTCTTCTTCTTCTTCTTCTTCGCGCCCGTCCGATTTGACGATCTGAATCTGAATCTGAATCCCCGAATGGGGAGGGGGGGGGGGGGAGCTTGTTTTAGGTTTTTCTTCTGATGACCATCTTGTTCGCCCCATTAAAAGTAATAAAACGAGTGAAGTGTGACGTCTCCGTGGCTCCTCCGAATTTAGTCGTCGCGCATCTGGTACCCACAATTCCGTCTGCTGTTGCCATTCCATTCCCATCGCCATGTCGCCAAAAATTGTCACAAATTTTGAAAATTTTACGAACACGTTTTTGAAGAATGAAGAATGGGCGGTGGCTACCGTAACCAGCCGGCACGTCTCCAGGGACCCCGACGGCGCCAAATCACTCGTTAATTGTGAGCGGAAAAGAGCCACAACAAGTAGTGGGTGTTGTTTCTCGGTCTATTAACAACAGGAGTCTCGAGGGACTGGCGCACGACAAATTGTCCGCCAAATTGGAGGAATGAGTACGAGGAGACTGTAGCTCTCGGAGCAACTTGACACTCTTCTCACAGGTTAATCCGTATTTGAGCGATTGCGCCACACCACATCCAAACAGACACACTGAAACCAAAACTTTCGACCCTTCCCGACCGGACTCGGCCAATTTCGGTGCCCCTCTCGAAGACAATTGAGTTGGCGAAAGGAAGAAGAAGAAGAAGAAGAAGAAGAAGAAGCGTCTAGCAGTGTGTTGTGTGTCATGAATAATTCGATAACAATAAAACGCTTGCGGTCTCCGCCTCGCGCAACATGTTTCGCCGTCTCAAATATCATTGGTGTTCGTGCCTATTAACGAGCGAATGAGATGCTCTCTTCTGAAGCCGGTGATTACCTCGCAAACAAACCAACAGCAATAATAATAATAATAACAAAAACTACGGTAATTCGAGACACGTCGACATCTTGGATACTTTAGTCATTAAACCTCCTCTCTTTCTACATTGTTTTAAAACAAACTCTTTATTGTTGTGTTGGCTCATTAAAAGTGCTCTTTTCGCGTTTCCCTCCGAGCGGCACCCAGGACCACAACGCAACATTTATCTCCGGGTCTTCAGAAGCCAATTAACACCAGTGGTGTGCTTTTTTACACACTTGTTCGCGATCGTGAGCGAGAAGACATATGTTAATTAGTGTGATAGACATCACAGCTATCAGGCCGACTTGTTCTCGGTGTCCGTCCGCAAAGGCCCGGGACACCTGTCGCCGATCCACCGGGACCAGATCATATATCTTCGGGCGAGGAGGAAAAGGCGGCACATAGAAGGGGGACCCACCCGACAAAAGACAAGATAAGTGACATCCTGGCGGGTCCCTATCACATATCAGTCGCGATTGTCACTTTCGAGACACACAACAAGTGCTCGCCATTGCATTTTGCGGTAAAACACTGCGGGAAAGGGACGTTCATCGGCTCAGCTCAACCACCGTCAAGTATCTTCTGTCCCACCACCATCCTGCCGCTTGTCAGTCGATATATTTCCCGGTGGTAAAGAGGAGCGGCTCCACCTCCTGCTGCCTGCTCTCACTCACTCACTCACTCACTCACTCACTCAAAAACGTGTTTGTATGTATGTGCTATCAGCAACACTTGTCGCCTCCTCGCCCGCGCTCTCATAAACACTTGTTGCTTGTGCCTGCTCCCTGTTGATGCTGTTCCCGCCAATATGTTATGATCGATCACTGTCTCTTCTCGAAGAAGCTGCCAAGAGCCAAGAGCCAAGAGGCACCGTACCCTGCTGACAGCTGACCTGCCGATAAATCAGAGTTATCGCCGAGCAACGCCAACTTCACGGCTTTTTATAGACTATTAATAACTGGCGACAGTGCTCTCTGTGCAAATTGTCGCATAAACACGGGCTCGTAAACGTGTTCCTGTTGCCACCCCGTGTGCATTTCCCCCGGCTACAAGCTTTGCGTCTCTCCGATGGCCACGCTGTCTCGTCTCCCCCTCGGCGACATCATTACAATCTGTGCAAATACGTGTATATCACTAGAGTTGTCACAATTTCATCTGACCAGAGCCACAGAGAGAGAGAGAGAGAGAGCACAGAGCACAGATCTTCCCTTCCAGTAGCGAGTGAGTGAGACTTTTGACGAAAAAGCTGTCGGAAACGGAGCTCGCGTGGGGCTCCACACAGGAAATCGTTTGATCGTTTTGGAATTGAGACGGAGAACGAAGACGCTAAAGTGCGCGACTTGTTCGGGCGACCGAGGGGAGTCATAAATCAATGCGCATCAAATTGCGACCGTGAAATACCACCCAACACGGCGGTGGTGATAAGGGGCGGCGAAAAAAGTGGAAGTCGTGGTCGGAGAGAAAACCAACAGAATAAATCAATGGGGAAAACTGACTAACTGACGGACAGAGACAGGCGGATATGAGTGCGTACGCGGAGGAGAAGCGAGTGATGATAGCGCCCACAAAGGACTGTATTGCGAAGGGAAAAGGAGAAGAAGAAGAAGAAGATGGGCGACGAACGAATCAATCAACAGACAGACATGACCTCTCCCATGATTTATGGACAACAAGCCCAAAATGATGATTCGCTTTGCAAAACGAAAACGGCAATTAGCGGCGCGGCGGTGCGGCCAACTTGCGTGTGTTTGGTTTTTTGCCGTCAAAGGGAGAACCGGGAATCGGGTCGCCGCCAACATATTTGAGACTGATTCGGACCGACAGAAGCGCCGAATCGGACACCTGATGATAACAAACAGAAGATGGTGAAGAAGCTAATTGGGGTTGGGGTCTCGTGACGAAAGGAAAGGAGAACCACTCAATTACGGGACAATTAGAGAACGGAAACCACTCGGGACATCGTGGCGCCTAGGTTCCCATCTGGCCCTTTTCGATTCGGAAGAAGTTAGCCTCATCATCTACAGTATCCATTCGTGTGCTCACCTGCTCTTTCTCTTTTCTCCCCCCCGACCGTACCACCACTTGTTCGGGGCGAGATGAAAGACCCCGCGAGCACATGTCTCTTCTCCAATTACACGGTACTTATATACCTAAGCCAACTCGTTAATAAGGTGCCGTTCCCTCATCTTCCTCCTTCCGAGATATCATCGGGGCCCGCCGTTTAACGGGCGGCTCTCACAACATTAAGGCCCACCGCCACGATCGCGTGTACATCAAATTGCTGGCTTGTCTTTGCGATTTTATCGCTACAGGTGCCACCATTGGCTTCCGATTTTATGAGCTATCTAGGGAGGGAGAACCGACCGACACTGGTAATCTTCTCGTTTTCATCTGGAATGAGCGGTGTGATGACGTGGGGGACTTTCTTTCCGGAAGGCCATAGGTAAACGGCGTGGGCTCTCAAGTACTTCTCTTTTGGTATCAGGTGACGGATTAGGACACCGACTTCTTCTTCTACTTCCTCTCCTTCTACTACTGAACACAATCGAACAATCGGCGCAAGAGGTCAAGTGTGGACACAATGTCGCCCTCTATAAACATTTGTAGCTGCTCCTGCTGTTGCCTGCTCAATGTCTTCCTCTCCTGATGTCGCTGCTCATTTGGGTGCGCAAATTAGATAGACTGTGATGGCTCGAGTGGTGCTCGATCAACACTAAATATGTCGAGAATCGAGCCAACATCGGAAGAAGGAGGAGGAGGAGGAGGATGTTATCAAAACATTCGACAGATAAGCGGGCAAGTGATGGAGCAATCAAATGGGGTCAATGGACACTAATCGGATAGCAATTTATGACCATTAAAGGGACTTATTCCCCCGTTTCCCTTTCCCGCACTTGAGAGGGACCTGCAGTAAACTTCGCTCTACCGCACTCTTACAGTCTCCATTCTAAGTAGCCGATTCGGTTCGGTTGTGAAGCCGCGTACGACGGCGTCGCATTGAAAAGTCGGAAATGATATTTGATTTGACACATTAATCAATCTCCTTTACGAGTCATGTACATGACATGATCTCCCGATGATTGGAAGAACGTCGCCGCCGCCGCCGCCGCTGCCGCACGCCGCCATTCCTTCGGAGAGACGAAAACGACGTCGTCGACGACGACTTCATAAGACTTGTCTATTTGTTAAAGGACTTATTAATGACCTTATCAGCCGTTGTGATCGTCGTCGAACGGCCGCGCGGCGTAGCAGTGTACAAAAAAGGGTGATTGCGGGAGAAGAAGAACTGATACCGTAATCGAATCACCGCCGAATCATCGCCAAAGCAGCGGCGAGGAAGAAAAGGGAAGGGCGCGGACCGTGAATGGCATCACATGTCTACGAGACCGTCCGAGTGACGTGGCAGAACGGGAAAGACAGACTCTAGATGACCACAGATGTTTTCATTACAAAGGCAGTGTGTTCAGGAAACTCTTCAAGGGGTTCAACTACCAGAAATAATTACGGTTATCTCGTGCCCACATCATCCGGCGGCGGACCTCAGAAGTCGTGAGAAGACGTGCGCCCTCCGTCGTCGTCTCCATTTTACGGCTTTTTGCCACTCCATTCATTGACACTTTATTACCTCTTTCCGTCCGTGTCGGAAGGCGCCCGCTGTTGTCGAATTCGTCAGCCTGTTATGCGTCTTAACTATCAGAAGAGAGACCTCCTCATCGCTTTATGACTCTTCTGCGAGGAATTGGAAGCAAATGAGTCGGAGAAGAACCATCTGGAACTGATAATTGAAGGAATTGGGAGGGGAGAGGCGGAAAAGGAAAGAAAGGAAAAGAAAAGAGCAAATACAAATCAAAGTCAATCCAATCCGAGCTGAGCAGAGGTTGGCGGGAGGTACTGTAGATCCTGCTGCAGAAATCGAAATGTCGGCTCGTCATCGTCTTCGGAATCCTCGAAAGTACACTTCGCCTGTTTGGTAGCAGTTTGTCGTCGAAGCGCGACGATTTGTTCTCACCTGATAACAACTTTTATGACGCCTTTTTGGCCGATAACACTTTTATGGAGGGAGCGAAAATTAGAGCGACGAGGACCTACTTCTGTGACCGAAATGAGAGGGGTTTAGAGGAACTTCATAGGATCATTCTAGGACTTTGAGGGATTCTGAATCGCGATAGATATTAAAGTTCTACGCTTCATCTGATATTGTTTGTGTCTTTTCCAAGTTACACTTTTTCTGTGAATCCGTTCTTTGTTCCTTCCGATTCTCTAATCCAATTAATGAATACTCCCTAAGCAACACCTTGAGAAGACCTGCTTCTTCTTCTTCTTCTTCTTCTTCTCCCTCCGTTACTTTCACTTCCTTATCTATCGCTCGTTCAAGAAGTTTCCAGCAACTACCCAAATTGTTGCCATTTGTCACGAGTGCACAGCGGCCGACAAATGTGACGAGGCGAGGAATTACCTCACAGGAGCCGCCCTTTGTGATGGCACCGCAACGGGGCGCCAATCGAAAGTCAACAGGATTACGGTAGAGAGCAAGAGCAAGACTCGTCCCTTGCAATTGCACAACGAGCGGATTGACCTCGTGCCCATTGCATAATCACTATCAGCGGGAGGGAGATTTATGCGGAGAGGTGTCAAGGAATGTGTTTGCGTTTGGAGCCCATTAAAGTTTACGATCTTGCTGATAAGGGATGTGATGACCAGCACTAACGAGAGGCAAACTGACGGACAAGGATGTGATTAGCGAGAGGATTATCACGGATTCTCTTTTTTTTTTACTTCTTCTCATTCTGGATGAGTCAGATGGAAAACATTTCGTCGCTTTTTCGTCGTCCTAGTGCATACTGTTTACAAACTAGATCATAACTCAAGAGTGACTGATTCTGAAATAATATTATCAATTGCAAAGTTGTTCAACACAATATTAGCAACAACTTTTCAGTTGACCACTTTTAAAAATAATTATTGGATCTCGAGATATGGATGTTCAAAGATAAATGATTTTTAGATGTACTGCAACCTCGTGTAACTTTTGGCGCTCTTTCCATTGGAGCACTAATTAGAGAGCCTATATTTTAGCTTTCGCAACTTTTCAGTACTAAGACGAATCTCAGTGCTGCCGTTACTCGTTTTCCTAACTTCTCAACCCTTCCACAGTCGGTGCTCCAAAACATCATCATCGGCCAGCATGATAACGGTGCTCCGCTCGGCCGGCGGGGCCAGCGACTAATACGATAAAGGCGCGGTAATCCCCTTAGCGTCGGCACCCTTTCAACACGTTCATAATACTATTTGACGTGTCTTCTTTGTCTACAAAACTGAAATAATTCGGTGCAGAAGGTGTACAATTCGACACATTTATCACCGCCCGCTCAAGTTTCTCCGTTTTCTTGACTGTTCGACGGGGGTCCGTCTGGGATGGGCAGAGGATGGGCAACATGAGGATGACAAGGTTATCGAGGCGAAGAGGAATCAATCAACTGGATGACATGCAACAACTAATAAGCGTGTGGACGTCAGGCGGCTCAAGGACAAGCAAAAAAGCAAGAATGAGAGTATGGATGGAGAACGGTCGAACTGAATTCACAATAACAGGGATCTGGTCTCCAGGGACAACCACAAACGGTGCTGAGTGCACTTGCTAATGAAAGTTTTGACTGAAACGCTCAGGGCTCTAGCAGCAGAAGGGGCCAGGCAAGAAGCAATGCTAAAAATCAAAAGTTATATGGCTGAAAAGACTAGTCTGTTTTGAAGATCTTTGCAGCTCATAGAAAGTTCAAGAGAGGGCAAGTGAGCAAGAAAAGAAATTCTGAGGGTTTATGAGTGACGGCGGCGTGGAAGTGCGTACTTCAGAGGATTACGCATACTTGACACTACTTGGGATATTCGGTTACCACTCTTCCGTTCGCTTCCCAATCTAAACATGCCGAGTAATCTCTGTATTATTTTTACCACTTCTTCTTTTATGCGCGTATTTTTTGGTTTGCGAGTGAGAAAGTGATGTTTCTCTTTGCCTCGTTCTGAATATGCTGAATGTGCCATAAGTCTAGGAACGGGTAAAAATGGAACATCACTTTTCTAACTCACAAATTCCGACTTATCTGCAGTTCAGAACACACTCAACTAGACCGTACTTTTTGCAAATGTTTTACTCGTTGGCCTCCCTCTCATTCTCAAGACGAATTCCTAGACAGTCTTTTGCGTCAGAGACCAACTTGTTGCCCTCCGTCACTCTACCGTACTCCTGGAGAGAGCCGCCGCCCCCGCTCCCATCATTTGCAACTTTGCCGCCAATCCTGACACGGCCACTTGTCACGGCGGGTTACGGTAGCCACGGGGCGCGAAGAAGCTGGACAAAAACTCGAGAGATGAAGTGCTTTTCGTGTCGCTCTCACACTCGAGCCGCTTCTTCGAATCCGCCGACGACAAAAGAACGAGAAGACCGGCTCACGAGTGATCGGATACCGTAACCGGATCGGAAAGCGGTCAGGAAATCGGGGGGCCATTAGCACGTTGTCAGGGCAGTGATTGACGACGACGCAAGTGGGTTGGAAGCAAAACAAACGGATTGCGCAAGCGACCACCGAGCGGATAATATGGGCAGAGTTGCACAATCGGAATCGGATTCCATTGGATCGCCAAATCGATGTTTATCCACTCGGATTTCCGTGTTGATCAAGTTATGATGGAGAGGAAGAAGAAGAAGAAGAAGAAGAAGACGTCGTGACGGGGAGGAGCACACGGCTGTTCGCTTCTCGTAAAATATTGTTTCTTCTTTTTATTCTGCTGCTCGTGTCACGGACGGGTCATAAATACCGCATTACACTTGACAGATTGGAGTGAATGAGAGGGATCAGGTGCGAACAAACTGCTGTTATCGAAGAAGCGAAACCAGAAGGGGACCGGGAAGAACTTCTTCGAGTTCACAACTACTTCTTCTCATATTCTCGCTACTCATGAGCATTCTTAACAGACCAACTGAGAAGCTAGGATCCCTTCGAGTTTATGTGTCTGTCTGATTGATATCCTTTTCACACACGCCGTCAGAATCCCAACTTTCAAAAATGTATATAACTGGCATGGCGCCAACCACGTCGCATTTCGATTGAGCACGTGTTTCATGTCCTCGCCCTTATCTGCGACTGCTGATTCTGTGTGAATGAGTAGCTCAGACACATAAACTCGGAGGATCCCCTGGTACTTTTCCCAATGGGCCACGATTCGAGGTCTTGTCAATTCTCTGAAAAGAGTAGGGAAGATTGTTGTGTGACATGTTCGAGTGCCAGTTGCGTCGCCTCCGTTCACCGCCCTAATCTCTTTTCCTGCCTGTCCGGATGTCGGCGCATCCCCAAACAACGTCTTCATCCGCGTCTTCAGAAGTCGCGTTGCGCAAGAGACTCTCTGACCTCTGTCCGACCCGTCACCTCGTAATCCGTTGCTCAAACTTTTGGCAGCGGTCCCTTTGAAGAGGCCCGACGCAACTGATATACACCGGCACCCACTTGTACTACATTACTACAAACAGACGATGATGATGATGATGAGGGGGAGGGTGACACGTTTTGTTCAAGAGGGATCGGTCGATTAACATTTTATCATTCATTGAAACGAAGCAAAAAAGAACAGTAACAAGGGGCTAACGTGAGTGAGAAAACAACGAACAACAGGTAAACGGCGGAGTGATTAGATATTGATAGTCTTGAAGACGTTGAATCCGTCGATGGAGGTGTTGATGGCAAGTCCAGGGATCTGCGGATGCCAGTGCACTTCCTTCACCTCTTTCTGCCCCATATGGACGAACATCAACTGTGGCGGCACTCCCTCAATGTTCGTGTTTCCGTCTGCTTCCGTCGCAATATCCCACATCGTCGTCTGATCGTCCTCTCCAGAAGCCATGAATGTCGTCGTCTCATCCGGATGCCATTCGACAGATGTGATCGGTCCGTTGTGATACTTGAAGAGAGCGACTGGTTGGCCGAACTGAATTGTTTTCAACGACCAGATCTTCAGTTCTCCATCGTCTCCTCCGGACACAATCAGATTCTCGTGACGGTTCCAGGAAATGACATTGACGTCCGACTGATGAGCATTTTGAACTGTACACACGTTTGCTTCTTTTGGTGCGGCACGAGTATCCCAGAGTTTGATGGTTCCGTCCGCCGAGCACGAAGCCAGAAGACCAGTTTCAGTAGGCGACCAGGCGAGATCTTCCACACTCTCTGAAAATAACGAAATCAAGAAAGTAAAGAATGCTCAACAAACTTTTGTGTCCCGTCAGTGGATTTGCTCCAACTGCCCATTGTCCGCCTTCTTTCATCGTCCACAGATAGATTTTCTTGATGACGTCGCCAGTGGCGAGGTCTCCAGTTTTGAGCGGGGACCAGGCAAGTCCATATCCTTCCTTTCCGGATCCGTTGTTCGTGAACAGTGGTCTGTCAACCTTCTGAACTTCGGTCTTCGATTCTCCAGTCATAATATTCGAATGGTTGAGAGCTTCGGTGATATTCCACACTTGTACGCGTCCTTGATCGTTCCAACAGGCACAGACCGTGCTGTCTCCGAGTCTATCAGCACGAATCCGATTGATTCCTCCGTAGTGCGGGATGGAGACGGCGTGCATTTTTGGCTCACGCTTCTTCGACTGCTCCTCATCCTCGTCTTCAGATTCGTCTTCGGATGTGTCACTGTCATCGCCTTTGCTTTCCTTTTCTTTCTGGAAAGAGAAAATAGTTTTTGTTGAAAGGCATCAATGTACCTTCATAGCAGAGAGGTTCTTCAGTCCCATCACAATAATCTCGTTGTCCCGCGGCTTATCCGCTTGAGTTCCACTGACAATGTAACATTCGGTGGGAAACTGAGTACGGTTCTCGCCGAGTCCGTCCCGGACGATATCGAACGAAAGGCATGGCCAATCTGAAAGGTGCGACTTAGAAATAGAAATGTTTAGATAACGAAATTGTATCGGTATAGATTCATTTTTTGTATATCGGAGTGGTTCTATACCGAGACAAGTTCTATTTCGAAATCGCACCATCTGAGAAGGAGTATTTAAATTTTTTTTAAGTGTGAATAAATCAAATTACCAGAGTTGAAACTGTGGAAAAGCTTGTAGGCGCTCGGGTCGAAATCGAGTTCTTCTCCCTTTTTCAGAGGCCGGCTAAGTCCAGGAATGTACGCCTGCAACACTTTCATATTGATTTTTAATTTATCGATGCTATTTTTACTTTTCTCTCATTCTCCGGCACTTCTTCGTCTTCTTCCTCAGTGTCGTCGCCATCCTCTTCGCTTTCCACCTCTTCTACCGGATGCTCCTCGTTCATCTCCACATCATTATCGGCAGACATTTTCTGAAAATAGCAATTGCTTATAAACACAGCCAAAATTGTTTTAAACCGGAAAATAATTCAAAACGAAACATTAAAGAAGTGGAACTTTGGAAAATAGGACTGAATTCGTCCAAAAATAATTTCGTAAGTCTGCAGATTTGCGTCGTTTGTTGGGCATTCGTCGCAGCAGCGCGCGGTGTTTGCACATCTTCACTTTAGTGTTCGCACATCTTCACTTTAGTAGACGTCTTCGAAACTCCCTCATGAGACTCCATTCCACCTCATTACCCAGTTTGTGTGTGCAGTGCACAAATAAAAAGTCAACATTGTTTTCACATTTGTTTTCACGTTTCCCCTGAAAATCATTGTTTCGGTCTCGTATTGATTGTTTCCTTTTTTCAGTTTCTATTTAACCCTCTTTGTACTTCAATTATTCAAAATTGAGTTTTTCAGGCACCAATCAATGGCCAACCTTGACGACGAACTCGCCCTGTAAGTTTCCTTCTTAAAAAGTGCTGTCATGAAGGCTTTTGTTTCAGTTTTGAAAGCGAGTTGGCTCAACTCGATGAGGCAAGCAATGTCGCACAGAACACGGAGACGCACATTGGATATGAAGGTGCTACCATCTCCGCCGGACCGACTTCCCAATCCAGCGCCACTGTAACCAGTCTTCCTGCGCCTCCCCAGCCACCACTATTGGCCCCGTCGCCCTTCATTCAAGTTCCTGCTGCCACCATCTCTGCCTCTCCGTTCCTCAATCCACTGGCTAGGCTGCCTATTGCTCCGGTTCCTCCGACACTATTCATGCCTCCTCAACTCAGGGCTCCACCGGTATGTTAAAATTTAACCGTTTTCTTGTTGACAATATCTCCATTTCCAGACGATGTTTGCTCCTCGTTCCATGGGAATCCCTCCAGCCGCTACGATCGAAGGAGCTCCCGCTTTGTACGAAACGCCCGCACTCAACACTATTCCTCCAGAATTTCTCCGAACACAAGCTCTTCAGTCCGATATCGACAAAATGAACTTCAAGAAGCAAACGGATCCTTTCAAAAAGAAGATCAAGGAGCAGCAGTCGAAAAAGAAGTTTGTCAGGTCAGGAGGTGGACAAGTGTGGGAGGATCCATCCTTGGCCGAATGGGACGAGAACGACTTCCGCGTCTTTTGCGGAGATCTCGGGAATGAAGTGTCCGACGAACTGCTCGCCAAGGCATTCCGAAAATATCCGAGCTTCCAAAAAGCGAAAGTTGTTCGTGAGTCTCGGTCGAACAAAAGCAAAGGCTACGGATTCGTTTCGTTCCGTGACTCTGAAGATTACGTGAGAGCGATGCGCGAAATGGACGGAAAGTACGTTGGAAACCGGCCGATCAAGCTGAGAAAGTCGTCGTGGAAAGAGCGTAACATTGATGTGATCAAGCAGAAGAAGAAGCAAAAGAAGGAGCTTGGAATCATCTCCTAAATCATGGAAATAATTCATTTCGTGTCATATTTATTCGTACCCCACGTTCAGTAATTCAAAATTTCTATCCATTCTCATATTTTTTATTGTAATAAGACATCTTTCTGAAACCATTATTTTTCGGTCATTGAGCACTGTTGCATGCCCAGTGCGCTGGTATTTCTGAATTGACTTCTACTTTCCCGTACTAACAAGTGGTTGTTCTGCTTGTTTGGATGAGCGCTTCAAGTGGGTGTCGAATATATTATCTTGAAAGACGCCGAAAGTGTTAGCTCACTTTCGGCGCGTGTCCGGTTACATAATTTTGTTTGTAAACGTCGTCGTCCGAACCGTTTTCTGACTAATACGCTTCAGAAGAATAATTTCAGATGCCAGATATGGATGTCAACATAAACGACCTCGTGTCTCTGCTGAACCCGAACATGGCGTTAGTCTTTGCTCCCATCTGATTTTCGCATTTCTTCCCATTTCAGTCTGCTCATCCGTCGCAAAACGATGGAGGTTGTCACCCAAATGGGCGCCCCGCTCGACGGATCCGCTGGAAATTACTTCAAAGAGCAGAACTTTGCCCTCGGAAAGGCCATCTGCGGACTGTGCGAGGCGACCTCTTCCGACCGCACCGAAACGCTCGCAGCGCTCACCAACTTCACTTCCGGATCGATCGACGCCGCCAATTACGTGCTCGCCAACTCCAAGGTCATTGAGATCGCGTACACTGCAATCGTCACAAATGTAAGCACTTTTCGGAGAATCTTCTGAAATTGTTCAGCCTTTGAAGGCTCTCTACTCCTCGGTCGCCTCCCGTCTCATCGTCAACGTTTCCCGTCATTTCCCCGAGCGTATCGATCAGAAACTGAAAGCTCGCAACGCCAACTACATTAGCATTCTGCTCAGTGAGTCCTTCCTATTGACGGCCTTCATTTTCGATTCTTTTCAGCTGAAATCAAAAAATCGGTGGACGCAGGAGACGAGGATCGTGCCAAGTTCGTTGGCTTCATCGTTGTCAATCTGACCGTCCTCCCACCAATCCGTCATTATCTCGTAAGCCACACCGATCCGAGACTTGTTCCGATCCTCTCCGATCTTTTGGCAAATGCCAAAAAGACCGAGATTCGCGAGTTCGCTGCAGATATTCTTCGAAATTTGGCATTCGATGACGGTGAGTACACTTGTTATTTTCCCACCCCTGACACCTTCATCATTGTTTGCAGGACTTCATGCAACTCTTTTGGACACTTCGGACGAGTATCTCAGTGCCATTCTGGCCCCATTGATGGACGTAAACGACTCGCTGGATGAGGACGAAACGAGCAAACTGCCAGTCAGACTGCAGTATTATGAGAAGCCCCGCGAGCCGAATGACATCGTCCGGCAGAAACTCATCGAAGGGCTTTTCCAGCTTTGCGCCACGAAACACGGACGTGAAGTGCTCCGCGCTAAGGGAGTTTACCCGGCAATGCGAGAACTGGACAAAGCGACAGAAGCTGCCGACGGACGGGCAGGGAAGAAGCTGCTAAGCTCACAGCAAGAGCACACTCTGCATGCACTCATCGGAATCCTCATCCGATATGAATCTGAAATGGACGTCGACCCAACACTCAATTCGATCCGCGACTTGGGCACTGTCAGTGAAGAGCAGACAGTGCAGCACGTCGAGTAAACTCCATTTTCTCCGTTTTTCTTGTTGATTTAACTTTTATCTGATCTTGTGTTTTTGTTGGTTAAACTTTGATTAAATCTTTATAGCAACAATGTTAACAACAACCAAACAGGAATGTGTCCGAATTCACCACTTGAGTGCCTGCGCGACGTTCGTCTCGACAGCCTTGTAGTCCGTGAACAGAAGTGCTCGATAGCCTGCGTCGATCCGCTCCCACTCCCTCTGCACTTCCTGCCAATCCGTCCCTTTCCCCCGTGCCAGTCCTTCGTATTTCTCTTCTACTTCCGCCAACTTCTTCTCCCTCTCGTCCATCGTTTCGTACCGAATCTGCCCTCCTCCGTTCGCGCAACCTCCCGGACACGCCATCACTTCCACGTAGTCCGTTTTTTCCTTCTTCGTCTTCATTTTCCGCACCAAGTTCTGAACATTCCGGAATCCGTACACTTTGGCCACTCGCAGCGTCACTTCTCCCGATTCGTTCTCCACCGTCGTCGAGTACATGTTCTTGTTTCTGAAAACGAATTCAGAATTTATAAAGCTGTTCGGACGACTTACAATTTCGCAGTCTTGACGATTCCTCCGTTTGCAGCCACAAAATCTCGGACGATTCGATCGGCATACCCTCCGGAAGCGCCGCCGACTTCTCCGATCACTTCTCCCCTCTCCAGGGCCGTCATCCAATCCTCTCCGCCCTTCCGAATCTCTTCTCTTCCGCCCTCTTCCACTTCCTTCTCAATCTCCTCCAGCAATTCCGCCGTGCTCACCACACAGTCCGTCTCCCGCACTTCCGTCCCGTTCACTTTGAACTGCTCCCTCGACGCCTCCAGCTTCTTGTCAAAACACGGCATTACGGCCGCGTGGAACACTTCGCACGCACTCAATCCCTCCCGTTTCGCCAGAAATGATTTGACGAGTGCGCCAGTGATGGCTTGTGGCGAACGGATTTTGCTGATCTTCGGAATGAGCAATTCTCCGTGGCTCTTTTCCGCGTAGCAAACAAATCCGGGACAGGCGGACGAGAGCAACGGACGACTCGTCGAGGGAGTAGCGACGAGCTCTTCGAACAGAAGGGAATGGGCAAACTGGCGGGCGAACGAAGAGTCGAGCACGTGGTGGACGCCTCGCCTGCGGAAGAATCTGCTCACGAGCACGGCCACTTCTTCCGGTGTCTTCCGAAGTTTGACGGCGATCGAGGTGATGGTCTGCGGGGAAACTGTGACGACCACCAGCTTGGCACTCCGGACGCCTTCCCAGAGACGCCCGAAGGATTGCTCCTCGACGAGCACAGTCTCCGCACTCGTGATGCATCCGTTGCACGCGAGACAGTCCGCCAGGGAGATCTTAACGGAACTCTTCTCTTTCTCTTTCTCGGTCGGCTTCTCCTGCTTTGTCTTTTTCGTTCGAATGTTCACTTGTGATTCTTCCTTCGGTTTTTCCACTGTTCGCGTCTCCAACGGAATGATGCAGTCCTGAACGAATTTGGTGAAGTTTCGGTGATGAATTATACTTACCAAGTTGGGAGCGATGAAATCGGAAATGTTTGAAAGTCGCACCACCCCACTGAATCCCGAATCTTCCATCTCTGAAATGGCTTTTGGATTTTTAATGCTCTTGAAGAGTTTAACTAGATAAGAATTCTCGTCGGTAACGTATTCGAAACATTCAATTGAATCTTGGGACACATTTATTAGTGAATAAAGCAAGCACATAAATATTTACAATAACTTGTTCACTTCACTCGCTGACCGAGTAGAGATCCCTGACTCCCTCCTCGAGCCATTTCGACTGCATCGGAGTGCCGATTTCGTAAAACGGATTGGAGACGGTGCTGCAGTAGTGGCCGTGGAAGCGCTTGAACACCAGCCGGATCTCCTGATCTTTGAGGGAAGCGGCCGTCGTGGCGTCGAGCACGAGAATCATACGAACGCCAGTGTTGGTAATGTAGCCGAATGACTGAAAATGGAAGAGATGGGGAAGGTTCAACAGCTGCTTCTCACCCTCCACTTCTGGTCGTTGTACAGCTGTCCAAGGAACATCTCCGTCGCCTTCGCCGCCTTTTCGTCGACAATGTCCAGCGAGCAGAAGGTGAACATTTCGATTTCGAGCAATTGTTGGGCATATCGAGGATTCACCGAATCGAACAGACGAACATTCTGGAATAATTCATGAGAACCACCGATGTCATCTGGAAAGTTGCTACTTCTCTGGCATAAATGAAGAAGCCGACGACGCCGAGCATTTCGAGTCACGAACCTGAAAGTCTGTAATGTTCCTTATCGTATTTCTCCCCTTCTCAGATATTCAATGCGATTCACATTCTGACACGCAATTTATTATGTTGAAAACCTTGTTGAAATATAAGAAAAATCTGCATTCTTTTGCGAATATAAAATTTTGAAGCAAAAAAGAAAACAAAAAAGCACTGAAACCAGAATAAATAAACGGGAAAACAATAATGAAAACGGGTGGGACTCGATAAGATTTATTCAGCAGTCGACTCGAACTTTGGGTACTTCTGTTGGGCATCGCTCCATTGCAGACGGCCAGCCACCAAATCGGAGATGAGACGGCCGAGCTGGGGCACTTCCAGTCGGATCTGGGTCATCGTGTTCGCATCTCTGACGGTCACAGTGTACGGCTGCGTCTTCTCCGAATCAAAATCGACAGTGATACCGAACGGAATGCCGATCTCGTCAGTACGGGCGTAACGACGACCGATGGTACCGGAGCTGTCGTCCTGAAAGGAAGAAGCGTTTACGGTGGAAATAGGACAAAAAGATACTTACAACTTTGTAGCTGAGTTCGTAGCCGGAAAGCTCGTGTTTCACAGCCTCCATCACTGGAACGAGCTTCTCGTTGGCAGAAATCGGCAGGACAGAGCACTTGATTGGAGCCACAAGTGGCTTGAATGCGAGGAACTGAAAACCAAACCATTTTTTACAAAACCATGCTAGACTCTTTACCGTTCTCTGCTCATCTCCCTCTCTCTGTCTGAACGAGTGCTCCAGAAGGGCGTACATGATTCTACCAATACCGTAGGATGGTTCGATGACCGATGGAGTGATCTCCTGAACGTGCAGCTTCTTCTGGTACTTCTTGATGTTGACGTGCTCTGGAGTCAAAGAGAAGTTCTCTCCATCGATAGACAGATTGAAGAGCTTCTTGGCGAGCAGCTCCTTCTCCAATTCGGTGACCTGCTCACTGCTGAGTTGCTGAAGCTCTTGCTGGATCTTCTTGGCCTCCTTTTTGAAACTCTTTCCAAGGAGGGCCATGTTAGCCTGTGCCTCTACGACGGACACATCGATTGGCTGCGGAAGCTTCTTCTCTGCCACCAGCTTCACGTTCGTCGCCTTGTAGTGCTGCAGCAGATCGTAGCACGCTCTGTCGGCGTTACCGACGCATTCGATCCATCCGTACGAAGTGAGAATCTCGGCGTCCCAACAGTCTTGGGCGTAGTGAGCCATTTCATTCGACAAGTGCTGTCTGAAACGGAGACGGCGGGGGTCGATACCGACTTTCATGAGGAATTGGTGGCAACGGGCCATGTAATAACCGAGGGTCTCATTGGCGACAATCTTCTGAAAACAAGAGTTTGAATGTTTTCCTATAAAATAGGTTCACCGACCTTGGCGACGGCCTCTCCGATAGGCACTTCCTGGGCGGCGACACCGTCCATTTGGTTACACGCGGAGAAGAGAACCATCTTCTGGTCGGCGAGTTTGGCGAACTTGGGGAAGCTCTTGTCCTCTGGATCGACGAAATGTTCGATCTCACACATTGTGAACTCGCGAACACGGATGAGTCCCTGTCTTGGAGAGATCTCGTTACGGAAACCGAGACCGATCTGAGCGGCAGCGAAAGGAAGTTTTCCCTGGTTGAACTCGAGAAGTCTCTTGAAGTTGACAAAAATTCCCTGGGCAGTTTCCGGGCGAAGGAAGGCCTTGAAGTCACCAGTTGGGCCGATTTGAGTGGGGAACATGAGGTTGAAGGCGATGGGCTCAGAGAGATCGTTTCCGGTGATTGGCGACTTGAACTTGAACCGTGTGATCACCTCGTGCATGTCCTTGTCGTCGAATCCTTCCAGTCTGGCGAGAACGTCCTCGCACTGTTTCTTAGTCTCCGCGGACGTTTTCTTGTCATTCAACAGCTTCTCGATGCTGTTCTTGATGAGATGATCAGCACGAAAGCATTCGCCGTTCTTCGTGTCCTTCACCATCCAATCGGCGAAACGGTCCACGTGTCCGGACGCCTTCAGGACTGGCTCTGGAGTCAGCGAAGTGCAGTCGACTTCGAGCATTCCCTCCTCCAGAATAAAGTGTTTCCTCCACTCCTGCAGCATGTTGGCCTTCAGTGCGCAACCCATCGGGCCGAAGTCGTACAGACCAGTGACACCTCCATAAATGGCGAATGACTGATCGTAGAAGAAACGTCTTTTCAGGAGATCCTCCAACTTCAAACGATCGAACGACGCATCCTTAGGAGCCAAAGCAATTTCCTTCTCCTCCAGTTCCTTCTTTCTGGCCTTCAACTCGACAACGGCGCGGTCGACGTCGATCTTTGGAGCTCCGCTCGCTTTCAGATCGCGTACTCGGTCACCAATTTCTTTGACAGCCGCGCGGAGCGGTGAAAGTTGCTGCAAATGGTTAAATTGAAAACTTAACTGATTTAGAATACTCTCTCACCGCTTCAATTTCGGGAGTAGCCATTTGCTTGAGATAATCGGATATTTTCTGCCGAGTTTGTTTCTCGAATCGCGGTGCGACCTTTCTCGGTGCTGTTTGAGCCTGTCTTTGACTCGAAGCGACTTCTACCTGCAAGAAAGATCTGAGAATTTGGAGAAAATTATTGACGGACGGGGTTGATTGAATGGGCAACGAGGGATGGCCTATTTTGGCAATTTCAAGCGGCAAACTAATGTTTTTAGCGGCATAATATAAAGAACATGAGAGATTCTCTACGTTAAAATAAAATTGGATGAGAATCAAGAAGAAACCACCATCTGAAGCACTCGAAAATATGCAATATTTTATGCTGGCCTAGAAACCCAACTAAAATTTTTTCGGCGGCCGCGAAGTAAAAAGTGAAACGTGGCAGCTGTTATTATATACGAAAAAGTTCACTCCAGCAAATTTTCTACTAGTGTTCACTATAAAAACAGCTGGGCTTTTTAAGGAAAAGCGGCGAAGAGCAAAAACAAAGTTTCCAACTCAATTTCGCAATACAGCGTCATCGCGCGAACTGCGCATCAGATTCCATCATGCTTGTGCGTCGCCCCGAAACTTCCGCTTGGTTCGGCCAAATATCAACATCAAAACTGTACAAACTTCAACCGAATTGAACGTAAAAGTAAATAGGGCACATTTGGTAGTGGGAACAGAAAGGCAATAGCTGTTAAGTTGTTTGAAAAAATTAATCCGGAATTCTGAATTCAGAAGTACAAGTTGTTGAGTAAATCACAGGAAGAAGGCAGAATTGTGTGGCGAATCAGATAAAATGCAATCCACTTCCGCGTGGTCAAGAAATTACACTGCGCGAGTAAAAAACTGGCCTCTTGCGCAGAAGCCTGTCTTCTTCTTCTTCTCCCGACGAGGCCTTCTTCGCCCGATTACACTCATTTCGTGTCGGGACCCAATTCTCTCTCACCTTGAAGAACTTGGTCTCCGACGAGAAGTTCCTAGTCTGGCGGGAAGTGAACAAGCGGCAAAATCGAGCACTTATACCCCGGCAACTAGAGAACATACACTGAAGAAACGGAACCAAAATAAAGCGGTAATGAGAAAAGGGAAGTGGAAATATTTAGAAGATGTGACCGAGAACAAATACGGAAACATGAAAATTCAAAATTAAAAAAAAAACTAATTCATTAGAGGATCTCAATAATTAATTTGCAATTTTTTGTTCGGATTAGCATTCAACCCGGTGCCTATGGCAACAGAAGAGTAACGAATAAAATAAAAACAAAATGACAAAAGCTCTCGGAGCATGAGATATGAGTTGAAATTACCTAGAAAACAAGTAACAGTCTAGAGGAGGAAGTGGAAGAACTTCCGAGTCTCTTCGTAGGCGACGAACAGGCATCCTGAAGCAAAGCACGTCCTCAGGTTGGTTGGCAGCAGTCCCTTGTACAGTCCGCGGACGCCGTGCTCCTTCACGACGGCCGTCAAAGTCGGCAGGAACTGTCCGCCTCCGCTCACTTGCATCCTCGATTTGACCACATCTGCCGGATAGATCGATGACCACAGGGCCATTCCTCCCACCGACCCCGATATAGCCGTCTTCAAAAGTCCGATCTCTTCCTTCTTCTGTCCTTCTTCCGTCAGCAGATAACGGCTAGTCTCGTAGGCGCCGAAAAAGAAGAAGTATCCGGGAACCTCCCGAGCCAGCGTTGGCGTCATTCCGACGAAAAATCCGCGCACTCCGGTCTCGTTCATAATGTCTCGGCAAACGGAGAACGGCGTGCACTTCTTCTTCATCTCGCGAGCGGCTTGCAGTTTGCACTTGACGAGCTCGGTCGGACAGAGCACTGTGGCTGCGAATACGGCGGCGAGCGATCCAGAGAAGGCGTTCTGGAGGGGAGTCATGTGTCTCACGTCCGACTGGCCGCTCATTGTCGCGATCGTCTTTTGGCAGTATCCGTAGGCGGTGAACAGCACCGCGTTCTCGGCTACGTTCGCTGCGAGTGCCGGCAGGGTTCCTGAAGAAGAGTGATTGATTGATCCGGGTGCTCCGAAGGGCTTACCAGCATAGAGTCCCCTGACGCCGTCCAATTTGTAGGTGTCCTTGAGGCAGACGACCCAGTTGGAGTACAAGTGCGGGAATGTCTGCACTTTGACTTTGACAGTGTCCAGCGGCTGTCCTGCGTACACATTCGCCACTCCACCTGAATCCCTCTTTTCCAGAATCTTTCTCTAAATGTCTTAATACCAGCAGTTCCGGCGAGCAGATCGATGATGCCGTCTTTGAAGTGATCGGCTGCCGATTCACCCGTTTTCGCGGCGCCGCTCTCGTGCATTTTCTAGCCTATCTGAAAAGTTTGCAACTAACTTTGAAATGAGGTGAAAAAGAGAAAAAGAAATGGCTAACAGGTTTCCGATAAACCAGTGATCTAAAAATGTACAAAACGGGGGATTGACAAGAAGGATTGTGCGGTTTTTATTGCGGGTCGAAAGGAGAGGGAGGAATCGGAAGGAAAAGAGATTGAGGGGCAATCAGCCGGGGGGAAAATAAATTGAAACTTTAGATAAATACACCAGGAAAGTGGGGGGAAATGATACGGAGAGGATGGGGTTGAGATCCGAAAGAGACACAATCATCGCCTGTTTGAACTTTATATGATGACGAAAGGAAACGGCGTGGTTCATGGCCACGTGACAACTGATACCTTCTGTCTCGTTCTGATTTATATGTGATCTGACACCGTAACGTGACCGTATGGTCTTCAATGTTTAGTGATGCATTGTACATCTAAATACTACAAAAAGAAAGATTAGCGGGGAATATGGGAATGAAAGAAGGTGGGGAGTGAGCAATATAATCAAATCGTTGCCAGCAGCTTCTTCGTCACAATCTCATGGACCATTCGTTTGCGGTAATAGGGCATGTGCTGTTGCGTGAATCCGGGCAGTGTCCTCCGAGAAGCCCACTCGGCAAACTGACACGAGAAAACGCCGCAGTCGCTGCCGTTCTTCTGGCGGGGAATGTCCTGCAAACCGGATGTTTATCGCGTGTCCATCAGTCCCAAGCAATCACAGTCAAAACAAAGTAAACCCATAGGTGTTTTGAGTTGAGCGCCGGCAGTTCGGAACAGGCGAGTGAGAGGGGCCTGGTTCGAAAAAAACCGTGAGGCTGCTCAATTTACCCAGACTGTAACAGGTTGTGAAGGTGTTCTAACTGTCTGAATTACATCCATGGGCTATAGTCGTTCAGTTTCCACTCATTTGAATCTACTAGGATACCTGAACATTTTTTGAAAAATGTTTTATCCTTTTCCGCAGGGGGGGGGGTCTTATCGTTGCCGCTGGTTCGGAAATTTCAATTCAACCGCCAGGTCGGAAAAATGGGTTGGCGTTTCTCAAACATCTCGCACCTATGAGTCAACCCCTGACCAACATACAGTCATCTGTTGAATCGTCCATCCAGAGAAGTCAAACGCCGTCTTCTTTTTGTCCATTGACTCGGATGATATATAATTTCTTAAATCCGTCATTAATTCAATCCGAGTAGCCTGAAACATACCTTAGAGCTGGCAGCACATCGGTGTTTCCGTCGTAAAGGGAATCGTAGAACTCGATGCGCTTCTCGGCCACATCGATGACGGCCATGCACCAGTGCATTCCGAGATGGACGGGAACGAGCAAGAGGTGATACGAGAAGATGTCGACTTTCCGCGTCCATCGCTTCACACTCGCGTATCCTTTTTCGATGATGTTCGTGTAGAAGAAGGAGTTGAATGCATAGATCTTCGGATAATTCGAATTCTCCACACTTCTCTGGCAGATCAACTGCATGTAATAGTTGACGATATTGTCATTCAGCCAGTTCAGTCCGCTCAGTGTCAGCAGATCCTTCCGACAGATTTGAATGCTGAAAGCATCAACGAACTGTTCCTCTTTGTTGAGCGCCTTCGACCACGCCTTCTCAATAAGCAAATCGACCGAGTTGGGGAGCACGGGGAACTCGTCTTTCTTCGTCTTCTCCACCTTGGGTCTCACCACGATCCCCTTCATCGCCAACGCCTTCCGCACTTCTTCCTGTCTCTCCTCCTTCGTCTGAACTCTGTGGCCTTCCCGGATCCGCATCTCTTCCAGCAGCTCCTCTCCTCTTCGATTCGACTGCTCGTAAATCGACTGGTATCGTCCTGTCCGTTCCGATGAGCGGAGAGCGAGACTTTCAATTTGAGACAGCATATCTGTGTAATTCGGGTTTCGTGCACTGTAATCGGAAGAAGTCGAAGGAGTTCGGCATCTCGAACTCTCATTTCCAGAGTTATTTGGCTGATTTCGAGAGGAGCCGGCGATGGATCTATCGAATATGACGGAGGATTCTCTCGAAAGTGAGGTTGGTGTATTGCTCCGAGAGGAACGGATTCCCGATATCGTCTGTAAAAATATAATTTAACTCTATTTTCCGCGACAAAAAGTTACATGTTTGGCTTTTGCTATCAGATCATTTGCCGACGACTTCGTTTTCCCTTTTGTGAATTTGAGGGACGTATCTTTGGTCTCCGGCTTCTGGAGATATCCGCACTTTTGCAAGTACTCCACATACTTTGCCAATGCAGCTTCTGGCGCTCTTTGCTGAATGAAAAACATTGATCTCGCAAATTAATATAATCCGCTCACCTTCGACGCTTTCTGAATAGGTCGCTGTGACAATCCAACGCGTTGAACCACGGTCGAATTGAACAGATGCTGCCTCATCGGAGCTCGTTTCGTCGCCGACTTTTTTGCGGCCGAACGTCTCCAGAAATCACGAACGCCTTTCGTGGACGATGAGTATGGAGACATCGAGTTCCAGTCATTCGGAGTCGTTGAGCGACTGGCACTCTCGTCTGGAGTCGGCGAGGCGAACACTTGCTCGTTAGCGGAGGCGAACTGGTCAAGGGGCCGCTCTTCTTCTGGAGCGTCTCTGTTGCCTCCATTCAGGAAAATTATCTGAAAAGAACGGAAACTTCTTTCGACGCTTAAACAGCAAAGGGAACCTCGTTCTGATAAAGTCGTGCATTCTGCAAGTCTCTGTTTGGAGTCTTGACAATTTTCACGAACTGAACACTCAGATCCTGATCTTCGTCCAGCTGAACTTCAAATGTTCTCTCCAGCTGCTCCTTCAGTTCTGACACAGATGGTTGCGCAATCTAAGAAATCAGTCTGCTTGAAAGGCAAAAGTACTCTGGAAACCTCTTGAACATCGTCGTCATCGCTGTCATCGTCAGCCACTTCCACGTTGTTCTGAACGTGCTTTTCGAGGACGACGTCGTCATCTTCCTCGTTTTCGTCCACTCCGGCCACCAATCTACCATTGTCTGCACTCAGGAAAACGATGGGTCCGCTCGGCTGCAAGCTCTATTTCGCTGGAATCTCATCGCCGTCAGGACGAACCTCCGTTTTTCTCGGTGAAGACGGGACCACGAAGATCTCTTCGTCGACGGACTCGTCGTCGGAAACGTCGAAGACGCGCTGAGAAGTTGACTTTTCTGCCGCTTTTTCTCCGCGAAACATTCCGATAAACGAGCTGATCGGAGCGAAGAAATAGCTGAACGCAGATGACGATTTCGACCGTTTCGACGGAGTTATTGATTCGTTTTGCTGCGAAACCAAATGTCGTTTTCGGGCTGAAATTTCAGTTTTCGACCTGTTCTTCCGTTGTCTTATCGACTCCAAACGTACACTGATTATCATCGTCTGGACTATCAGACCTATCTGACATACTGATTTCAGATATCTCGAGTAAAAGGACTAACCTTTGCCTGTGCGAAATGAAATTCTGAAATTATCGAATAGAAACGAAAGTTGAATATGAGTTAGATATGTGACTAGGAAGAGTACCCCTCGTGGTAAGAGCTGCTGTTTGTAGACGAATAAAATGTTTATGACAGTTTAAAAATAAGACGAAATAGTGGAAAAGATGGGAGAACAGGTGAGAGATAGAGAATACGCCAGGAGGAAAATTGCCACATCTGATCAGCTTGGACTGTTAACAAAGAGGGAGTACAACAGCGAAAGGATAAAAAAGAGCGCTTTTCCAGAGATCTCGCACACCGTCTGATCGGCGGGGACAACTCACCTCCGGTCGTTTCACAACAAAAAGAGAGAGAGATGGATAGCGGAAGGAAGTGTTTGGAACATTACGGAAGAGGAGTGCTCCGAAATATTTGGAGGGAGTTTTGAATACAAAACGGAGAACAACAGATAAGATGTTTAATAACTTAGTACAGAGAACGAGAGATAAAATTAGATGGAGAACACTCGGAGACTCTTGTCCAGCGAACTCGTTACTAATGACCGCGCGTTCTCTCCGAAGCGCACTCCAGTCACTGGTCCCGAGTGATCTGAAAGGGAGGCCACCTCGGCCCAGGTCTTCACGTGGAGCACTTGCACCTTCTGCCCTCCGATACCCAAGAATGTTCCAGTCATGTCGAACGAAAGTGAGTTGATCTGAAAAGAAAAGATTGTTCCGATTCTATTCAGTTCCTGTAATTACCGGCTGCTTCTCCTCATTCGAGAATGTCTTCAAGTTTTTCAGCTTTCTGAGATCCCACAATTTCACCTCTCCGTCCTCAGATCCAGTGGCCAAGTAGTATCCGTTCTCAGAGAATGCAATCGATCGCACGGCGGCCGTGTGTCCAGGGAAAGCGGCGGCTACTGTCTGGTTCTTCAGATCCCAGATCTTGACGACGGCGTCAGCAGTTCCAGTTCCGAAAATAAGTCCGTCTGGATGGAATTCGATGCAATGAACGGCAATCTGCGAACCAGTCTCCACAGCAACCTTGCAGAGAGACTTTCCGGTGCGAATATCGGAGAAAGCCCAGAAAGAGTCGTCCGAAGAGGAGAGAATGTAATCTCCGGTCGCATTCAACGATATATCGGTAACTGGAGCCTGATGCACATCGATGACGGCCTTAGACGCGGAATCATCGACGCTCCACACACGAATGTGCGAATCGGCAGACGCGGAAATAGCCGTCTTGGCATCTGGATGCAAAACGACAGCATTGATCTTCTTGTTGTGTCCTTTAAAAGTCTGGACAACCTTTTCCTTTTCGTAGTCGTACAGAACTACGAGTTTATCAATACCACCGGTCAAGGCGAGGTTTCCTCTAATGTCGAGAGCAGTGATTCCTGGAGTTCCGGCTGAGTGTATGCCCGTGTGCGAAGCCGTCTGCTTGATTTCAGCAAACTCTTCAGTCTTGGCTAATCCTTCAGGAAGACTCTTTCCGCGTTGCTTTCGTTCAGCAGTCAGGCTCTTCGATTTCTCCTCCAACTTGGCCAGAATAGCCTCGCTCAAGCCTTGCTGATCTTCCGCTTCATCGATGCTAACGTCATCGTCGTACTTGGAAGCGGTATGTGGTTTCAGAGTTGACAAGGCTTCTCTAGCGGCAGAAAGTTCTTTGGAAAGACGGGCGATGACACGGCACGCGGCGTCGTGTTGGTAAAGAGAGTGGGAGAGCTCCTGACGCGCAATTTGCAGCTGCTGTCGGAGCGAGAAGCTGTTGAGCATGACAGTGTCGAACTCGTCTTGAAGCATCTTCAGCAGTGATGGAATTGATGTTCCGGACACATTTCGTGGTGCAATGCCAGTGCCGCCAGTTTTGACAGCGACGAGCTAAAATTACGCATTGGTCAGCTAGTGGCACTAATCGATAATTCTTACTTGATCTTCGGACAACTCAGTGTTGCTGATTGGATCCGTGCCGTTTTCGGCGATGAACTTAGTGATGAGACGTCGATCGAAAATGTGTCCGGAGACTTGGGAGACCACTGGATCCTCAGTCGGCTCGCCGCTTATTCCACACACAAAAGACATCTCCTAGAAACAAAATCGATAAATTTTCAAGTATGAAAAAGAAAAAAACGTTACGAGGTTGCAGAAAAAGACAAAGAGGACTCGTCAAACACAATCGTAACCCTATTGTTGTGCAAATTAGGATTTTCTACGTTTCGATTATTCTTGGTCGATTTCCAAAATAACCGTAGCGCTTTCAGCTTCAAAACACACAAAACATAATGGAGAATTAGCTAAACAAAATAAATATGCAGAAAAAGAGCAAAAATCTATACAAACGATTGCAAAAATGACCAACCTTCAACGACAAAAATTCGAAACGCAGTGCGGTGGAGCGCACATGATCACCGGGTCACTAAATGGCCATGCGTTTCTTAGGCCGTCATGTCCGTGCGAGCTATTACAAAGTTATTTTTTCTTTTCTCTTTATTTCTTACGTTTTCTTAATCGAGGTGCAGTACGTTGCAAACGAAAAATGCAGACCTACATGTTCGATTTTCGAGAAAGTAATAAATGTTTTCTCTGTTGTCTCCCAATCCATTATTGACGACTGTTCTTTTCTTCTTGGAGCTCTTTATATTGATCATGAACTCAATTCATCGCTTTTTTTCTTCGGTGTTTGCAGCCTAACTTGAGTCTGCATACACCGAGGGGGAAAAGCGGTAAATTGAGTAGCTGTGCAAGATAAAATATTGTTCTCTGAATGAAAACAAACAAAATTGAAATATTTACTCAGTTTTTTTGCACTTTTTTTAATGCCTTCGTCCTCATTTTTTATTCCACCTTCGATAAGCAAATGTCTTTTCCAGCGAATGCAAGTGGGCGAGTATGAGTTGACCGTCATTGACGTCACTCTTATTGTCGTCAGTCTAGTGGCTCTCAAAAAAGTCTTCGGATGGCTTCTGGCTCCGAAAGTGAACGAACCCAAAAAATATCAGGCAAGCCCGACGTCTTCTTCTCTATCTTAATATTTCCAACTTCTTTTTTCAGATAGACCTATTAGAGAACAGAGATCTGACTCTAGAAGAGGTGAAAAAGTTGCGATGCGAAAAAAAGCAATGTCTCGTTGTGGTCGGAAAGAAGATTTATGATCTTTCTGCATCGCGAGAGCTCTACGAAAACAATCTAGCCACGTTCGAAGCGGAAATCGGATGCGGATCAGAGTGGGAAGCGATTTGTGAGCGGAAGTACCCTTTTGTGGGAAAACTAAAAGTTGAATAAGCTAAACTCAAAATTTTTGGTAAATAGGCGGGTTATTGCTTCTATATTTGATAAATAAATAAACAGTTGTTTTCTAATTTTTCACACGTTTCTCCATTTTTCTTCACTGGTTGTTCATTTACCATGTTATTTTTTTCCATTGATTTTCAGTGGAATACATCAAATTACAGCCACACAAAATGGCAATGATGTACCCGTTCCACGTGGCTCAGCCACCTCTCAACTGGTCCGAACACTTGTGGGTCACGGAGATTTCGCCCGCCAAAGAGTCGTTCATCACCACGATTTGCGAGCATCGACAAGCACAATGGGTGAGTGTTTGAACATAAAATATTTAAAAAATGGTAAATAAATTTAGGACAATCAAGATCTGCTCCGTCATCTGCAAGACAGCGTGGCGGTCATAAAGGGAGAGGATCAGCGTCAACCGGCTCAGCCGGCCGCCCCAAATGCGAACGCCAACGCTCAGAACTGATCTCTTCATTTCTTTGTATTTTCATATTTCATTTTTTCGCAAAAAATGCATAAATATCCCGCTTATGCCGCTTATCATTTCTATTTTTCCTATGCGGGTTCGTAACCACTTTCCTATCTTTGAATGCCTTTCTATTATTTTTTTTTTCTCAATTTCTGTCTATTCCAGTCAGAGTGTCCAATTATGACTGACGAGGAAACGTCCCGAAAAGGAAACACGAAAGGCCGTAGCAAGAAGAACAAAAGTGAGTGAATTATCCCAGTATCCGAACAAAAATATCATTGACAGGTCGGAAAGGAAAATCGCAGAGCCCACCGAGCACGAAACGGTATGATACTCGTTCAACGACGTCGTCTTCCACACGTCAGAATCCGTCGAAACATGAAAAAGTCGTACTGCTCAAAAGAAACCATGGTTCGCCGCCGCGAGAGTCTTCCAGTGGTTCTGCACGTGTCCCAACTCCTTTGATGGAAACGAAACCCAACGGAAATTTGTTCGGCCAATCTTCCAAACAACCACAATCTGCTGCGCTACCAAAAAAGCAGAATTTAAAGGCAAACAAGGATTGCGAGCCGCAGTCGTCGAACGGAGCGAACAAGTCTCCGCCGCCGCTGATGCAAGTGAACACGAACAGACAGGAGTTCTGGCCGAAAACGGACGAGTCGGCGAACGTGACGGATCGGCAAGCGGAAGCCAATCGGCGACAGAGAGACAAGTATTACTTTTCGGAAAATCCGGGAACTGCAGTCTCGGCGAACACTTTCCAAACTTCTGTGCAGTACAAAATGGGCAATTTCCCGATCGACAGGAACATTAACATTCCGATTGAGAACAAGTTTACGGTAAGTGAATATTATATTGTCTCTAAGTGCTTAATTTCTATCCATTTCTAGCTCCTAATAGTTCCGACCGCTGGCCGCTGCCAATCACTTCACATCAGTGTGAAATCCCAAAAGAGAGATGACACCGTGACTGCTGGAGCGCTTTTGAGATTGAGTGCTGACGAGAAGACAGTCAGAGATGCATGCGTTGAGACCATCAACAATTTCGTCGCGGGTAGGTCACTCGCACAGAAACTCCCCCGTTCAATCCTTGTCAGTTGCAGCAAAAGGAACTCTGGACCGTTTCCCGTTCTCGAATTCTTCGGATGAGTATCTCAAAGAGTGCCACATCAGAAGACTCGAGGATCGATTGGACGCCTTCCCGGAAGCCATTTACTATTGTGAAAAATGCGATTATCACATCAATACAATAACGCACGCGAAGAATCATCTGGAGGGCAGCACGCACTTTGAAGACGTGGAGAAGCAGGCGCAGAGAGTGAATCTGCTGAAAAAGATTCCGAAACCGACGGATGCTCATCTAAAGGCGGTAAACCAAGTGCTCTCGAAAACGCTAGACGAATATGAAGAGGTTCGTTCGATAATTTAGACCGTGAGCTTCATGTATGTATTTCAGATTATGAAAAATAGAAAGGAAACATCGAGCAGTATTCTGTCCTACTTGAAAAATCAACTTTTTCCATCGATCAACTGCGAGAACGTTGTTCTTAAACCGTTCGGGTCCTCTAATTACGACGTCGTTCTCCCGGACAGCGACTACAACGTGGCAATGTCGCTGGATATTTCGGAAGGAACACAGATGTTCAAATTCATGGAAAAAGTCAGAAAACAGATTGAGGACGACGGACATCCGGCCGATCATTCCATGGACATTGGCACTTCCTCCATGATCCTGTTCACTTACGAAGGCATCCGAGTTCGTCTCTGCTGGCTGACCGGCTTCAACTGTCTCCGGCAGCCCAATTTCACGCAGCTGATGCAAGCGTACACCTCGCTCCGTCCAGAAGTCGTCAAATTCCTTCAGTTGATCCGTTTGTGGGCGTACAAAGCCGGGCTAGATTCGAAAAATAAATCACGGATCGGTCTGCCCAGATACGGGTTCGACATCATGGCGATCCATTACCTGCAGCAAGAAGGAATCCTTCCAGTGCTTCACCATCTTTACGAAGAAGAAGTGGAGGAGAAGGAAAAAGATAAACAGAAGGATCCGCAGGAGAACAAGGAAGAGCCACTGCACGTGGAGGACGCCGTTTCCAATCAGCCAGAACAAGCCAGACAGCGTCGATTGAGATTGATGTCCCGCTATCAGAAGGATGTCGAGAAAGTCCGTTCTATGTTTGATCTGACGAAAGAATGGAATTTGGCTAAGCTGTGGATCGGATTCTTCCGCTACTATGTGGAGCGCCATCGGGATGTCGTTGTGCAAATGACCCAGAAAGAGCCAATGTCGAGAGACTGTAATCGGTGGAACAAGAAGATATTGCACGTAGTTGATCCGTTCCGAAGTGACAATGTTCTGGCGATACCGAAAGTCTCCACGTGGCAGCCGTTCTACTTCAACTGCCTTCTCGTCACTTACATTTCGTTCGCCATTCCAAGAACTGAGAATGGTCCAGTGGTAGAAGTGACATTCTTCCAGAGCAAATCGAAGAGGAAGCTCAAAGAGCAGCCGTCGAAAAGATTTGTAGGTGTGAAGCCGATGAATCCGATAACAGAAGAGAGCTATATACAGGCAGAAGATGAGCTTGCCGTGGATGAGGAAGAACTGTTGAGGCAGGAGGAAATGAGGGAGCGTCTCACTTTTGACGGCATCAAGTTGTGCTTCCTGAATCCGGAAGACGTCGAAATTGACGAGCACTTCAATCAAATGTACGGTAGACACACTATGCAGCGTGTCCGAAGACGGTATACACTCGAAATGAATGAGGATCAGTTGTCATCGATCGATATGGCCGATCGCTTTTTGTTGACCAGCCGAAATAGGAAGAAGTTGGGAAAACTGATGAGAACATCGAGAAGGGCGAATGAGGAGAATAAGCTGGATTTGACAAGAGAAGCGGATCTGGAAGTGGCGGCAGTCACGAAGGAAATCACCGAAAAACTGTTCATTTGTAATGTTGATTCTGCGCAAGAAATAGAAGAAGTGACGCCACAGGGTGTTCGTTTAGCGGACTTCAGTCTTCCTAAACGCTTATCTTTTTTTCAGGGATCTTCTGGAATTCCCAACCTGTACACACTTGCTTCTCCCGTCCCGAATTCGGTTCCAAGCGAGCAGAAAAAAGAGGAAACTCTCATGGAGCAGACAGAAGATCCAGTGGTTTTGCGGAAAGCGACAACCACAAGTCGCAGCACTGCTACTTTCGTGAAGCATTCCATCATCACAGAAGCCGCCCGTCTGGCTGAGGGCCAAGTGTGCATCGAAGAGTTTCACATCAGAGAGACTGTAAACCGAGAGCAGATAATCGAAAAGACGAAAACACTCGACGCCGCCGATTTCCGCTTCCAATTCACGGCCGAACTGTTCTGTGGCGGATACGAAATGGAGCTGAAGTGCACGTATTGCGACGGAAGTCACTGCGTCGAGCAGTGCCCACTGATGGAGATCCCTCCCATCGAAAAGTTTGCTCCGCGCACCGCGGAAGAGCTCAAAGACATTGATGACATCATCGACAATTACTTCGAGGAAAATAAAATCCAGGAAGGTCGCCTGAAACTGCTGCGGAAGAAGGTGGACGAACTGGAGAAGTTCCTGAAAAAGTCGTACCAAGAGGACATCAGCCTCACCATCTTCGGATCAGTTATGACTGGACTTAGTGTCAATTGTTCCGATATTGACATCTGCCTTCGGTTTGGATCAGGTGACGAACCGCCGAAGGACCGGACACCGAAGGACGTGATTCAGAAAATGGAAGAAGTGCTAAGAAGGAGCCATCTGGCGAAGAGAGTTCAGGCAATTGTCACCGCCAAGGTTCCGATTGTCAAGTTCCAGATAAAACTGGATAACAACGATATGGTGGACGTAGAGTGAGCATTTCAGATCCCTCATCTCCATCAAATTCTGTTTTCAGTGTGTCCTACTACAATATACTGGCCATTTACAATACTTCTCTTCTCAAGGAATACACTTACTGGACTCCCGATAACCGATTCGCTAAACTTGCGCTGTTCATAAAAGCTGTAGGTTCTACCAACAAACCTCTTATCATTGATCTCTTCCAGTGGGCCAAGAGATGCGACATAGGAGATGCATCCCGTGGATCGCTGAGCTCGTACGCCCACATTGTCCTTCTGGTCTCGTACCTCCAGCAATGCGATCCTCCAGTTCTTCCACGACTTCAGGAAGACTTCCGAAGCGGAACGACAGAACGGAGAATGGTCGAAAACTGGGACACCTCGTTCGTGCAGGCGGAGAAGCAGCTTTTCGAGGGATGGCAGAAGAACAAGGAGACGTGCGCTCAGTTGCTCATCGGATATTTCGACTACTACTCGCGATTCGACTTTCGAAACTTTGTGGTTCAGTGCCGACGAGAGACCAATCTGTCGAAAATAGAAAAGGATTGGCAACGACCGTTGTGCGTCGAAGATCCATTCGACCTCAATCACAACCTGAGCAGTGGAATCACAAAGAAAAGTGAGTGCGGTTCTGATCCACTCGCCTAACTGCTTTCTTCTTTCAGTGTTCGTGTTCGTTATGAAAGTGTTCATCGCTTCCCGCGCCGTTTTCATGTCGGCGATTCCGAAGACTTCGCGCGGCCCCAACTTCCTCTCGGACTTCAAAGAGCAACTGTTCTGTATGTGCTCGCAAGGATCTGCTCCGGCCGACCGACAGTGTCACGCATGCCATAAAATAGGTCATTTCGTGGATCAGTGTCCGCGAAGAAATCAGGGAAAAGACTCGAGACGGCGATATGGATCCAACTCGACCACTTCATCGTACCGATCCAATGGGAATGACAACGACGGCCAGCCGGACCGACTGCAATTCCACAAAAGAGTAAGAGCCTTTCATCATCTGAGTTTTCCAATAGCATTCTGATTTTCCAGACGTATCACCGCCGCTCGCACCGATAAATTCGTTGGTGTCCACTTCACTCCTCCATGTAATCTGCTCATATTTCACCCTTCTCCATCCTTATTCAAGATTCCCACATTTTCTTCGCTGTTTTCCAATAATCTTCTTTCTAGTATACCCCTTCCCAGCACATATCAAAAGCCTCTGTATTCTAGTTCAGAATTGCTTTTACCAACGCCCGCAGCTTCTACTAGGATGCGATTTCTTTTCTTAAGTTAAAGCCAACTTTTTTTATTGTATCCCTACGCGTTTCCTGAAAACGAGGTCTCCTACCCCCAAATCCTATTTGTTGTTTTTCATACGATATAATATTGCGCTTTGGGACCTATCGTACTCGAATTTCCCAGCCCGATTCACTTTCAGACGTCACACGATTACATCGGCAAACTGGATTCCCTCCACTTTTTGTGCCGATCAGAAGGAAATTCTGCCATCTGTATACGTTCATCCAGAAGATTCCAGTTTTCCCTCTCGTTTACAGCCTCTCTCTTTCTTATCATCATCTTTTTTCGCTTGCATTCATCTCATCTGACATATTCATAGAGACATTCATTAATCGGAACAGTCCCTCTGGAAAATGTGATTTTGTGTCCGAAAACTGCTGATCTAGTCGGCTGCCTCTCTCGCCCGACTTCCCCCACATTTTCAGGATAACTTTCGCATAGTAAAGCGAAGAAATAGCACGGAGAGGCGAGAAAGTCGAGGCAGAAAGTGTACGAAAGAGCGAGAAGAAGCGGCGGGGCTCCGGGAGCTCCGATATTTACCCGCGGCCGAAGCACGCAACCGATCAGTGCCCGAGCCGTCTGCGTCTCCTGCTCCCGCACTCTCTCGCACCGCTCATTCCCACTTTTTATCGTTTTCGCGGAACATTGTCTGGAATATAGATCTTCGATTAGTCGTTCCCCGATCCTTTTATTTTTTTTTAGGGTCTCCCTGTTATTTTATGGGTCTCGCCACGGAGATTGAAAACAAAAAGTGTTTTTGTTGCCGTAACCAAGAACACTAGAGCGCGATTGTAAAACTGTTTGTTAGTAAAATTAGTAGAAATATTCGCTGAACACAGCAAATGATATGAAACTTAAATTTCTTCCTCTTCTACTCACTCTCCAACTCTTTCTTTTTGTTCTTCTTCTCCGAATTGCGTCATCAACCGAATTGCGCCTCGTTTCACTGCGAACTGCAAGCGACCAGACGGACAAACAGATCATAACCGGAGCGCACCGTGAATGAACATTTTTGAACATGGTTTAAATTTCCCGCCCGTAACGAGTCATTTGCGTGCTAATGAGGTACGGTTTGCGATACGGAGCGATAAAAACGAGCCCGAGCATGTTCACAAATGTTCACCGTGGGGCGTATTTGACCTACCGGACGGCGCCATTGCTCTCTCCACGTGTCGTGTCTGCGTCTCTCGCTGTCTCGCTCTGTTCTGGTCACTTCGCCCACTGCCAAATGTTTCGTCTTCCTTGGTCGTCCGATCCGAGTCGCCCCGCACTGTTCATGTTCGTTTTCTGGTTTCCTCTCTTTCTCTCGACGCCCTCCTCGCGCCACGCACTCTCTCCTCGCGCCTGTCGACAGTCTCTCTTTCTCTGCGCCCTCTTGATCTGCCCTGCTCTCTTGTCGCTTCCCATTTTCCGCCCGGTTTTCCCTCATTTTTCGTATCCTAAAATTGTTTCCCTCGAATTCGATTCTGTTGTCCGTCGAGCTGATCCCAATAGACAGCGGGAAAAGTTCATAAAAAATTGCGGAGCGCCAAAATTGAATCGTTTTGAATTTTCTGGCCGGAAACGGCAGGTGCAGTTTCATTTTCATTTTCGTTTTGTGAAATGTTGTGAAACTCTGAACATCCTCTGTTGAAGCGTTTGAAAGTCGTTTGGAACGACCCGAATCTCGACTGTTTTCGATTGTATTATGTTGACATTTCGAGCGTCTGGAAGGGACTGTTTGCCCATCGAATCGATTCTATTTTCGTCCGTTTCATCACATTTTCACTGTTTTCTAGCCTAAAATTGCGTTTTTCCAGACATTCATATCACTTTTCAATCGAAAACTTTGAAAACTGCCAGCTCGCTTCATAAATATTGAGTCTAGTCCGATAACGTTGATAACACGTGAAGACCTAACAAGCAGTCAACACATCCAAGTTTCCACGTGTTTTCGACCGGAACCACCAATTTTGTGTCGTTTTTCTATTTGGGTCGGCACATCATACCTGCCGGGTTTCCTTTTCTTTTCTTGCTTTTCCCAATCCCTTTCAGTCTTCCAAAAGATTTGGTTTTTGAACTTTGATGTGTTCGAATAATAATTTATTGACAAAAAGTTATAGAAAACAGAAAGGATTTCGATTCATTTCCATTGTAGTCGTTCTCTTCTGCAAACGCACCCGTCGTGCCGTCCGTCACTTGGTGCACAGGTGTGGCAGGGTCATTTCTGTTCTGGCACGTCATCCACTAATCCTACGTCTTCTCGAAGTTCCTTTGCTTTCATAATTTTTATTGTAAACAGTTTTCAGTTTCTCCTTCCTGTTTTCACTTTTCATCCGTGAGTTGTTGTTGTTTATTCGCCGCAGTGACTATCTCTTTGCATCCATCCATTCCCCACGGTCTGTTCCCGGTAGGCGGCGTTCTCTACTCGTAATATGTTGTCGTAACCATCTATTTTTTCCGCCTTTTTTTGTTGCTTTGTGGCTTTTTACGTTTCGTACAGGCTGAGAAAGCGGTAACACAAGAACTCTCTAATAAGTGGTAGCTAGTGGGTCCTAGTGTTAAATTGACAATTACGTCTCTCGAGAGTACATAAAGGGTGTCAGGTAAACTATGACGCTATTCTAGTTTGTTATGCACCGATAGGTAAAGGATACATTATGATTTTGGAAGAAGTGATGCACGATTGCTGCATTTATTAATTGACTGTTTTCCAATGGTTTATGTTTCGCCATCTGCTGAGAATAATGCATTCTTACTGGTTCAGCGTGTAACATCTTTTTATGCCGATCTGCGCGACAGATGTTCCCGGGCATCTGCATGCACACAACCACAGAAGGCAAAAATACTTTCCCTTGCCTTTGCCTCTACATGTGTCCTCACTCTTTCTTCTTGTGGTATACACGTGTGGCATGTGTCTCCAACCGCCTTTGTATTCCGTCTTTTTCATCTTCATGTTCATCTTCTCCGCCTCTTATTCTATTTTATTCCGGCCAGTTGTTTCTGATCGCTGTGGTCTTTTGTCGTCGGCTCTTTATTCTGAGAACGTGCCGTACATCGTTCATCCGTCAGAATAAACTGAGGTTGTCATAGCTATTTGTGGTGCCAAGTACCCCCGTCTTTTCGCTCATATTTCCTCCCATTCGAGCAGAGTCATGAATAGCAGTGTTTGGAAAGATTAGTATAGGTTTTCCAGGCGGACTTGCTCCTTCGCACACGAGATTATCACTTGTTTCATTTCGCGGAACCACTTATATTGAACTTATTATGACTGAAAGCACCTATTTCATTGCTTTCTCACACTTGAATCAGTAATGCACATGTTTTATTTCAGGCCACCCTGAGTCCTCTCGCAAGCTAGAATGAGCTCATTCGCGTTTTCCGATTCGAAATTTATGTCTGACTAGGAGTTGTAATAAAAACTGGTGGAATTTCATTCAATGATCAAATTCTCATAAGAAGCTCATGAGCATGATCCAGCTGGATATTCGGTTAGTCTGTGCAACTCTGTTCCATGCTCATGTCTCTTTCTTTTCTTCTCTAATGCTTGAAAGTCTGCTGAATGGTCGACGATCCATTTAGGTCGGTCTAGACTTTATTCGAGTGTCAACTTCGTTTTTCATCCTCAAACCTGACAGTGGCCACCGCAGAATGCCACGCAGATTGGCAACAACGTAGATTGAGGAAGATGGAAAGTGAAACGTTTGGGAAATTATATATATATATATATAGAAAAAAATGCCGGTTTTATCACAACCTGACCTCATTAGAGAAGTGTACGCTAAAAGTTTTTCAAAGTGAAATTTTGGGGCATTTCAAATACAATGCTCTTGGGCAGGCTTTGTCGCTGCTCTATTAGGACACCAGTGATCTCTGAGTAATTTGGGTTCTCCCAGTTGTATCCAGATAAAACGGCTCATACATAGTGTAGCACTCTCGTTTTCGTTTCCTTAACTTAATTCGTTCCTTTGTTGACTTTGCCGTTCTGAAAAAAGACTTCGCACTATCTCAAACAAAACTGACGAGCTCTGAAAGGAGCTCATTCATTGTCACCACACAATTTCCTGGTGTCTGTCACCATAAAAAAGTATGCGGATGGCAGTGCCATGGTGCTGATGTGAACTACAAAGGAGATGGATGATGGGTCCAATTCCATTTCGAATGGAGTGACTTCAATATGCAGAGAAAGCCAGTCTGGCTCCCTCGCCCGCCAAATGCACTTTTACCTTTCTGGGCAATAGTGCGAAACGAATTCAGAGTAAAAGTGTCCTTATTGAGGGTAGTTCCCTAGTTCGTTCTTTTTTTATTAAACTGAATGAAAATTTCATCGAGCTGTTATCCTGATTGATTCCAAGAACATGGGTTAGTACGACCTATAGGTTAGCCGTTTAGTTTTTCATCCCCGTTCCCAAGCCAGGGGGGTCTTCTCAATAATCAGCTAATGCGTGGCTGCCAGCGCCCCTCGTACTCGGTGCAGTTTCCGCGCCGAATTTGTTGTTTTTTGCAATGCGGAAAACACCTTTTTGTTGGTGGGGTCGGAGGACGCATGTTCTGTCCGTCCGCCAGTAAACAAACGAGACTTGTTGGGTCGGCGGCGGGTGCTGAGCTCAGCGATAGCGCCATTTGTGCTGACTGGACGCTGCATTATTCATACTAAAGGCAAAGGAAATTTCTAAAGTCGGGTCTGGAATTCTAGAGGCTCATCCGTTGGGACTTGTACTCTTTGGTCTGCCAGATGAGAATTGAAAGTACAAATGATGACTCGTTGAAGTCGGCTTGTACTGAACATATCGGGGCGAACAGCGCACTTCTGCTTACTCGTTTGCCGCACTCCGCCAGTTCCTTTGTTTATAACTTATAAATTATAACTTATAATTTATAAGAATTCAATAAAGCATCTCTAGAACAAGCGAGTGCTGAGAATGACAAATGAGGTAATTCGCGCGTTTTCGCCTTCCTCTATACCCCCTATTTGTCGTTTTTTTTTCATGCGCAAAAATTAATTAGCCGCACACTGACCTCCGTCTCCTGCCGCCTTATCCTTGCCCTTTTCTCGCCGAGCACGCATTCTAAATGAAGCTCCGCCCACTTTGACTCATATAGCCAGACGCTTCTTCAGTTTTTCATTCTTGACGTGACAACCGGTCGCTCTGTTCGATATCCTTATCTTTTCTTTGTTTTCTTTTTATCAGTTGAATACGTTGCAGTATGGAGTGCTAGAGCTACTCAAACACGCGGTACAACACATACATTCACTTTGCCACTGACACCAAGAACCGACCGACAACGACTAATGACAGTAATCCAGGTGAGCCGAGTTGATGAAGCTAGAATTCTCCGTAAGCAAACAAATGTTTAGAAGTTGTCATCAAAAGTGAGGGGAGTGAAGACGTCCCCGTCGTTGTCAAGCACCGGGCACGCAGAAGTTGTGCGGCAGGCAACGGGCTCGCCGTGCAAAATGAGCCAGAACGGGAGCAGCGGCTACTACGAGGGTGATGTGACTCTGGACGACGAGGCTCTCGTCTCGATGCCCGAAGCCACTCTGGTTGAGTGCTTCGGCAATCTGGCAATAACCAAAAGACCCGCTCACCTCAGACCACCCGCCGCTTTCTGTAAGTGAACGGAAGACTTGCGGATAGATCTGAATGAGCCACCTATTCCAGGTCTCCCGTTCGTCTCGATGAGCAACGACGAATGCAGTGGGCACGCCCTGAAGCATCTCACATTAACGTAAGTTGACATCTTCTCACGGACTCTCATTCGCGCTCATTTCAGATCAGTGTTCGATGCTCTCCATCCATACGTCGGAATGCCGTACATCAACAGAAGAGACATCTGCTCGGCAATGAATGTCTACTGGCGTGAGTCATGTTTTCACTCTTCTCCCACTGTTCACACATTGTTTGTTTCAGTCAAAAACTGCCTGGAGCCAGAGCAGCTCGACCTTGTCCACCGATTCGCATTGGAGATGCAGGTTCATCTGAGTGCCTGCTTTGGATGTCGCGTCGTCTTGGATGTGAGAATCTATGCACTCCTTTCCTCAATAATGCATTCTCCTCCAGATATACGGTTCGACTCGCAACGGCTTCGGCACGCGAATGTGCGACGTCGACATGTCACTTTCGTTCTATCCGGCGCCTCCGCAATGGGCTCTCAACTCTGACCGAGTTATGCGTGCTGTCGCAAAAGCGCTGGTTGATTTCCCGAAGGCCATGGACGAAAGATATGTGAACGCGAAGGTTCCGATCGTCAGATTCCGTAGCAGCGATATGGACATAGAGGCAGAGTACGGGGTTTTGGTTTATTTTGTCGCATTCACTGTTTCCCTTTTAGCATAAGCTACAAGAACGATCTGGCCCTACACAACACGCAACTGCTGCAGCAATATTGCAAGTGGGATCCGGAAAGACTGCCGACACTCGGCGTGTGGGTGAAGGCGTGGGCGAAGAGAAGTGGAATCGGGGAAGCCTCTAAGGGCTCTCTGTCCTCGTACGCATGGATTGTGATGCTCATCCACTACCTGCAGCAAGTTGAACCGGTGCCGGTGCTTCCGTGTCTTCAAGAGATGAACCATCAACGGAACGAGAACGTCTACGTGCAGGGATACAACGTCTACTACTGGAAGTTCGTCGACGCGACCCGTGCCCGCCAATGTCGGGCCACAGTCATCGACCTGTTCGTCGGATTCCTCGACTACTACGCCTCGTACTTCGACTACGGAGTCAACGTCGTTCAGATGGTATCGAAGAAACTGATGTACAAGCCGGATCGGTGGGTCAAGTACCCTATGTGCATCTCGGATCCATTCGAAACCGATCACAATCTCGCCCAAGGAGTCGATCAGCAGAGTGAGTGAAACATGGACAAGCGAGGGAAAATCACTTATTTTCAGTGTTCGAATACATTAGATCGTGCATGGAACACTCGAGAAAGGTGTTCACGAATCGTCACTTGCGTGCGGAGTTTCTCTCGGGATACGGGTTCGATGTAGACGAGTTCGATTCAAGACAAAAGAACGAGATGGACATGGAAATGTCCTCGCAGTTCGGGGTCAGTTTCCTTTTTCTCTGTTCCCATTCAAATGCATTCTTGTTTCAGGAGTTCCTTCTCCACAAGTGCATCATGGTGAAACAAGCTCCGAATCGACAGTTTCGTGGCAGGAGCATGAGCCAATCGACGAGCACAAGCAACCATTCGAGCAGTTCGTCTGGCTGATCCCCTCATCCTCCCATTCCTTTCCCTAATACGAGTTATTGTGTGCTTACCCTTGAGTACTGTATCCAGGAGTTCATCTTCCTCTCTCCGGGTCTATTTCTATTCTTTATCGTGCTTTTTAAGTGATCACACTAAATGTTCCATTAACCCCCGCCTCCCGCTTTATCTATGTGTTTAGTGCCTTTCTCTCAATACTGTATATGTACATAATTGAACCCCCACGACCTCATGGTTCTATGAGAAAACCCCAAAAAAAAAGCCTCCCCAATGCTCCGATTCTGTTTTTGGGTCTGATTCACGCAGCCGGCTCTGTATACAAAAATCTCGCAAAAATCTCTCGCGCAAAAGTCACTTCCCCTGTCTTTATTCTAAATTCAAAAAATGTATAAAATCAAGAGCTGGTTCTCGGAAATTCTGCACCCGTTTATGTAATATTCTCTCCCTCTCATTTCCTCCCTGTGTGAATGTAACCTGACTCACTAATTGTTCTCCCCTCTCCGCCCCGCCTTCATGAATCCTAATCGATTGACTAATAAGTCGAATTACCTCTAATGAACGTCGGTTCCCCCCTCCTCAAAAATTAATCAATTTTTCCCCCGACTGTTTTATCAAAATTTTTCTACGGCCCTCACTAATTTCCTAGCCCCTTGAATTACAAACAAAATATTGCTTGTAAAATAAATATAGAGCCTAGAATTCTTGTGATCGTCTCATATTTTCCACCAGACTTCTTCCGATCAGGTTACTGCAAAAGTTCACGCAGGTCCCGAACATCTTGCTCCGTTTCCCGCTCTCCACGTCTTTTCGTTCATTTCTCAAAGATGCTTTCCGTCGAGATCGCCGTCAGCAACAGAGGCGACGGAACAATCATCAAGAAGATCGCCAGTGCGTTTTCGAACGTTTTCGGTCGGAATCGGGCAGATGTTTCAGGTCATAAAGTGGACGAAAACGCGAAGGATCTGAATTTGATGCGCGAGAGAGTGCTGAGAGTTTGGCAATTCGAGAATGCTCCGCAGCTCGAGTCTGTTATTTTTCCGGGATATTTGAAAAGGAAACTCCATTTTCAGAAGTGTCTCGCTCCGTTGGAATCTGTTGAAAAAGATTGAGAGCTTTGAGTGTTTGACGGCTTTGACCAGTCTGAATCTCAATGATAACCAGGTCAATGTAAAGTTGAAATGGGAAACTGAACGGGGGAATTCAGATTGAGAAATTGGAGAATCTGGAGACGCTGGTCAATTTGGAATTCCTCGACGTCTCCTACAATCGCATCCAGAAGATCGAAGGGCTGACCGAGCTGAGAAAGCTGAAAGAGCTCCATTTGGTGCACAACAAGATTGCGGTCATTGAGGGATTCGAGGAGGTGAATCGGATGAATCAACGTCGGCCGAATGGTATTTGCAGAACACGGAACTCGAATATTTGGAGATCGCCGACAATCGCATCCGCAAAATCGAGAACTTGTCGCATTTGACGAAACTGAAACGCCTCTACATGGGATCCAATCAGATTCGTAAAATCGAAGGTCTCGACACGCTGACCAATTTGATCGAACTGAGCCTCGTCTCGAACGCTCTTCAAGTGATTGAGGGACTCGACCGTCTCTCCGGATTACGGTCGCTCGTTTTGGCTCAGAACGGTATCAGAAAGATCGATGGGTGAATTGAAGACTTCGAGACGAAATTTGAGAATCAATATTGCAGACTTTCCGGGCTGACCTCCCTTTTCACACTGGATTTGAATGACAACATCATCGAGAAAATTGAGAATGTTGACCAAATTAAAGGAGTCAAAAACTTGTTGCTTCGAAAGAACAAGGTTTTATTCTCTCAAAAGTCCTATTTTTCTCACTATTGTCGTTCAGTTTGACTCGTGGCAAGACTTGTATCAACTGCTGCAAATGGACGATCTCACCGGATTGGTGATGGAAATGAACCCGCTTTACAGGTACTACCGGTCAAATTCGTCATTTTTCAATTTCCATTTCAGCTCGGATTACACGTACCGCAACCGGATGACTCAGATCCTTCCGGACCTGAAAATGCTAGACGGACTGCCCATTTCGTGGCGTCGCGGAGATCCTTACCAGGCGCTCAGCGAAGATTTTCACGAGATTTTCAATCGACTCACTATCAATTGATCCTATTTGGTGCACAGTCACTGTCATTTCACTTCGAGTGTCATATTAAAACTTTTTTTTCATTTATGTATTCGCTTTCGGAATTCCAGCTACTTTCGGACGTTGAAATTCGTTATTTGTATTGTCCTATTCCAGGTTTTCGACCGACTTTCTGCCGTTTGCTGCTGGCGATGCAATCGCGCTCCACCGAACTAAAACTCATTTTGTTCCGATTTGGTGCACAATTCGGTACATTTTGAGGGCGAATTTGAAAATCAGATTCTCCTTTTTTTAATCTCTAATTTTTGGTTCTTAATCATGTTAGTAAAATAATCTATCGGACAATTTTGGCTTAACATACACTAGATACTGTACAGTGTTTCAAAACCGACATTTTACGCTTCGCAACTGCTCTCTGCTTTCCGAAAAATGAATTGCCTACGATATTGTGTTCTTTGACCTCATTTTTCGATAAACGTTATCTTTCTCAGAATTCAGCACCATTCATTCGTTGCTTTCAGCGCCCTGGAATGGTCGGCGCCACGATCACAGATCCGCCGTTCGTCCATCACGAAAGTGAGAATTCGTATGTAAAAATTAACCGAAAAACCTCAATAAATTTTCAGACGGCGCCATTTTCGCTATAGATTGTCATCCGAGCGGCGACAAATTCATCACTTGCGGACAGAAATCAGTGAGTATTTCAATTGAACGAGATTTTCGAAACGCGTCAGGTTCAATATCGACTTTTACTTTCAGAACAGCAGAAATGGACTGGTTGTTGTGTGGAATATGGCTCCAGTTCTGGACGGCGGCAAATGCTCGAGCGGAAATGTGCCGAAGATGTTGTTTCATGTCCAATCTCAGTGTAAGTATCATCTGCTTGAATTTCTAGCCCATTGTCTGTCTTTCAGCGTCCGCAAATTCGTGTCGATGGGCGCCAGACGGACGAAGATTCGCATTCGGGTCGGATGATTCTTCGGTGTCTGTCTGGGAGTACGGTGAGCGTCCGAAGTGTCCATTTCTTTAATAATATCTGGAATATTGTTTTAGTCGGTCGAATTAACTCGGCAGGAAGTGTGACAGGAGGTGCTGGAAACGTGGAGAGGTACAAAGAATGTTGCGTTCTGAGAGGACACAATATGGAAGTGCTGGCAGTCGAATGGTCTCAGAATGGAAAGTACTTGGCGAGCAGTTCGATGGACCACAAGATCCTCATCTACAATGCTCGGAAACTGCCCGATCGTATTGCAGTTCTCTCTTCTAGCGAATCGGCGGTCAAGGGAATGGCTTGGGATCCGATTGGCAAGTATTTGGCCAGTTTGGAAGGAGACAAGAAGCTCAAGTTGTGGGCGACGGACAGTTGGCAGTGTGTGACGACGATCGACGAACCATTCGAAGACGTAAGTGGTTCTGGAACATGAACTCGAAAGAGCAGGCATTTTCAGAGTAAGGAAGAGACGATGTTCTCCCGATTGGACTGGTCCCCGGACGGAAAATACCTTCTCACGCCCGCAGCCGTTAAGAACGGACAACCGCTGATCAAGCTGATTCAAAGACAGACGTGGAGAGCGGACCATCATTTGGCAGGACATCGGAAGGGGACCACGTGTGTTCGCAGTCTGTCGCACATGGTGAATTTTGAATTGAAGAATGGAAAACGTCATCAAGTGACGTTCGCCGCCGTCGGTTCCAGAGACAAATCAGTCAGCATTTGGACGTTTCCAGGAGTATATCGATGAAATAATGTACTCAAATCATCAAGGATTTCATTTTCAGACAGTGAAACCGATAATGGTGATCGACAATCTGTTCCACCACTCCGTAATGGACTTTGCCTGGTGCGGAACGAACCTTTTGGTGTGTTCGCAGGACGGATCCATCCGAGTGATCACTATCGACGAGCAGCTACTCGGGGAAGTTCTCAGTGACGCAGAAATGGTACCTAAAACACTCGTCCATCCTTTTTACTCCGTTTCCTGCTCAGAGTGACTTGTGCTATCAAACCTACTCAATCCGCCCGCCTCAATACGAATCACGCTGCTCCGATGATAATAATGAGGAAACGAGTATTCTGGCTGCTGAAAGCAGCTCCGGATCCGCCAACAACACCTCCTTCTTGACGTGCCCCGAAGAAATTCTCAACAAGAGAAAGGTACTGTACAGACTGTCTACGTCTCTTCGAATTCCCGCTCTTTCTTCCGAACAAAGTGTGAGACATACAAATGACGGATGGCGGATCATCTTTTCTTCTTGGGAATGTCTGCGTTTCTCGCTCTCTCTCTCTCTCTCTCTCTGTCTTCAATTCGTATCTCTTTTTTCGGCGACTTTTCAAATTTCTTACTTGAAAGTCAGAATACAGAGCTTTTGATAAGTCGAATTCTGAATTCATACCCATCTTATTTTTATTTTTAGATGCGATTTGTGTACTTTTTGTGCTCAGACGTACGAAATTTGAAAACAAACACTAAAATGATGTTTAATCTCTGATCGTGCTATTGATTTTTTTATTGTTTCAATTGTTTACTGACATTTCTTTCAGAAAATGGAAGAATTACAAACAGTCGCTCGAAAATCTCTTGCGCCCGCCGAGCCGATGGAAGAAGACAGACCGAAGGAGAACAGAGAAGCGAAAGCGAAAGAGCAGAAAATGATCGAGGAGCGGAGCAAGCAGACAGAAGAGCGGAAAGACGGAAAGCGACGCATTCAGCCAATCTTTCTGGCCTCAACCGCATTGGGAGCAGATTCGGCGCCCGTTGAGACGGCGACATTAACAAAAAAGAGTTCAATGCCCGCATCTGCTCCTCCACCGAAAAAGCGAATTGCTCTGGCGCTCGATGAGGTTGATTTGGAGACGTCTAGCGATTCAGAAGAAGACGAGGACGAAGAGGAAGAGGAAGAAGAATCTGGAGTTGAGGAGGACCAGAGAAAGAGAAAAGTGCTGACGACGAGTCGACCGATGCTCGCGATGGAATTGAAGAAGCCGCTGATGAGAGCGATGGAGCCGAAGAGCTTACAAACGACGGAAGGAACAGTGCTCATGGAGGCTCCGGAGCAACAGCCAGCCATCAACCACAACTTTCAAGACAGGAAAGGAATGGTGGTGAAAGTGGACAACCGATGGAAACACGGAGGCGTCGAGACGAGCCAGGTGAAGCTGGTAAAAAAGAAACACGCTGAAGAGCTGGACGGAGAAGACGACGACGGGGGAAGAAAGACGATCCAGGAAACGGTGTGGATGGTCATCGTCGGCGCTCCGATCATCATTGTGTCTGCTAACAAGTGAGTTTTTTACATTGAAGCTGTCTGAAAACGTCCCTCATTTTCAGACATTTTGTGCTTCTTGGCTGCGGAGATAAGTGTGTTCGTGTGTACCGCACGTTCTGTGGATCCTTACTAGTATCCCTTCGCCTCGATTCTCTCCCAGTTCTGATCGGAGTAAAAGAGCATGCTGCGTACGTACTCACAGAAAACGGACGTCTTTCGACGTGGAATCTGAAGACTCTGAAGTCCGTAATGAGTCGAGTGCCGTTGTTCGATTGCGTGGAGGCGGCGACAGATAACTCTCTGATCAGTGTGGATGTTTCCGAGACGGGCGTTCCTCTGATCGTCTTCTCGAACGGATCCGTTTACACATTCAACGTAAATCTCTCCTGTTGGATGCAAGCCATATCTACGAATTTGCTCGGACGGCTGACGACGCCCATTTCGGATGCTCAATTGGATGTGGACGGAGTGATTGCCACCGGACCGTTGGCACGTCTTCTGAAGCGAATGCGGCGACAAACTACGGCTGCCGGAGTGGCTCCGCACGTGTCGCGAGCCGTGAAAGAGTCGCAGTTGGAGCAGTTGGTAAACTGCGCGGAACAGTTGGGTAATCCCCAGGACTACCAGACGATGCTTAATTTGTACGTGGAGACGCTCTGTGAGAGTGGTAAGTTCCAATAAAGCCACAACAGTTTCGATAATCCCATTTTCAGGCGCCGAAAAGAAATTGAAAAACATAATAAACGAGTTGTCGAAGAGCGGAGCGCCTTTGCAAGTATGCGGGCTCCGTCGAGCTGCTCTTTACGATGACGTCACTCGAATGATCAAGCTCCGCCAGCCGGCCATCGCCGAAAGGATTGTTGCCGGAGCAGCGGCGAACTTGAAGAGCAGGGCTCTTTTCTGAATGCATTCCTGTTCACTCAAATCTGTTATCTTATCTTTTATCGATTTGTCATTCTTATCTCGTCTCCCTTCTTCATCTTTCTCTCTCTTTCCCTTTGTGCGAAGATCTCTTCTCAAAACGGACAATCTCTCTTTCTCTCCTCTTTTTTTCTGTCCATCATTACCGGTAACAATCTGTTTTCGACCTCTTTGATTAACTATTTCTGTGCAATCAATTTTATATTCTCATCATTAACATAAAGGAGACTGCATTCTTACTTATGTGTCATCCGAAACGAAACTTATTCGTCCTCCAGTTAACTCAGAATTCGTGCCTTCAACCGTACAGTATTCAGCTCGCTTTCAGAATGCAAAGGGTTTCCGTGAAAGTGTTATTTTTCGGAGAAGCGCATCAGTTGGCCGGCAAGCGGGAGGAATACGTGAGCATCGGAAGACGTTCCGAAATTTGTCAGAAGACAGTTTCAGATTGAATTTCCAGTCGAGACCAATTACGAAGAAGTGAGGGCGACTGTTCTGGAAGTGAGTGAAAAACGGTGGAAATTTGGCATTTTTTAGGGTTTCCAGAAGTTTCCCACGTTGACGAAAATTGAAAAAGTGATGATGTTGGCAGTGGATCAAGAGTGAGTTTTCTTTTTCAATTTTCCAGAATCAGAATCCGTTTTTGTTCAGATACGCCAATCCAGAAGACCCGATTCAGCTGGAACGATTCTCCGAAATCGCCGTGATTCCGCCGTTGTCGGGCGGATAATTTTGAATGTGATGATTCTGTTCATTTTTATGAAATTGTGATATATTTGACAAAAAAAAGAAGAAACTAAAAACAAAATGAAGAGTTAGTAGTGGAGAAAACGGGAGAATGTTGGGGGTGAAGAGGAGGGAGGAGAGAGAAAGGGACGATTTATACCCGATTGACAAATGATTTTTCAGTTTTTGGGTGCAGAAAAAGGAAGGGAATGATGGTATCACAGAAAAGGGGGAAGGGAGCTGAAAGAAAGAGATATTTTTGTCTAAATCACTAAAAATGCAAACGAAAAAGAGTAAAGTGGGCGAGAATTATGACCAGACATCGGCCTGGTAACGCTTCGTCTTCTCCATGTCTTTAAAGTAGGCGACGGCTTCCGTGTCCGACTTTCCTCCGATTTCTCGGAAGATCTTCTGGAGAGTCGCCTGCACGTCGCGGGCCATGTTTCGGGCGTCTCCGCAGATGTAGACGTGAGCTCCGCCGTTGATCGCCTCCCAGATGCGGTCGCGAGTGTCCCAGAGACGGTCCTGGACGTACACCTGAAGAAGAGATCGGTTAGGTAAGGGAACATCACAGAAGGATTGTGATACCTTCTTCTCTTGAGCTCTGGAGAAGGCGCATTCGAGATGAGTGAGCACCTGGTCCTCTTGGAACTTGGCCAGTTCTTCACGGTAAATGTAGTCGTGGTCCGGATGACGGCATCCGTAGTAAAGGTGCATTGCGCCGACCTCCTTTCCGGCGTTCTTGTGGAATTGTCTGTCCTGTAGGAAGCCTCGGAACGGAGCAAATCCAGTGCCTGGGCCGATCATGATCACTTGGGTGGACGTTCTGTGCGGAAGACGCATCGTCGACTTTCTGACGAACACCGGCGACTTCGAGCCGACTTCCTTGGTCGTCAGGTAGCGAGTGCACACTCCGTTGATCAGACGGTCTCCGATCGTGTACTTGGTGATGACGGCGCACACGGCGATCTTCTCTTCGCAGAGTCTCGGGGACGAAGCGATGCTGTAGTAACGGGCCTGAAGACGTGGCAGCAACTCGAGAAGGTACTCGATTGGCGGCTTGCACGACTTCTGATCGGTCAGCACGTCGACGACGGAGCGGCGTTCCTTGACAATGTACCGCGCGTACTCCTTCAATCCTTCCTCGTTGGCGGTCGCCAGTTTCGACAGGAATTCCTTCTCGCTCTCGTCGCTGCAGTATTCACTGATTGCCTTCAGAACGTGCGATTTGACCGGAGCATTGATGTCGACGTAGTGGGAAAGGGCGGTGCGGAAAGTGGTCGGGCACGGGAACGGGTGTCTCTTAGAGGCATCTTCGTCGACATTCACAAGACGGAACGCCTGATCCGGATCGAATTCGAGCATGGCGATGAGGCGATCAACGAGAATTGGGTCGTTAGTTGGGAAGACGGCCAGATGGTCTCCGGCTTCGTAACGGATACGGGAGCCTGAAAAGAGGAATTTATGAGTTGCAAACAGCTCGTTTTTGACTACCTTCAACGGAAAACTCAATGTGCCGACAGCTACGATCCGACTGATCCGTGTGCAATTCGTCGTTCATCACCACGGTAGCCAAATACGGATTCTTGACGTCGAACGGCGGGCGAGGTCTCTCGTAGGCACCCAGTCTTCCGAATTCTCCGCGGAAAAGAGCTTTTCCCTCCTCGACCGGCTCCAGCTGATACTGCCGCATCGTCTCCGCCTCCGTGTTCAGTTCCCATCCAAACTCCTCGGCCACTTTTGGCAGGAATGCTTCTCTCCAGATCATAAAGTCCTCCTCGAGGTTGGCGTCGTCGTCTCCCAGTCCCAGATGGAAGATTCTCTTGGCGCCGAGCTTCTCGAGTTGCTGATCCATTTGCTTTCCGATGGCGTTGAAGTGCTCGTACGTCTTGTTTCCGAGTCCGAAAACGGCGAAGCGCACCCCGGAGAGATCGCAGTCGCCGGCATTTAGATATTCGACGAGGGCCACCGCATTATCAGTCGGATCTCCCTCTCCGTACGTGGCGATGCACAGCACGAGCAGCGCGTCTTCCACTTCTGTCAGTCGGTTCAGATCTTCGCACTCAATATCCTCCGGGTCGACGACGACCGCCTTCTTCGAGTATCTTGTCAGATCCTTGGCCAGACGCCCCGACATCTCTTCGGCGGTTCCCGTTTGCGATCCGTACATGATGAGCACCTGCACTCACAATCTCTCTTATCAATCATTTGTTTCGTTGTTTTGATACCTGTCGGTTCTCATTCTTCATGCGATCAATGAACGACTGATTCGATTTGGAGGTCACAGTTGACGGTGTGACAGATGCGACGGTCGGCGAGTACCTTCAGAAAATGAATTGTTTGTGATTGATCACTCGGGGGTAACAGACAAAAGTACACGGAAATGGAAAGCCAGAAAGACCAAGAGGACGTCACAAATTAGTAAATCGAATTAGCGACGATGGTAATTAATGGTCTTCTTTCCTTTTTTATTTTTCAGACGAAGACGTACCTGGTGGAAGAGGGCTGCTGATTGAGCAATTTCATGACGATGAAGATGATCGCTCCGCCGGCCAGCAATGTGAGCACCACCAGATCCGACGTGTCGAGACTCGACACAATCGACGACAGCATTCTGAATCTCTGAAAGTGATACGAAATTAGAGAAATGAAAGCGGACGAGGACGGTAGTCAATCGTACAGACATGAATGGGAAGGAGGGAGGGCGCGGAATGGGGCTGTTGTTTTTTCGAATAGAAAAATAGCGAAAATTGAATGAGAAGGCAAAAAAAGGGGAGAGGCTGAAATAAAAAGGGAGGAAGGAAGGGAAGCGAAGGTTGGCGAAGACACTTTCTCGATTATTTGCTCACTCGGGGGAGCATAACCCTCCGAGTGTTTTATACTGCTTTGAGGCAGTTTTAGGGTTTGTGCTGACAGTCACAAAGTTTGTGGCCGACGTTTTGAGAGTTGACACTCTCAGAAGCAAGACAACGAAATGACGATTTGAACTGAATTGCGAAACTCTTAGAACTATTCTCTACTGTCGTTTTTGAAGTACACTCAAAATTGGAATGACAGGTTTTCGTCTCTCGTGATCAGTTTGTTTTGCACAAAATTATGATGTGAAGGAGGAAACTGATAAGAATGAAAAACACATTGAAATTGCTCAGTTTCTGTCCTTGGTTAAAGTTCGGAATGTGAAAGAGGGACAACCTGTTTTTAAGGCGCGTTTCAGGTTACGTTAAGGATGTAGGAAACGTGTTCTGTGTGCGTGCGAAATGGAACAAAAACTACAAACTAAACATCTAATCACCGGGTTATTATCAGTTCGAAAACAGTGTCAACTCGCCTTCTCTTTGCGTTTTCGTTATCACAATCTTTGCAGTCATCCATTGCATTCATTGCATCGGATGACGGGGGCGTTTGCGTTTTGCGCACGTAAGCGGATAGAACGGATCAGAATCCGTTACCCACGAGTACTTTGACAATGGATAAAGGACAGTAGGAGGCAGGTATTCTGGAGGAGAGAAACGCAGAGACGGCGAGAAAACAATTCTGAAGGGACAGTCGGAAGATGTTCCGGTTTCAGCGCAGAGAACGCACGGACGGAAAAGCCAGGAGATCTAGAACGGAAGTGGGCCAGGCCGATGTCGAACATCTCCGACGGCCCGGAAAACATCCTTTGAAGGAGCTCCGACTTCACAAAAAAATGGCCCAGACGAAAGTGTCTCCTTTTCATGTATGCTTTTTACTCAAAAGAAATGCAAATCAAATAAAAAAAATGAAGCCATTCAAAGTTTTGGATAAGGAAAACGCTTTTGAATAGAAATATTCCATTGAGATATTCGGGACGGTGGCGGGGAAAGTAGGTCAAATGAAATGTTCGAAAGTTGACTTTCGTCTGACTTTCCGAGACGAAGACGATCAAATTACGGGACCCATTTATATGCGATTGTAGTCCTAACAGTCACACTAACTATACGTGAGGTGATTCCGATTGGGGGAGAAAGTCACAAAAATCGGCTGAGCGCCGGCCTCTTCGCCTCGTATCCCGCCCTCTCTGCGTCTCTCGCCTTCCGACGCTCTCTCCGCGTGCCTCGGTCTCTTTTTCGACTAGAGAAGGCTACACTCGATCAGAGCGTCGTCTATGCTATAGTCTACGTGTAAATGAATGAGTGACTCAAGTGCCAACGCATCCAGCAAAACAATCGATAATCGAGTGGGACCGGCGGCGCTTCAAGATTCTCGCGACACACGATCCCGAAAGATCGGTATCTTCGGACGGAGGAAAATGTCGATTTCGACTGCAGATAAAGCCGCTTTCGACACGTAGAAATGCAGCGATTCGGACGGCATTTTCAGATCAGAAAGTTAGGGAAAACCTCACGATTGGACTACAAAACACGCTAGCCAGTTATTGTGTTCACTGTCGTATTTTGATCCAGTTCGCCGCGCAAAATGTGGTTTGTGGCCTGATGGACACAAAACATGAAGTGATTCCGACGATCACGTGAACACCATATCAGAACAATGTAGCTATCGTTAGGAAGATCAACTCGAAACTGAACATTCAAAACTATTTGTCGAACTTTTTATTGAACGCGTAGAGTGAGTGCTTGAGTGATTGCAATTGTTAGGGGATGAAATACACACGGGAAAGAGGAAAAAAGGGAAAGGTTGTTCAGTTCCGATTAAGTAGATCTGCCAACGTTCGCATGTTAGTGAGAGCATTGCTTCTGCTGTTCTCGTTGTCCTGAATAAAACGCATTTGAAAACTGATGGCAATAAACGGAAAACTAACAATCTTCACTTGATAATTCCTGTGGTTTGAGAGGCAACTAATGACTCTAACCGATACTTGTTCGAACGCCTTCAGTCGTTTCTGTTCTCCATCTCGGACACCTTCGTCTCTTCTCATTTCGTCCATTTTCTTCTTCAAAGCAGCTGCGACGTTGATTTGGAGCGGTCTCGTGCTGTCCTGCACCGCATCGCTTCCGAGAATCTCATTCACTTTGTTCAGCTCAGCACAGAACATTTCTGCGAGACGCTTGTAATCGCCCTGAAACGGAGGTAAGCATCATCCATCGTGTACTTTGAGAGTCTCACCTTCTCTGGCAATGATCTCGTGGAACTTGAGCTCTGGCCGTTCGATCCAACTTCGTTTCGATGCGGTTTCGATGAAGATCGAGAAGTGCGCGATTTCTGCTCCACGTCAGAGTCAGAATACGTCGCGGTTTCATCATCATCCTCAATTATCTCTACTTCTTCAGTTTTGGCGCTTCGTCGGGATAACTTCTCCGCCGGTTTCTCGCGCCCGCGCTGTTTGCATTTGCGCTTCGTCTCGACTTCATAGTCATCTTCGCTATCATCCGAAGCGATGAAAGCCTCTTTCCTTTTTGATGACGAAGCAGATGAAGTTGAAGTTGAGGGGCTCGGAAGAGCGAACCGAACTGTCCGGACCGGAGCTGGCGACGGTCTGGGAAGAGCTGAGCTCGTCGCAGTCATGCGTCCGCTCGGCGCATCGAGATCAACTTTCATATCCGTCGGCTGCGGTGCAAGTCTCGCGAGTGATGAACGTGTGTTTTGGATCGAAAAAGTCGGAGGCTTCGCTTCCGAAGTTACACTGGAAGAACTTGGCTGCTGCGGAATCGGTTTCTTTTTCGGTGCAGTCAGTTTCTCGTGGTTTTCAGTTCTCGATCTATTGCAGGAGTTGCCGCAGGACCTACAATCCTCATCGACGGGGAGTACTTTTGCCTTCCAATAGTTCCAATAACGGCAGAATTCTAAATAACCGAGTGAACTGCTCGAAAACATAATCTCTGCACTTACTGCACAAATACCAGCGTCTGGTCTCTCGTGACAGCGCCTTCTCCCGCGCCTCTTTCAGAGGATCATTTTGCGGAAAGCGCGGAACCATATTCCTCAGTGTGCCACTGTATCCATAGACTGAGTTGAACTTTTCCCACACTTCGTCGTTAGATAGTTCGTGCGCGTTTTCGACTTCGAAGAACTTTTCCAAATGGTCCGGAATGAGATTATTTTCAAGGAGGGCACAGTAGGTCGCCATATGTTCCCACATTTTTTTTTTCAATGGCGTAATGTTTCTGAAAAATAAACAGTGCGAGAATTTGTGAAAACTTACTTACGCCGAGTCAAATTTCTGCTTGTCAGTCGCCGGCTTGTATAAGGAATAGTCAAGACTGATGTATCCAGAAATGCCACTTTTTTTCCTATAACAAAGTATTTATATACTCTCAGTATGAGAATCGAATACAACAACCTGAACTTCCTTCCCGTTCCGGTCGGTTTCTGGTCGGGCGCCGATGAACCCTCAATTAGACGATTGTTGATATAGAAAAACAATCCATCGTGTTCTCTGCAATACGCACGTTGTCCCCTTGAAATTCCGTCAATCGCATACCGATTACGGATCTCTAACCCCAACATCATGATCATACTTGTATCCTTAAATTTTCTGCGAGCCGCAGCTGTCGACTCAATTTCCTGATTCTTCATTTCTTGAATTCTGTCAATTTCGAGACGGTTCGCCTGCAAAGAGGCTCTGTTCAGAGGAACGTCTCGAACGTTCACACTCTCTTCTTGATTTCTTATTTCTGTAAACGAACATCTGTTAACACATTAAGCTTCTGTCGTTTACTAGCTGCTCGTATTTTTTCTGCCCGCTCTAGCACCTCCTCGTTCTGTCTCATGATCTCCTTCCCCCCAATCATTTGGGTTTGCTTGAACATCCACGACTCACTCACGTGCTTTGGTTGAACTAATGTGCCTTGAAGATATATCTGAAAAAATATCCAGAATAGATGCGTATTGCATGGATTGAATTCACCTTCATGCGTGGTTCCAAATACAATATGCTCAAATAATATCGAAGAGATCTCTTATAAGCCTCTGCGATTTCGTCCATAGTGATGTCGTGATCTTTGGCTTTCGATAGGACGTCGAATGGAAGAACGTCAACATGCTGTTTTTTTCTGAAAGCTTACATGTTATTAAGAAGTATTCAGAGGACATTACAATATTTTATTATGACTCGGGCCCCATATTTGAGAAATAGTATCCTTTTCACTAACTTCAGTTCCATGATGCGCACAATTGTGCCGTGCTCCTTTATTGAATCGAACGCTTTTTTCAGTGTCGGCGTATCGAACTTGCCGTACGTCCACAGCATGCTCATCGCGGCTTTGTGATTTCTCTCCTCTCCCGGTTCGACAATTGGCTTTCCATTCAGTTCAAAACTGCAGCATGCCAGCAAAATAGCGTTATCCGTCACACGTTTGTGGCACTCAAGCATCGATTTGGATATGAGAAGAGCAGTGCACTTTTGGTTCCGTTTGGTGAGCACAAGAAGCTCATTTCCGAGGTGGAAGCTGCCGTATTTCAGGCCAAGTCCGAAACGGCCCACTTCTTTCTCGGACTTTTTGGAGTGACCGTACGCCGCAATTTTGAGAGCTTCCTCGCGAGTCATTCCGATTCCGTCGTCGACCACTTCGAGGAAATCTTCGTCTGCATCTGGAATTGGCGCAGTTATCACGAATACTTTGCGGAAATGTACTGACTGATGTTGATGTGCACCTCCTTCGCCATCGCATCGTACGAGTTGTCGACCAACTCGACCAGCGCTGAGAATGAATCCAGGTATGTGGTTCTGAAAAAACGCTGTTTTTTCTCCGATAAACCATTATTTTAGCTTACTGGGTCAGGAAAGAGTCCGTTATAATGGCCTTTCTCAGGTAGGCGATTTGCGAAGAATCGAACTCTATGCGCTCCATGTTTCTGAAGAATTCTGATGAGAAAGAAAGGTTTGAAACTATAATGGGGCACAAATCGAGATAAGAATCGGAAGCGAACAGATACTTGATGTAAAGAAGAAAAATTCAAAACAAATAACCCGATTTAATGTGTAATTAATGAAAATGTGTTATTTAGTGAAGGTCAAAAAACGGCAACTTATTTAGAGTTTGGTGGCAATAATAAGGAGGAGAACGATGATAATGGCAACAGTGAGCATGCAGATACAGTGCATCTTCTTGTTGCTCCTCTGATGACGTTCCGCTTTGAAAACGTCTTCGACGGCCTTAGACACTCGGATAGACGATTGCTCCACGTTGTAGTCGATTCTGGAGGAGAAAAAAGGTGTTTTCGATTGTTCTGGTCTTATTGTACCTGTCTACGATACTGCCTTGATCAACAATCATCTGAGAAAGGTCCTGGAAGAGAGTGTTCAGCTCCCGGATTGAGGTATTCACGGCCATGACCTGAACTGTTCAAAATGCAAATTTTAAAGGCGTCTCGAAGTGCCAGACCTCTTTCTCGCGTTCTCTCACTTCTCGATCGTTGTTCATGAACTGCTGAAGTTGTGCCATTGAGAGTTCCGTCGACGGAGAGACGTCGAGCTCCGCCCAGTTGGGTACGTCGATCAGCGGATCAGTAGTGATGAGATAGTTGTCGACATTCCGAGACCGATCCTGAAGCGCTCGAATTGAAGGATGAGATCTCAGAACTAACTGATTACCTGAATATCACTCAAATATTTGAGCTGTCTCCCTCGAAACTCGTCGGTTATCTGGCTCAATGTTAGGCTCAATGACTTGGCGGCGTTCTCCCGAAGTGTCCTCTGCATCGGCTTTTCCTTTCCGTGATTTCCAGAAATCATTCGGATGAGTCTTTGACAGTGAGTGAGCATCTGGGTTATCTGCTCAGTCGTCGCCTCCATTTGCTTCTCCTCTTGCTCGAACGCCTCGTCGCCAAAGTTTGGACGGGAAATGTGCTTCCGCTGAGCGTCTTTCAGCTCGTCGAGCCTTCTCCGTACTCGTTCAAACTCAAACTCGACCTGATCAGCGGTGTGAACCCAGACAGGATCCTCTTCCGACGTCGACTCGTGTCGTCCGTCCTCTAGTTCCACGAGTGCCATCCGCTCTTCTAAAAGCTTTTTCTGGGTTTATTTTTATTTTTAACACAACCACGAACCTTCTCCTCGACTTCTCACTATTGTATCCGTATCGTCTTTGTAGATGAGCCGACTTTGATGAGCATTTGACCGGAGCAGCATGAAGACCTCCGTCAAGTTCCGCGTTGTGCCGTACGCTTCGGCCTTTTTTGAAGCAGAAGATGACGTGGCCATTCTTAAGGTAGAAAGAGTGAGTTCAGAACCAATTTGAGATGAAAACAAGCTGCAGAAAGATTCAGGAAAAGCAATGGAACGAGTGGAATCGAGGAATTGGTGGGGAAAGTGCGGTGGGGCGCGGTTGCATTCACTCACTTGCTTCTCGTCTCCCCCATTTTTCATGCGTATTTCCTGCTTTGTCTGACGTCATCTGAAAGAAAATAGCTAACTTTCTACAGAAAGGGTAAACGAAAGCCATTTCTATACCTCTGACAACACACGGTACATGACTAAAGTCTAGAGGAATAGAAAATATCCTAGAAATGCTTCACAGACAGAGCAGTCAGATATTTATAAATGTGACGAAGTACCTCCGGGAAGAAACAGACGAATGTGCTCCGCACATGTGACTCGCCAGATCAACCAAATACGATGGGCGGTACTGAGAGATCTGCTCTACCGAACATTCGAATAAAAGGAAAGCGACAGCAGAACGGACGATGCGAATCGCCGAGCACTGGCATTACACTGCTTGCCCTGTGGCAGATAAACTGTGAGAAGAAATGCGGAGGCGAAAGGGCGCCCGCTTTTCCAAAAAGAACGCCGCTCTTTGCAAAGATGGTATTTAAACCGCTATTGTCGGTGTCTTTTTGTGCGGAGAATCGTTTGGCCAAATGGACAATAAATGTTATGATGCAATCGAATTGAGGGGGTCGGCTTGAAAAAGATGCGAATGAGTCATCATTCTTATTAATATAACTCTTTACGGGTTTATCCCTCTGTATTTTTGTTTGTTTGTTTATTTCTCCGTTTGTCCGTCCCCACGTCCATTTCTATTTAAAACGAAAAGATTATGACGGAGGAACTAAGAAATGAACATGTGATCTTCCGAACGGCTATGAGAAACAAACAAGTGGCGAAGCAGCTTTCGAACGTTTCGAACACTGTTTCAAAAAGTCTTGTACATATATAAATTGTTTCTTCGTTTTCCAATTGCAATTTTCAATACAATTATGCGGGGGCGGATTTGCTACACGTTCAGACGTCGGAGACATCGATGAATCGGGACTATGATGAAATGGAGGAGAAGGCATTATCTTTGAATCACTGGGGCACGAGCGACACGTCATCGGTGAGGAACGGCACGTTCAGATAGTCGCGGAGCCACACTTGCTCGGCCGCATTGTTGCTCGTCCAGCCGGCCAGGTAGATGTTGTTGGCGGCGGCGTCCGTCTTCAGATATCTGCAAGGGAAATCGGAGTTGAGAAGCGGGGGGAACGACGTCTTCTACCTGCTGATGTCGTTCACGTGGTAGAAGATCATATCGGAGCCGAGGAACTTGGGAATGATCAGAGAGCGAGCCAGCCCGAATGCCAGAATGTCCAGAACATTGGCGAGGGCGTTGAGTGCTCCGGTGAAGCGGGCAATCGTGGCATCCTCGTCGGTGGTGCTCAACTCCCAGCTGCGCCACGTGAATCCCGTCAGAATCTTCGGATCCGCCAGTTTAACCAGATAGACGTCAATCGGGTTGAAGCCAGAGACGAGCACTTTCGAGTAGATATTGTTTACGCGAATTTGAGTGACAAACTGAGTCAGAAGGCTCTCGTCGACGTTCTTCACATCCCAGATCATCATTATGTCGTTGGCGACGCAATGAGCGACGGCTTCCGCGAATGTGGGCAGAGAGATGTTGGTGCCGAGGTAGCGGAGTTCTCGGAATTCGTCGACCGTCATGCTCGAGATGTCCTTGTCCACTCCCGTGACTCGAGCTGAAAGATTTCTCTGGTGGAGATTACGGTGGGATGGAAAATACTTGAAAGAGGCGTGGGAATGTTAGAACTGGTGCGGAACGATGTCTACGGCTTCCCAAGAAAGGGCATTTTGTGTGAAACCTACCGACGTTGCTGTCGTGGCAGATAACCGGAACTCCGTCCTTTGTGATCTGGATATCCATCTCGGCGAGCTGCCCTCCCTCGCTCTTCACCGCACTGAACGCCTCCAGACTGTTCTCCGGAATGTCTCCGTGCGCACTTCCACGATGTCCGCCCACCTTCCACGTGGTGAAGAACGCGGTCTTGTGAGCCTCATTCGTGAGTTGCGGGATGCGGAAGATGAAGAAGGCGAGCATGAGAGCGATCGGAAGGAAGGCGAGGGTGACGATGAGCACGCGAATCGTGGTGAACTTGAGGGCGAGAAGCGAGAGGAGGTAGACGAAGCCGACGATTCCGATCCATGCGATGAATGTGAGCAAATCCATGTTTACCTGGAAACGAACGGATTACTGTAGGAGTGACGGCGCTTGGTTTCCTCTCCCAGGGCTCTATTTTATACGGTTTCCTGTTTGCTCTTTGAGGTATCTTATCACGTAGAAATTCTAAAGAACAGCTTCGAAAGATACCGAAAGATTGTCACGCCTACATTTTCAAAAAGATCTTTCCAATCAGGTTGGATCCTAATTTCCCACTAAATCACTGAAGATCCTAAGATTTCGTTTTGAGCTTGCCGAGCAATCAGACAAGTCAGAAGCTTTCTACAGTATCCTACTTTGAATTGAACTTTGGGGTCGTGTTTGAATGAGTTTGCCACTTGGCAAACAAAGTTTTTCATAACATAATTCGGAACATTGAACTTTGAAAAGGGTGATAAGAAGAGAGGAAACGTCGTCTTTAGACGGAGAACCCGGAAGTACACGTTTTATGACCGAGATTCACAGGACGAATTCACAGATTTCGAGTTTGTTTTTCGGTTTTGTACCATAGTTCATTCGTGGCATCGAAAAACAAAAATGGAAATAAACGGCTGTTGGATTCGTTTTTCTATCGCTCTATCTCTCTCGAATATAACCATCACAATGGCAAAAGGAAGGAAGAATCGTGTTCTGTTTTGATCAGGAAAGCAAGTTTGACTGCAGGACACTATCAAAAATCAACAAAAAATTAACAGAAACACACGAATGTTTGCTGGAAATTGGATTGACCGCAACGGTTGGAATCTCATTTATATAGGAGGGAGTGACCCAGCTGATTAGAGCCCGATAATGTGCAAATCCGTGGGAGAAATTCTCGAATTTTTATATTGTGATACTGAACTATGTGTCCCAGGAGAAAGGTCGGCAAGAGCAAAGTTTGAATTGAAAGCGAAGCGGAGTTACTCACCCGATGGGGCTGTGTTACGAGCTTCTGCAGGTCGAAACTGTCGAGCAGGTCCTCTCTGGTCAGCCGTGTCAGCATGAGCAGATCGCGTCCGAACAGCTGGAGCAAAGTTCCGACCATTACCGAGTAGAAAGTGCCTGACCGCATCCTGAAGCATGCTCTGAACAGGAGTTGTCGCTCATATTTGTAAGCAAAAACGGGGCGGAGTTTGGAGTCCGGTTGGCGATAAGAATCGGACAATGATCCGGAGATGGTGACGCAAAGATCAGGAGGAGACACTGTGAAAATAGGGGAAAAACAGAAGGAGAAGGCCACTTCTTATCAGCTCTAATGGGACTTTCAGATGAAAAAAGGTCCGAGGGCAGTTAAATTCGGCGATAAAATGGCAGACTGGTGATAAGATTCGAGTGGTTTTATGGGAGAAATGTGTGTCTGGAACAAGTTAAATTTGACATTTTCAGTTTTCCCGCCAATTCCGCAGTCACCATACATCAAAGCTGACGACAGGCCTTGACTACTGTAATCTCGAGTAAGGAGCAGGGGAAACAATTCATTTTTGAGCAAGATCAACGGAAATAAAAGACAAGTAGCGGAATGATAGAATTTGAGAGAGAAGGGAAATGAAATTGTTCGGAATTCAGAGCACCCGCCGGATTGCCAGTGGTCGACGGAGCCGGAAAGCAGAGATTTCTGACTCGGGAGGAGCTGTTCCACATAGCTTCGTAATCATCTGCTCGGGAGTCATTGCAAGTTCTCGGCGGCTGAAAACGAACAATGCGGGAGGGCGAGAACGGGGAAAGAGACTGACTGTGATCTCCTGGCAGGCGGGGTCGCACAGGTGACACAGACGGATAGTGCAGCCGACGTGCATGTATTTCATGTCTGCAAAACCGAAAATAAACGGGGAGAGAGAGAGATTGTTTTGTTTACAGGAGATATCAATTGGTTTGTTTTCGAAGCGACCACAGGTCACGAAATGGAGGCTCATCGTGGGAAATTTGGAGGGAAAACAAATATCCGATCTTGTGAAACGCCTACTTTTCTGACGAACGGCCATCCATCCGATTGCTGCTGCTCTGTTGAATGACGTGTAAACGGGCGACGTCAGAATCGCTTTCTCAATGGTACATCCGTCGTCACGGACTATGAACACTGGCATTTTGGGAGTGCCGATCCAGCAACTCTCCACTCGCATCGCGTATTTGTCTGTAAGAGAGTTGGAAAATCCCGATTTTGGTCTAAAACAGAGAAACTGACTCGTGTCGCACACCCATTTGTAGCAAACTCTCGTCGACCAAGAGAGTGTGTCATTCAATTTGAACTGCGGACTCGAGCAAGTGTCCCTGAAGAAGAACGTGAAATGAGTGGGTACTCGGAGGGAAAACGGAAAGAACAAAAGAGAAACTCAGGTACCGATCCCAGCCTGACTTGTGCAGTGTTAGCCGACAGCGAGGATGGCCAGTCGAGGTGATCGTCGTCTCGTTCTCGTAGATCAGATTGAGCACTTCCACGCGCACCCCGATCTTCTGGTTCATCAGTTCGCTGTACTCGCATCGCATTATCTTCTGAAAGCAGCGTCAAAGGTCTCTTCAAAGCTTAATGAATGAAACTTACAAAAAGTGTCCCGAGAAGGAAAAGGATTCGAAGAAGCATGTCAGTCATGTGAAATGCATCAAGTCTTCTGAAATTATCGGGACGTGCTGGACCACCAAAAGCGTTGAATTGTAAAAGAGGGAAGGGGCTGGGAAAGGATGCGCTGAGCTGATGATTTATGGTTCTGGAGGGGAGCATAAAAGACTGCGCGAACAATGGAAATATGAGGTCGTGTGCACTTATGGGATAGGCTACGAGAAACGGGGCCCTAGGAAGAAGTGCGGTTGATTGGAATGGATTGATATTCTGAAAGTATACTCTCTTAGAACCCTAAAAATCCTATGAGTTTCAGAGTTTGAAGAAATTCGAATTTGAAGTTGCTCTCACTCGATTGCACCGAATTCAACTCAATTTTCCTCCAAAGACTTTGAAGCCTGAGAGTCAAAAAGCGAAAGCGGAAAAAACAAAGAAAAACGCGAATGAAATGGGACAATTTGTGGGGAAAGAAGTGGGCCCGAAAATGCAGAGAGTGGCCCTCGTTTGGGCGTGAGTTTAGAGTGCTTGTTGCTGTTTTTGAATAATGATAGTCGGCGACGGCGGATCCCCTGGGAACGGGCGGCCGGCCCCGCTTGTCACGAAGACACCACCAAGATATGGAGATTTTGACGGATTCCGAAGAGATTCAAGGCGATGTTTCCGCTGTTTTGGACACTTTTTATGGGAGCACCTTTGTCAGGCTTCGAAGGAAGACACGTTTGGGGAAAACTCATTGGAAGCCTGTTTGGAATCAGAATCAGAATCAGAATCCAGATAAAAAAAAGCTTTATTCTGGCAAACATTCAAAAATGAATCATTTGCGAATGAGTCGACAGAAACCCTTGGAGCACACGTAGCCTCCGCCCAGTCCACCGCAATCAGAGGATCTCTCGCATCGCTTCGACTTCATTGCCACTTCGTATCCGTACTGGGAACGGAGTCGTCTCGTGTCGGCGAACGGATCCTTCCTCACACACGATCCGTTCCAGCAAACTTCGTCGTCGGTGCAACGATACTCAACCAGACAGTCCCTGTTGGCTGTCGCGGAGAAGACGGTGAAGGCCAGAAAGAGAACGAAGATCTGAGAAGGGATGGAGCGGAACGAAGTGGGAACGGGTGCTTACCAGATGATATTTCATTGTATTCTTTGTTTTCTTGCAAGTCAGTTTTCGGTTTTTATAGAAAGTTTTGGGTGTTTCGATTATACATAACGGGGTGTTTGATGGTTATGTTATTTGACGATCAAAGATGACGAGATGAGTCAGTGCTCTGTGTGCAAATTCAATTCGTAAGTATATTCGAAAGCCGAAAATGAAATGAGTTTCTTAATGTTCCCATCCTAACTTCAAAATTTTGGCAATGTCGCTCTACTGCAACCCCACGTGAAAGCGAACTGAATTTACGCAATGAGCGTTAGAGCGCGATGGCCAGACTTTCTTTTCGATTCGTTCGTCTTTCTTGGTCTGTTCCCGCTGCCGTCATTACTACTTTCCTATTCTTCTCTTTCAATCAGACGGTATAAAAGGGAGAAACTGTGGGGAAACAGATCACTTGTTTGCCCTTCGCTTTCCTTCCGCTCTCGATTCGATGAAAACGTGTCTCGTGAGTCGTTTTCCATCTCGGTTACTTTTCCCTTCGAATATCTTCTTCCAGTGCTCCCTTCTCTTCGTCTTCCTTCTGCTCAATGCCATCACTGCCACTCGGTCGGATGTGTGCGATGAGCTCAAGTGCGGGACGGACCAAGTATGCGACCGGGAGGCCGTCGAATGTGTCAACAAAAAGGACATGACGGAGGGAAGGCCATGTCAGGCACACGAAGACTGTCGCGACGATCACATTTGCTACGACAACCACTGCATTTTTTTCATCGGAAGACATAAATAAATCGTCGTTTGCTTCTTCGCTTCCACACTCTGATTCCCATGGTCTCATGACTGTGCTGGCCTAGAAACGCTCTGCGAAAACGCGGCCAACACAAGTTCCGATGCCCTTTCTCTACTGTTTTTTGCCGCTTATCAAGCCTCAAAAAAATGCTCCGCCATCACAAAAGGAGCACGAAAAGCTGGGAGTGAAGAGAGAAACAGAGACAGTGTAATCGGTGCTTGCTTTTTGCGTCGCCAGCCGGACGGCGAGCCATTGCAGCGCGCGCATCGTCCTCTCGCGTCCCTCATTTTCTCTGCACTCTCTCCGCTTCGCGCACTCTTTCCCCCGCTTCGTCATCGTTTCGTTCCATTCGCGCACTCGCACACTCGCCGTTGCCTTCAGCGCAGTCTCGCATTCCGTCCCTTTTCTTTTTATATCGGCTAACAATACGGTTCGAAGTTAGTTTGAGAAATGCTGAGAGTGGTAGTGCTGTAAGGATGAAGCTATAGGCTATAGCCTAAAAACGACATGTCTGGAGAGAAAATTTTCTTTCAAATTTAAATGGGTATGATGGACAGAAAATCAATTAAAACGGTTTCTTTAGTTGCTCTCTGGTCCACACGATCGAGCCTCAATAAAAACTTTTAGAAGAATGACCGAATATCGTATCACATATTTAGTTTTTCTCTTTTTTTCTGCCAGTTTCCCGCGTCGGGTGTTACCACTAATTCCTTTCATCTCGTTCGATTCGCCTCCGTTTCGCTCTGTTTTTAGTCTGAAAACAACCTATTCTTTTGCAGGTTCCTGTCTTCTTCTCATCCGTTCCCCCTTGTTCGGGTGTCCGCCCGTAAAATGAGTTTGTCGGAGAGGCAAAGAGAAGAAATGTAAGTGAGCGGCAAGCCGGTCCGGGCTCCTTCAGTTTTATGGCGGACTAAATTGAATTCTGCCAAAGGGAAAAAGAGAAGGCATTGCGAAATGCCTTCTCTTTTCTGTTTTCATCTATTTAACGCCTTTCCCTTTCAGCAACCGAGCCATCGCAGAATATCTGCAAAACAGCGGGTATAACGACACATTCAACGTCTTTCTAAAGGAATCCAGCCTGGTTAGTAATGAAACAGATGAAGACATTTATGAAGTACGTGGTTTCAGAGCGAGAATGACATCAAACCACTGGGCGGAATTCTGGAGAAGAAATGGACGACTGTGTTGCGGCTCCAGCGAAAAGTAATAGATTTGGAGACCAAATTGCAGGAATCACAAAGAGAAATCAATCATGGAGCGCCCACCAGGTTTGAAAGCCTCTAGAAGAGAAAGCAAAAGTTCCGATTCTTACAGAGACAAACGGCAAGCGGCCGATTGGATTCCCAGACCGCCAGAGACTCAGAAACTGACTGGGCACCGTCTTCCGGTCACCAGAGTCGTCTTCCATCCGTTGTGGACTGTGATGGCCAGTTGCTCTGAGGACGCCACCATCAAGATTTGGGACTACGAGACGGGAAATCTCGAGAAGACACTGAAGGGACACACCGACGCCGTTAATGACATTGCGATCGACGCGGCTGGAAAACAATTGGGTTGGTATTCTTGTGAAAGCGCTTGAAATTCCTAATTGTTTCTCCTTTTCAGTCTCATGCTCCTCTGATCTCTCCATAAAACTGTGGGACTTTGGGCAGACGTACGACTGCCTCAAATCTCTGAAAGGACACGAGCACACTGTTTCCTCGGTGACGTTCCTGCCAACCGGCGACTTCGTGCTCTCCGCCAGTCGGGACCACACCATCAAGCAGTGGGATGTAAGAGATTGCCAATAGAAAAAGAAAACCCGCACAATGCTTCTTTAGAAATTGATATATGCGTAGGCACTATTTCATAACTATCGCATTCAGATTTCGACCGGCTACTGTGTGTTTACGTTCCGTGGCCACAATGACTGGGTCCGAATGATACGGATCTCGAACGACGGCACTCTTTTCGCTTCCGGAAGTCTCGATCAGACTGTCAGTGTTTGGTCATTCGCCACGAAGTCTGCTAAATTGGTGCTCCGGGATCACGAGCACGCAGTCGAATGCGTCGAATGGGCTCCCGACTCTGCGTACTCCAACATCACCGGACAACGTGAGTGACAATCTAATTTGGAAATCTGGAAAGATCTTTACCTTCTTTCAGAACCAGAAGGCAATTCAACGCACATTCTGTTCAGTGGAAGTCGTGACAGAAGCATCAAAGCGTGGAATATCAACACAGGAGACGTAGTGTTCACTCTGTTGGCTCACGAGAACTGGGTCAGAGGGTTGGCCTTCCATCCGAAAGGAAAGGTAAGTGATGCGAGGGAATGGGTAACAGACGAATCTATCGAATTGCAGTATCTGGTATCAGTTGCCGACGACAAGACGCTCCGAGTGTGGGAGCTGAGTGCTCAACGGTGTATGAAGGCCATCGAGGCACACGATCACTTTGTTTCCACAGTTGGTCAGTAAATCATTCTCCTAGGAACACATCCGAAGTCTTTATCTTTTTCAGCTTTCCACCCATCGGCTCCTTTCGTTATCACTGGAAGTGTGGATCTGACGTGCAAAGTGTGGGAGTGTCGCTGATCCCGTTTCGCCGTCTTATTTTGTGCATCTCTCCGTTTCTCGCTTTCTTTGAGTCTCTCTATACCCCTCAAATACTCTGAATTCTTCCCGTTTGTGTCGCCCTGGTGGTTGTGAACTCTTTATTATCCCCCTCCCAATTCGATATGTTCGTCTTCTCAAAATATCGTCCATCGTTGGCAAACTCGTCGAACGTTCCCACTTTGCCTCCGTTTGCTTCTTTTCCACGTCTTTATATTGCTCCTTTGTAAATCATTGCTCGACCACGAACAGTTCGCAAAAAGCTTCATATGTTCTGCATTTTCCCCGTTCTTTTTGTCTCCTCTAACATATTCCCCACACAGAGAATCCCGTTTTTGAGTGTCAAATAAAGTCTATGCCGCTTTTTATAGCAAAATGCTCCAACCACGCCCACTGCGCGTTTTTTCAATTTCCGCTCCCAAATCGCAAATCCATCTCTTCTGAATTTCGGGTGTTTCTAGTATCATATCATCATGCGACTTCTATTGATTCTCCTTTCATTAGCAGGTCGTTCGGATTTGAATTCCTCAAAAACTTACTCCTTTTCAGCCGTTTCCGTTTGCCTCCAATGCTGGAATTGTGTCGGATCGGACTGCGATGTCTACCGTGCGAGCTCGAAAAACTGGCAACTGGTGACGTGTCCGGAAGGAAGCGTTTGTCAGGTTTGCGCCTGAAAAAGAGCCAAAACCATCAGAAGTCGGATCTTAGAAAACCGACTTTGTATTCTACAGTAATCAGAAGAACGAGTCTCTGAGCAGTCACACCGTCCGCAGCTGCTCCTACGAAACCGGCGAGTTCTTCTTCCGGTTGACGACGTCTTCTTTTCCTTGTTCAGGTTGCACTTGGGATCGGAGCCGCACGTGCCAGAAGTCTCCGGTTGAGTATGCGGGAAGAGGATGCGCCGATCGATTCTGCTGCGGAAAGGATCAGTGCAACGGCGCGTCCCGGAACCTGATGACACTCCTTGCGTTCGTTTGTTTACTGCTTTGAGCATTGATAAAGATTCTTGTCTGTTGTTGTTCTTTGAGAAGAGCCAGAATGCGTGGGCGGGAGGGCAGGTGGCATTCCTCCTCAAGCCCATAATCAGTCGGAGTTCTCGTGTTTCCCCTAACAACCTCCCTCTATTTTCGAGCTGAGAAGTTTAAACATTTCCCTAAATCTCCCGAATGTTTTGCCTGAAATCCTTCTTCGTTTTCACTTCCCAAAAAGACAATTCGTCATGGAGTTATCTGCCGGAGAGAGCACAGAAACAGGTAATTGAGTATTTGGAGCCGAACGAAAAGTGAGCCACTCTTTTGATATCCGAGCAATGTTCCGCTCAGAGCGAGACTTGGAATGACGTCGAAATGCCATTACAAGCTGGTGAGGGAAGTGCCGACTCGCGTCCATTGGCTGCAGTTCTCTCCGATCCGCGAGAACACCAGAAACGTGCGCATTTTTGTGTTCTTCGACGAACTGAAACAGAACTTTTACGCGTTTGACTTTGCGAAACAGGCGGAAGAGACAAAACTGACGATTGAGAAGAACGGAGAAGAACGGACAATAAAGATGTTGAAAGGGGAGTACCGGGAGATGGCGAGCCGATGTTTCGAGGGTTGGCTCAAAGGATCGATTGTGCACACACTGGATGTGAGGGTAAGAGGAACGGAATCTCACGGCAATGACGGCGAGACTTCAGGGCGATTACAATGGGATCGTCCCTCCGAATATACAGCTGTCGACGTTCAGCTTCACAGATAAATACAGTAATCGTTCCCTTCCTCTCAGAATATCACGATCTGTTCAGACTGCTTCGAATCCATCATTCCCCGTTGGTTGGACAATATTTCAGAAGGAAATCTCAACTTGATTCTGATGTCAGATCATTGGGACCAAATACTTGAACACAAACATGTACGCTTTTTCTGCCTTTTGTGAATATCTTCCTACACTATGCTATGCTGTTCCTTTTCAGTTTTCCAATCCATTGAGCACTTGCAAACTGACCGGTTATCAGGGAATTTCGACGGAAGGAGTGGGCGGAGTCAACAGTCGACAGATCCATTTGAACAATGTGCTCGACGAGCAGCCATTCAATTTGATAGCGCAGGTTAACTTTTGCGAAGAGAGAAATATTAAATCAGACTTCAGAAGTGGTCAAAAGGCAACCTTCCGCCTCCTTTCGACTGGATTATAGTCACGTGCACTCTCAAAACGTTTTGCGTTGAGAAACTTGTGGAAAACCTGAAAGTGCAGTCATTAGAAGCGCGCATCTTTGAGGAATAGTAGGAAAAACTGTAGGAGTTCCGATGAGAACATGCAAGTTTTCAGTGACCAATTGATGAATCAAGACGATGAAATCGAGTATTTTCTCGTGCACGGCTCTCGCGGACAATTCGCCGTGTTCTGCGGAATGCGAACGTTCGCACGTCTTCTCGTCGCGAGCCCAGCAGTCATTGAGCACATTCCAGAGCTCGGAAAATATTTGAAAACCGCTGCGTGGTCACCGGAATGAAAATATTCGAGGAGGACGTGGTTCGTAGCAGACAATATAAATCCGTTTTTAAACAATGAAAATGCTGAATCACTTTTTCAACTGTTTCGTTTTTCTGTCAGTGTTCCAACTGCAACTTGTCTGCGCAGGGACCGAACAAAACGTGGCCGATTTGGAGTGCAATCATTTTTATGTCAAAATATTCAACACGTGAGTGAAAGGGACATTCAGAAGTGAAGCCGAACGATTTCAGAGCGAGCAGAAGTGCAGAGTACACATGTCAGGAGCACGATGGATGGGATGGATCCTCGGTGCTTTGCTCCGATGACAGGCCGCTTCCGTATGTCATAGTGTGAGCAGAAGTTTCGGAGCGTTTGGGAATCACCAGCATATTCAGATACACAATCTCCAACCACCGTCAGTCCATCACCTACTATAAAATGTGTTGCCGGACGCGCAAATGCTTCTTCGACAACCCGTACGATCCTTTCGAAATGTTCGGACACGCTAACAAGACTGTGATGATGCACGAAGTGAGAATATTCGAAAAAAGGACCATCAGAAGAGTCCGTCTCCGTTTGCAGGCTTCCGCTTACTTCGACGTCAAGTATCTGGATGACTTGGTGCGCACATCTATTTCCTCGATCATCGTCTTCTCCATCTTCTTCTTCGTGTTCCATCTCCTGTACGTGCGCACTCAAATAACCGAAGAGTGGTCGGACGACGGAGAGGAAGTGCATCCAGTTCTGCTCATGTTGGCCGAAAAGTCTCCGATGAAGGTCATAAAGCCCGGACTGGGCAATGAAAGTATTTAAGAGAATACTTTCTATCTCAGCCAGTTTTCCCCATTCTTCCAGACTTAATCTCGGTCTCTGGCGAGCATTCCTTGCTCGATTACTGTAGATTACGAGCCGCCCGTTCCTACCGAGACCAGCTGCTCCGCGAGTCTCAGATCATCGATCCGCAGGTCATCCGTGCTCGAATCGTCCGTCACGACCTCCGATTGAAGCGGGAGATCCGAGAGTTTGAGTATTTACGATGGAGATTGGCCGCCAAGAAAGTGAAACACAATAGACGATTCGTGAAACTCAACGACAAATGGGTCTTTGTGACGAATGATAAACTGAGAAAGAATTGGCTGACGAGAAGCCAGAAGTTGCTGCTGCAGCTGGGAATCCAGAGAGCTCGGGAGACGGAGAAGATGCACTTGGAAATGGTGACCAAGTCGCACTTCGACACCGCCTACATGGACAACTTTGACAAGTACGACGTGGCGCATCTGATGGGGCAATGCTTCCAGACGCACGATATGCACATGATGTTCTTCAATGCGACTGTACTGGGACACGTACCGACTCATGTGAGGGAGATTTTAAAAAACCATTCGGAAGTGCCTTTTCAGGTCGACAAACCGCTCGGTCCGATGACTCACAAGACGTTGTTCGAATCGCTCTTCTACCACGGACCCTACTTCTACCCGTGGCGCCCTCATCAACTGATCAACCTGTTCACTGATGCGAAGGAGCTCTTCCTCCAGGATAATCTCTGTTTGACCATCGCTCTTCCGGCCGTTGTGATAGGAGATATTCGAGGAAGGTTTTCTGCTTTCCCCCTTTGTTTCCCGTTCGTTCCGCAACCCTCCCCATTCAGATACGTGGATCTACATCGTTGGATTGACATTGTCGGCCTTCCGTACCGTCGAAAGATCCTTTTCCTCGGCGGATATGTCGAACGAGGCGAGGGTCAATTCTCAGAGTTCTCTTTCGATTGTCTCGCATTCATCGCTGCCATGAAAGTCTGCTATCCTCGCCATGTGTTCATGCTCCGTGGCTCCGCTGAGACCGTCTTCTCGTTTGCCACCCGCTTCACTCCGATTCTCGACGACGCCATTCTGATGTGAGCCCCGACTAGTTTCATCAGTCTTCTCTATCTCCACTTTCAGAGCGGCCCGTCAGATGTGCGAGTGCATGCCATTGACTGCGATGCTCGGGGAAAAGTACCTGGCCACTTCGAGTGGCCTCTCTCCACACATGATCTACGACCCCTTCTCGATCAACGAATACGATCGTCCGATGACTCCCGACAACCTTCCTTTCGACGTCAAACGCGTGCTCTTCGGACAACCATCTCCCGATCTCGGAATATTCGACCATAATCCTGGTGAGTGAAATCTCTCGTACATCCACAACTTGAATCCAATCATTTAGCCTCTGGACGGTTTCGTTTCGGATTACAAGCGGTTGACGATGTGTGTGCCAGTCTGAACATCAAGGCGATCATCAGGTCTCGCAACGAACTGACTGTCAACCCACTTCTTCTGAGGAACGGACGATTGGTCACAATAAGCAGCTGTCCGACTGAGCATTCCTCGGTCAGAAAACGAATTGGACCGAATGTAACTTGTGTTCTTACAGGGCGTCGCGATGGTTCTGGACGAAGGTCTCGGATGGATCTTCCTCAAATTGAGACTGCAAACGGACGACGAAGTCATCGATTCGGTTGAAGATTCTGTTTCGATTGAGGACGAAGTGAATGACTCATTTTACTGATCTAGCACTAGATACTTGATGTTTCAAATAAATAATTTTCCCCTTATGTCTGAAATGCCTGAAATGTTCAGTAGTACTGTAGAGAAACGAGCTTCAACTCCCAGTTCTTTGAGGAAAAATGAGGAGAAGAAAACAAAGCGCTACCTGATCGATGTTCGCCTTTTCGCCTCTCACCTCTTCCCCCTCTTTTCATTTTTTTGCGCAAACACATGCATATCCCGAATGGCCGCGGCCGAAAAGAACGGAGGCCGTTCGACGGGGCCGAACACGCAATCATCGATAATAGACCTCCCATACTGCTGAATGTCTACCAACATTCTTTGAGAATCTTTGAGAAAAGAAACAAATGTGCCCAATGCTCCATTCCTCTCATCCATACCTCTTTTCTAACTTTTGAGTATTTCACCTCCCCCCCCCCCCCCCCTCCTTTTCCTTTCCTATGCCAACTTTTCCACAACTCCATTTCAGAATGTTCGAACTTGGTAATCAGCCTACTGGGCCGGTGCCTCCTGATCGGAGACTGACTGAATTCACGCAGTATCAGAGAGTTGCCGACTGGTTGGCCAGTATCGATCGGCCGGATGGGATGAGATTTCTCGACATGGAGAGCGGCGCGATGATGGCGTTCATGAAGAAACTGGACACGAAGACGAGGTAGCAGAAGATCGAAAGTGCCCCAGAAACCGAGGTCCGTTTCAGATCGAACCTGGAGAAGACGTGCCGGACACTGCTAACCCTCTCCCGCAGCCAAAAACCCCGCCTCCAACTGTTGAACCTCCGCTTCACAACCGCTTGGAACCACGATCAGTTCGTGGAAATCAGTGCCCATTTCAACGGAGAACACACCTTCCGCGCCGTCTTCATTTCCAAGAAGAAGAGTCCGAATTGGATAACCGGCGGATGGTCGACGGAGAGAAATAAGAACATCAGTTCGGGAAATTGGGCAGCCGAGAAGTTGAGACTGGGCGCCACGTTCCTCGGGAAGACTTCCAGATACATTGAGCACTGGCTCAAGAACTTTGAGTACGACGTGCTCCGAATCAAGATTGAGAACGTGGTGCCTGGTCGGGAGGATGACATCCAGCAGCTGAACTACATCGGGAACCTTCCGCAGTTGAAAGTGAAAAAGTTCATACTCGACGGATCCAACAATCAACGCTTCATCAACAACTTCATGAACGCGCTGGTTCCGAACGGAGAGCCGCTCGATGCGAACAAAAGAGCTCTCGAGTTGGAACTGATTAATGTTCCCAAACTACAAGTGGTCTTCCATCATCCATTGGTACGTGGCCAACAGTTTAATTTATGAAATGGTTTCGAATTCAGGTGACGAATGGATGTGTGCACGTGAACTATCGGAAAGAGAACATGCATTTCACCTGGAAGATACTCAATTACGTCAATCCACCGACAATGAACATTGTAGCGAGAAAAGTGCCAGCGGATGCCGTTAACTCTTTTTTGAAGGTACATTCAGATGAATCCATAATAGCTGAGTGTCTGTTTGCAGCGTTGGAGTCGCGGAGCAATAACGGAAGACTTCCGCTACTTGCACATAACGGAAACGACGCAGTGGCGCTCTCAGGAAATGAGAATGGCCGAGGTGCTCAAAGGCTTGCGAGTCCAGCGCGTTCTCCTGACCACCGCCCTCCAATTGTCAGTCCGTTTCCCTCGTTCGCCCTCGTATCGTTCCGTTTCCAGACGCATCTTCCTTCCGGATTTTGGCGAGAGGCCTTCTGAAATCTACTACGTGTGCGGACCGCGCGCCGCGTTCTGTGTCCACTCCAACAATCAGTTCGTCTTCGAAGTTCCCTTGCTCTCCGATCTTCCGAAGATTGCCTCGATTCCGCCGATCTTTCCGAACGATTACGACGAATTCGAACAGCACAGAAACCGTCTTTATCTAAAGTTATTCAGCGGCAGATTCCTTCGTTTCTTCGGTTGATGATTTATTACACACCCTTTCATATTTATTTATTTCTAGCGCTGGCGCTCGCTCCCTTCTGTCATATAATATTCTCTCAAGAGCATCTCCCTTCCTTTGGTTGTCCAGTCCAGAGCTTCCCCTTCCGTTCGGCACGCGTTTATCATTATTTTCGTGTCAATAATTCACGGATTCTTTGTTGGCAATAAAGTAACATTTACCTACTCAACATTATGCAAATTTATCAGCTATGGGGGAAACCCGTGTGCATTTAGAAAAGTGATCACAAGCTTCGGTGGGAATTTGACAGAGATGGAAAATGGATGGATGCGAATAAATATTAAGTTAGGCGTCTATTCGTCAGATTTACATTTTTCGCACACACGTTCTCGCTCGTCGGCAGTCACTTTGAGGCATCGGCGGCAGAAAATCTGAAAAGCAAAGTTGGATTGAGTCCTTTTCTATCGTCTTACCATTCCACACCGATGACAGTGAATTCTTCGTTCGATCGTCGACGCGAACTCTCCTCGACACGCCGGATTGGAGCATCGGTCAGCTCCGCGAAGGGGTTGCCATTTGAGTGAGTACTTTGTTAGTCCTTCATCGGAACAATAGAGGGAAGAGTCCATCACTCCGCTCTCCTGACTCGTCGCCCTTTCCAAAACGGGCGAGTTGACGCCGAGTGGGTCCAGCGGATGGCTCAGACTGAGGTTCTTCAGCTCGTCCGTCGCACTGCTCATCCCGCTGTCCACCATGTTCGTGGGCGTCGCCGAGGCGGTAATCTGTTGCTGTTGAGATCTCAATTCGGCTAATCGGATTCTGAGTTGGGCGACGTGCGACTCTAGCACTCCTACGTGCTCCATGGCCGCCATAGTGATGTCTTCGAGCCGCTCCCGTGGCTGCAGACCTCCGTCGAATCGATTGTACATGCCGGTCCACACAGTGAAGCGAGCCGCCCGAGTGTCAAGGTCGAGGAGGGCGACGTGAGCGGTGGGAGAGTAGAACGGATTAATGTAGTCGTCGTGGCGGGCGTCCATCCACGACCACAAGGATTTAGTTCGCTTCGAGACGTTCAGGTCCTGTAAAAGGAAATACACTTGCGAATTTCAGTATAGGTGCTGACCCTGCGATCCTTGTCGCAGTTTCCAATAAAAGTGCCAAATTGGCACGAGTAGACGTGCTCGTGCATCTCAATCAGATACCGCTCGTTGAACTGAAACGCCCTCGGTTTCTGCTGCATCAGTTGCCAGACACAATCAAGCCATTGTGTGAATATCGGAGATATTTCTTTGCCAGCCTCGTCATTAAGCGCTCCGACGTGCCCACATCGATCATCGAACTTGTGCCCGAATCCGAGCCAATCCTTTTCGATGAGCACTTGCAACCCGTGAATGGTTCGGTAGAATGGGTCGAGCAGAAGTTGGCAGAGAGCGACCACTTGCGAAGTTCGGTCCCAGCCATCGGAGCAGTGCACAACACACGAGGTGCCGCGACTAATGGATTCTGCCAGAAAGAGAGCGCACTCGACGACGGAACGCACGTGTTTCAGCCATCCGGACGCCTCCAACGTCTTCCAGTACTCTGCCACGTCACGACACTTTGTGACGGCGTCCAGGAGACGGGCCTGACTGGCACGCATCACGTGAATGTTCTCAATGTCGAAGAAGTGGAATCGCATGTTCGAATAGTTCTTCTCGTCCTCGAATCCCTTTCCTTGCACCTTATTAACCATCGCATTCACACGTGGCCGAGTGTCGACGAGGAACAAGTTATCCGAGTTCGGATTCGCCTTTCCGACCAACTCCATCAGTTTTTCGTCCTCCACACACCGGGCCGAGAATCCGGTGAGCGGCTGTGCGCACCGACAGAGTGCCGCTTCCGTCTGACGATGAAAGTAAGTGAGAACGGGCAGACGGCCACGACTCCGGAATTTGCAAGATCCGAGCAGAACGGCTGTCGAAGCGGCCGTCGGGAACCACAGTTTGTTCGGGTACGTGTCGCAGATCTGAACGGAACCAGAATATCAATTGGTCACTGTTCCTGAACCGTTCTCACCGTGTACCCTTCGTTGATGGCCGACTGTGTCCACTGCGATTGTGCGACGCCCTGCCTCGTCATCTCCACATTCCAATCTAGCCTCTTCCATCCACGTGCGTCGTCTCCCACCGGCTCCCGATTCTCGAATGCAAGCAGTTCGGAAACGTTCACTGAAACTGCAATCAGTCGACGTTAGACGGCGGGCGAATAACACCACGCGAAGTCTGAGTGCTCACTGAACTTAAAATGCACAAACTAATCAATAAACAATCGGAGAGCCCAAATCACTCCATGCCACGTCACTGACCGACGGACACCTTTTAATCACTCACCAGGTTTCGCGGCTCTTTGTAACGTCTCAAATAGGTCTTGACATGCTTTATCTCTGCTGATCAACAAAGTTATGACCTGCAATACTCATCAAGTTTCACATGAATACTCGTGATTCTCACCTGGAAATGTTTGCATCTGATGATGAGCATGCATCCGGCGGCAGTCAGAGATCCTCTTTCGACCGAAGCAATGAGTCCCGTGGCCAGCCACAGTTCTTTCGTGCCGTCTTCTGCACGGAAAATGATGTGAGTGGTGGTGACATGGACGGTTCCGACCAGATTCTCGTGTGCTCCGAGACGGTCGACCAGATAGACTTTGTCGACCTGCAAGTGCTCTAATCAACATTTAGAATCATCCTTTCGAATTCTGTACCATCATGGCAATCCGCCCATCCTCCCCGTATCCACACCCGGAATGCACCGATTCTCTCCCCATCAGTGAATCCATTAACCCGTTGATTTTGTCCTTCAGAAGAGCTCCGGCCACAGTGATATCTTCTGTGTAGCCGGCGGAAAACGAAAGGGCCGACGGGGCTATTGTAGTCTGTTGAGGAGTGGAAGCTGCGCCTCCGTAGACAAAATGAGAGCTCCATGAGGAGGACGACGTAGAAGGAGTTGAGGATGAGATGGAAGGGTAGATGCCCGACAGGCTCATGTTATTCCACCACGCCGACAGGGGCGTCGTCACCGATGAAGGCGTAGACGCCATTCTTGTGCATCAGGTGCTAAAGAATGAGCGAGTTATTATGGAGAGACATAGAAAGGATCAAAACCATCTTGTTCTTCACATTTCTCACAATGAAAAAGGGGAGAATTGACGGATTGGCGACATTTTCAAAACAACGTCATCAATTTCCGTTGGTGAGCAAAAACGGAAACGGAACAATGGATGTGGAAGAAGAGGTTGAGAAGAGCCGCCGCGTCATTTTTTGAGAAGGAATTCAGGGATGTCGTGTGGAAACGCGAAAATGAGCTGCGTGACAGGGATACTTGAACACTATGATTATGTTGAAAAGTAGCTTCTACTGGCAAAAGGGAATCGTGAAAAGTGAGTAACTTGATACGTGAGCGGAGGCTCTGCTCGATTCCGTAAGCGGAGTGTGAAAAGGAGAAGAGAAACGGAGGAAAGCGGCGAAGGAAAAACGGGACGAAAGGACTTGAAAGTGTGAAAAATGAAAGCCCACTTCCTCCCGTTTTTGCTCAGGAAGAAACCAAAGTAAAGTACTTTGTCGGCGGCGATTGGAGGAAGACTGAGAGAACAACGACATGAGGCAGAGGAAGAGGAACTATGGGAACTTCGAGAGGTCTCTGGGGATCGAACTTTTGTGAGTCGGAAGGAAAATGAGGTCACGCGAGGAAACGGAGGGATAGATAAGCAGAGCTATTATAGCACAAAGAGCACGACTTTTCGAACGAATGGATTCTAGAGAGCTTCAACTGATCAGAACGAAATTCAACGATCCGGTTGTTACTCGTTTCTTCTGAAGTGTAAAATGTAAAATGACTTGAGAAGGCGTCCGACACCGACGTCAGCGAGAAGAAAGAATTGGGTGAAAAACGAGAAGCGGATAGCCCTTCCTTTTTCTTCTTTCGGCAGCCCGTTTCTTCCCCTTCGCCGACTCGTTTAATCAGCTCTTCCCCCTCTCTTCTCTTTCTTTCTCATTTCTCGATTTGTGAGCCGAATGTCGAATGGGGCTCCATTGGAATTCAGTGAAGCAGAAGGAAATTTCGGTGGAGCGACATGAGAAGACGTCTTGTTTATTTATAGAGAGCAAATGAAAAAATAGAAGAGGGAAATGAAAGGGAAAGGAAGAAGAAGAAGAAGAAAAAGAAGAAGCGAGATGAAATTAGGTGGAAGCGACGAAGGATGGGTTGACAGATGATGGCAAAAGCCTGTGTTGACGTGCCGGGGCCGGAGCACCACTTGTTATTGGATCTAGTTTTGTTTTTCGGATTAGCAGCCACTAGGGACTATTTGTATACAGGCAACATGAAGGAATACAAATGTTTCTGGAAAAGTTGAGATAAGCAAGCACTACTTTAATGGTTTTCGAGGACTTTTCTAATCTTCAAGTTAGTTAACACATTTCCGAACAAAATTATCCGAAACACGCTATCACGCTGAATCAGAAACTGCAATTTTGTCTTAACGAAAATCCTCCGGAAATAAATCTAATTCCAGGTTATATTTGTGGTCAGAATTAGCCGAAAAAGAGCTGAAATGACGCAGAGAAGCGAGCGGGAGCCAGTGGCCGAAGAGAGCTGTCGTCAGGAGAAGGAAGGACGCCGAAATGAGCAAAAAGACGGAGAAAGCGAGGGAGAGGGCGGCGAGCGCTCCGCGTCTCTCGATTCTCCGTGCTCTGTCGCCGGTTCCCTAATCTCGCATGTCAACCTCATTACATTATTCACCGGAACAGACAGCGAATCTGGAAGGTTGCCCCGTTTCGAACGAGAACGCATTGTCTCCGGACGAGTGAGCGGCGCACACTCAAAAACGATGCGGGACGGGAAATTGAATAAATATGCGCACAAAGGGGGACGACGCAAAACCTAGAAAAACAGCAGAAGAGACGACCCGGAGGGATAATCTAATTGGGCAAAAAAGACGGAAATGTGGAGAAGGGGTCCCATTCGAAAAATAACCGAATGGAAACTGTCTGTGTCCGAGTGGGGGAATTTGGACGACGTTGTTCGCATCAGAATTCCGCTAGCGGAAATGTGGATTTAATTTTTATGGGTTTAAATTTTTAAAAAAAGTATGTTTTGGTGCGTAAGTCTCGAAACTATTCGTTCACTCGGAAGGGTTTTTCAAGAGAAATTCATCTGAAAATCAAGAAAATTTTAAAGCCTTTCACGAAAAGCAGACATTTTCAAAAAGTGATTAATTTTACCAAAATTATAAAAGAATGAGAAGGGCGGAATGCGGATTCCGTGCATCTCAAGTTCGAGTGTCTATTTTCCTCTCATTGAAATTGCCAACTCAATCAAATTCAACGTTTTTCGATCTTTGACTGACGCGATGATTGGCGGAAAGAACCAATTTTCTTTTCTTTTTCTGCAGTGGCTTATGAGTAGTTTGAAGCTCATTTTCAAAGGGTTTCCGCAGAGATTATCATTGATGGAACGGGGGCAGAAAGGGCGGATTGCCTGCGTAGTCTTGTATTTCACGACGGTTATTTTTTTAAACAAACTCTTGCCATTCAATAATTTCAGGGTGCTGCCCCGAATCAGAACTGGTACGAATCAGAACTATTTTCAGTGCTAATTGGTTCTGATTCGGGAAGTTCGGATTCGGGGCAGCACCAATTTTAGGCTTAGGTACTTCTGAATACTAGAATCCAACTTACCTTTGAAATGATAATATCCTCGAACCGCATAGCTTCCCCCGCTCGAGTGATGGCTTCTGAAAGTTCAAAGTATTTTGAAGGGGAAAAGAAGAAAGAAAAGAAGTGAAATAATCAATGTGGTCGGATTAGGCGCCATAACCGATGAAGTGAGTCGAGTGAAAGCGGCAGTGGCGTCGAGTGGGACGCCGCAGCCGCAATCCGACGGCAATGTGTTTGCAGACCGAACGGGTAAAAGTTTTCATTTTTCTGAAGAGAATAGCGCGACTCGTCAATCAATACAATACAAAAAGATTATAAATACAGGCTTTGTGGGAAAGTGGGGAAGAATTTTACACGAAACATCTAATTATTCCACTTTTCAAATCTTCTCAAAAAGGATGGCGATTCCCTGTCCTCCACCAATGCAGGCGGAACCGATTCCGTACTTGACGTTGCGGCGTCTGAAAGTAGAAAATAATAGAAAAGGCGATGCGGATGTAAACATACTGGAGTTCGTGCACAATGTGAGTGGAGATTCTGGCTCCAGAGGCGGCGAGCGGATGTCCGAGGGCGATGGCTCCTCCGTTCACATTCAGTTTCTCGATTGGGATTCCAAGCTCGCGTTGAACGGCAAGAGCCTGTGGGGCGAAAGCCTCGTTTATCTGCAAAATACGCATTATGAAGGCACAGAATGAATTCAATCCAACCTCGAAGATATCAATATCATTGATTTTGAGTCCACTCTGCTTGAGAACCTCTCTGATTGCTGGGGCCGGCCCGATTCCCATGATGGTGGGGTCGCATCCGACGGCCGAATAGGCGACGACGCGTGCCAACGGCTTCAGGTTCTTCGACTTGACGGCTTCTTCTCCGGCGAGAACGAGAGCGGCGGCTCCGTCCGAGATTCCGGAGGCATTTCCGGCGTTGACAAGTCCGTCCTTCTGGAAGACCGGCTTCAGCTTGGCCAGGCTCTCCACAGTCGTCGGTCTCGGGTGTTCGTCCACGTCAAAGCTCTCTTCTCCCTTTCTTCCCTTCACAGTGATTCCGACGATCTCGTTCTTGTAAATGCCCGCATCCTGCGCCTTCTTCCAGAGAGTCTGCGATCGGAGGGCGAATTCGTCAGCCTCCAGACGGGTCACTTTGTACTGCGCTCCCAGCTTCTCTGCCGTCTGTCCCATCGCCAACTTGGCGTACGGATCACTGAGCGAGTCCCAGAGCATATCCTCAAACTCGTACTTCATTCCGAGCGCCGTTCCGAAGCGAATGTTGCGCACTGCAAAAGGCACCATCGACATGTTCTCGGTTCCTCCCGCGAGAATAATGTTCGCCTCGCCGAGTTTGATCGACTGCGTGGCATTGACGACCGCTTGGAATCCGGATCCGCAGAGACGGTTCACTGTCAGCGCGCCCACATTCTGGGGCACTCCCGCCTTCAAACCAATGTGGCGGGTCAGGTAAATTCCGTCGCGAGAGCTGGCGACAACGTTTCCTGAAAACACCAATCTGATAACAGGACACATCGCAAAGTTTCCTACCGAAGATGACGTGATCGACCGCATCGGCGCCGACATTCGCGTGCTTCAGAGCTGCTTGCGACGCGACGACTCCCAGATCTGTGGCACTCAATCCCTTCAGCTTTCCGCCGAATGTTCCGAATGCGGTACGTTTGGCACCGATGATGAAGACTCCTGCAGACAGATCATACTTCACTGACCACAAATTCATCTGATAACATAGCGGACTTCGCCCCTTGCCCTCTACTCACCTTTTCCGGCCATTCTATTTTTTGTCGGTCCTGTAATGAGAAATCGATTGAATTGAATGCCAAAAAATGGACGGAAAACGACAAATAAAAATAACGATAAACAACGCCAAAACAGAGTGAAGGATACTCCTGAACAAAATAAAGTAGTGTTTGCTGGCAGGACCGATAAGAGAGCGAAGAGGCGCAGAGAATGAGAGTGACCGACTTTCGCGGGTCTCTTTTCTTTTATCATCACTCCCGCACCTTGTACTCTGCCCCACACTACGTTCTACACTACACCGATAAGTGATGGTCTCGGAAACCACGTGGTTGAAAGCTGCGAAAAGAAACGTATTGGATACCAGCATTTATTACTTTCATAAATAATCTCGTATGATTAGGACGAAGGGTAAACAGCGAGAAGAAGAAAAAAGAGGATAAATGCTCGGGGCATCGGGAGAAGCCGAGTGAGAGGACCGCGATTCGAAAAAATCGGTTCCAATAAAACAAATAAAGCAAAGGCATATTAACGTGGGTGACCGTAGGTCATTTACAAGCCGGGTTTGTCTGGAGAATCGGGAGCAGAGTAGAGAGTCAGCTTGGCCTTCACAAGCGAGCTCGTCTTCTTCTGGCAACTCTCGTGGTCTTCATAGCGGATGACGTCAAACAGCGGCTTGTCGTGGTCCTTCGAAGCGGCCATCAGCTTCTCCTTCAAAACTACTCTGTAAAAAAGACACCTACACAAAAAAGATTGCTATCGGTCCTACCCAATCCTCATGTTCGTGTCGTCGTCGTTGCAGTCCTTGGTCCACACGCTGATCTTAGACCCTTTGCCTCTGACGTTGCAAACGAGTCCGCAGATCGATTCCATGTCCTTCCCAAACTGCTCTCCGACGAGCGCCATCAAAATTTCGAGCCAAATCGCGTCGACCATCTCCGGAATCTTGGCCTTGTCGATGGCGATCAGCCAGCGACCACCGTTGGCGTTCTCAGGCACCTCCCACATTGGCTGGATTCCATCGCGGAAGACGTTGTAGTCGCACAGGGCATTCAAGCCACTTGGCGGGCGTATGGCATCGTAGAGAGCCCAGAACTCCGGCACAGTCTTGAAGGTGTAAACCTTCTTGAGACGATCTTCCCACGACTTAGTACGCTCGTCGTTCAGATACCACCAAGTCCACTCCCTTTTCAGCGGGTACAGACCGGGGTTTTCAGCTCCTTGGTCAACCATACCTGCAAGCAATCGGGTTCGAAAAAAAGACATGAGAATTGAAAGATACAGCAGTTGGATACGCGTAACCAACGGAAAAGTCGATTTGAAGAATTGGTAATAATGTGGAAATTTTATGAACGTACAATAAAAACAGCGCTCACCGTCCTGCTCATCGGCAATTTTCAGTTTTTCCATTGCAATCTCCGAATCTGACATCTTCGAACTAAATCGAACAATATGTTAGCGGAAGCTTATACTAGACTGAGCGTCTGACGCCTACGGACCAATCGCCAGCTCATTAAGGTGCCCTAGATAAGGGGAGGTCACTAGAACGAAGGCACAGGACGGATCACGCACAAAATGAATGAAAAAATAGAAAATTATTAACCCGTATGAGAATGTACAAAAACAGCGATTAGTTGGATAGTTATGTCAATCAGTTATCGTAGTCATCTTCGGTAGGCGTAGAAGCAGTGGCTGCAGGAGCACCAAACATCTGAGCATTCGCAGCGGCGACCGCAGCCGCTTGAGCTTGCTGTTGAGCCAGCTGTTGCTCCAGTTCTTGTTGCCGAGCCTGTAAGGTAAAAATGAATAGAAATGATGAAACAGTGCAACGAGCGCAAACATGATAAGATCAAAGCTGCGCACTATTTGCTTTTCCTAATCGATTAGTTTCGTACCTTCTGAATGAGATCTTGTTGCATCTTGTACAGTTGTTCTTCTGGGATTCCGCACTTTTCGAGTCGCGAGTTCTTCCGTTTCAGCTTCTTTTCGGCTTCCACCTGCAAACACCCAGTTATAACGGAATGAATCCGGTAAATTCACCTTGCACGCATCAAGTACACTGTCGGCGGCCTCGAGGTAGTCCGCTGGAAAACCGAGATTCTGAAGAGCCTTTTGCACGTGCTCATGATAAATAGTTTTGCGCTGATCTTGACTGGCGATCCGTTGGGCTTCACGAGCGACGTGCTTTACGAATTCTACGCAGCACGCGTTTATCATGTCACGAGAGTCGTTCGCGATTCGCATTTCCGGAACGACTTCTTTGATTATCTGGTTGATCCCCTTCTGTGGAAGTCCAATTTCATTGTCCTCGTCCATTCTCAAATTTCCTGAAGTAAAACTCTGGAATTAGTAACAACAACGAATCAGAGTAGATAGAAAACCTGGGAAGAAACCGGGCGAAGGTAAATATCGAGAATTCAAAAGGATGCGTTTATAAAGGTGTCAAAATATTAGAACATGTGAGAACGAGTAGGATAAAACTGATAGAATCATGCCATCTTGACGTTGGAGAAGTCCATTTCCGGATGCTGTTTCATGAACTGCTGCAACATGTCGTGCTTCTTCTTCTCGTCGGATGTAGGCAGACCCATCTCCTTCTGTCTCTGATCGTACATCATCTTCTCAACCATAGCACGCGTCTCGCCGTCCAGGTCGCTGAGCTTCGAGTTCTCCGGCTTCACTTCCTTCGTGTTGATTGGTGGATCAGTGTCCAAGAAGCGGTTCCACCATTCCATATCGTTGATTTTCTCCAATGTCAACACAATGGCCTTTCCGTTCTCGATCACCCAGCTGCAGTTTTCCACTTTGATCGTATTCGGCAGTTTGCCTTCAACGACTGGCGGCTGGTTTTTCAAACCAACGGATACACTGGTTTTCTCAATCTTCACGACGACGTCTCTTGATTTGATTGCAAAGCCAGCGTTGATCGGGATGCGAACTTCAACTTCCTGGAGAGTCTGGGTCCATTGATATTTTGTCAGATCAGCCCCATTTCCAGAGTTTGGCTTGATCAGATGGCTATTATCCTCTTCTCCGTCGTTTTCACCGTCTTCGCTGGTTTTCGGCTCAACAACAGTGTCCTTGGTAGCATTTTGACGTTCGAACTCAGCAGCCTCCTCGTCAGTGATCTCCACAACCTTCGCATTACGGAATTCCTCTTCTTCCTTGGTCTTTTGAGCCGCACGTCTCTCTGCAAGTTTACGCTCCTGCTCTTCTTTACGTTTCTTCGCTTCTTCGGCTTCTTTCATAGCCTTTCCTCCATGCTTATCGAACTTCTCCAGAAGCAGTAGTCTTGCCTGGTCAACTCCGGCTCCACTGTAGAAGTCAGTTTTTCTGTAGACAAAATGTTGCGAAAGTGTTGTATTTAGTAAAAAAATACCTGGACAGAAAGTCGAAAAGAACGTCGAGCATTTGAGGGACGCCACCGGAGAGTTGCTGAGCAACGGAGAGGAAGACAGCGTCGAAACGTTCGTATTCGGACATTTCCTGTAATGGAACGATTTTTCATTTTCTACGAATTCAGGTAGAACATCAAGAGCGAAATCGAATGAAGCATGCACAAATGTGAAAATGTCGGAAATCCTATTTTCGCTCTGTTTCTATGGAAACCCCGGATTTCCGCAAGAGCAAGTGGCGGATTTAATGCAATTTTAAATCCCGAACGTGACCAGACACGAAAGCAGACAGAAAATCGATGGGTTTGCGAGAATATTCGAGAAATGGCGCGAGAAACTAAAATGTTTTGCGGACAATTTTGTTTGCGCGTTTCGCGTGGCGCGAATTGGCGTATCGCCAGTGCTGGCGCCAAACTTGTGCTACAGTAACCCTCTCGAAAAATTTGAAGAACAACCTGCGCATTATTCCGAAAACCGTCCCAAGTTTCAAGAGGATGCCGGGAAATATTCTCGAAAACATTTTGTAAGTTTGCTTTCTAGGTGAAAATACAACAAAATGTGCCCATTGTTCAGGATAATGATGGAATCAAGGCCGTCTGGCGAGGAGTCCAGGAAATCCCGGAACGATAGATATCGGATCCGTCAAAGCATGAAACGCTCGATAAATTTGCCCATGGACACTTTCACCGAAACGAAGCCGAAAGCTGATTATGTGCCGGTTAAAGTGAAAAGTAAGATATTTTCAATGACAAGACGGAACGATTATTCCAGAGGCTCGTCTGTCTGATGCAATTATGGCTCTTGCCGAGAACTGTGAAGGCCCGAACGAAAAAATGAAGAACTACTTCAAACTGTTCGAAGAGGCGGAAGATAGCGACTGCGAAGAGTACGATCCCTACGAAAACTCTTCGGTGAGAGACATTTCTGTCAAAATCCATTTACATTATTGTGTTCAGGAAACGTCCGAATCAAAAGCTAAGAATTCAATGGTCCCGATTGTCGAGCGTATCGTCTCTATCAAGGTGTGTCCCAATTTTTATTCTGAGAGATTGCATCATAAACTCGATCTCAGCAAGAGTTCTCAACGACGACAAGGGAAGCCGAAACAGACGAAAAAGTGAAGAATTCGGAAATAGACAGTGTGAAAATGCCACTAACTGAAGATCATCTAGAAATAGTTGATGACTACGAAGTTCCGCTCAAATATCTCCGTGGAAAAGTTCCGCGCCAATATTTCGAACAAATGGAAATCGTGGCAAGAGAGTCGATCGTTCGAAATCAGAAAAAGGAGCAGAGGATGATTTTGGAGAGAGAAGCGGAAAAGGAGAGACTGAGAAAAGAGGAGGAAGAGGACAGAAAAGAGGCGGCCGAGGAAGAGGTGCGCAGACAGGAAAATGAAAAAGAGGCAGAGGAGAGAAGGGAGGAGAGGAAGAGACGCAGAGAGCAGAGAGAGAAGAAGAAGGCTGAACACAGAGAAAAAGAGGATCTGGAGAAGAAGGAAGTTCTGGAGAAGAAGATCTTGGAGCGGGAGGAGAGAATCAAGAATCGAAAATGTGAAACGAAGAGAAGTACTCCGAAGATGTCCGCTCTCACAGGTATCAGCAATTTATAGAGAATTCGCAGACCGAATGGAAAGCCCTGATGTTTTCAGATCCGTCCTTCGATCCTTCGCAGATCAGTCTCTTCTGCACCGAGGCGGTCCCACTGGCTCCGCTAAGAGCGACTCCTTTCAAAGAGAAAGAAGTCGCCATTGAAAAGAACCTCATGACCTACGATCCCCAAACGTCTTTCTTCGATCAGAATTCATTTGTGGAGCAAGACAGCGGATTGGGGGATCTGGATATGCTCACAGTCGACAGAAGCTTCGACGGAATCAACATGGACGAAGTGATCGCATTCGAGCAGCACCAGACAGAAGCCGGAGAGATCAACAAGCTAGTGAACGAGATGCGAATTGTTGAGTATGAGGTGAGCCAGGGTCTCGAAGATCTTCTGATGAGAAAGTGGTTCAGATTGTGCCACTGGCCATTCCGTGCGATCCATTTCTGGGAATAATCGAACGAGAAGAGCTGCCAACTCTGACCGACCCGATAGATGAAATGGAATTCGAGGAGGACGTCAGCCCGGAGAAGCATTTGTTCGAATTCAACCTCATCGATTCAATGGAAGAATTTGTGCCACTGAATCTAGATTGCGATGCTCTCACCAGTGAAGACTTTAACCCCACTGTGCTATTCCGATAAACCCCGCCCCGTCATAATCTAATGTCAAACTAATGCTCATAATTTGTTTTTAAAATCATAGTTTTATTGTTCTACATCTGTTTTATGCTCTATTTTTGCTAAAATTATCATAATAGGGTATGAAAGTATTGCCTGAGAGTGCGCAAACAATGGGGGGTGAAAAGACGAGATATCGGGTCGGAATATGTCACATTTGACAGCTGAGCGGTTCTTCATTTCGATGCGTTCTTCCCCTCGTTTCTTCTTTTTTCCCGAATTCTGGTTGTAGGATAATCATTTAAATGCCCCCCCTCACTTTACTCATTCGAACATGCAATCTGTTCTACCGAATGCTCTAATTGAACTTTTCGGAGTGTTTACCCTCTTTGCGTGCACCTAATTCCTAATTTCGAACACAGATGAGTCTCGTCCGTTCTCCAGGGACCCTTCTTTCTTTCCGACATCCACTTCACGTACCGTCCGTATGTTCCGCACTCGGAATGGCACTTGGACTCGCACTAATTGCCTAATATACTCGATGCCATTCCGCCCTTTTCATCTCTTTCCGACTGTTTTTTCCCTTCTTCTTCTTCTTCTTCTTCTTCTTCTCGGCGTTCGTTTCCGCGCAATTGAACGCACTTTTCATAAATGATGAAGCGGCGTGAATTCAAAATTCAAATGAATAAATCTGAATCTATCCATATCACTTGCTTTCCCTCCCGTTTCTGATTTGGTCCTCATGGCGCAAAGGTTTCTGTGTCTCCCCATCAATCCGTCATCTCGAGTTCAATCCCAACTCGTCGCCAAACCTTTTTGCACACTTCCCCTAGTACACCTACAGCTTTTAGTCGGAGCTTTCCGTCCCATAAATCACGTGTCACTTACTTCCTAGCTTTCTGTCACAAAATACATAAAAGGGGATCAAGAAGTTATGGAAACCCGATCCGGCCCTTTATATTTGGTTACTCTCTGCTTTGGGATTGGATTCAGACGGCTCTGGCGGTCATTCGAACCCTTTTTATTGGTTTTGAGTGTCCGCTCTCACTCATACACACCCTCTCATGCCCATTTTGGCACCCGTTTCTGCCGCCCTTTTTTGTACGAATTTTTTATGAAAAGATGATGTGGAACTTCCAGAGTGGAAGGAGGTGGATTCAATTACGTTCTCCTACTTTTACAAGATCCCAATCTTGTTGAAAATTGATAATTTCTGGATCGATCAGTCTCAAGAGTAGTGTAGACGGTAATTTTCAAAGTAGAAACGTTGTTGTCAATGGAGCGCACTTGTGAACGCGTCGAATTCAAAAAGTCACCTTGAACGTGTTAATTACGGTCCGTGCAACTTCAAAAATCCGTCTGTCCGGTATCCTTGGCGTCCGTGCGACTAATTACCACAATTGACCTAGGGAGACTTTTGTGTAGCCATTATCCGTCGCCTTCTGCTCTCTCTCTCTCTCTCTCTCTCTCTTTCTCCCTTTCTCTGCTTTCCTAATTATCCCCTTCCTTCTTTTGTCTACCGTACTCCGTTCTTCTTCTTCGTCTCTGTGGGACATCTCGTTCTTCAGCTTCAATCTCTTCTTCTTTTGCACATCCCCTTGTCTCGTGGCTGTCATATTGTATTTGTCATAATGACACGGCGACATGCATAAACCCCGGCCTTGAAGGGTATTTAGGAGTGAAAAAGAGCAAGAAGAGCTCCTAAAACAAGAGGAGAAGAAGAAGCGAGAGGAAGCACACATTTGCGACGGTTGATCGCTTCCAAATCGTTTCTTTCTTTTCGTCCGTGCGCCGATTTGTCAGCTACTTGTTATGCAATAATATTGGGTATTCAGAAGAAGAAGAAGAAGTGGGCGGAGTCTCGTCGCCACGAAAAAGGGCTCTTTTCATGTGGGCTTATGTATGGATATCCCCCCTTCTCAATGACACTTTTTCATTTCGTTTCAATTACACTACTTTCGATTCATCCATCCGTTATACAAAAAGTCAATTTTAGGAGGACGAGTGTGCTCCAGAGTTCTTTTGAATCTTTCCAACTGAAAAGGAGTCAAGCTGTGAGATCCGATTGCAAAGTGCAGAGGCTTCATGATTAGCTAGCGTAACCTTCATTGTTCGCAAGATCTCGCTCTTAGAATCCCGAACCACAAGCCCCCCAATATTGTCCATTCAAGACGATGTATCTCAGCTGTCGGTAGAGATGTCAAAAAATTGTCAATTGATGAAATGTGCACAATGTGTTCATGAACAATTTATCAGTTGAACTCGCTTTGATACCGGCAGCTGAGATATATTGTGTGCGAGTATGCAATGCTCCAGGTGATCAAATGCGTCTGCCAACTTCAACAGATCAGTTGATGCCTTTAGTTTTGCAAATGCTTTTCAAGAGTTCTTCTCATTTCCACGTACCGTGAGCGCCCCAGAGTTGCCTCTCCGTTTCTTGTTGTCGTCGGAAGCCCCTCCCACCGTCCGGAATGCCCGCACCTTTCCCTTCTCTCCTTCTTTCTGCTGCTCTCCGTGCCGAGCTTCCCTTTCGCGGCGCTCTTTTCAATTTACATCCTTCTTTCCGTCCGCTCTCACATTCCTTTTTTGAGACAAATTTCAACTTGCTCACCCAGAAAACGCGAGCTCTGTCCTTCTCCTTCTCCGTCCTTCTTTTTTCAACGTCATCTGACCCCATGGGCCTCTGGAATGCGTCGTCTGAAGGGGACCGAGGAGGCTAAAAAACACACAATTTCATCGGACAAATAATCGTATTAGCTGAAGGCACATCTGCTCCTCCGCGCCTCTTTTTTCATAACATGTCTTATTGCATTTATGTACAAGTCGCCTTTTTTGTGTCGCTTGCAGTTGCTGACCAGCTTACTGTAGAACTCATGAGTTCGTCTCCGAGGCTCCAAGTGTTTTTCGCCACTAAAATTAGTCGGTGGCCAGTGGCCGCTCGGGGTGTAATTCACACGACATGTCACTCATTTGTCTCGTTTAATTGGAAAACGGACACGGCTCCACACAGGAGACCCTCCTCTCGAAACTGCACGATTCTCGTACCTTCCCTTCGAGAATTCCAAGTGCTTCTTGACGGTGGGAACCGCACGGAACTGCCCAAACACTGCTCTGCGTCTCGTCTCGTCTCGGAAACTAGCAAAAAAGGGAAGCGAAAGAGGATCACATTTGTTTTCATCATATTTATCTCTCCGCGCATTTGTCGCCTTTCCGTCGCCTCTTGGGTCCATCTTGTCTCCTCTTTTTTCCGTTTTCCGATTTCATTTTTCTCTTCCATTCAGACGTCATTGAATGCGATCCGGGAGATGCTGAAATGAGTATTGTCCGTTCACTCTTCCTCTTCCAACTCGCCGTCCTTTTGGTCTCCGCGACCACCTGCCCGCACGCCATCAATTCGCGGATCCAGGAGTGTGTGCAGCCGGTCGCCGACTATGCAAAAGTCCTCAACAACCAGGTCCCGTCCCGATCATCTTCTCCCTTTTAACAACAGATTCCAGGATTCTCGAACGTCCGGATCGGAATTCGGCAGCGCGTTCTCCCTTCCCAACATGGGCGGTCGCGTCTTCAACGAGCTGTGCAGGTTCGTGTCGCGCTTCGCTCCGAAAAAGCAAGCAACGCATCATAAAATCACGCATAAATCTTGACGATGCGCATCGAATCGGATCCCCCTGAGACCCCACCGACGCTTCTTCTTTTCAGGCTGATCGCCAAATTCAACAGTTGTGTGCGTGATCATCGGAGCACGTGCCCCCGCCACGTCACCATTTCGCTCATCGATTCTTCGTACGGTTATCTGTGCAACGAGGGATACAATAGTGATTGAGAGCTGGTGAAACGGGAAAAGAAAAACATTCTTTCAGCGTTCATGGAATCGGCGGAATGTCTGATGGAATTGGATCGGAAGCCGTCGGTAAAAAGGTGCCACGACGAGACTCTCCGAGAGATCGAGTCCGCGAACACAGAGTCGGGAGTCTCGATGCCAGCCAAAGTGGACAGAATGTGCGGGTGAGGAGTCCGAAACGCCGAGCCATGTACCTTCCGATCGGCCCTTTCAGAGCACTCAACTTCTTCTCAGGATGCGTCCGTTCTCCGATCAAACAAGACTGCGGCTTCTCCGCGTGGCAGGTGAGTTTGCGAAGAGCGCGCTCCCAGATCTCAACCACTTGCAGGTGATCTATCGAGTCCTGAAGGACACGACCAACACTCTGATGCCAGCGTGTCAGTTCACGGGGACCTCCCAGAAGCTGGCGTCGTTCCAAAAAGAGACAGACTCGGAATCCACGACGACGACCTCGCCCCCTTCGAATCTGTCCACCCGTTCTCAGACTCTCGCGACGAAAGCGTCCACTGTGAGCACTCAACAACTTCTGACGAGTACGCAAGCAATCAGAACAACGACGCAAGAAGAATCGGAGCCCGAATTGGGAGTGACTCCGAAGAAAAAGATGAGGAAGATACAGTCGGCGGAGCTCACCGATTCTTCGCCGATCACCACACACTTTCTCACTTTAAGCATAGTTTTAGGTGCTCTTCTCCTTTAAAGTCTTCGCAATTTATTCTGTTTTCCCCAACCGATTACGTGTATTTTTTGTATGAAAACAAGGTCTAGATGGATTGATTCTAGTCCTACCAGGTGTCATTTCCCTTTGCGCTCTTTTTTAATAAAGTTTAATGTATTAGATTTTCCCTTCTTTGATCAGTTTTGAGTCCGATCGAAAGAGTGCGAATGAGTCAAAAGTCCAGGCCTCTGAAAAGCCTGGTCCGGTCTTTTATCGGCTCTTGTTTTGGCGAACGATTGAATTGATCTAATTTAGTAGGGTTTCCATGAGAAAAATATGGCAAAAAGTTAAGCCAGAACTGTGCGCCATGACTTCAAAAACACGGCGAGAGCTCTGGGCGACGATTTTGTGCTCGGTGGCCGCGTGGCCGGGGCTGAGGACATTAGCCGGCCGCGTCGACGAACGCCGCTTTTTCGGATGTCTCTCTTGTATCGATTCGCGAATAACCTTGCCCCAAACTCATCTTTTAGTGGATTTTCTCCCGATTTTCAGAAAATACTGAATTTCCAGCACAAATGGCTACTCAAGACGACATTCAGGCACTCATTCAAATGGTTCCGAATCTGCAGGTAAAAAAAAAGGAAATCACTGCTGAAAAACGCGTTTATCGTGCAGGAAGGAACGCCGTATTACGAAATGTTGCTGAAAGTAATCGAGGAGATAGGAAAAGATATCAGGCCGACGTACACATTCAACAAGCTCACGGGAGAACGGCTCAAAAGGAACATTCAGGCAGCCAAAGTGCTCATTAAGTAGGTTTTCTTTTTAAATATCGCTTTTCAGAAAAGAAACCCGTTTCTTATCGAATTAACCATACAAAAACTTGAAATACGCGTACGACTGATAGCCAGTTCGAAAACAAAGCAAAGAGGACATCAGTCCACAATCTTCATATTATTTCCCCTCAAATCTAGCCGAAAAAACCCTTGAATTGAGGGTGTGAACTCAAATATTTGACCAGTCCCGATCGTTTGCAGAATGTGCCAACAAGAGGCCGAGAACGACAAGAAGAAGGCCGACGCGATGATAGAACAGCAGAGAATCCAGGCCGCCAAAGAACAGTCCCAGAAGCCCACCACTCAGAACTAATCGATTGCACTGTAATATTACGTTCATTGTACCATAATTCCTGAATCCTTTCGTGTACTTTCCAATCATGAATCTCTCGAGTTCTCAATCTCTGTGAATCTCTGCGATTTCTCTCCGTTTTCCTTCCCTTTTCAATAATTCACTCAGACACCATGCCATCGAAAAGTCTGAAGCTGTCGTCTCGCCCCGCGTTTGCCCGTCGCATCCCGTCGGAAGATTCGTCTCGCGCCTGCGTCTCCACCTACCTTCTGGATCCCTCGTCGGACAGTCGTTCAGGCTCTCTGTGCATTGTCAAAATCCACGAATCGGGTGGTTTGCAGTTGGAGAATGAGATCAGCACGTCGGCCGGAGTGTTTCGCTTCGATTTTCGGAATCCATCGACTGTGGTCGCCGCGCTGACCGACGGATCGCTCGTTGTGCAGAAGATAGAAGGTAAATTCACATTTTCGAATAAATGAAGTGCGGAATCTTTTTATTTTAGATGCGATATCATCGGAAACGACACCGGTTTCATCGGACATGCTGCTCGATCTGGGTCTCTCCGATTCCTCACTCTCCATCACCTCTGACAACAAAGTGCGACACTTTCCCTCTTCCTCGACTACCTCTTCTTTTTCAGGGCAATGCCTACATTGTCGACCTGAACACTTCCCTGATCGTGTCCACATGGTTCGCCCACTCGCTTCCGTACGTTCCGGGCGAAGGATGCGAAGTGTGGTCGTGTGCAATCACTGGAGATGCGCAGACAGTCGTCACTGGAGGGGAAGACGGGTCTATGAAGTGGGCGAGTGCAATATTCTCGGAAGAATTCAGCTGTTTTCAGGCTCTGGGACGCCCGTACTCGCACGTCGATCGGACAATCGAAAGCCTTTGGAGCTGGCGTCGTTTTCGTGGATTTTCCCTCCGATTCTAATCAGATTTTGACTGGCAGCTATGATGAACACGTTCGGATTTTCGATCGGCGCAATCTGAAAGAAGCGACAGCGGAGAAGAAAGTAGGGCTTAGTCATTAAAATAACTTTAAAAAAACGACATGGAAACGATCGGCGCCACTTGAAATTCTTATTTTCTAGTGATCATCGATTCTACTTCCAAAACAAACGGGATGAAACTGACGTTTCAAAGGTCTCTGAAGGTGCGAAAAGGCTTTATTTTTCCGCCGATCGTGTTTACCGACCATACAATTGAAATATTTTGGAAACGAGAATTAGAGAATGAGCTATGAATGCCAATGAATTCTGTTCCGTATTGCAGCTAACCGGAGGAGTTTGGAACATCGAACAGACCGGTTCACAGTTTTGCGTCGCGTGCATGTACGGAGGATACGCTCTCCTCGATTCGAACACGCTCGAAATCGTCCATCAAAACAGAGATTCTGGGGCCAATCTTCTGTACGGAGCCACCAAAATGAGCGAACGTTCTGTGTTATTCTGCACTTTTAACGACTACTTGATTGTTTTAGACGAGTTGAAACTTTGATTGTTGTCTTCGTAAAATGAATCTCACATAAACTATGTTTAAAGGCTCGTGCTTTCATGAGTTTGAGCACCAGTGTACGGATTCGATGGAAAGCTTCCTGTCAGTTTGTCAGACGTATATACCCAAACCAGGTATACTTTTCACTGCCATATTCACTGAACGAGCCTCCGAGCAAGAGTAGGTGGCCAATGCACCGTGGATATGACTTCATTATGCGCGCCACAAACATCAATTTTATTGTCTGGTAGAATCTGAAAAGTTCCGCTTATTGTTTTCTTTTCTCTAATGATTATTTTTCCTAAAACCATAGTCCAAACACTCATTTCTCTTTCTCTGCGCTCTTCCCGTTTCTCTCACTATCTCTTATTTTAATGTTCTTCAATAGGAATCCATTAGCTCTTTATTACAAAAGAATAATGTGCAGGGTCAAAGTGAAAAAAATACCGAAAATTGATCACAAACTGGAAGTGGACTAGGATTTCGCAAGGAAAGAGTGGAAGGAACTTGTTTTCATGATACACGAAAAATATGAATGCACACAGGCGAATATACAAAAACTTGAGTTCAAAACTGTGAAAATCCGAGAACAGCTCAGTCGAAAGTCTTGGCGATTTCAACGAGAGCACTGTAGGTTCCGGTGGTGAATCCTATGACAGCAAACGATAAAAGGAGAATATTCTTAAGCCACAACCCTCTGGACAGCTCGTTCTTTGCGTAAGAAGTCTGAAAAAAGGAGAATGAGCAGGGAACGGATACCGAACAAACGCACGAGAAGTTCGATGCACGGAGGGAAGAGCAACGCCATGGAGGCTCCGGAGAAAGCGCCGATGAGAGAGATGAAGAGGGCCAGATGGGGGATGAGTTCGGCGACGGCACCTGGAAGAATGGAAAGAATGGGAACGGGTCGGAACGGAAGGAGGCTAACACGTCAAGAGGACGCCCGAGTATCTGCTAAAGTAGATGTAGAACGTCTGTTTGTTTACTGGAATCTGAAATACGAATTTTCGTGTTTGTCTTCACAGACTGATTTTCTTCTTTACTTTTCTTGTGATCCATTTCTCGACTCTCTCCATGGGAACGTAGAATTGGAGTGGATATGAGATCATTATGCACGCCACAAACATCAATTTTATTGTTTGGTAGAATCTGAAAAGTTCCGCTTATTTTTTTCTTCCCCCTTCCACTCAATGATCATTTTTTCCAAAACCATAGTCCAAACACTCATTTCTCTTTCTTTGCGCTCTCTCAGTTCCTCTCAATTTCTCCTTCTCACTCACGGTGTCATCGGCAAATTGAGCGTCGCCGTGTCTTTGACGTCATTTCCAAGTGATAAATATCTGGAAGAATAGTGCATTCATGGGAAGGTTGTAAGAGAATGGATAGCAAGTACCCGTAGAATCCGGTGACACTGAAAATCGCGAGAACGACGAGGCAGGAGGAGTTGAGAACGCCGTTCCATGCGATGAATGAATGAGGAGAGGACATGCGATTCTCAATTGGCATTATCTGGAAATCGAAGAATTGTCTGAAAACTGAAATCTTCCCAACCACAGCGACGCCTTCGAATGCAAACATGACGGTTCCGAAAAAAAGCGGCAGATCGGTGGCTTTTCCGAACCAGGGAAGCGAGGAAATCGGACGGAGATCCGAAAGAAAGAAGAAGAGCACAATTGCGACTGCGACAACGTAAACTGCGTTGGCAGCCATTGCGAACGGAGCGAGAATGGAAAGACGGCGAATCGAACAGATGGAGAGCATCGGAATGAGCAGAAGGAGCATCCAGACGGCCTTCGACAAATGGATTGAAGTGTTGTTGTTGAAAAACTGGAAAAGAACGGGCATTGAAGAGGTGAAGGGGAACCGGAAACTCACGTCTTCCAGGTTGTCAGCCATGAATACAAAGTAGACACAGCAGAATCCGAGCTGAGAGATGAACATGTTAACGTTCACAAGTTGCCTGAAACATTCCCGCTATGACTTCTTCTCAATATTTTCTACTCACTTGAAAAAGTATCCTTTTCTCTTGATCCAGGGCGGTCCCATCTCTACTGCTCCTCTCATTATATTAGCGTAATCAATGAGATCTCGGCCATTTCTTGAAAAAATATTTTTAACCGGTTAGATCGCCTAATTATTCAACCTGTTACAAACGAAATGAGCAGCGAAGACAACTTGTCGCATGCAGTAAAGACAAATCAAGCAGATGACAATCGTCAGAATCAGACCGAGCTGGAATAAGAATCGATACGATTGAGGTGAGAACGAACAAGAAGAGACTTACGAAGAGCCCTGAGTGCTTGAAAGCCAGCGGAAGAGACAGAAGACCTGTTCCGAGCATAGCTTTGACCATGTGGATGAATGCCTGGAAAACCACTCTCGAATCCACCCTGTTCAACTGCCCTACCTGTTCTGGAGACAGCGAGTTCTCTGTCGGAAGTCGGTCTTGGAAGAGTGATGTGTCTTCTGATACAGTCGGTCGGCGCTCTACTGGCGGATTCTGATTCTGAAGCAAAGAAATCCGCTTACTTTCACAATTTGTCCTTAAAATCGCTTACAGGCACTTCTCCGGGTAGGTCGGGCTCATTGTCGAACTCCTGATACCCGTCTCTGGCCGGATTCGCCATTTTACGCTGTAATTCCATCAAGTCAGACAGTGGCTAGGTGGCAATTTGGCTTGTTTAGATTATAAACAAACGGATGATATCGCATTTCACAAAAATCGATTGTGGTTATCATATTATACGGTTATATACTTGAAATGTTCAGAAAAAATCGGCGAATCATAAAAAGTGTTTGATGTCCGCAATTAGTCACCGGAGAGAGTGGTAAAACCGGTATAAACAGACCTGCCAACATCGGATACAGTTAACAGTCCGCAATTTTGCGTGAACTATCGTGTTCGGGTACCCTGAGGCCAGCGCGGCAACTCAGGCAATTCAAATTTAAGTGTTACGTATTTCGTTTTTCTTTCACATCTTTTTGTCCAATTTCTGCTGATTCACTATTTTTTCTCCGAAGATGAGCGCAAGCGAAACTTCGCTCCGTGTGGTGGTCCGGGCGCGGCCGATGAATGCCCGTGAGACCCGGGAAGGCGCCCGAAAGTGCGTGGAATATTACGAAAACTCCGGACAGGTGAGCATTCCTGCTCTTGTTTGATTTAAATTTAATCCAACTGAAATATTATATTTTAGATCATGATTAACGATTCAGCCACGTTCGCTTTCGATTCAGTCTTTCCGGATACCGTCGATCAAGAAACAGTCTACGAGAAGACCGCGCTTCCCCTTCTCGATCGTATTTTTGCAGGTAAATGATCTCGACGACTCGAAAATAAGTACCGTAGTGTTGATTTCAGGATTCAATGCGACAATTTTGGCATATGGACAGACCGGCAGTGGTAAAACGTACACAATGGGAACGGAGGACAATGACGACACCGACGGGATCCGCCGAGGCATCATTCCACGCCTTGTTCATGCTCTGTTCCAAAGAATTATGGCAACTGAGGTTCCAGAAGCGTTCAAAGTCACCGTGTCGATGTACGAAGTGTACGGAGACAACGTCTACGACCTGCTTCGTCCGGACAAAGTGAAACTGAATGTGCATGGAGACGAGAAGAACTGCACGATTGTCAATCTAACTGCTGTGCCAGTAATCGATTTGAAAGGAGCTCTCAAGCAACTGGCTACCGGATGTCACTACCGTACTAAAGCGGAAACTGCCATGAATGCGATGTCGAGCAGATCGCACGCCGTCTTCACAGTTTTCGTTGAGAAGTCATCCGTCGGAGATGCGGACAACGCATTCTCGGCCAAGCTGCAATTGGTCGATCTTGCCGGGTCGGAGAGATTGAAAAAGACGGAGGCGGAAGGAAACCGAATGAAGGAAGGCATCAATATCAACGCCGGCCTTCTCATTCTTTCTCAAGTGATTGCCGCTCTCGCCACGAAACAGAAGCACATTCCGTATCGCAACTCGGTGATCACACGCGTGCTCCAGGATTCCCTCGGCGGCAACTCTTTCACCGTCTTCCTCGCCTGCATCTCTCCAGCCGATACCAACTCTGCGGAGACGCTCAACACGCTCCGATATGCGGATCGGGCCAAACAAATCAAGAACAAGCCAATTGTGAACACGAATCCCAAGGCCGAGGAAATCTCTGTGCTGCAGGCGCAGATCAAGCGTCTGCAGAAAGAAAACGCCGATCTGCGACAAGGAATTGCTCCGGCTGACACAAAGTACAACGACATTGCGACGTCGGCAGAAATTATGTCTCTGAAGGACGAAGTTGCTCGCAAGACGGTAGAGCTTCGCGAAAGAGCAATCAAGCAGTCGGAGTGCATTGTCAGAATAGTGAGTTATCCACAATGTTGACTTTTCCTCAAAGCTAAAACTTTCAGAACGGACTGTCCCAACGAAACATGCGTCTCGAAGCAGATAAGGCAAAGCTTTCCGCAATGCTGACGGATGTTCGGAGCACTATGCTCAACGAGGAGATGCTCGAGCCGTCGGAACTCGTTCGATCTATTCATCAAATTATCGGCGAGACGGACTCGTCCACTTTGGTTGACGAAGAACAAGAGGAAACGACGTTGGCGATGGTCAACTCTGATGACACAATCTACGATGCGGAGAGACTTCCGGAGCTGCAGGCGGAGCTGGATGAGCTCGAGAAGCAGATCGCCATGAAGGACGAGAATCGGCAGCAGGCGCTTGAAACTCAGAGAGAATTTATCGAAGCGATGCAGCAAAGAGAGGTTTGTTTGTGGGCCAGATGGATCCATCCTGATGAATTCTATTTCTGTGAAATGATGACTATAGTAAAAGGTCTGACCCAAAGATGTCTGCCTACTTCTTTCCACTTGACGAACTAACGTGTGAACAAGAATGCGAATAATTTCAAGCACTCCTGTCAGAGAGCCATTCCGATATAAACGGTCTTTATAAGGCGGGAACGCGTCAATTTTCTGCGCTTCAGTCGGATACGAGTCCAACAATTCCGTGTTATGGAATGAGCGAGTCAGGTGGAAAAAGACGGGCGGCGCTTGGGGAAATGATCACAAAAAGCTGTCTGATCACAGAAAAACACAACTTTTATAGTTTTCCCTCACTTTTCCTGGATGTTTCTATTCGAAATCACCTTGTTTCAGGACGAGAAGACACAATTGGTTGTTCGTGTCGGCGAGCTGGAGACCGAGATCTCGAAGCTCCGTTCAGAAAGCAAGAAGGCCACCACTGCAACCAAACTTGCCGAGGAACGTCGTCAGAAACTGAGAGAACTCGAACGACAACATGCCGAGGACAAAAAGACGTTATCGGAGTTGAAGAAACTACAAGACACTCGCCGACGGATGGAGGACGCCCTCAAGAAAACGGAGGACGAGCTGAAGGCTCTAAAGACTCAGCGGCTTCGTCTTCTCAAAGAGCAACGCACAGAAGCGAGCAAATTCCACGCTTTCCAACAGAAGCACGAGCGAGAGATGGCTCAGATCAAGTCGAAGCTGCAGAAGCGAGAGATGGACGTCGCTCGCCAGAAGCGAGTGGACGAGCAGAAGCTGGCTGTTCTTCAGCAGAGACTGAGCGAGTCGAACCGTGCGAACAAGGCTCTTCGCGACCTCAATCTGAAACGTGCCAATCGAAAAGGAGCTCCTACAGATCCAACGGCTCTTCAGGTTAATCCCAGTTCCAACTCTATCCCCTTCTCCGCAGTAAACCGAAAACAGAGAATTCCCCCTACGCACCCGCGTAGCCATCACTCACGCGCCTTTAGATAGTTTTCCTTGCTCCTTCTCACCTAATGTATTTACTGAATTTAGCAGTTATATGTAGTAGTTTCTTATTTTGAACTACCCACTCCGACCCTTTTTATCTTGCCACTTCACCCCTCTAACTGATTTCTTTGTCCTGTGATCCTTCAATTCGCGTTTGCTTCTTTCCATTTTCCAGTGATGAATTCTTTGAAGACTTGATTGGATTATGGAAAGAGGCACAAACAAAGACGCAGAGAGCACCGAAAGACTAAACGTTCGAAAAACCATTCAGCCAATTCCTTCCGTTTCAGAACATCATCGAAGAGGAGCTGGAGCTCGAGGCGACCGCCCAACGTTGTCATTTGCTGTGCGAGGAGTTGCGTCGTCAGCGTCAAGAATTGATGCAAAGAATCAATTTGATCGAGTCGCAAAAGTTCGAAGGAAACAAGAGAGTGAGTGTCTCGCTGTTCTCCGTTCTCTTCTAACCTAACTATGTGTCCCCTAAACTAACACATGCATGTGCCCATTCAGGTGTGTCCTCGTTGGCGGAGAGCCAGAAGGAGGGCAGATATCTCAGAATTGGACGACACTCTGTCAATGTACTGCGAGCACGATGACTGCAATGACGGCGTTCATTCGGCCACCTTCGTTGCCAGCCCTGCATCCAGTCCGTCCGATGTGTGTGATTGTCTTTGTTTTTGTTTTTGTTTTGTATTTGGCTTTCTCACTCTCATCTACGGCCTATTAACATTTATTTTCAGAGACGTCTGTCGAATGTCGATCCGAATGTCTCGGTTGTGTTGGAAGGCGAAGAAGAGTTCGAGGAGAAGCGACAGAAGGAGCTCGCTTCGCTGCGTTCGTCCCTCGAAATAATCAACGATGAGATTAAGGATTCTCTCCGCAACGAGACAATATCTGGCAGTGATGAGAGATCAGTGGGCCGTTGGGAGAAGGTTCCGGCCGATATGCGTCCGGTGTTCGAAGCAGTTTTCGCCCTGGCTGTTGGTCACATGAAGAAAGAGGTCGAGTTGGAGTTCAAATTGACAAAGGCGAAGAACGAATTCTCGGCCAAGACTGCGGCGAAGGCGTCGCACGAAGAGAAAAAGAAGAGAGAAGACGAGGAGTTGAGGGCTCGATACAGAGAACTGACTCAGAGTCTCGAGGAGGCCAAGTCGGGATTGCATCAGAAGGTGAGAAGAGAGACGATGAGAGTAAAAGTAATGAGTGGATGATTCAGATGACGTTCTTGCTGTGTCTGATCAAGTCGGATCGCATCGACGAGAAGTTCCTGCAGCATTTCGAGTCGTTGAAGAACCAGTTTTGTGATATCGAGCACAAGATAAAGAAGACGAGGGTTCGTGGGAATACATTAATGTCACTTATCAATGTGTCGTCAGAATTTTCAGCGTCGCACAACCAACTTCGCCGGAGGACTCACTCCAAAACCCGAGCTCAAGCGGAATGAGCGAGCGCGTCGGGCTGTGCAACCCTACGGAAATGTGGTCAACTCGGAAGACGTGACTCTCGATGATTCGAAACATTTCCATTTGAAACGGAAAGAGTCTGCTCGCTCCGCGTTCGAATTGAACAAAACAGCAGATGAGAATGTCAGAAGGTACGGCTCACTGCAAGTTGACGGAAATCAGTCCGTTCGTTTCTCCAGGAAAGTGGCAATGTCACCCATCAAGTTTGACGACGATACTCGGCTTTGCGAAGAAGACGAGGACGCGGAAAACATGCTCGGCGGCGGCGGCAACGAGACGTTCGTCATCAGCAAGGAAGGCAGCTCATCGCCTCCGATCAACTCCACATTCATCGTCGAGAAACCCTCCGTGCCCTCCTCCTCGGACGATATGCCACCCATCCGCCTCAAATCGCGACGAACGGATCTCGGGCCCATTTGATTATTCTCTCCGCCGCATCCTCTACGCATTTACCCGTTGTCATTATAACTCGCTAATACCTGTTTACCCCTCTTTCACATTCATCATCCCAACATTTCACGTCCTAGACGGGTCATTTTCTGACATTTGGAAAATATTTTCGTAGCACAGATTCTAAGTTTTTTGTCTGTAGATGCTTTCCTTGTTCCCATCATTTCCTCGTACGTATTATTTTTCCTATTCTTGCTTTTACATCAACTAAATTCTTTTTCTTTTTTGACCTCAGCGCTTGCTTCAACCGGTTTGCCTATGGCATGAGCGCGAGAAATGAGATTGTTGAAAATGTCCTAATCACTTTATTTATTCACTATTCAGTCATCGAGTTCGAGTCGAATGGAATCTCTTTTCCCTTCACGATGATCTTCTTCGGCACCAGCGCCACCGGCTCTTTCGATGCTCCGAGAGCTTCTCCGGCCACAACTTGCAGATCAATTGTCATTTGGACCTGCAACATCTCAACTCGTTATGGATTCTCAACAGAGCGCGGTCACCGTCGTCTTCCCATCCGGAGTGACTCCGAAGACGATCATCTTGTTGCCGGCCGGCACTTCCTTCGGAGCAACACGCGGCACCGAATTGGCGGCCGCTTTGCGAGTTCCGAACAAGGAAGCGGGAGGCTTCTTGACCGTCTGCGTGGGCGGCGGAACGCGTCTCTGAGCGGCTCCAAGCTCCGCCACGTCATAGACGCAATGGCTGTTGTTCGGGTCTGGAACGGGCGGCGGCGGGGCGACCGAATCCATGCTTCTGGCGTATCTGCCGGTGCCGGGAAAGTTGTAGGCGGGGCCCTTGGCGGCGGGCTTCCGACTCGCCGACGTCGTCTTTTTGAAGTACCCGTTCGTGCCGGACTGCATCGCCACTCCAGGGAAATAGACGCTTCCGTCGGCCTTCTGACTCTTGTTGTCGCCTTTTTTGATGACTCCCGATTGCCCGAACTTCACCGATGCCTCCTTCTCCTCCTTCTTCGGTTTCTTCTTTCTCTGACCACTTTTTTGCGAGAACTTGCTCGATTTGGCACTTTTTCCCGAAGTGTCAATGCTCTTTTTGGTCGATTTGACCGACTTTCCAGAAGTTTCCTCCGTCTTCTTCATTTTCTTTCTCGACGCGACGGACGAAGTCGAATTGGAAGTGTTCCGTCGGTCCTGAATCGGATTGTGAAGGCAAGAAAGTGAACGTTTGCAAACCTTTTTACAGGACGTCAGTCTCGAACGGGGCCCTTCGTTTCCGGTCGAAACGTTCGGAGAGAACACCTTCAAATTCTCTTTTTCTTTGACGCTGCCGGCTTCGGAAGCGGTCGAAACGTTGGTGTTATCCGAGAAGGAGACGTGCGTGACACTCTGAGGTCCTTCGGTCGGCTGGCTCTGGCTCACCGACGACCGTCCGAACAGACTTCCTCTCTTCAGATCTGAAACGATTCCCCTCTTTCCGTCCGTTTTCCCCATTCGCACCCTGCATGATCTTCTCCGGAGACGACGGCGACTTCGCAGTTCTCGGTTCGGATCCGTTCGAAGTGGCGCGGCTCGAACCGGCCGAAGTGTCCGACATTCCAGAGTTCCTGAACGTTTTCTCATCCTCTTCTCCTTTTCTATTCCAATTACGTCTCAAAGTCAGAGGGCGTCGCTCCGATGGCCGTGTTCACCGAGTTGCCGAGAGCCGTCGGGATCTGCGAGGGATCGGTGGTGGCGGTGGCGGTGGTGAGACTCGGGGAACGGGCGGTCGGCGGGCACACCGAGCCCGCTCTAGACGAGTTTTTCGAGCGACTCTGCTGGAAAGACACGGTAACTTCTGAGAGATTGCGGGCGAATACCGATTTAGACGGCGCACTCATTTCGTTATCCGTTCGTAGAGCGCTTGCTTCAATTGCAAAATGACTGAATTCCATGGAGAATCGTCATGAAAGCAATCGAGTTCACGTCTAATCATCATCATAAATATTAACATTTTATTTGCCTTCTGGTCACAATACATTCAATTATCACAATAAATGCTTCTGCTGACTAAATCTGGGAATGTTATGAATTGAAGTACATGGAACCCTTTCTTATTTTCTCGGAATCAATCCATATTGTTTGGGACGGAGGAGAGTAGCGACGACGTCCGCTTCTAGCTGATCCAGCTCTGCGTAAACGCTCGCCAGATCACTTTGGGTCTTTCCAGGAGCAGTGATCAGCTCGATGTAGTACTTGATCTTCGGCTCCGTTCCAGACGCACGGAGGGTGGTGATGTTTCCGTTCTTCAGGAAGAAAGTGACCATTTCCGACGAAGTGGAAAGCGGAAGCACTGGCTTGTTGTTTGGCTTCGAATTGTCGTATCCGATGGTTAGATCCCTCACGGTCGCCACGTCGGCGTCTCCGATTTTTGTGGGAAACTTGAGATCGGCACGGAGAGTGGCGAACAGTTCCTTCGTGACGTCCGGAGACGGCACGTACCAATAGGTGGAGCGGACCAGATGGAATCCGTAGCGATTGTAGAGAGCGTACAGTTGATCCTGAAGTGTCTTGCCCTCAGTTTGCAGGAAAGCGGCGATCTCGGCGAAGACTGCGGCGGCGCTGACTCCGTCTTTATCGAGAGTGTGTCCGGGCATGTATCCGATCGATTCCTCCCAGGCGAGGATGACGTGGTTGCCGTCGGCACGCAGCTCCTCGGCACGATTTCCCATCCACTTGAATCCGGTGAGAGTCGTCTCATTCTTGAAGCCTGAAAACATGAGTTCAAATATGAATTACTTCCGCGAATAACCTTCAGCGTCAGCGATGGTCTTCACTATCTGCGAAGAGACTGCACTGTTCAGAATGTACACTTTGGAGGCGTCCACACTTGGATTCGCCTTTCTCCAGCTGGTCCAAATCCACCAAGTAATGATGGCGCCCATTTCGTTGCCGGTGAAAACTCTCCACTCGCCGCTGAAAATCAAGGAATACTTATGAGAAAGTGACCGAAAACAACGAACTCTTTCTGTTTCTCAGCCAGTTGAATTCTGTCCGCGTCCGGATCATTCGCTAGAATCACAGTCGATCCGTTCCTTTCAGCAGTCTCAATTGCCAACGTCAGTACTTTGCGTCCTTCTTCTGGATTCGGGAACGGGATAGTCGGGAAATCGGGGTTCGGCTCTTGTTGCTCGGCGACCGAAATGAAGGAAGAGGCGGGGAATCCGAATTCAGAGAACATTCTCTTTGTGTAATGGTATCCAATTCCGTGGAAAGCGGAGTATGTGAACTTGAGAGGAGTAGCTGCGTTAATACTTCTCTGGAAGTTCAAAGACTTCTCCGCCTCGAAGTACGGGTCAATGACGACGTCGGCCGAGTGGAACAGTGGCGAGGATTTCAGCTGACTCAGATCCCAGTACTCCTCTCTCGGCTGCGGCTCCGTCTCCTTGATTCTCACAATCTCCTCGTCGTGCGGTCCAATGATCTGTGCTCCGTTGCTCCAGTAGGCCTTGTAGCCATTGTCCTCCTTCGGGTTGTGCGAGGCAGTGATAATGAGTCCCGCATCACAACCCAATTTTATTGTAGCCCAGGACACCACAGGAGTTGGAGAGACTTCCGAGAACAGGAAGACCGGGATTTCGTTGCGGATGAAGACGTTAGCGGCGAGCTCGGCAAATCGGCGGCTGTTGTATCTTCCGTCGAACCCGATCGCCACTCCGGTCGCCGGTTTTCCGTACACGTTTAGCATGTGACGGGCGAATCCGTGCGTGATTTGGATGATCGTCAGGTCGTTGAGGCGACCGAATCCGGCTTGCATCGGAGCACGCACTCCTGAAACACAGGCATTGACAATAGGAGTGAATTCGTTTGTTTACCGGCAGTTCCGAAGACAAGACGGGTGTTCATTCGTGCTTTCAGACCGTCCGAATTCTTCTCATCCACCAACTTTTGAATCTCGGCTCTCGATTGATCGTTGCGATCCCAGGCGAGCCAATCGGCCACCTGCTTGTCTAGTTTAGCACATCCGAGGGTCATTCTAGAAGACAAAAATGTTTGTGAAAGCAAGTAGGGAAGAAAAGAGAAAGATCGAGAGAATTGGCCAACACACCGCAATGATTACTGTGTTCCGCACCGCCGGGTCTGACCTTGCCCCTCTGGGTCTCTCTTTTTCTTAAACTCTCTTTTCGTCGAAGATATCATCAATAACCGATTGGTGCGTCTTTTCAAAACGCAGAAAAATCAAAAAAAAAAGTTACGTTAGAGCAGAATCGGGTTAAATAGCTTTAATTTCGGAACAGAATAATGGAAAATAATCGAAAGATGGGGAAAGAAAAATGTGGTGATAATAATACACGTGTGATAAGAAGAAATCAATCGGAAATCAGAAGAGATAGAAAGAGGTGGCGAGATGATTGATCAGAAGAAGAACTTTTCGATTTGGTCTGGAAGGCGTTCGCTCGTCTTCGTCTTTCCGACGATTTCATTAATTTCTTCTTTCGTCGGAACGTAGTCGTCCACGTTCATTTCGCTCAGTTTGACCCATTGGTTCACGAATAACGCTGAAAAATAACGGAATGTACAATTGAAAACTTGAAAAAGGAGCGCGTACATTTCCAAGATCGAAGAGATCCATCAGAAGTGGTGGACGAGATGACAGAGCCCATGAGATTGTACCGGAGACGCCACGCCCGTCGGTTGTCTCCCAGAAGGGCCACTTTTATGTTTTTGTAGTCAGTCAGTCGAATCGGGTTCTCGACTCCTTCTTCCTCGAGAATCGAGTGTCTTGCCACCATTATGTTGTACACGTGGACGTCTCCTGCGGCAATTGCCAATTGATGGCAGTCCACCATGGCGATCGGGGAGAATCTGAACAAATTTTACTGATTTTTTTTGTGACACGAGCAGAAGCGCCTTACTTGAGATCAGTGAGAGGACAGGCAAAGTCAAAGTTGAGTCCGTGAATCCGTTGCCATTTTCGCAAGCCGTCAACATTTTCATAAATCACAATTCTCTCCGTTCCTTCTGCTTTCTTCTCGTCGGACCCGACTGCGATCAGCGGGCGGTGCATGCGAGATTGGGACCAAGCGATGCAGCCACATCGCGTATGGAACGCCTGCAGCTCGTGGATGAGATTCCAGCGACTTGCATCCACAATGTCTGGCGCTTCATAGATTCGGACAGCTCCGAGGACGTTGCAAGAAGCCATCATGAGTCCGAGATGTCGAGGAGAAAAGGTCACATCAGTTACATCAGAGCGGTTGTCACCGATGATTGTACGACGAATCCATTGGCTTTCTTTTTGCTCTGAACTTTATTTGTTTTTCGTCAATTAATACTTTAGACGACCTACTCAAATCTTTTTCAGGTCTCACGATTTGCTCTTCCCAAATAATGATGTTTCTGTCATAGGAACATGTTCTAGAACAAAATATCATTTACGAAATTTTAAGAAAGCAGGCTTACACGACTAGTTGTCCAAATTCCGAATGAGCCCACATTACTCTCCAAACAGCTCCTCCGTGACACTAAAACGCTGGATGAGATGAACAAAAACTGGTGACTAAATGGCGCTACAATGGATCAGAACTTGAACGGAATAGAACAGTCACGAAATAGAACTCCCAACGCCAAAAAACAACTAGGAGTTCTATTTCGTAACAGTTCTATTCCGTTCAAGTTCTAATCCGTTGTAGCGCCGATTAAATACCTTCCAGTGAGCCGATCGGCGCCATTTTCCGTTGGTTTGGCGGTCCCAGATAGCCATGGTCATGTCACTGGCACAAGAAGCCATTCTGCGACCGTGTACATCGAATGCAACCTGTAATCTTTCGAATCAAGCAAAAATATATTTTCCGGCGATTCATACACAGTGAATCAGGTCTCTGTGAGCACTGAGCGTGAGGAACGGTTGAGCACCCTCATCTTGCTGATTATCCGGCATTTCTGAAAAAGATAGACACTGTTTTTCTTTATTGTTTAAAGGGAAAGAAAAAGCAAAAAAAAACACATTTGAAGCAAACTTGAAATTTAAAGGCGCATGCCATTTCGTGTCGACTGGGTCTCCAAACGATGCTGTGTACTTCTTTTGGACAAGAAAAATGGCGCGCTCGTCAAATTTTGAAAGATAGATAAGGCTTTCCCTTTCTTTTTCTCAATCTTGGGTTTTCTTTGCAAAACTGTTTTCTGTAAAAAAAAATTGCTTTAAAAAAATAGCTAGCATTTTTTTTTTGAGGATATGGAGCGACGTGGTGAATCTCCTAGCGATAGCGTATCGATCAACGGAGGGTGAGTGTAATTTGATTCATATTTCATTTATTCATCGCAGAAAAAAAGGAACACCGGTAAAAGAGGGGAACACCAGAAGGGGGCTGCAAGATGAATAGGAAGGGAAGGGAACCATCCCCGCAAGAGGAGGGCGCCCTTGGTAGGGGGTACAGGAAAGGGAACATTAGAAGTGGGGTTAATATTTAGCAATTGAGATATCTACGAGTGACTGGAATTGGGAGGGGGAAAAGAAGGAATTACAGTTTATGACGATAGCATTCCAGAGGGGGACAGTTTTAGTAAAGAAGTTTGGAGAGAGGGGGGACACACAAGTGAGTAACATGGGGCGTCGCTGTGAGGAGGTAGAACGCAGAAATTGCGAAATTTGGGGGAGATAGGCATCGCCTGTTAAGATCTTATAGAGGAGTAGTAGCGGGGATTTGAGTCTGTGCTGGCGAATGGAGAGCATGTTGAGAGTTGCGAGATGGTCGGGGTAAGAGGAGAACGGGATATTGCAGCGCTGGAGGATGTGGCGCGAGTACCAGCGAAGGGGTTTTTCCAGGGAGGCGGCGGGAAGCGAGCGAGGAGGAGGAGAGTAAATCGCCGAGCAGTATTCGAGAAGGGGAAGAACATAGGATTTAAAGAGGAATATATAGAAGGCTGGAGACGACGATTTGAACGATTTGGCAAGCTGTTTGGCACGGAGCAGAGCTAGGGAGGCAGTGCGTGATATGTGGTCGCGGTAGAATAAAATGTTGTCAGTTACGAGGCCTAGGTCCCTGACTGAGGAGAAGGGCGATATGGGGAGACCGGCAATCGTGTACGTGTGACGGGGGTTCCTGGACCCGAGATGCAGAAGAGCAGTTTTATGATGGGCCAAGGGAAGGGAGTTGGTGTCTGATCAATCGACAATTAGGTCAATAGCACACTGTAAGGCGGAAGGATCATGAGAGGAGATTTTGATGTCGTCGGCGAATGCGGTGAAGTGGACAAGTTCTTCAAGTCTGAGCAGTAGATCATTAATATAGATGAGGAAGAGGAGGGGACCAGTGACTGTGCCTTGGGGAACACCGGAAGGGATCGGGTGTTTGGATGGGTCGGATGCGGAATTTACTAGAACGGAAAAGGCCGGAGCCATTGCGATATTTTTTTATTTAGCGAAATCACCAACAGCGATAACATCATAAGCTCGATCCAGAAAATCAACATAGATACGAAGTTTGTTTGAATGAAGTTTTCGAAATTTACCTTTTTTTTTTAGAGATATGCCGGATTCGCCAAGGCGGAGACAAGCGTCGCTGTCACTTGCACGTTCCAGGAAAAGGTACGAGTAGATCACAACATTGTCGACGTTCCGAGTAAATCATGTTCCATCAGACAATCAAGACTTCCATCCGGAGATCGTTCTGATAAAAATGAACCGGTTAACCAGGACAAACGGCCACGTGTCAGCAGAAGCAATACCAGAAGCCGCAGTCGCGTCACAAACAGAGCCAGAAGTGGAACTGCGAGCAGAGCGTCGCCCCGAAGAGCAACACGCGCTGTGAACAGACCTTCTGCGAACAACGGGCCGAGACGAGGAACTACTCCGATCGATCCCTCCTCGGCGGAACATCGTCATACGAGAAGTCAAGACGAGTTTCTCGCTCCGCCCAGTAAAAGTGCAGGGAAACGACGCGAGGTGGCGCGGAAGAAGACAGAGGAATCCGCGAGAAACGAGAAAGCAAAGAAGAAACAAGGTGCAAAGAAGAATTCATCTCAGAAGGAGAAAAAAGTCCCTGGAAAAGATGAAGCCGAGAAGAAGAAGAGAAAAGAGACAATTAGATCGACGATCGCCACTAACAGAGACGTTGTGTCCGAGGACGAAAGCGATGGGGCTGCAGGAAATAGGTGAGAGGAGAATGTAGATCGTTCAAACTTTCAAATAAGTATTTCTAAACAGGGATGAGCCCGATGACGGTTCGAACTATCTCATCATGGTTTTGGTAAAGAAAGAGGATTGCCGCGAAAGCATTACCACTGACTTTGGTGATCGCATCCGAGTGCTTGGTCCGAAGTACGTTGCACTCATTCCAAAGTCTTGCAACGAAGGCCGCCGAGCTCAGAAATTTGGAAGCTTTAAAATATGTGATGAAAGGCCGGGTATTCCGAACAGAAAGTTTTCGGCGGCTGATCGATCAAAGTACGGAGACAAGGCAGAATGGCCCGTTCAGGCAGTTTACGAGGTAAGTGCCAGGGACTAACTCTGCGGTGAAAACTAAGTTTTTCAGGTTTGGGAGGACGGCAAGATAGACACTAAAAATGTGTTCGTGCATTACGAAGGATGGGCTCCGATTACGAAGACCATGTGCACAATCGCCTCGTGTAGAGACACGGCCTCTGAAATGTTGCAAGAAGCAGAGTGGCGACGGATGTTTTTCGAAGCCTACAAGGCGAACGCCAAGAGGATTGCTCTCATTGACGCGTTCAGAGACACGTTGTCAGGCAAGTGGAAGCCTCGTCCGGACATCGAAGAGCAATTGTCGAAGCGGGACCCGTGCAAGCAGTCGAGCTCGTCATTCTGGTCGTTCGAGGACATGACCTACTACCATTCTGTCGCCAACAAAGAGGTCGGACTGGCGCCCGTCTTTTACATGAACTTGAGCCAGCAGCAGAAGAAGACGCCTTATTATGCGGTTGGTTGTTGTTTCTCGAACCCTACTCTCAGTTCTCTCTGGTTTCAGTACACTCCGGTGAACATTGTCGACAGTGACGCCCTCAAGGAATGCGAGCAGCACGATGCCATCGAGACGTGGAGTGCATTGACGCATGCGTTGAACGTGGCTCGAGTGAACAATGGTTCCAAGAGTAACGTGTGTGAGAATTCTGCAGAGTGCAAGTGTGACGTATTGGTAATCTAACGTCAGCGCCTAGTTTCATTTCCATGTCTTTATTTTCAGGCCCAACTAGTGTATGGCTCGGAACTCAAGACCCACCAGCAATTGTCCTATTATTACGACGACGTGACTCAACAGGTTCTTCTGAATTTAGAAGACTTTGATCCAGTGAAGAAGCGGATCGTCGTAGAATGTTCGGACGCTTGCAAATGCAGTCTCGCGTGTCCCCGGCGACGTCTTCAGAAAGGACAACAGAAGCCGCTGTTCGTCGTGCACCAAGGCGATAGCATAGGATTCCATCTCTACGCCGGGTCAAACATAGAAGCTGGCGAGTTAATCTGTGAATACACGGGAGAAATGCAGCTGATCCCGCAGGACGAATGGGATGAAGAAGCTGTGGCCCTGCATGCGAAACAGCTCGCGAAGAAGGCGGAGAGCGAGAATCCGACGACACAGCCAGTTGCGAAACCAGTTCCGATCCGAAGACCTAGGGGACGTCCTTCCAAGAACTCGGTTCGACCTGCGCCTGTTCCAGAGAAAAAGGAGAAAACTCTGGAGCCAGGAGGGCCGCAAGAAGAGACGGAAAAGGAAGAAGCAGATTGTTCGTATGATGTGCTTTGCGGGTTCATGAATCCGAAACTGAGAATTCGTGCTTACAACAAAGGGTAAGTTTCTCGAGAAAACAAGACATTCATTCGGGTTTCTTTTTCAGAAACATTGCCCGTTTCGCGAACCACAGCTGCGCCCCGAATGCTGTATTCGTCGAAGTGCATAGCCGTCGTTTCGAGAAGGATCCTTTGATTCCTCGAGTCGCTATTTACGCGAAGGCGCGCATTGCTCTCGGCCAAGAGATTACGATCTCCTATTGGCTGAAGCACGAGATGGGTAGACGTAGGAATTGGATTGCATGCAGGTGCGGCTCCGACGATTGCATGAGATACCTTCCGTCCGGCGATTAACGACTTCCAACTTATTCCAACTCTGATTAGAACACAATTCTGTTATCAAATTCTGTTATTCTGGAAGATCTGCGATTTTCGCAATTTTTCCTGTCACCATTCAATTACATTTCAAATAGTTAAAATTATTATTAACCACTTTGTCGCCCGTTGAAATCCTCGATACTTTCATCCCTTCCCCGTTCCTATATTGCCGTGGTAGTATTAGCCTTTGAAGCCACACGCTCACAATTTGTTCCCTTCTGTAGTAATGTTTATCAATTTCGTTCCCCTAACCACAATTTTCGTAAAAGTCATAGAGTCAAAGAGTCATAAAACTTTCGCATAGAAAAGGATAAAAATGATGAGGCCAGTGATGAGAACGACTCCGGTGACGAGAATGCAAATCTTCTTCTGAAAATTGAATTGGATCGGCGACGTCTTCGAACGAAGCGGTAGTGACATTTATTAAATTAAAACCATTATTATTCGGTGTTTTGTTAGGTGAGGGAAACATAGGAAACATCGGAAAAGGGTCTAGTGACGCGGGGGCGCACTTCTTGCAGTAAGAAGTGGGTCCCACAGCGAAAAGCGAAGGGAAATTATGGAATGTCGAGATCGTTTCTATTTGGGGGCGAAAAGACGGGAAAACAGTAACTATTGCTTGGTCTGAAACGGGAGAAAAGCGCGAAAGGAGGAGAAGGCAGTGAGAGTACAAGAGAGCTACAGTAATCCGTTCGGCGGAGCGCATTTGCATTCGCAACGAGAACTCACTGTAGATGCGGTTGTGTATTGCGATGAGAGGCCTTGGGGGGAGAAGGTAATAAATTAAATAATAAATAAGAACAAAACGGGAAGGGAAATTCTGTCGTACTTCTATTTACCTATATCTACTTTATTTTGGTTCATTTTGGAGCCGTTTCGAAGGAAAAAAAAACTTCTTTTGAATTTTTTGTGGTGGCCTAGAAAGTGTTCGGCCACCACCGCGGAAAAACTAAGAGACAATGGGGCGGGCTCAGATTCCAGGAATGTACTGGATGAGCATCAGGGAGAGAATGATGATAATGACGGTGACGACGATCAAAATGATGATCTTCTTCTGCAAAAAGAGAGAGCACAAATAAGGGGTGAAGAGCACATTTATATATATGCATATATATATATATACGAATAAACGAACGGGGACAATCACGATAGACACAGACACAGTACAAGAGACACCGGAAAATATGGGGGGCTCCGAAACGTTCACCGAACACGAAAGCGTTGCGGTGAGGAACTGGCGGAGGAAAACGAGGGAACGACGACGGAAGTGGCCGTGTTCGAGACGGCGACCCACACGACGACGGCGATGACGACGACGAGCACAACGAGAACAATTAACACAAATATATAGCATTTCATCTGCAAAACCGAAACACGAAGCCTTCCGTTTTCAATTGGGTTAGTTCTGCGGGGGCCGTCGAATACCAATTGCGAAACGGGCTCACGGCATGCGATCGTTCACAATGTTTACTGGAGAAGAAGACGTAAAAGACAAACCCTTCGCGCCTTCGACTGGTATTGCACCGCCTTCTTCGTGTCGGCGACCGCACGATCGACGAATTCCTTCGCGTGCTCCACGTTATACTCGATCCGATCGACCATCTCTCCCTGAATCGAACGATGACTTTCCGCAGGGATTCATTCATTCGGATTACCTGAGATTCGACGAGCATCGCCATGTCCATGAACATGTCGTGCAACTCGCGAATGCTGCTCTCCAGCTTCATGATGTCGTTGTGTCGTGCTTCGATGTCCGCGAGAGTCTGCTTGGCTTGTTGCGTGTCTGTGATGATTCCTTGCGTGAACACTCCCGGGTTGCCGCTTTCGATCATTTCCTCGAGATCCTCGTCGCCCACTTGTTTTCCAGCTGAAACAGTTTAGATGATAAAGATGTCGGAAGGGTTACGGCGGTACCGATGTCAAGTTGTCTCTGAATTCGTCCCTTGCACCTCTCTCGGTAGTCCGTCTGCGTCTTGTTGTAATCCGTCATCACTTCCACAAATCGACGCGAGAGCGTGCTGTGCTGTGTTTTTCTGATTCGGAGATCCGCGTTTCCGCCCTGCTGATTCTCGTCGTGTTCGATCGCGTTCTCGATCAATTTCAGCTTCCCGCGCACTTTATTCGCCGCCCTTTTGATGACTGCCATCAGCTCGTCCAACTCCTCTTTCGTCTCTGAAATCAACCGGTTTCAGGCGTTTCTAAAATGCCTTCAAAATGCGCTCACTTTGATCGTTGACAGGATTCGAGAGAATCGCCGAGTGTTTCTTCTTGACCTCTTCCACATTGTTCGCTATAATGTCCACACTTCCACGTATCTCTTCCACCTAAAAACGTTTTCTTTGGGACCACTTTTGGGTGAAAACAATCCGAGAGAATTCCATAGAATCTCATGAATTGAGAAAAAGGTCGGTGGTGTGGGAGCTATGAATATCCAATCGGATGGGTGCACCCCCTGGGAAACTGGCTATTCGATTCGGTTCTCCTCTTGCTCTCATGTTGCGAAATAGTTCCGTTCTCTCTCTTTCTCTCTCTCTCTCTCTCTCTTTCTCTTTCTCTCTCTTTCTCTCTCTTTTTTGTCAAATTCAATTGTTTAAACAGACGGACCTGCTCGAAGAACTCCTCCATGTACTGTGCATTGCCAGTGTCCATGTGCATGTCGTCATCTTGTTCGTCTTCCGATTGCGCCGCTTTCAAAGCGGCCAATCTGCAAAGTGCAAAAAGTTAATATCGGGGCGGTCCCCATCGGCTCACCTGTCTTTGGTCATTGTTCTTTTCGGGTCTCGACACGAACTCTTCGAATGGTTCCTATTGCTGTGGCCGAAGCGACATGTGCAACGAGAGGGGACGGTCTGGAGAGAGACGAAGAGATGTACAGAAAAAGGGAAGAGAGAGAGAGAGAAAAAGGAGAAGCAAGTAAAAAAATAAGTGAAACGGCGTGGTCGGAGAAGGCGTCGTCGGCCGCAAGGAGCTCTCCGCTGAAGGCTTTGAAAGGGGGAGTGAGACGCAGAGAGGGCACAGAAAGAGAGAGCTCCAGTTACGGAGAGTGAGAGCACATCTGTTCGATGTATATGGGAAGGGAAATGAGGAAGTGTGTGGGAGGGAGAAGCCGCAGACCACCACAGACGCTCTCTCGTTTCCATGCTTTTGCGTGTCAAGGGGCGGTCCCGCTCACCCGCCGGACGATGCCCCGACCGCTTTTTGAGCAAAATTGGAGGGAGCACGGAGAGAAGACAGACAGAGGGCAAAAGTGAGAGCGATTCCAGAAGAAGAAGAAGTAGAAGTAGAAGTAGACAGATGAAGGCATGTTTCAGTTCGGGAAGGGAAGGGGGAGAAGAAGGAGAAGAGGGGAAAAAGCTATGACTCACACGATGATTCAAAAGATGAACACTTTTTTATCAGTTTTGGAAGTTTTCCTTCGGAAATTTGTTGTGCACATTCTTCTGCCAGCAAACTTTTCCTGTTCAATCGAATCAATAGAATCCGTAATTTATGAGATTCTGAGATAAAGCTAATTACTAGAAATTGTCATATTTTTCATCTTGACACGTTTGGCACAGTCTCTGAGCATTTTTAAGTGTAACCAGTGGTAATTTACATGACTTTTAGCTTCTTCTCTCTCTCTCTCTCTCTCACTTTCTTTCCTGGAGATCAAAGTGCTCAAAGTGCTCAAATATCGAAGCGGAGAGTCCCGAATCGGCGGAAGACGTCCAAGGCTACGCTCCCGGCAACAAAGTGCTCCGAAATAATAAAAAAAAAGGGTTCGGAAGGCCGTACACTCCGGACACAATGTTTATAAAAACGGCGAGTGTTTCGAGCCTCCAACGCATGCGAAATTCGATATTTGTGTCATCGTCGGGCCGCCGTCCGTCCATCCATCGTCGGGGGTTTCCGGGGCTTCCGAAGGTTTCCAAAACATCTTCTCCGTCTTCTTCTTCTTCTTTTCTCGCCCGGAGAAGGAAGTGTGCCCGCGCGGCCAAACGAAACGAAGACAAAAGTTCATCTAAGCTCCCGGCCGAGTCGGCTCCGCACCACCCACCCTCCGCTTGTCTTACACTCTTCCATTTTTAGGGCTCAATTTCGTCGTGTTGGCGCCGTCGTTTTTGAGAAGAAGAAGAAGAAGAAAAAGAAAAAGTAGGAGGAGGAGTTGGTAAAAATGGAAAGAAGCCAGCAAAAAAGAACATTGCTGTACATGTTGTGTATGTATAAAAAGTGTCGGAGAGGCGCGAGAGAGGGAGAGAGAGAGAAAGATGGATGATTTTTGATGATGACGTGGCACTAAGAGAGGGATTGGAAAAGAGATGAACGGACAGATAAGCACAGTATCCAGTGGCCTAGAACTGGCTGATTTGTCACAGCCACGTCCACTCTCAGGAAACAATGAAAAAGGGAGAAGAAGGGAACTAACAAGCCGTAAAAAACATAAGTATATATATGGAAAAAGACATCTGCGCGGGAGAAAAATGGGAAAAACGAGGGGCGGACGAGAGAGGGTAATAATAATATCCCGGTTGAAAAGGGAGCGACGGGCGGATAAACGTGGATCTGTTTGTCGGGGGGATTCAAGCAGCAGTTACTGTAATTGAAATGAAATGCTTGGGACGAGTTCAAGAGAGAGAGAGAGAGAGAGAGAGAAGTACTAAAAACGAGTGAATTGGGCGGTGGGGAGTAATAAAGCCGACAGGAGTGCCGTGAAAAACAGAAAGGAAGCCAATTTAAGGGTGGGGAGCTCGGCGAGCCCGGAGCGCACACACACACACACACACACACACACTTGCTGTGCTCACACAGAGCCAAACGACGAAAAAACTTGCACATAAAAAAGGAGGCGCTTCTTTCTCTTCTCTTTTCCTTCGTCGACGTCTTCTTCTTCTACTTCTTCTCGCGAAGCAGCAAGAAGAGGCGAAAAGTTTGACGAGAAGGGAGTGAGAGAAAGAGAGAGCACGAGACGGAGAGCGGACAGCAGGTTGTAATCAAGCCAGTTTCGGACGGAGAGAAGTTGTTGAGGAGGCCAAAAGAAGACGGAAAAGGATAAGAAGAAGAAGAAGAAGATGCTCACGAAGAAGAAGAAGATGGGAGAAGAAGATGTGTTTGTGTTCCGAGGGGAATACGAAGATGAAGCAAAGGAAACTCTTCCGAAGTCGTGGGAAAAGAGTCCGTTGGGAATTGAAAGAAGGCGTGAACACGTGAAACTGAGAAAGGAAGGCATCGAGAAGGGGAGCATCTGAAATGTTCTGTAAAAGTACGCAAGTGGTGTGAATATCAAAAACGGTGAGAATTGGTATCAACTATGAGTCAGATCAGGCGGCCAAAAACATTAACTGAGCGCGTTATTTTTTTTCATATTTTTCAGCGCTCAAAACCATTTGTCATCCGGTTTGTGCCCTTTTTAATAGTCCTATTATGGCTGCCATTTTTGCAAAAACGGAAATGTTTGTCTGTGCTCTCTCCGCCTCGCCATCTCTAACCGTGTAGGGCCACGTCAACTTTCGGCTCGTCATAAAGCCATTCTCATCTATCAAAATGCGCAAAATCGGCTCATAAATCAAACGAAAATTCAGTGACAGTGGAAAAAGAGGGGAGAGGCAAAGCGAAACGGAGAGGAGAAGGAGCAAATACGGCCATGAAGAATTATTCATGTGCGAAAAAATGGGTGTGTTGTTCTGAAATGTTCGTTTCGATCCGGGAAGTGTTAGTACAAGTAGTCCAGTAATCGATATGTGGGTCATGAAAACGGCTGTCAACTTATAGGTAAAGTGGTCATTTTCCGTGAGGGTCACTCGCTCCCTCGGCCGTCGGTGACGTCACGGAAAGGGGCGGAGTCATTTTGCAAGTCTGCGGCGCGCAATTTAGCAACACGTCCGCACGTTGCGTTTTCCGAAACTATTCAATTTGTGTGCCGATTTCCTGTCCGTTTCTCAGCCGAATTTCAGCAAAAATGATGGGCGGTGGCTACAAATCGGGAGGAATAACCGGCGATCGATCGCAGCGATCTGTGTTTGGTAAGACATATCAACATTTTATGTTTTTCTATCAATTCTTTCTCTTCAGTCGGAAATATTAGTTACGATGTCACGGAAGACACCATAAGATCGATTTTCTCAAAGGTTTGTTAATTAGTATTTCGCCTCAACTTTCTAAATATCATTATTTTAGGCCGGAAATGTGGTATCGATTAAAATGGTGCACGACAGAGAGACCGGAAAGCCAAAGGGCTACGGATTCATTGAATACCCAGACGTTGCTACCTCCGAAATGGCCATTCGCAACCTCAATGGGTTAGTTCACAGTTTTTCTTTAAAATTATACAGTAAAAATTGTTCAGATATGAGCTAAGTGGTCGTATTCTGCGCGTTGACAGTGCTGCTGGAGGAATTAACATGGAAGAGTTCAACCAGGAATCCAGAACACCGGCTATCGTTGAGGAGAATCCGTACGGACCCGAGTGCGATGCCTCTAAGGCTCCGGAGAGAATCGCACAGACCATCGCATCGTTGGCTCCGGAGAAGATGTTCGAGCTGATGAAACAGCTCCAGGAGGTTAGAGTTTTCAAATAAATTCATGAAGTAACAAAGGGAATATTCAGGCTCTGAGAAACAACCCGTCCGAGGTTAATAGCGTGCTCGTCGAGAATCCGCAGCTCTCCTACGCGGTGCTCCAGGCGGCCGTCGTCATGCGCATCGTCGATCCACAGACTGCTCTCGGGCTGCTACATCGCAACAAAGCGTCGACGGTGGCTCCGTTCAGCAACTTGGGGCAGCCGCAAGCTGCTCCGATCTCTCAGCAGCAGATGCCGTTGCCACTCCCACAGAACCCGCCAAAGAACACTTTTGCGCATCCAGCCGGACCAGCAATGCTTCCTCCGATGGGACACCCACAGGGACCGCAGTTCGCACAGAACTACGGTCAGCCGATGGCCCCGCCACAGCAGCAGCAGCCTCCGTTTGTGCAGAAACCGCCAGCGAAACCAGCACAGCCGGAGATCACGAAGGAGGAGCAGCAGAACGCGGAACTGTTGATGCAAGTGATGCAGCTCAGCGAGCACGATCTCCAGATGCTTCCGGCCGGCGACCGCGAGAAGATCATCGAGCTAAGACAGCAATTGAAACGGAATGTAAAGTAAGAAGACGTCAGATGAGGAACTCGCGCTAATTCACTCGTTTTCCATCTTTTATCACTCATTCTGTAAATTCCGAAGTTTTACAAATTTGTTTTGAACTCATTGATATTTTCTGATCAACAGTCACTGCTTTTCAATTGAACTTTCAATGTGAAGGGAAAAGCCAATTTTCAGGTGTTCCTCGATGAAGAGGCGAAACATTTATCTAAACAGTCCTCCCGTTTCCTTTTGCTGTAATCCGACTTTACCAATCAAGTTGAAATCAAAAACACTTTTTTTTTAAATAAATAAAATTTGGAAAAAAATACTGTCCAATGAATTGATCGATCTACAAACAGAACGACAAACCAGTAAGAAGACGTAGTGAAAATAAATTAGGCAAAAGAGGGGAAGGGGAATTTAGAGGGAGGGAATCAGGTGGGAACAATAAAATTAAAGGGGTCGATCAGCTACAATAACTACCGATGCGAACTACCGAAATTATCGATGGCGATAACCGTAGCGGGAGAGAGAGAGAGAGAGAATGGATGGGAATCAGGGAGGACGGGATGTGTGTGAAGAAGAATCCGGGTGATTTAGCTGTTGAGGGTGTTTAAAGCGGCGTTGAATCCTCCCTCGGTCCAAGCGTGAACGAAAGTCTTGATGCGAGAAGCCAGGTAGGAGAGCATTCCGAAGATGTTCTGAGCAATGTCGAGGACGATGTTGTAGACCATCTTCAGTCCGATCAAAAATCCCTCGAGTAACTGTCCGTACTGTTTCTGTCCGTCCTTCTTCCACCAGGCAGCGATGGCGTCGCTCTGGAATTGAATCAAATCCGGAAAGTTAGCCTGAAGAGTGTATGATTTAGCTCACCTGCTGCTTGACGAATCTCTGAAGCTTGACAAACTTCTCGACAATCCACGAGTGCACCTGGTAGGCGATCTTTTCGACCTGTCTTCCGAAGTCGGTCTTGGCGAACTGCTTCCATTGAGTGTTGACCTTTTTCTGGAGTTGAGTCGCATGCGGTTTCACTTGATTACTGAAAAGAACATTATTGTTTTCTGGCTGCCTTCAGCTGCAAACGTACTGATATCCACGGAACACCTCGGAATAGGCGTTCTTCACATTGGTTCCAAACTGGGCGGACGGCTTCTTCAAGCTAGTGAGCAGCGAGAAATCCTTGCAAAGCGGAGCAGTTCCCGGGATCTTCGAGCCGACTCCATTACAGTCCAAGGCGATTGCGAGAGTGGAGGAGACGAGCAGAGCGATTGAGATGTAGTAGACGCACGAGAAGGCAAAGCCGAACACTGAAAAGATGAGGTCTTATGTGATTACGAATAAAAAAAGGGACCTTTTCTGAACATTTTGGGTAAAGTAGGAATTATGGACAGACTAAGGGGAAGAAAGAGGGTAGTAAACACCGTTTCTTATGCTCCGTCATCATAACTAAAGCGTTGATAAGAACAGGAGGCGGAGTGAGAATGCAAATTCACGAGATTCAGGTTTCCCATTGTTATGCTCGAATTATAAACAATTTAATGATCGATGAGTGAACGTACGTTTCCTGATAAGTCCACGTGGCTTCGGCGTGTTATTTCCGTCATCCTGTGCCTTCTTCGGCGACGAATGCTTGTCGTTCTTCTGGGCCTTCGGCTGCGTGTGCTGCTGGTGAGCAGGCCCCTTGGCGGCGGTTTCGCGTTGTTTCGATTCCTTCTCTGAAAACGATACGATTGGGTGAAGAGGACAGATCTCGTGTGAATAGTCTGAAGAGCCGTTTCAGTTACTCACTGGTCATCCTTTTCGTTTATTCGTTTCGAAGCGATTCAGCGATGATCTCGACGAATCTAGAATGGGATGAGTGAGCTCAATGACGAAGAATCCGAGAAGAGCGAGGTGAGACGTGGCGAGAATCAGGAGTAAGAGGGCAACAAAGGTCACGAACAAATTTTTCGATTTTCGGAAGAAAAGAAACAGATTTTTGATGGTGACCGAATAAAATAAAAACCAAAATTGTATCCAATCTATTGCTGTCAATCAAAAATTGGCGACGAGTGGAAGGAAATGTGTGTCATCTCTTCTTTACTCCTACTTTTGCGCACGTATTACTGTGATAACTCGTAGATCAAAAGAAAATGGGCCAAATGAGAACGTCGGTATAAAATTGCAAAATTTTGATAGAAAATGCGCTGAATTTGTATCTTTTTCTTTCGAAAAATTCTAATTTAAAACGATTCTAAAAGAGTGCAGAAAAAGAGAGAGTAATAGCAGAGAGAGAGAGAGAGAAAACAGATAATAAGAAAAGGTAGGCGGAGAGCGATCGGATAGTGCGGACACTCCTACTTCCTTGTAAATCGGCGATCAAGATTAGCCAAAAACGGTTACTCAGCGAGAAGAACTGCCCGCCCGTCTGTTCCGAACTGCAAATCGGACAAAACACCGCCGCGTTCGCTCCTCTCGACGTTACGTATCGAAAACCAAACAGAGACAGCAAAAATGTGGGCGGCCGGCTACTCCTGTGGGGTCATCGAGTGTGGCCGACAGGCGCTTTTTTTCGTGTCTGCGTCGCTTCGGACTGGGTGCTCTCTCTCTGTCCTGCTTTTCAATTATTCGTACGTCGATCAGCCAGTTGTGCAATCGGACTGCAACCAGTGCGCTCGACCTTAGCCGTTGGAAAAAAAGAGACGGAGAAAGGGGAGGATTCCATGTAATAATAATTATTAGATGGGCAAGCAAAGATCTGGGAAATTGTAAGATTCTTGAGGAACGAGAGAAAACTACGAGATGGCGTCTAGAAATATGTGCGTCGTGGGAGTTTGAGCATAGAAAACTACTTGTTTCAAAGCGAAGTTAAAAACGTTGAATATTTACTTCAGTTGCTTCTTCTTTCTTTATTGTTCGTTTCATAATAGAAGCTTCTGACTGTACGAATGCGTAAAAACGCTGAGTCAGAACGCGGAAAAACATCAGAGCAAACAATAATTCCGGCTCTTCGCAACACGTCTGTCATCCGGGAAGCCCAGAGAAAGAGAGGGGGAATCATGATGAAGACTGGGCGAGAACGCTATGCAACGACTACTATGCACAGGGAAGTGAGGAAAAAGAGTCGAAGGAGACGACGACGAGTGCCAGAAGCGGGGGACAGAGTGGCTGCCGGACTCTGTTCCCTTCGCTTCTCCTCTGAATGCACACTATCTCTCTCTCTCGATGGAGCTCCGACGAGGAAGGGAGGCAGGAGGAGATGACCGAAGACATCAGATTTGAACACAAAAGGAATGGACAATGACGGAGGGACCGCGAGGACAGATGCTCCGTGCAAAATAGGAATAGGCAGGCGGGGTAGGGAACCACCTGCCCCCGTTTCTTCGCTTTCTCATTAATATTCCGGTTCTGCGCAATTTATCTGTGAGATTATACGGAGAGCGTCTTTAGTAATCCATTGACTATAACCAGAGTAACTGAGAATGGCTCTTCGTGTTCTGTTTCTGTTCCTACCCTCTTTCTTGACCGTTTCCTTCTGCTTCTTCTCTTGATACTTTCGGATCTTCTCCTCTTCCTGTGCCTTCAGGACCTTTGCTCGCAGCTTCGCTTCTTGCGCCTTCTGCGCGTCGATCGTCTTCTTTCGCTCTCCCATATAAACGTCGACGACCTGCTTGGCGGCAGTTTTGCACTCGGCCTCCGTCGAACAGTTTCCAGCTATGGCTGCTAATTTCTGGTTCAGTGGGTTCTTCTTCAAATCCAGCCATTTCAGGGATTTGAGGTTAGCGAAAGAGAGGGGAAGATCCTCGAGTTTGTTGTTGTAGAGATTAAAGTGCTGCAAGTTGACGAGGAACCCGATGCCATCCGGAAGATGGTGCAGTTGATTGTTTCCGAAATCCAACCTGAACAAAGATATTCAAATTCTCAATCTGTCAAGTTCCCTCACTTGATGATTCTGGTCATTTTGCAGAAGCTCTCCGGCAGAAATGTTATCGCGTTTGAGCTTAAATCCAGTTTTGTCAAACGAGACAATTGAGTGGTCGCACTCGGGAATTCGTTGATTCCGCACGCGGACAGATCCAGCTCATCGTCTTCTTGCAAGTTTCTCAGCTCGGTCAGCGAGTATTTAGCCATGTTTCCGTCAGATAAACCCTGAATTCAAAGAATTATTGAGTGAGAGAGCGGATGCAGTAGAAAGGTATAAATCCGGAAAACACCGAATGAAATCATGAGAGAGAGGGGAAAAGAAATGTACATTTCATCATACTATTGCACATGATTATGGCCTTTAAAATAGAGTATCAAACTTATAAATTATGCATTTAATTAAATATCGGAGTTCTCCGTTATAATTCGCCCTTTGGCTGCTTTGTGTCCGACTTCTTCTGCTTCCTCAGTCTTCTCCGCGTCTCTCCGGCTTCTTTATCTTCTTTCGCTCTCTCTTTGTCGTATAAGTTGAAGAAGCTGAAAACGAAATGCTAATGTTTTCGAGAAGAGTCTGCCTACCTCTCTGGCTTCTCGATCAATTCGTGCTGCTGAGCCATCAACTCTACTTTTGCTGCTGTTTCCTCATCAAAAATACCTGAAAGCAATATCATTTTCAGATGATCACAAGAGAAGCTGAAGGATTGAGTATTACCAGTGCCTTTCGAGTAGTTGAATGCCCAAACGAGAAGAGTTTTCAGCTTTCGGTCTTTTTGTACTTTTGTTTCGAAAAACTTGGAGAATCCAAGCGAAAGATCCGTGAAGAGGGCGGTGTTTTCCAGAACCTTGGAGAGAGCATCCTTCAGAAGATCACTGTTGTGCGGGAACGGAGAATCGGAGCGATGGGAGGTTCGTTCCAGAGTTTCGCGCGACTCTTTCAGCAAGTTTTGCACATTTTTCAGCAGCTGAAACGTGCGTCTGCCTTCTATCACAAGATTAAGCTTACATCTTCCAAAAACCGCCTCCGTTTATCTTTTCCAATTCCTTTTATCGAGTCTATGGCTGTTTTGTGCTCAATCCGACGCACTTTGAAGTTATCGGCAACTGAAATGCGAGCACGTAATGAAAAGAGAAACTCTCCGAATAACTCACACACTTTCCTGTGGTCGACGTGCTCCGGAGCCTCTTTCGCCTTTAATTTGGTGGCATCACGGTGAGTCTCTGTCGCCTTCTCCTTCAACTGATCGATTTTGGCGAAAACAACGGTCGAAATGAGAAGTAGAAGGAGAATCGAACGCATTGGCGACCTTCGAAAACGGCGAATTTAGGTGAATCGGACAGAGACGTCGCGGCGCGTCGTGCGAAGACGATGACTGAGTTTTAAAAATCTGAAGCGGTTTGTTTTAATACTAAATTTCCATTGAGAAAAATAGTTTGGAATGACAAAATGGGCTTCCAAACTGCAAAGTTTTGCTGTTAAACAGAGACCGTAACGAAGCATCGTATCACTTTCGCGCCTGCGTCTCTCGTCGAAAGCGCTGCAGTTCAAAACAAATACGGTACTCGAAAGAGACACAAAAACCACTTTATTTGGGTCAACACGAACGGAACATATTCTCTATTCGCCTGATAAAAGTCTGTTCTTGATGAGACTCTTCTTGGCGCGTCGTTCCCGTTGATTCGATGTGATCCATGCCAGCTTGGCGATCCTCGTTCTCTTTTTTACTCGTGTTTTGTGTGGAACATCGCCTTTTTCGACGATGTGAGCAATGACGTAGCGCTTCTGAATATATAAAGTGCGCTCCAAGGAGAAAGTGAACAAACTTTTCGAAGAGCAAGTTTTATCGAGGCCGGAACAGAAGGGATAACACTGGATAGCAGGTACTTGAGACCGAAGACGAGGTTCTGAAATGAGAAATTTCGGGGCTGACAAAGAGATTCAGACGGAAAAGACCTGGAAGACAATCACAATGATTAGACGATTCTGCACGTTGCAGTACATAACGTCTTCGAAGAATGTTGAGCAGAAGCCAGAAGTGAAAGCAACTGAAATGAGTCAATTGGCAAATGATATAATGGAAGTTAGTTGAATACCAATAAAAGCGTTTGTGAAAACTGCACAATATTGAAGAAAAGTGAGGATTGGCAACCAGATTCCGATGCCATTTGTGATCTGAGGAATGGGCTTTCGATTGAACCAGAGGAGGCGGTGAGCGTCGATTCGCATGTCGACGAATCCGATGATCAGAGCGAGGAGGGGAGATAGTGGGAAGAGGGAGGCAAACATCTGAAGACACGTTCATTGTCGGAAAGAAGACCTATAAGTTACCATAGTGGTCCCAAACATGATGATCTTCTCGTTCATTTCCCAAAGAACAAAGTCGCCGGCACTTGGCTTCAACCATTCTCTGAAATCCTCCCTCATGGACTGTCGTGTGCTCGTGCTCACCTGACAAGAACGTTCGCCTGATCGTCCTCTTCCGCTTCGATCCTCGCCTCCGTTCGTGACGTGTACTGCCGAAGACGGAAGAGTTTGACAATGTACGGAATGGCAACATCCTTCAGAAACTTGGGAAACGGCTTGATGAGGGTGTGAGTGAGCAGCTGGAGGGCCAGCAGCGAACTGCAAGTGTCGTCCACGCACGTGTCCTTGAACTGCTCGCCGAGTCCGAAGAGCCCGTTCGGCTGGAATCCGTGGCTTTCGGGCCGTACGAATGCCACGTAGAAGAGCGAAGTGTAAGTGTTGACCATTTGGAACGCGAATATTTTAACGATCAAACTGTTATTGTGCTCCGATTCCGTTCGATGGTTTTCCCAAGTGTTAAACCTCGCCACCAGATTACTGTAGATCGCTCCGAGACCCATCGCAGAGAGAGTGTTGAGAACAGAGGGGAGGAAGGCGGCGGAGAGCCAGCAGTGGAAGGTGTATTCCGAGTTGCATTGGAAGTTGAAGACCATCCAGATCTTGAGAAGGATCACGAGCATCAGGGAGAGAATGACGAGGAGCATCGAGATGGAAACGAAGAAGAACGAAGTGAGCATCTTGAGGTATCGAACGAGCGCGGGCGATATCCAGATGTCTTCCCCGGTTATCGGATCCTCTTTCACTTTCGATCCTCTGAACTCTGGTCTGTCCGGTTCAATTGCGTGAAAATCGTCAGAATTCCATTGATAGGAAAGAACAGAGTTGTTCCTTTTCCAGATTTGAACGAAAACACTTCCTGAAAAACGTTGTGAATACATGAATTCGTCTAGCCGTAAACCGACCCCAAATTGACATGAAAACAGCGAAGAAAGCGTTCATGCGCGTGTCGAAAGAGCTCATAAACCATTGGGTTACTGTAGAGAAGAATAGTGTTAACCTGAAAATGAAAGTGAAATGGAAATGTTTCTCTCCTTTCCTTTGTCGTAAACGTACCCATTCCTCATTCCACATGGCACATTCTCAGTTTCGCCTCGAAAGTTCACCAACTTACAGTGATTCCAGTCCAACGGAGAGCTTCGCACACTGAAAACATTCACAGTTTCTTGCAGATTACACCCCCAAAAGGTACCCAACCTATCAATGAATCCATATGTGAAAACTACTAATCCGAAGATGGTTGCCGGCCACAAAAGTGTGATGAAAGTGCCTTGCCAAGCAAAGTAATAGGCGATTTGCTCGCCGAAATAGTCGCGAATCTTGTTGAGCGGCTGGAATTTGTACCAGCGCTCCCAGGCCAGGCTGAGGCTTGTCCGCGGATCCAACTCGATTTCGGAAATGAACTCGTTGTACGTCTTCAGACTTCCATCTTGCAGTTCTTTGAAGTAGGGCTCTTCCTGAAAGTTCTACGATGGTTGGGAACGCTTGAGTGAATCGTACCTTGCTCGGAGCATGGAGCACGAACGCTTCTTCGTAAACTCCGCTCATCAGAAGCCACGTGAGTCCCTTCCGGCGCAGTTGTTCATCCGAAGTTATCGATGATGTCGTCGACGGTTCTTCTTGTGATACTCCATGGATTTCACGGATCAAGTCTTTGCTAATATCTAATTTCGTGAGAATCTGAGAAGCCTGTCTTGTTGGTCGGTTTCAATAGATTACGTACAGTACCTGATAAGTCAAATACCCTTTCTGGGCAGGCGTGAAGAACGCTTTTTCATCGTGGTAATTGCAGAATAATGATCCGTTTTTGCGTTGGAACGGGGCGTTTATGAAGCGAACAGTGTCGTCGGTAACAAAGATTTTGGAAAGAGGGACACAGCAGGAAGGCATTCCCGGCTTGATTTGGCACTGAAATGAGTGATTATGTACTTCTTAAAGTTCTCAATACAATTCTCACATCTTTTAGAGGGAAGCACATCTGAGACATCTCGGCTTCCCGAGATAGACGATGGAACGGAGTGGAGATCAGTGTGAAATGGGTCTGTCCGGAAGCCTGATGCCGGATGATGAGCCCTTCTTTCTGGACGGCCTTCTCGAAAAACTCTCGGTACTTTCCCTTCGAATGCGACTCTCCGGCATTGTGAACGAGCACGAAATCGATGGAAATTCGGAATGGGAAGTACGGATAGTCGACTTCCGTGGTGGCTGCGAGCATACGATACTCTCGCAGAGGAATCTGAAAGTGGAACACATTCGGAAGCCAGTACGTACTATTTAGAATGTGCCTACAGTACTATCATTTGGAGGGACTCAACTGAAAGACACTTAAAGTCGAAGAAAGTGATGGGAAGAGATTTGAAAAGTGAAAATGATTTGTGTCAGAATCTCTAATGTTCGCTTTCGAAATCCCCCTCCCAAATAGAAGCCATAGACTCGAGAGAGAGATATTTTCTCGTTTTTGGTGGTAACCTGATAAAATATTAATATGTGATTTGTGAAGAGAAACGCGGCCGGCGGTTTCCCTAGTTACCCGTTAGCGGCACGACCAACCTACGTACGAATTTCTCGAGCTGAAACTCACGTCATATCGCTTGACGTTCTTCTCGCGCATCGCAGATTACCTACGCTGGGACAGAATGAACGAATGAGGTTGGACGCGGTGAGCGCGAGAGAGAGAGAGAGCGAGAGAGGTAAGAGAACTACAATTGGAAGGATAATCCGACTGGGAGAGCCGAGCCGAAACCCGAGCTCTGATTTCTCATTTCCATAGAAACGGGCGTCTCCTTTCGAGAACTGGCGGCCAGCAAAGAGTGTGTAATTAGGTTCGCTCGGCGCAGAAACAAAAACATTCATTTATTGGACACCGGAGGAATACGAAAAGAAGGTTTGTGACCGGTTGCATGCAGGGAAAGTGAACAGAATTGACGGCGAGATGAATGAAAACAACCCGAGTGGTATTGGAACAAACTGATTTGGTCAGCAGCGAATATACAGAAAAACTAGGAAAAATACAATGGAGAGAGGCGAGAAATGGGTGATGGCGGAGCAGGGTTCGTCGAGTTCCGCGTCGCCGATATAGTCGGGAATGACGATGGGCGGTCCGCAGTTGTTACAGTAATCCTCGCAATTGGGACAGATGATGGAGCCCTCGCGGAGCCAACCGTCCACCACTTTCTTGATGTGCACTTTTTGGTTCTCCGCGTAGCAAGGGTACATGTCTGTGGCGTTGTAGGAGCCGACGAAAAGAGTTCCGTTGTTGCATTGGTACTGAAAACGGGCGGTTTGATTGGGATTCGGACACAAGCTGACCTCATAACATCCGGCCATATAATGCGAGAGCACTCGAATCCTGCCGCACTTTCTCTCGGTCCACGGCTTGGGAAACTCAAAGCATCTGGAGTTCTCTCCGTACACTTCCAGAATGTCCTCGCCTTCTTTTCCGTTGCCCTCCAGTTCGCATCTCGAGTCTTTGTGCAGCTTCTTGTCCAGCAATTTCCATTCAAACTCTTGTAGAAACGGACAATAATCTGCCATCTCGACAGATCCACCGTAGTACTTTGCACCGTCCGGATTCACTCCGGGAAGACTCATAAAGTTACGGTATTGGGCTGGAAGCTCTTTTTGGTAGGGAATAAGGTTGCAGAGAGCGAGCGAGTCTCTTTGGGAAGTGCACCGGGTTATCGCCATCGACTTAGTGCCGTCGTGTTTGATGTCACTGCAGTATGGATACGCATCTTTGCCTCTGAAAAGTCAGAAATGCATCGGATGCATCGGATCAGACTCACAATATCCGTTTTTCATGGATCCATTCTCCGCAACTTTTCATCGCGAAATCGCACCCGAGATGCTTGCCCCAGTGCAAATCCTCGGCCACTCTGCAACCAATTCTCGTAATTTTCCAAGTTTTTCAATGCGATAACTCACTCATAATTGGGTTCATACCATCCAGTGTCCTCCAGAAAAGCGAGAGTGAGCCTCGAGTAGACAGGGTTCTGAGTGTGAGTGCCAGTCATCGCTTCGTTCTGAATTCGTGCTCATTCGTATCCGAATCTTCCGCCTCCTGCTCACCTCGTAAGCCCTTTTCTCCCAATGTGTCAGATAAGTGCCCTCTCCGCCTTGATTCTCGAGCTCTGCGCCTTCCAACTTATCGCATCCAAAGTGTCTTCTGGCTTCTTCCCTCACCTTCGGAGTGACCATCATATGGATCGGATGGATCACCTGCAATCATCCATGCCATACACTGCACTGCCCTTTTCCCACGTACCTTTCCCTCTCCAGTCCACCAATCCTCCCTCAAAACCGTCGTTATCGTGTTGCTGTCCCAGTCATAATACCCTTTTTGTTTGTTCAACGAAGTTGGCCGGCCGTACCGATTCCTGCAAGATTGGGGTTAATTTCAGACGCACGTTGAACAAAAATCCATTTTTAATACGAACCTTTTGGTGCGAGGTTTGCCGTCTTTGTCGCGGAAGAACGCGTAGAGCCCGACAGAGAACCCGAGAGCGTGCAGGATTTCGTGCTTCACAGTGCTGGTCAGAATCTCGTAATCATGGTTGTGAACGGAAAGAGCGCTGGGGCACAGGTTCACATTGCCCGCAATCGGCCTATCGAAATCGGCTTCTTGTTGGCAGTGAGCCGCGTACGAAAGAGTTTCGGGGCCTTCGCAGCGCTTCGAGTTGTGAGCAGTCACATATCTGAAAATCATTCATTCCATAAATTTAGCTTCATCTGATTTGATTTGCCTTACAGAATAAAATCAGAATCGCTGACGCCTTCACCCAGATCTCCGGAAGTTTGGCAGTCGTCCGTGTTGTTGCATGCCAAGCAGTCCTGCAAGAAAACAAAAACAGTTCCGTCGAGCCGGATCCGGACCAGCGAGCTGAGGATTCACACTGACTCTACAGTCCTCCGCTCTCTCTACCAACTGATCAGCTCGAGCGCTCGAGCTATCGACGGCCGGTTTTCCGTGCCTCCCACTTACCAACAGGTGATCGGGGGGAATGTCGGCTTCTCCACACGTCGTCTTCTCTCTGCAGGCCTTATCGCACGCCACATTCCTCATTCCCTGCTTGTAATAGTAGAACGAAGAGAGGCACTTCCTTCGAAGCCGAATCGCGGTCTTCATCGGTCTGACTCGGAGGGCGTTCTCCCAGTATCCGACTGCTTCCGGGAGGAGGGTCGTGTTCACAAAGTTCTGCACTTCTTCCGTCAGGTTTTCGATGCTCTTATCGTAGTGCAAATGGATTCTCAACGGAGCGAACTTCTCCTTCTCCTTCTCTTTCGTCGGCACTTCCGAGTCTCTCCGATGACGGTGCGGATGTTCGTGTTCGATGGGAACTTCCAGAAGAACATCTTCGACTCGTGGATTCTGAGGGAAGATTATTGGAGGGGATCGAGTGAAGGACATTCTTACCTGATAGGAGCATGGAAGGGAATTCGAGGGCAAGAAGAGCAGGGCGAGAAGAGCGATTAACCGGGGTTTCATTGGATTATAATGAGAATGCGTCCGAGTGGGTCACCGTTGAAACATGGAATGTTCTTCCTGAATACAGTAACCTTGAGAAGGGAAGTCGGAGGAAAAACAAAATAATTGGAGGGAGAGGAGAATAAAGGAAAGTGAGGAAGCCGAATTCGGAAGGTGTCCGCCGAGAGACCCAGTTAGATACTCTCTTCTTTTTCTTTTTCTATTATGTTATTATGAATAGAGGGAGAACGGGAAGGGGTGAGAGTTCAAGGACGGAAAAGATGCGCAGAGGGAGATAGACGGCCGGAGACGCAGAGAAACTCAGGAAGGAAAGGGAGCTGTTTCTTGACCGAAAGCCTCCACAAATACAAAAATAAATAGTGAAAGGATGGAGGACGGCGCTGCCACCAGGAAAATGTTCGAGTGCCGGAGCTGCTGGCCATCCGGATTCCCACCCGATCTTGCGTTCCGCAGCAAATCAGTTCGCTTGTAATACGATCTCCGACGCTCTCCCACAAAACACTTTTTGCACTCGGCTCAATGTTAGAAATAAGATCATGTCTGGTCATGAGATGTTGGCATTGCAAAAGAGTGGTCTAGGAAAGTGGCCGACTACAAAGATAAAACTAGTGCACTTCTATTTCAAATCGTTTCTAACATTGAAAAAAGCTTGAAAACTGACTGTGAACCAGTCTATTTTTGGCAGACGACACGGAAATCGACCAGGCCCTTTCAGAGGTGCACCGTCCATCGCACGAACTGAAACAGTACCGATGCACGGCATGATGGTCAGATCTGGACAGTGTTTAGCCAACTTGGCGATCGAAAAGCAGTAAATATTGCTTCGGAACAATGTCAAGAGTGTACCAAAACTAGTGAGTGTGCGGGGAAAAGGACCGCCTAATGGACGGTTTGTTTGTCGTGTTCTGAGAAGAACGACAAAAAAGGTGAAGGAGATCGCGTCGATCGAATTAATCAGATTATCTGTTCGCTTTTCGCACCGTTTTCGGTCAAGTGATCAGAATCCGATCGGCACACAGATCAATGCGAAAGGAGCTCCTCCGAGAGAGCAGGTGAATGGGTCAAGTGGGAACTGGTTACAATGGAAATCATGAATAAAAGGAGGAAAAAGAAGAAGATGGCACTTGACCATTCTGCTCCAGTTCATTCCGAATTCAAATGAACGACGTCGACCCCGCTGTGGTCATCAACTAACCCAATTATACTGACTGATGGGTCGCGATTTCAAATCGAATTGTGATGGGAGAGAGAAGCGGCGAGAGAAAGTCGTAAATGGGTGAAAAGTAAAGTAGAAAGAGAGTTTTATGCTGTGAAAATTGCCCTGGGCGCTCGTGATGATCGTCGGTTTCCCGTTTTTGAAGATAACACACTGGTGATACGGTATTAAAGGCGCATAATCATAAAGCGATTTGAAATACGTGGCGAGAGCCACCGTCAGAGACCGAATGCAACCGACGAACATTTACTAATGAGCATTCACAACAAACAAACTGCCCACGCATCCAATTACTGTGAAGCCACCCGACTGCACTGTTTGGACACCTTTCCTCTCAGAACGGACCAGAACAGCTCTTGCGACTGGACTACTTTCCCGAATTGTTTGAATAAATTACAAAAATTAGTTCAAAAGCGGAAGCTCACAACCTTGGCACCAACTTTTAGCAACTTCACCGCACTTTAAGAGACTGACGACCGGGCCAGCCTGCAAAGCCTTCGGCCCGGCCCGGAATCTTACAATCCTGCATAGACTCCTGGACTTTTCAAGTTGAAAAGGAATGGAATCGTCTTAAAAATAAGATTTGGTGTTGCGGAGCCGGTTCATGACGTGGCAACGAGCAAAGCAGAAACAGACAGACGGCCTGTGACACTCGATACTCTGCGTCCATCTCTCGGGATGGAGCAACAGATTGTGTTTACCCCCGAACCGCACTTATTATGCGCATGGGACTGCTCTCGCGGGGACGACGGACCGGCGGATCAGGGCAGAAGCCGAAAGAGATTAGAAGGAACACTAATTGAAAGGGACCGGATAGAGGGATGAAGCTGGGCGGGCGGGTTCACTCAAAAAGAAGGGAATCAAGTGAAAATGATTAGAAAGGGAGAGAAGGACAATGAGTTTGACCTGGATTCGGGGAGAAAGAGAAAGGGAAAGGGAGAGGAGGGAGGCAAAAATGATGATAGGATCTCGACGGAAAACGATCCATTTCTGATATATCTCAGATGTTTCAGAAGTTTTTCATCAAATCTAGGTTAATAGAACGGACGTCCAGGAAGTGGGAGACTCTGCATATCAATGGGCGATGACGATGATTCTACTTGTTTTTCCCGTCCAAATCCCCTCTCAAAAACATTGATTTTCATTCCTTTTTTCATCTACTTTTTGGCACGAGAAGCGAGAGAAACGGAGACGGAGAGAAAGGAAGAGGAGCGAGAGAAGAAGACGTGAGAAGAAGAAGAAGGAGAAGAAGAAGAAGTGAGCGAATAAATGGGATGGAACTGGGCAAAGAGAGGTACTTGGAAACATTCAATCGAAAAGTTTGAAGAGATGAAAGAATCCGCAAAACAAGTTATGACGAATTGTTAGGAGGGAAACTTCTCAGTTGGCAAGAATTGGTTCAGTGCAGCCCGCATAGCTAATTTGTGTCTTCCGACTCGCTGACGCTTTCTTAGTGCTCCGAGAGCACAGAGTGGCATGTGCAGGGGTACAATATTGCAACTTCGAGCACAATGATGCAGTCCCGGACATCCGGTCAATCTCGGATTGGGTATAATCCAGGTCTTGTCCAGGGGTTTCGAGAGCTCTTTAAGATTTGTACTTTGACCAAGTTGCATTACTCGGATAGGACCCAAACTTTGCAAGCTTCGGATTGAAGTGTCTCTGGCAGTGTTGAGCGGAATTCCGCCTGCCGTCTTCCGTCTTCCGTGGATTTTTTTGTTCCGTCTTCCGTCTGCCGTCTTCCGGGATTTTTTTTTCTTACCGTAAAAAGGTAATAGCTTTTCAGAAGCCATATACTAGCCCTGCAGAACGCGAATTTCCACGAGCAGTGACCCAGATCCAAAATTTTTGTTGTTTAGTTATTTTTTTCAAAAAAAAAACCGGAGAAAAAGGTTCTGCATTGACGATTTTTTTGTTCCGTCTTCCGTCTGCCGTCTTCCGGATTTCAAAATTCTATTTCCGCTCAACTCTGGTCTCTGGTCTAAGTTTCAGATCGATCGAATAATCTATGACTTTTCCGCCCCCTATAGCATTCTCAAATGAACCGTACACAGAGGAAAACTGATCTGAAACTGACTAGTGAGTCAAAACGTCAAAGTTCTCTTCCGAACTTCCACAGTGCTCCTTGTCTCTGTTTCCTTTCAATTTCAAACCCATTCTCCACCCCCGTTCCTTCACTTTACCGCATTTCTTTCAACTCCTACACTAATCGGTTTCGCAACCACTAGAACAATCACTCTTTCTCTCCGGTTTTAGTTCGGCGCCCGATCAAAATCTTACTTCCGAGTCATTAAACAAACACGAACGTTGGCGAGAGCAAATCGTAAATATTTGGAGCATTTGAAGAGCTGCAAAGAGGAGGAATAGAGACTTGATCAACTGATAAAAACCCGATTCTACTTTATAAATATACCCAGATTTGACAGCTTGATTTCGTCGTTTCGACTCCTCCGCCCTCGCGGAAATGAGCCAGTTCACTCATTCATTCCACTTTGAACTCATTTCACCCCCCTCCCATTTCCCCCGTAAATACTTTCGTTTCATTTCAATTCAAAGTATCCATTGGCAACGGACTCTGCTCGGGCGGCCCAATTAGCCCCTTCTCCCTATCCATTTCCGTTCCCTTTTGCCACGTCACACGCCCTTTCGTCTTCCTTTTTCACCGCCTATTTGCTCAGGCTGAATGTGGGCAAATATCACTTTCGAATCATATCCGCACGCAAAAACTTCACTTAGCCACCCGATTGTTTCCGAAACATTTCACAATTTTGATTGATTTCACGTTTCGAATGGCTCGTCTCTAGTCCCGAATTCATAAAATTCAGAGGATACGGTAAATACTGTATTAGAAGATGGTCTTCTATTTTCAGTGCCCAAAACGAAATTTTCGAAATTTTAAAATCGTGTGAAACGCCCGACAAAAATCGATTTAAAACTGCTCTAGCTCATTTTACTGGGTGCCCTTCTAATACAGTATTTACGGTACATTGCAGAATCTTTTTATTCAGTTGACAACATTTTTGTAGAAGAACTCCGAAGAGTACAGTAGTCTCAAAAGTTGCCACAGAACTAGTGCCCTCCCGTAGTTTTCCGCTTTCGCAACTTGATCATTCGGTGGTCCTTCCGCAGTGTACAGCTCTAATTAACAATGACTAAACCACCTAGTACGTTTTGTTTGTTTATTTGTTTGCCGACAAGAAAACCCACTCACTTTCTCTCCTTCTTTCCTCGCGAAAAGTATCCATTTCTGTTGTCCACCTGGCCCTTGATTCGTCTCAAAAATAGGCTTTGGACCCTCCAGGACAAGAGTACTATTCAAATGAATCATCAGAAAGCTTGAGCAAACATGACTTGGGTTTCACCCGAAAAACCTTAAAATATCTCTCTTTTTCCGTACCCACTCCTTCCATTTGCAGCTCGCCATGTCATTCTGCTCATTTCTCTCGAGAATCGTCATCTTCATCATGAATCTGGCCCAACTGGTTTGTCCGCTCACCCATCTCTCCCGGTCCATTCGAGATCTTTCAGTTGGTGGCACTCGCCGTCATCGCCCTCGCCCTCTGGATCCGATTCGATAAGAGCTTCGAGTCGGAGATCAGAGCCAACATTCTGAGGGACACGGACGCGGAACCGCTGGCGGGGGTCAAGTCGGACATCCGAACGGGCATCATCGTCGCCTTCTGGGTCATCATCGGGTTCGCCATCGCCAATGTCGTCATCGGCTTCGTCGGGGTCATCGGAGCAGTCATCAGGAGCAAGTACCTTCTGGTGAGCATCTTCCCCTCTCTTTCCCTTTCTCAAATCTCTCCTTCAGGCTCCGTATCTTCTCTCCATGATCATCCTTTTCCTTCTGGAAATCGCCGTCGGAATAACGACGCTCGTGAAGAGAAAGTCCGTGCGAAGGACCGTTAAGGAGTACGTATTCGACGCGTACAACATGAACTCGCAGTCCGACATCGACGCGTTCACATTCAGAGTGAGTTCTTCCTCCAGATCCCCCCTCCCATTCCATGTCTTTCTTTAGTACAATTGCTGCGGAGCCGAGAATCTGCCCAACCTTTCGTGCTTCGCGGGTCAGCCCACTTGCTCCTCGGCCGTCTGGGACCGTCTCGACTTCACCATGATGATATTCGGAATCGTGATGCTCATCATTGTCGTCCTCCAAATTCTCACCGCCCTCGTCACGGTACCCATCATAATCGACAAGAAAAGGGAAAGTTCATACTATCAACAATAATGTGCCGTCAATCTAAGCAATTTCACATTCACATCGGGTCAAATTTTATTCCGTCAAATATATAAAGATGTTGTTTTGACAATAATTTAAATGAGAGCATGATACAGAAATGCAAATCAGTTAGTGTCTGCAAAAAGAGATTCTAGGGAGCGATGGCAGCCCTCTCGCGCTGAGTTTCGTTAAGCTTCTGTTCGTGGTCAAAGTTCGAAGTGCCCACGTCGAAGAACACCGAATCGTCCAGCGTGATAGACAGAGTTCCGTTGCTGCAGAAACGTACTGATCCCGCCGCGCCGTTCGACTCGTCCGTCGAGCGGAACACTGTGTAGCGCGTCTCTCCGGAACGTTTCGACATGGCCAAATCCGTCATTTTCTCGCAGAATTCGTCGTCCCACGGAACTACGAGAAGTCCTTTCAGAATGACGGCGGTATCGATCGGACGCTCAACGGAGATTCCGATTCGTTTCGTATTCTTGAGGGCGCCGCTCGACCACAACTGAAAACAAAACGGAATGATTTTTGAGTGCACAAGTTTCGCTTACATGAAGATATTGATTGATGGCGTTGTCGGACACGGACTCCGACATGATCTCGAACCAGGGAACTCTGAGCCGCAGGAACTCCCTGTCGGTGAACGGCACCCAGTGCATCAGAACGAGCTCTTTCAGCTGCTCATTTGTCCACTGAAATGCTTTCCGTTTTCACATTATCTGATTCCGAAGCCGCCCACATACCACTGGCAACTGAGCGAACTCTCTCGACAGCAGATCAGGCCTTTTGAATCTTCGGAAGACGGCGTCGATCTCCGGCTTGATTGTGAGAGACCTCGGTCCCGACTGAATTCTATTGATCCAGAATGTGATTGTCGTCTCGTCGTTCGAATGAATCACAAACTCTTGACAAGACGCCACCTGATGAGTGTTTTCGTACACGTTTCTGGCCGGCCATCTCGGCTGAAAGATACTATTTTCGGTGAGCGGAAAATCTGAGTGAATGCTTACAATGTTGATGACGATCTTTCCGAATCCCTCCGTCGCCACTTTGCACCAATCGTCCACGTGTCTCGCGACTTCCACGAGCGGCGGCGTTCTTTGCGTCATTCCGTACAGAACATCGCGGTCGTTCTCTTTGCATCTGGAGAGAAGAAGCGCAATTTTATCGCGACGTATTCTCACTTGTAAATATTGGTTCCATTGCTGACGGCCTTGAAGCGGGTGCTGTAGTCGTGACGCTCGGTGGGATGGCCGACGCAAACGTTTATTCCTTGGGCGTCCATTGACAGGCTCGAACCCGTTTTGATAGTCATTTTCGGGCATTGCTCGTGAATATCGGCGCTCGGACACAGGAAAACCTCGTTTTCTGGTCGATTCTCGTCACGAATCAGCTGAATTTGCGTGTCTAAAACCATTCCGACTGAAAATGTCAGATTTAAGAGGACTGGGAGACGAATTCTGTGGAATAAGAGCTAAAAACGAACGCGACGCAGAGAAAGAGGCGTGAATGAGTCAGTGCGGAAAATGTGAAGAGAGTGCAGAGAAGTGCGAGACAACGACGGCGCGAGCGGCGAAACGTGGGGAGCTGCGGAGAATACGAACAGCACCTTTTAATGTTAAAACAGTTTTACATTGGTTAGAGTGGAAAGAGATCAGATAAGTACGTCTGTTTCGAGATTACTTCCCAGTCAAGAGATCGTCGCATTCTTCGGCGAGCACGCGGAGCATCGTGTGTATCGCATAGTTTTGAACGCCTCCGTGTACTTTTCGTTGTTCTTGTTCGTGTGCCAGCCCAGAATTTCCGACGTCTCCCTGTCATTCGTCTGTAATCTGGTTCGATTTCAGTACTGTTCCAAGAACCTTTGGATGCTTACGGCGGCTGCCACATTATAGATGCAAGGAAGATGCTTCTTGTGCACTCCGACGTCTCCGGCGAGCAGTCCGGTTATGAAGACGTCTTCCACCTAGAAAAGAGAAATCAACGATAGTACCCTTGCGATGGATACTCACCGAGATGAACTTCCGATGCTTCGTGGCTTTCACAATCCGCTCGGCCGCCTTTTTTGTCGCGAAATAAAGCGGACCGCCCAGATAAGAGGGGTAAACTGTGCACTTGAACGAACTCATCGGCACACTCCTGAAAACGTTCATTAATTCTGATTCTCCCGATCATTCTCACCACTTTCCGCCGTCTTCCCCGTGGTTCACAGTCACTCCTGCTTCATACGCGTATCCGTAAAGCATCGAAGTGTTCGTGTTGATGGTTCCGTCGTGAAAGAGTGTCGTCAACTGATCGGGAAAGAACAGAACGTCCTCGTCGATCTTTCCAATCAACTGCACCGATGGGAATCTCAGGGCGAACAGGAGCGCAGTGATGGTCTTGAACGGAAGTCCGACGTAATCGTCCTCCGTGTCGGCCACGATCACATCTCCGAACAGTCGTGCTTCGTCCATCACCACCTCGTTTAATCTTTCGTTTCCTTTGATCGATCCCACCAGAAACAGCGCCTTCATCGTCCCTCCAGCCACAATTTTACTGTTTCCCGAGCTCATCCAAGTCTTTCTCAGCACGTTTCTCCTGGCGAAATTGTCGCAATTCGAGATGACAATCATCAGAATCTCCGTCTTTTCTTCTGTCCGAATTTTGGGCACATAAAGCCATGTGTAGTTATTCTGAACGTCGGCGAAAGAGATACGGTAGGTCGATCCGAAATCCAAAGTGCTTTCCACGGAGGAATCTGAAAATTGAACGAATGAATCTTGATGACGTTTCTTATTTACTCTCGTGCCATTCGTCCTGAATGCAAGCCTTGTCTTCCTGACTGAAAGTGAGGCTGCTTCGGTAAACTGAAAGTGAATTGGATGCTCGAGAAGATCCAAGAAACGTTTTACACAAAAGGACCAGAGAGGCGATAATAATCAGCGCAGTCAGAATCCGATTGGCCATCGAAGCACGACGGCTCTGTCGCATTGGCGGCCTCAAACATTCCACATTCCCAAATTGCTGAAATGTTCCGAACTCACGTGGCAACAAAGTGTTCGTAGTAGGCAAACTTCAAAGGCTGGGCTGAAATTGGAATGGTTTCGCCACGAAACCTATGATTATTATTCCATTTTCATGAAACAGTTTCTAAATGTTCAAAGAAAACGATTCGGAAATACTAAAAGGACATTTTAAGGGTCAGGTCATAGGATATTTTTAGGATAAACACGTGGATCTTATACATATCTGAAATAGCCCCAACTACTTAGTATCTAGTTATGTGAAAAGCATGGAATAGACGTTGTTATCACACCTGCCTTCCCGTCCGGAACTGTTTGTCTCCCGTCCTCCCACTCTCTCCCTCCGTCTCTTTCACAAAATATTTTCCCTTTCCGCATTCGATACATTTGATGATTCATACGAAACGCTGCGGGCGCGCTCGGAGCAAAAAAAAGACGGAGATGAAGACAAATGTACTCGTATAGTAGGGACAGGGATGAACAAAACTCGGCTACGAAAAAATGGAGGAATTAGCTTCAGTTCTTCTGTTCACGCTTAAAAAGAGAGTAACACCTTATTTGAACCAGAAAAAGACAAATTTTGCTTGGCATTGAAAAAAACTGAAAAACCAAGCTGCGACGAGTGTTTACTAATCATATATTAGAAAAAAGTAACGGAAGCATGAAAGAATCATGTTTTGAAAGGTATTTTTGAGAAAACCTTGTAAAAATAACCGCACCGAAAGTGCGCACAAGTTCCCTGGCAAGGCCTGGCGTGTTTCCCGACCGGAACCCCGTGTTCAGCTTCATCAGAACAGGATACAACGGTCGTTTTTACGGAAAAAAAAGAAGAGAGAGAGAGAGAGAGAAAGCGAACGTAAATTGATAAAGATGATAAGATGCACACTCGGCCACCTCATTTCCATTCCGATCGATTGCACTTGCCTGTATACTTACGAACCAACTCGTGGGAAACCTTGTCTACCGATGTGTTTCTCGATTGCATTGCCATCCAAAAGTCTGGAATTTTTCCGTATACAATAGTGTGAGTTTTCCGTTTCTCTCTGGGGGGAAATAGACAATATATTGGAAAGGGAGACACCATTAACAAAAGTTCAATAAAACGTTCACATTTCCAGTTGACACAGTATTTGCACAAGAATTCCTAAAAGTGATTGTCCGTTCAAAACGATGTATCTCAGCTGCCGAAAAAGATATAGTTGTCAATTGATAAACTGCTCAGAAAGACATTCTGCACATTTCTTCAGTTGACAACATTTTTGTATCTCTACACAATTGGGAGTTCCCTTCTAGTACAGTAATTACGGTAGCTGAACTATATTTTTGAGAAGTTCAGTTTCAGACGAAATGATTAATCAAATTTCACTCAAGAAGTCTTCCATTTAGCCAAAAAGAGCATTTCCTAGGAAGTGGGCTCAAATCTCCATCTCGGACTGAATTGAGAAGCGACTACGACGACGCCTACTGTAATCCTCGGAAATCAGAACAGAAGTGGGCGGGGCATGAACAAGAGGGAAACCGAGTGACGTGGCATTCTGGAGCCCATATCTTGCTGCGCCGAAAGGGAATGATAAATGTACAAAAGATTTATAGCCTTCCGCCTCCACTGCTCACATTTTTCCACGTCACACAAAGGGGAGAATGGAAATTTTTGCGGTTTAATGACTCAACGGAAACCGGATTTTATCGTTGATCGGTGGGTGACCATTTCGATGTGAATGGAAAACGAAGAGGAAGAGCAAAGAGCCGCTTACTCCGAGAGCCCATCGCCCGTGGCAACTGTCTCGTTTCTAGGGACCCTTCTGCCCCCAAAGACTTGTGAAGTCTTTATTATTGGGAAAGGAGAGAGGAAGAGAATAATCGGAATACATTTGCGCTTTGGGAGGAAAATGTGAGGGACAGAGATCATTTACAGAGGAAAAAGGGATCGTGTTCATCGGAGCCGAGGAAAAAAAGAAGTCGCAAGGTGTGTACTGATTTCGTTGTAATGTATGAAATGGAGAGAGTGATAAACTGAGAAGAGGGAGCCTGATAGACATGAGAAATGGGACAGAGAAAATGGAATGGAATCGGAAAAAGGAGAATCAGTTGACGCGTGGCAGCTTGTCGAGGATCTTGAAGAGCATCTTGAGCTCGTGCTTTTCGGGCTCCGTGAATCTGGAGAGCATCTGCTTCGACTCGTTCAGGGTCTTGACGCTGTACCAGTCGACACGGCCGCGCAGATCCATCAGAGCGCACTTTGCCTGATAATCAAATGGTTCAGAAACTATTGTAACGGAATTGAACTCACGTCGATCACCCTTCCCTTCCACTCTTCGTAATCCTCAAGACGGCGCACTTTGTCAAGGTACTCCATGATGAAGATAGGAACAGATTCGTCGAGCAGTTCAAACTCGGCAATTCTTTCGAGAAGATCGGCGAACAACTGGCTGGTGTCTTCACGGAGTTCACCGTTCGCGGATCTGTGGAGCACTTGGAAGCAGTTGTGAAGGATCAAGGGGCCGATGTTCTTGCGGACTTTCTCGTCTTGGATTGTCATCTCGTCGTTGCAGAAAAGGAAGACGGTGAAGTTGAAGATGGAAAGGTTCACTTGCACCGGAAGTGCGACCTTCTGGAGGTGGCACTCCACGAAGAATGTCAGGAGGAAACGGCACGAATCGCCGACCTGAAAAGTTAAAAGCAATGAAACGAGTGAGCAGAACGAGATCGCACCGTCTTCGGAACAACCGCCATTTCCTTCTCTCCGTACATGTCCTTGTCGCAAATTGCACTCGTGAACAGCTAAAACAATTCAATTTCAAAATATTACTTTGCCAGCGTTACCTCTAGAATTCTGAGATGTTTGCAGAATGTGACTTCGTCAGTCTTCGCCGGATCGTGCAAGGACATCTGCATCTCGACGCTATTCAATTGGATGACCAGCTTGGTGAAGTTCTTGTCCAGGTTGAACCATGTGATTTGACCGATCTGAAGCTTTTCATGAGAAATTGTTTGGGAAGTGCAACCTACTCTGGTCATCGAACTGATCACGTCCCACATGATACTTCTCACTTCGGGAGTGAACTTTTCGGTGCGTTCGCGAAGAAGTTTGCGCATCAAGTGAAGGATCGCGATCGGCCATCCGCGGGTATCGAACGTGTTGCCTGAAAATTACTGAATGGAATCAATGGCGAAAGGAAATGCGGTTACTTGTTTCAAATGGGCTCATCTGATAAACTTTGTTCAGCAGAAGACGGACTGTCACCAGGAAGGTCAGCACTTCGAGATTATCTTTCTGCGAGACGAAGAAGCCGGTCGTGAAGCGGAGAGCTTCGTAGAGCATGCTTCTTTCTTCTTTCTGAAACATTCCACTTTCAAAGAAACTTTATAGGAACCAAACCTCGCTGATCCAATAAGCGATGATGACGGAGATGTTGTTGTACACCATGCCGTTCAGCGGAAAAGTCGCTTCTTTCGGTGACACAGACTTTATAATGTTTTCCAGACATGGCTTGAACTTCGAATGCACTTCATAAGACGTGCATTGGCAGAAGAAGTGGATTATGTGAATGAGAACTGATCGCAGACTGCAAAACATTTGATTTGTTAATGAAATGAATCTCACTCACAATGCATGGTCTTCGTGCGCCGGGTCAAACACTCGCTGGAATATTTCGATTGGGATGTTCGAGAAGAGACGGTCGGCACGCTCGCGGGTCAGCAAACTATGATGCATCTGGAAAGGAGAAACTACTTTTGTATCTTTAAAAGTATTTTACCTGCACTTGGTTGGGAATTTGAATGAGCGAGCTCATCTTTTTCTCGAATGTAGCTGCTGGATCTTGGAAAACATTGATGAATTCGTCGATTACTTTTTCCATATCGGCTTCCTCTTCTTCAGTTAATTTTCGTTCTTCCGTCGGCTGTTTTTCTTCAGTTGGCTTCTTCTCTTTGATCGTTTCCTCTGAGTTTTCTCGTGTTCCTTCCTTATCTGCTTTTTCTTTTTTCTCAACAGCTGTTTTCACTTCTTCCGCCGTCCCTTTGTCTTCCGAAGTCTCCTTCTTCTCAGCGTCTGCCTTCCGCTTTTCGTCTTCGCTGCTGTAACTGGCAAAACGATTAGAAGTTATCTTAAATGTACAATTCCAACCTACCTCATACTTTCTGAATACTAAAAAATACTGTTGAGATCTTAAGAAGCAAGATAAAATCGAATAAAATTAATTAAAATCCAGCACTGTTCGATGGAGCGCGTGTTCGTCCAGACAACGTAAAACACTGTGCGAATCCGAGAGACGCAGAGAAAAGTATGCAAGTGCGCTCTATTGAGCTAGAATATTTCCGCCAGCTGGAGCTTTATTTCGCCTATTCTGAACATTTTATACTGAAAGCTGAGTTGAATTTCAATTTTTATCGTTTATAGATTGTCATAAGGACTAACTAATTGATTTATTCATAGTCTAAAAGGCCAAAAAAGCTAACCGAAGAGTATTCTTACCTTCTAAAAACGTTTTATTTCAGAAACTTGCTCTTTTTTTTAGGTTTTCTAATTAAATTCTCTGTAATTATAAAAAAGTTTAAAAATTGTCCTATTTCTAGTTCTTCGTTTGCTTTCTATCTTGTTCCTACTCAGTTTTTCCTTCAAATCCTCGTTGAAGTGCAATGTTGTGCCACATTGTGAAATGTTTGTCTTTTCAGGTATCAATCAACAATGAGTCGGAAGGGCCCATTAGTGAAAAATAACGAGACGGATGTCCCAACTCGTATCGCCATCGTCGAGAAGGACCGCTGCAAACCGAAGAACTGCGGATTGGCGTGCAAACGATCGTGTCCAGTCGTTAGACAAGGTAATCCCAGTTTTTTTAATTTGACACTGACAGTTGTGGTGTTATAGGAAAGCAGTGCATTATTGTCGAAGCAACATCCACGATCTCGCAAATCTCGGAAGTTTTGTGCATTGGATGCGGTATCTGCGTGAAGAAATGTCCGTACGACGCAATCAAAATCATCAATCTTCCGGCCAATTTGGCGAATGAAACTACTCATCGTTATTCGGCAAATTCTTTCAAATTACATCGTCTGCCAACTCCGCGATGCGGCGAAGTTCTCGGACTCGTCGGAACGAACGGTATCGGAAAGTCGACGGCGCTGAAGATTCTCGCCGGAAAGCAGAAACCGAATCTCGGAAACTTTTCGAAAGAGCAAGAGTGGACGACGATCATCAACTATTTCCGAGGCTCCGAGCTCCAGAACTACTTCACTCGTATTCTGGAAGACACTTTGAAGTGCGTCATCAAGCCACAGTATGTCGATCAGATTCCGAGAGCCGCCAAAGGAACGGTCGAGCTGAATTTGAAAAGAAAGCACGACAACGATAATTTGGACACGGTCATCGATCAAATGGGTCAGTTTCTTAGAAGCTGTTAAAACGGCATTCGACTGTTTCATTTTAGAGCTCCGTGGTCTTCTCCAACGTAATATTGAGCAGTTGTCCGGAGGAGAACTTCAACGTTTCGCCATCGCAATGTGTTGCGTGCAGAAGGCCGACGTCTACATGTTCGACGAGCCATCCTCCTATTTGGATGTGAAACAACGTCTGAAGGCTGCCGCCATCATCCGGGAGCGCATCAGTGACACCAACTACGTCGTTGTCGTCGAACACGATCTCGCTGTTCTCGACTATCTGTCCGACTTCATCTGTTGCCTGTACGGAGTCCCAGGAGTGTACGGAGTGGTCACCCTCCCATCCGGAGTCCGCGAAGGAATCAATATGTTCCTGGACGGATTCATCCGGACCGAGAACATGAGATTCCGTGAATCTAAGCTGTCTTTCAAGACTTCCGAACAACAAGAGGAGATCGTCAAACGCACCGGAACCATCAAATACCCGGCCATGTCGAAGACACTCGGAAACTTCCATTTGAACATCGAGGCTGGAGAATTCTCTGATTCTGAAATCATTGTGATGCTCGGAGAGAACGGAACTGGAAAGACTACCATGATCCGTATGATGGCTGGATCATTGAAGCCAGAGGACGAAGACACCGAACTGCCGCACGTGAGCATTTCGTACAAACCACAGAAGATCTCGCCGAAAACGGAGACAACTGTGCGGTACATGTTACACGACAAGATCCAGAACATGTACGAGCATCCACAATTCAAGACTGATGTCATGAATCCGTTGATGATGGAGCAATTGTTGGACCGTAATGTGAACGAACTTTCCGGGGGAGAGTTGCAGCGTGTCGCCCTTGCTCTGTGCCTCGGAAAGACTGCCAGTTTGTACCTGATTGATGAGCCGTCCGCCTATCTCGATTCGGAGCAACGTCTCCACGCCGCCAAGGTCATCAAGCGATTCATCATGCACGCTAAGAAGACGGCGTTTGTCGTTGAGCACGACTTCATCATGGCAACCTACCTGGCCGACAGAGTCATCGTCTTCGATGGACAACCTTCCGTCAATACGAGAGCTTGCAGGTGAACTATTTTCTTCGGATAACCTAATTAACATGAATACGCTGCAGACCGCAGTCGTTGATCGAGGGAATGAACCGATTCCTCGCGATGCTCGACATCACTTTCCGCCGTGATCAGGAGACGTATCGACCGCGCATCAACAAGAAGGAGTCGGTGAAGGACGTGGAGCAGAAGAAGAGCGGCCAGTACTTCTTCCTCGACGACAACTAATCCTTTTCGTGTTTATGCTCGGACTGACCCCTCTTCAAATTCTGTTCCCCCCTTCATTTCCCCGTTGTTTCTTCGTTATTATATTACTTGGTTTTGGTAAATTATTCTATAGCTTTTCCATTGTTATTCTTCGTGACTGTCTATCGTCTTAACAGTTCTCCTGTTGTTTCTCTCCCTTAATCACAGCTTCCCTATCTGATGTTTCGTATTGCACACATTTTCTTTCGGATTTCCCACTTCTCATTCGAATATATAACCACGGAAAGAGTTGCCAGAAGTTGTTGTTGTTCGTTGACACCCGAGACAGACGTGTGAAATATAGGTAGACCGAACAGCTGACAGACGCAGTGTCCACACGATTTATTGCGATTTGTGGTTGTGCTCTTTACTTTTTCAGCTCGACCACTCACCTCCTAATTCGGCAAATACGCGTGCGGTGAACGGAACGGAACGGCCGTTTCGCATTCATTCCTGCCCCTCTTTCGTGTGTGTTTTTCTTCTCTTTTTCTTTTAATTTGACCTTCACGCCCATTTTTCGTCTTCCTCTTTCGCCCCGATTTTCGCCGCCTTTTTTTCTTTTTTCGCCCATTCGTTTATTCGCTTTTTTATCCGTGTGCAATCTTTTTCCCATTCACGCCTTCCCTTTACTTCTTTACTTTGACACGCAGATTTCCAGCGATAAGTTTGAAAGATTTCGGAAAAGATACGAATTGGAAGGGAGACGGTTAACTAATAGATTACTGGTTGGTCTTTTCGGGTCAACGTTCTATTTTTGTGATTAGTAAATTAGGGAATTAGGAGACCAATAAGTTTTGGATCAACACCGCACAATTTGGGCAATCTCGCTCTACCGGAATTTCACGTGAAAACCCATCCTTTCGCGGCCAAGAGGCTGGGCGCAAAGTTGCTCTTTTCACTATTCTACAGTCAATTTTGTCTGTTCCTTCTAGTCGAGCCGTCGGATCCTAGGCCACAGCAGTGCGCAGGTCCACATGACCCATCCCATACAAATTCTCTTTGTTCGAAAAAAATGGAATGACGTGCTTGTTTAGTGTGCAGGCGCGTGCCCACTCATTGTCAGGTTTCCATAAACAAGATTGCCTTCTTCCCATTCGAATCTCTCTGCGTCTCTTCGTCCCGCACACTCTCTTGCACCTATTTTATTATTAGACACACGAGAGAGAATGTTCTTGAATTTTTGATTGATTTGAAAGGAGCTGCAAAGGAAAGCCGTGAAAACAACGGATATTATAGACATTGCCAGATGGAAAAGGTCTACTGTAGTTGAAGATCCGAGCGAAGAAAAGAAGTGAAATTCCCTGGGGGACCAGTGTCATTTCCATGTTTCGCTCGTGAAAGTGTTCACACTTTTCCGTTCAAATTGGCCCCACTTGAGGCTCTTCCTCGTCTGCTCTTTTCTCTCTCTCTCTCTCTCTCTCTCTCTCTCTCTCTCTCTCTCTCTCTTTTTCTCTTTGTTTATAATTTGTGCCCTCTGCTTCTTCCGTTCTCCATGCCATCCATTTTGATGCGGCCCGTCTCGACGACTGTTTCCGTGGAGAGCTCTTATTAGTTTTCGCTTTCATTTTCCCTTTTTCTTTTCCTCAGCCAACAAGAATGTTTTATTATTACTTCTCTGCCCTACCTGACAATATTCGCTCTACCGAACTGGATTTGTATTTCGGTAGAGCGCACTTACTCACTCAATGAACGGGAGAAAAAGAAAAAGCGGAAGGAAACGAGAATAAAAAGAAAAAGAAGAAGAAGAAGAGGGGGTCTATGGGTCACTAAGAGAGAAAACAAAGTCGGCAAATATTTGCAGTTTGTGTTTTCGTCGCAGTGCTCACACCTTTCGGTCACCGCACCGCCGCTCTGCAGTCACTACCGTTCGTCTAGTTAAAAAGAGAAAAAAGGGATTACCGGCGGAAACGGGGAATTCCGTTTTTGTATATCTTTTACTCCTCGCTCTAGTAACTCTCTTTTCATGTCGTGTGCAGGCGATTCAAAGGCTTTCAGAGGCCTGTCGTCACTTTCTGATGGGGCCCAAACTTTGCAGGCTCTTTAGACTTGGATTGAAGTGGCTTGGGTCCAAGTGTCAGACCAATCGGATCATCCGGTCGGGATTTATATTGATTTGAAACCAAAAAGGCCAAGTTTTCGAAAAACGTTCAGTCTCGGTCTCAAACTTGGACCCAAGTTTCTTAAATCCTAATTCAAGAAGTCTGCAAAGTTTTGGACCGATCGGAAAATAGCAACTGAGCCTGTGTCGGCCGATTGCCCAGACTTTCCAGAACTGACCTTCCACCTGGTCCACTGGCCTTGGTCCAAGTCGGAAAAAGTCGATCCTTAGAGTCCCAGTTTCAGGTAAATTAGAATTCTGTCCCCGCGAAAAGTTAGATGATTACCGTCCGTCTGTCCGTATAAACCGTTCTCCCGAGTATTCACACATTCCAAAAGTAGTCGCCAACCCACCACTATTTCTGGTCTCCTCCTCCGCCACTGTCAATTCAAGCATCTTCGAGAGTGCCTTCGGGACTGGATACCCATCTTTTCATAATTGCCCAAAGCCAGCTTCTTCTCCCTCTTTCCTTCTTTTCGCCTAACCTTCTTGGTTCGAAACCGTTTCGATTCCTCCGACAACGTCCAATTTTCTCATCTCTTTTCCGAATAATTAGCAGAAAATGGAATGGTGGCAGACTCTTTCTCTCTCTCTCTCTCTCTTTCTCTTTTTCCGGACGGAGAGGAAAAGGACACCTGGCAATAGAGACTATTCTTTGTTTTTCGGTGCTGGTCTCTGTTTCGTTACCGGTTTTCGGGTGCAGTTAAAGTTCACTCTTTCTTTCGGCAGTGTTTCACTTCATTTTCATGCTTCTTTTGGCAGCGAAAGGTAAGCGATTAGAATCTTCTTCACTTTCTCGTCCATTTTTAGCTAGTTTCTAGTCTCAATTTTGCCTCGAGATCACTTTGCGAACGCAATAAGCAAGATTGAATTAAGTGCCATTCACATTCGACGTCACAGAGTCACTTTTGGTCTAACCGGGGATCAAATGGCAATCCAATCAGTTGGCATATATTTATGAATATCACAAGTCCAAGGGCCCGAAATTATAGGATTAGAGAGGCTCTTGACGCGCCGCTTTTCGTCCGCTTCATCTTCTTTTCACAGCCCATTTGAACCGGGCGGCCAGTTAAATCCAATCAAACACAGTCAGGAAGAGAGAGATTGACCGCAATCCGACGGGGGAATCAGTCCCTCGGGGGAGGGCGAGAAACGGCCGAGACTCTTCACTTTTGCCCTCTATCCCTCCCGCTTTTTGTTGCTTTCTTTTCTGTGTGAACGGGGGCGAGAAAAACATCTGGAAAGATGACGTGAGCAAAGCAAGAAGCCACGCGTCTTGGGAGTTGAGAGCAGATTCAGAAAAAGTCCATTTATCACTGTAGATCGTGTAGTTGGACGTATTCTTCCTAGAGCTACACTAATCTCGAACATATAAAAGTTTTTAAGACGTGAAATTTCTTTCTGAATTTTCAGAAACGCCGTTCGTTTCCTTGCGTTCCGTGTGGAATCCTACTCGCACTCTCTCTCTCTCTCTCTCTCCGATTTGTCTCCTAATTCACCACAATCTCTGATTTAGGTAATAATCTCTGCGTCTCTTGTGTTTATTTTACTAAACGAGAAGCTTTTCCTTCGTTTGCGCGACCATCCGAATGAGAGAGAGAGAAAGAGAGAAAGAGAGAGATACAATACACACTGAGAGAAAGACCATTGCTGATTGACTGGTGGATCGAGAGAAGAAGCATTGAATTTCAATCCGATTTATGTCTTTCCCTGCCCGTCCAGAGACATCGATATTGTCAGTTTCCGGTGCCGGTTTGCCATGATCTTTGAAGATTTCCACGTCTATAATAATCATTCAAAGTTTATTCATCCGTCCGTCTGTCCATCGCGAATTCATCAAACAACATGTGGTTTTTATTACTTGCCCACTGGTTCCACACGTGTTTCTTTTCAACTTTTTGCTCTTCCCCGGTGGTCGCCATGCTCCGAAAGGCAATCTTTCCCACTCCGTCTCATTCCGGAACTGAATTCCATTCAAACCAGCTGACTAATCACATTCTCTTCTTCTTCTTCTTCTTCTTCTTCCTCTTCATATTCTGATTCGTTTCTTTTTGTGTTCATTCCGTTCACTTTCGCCTGCCCAACCGAGTACTATATACCGTTATGTGGCGGCCCATCGCTCATAAATTGCAATGTTTGCAAGAGTGAGAGCGAGAGGGCGCCGAGATGAAAACACCGATTCTCCCGCCCAAAAACGGGGAAAAGTGACACGTTTTTATTTTTGCATATAGACATAAACTTCGATTCGTTGGCTTTTCCTCAGTGTTCTTGCTTGCAGACACCGCAAAAGAGACTCTAGGTGGCGTTTCGTTTTCGGCGCATTCATTTCGGTCGGCAGGTCGTCACGCTCAATTGAGCACATCAGGGCTCTCGGAGCACGGCGCTCAAGAGCCCCCCCGCTTCCAGTTGTCACGTGCCGAACCAAAACTTTAACTTATTACTCTTCTTCTTCTTGTTATCAGCGGTAATCGATGAGTGTTTGTTTGAGTAGAAGGTGTGTGTTGGAAGGAATAATGATAAGAAAAGAGAGTGTAACTGACGTACCCGGCTGGAGGTGCACTCCGAAACATTCTACTTCTTCGCAAAACAAGTGTGAATTTGAACGGAACAAACTTGAAACATTACAGTTCGCGAGCACATTTGAACTCGCCGATAAGTCAAACAGAAAAGAGAGAAAGTGAGAGAGTGCGGTTCTGTTCTGTGCACATGCACGCACTGCCAAATCAAGACTACTCTTCTTCTCTCCTCTTCCCCAACTGTTCAAATATTATCGTTAACTGGACTATTCGTCATACCCAAATTCACCGAAATTGATGCTGATGCCGTCTACGCCCACGCTTTCTGTTGTCCCCGAAAAGTTAGGCTCGAAAAAGTTTGCATTTTAAATTCGCCCATTCACTTCTTCTCCTTCTATACTCTTTTCTCCGTTTCGCTCTTGTTTCACTCGCTCATTTTCGTATTTTCAGGCAAAACTTTGAGTGTACCGGAGAACGTTAAGCTGCCGGTGAGTTCAGAATTCATGGATTTTATGCACAGTTGGCGTTGTCCACGAGTAGTACACGGCCGCGGTGTGTGCGCCTTTCTCGGCCATGTACTCCACGTGGAAAATATTCCCTTTTTTGGATTTTTGAAAGACAACACGATTTTTTCTTATCAATTATCTTAAATTATCTAACTCACTTTCTGATAAATGTTGACAAAAATTACAGAAAAACATAAATTAAAACTCTTTCTTTGGCAATTTTCGCTATCTCCAACTTATTTTTTTGCAGATACGGGTCGATTAAATCAAGCACATTAGTTGGAGGAGCACACAAAATGATATTTTTCAAGAAGAAGGCCATTATAAAAGTGCTCCTTCTAATTCCCGTCATCTGGCTCTGCTCACTCATCTTCTTTGCCGCCACAAGTAATAACAGTAATCAGGTGAGCAGTACGGTTGACTTTAAAGCTAAACGGTCTTACTCGACTTTGCAGAATAACAATAACATTGCGGATGCGATCGTCGCACATCCAAAAGCGGTCCCAAAGGCTGAAAAGCCGAATGTAATTCAGGGATTCGGGCCACCAATCGAGCCGGAACCCGTTGCTCCAGAAGAGACTAACAATGTGGAGAACGAGCAGCCGGGAGGCAATCTGGTGAAGCCCAAGTTCATGGTGGATCCGAACGATCCGATCTACAAAAAGGGTGACACCAGCCAAGCCGGAGAGCTCGGAAAGGCCGTTGTCGTGGACAAAACAGTCCGTTTCTGCCTTTATTCGGCTTGATTATAGTGCTTTAATTTCAGAAATTGTCTCCTGAAGAGAAAGCCAAGTACGACAAGGGAATGCTGAACAATGCATTCAATCAATACGCATCCGACATGATTTCGGTACATCGGGCACTTCCAACTAACATTGATGCTGAGTGAGTCTATTTTTTTCCAGAAGTCAACAAAGTCTGCCTCTTTTCAGATGTAAAACAGAAAAGTATCACGACAATCTTCCGCGCACCTCGGTCATCGTGTGCTTCCACAACGAAGCGTGGTCCGTTCTGCTGCGAACAGTTCATTCTGTGCTCGAAAGAACGCCGGACAATCTGCTGGAGGAAATTGTTCTCGTCGACGACTTCTCTGACATGGATCACACGAAACGGCCCCTCGAAGAGTACATGTCTCAGTTCGGCGGAAAAGTCAAAATTCTGCGGATGGAGAAGAGAGAAGGGCTGATCAGAGCGAGACTTCGTGGAGCCGCAATCGCCACCGGAGAGGTCCTCACTTATTTGGATTCGCATTGCGAATGTATGGAAGGATGGATCGAGCCGCTTCTCGACAGAATCAAGAGGGATCCGACTACAGTCGTGTGCCCGGTTATCGACGTCATCGACGACAACACGTTCGAATACCACCACTCGAAAGCCTACTTCACAAGCGTCGGCGGGTTCGACTGGGGACTCCAGTTCAACTGGCATTCCATTCCGGAACGGGACCGCAAGAACCGTTCCCGTGCCATCGACCCCGTCCGTTCTCCCACTATGGCCGGAGGATTGTTCTCGATCGACAAGAAATACTTTGAAAAACTCGGAAGCTACGATCCCGGATTCGATATTTGGGGCGGAGAGAATCTTGAACTTTCCTTCAAGATCTGGATGTGTGGAGGCACTCTCGAGATTGTTCCCTGCTCGCACGTCGGCCACGTTTTCCGAAAGCGTTCGCCGTATAAATGGAGAACCGGAGTGAATGTGCTGAAGAGAAATTCGATCAGATTGGCAGAAGTGTGGCTTGACGATTACAAAACGTACTACTACGAGAGGATTAACAACCAATTGGTACGGACAAACTAAGTACGGTTTATTTCTGAAACTCATTTGTTTGCAGGGTGATTTCGGAGATGTGTCCTCCCGAAAAAAGCTGCGTTCGGACCTCGGATGCAAATCCTTCAAATGGTATCTGGATAACATCTATCCGGAACTGTTCGTTCCCGGAGAGTCCATCGCCAAGGGAGAGGTACGCCACTTTCTTCCGCTTTCTTACCCCAAAACTAAGAAACCTCCCTTTTCTGGATCATCTTTCTCTCTTTTTAGATTCTCGGTTTCTCTAAAAGTATCTCTAATTCTCACACCTTTTTTGTGCTTTTTTGTTCCCCAGCATCCCCTACAGCTTTGGTTACGGCCATTTGGGAATATTTTAATCTCTCTAACCTTTCTCTCTCTCTCTTTCTCTTTTTCCTCCTCAATTCCCATTTCAAACCATCTAATTTTGGTACTGCTTGGTTCTGGGAGCCCCCTCGGTTAATGTGTCTGTCCTTCAGGGAAACGTCCACTCAAAATGAAAACCAAAAAAATAATCTGATTACCGATCTGACCGTGGTACCTTCGTGTCTGCCCCCCATGCCGGGTAACTGTGCTGTTGCCTCAGCCTCGTGTTGTCTGCATGTCTGTGTGCTCCCTTCAGCATCCCACTCCCTTGCTGCATGATCAATTCGACATTGTCTGAAAGTATTCAGACGAGGTGCATGTTTTTCTTCTCCAATCCCATCTAGAACTTTTTAACTAGAACGTCTCAATCGAATTCTAACACTGAATCATCTCAAGTAACGCCAATCCAGTCTCTCTCCGTCACTCTTAAAATCTCATATCATATTTCTGAGAGTATTCAGCACTGTTGTGTTGTGAGTGTGTAAGCATTGCACAGAATGACTGGAATCTGTCCGTCATTCACTAGAGCCTAGCACAAGACTCAGTCAGTCTTGCACCACAATCCCCCTCTCTTTCGCTCTTTTCTCTATCTGTCTTGATGTGGTCGTTTGGTGTTTGAAGGTGCGCAACAGTGCGGTGCAACCCGCACGATGTCTCGATTGCATGGTGGGCCGGCACGAAAAGAATCGGCCCGTCGGCACGTATCAGTGTCACGGTCAGGGCGGCAATCAGGTTAGTCACCACAACGAGCACCTCCTGCTGCGTTTCAGCTGCGCAACGCGCAATCATCGCAATGTCTGGACAGCGCCGTCGGCGAAGAAGTCGAGAATAAGGCGATCACGCCGTATCCGTGCCATGAGCAAGGAGGAAATCAGGTTGGGCAAAGATCACTTCGAACGGAGAAAGTAGCAAGCAAAAGAAGTCGAAGGAGCAGATGGAGAGCATCGGAGCAAAAGGGAAACCTTAGTTAATACAAACTATAACTAGAGAGTAGACAACATTTCAGGTCTTTGAGAAAAGAAACAGTGTTGCCGGTTGTCGGGAGGTGTTTGGTGAACAGGAGTCCGAATTTCATGTCATTTTCTGTTGTTCTCTGTCGAAGGCACACCTAAATACATTCACAACTCACTGTGTTCACCATTCACTTCTCTACTGCCTCAAACTTAAATTCCTTTCCAACTCTATTCCCCCATTTCTCCCGTTTTTCCCTTTCGAAATGCTCTCAATACAGTTGCGGAACGCCGGAGGCGGCAACCGTCAGTGCATCGACTACAACACGGGCGGCGGGAAGCTTGGCAAAAAGTTTGGCATGTATGAATGCCATAATCAGGGCGGAAATCAGGTTTGGAAACAGTTCAAATAGGTTTTATTTTAAAATGCTCCGATGCTCTCTGAGTAAGTTTTAATCAAAGTTTTCAGGATTTTTCCTTGCTCGCGCGATTTCAGATAACAACCTTCGTTGTTTTCAGAGATAAACCAGAGCTTTTTCAGTACTGGATGTTATCGAAAGACGGCGAAATCAGAAGAGATGAATCGTGCGTCGATTATGCTGGAAATGATGTGATGGTGTTCCCGTGCCACGGAATGAAAGGAAATCAAGAATGGCGGTACAATCACGATGTAAGCCGACGGAATCCCTTCAGAAACCCGTAGACTTCATTTCAGTCCGGACGCCTTCAACACGCCGTCTCGCAGAAGTGTCTCGGAATGACGAAAGATGGCGCGAAACTCGAGATGGTCGCCTGTCAGTACGACGATCCGTACCAACATTGGAAATTCAAAGAGTACAACGAAGCGAAGGCGATCGAGCACGGAGCCAAGCCGCCAAGCTAATTGCCCCGCCCACATTCGTTCTTCTTGTTGCTCAACTTTTAGTTTTTTGTTTCATTTTATTCCACTCCATTGCTCTTCTAGTATTGCGTTTTCATATGGGTATTTTCTATTGTTTTGTTCCACCACAGAGTTAATCTATTGCCTCCAAACCTCCCCCGTAAATCAGTTTCATCTCTGAATTGAGACTCGTGGCTTTAATTCCCTCTCCGTCCCTCTTTTTCTGTTGATTCTTCAGTCCTCGCTCCCTGGTTCGCCTTCTAAAATGACCTGTTTGCTCCGTTCTCCACACCATTGTGATACCTGACAATCTATGCATTTCCACCGTTTCCCTTTTCACTTCTTCATGTAATTCCAGCCTGGGTATCTGTTTCTCCTAATTCCCCGCCCCATCCCCTCCACTCAATTCGAAATGTGATAATTATAAATGCTTCTGGTTTCTAGTCACCTTAATTGCGCTGGACCAGAAAACTTCTGGAAGAAAAATACACGTGAACCAGATGCTCTCAATCGAAACTATTCCCTTTTCCATCCATTTCGATATTCAGACGGCGTGACGTCATTGATATTAATTGTAAATCAAAAGGCTTTTTGCGGATGACATCAGCGCCGCCTACTCAGAGGTAATGTGCCGGCCCTTTTCAGATTTTCAAAGGATTTCAGTAAACAAGTGCAATTGCATAAAATCGAAGACATCGCGTATTCGGACTCCGACACGGTTCCAGAGTTTTCGAACAAAGATGGATCGAGAGAAAGTGTGCATCCGGACAGACAATATCAATTAATGATGGTCCGAGTGCAGGACCATCTGCCGGAATCCCAGATGAGGATGGCGACGGAGACGGTGAGCGGCGAGCTGAAGTGCACGTGGAAGAGCCCTTCGGCGAGTCTGTTCGCATTCTTCGCCGCTCCGCACCTCCCGATCCTTCAGCTGGCGCACGCGATCGCAAAGAAACAGTGCGGGGATAAGGCGACGCTCCGCTCGAGCCAGTGCTTTGCGGAGCCGAAGAACGAAAAGTTTCTGATTGCGAAGGAAACCGAACTGAAGAATCTGAAGTTTGAGCTGATTTTGGGAGCCAACCGGTTCGGATGGGAGAAGACGGAGACGCCGAACGACATCTCGAAACGGATCCACAATACTTTTTCCGAGTCGGTCCATCCTCGTTCCCAATCCGATATAATCTGTCGTTTCAGAGTGATGCGGATCTTCCCGAACGTCGTCCTTTTTCTCGGACCGATCGCCTTCGACACCCTGTTCGAAATACTCGATAAGCAGAAACGGAAATCCACGTCAGCAACGAAGCCAGGCGCCGTTGTCGTCGAGAATTTCCGAAAGGAAAACGAGAAGTGGTCACGCATTCAGAAGTCAGGATCCAACTCGATCTCCGTTCCGCTCAAGCCTTATGTTTGAATAAATATACTTTCATTCGTCTGGGAAGAACTGAGGAAAAGCCTAAAATTGAGAAGCAGACACGACCAGAATAAGAACAACAGATTTAGCATTGTTTATTAGTTGGAAGAGTGGACTCAATCGGGAGCGACGCTTCAAGGATCAAACGAACAGATCGGCGGGCAATATCTTCCTCTCCGGCTTTATCTCCTCTCTTTCCGATTCGAGCGACGTTCTGTTGAGGAGGCGTGGCAGCGAATTGTCGAATGATCGGCCCGTCGCCATGCTCCGCAAGTCTGTAATGTTGAGGACGACCGTCGTGAGACGCACGAATACGGCCATGCTCGTTAATCCCTGCAAACGGACACGTGAGAATCCACGTGACATGACTTCTCATACCGAAGCGATCATCGTAACTACCGCGCGAAGCAGCGAGACTCCGTTGATGACGTGACACATCTCGCTGGACAGAGTTCCGTTGGGCGGAGGTTGCAGGAATCGGCACGGTTCGTCGGACGATCGGATGACGAGGGTGACGGCGTGGAAGACGTGGAAAAGAGAAAAGACGAAGGCGTGGAGCATGAAGAGAAGGGTGAAGACGCCGAACGCACGACGGGAAGAGCAGACGCCGATGAGTGACATGACGGCGAGGGCGGTCATGAGCATGTCTGGAAAAGGGACGGTTGGGGGAGAGAAGATGCTTCCCGGGGGAATACCTTTGGTGTCCAGAGCGGTGTCATCCATCGGAACATCCGATTCTATGACTTTGTAGGCGGTCGTGTATAGTCCGTCGGCCAGGAAGATGACGGTGATCACGGCGGCGAGAGGAGCTTCGATAGACGAGAGACAGCCCATTTTGGTTAGTGCAGGGAGAGTTAGTAGTCGAGTTGGAGAGAGGGGAGAGCGAGTTTTGAGGGCTTTCCCTCCGAGAAGCACATTTTTATAGGCAGTTCCAGAGGTCGGAGGTCATGGGGGCACTGGTTAATCATTTGGATGCACGTGAACTCTTATTCGAAATACTTGAGAATACGAAACATTTATTTGGAGGCAAAAACAAAACCAATAGATTATTGTCTGTATCCCTGGTTTCCGGAGACGGCGCTGTTCGTGTTTCTCTGCGGGCACGGGCAGTACTGGGCGTCCTGTCCCGGCTCTCCCTCCTCTCCGGGGCTTCCGGCGGCTCCGTTCGGTCCGTCGTCTCCCTTGTCTCCCTGCGGTCCGCGCTCTCCTGGTGGTCCGGCGATTCCGGTCGCTCCGCGGTCTCCCTGCTCTCCCTGGTCTCCAGACTCTCCCGGTGCTCCCGGGGTTCCCTTGGCTCCTGGGAGTCCGATCTGGTGCTCGACGTCGGCTCCTGGCTCTCCGGTCGGTCCCTCCTCTCCGGCGGCTCCTGGTGGTCCAACTGGTCCGAGCGATCCTGGCATTCCTGGGGATCCGTCTCTTCCTGGCATGGCGGCTTGTCCGCGGGCTCCGCGCATTCCACGGGCTCCTGGCTTTCCTTGCGATCCGGGTGGTCCTTGTGGGCCGGCCGGGCACGTGAAGCATCCCTCGTACTGCTGGGTCTGGGCCTTCGCGTCGTCGGCGTCCTCTCCGTCGACTCCTGGAACTCCTGGGATTCCGTCTGGTCCGTCATGTCCTGGGGTTCCCTTTGGTCCAGCTGGTCCGGCTGGGCACGAGTTTTCGGTGTTGCAGTTGCACTTGTCTCCGGGTCCGGCGGACGGGGATCCGTCTGGGTTGATCGGGGAGCCTCCCGGGTGTCCGGTGACCGATGGTGGCACTCCGATCACTCCTGGAAGAGTCGGTGGGTTCGAAGATCCTGGGGTTCCACCCGGGAATCCTGCCTGTGGTCCTCCTGGGAATCCGCTGTGTGGTCCCGATGGTCCTGATGGTCCAGACGGTCCGCTTCCGTATCCTCCGTATCCTCCGTAAGCCTGACGACGGACACGGCCAAACTTTTGCATGTCCATGTAGAGCTGGTCGGACTCGAGTCTCCACGCCTCCATTTCGGTGGTAAGCTCGTCGCGGAGCATCGAGACCTGCTGGTAGATCTGCGGAACGAGCGAGACGCATAGGAGCATGGAGAGGGCCCCGAGGGTGCAGGCGGCGTAGCCTGCGACGAGCGACATCTTCTGGAAATATTCAGATGAGAAGGTACGAACTAGATGGAAAAATAATTCTCCAGAATACGTCCTTCGTTTGCCTTTTATGCGCGAGAAAGACAAAGGGATATCCTCCGCCCCTTCCCCCTGATAATCATCGGAATATGCAAATATTCGTTATCTCCGATGACCCAGATTTGCGCGAACCTGTTCTCAATATTATATTCTTTTATGCGAATAAATAATAAACGAAAAATAAGGATAACGGAGATCTTTATACACGAAAGTGGTCTATGGTCTTGGAGGATGAGCAGATGACTTGGCAGGAGCATCGGCAGGAGTGTCGAACGTCGCGTGGTATTCGGTCGGAGGTGCTTCGGTTCCGTAGTACTCGTTATAGTACTGACCAGTTTCCTCCTGATGATAATAATTATGTTCCTCTCTGAAATGGAACTACTGTTCAGGTGTCTTCTTTCGCGTCTGTCCTCACCCTCCCTCCTGTGGCTGCTGATAGTAGTCGTAATCATATCCGTTCTGATCGTATCTCTCTTCGCCGTACTGCTGCTGATCATAGTTGTCGTATCCTCCTTGTCTGAAAATGTTGAAATTTTACAGTAGTTCACAGCGCTTCCATACCCTTCATAATACTGATCGTAATCCCGTCTTCGATCGTCGTACCCATCCTGCCGATACGAGTTGGAGCCGCTGTAACTGAGGAACGGCGGTTTGCTCAATTCTTTTTAGTTAACTTACTAATCGTCGTACCCTCCCTGCTGATCTTCCCTTGCCCATCTTCCCTGCTTTAGCGGTGGTCCGTTGTCCGCCCATCGGTTCCGTCCGCCACCTCCACGCATTGCTTCTTCTCCTATAATTTTCAGATTTTAAATGCAATTCCCCGTCTATATCTTACGCTTCCGTCGTTTCTCCCGCTCCTTGACCCCTCCTCGGTTTCTGGCTTTCTTCCCTCCTCGGTCCCAATCTCTATCTCTGTCCATGTCCCTCATCGGCGGCGGAGCTCCTCCGCCTGGTGGTCTGTCCACTCCGGGAATGCCTTGCGAATGGTCTGCCGGCACGTAATTATGCTTCTCGTTCCACATCTCGTCGCCGCGTCGCTTTATTTCCTCTAACACATAAGCGTCCGCATCACGATTCTCCTCAGTGTCTTCTCCGAATTCGGCGATTTGATCTTCGATTTCAATCATTGCTTGGTCCAGTGTAATGCCTGTCTCCTTGGCTAACTGACGAGCATGATAGCTGTAAAAATAGCTGTTATTACAGCGAACACCACTGGGAAGGTACCGTTTGACAGCCAGCGGCGAGCTCTTGTTCAATCCGTTGGGCAGCGTCTGCCGTGGTCGTCCTCCGCGCTTCCGTTTATCCAGATTGAATTGGGGAATCGGGGGAAGGCCGGGTGGAAGAGCACGATTCAGAGCTCCGATTGGCTGAAAAATCGTTATTTTCAAGACTCCCCTTTCAGATCACTCACATCTTTTCTATCTCTCTCCGCCTGCCTTCTGTTCTTCTCTTTCGCTTCCTCTTTTCTTCTTTCCTCGTCGATTTTATCACTCTTTTTTCCAGGTCGAGCACCGGCTAATTGAAGCGTTTTACGCATAGGAGGGCCTGTTAAATAGGGAAATGTGTGAAGCTCTCCATAAGGTCTACTCACGAACGTAAACAGGCACTTGAGGTTCAGGAACTCGTTGATTTAGAGGAAGGAGTGCATTCGGAATAGCTGCAACCTCCGGTTTTTGCTTTTTATCTCTGGAATAAATACACTTTGTTTTTCGTGTTTTTCGGAAAGAATGCTTACGGAACTATTCTCAGCTCGTCAGGGATCGGAAGAATCAAATCGGGTTTTGTTCTGAAAATTCACAATGTTTTTTATTGTTAAAAAAATACTGTAACGTACAGTCTGAGTTCCGGCGGAACTTCATTCGGATGTGGAGTCGAGAAGCCTGCTTTTCCATGACGGACTGATGTAACCGTCGTCGTTCCGAAGCGCTGAAATGAGAAAAACACGCTCAATAAGCAATCAAATGAAACTAACAATCACAGGCGGTGGCGGAGCTGTGAATACTGCTGGAAGTGGGACAGCAGCGGAGGGAATTCCTGTTGGCGGCACCATCGATGGAGGAAGGACCCCTATGCCTGGATGGATCGGAACCATCGGAACTTGATTCATCGCTTTCGCATGTGCAACCTTCTGAAGCGCCGCAGCCACGTCGATTCCCGTGGCGTTCTTGATTACATTGACCAGATCGACAGGCTCCTTCTCCGCTTGCTCTTTCTCTTTCCTACTCGCTTTTTCCGACTTTTTCCGTGCTTTCTCTTCCCGAACCTTTTGTTCTACCAACTCGACAATCTCATCTCGATCCGACTGGAGAACATCCGGATGACCTACAAAGGCTCGAAGTTCGTTAGTGATATCCTTGATACTGGAAGCAACACGGAACATTTGCATGAATGCCTCTTTTTCTTTTCTGGATTTCTCTGCCGCCTCGGCATCGTCGACTTCTTCAGAAGCTTGAGGTTCATCTTGAGGAGAAGCTTCAGGAGAAGCTTCACGAGGAGGGACTTCTTGAGGAAGAGCTTGTTCATCTCCCGAAGTTTCAGGTTGATCCGTTGAAATTAAAGCTGCCTCCTCTTCGTTTTCAATTATTTGAAGATTAGAAGATTCTTCGTTGTCCGACGGGCACGCAGCTGCCGGCGGGGACTCAGCGTCAGCCATCTGTAAAACAGAATCTTGAAATGTTTAAAACATGAACGAAAAAAAATTCCGCTTCGCTTTGGAAAACTGTCAATACTTATTGTTAGTTTGCTGAATTTGTCGTCGATACACTGGGTCTCCCACTCTCTTGCTCGCTGTCAATGGAGCGCGTTTGCATTAAACACCAGCGACATTTCGTTTTTTATTCGCATTCGAAAGAGAAGCTTGTTCACAAAACACAAGAAATCAAACTTTCAGAATGGAAATGAGCGAAGAGCCAGGACCAGCTCGTGCGGAATCTCCGAAAGCAACAAACGAGACCAACCCAATGAGCGAAGTGCTGTTTTCTTTTGTTCAAAAAGAAACAGAACGATTTCAGAAATACGCAAATGTCACCGTAATTTACGAAAACTTTCTGCAAATAGCGTCACTTGGAGATGTTTCCATGATATACCGGAATCGTGCTGGATTCTTCGGCAAGAAGAAAGACGCGCTCGCGAAGCCGGCTATCAAAATTTTCCTCGAAGTGCCTTCTTCAAGGCCTGCCGTCTACCACTACACGGGTCTGCTCATCCACGAATGTGTACATCACACTTTCAACCAAAAAGAAGAATCTACGTCTTGTAAGTGCTCAGAAGACATCGAATTCCAAAAGGCGAACATTTCAGTGGGGGACATCACAGCAGTCAAAGATTCTGCGGTTCGACTGCTCGATTTCTTCAGCAAATACTGCACTGAAACCCCGTCGTCAAACAGTTTAGAAGACGCCCTTGCGGTATTATCAAATTTAATTCTGAACTATTGTATTTTTTCAGTGGCTTTGCGAACTGTCAGCAGAATTGGCTGCGAAGAATGCGGGAAGGCCTGCAATGGCGAACTGCCACACGCCCGAGGAAGTTCTGGCGAGGTTGAAGACTAACGAAGTGGTGCCGAAAATGCTATCATTGGTGAATCTGGTGGTCACTTCGCTGCTCACGACGACTCCCGATGCTTGCATGAAAGTGATGTTCAATTCGAGCAGGCACGGGCCTCATTTCAGTTGGATGTGGCTCCATATTGCGTTAGTTTCAGTTCTCTCCTATAATAAATCAATCATTGCATTCGCGCATTTCTTCAGAACATTACTACAAGGCAGTATTGTGACGCACTTGCTTGCCAGCGGCTCCGAACTCTTCCACGTCTACATCAATGAGATTACGACACAGAAAAACGTTCCCGGAAGTATGGCCACATTGAATATCATACAAACCGAGTACGAAAACAAATTCCGCGCGATATCAGAAGTCTTTAATTATTTGATGAGGAAAAGGAATCCAGAGCTGCAAGAAGCGGTCTCCGAGCTGGTTCTGGTACGGGAACAGAATGGAAAGAGAGAGGGTCGTATGCTGATTGCAGGAGAGTTTGGACGGCACCGGGATAGCGAAAGGACGGCTCGGATTCGCATTCTTCTTCAAATTGGTTACGTGCTCACTCAAAACGCTGCAAATTTTGGTAACGAGCAATAGCCATTTGAGTATGGACACTGCTCAGTTCCCATTTTGAATGTATTTTTCCAGTAACACCTTTCAATGCGATCAGGGCGATCCGTCAAATACATTCGGTCGACAAGAACACCATCCTTCCCAATCTCACCTTCACTGATTTCGTAAAGCAAATTGTCGAAGAAGTTGATCCCGCGACGCATGGAATCGTTTTCGAAATGCTCATAGAATTGGTTTATAATCCAGATGTGTTCGAAGGTATTTTTAAAGTTTGAAATGTGTTCGATCACATGATTTCCAGGTGAAAACCAACCAGAACTGCAGGAGGCGAATCGGAGACTCTCGGAAGACTGTTTTCCCATTCTGGATGTGATGATGAACAGAATCGTACGGATTTCGCACGCGACCGGCCCTTACAAGTGTCCTTCCCAACATCCGGCGATCAGTTCGTATTCTTCTGGAGAACGACTCCAGTTCATTCTCGGCTCCATCTCTCGACACATTGAAAAGTTCGCATTCTTTCTCTTCATTCTAAAGTTTTCATCTTTAGATCGTCTTCAGTAATCCGACACCTTCATGCCATTTCCATAGCGAATGGCGAAGCGAAAGCCGCTGAAATCGCTCTTCGCTTTCTGATGACAATAAGCTACAATGAAACGAATTATGTGAGCGACCGACCTACAGATTCCCTCTTCAAGCTAAGCTAAATATTCAGATGTACATTCTGATGGCGTTCATAAACACAACAGTTCCGTTTTACCCTTCAATGATAGAGTACATGTTCCGAGAGTTTGATTCTCTGAAGACGTTGATTGAAATGAGCATTCCGGAAGAAGACTTCGACGTCACGAAACTTCATCTCAATCTGATTCACAATCTACGAACTCTGATCGAGTGGGAAACGAATTCAGTGCACGGGAACAGCCATTTTGCCCATCTGAGAATCTATCCGGGAGAGCACATCGGCAGAGTGCTCAGCACAATTCTCTCAGATTCTTTCAAACTTACCAATGATCTCTTCAAAGTGGGTTTCATATAAAGTGACCGAAATGAATGAAAACCTTTCAGAGACAGGACCGAGAACCACTCTTGTCGATATTCCGAATGCTCACGAAGCTGATCGACGCTGTCTGCAAAGCGAATTCTCAAACGACGAAGAACCGGAGAGTGCTCATTTCGATTTCTCACTGGTACAAACTGATGGCACAGTTTGCGATACTCTTCAAATCGACGCTGTTGCTCGTGGGAAGAGAGTGTCCTGAGGGCATATCAGTCTTCGAAGAGCTCCGGACGGCCATTCTTGTCCTGCTGCACAACAAGCACGTCGACGCGCAGCTCAGTCCGTTTGTGCCCGTCTTCATGCACCTCTTCGCCACCGCCTGCTTCGCCGATTCGAAAAACCTTTTCGATGAGTCTGTTGGACAATCTTTGGAGGTGTTGATCGATGAAAACGGAATAAACAAAAAGTTCGATCTGTCCCAATTAGAAGACGGTCCTTCGGTGATCAATGCGATCGGAAGTTTGCGAATGAGAGACAATCATCTGGATATGCTTCACAAGGGACAATTGAAGAGACGGAGACGGCACGACGACAAGACAGAGACTGGAAATTCTGAATTTCAGTCAGAGGACTCGAAGCAGAGGATATTCGTCGTGTTGGATGCCCTCAAAGCGTTCTGCTTCGATGTTCGCGTCGATGTGAACTTGAGCAACAGCAAGCAACTCGCCCTCGCTCTCCTCAACTCCGTCTGCAAAGATTCTCTCAACTGTGACATGAAGTTCGAAGAATGGGACATCGAGGCGGAGTTCATTCATCGGTAGGTTCATCTCCCGCACTCTTCAGCCAAATCCAGTTATCTTTCAGCCACGTGGAAGTGGATCGAAAGATATTCACAAGTTCTCTTTGCGATGGAATCCTTCGAGTTCTTTGTGAGACCCGAAGTTTTGCCTACTGTCTCCCGATCATGAAGTCCATGCTGGCGGTTGTTATCAACGAGGCCGGCCGTTTCCCGGACAGCCGAACTCTCTCTGATGCGGTCCGATCCAAACTGCACAAATGGGTCATGCTGGCCCACAAAGGAGGCCTCCTCCCCACCCGGTTCGTCTATATCTGTGATCTCGAAATGTACGCCACTGCACACGAAACTCATCTGATGCTTATTGAAATTTGGAGATTCTTAATGGTAAGTCAGTCCCAATACCGGTAAGTTCGTATTCTTCGTTCAGTTCCGCAGCCTGACAACGAACTCCATCGACACTTATCAAGAAGATCTCGTGCGAGGCGACGTCGACGAAGGACTCCCGAACGAAAACGAAGCGATCGAGAGGACGAACATGTCCGTTTTCCGCGTCATTCTCCAGAATCACCTCACCGAAGCATTCCATTTGTTCCCGAAGATCTTTCCCGCTGAATATGACCAATTGAAAATGATTCGACTGGAATAACATTTTTCATGATTTTGATTTTTGCTGTCTACATGAATGGTGTCCTTTATTGCATCCGTCTGACGAAGTGATCAGTGATGTTCCGTAGTCACAGTCGTCATCTGAAGCTTCGTGTCCACATGGTGATGTTTGTATTCTCTCCCCGAACAGGGGAATACTGTACATGAAAAAGACATCATTATCAAGTGTTTGCACGTATTTTGTAGCTTTCTCGCCTGCTGAAATCACAAAATACGAGTACAGGAGGACGCCATCAATCTTGATCTTTTTTTGAATTTTTCGACCTATCCTTTTGCAAGAATAGGGAGAATCTGAACTTTCGAAAAATTCCCCACCGACGAATAAATCGCAATTTGCAAAAGAACCTCAAATCAAAGCATATCACTAAAAAGAATACGGTAGGGTTCTGAAGATGTTTACACCTACAAAATACATACGCTCATAAGTGGCTTACTCTCATCTGTAGTATCATCAATCACTGCACAGCTGCCAGCCACAAGATACAAACCCACGTTCCGCTCTTACCGATTTTCAACTCGCATTCCAATGATCTTCTGGTCACACAAACCGATATGAACCTTTGATTTTTGAAGATGTGAATTACGGAAAAGATGTTGATTCTCTGATTTTTGCAATTGGCTAATCACGTAGCAATTTGTGTGAATTGAGACAAAGATCAAAGGTGAAAATACTAACGGAAAATCAAATAAATTCGTCGAACTTTTGAACTCCTAAGTATTATTGAGAAAGATGAAGTTATCTGCTTCTGTTTTTGTGTAAATAGACTCAATTTATTGCAGAACCAAAATGTCTAAAATAAGGCTTGAGAACGGGAACACCTAGAAAACATGAACCATAAATTGACATCTTCTTCTAAAAGCAAGGCTGGGCAATAGGTCGGCACGGGCTTTTCGTTCGCCGACCCTTGACCTGTACCTTTGAACCACTTGCAATATTCCGATCTGATCCAAACTTTGCAAGATTGTTGGACATGGGTTGAAGCACACTGGGACCAGGTTTCAGTCCGATCGGATCATCTGGTCCCGAGATATGTGGATCATTGGCCGAAATTGGCCGGAAGCCCGGGCTCTTTGGAAAAAATTGGTCAATGATCCACATATATCGGGACCCGACGATCTGATCGGGCTGAAACTTGGTCACAATGACCCTCAATCCAAGTCCAACAATTCTGCAAAGTTTGGGTCCGATCGGAATATTGCAAGTGGTTCAAATGTGCAGGTCAAGAGTCGGCCAACGAAAAACCCGGGCCGGCCAATTGCCCAGCCCTGTCCAAAACATACTTCTCCCCTTTTACTGATTCACATTCGACTTCTTCCATTCTGAAAGAGATCGCCCTTCTCCTGAACTCCTCTAGCCTCACATCGTCACTCCCTTTCCGTCTGTTCCTCTTCGGCTTCTTCCCTCCCATAAATCTGCTTCCATTAAACCATTTGCCCCCGTTTCCATCCTCTACTTCACATGCATCGCCCATGTTCGATCACAGAACACAGCCTCTGTACGCATTTTGTACGTGAATAAGTCACTTTCTGATCGGTCCGGCAACAATGAACAATTCGCTCTGAAAGGAAGCAGAAGAGGATGACGAAATCGAGGAAACTTCTTCCGATTTGTCAGCATCTTTATTCATTATCATCATGATCCCATTTCTTTCATCGTTTGATTCTATGATTGAGTGTTCAGAAGTTCGTGCTTCCAACACAAGATACGCCGGCGAGGACAAGGTTCAAGATACACAGAAGGGATGTTTGATGGGGGCGGATGATTAGAGATCTTTGAGATTCTCTAGTGGGACATCATGACGTGGATTCTTTATTTTCAGATGTGAAATGTCTGGATGAAGAAAAACAAGAAGAGAACTAGATTGGACGAATGTTAGTCGTGTTTCAGATTGGCGATCGAACATCTGGAAGTGTCGAACAACGAGCATGGAGCATCAAATGCTCATTTTGGAAGACTTCGACGTCACGAAACATCATCTGAATCAGATTCACAATCTACGAACTCTGAATAGAAGGAAGAGCACGGTCTCTCCGATCCTTCCAAACTAACCAATGATCTCTTCAAAAAGGATTCCCCGAGTGATGACCAAAAACTTTCAAAGGGCCGGAAGACAAAGTCCCTAGCCGTGTTCCCTTGTGTCCCACAAGAGTCTAGTCATCATTCACTTCCTCGCTGATCATACACCCCTTGTTGGCCATCCATTTCTGCTAGACGCGAAAGTGAGATGATAAATAAACGGAGAGACATTTCATTGATACACTCCACTATTTCCCTTCTTTTTGTCAAGTGTGAAAGGTCGAAGTATGAAGATCTGAAATCGGGTGAACGAATGATGTAGCAATTGGGTATCATCCTTATGGCAGTGTTCAGAAATGCATTAGAGGTTGGAGAACTTTTAAATTAAAGGCTGACGAACTTGAGTTTCTGAGCTCATGTCAGGCCAGAAGTCTGATCCTTCGACCCAGTTGCAGCATTCCCGATGAGGCCCAAACTTTGCACGATTATCAGTCATGGTTCGGACCGATTTTCCCTGTTTATTGGAAAAAGTTCAAGCTTTTCGGCCCCGAAAGACTTTATTTCCAGATCCGATAATCCAATTGATCTGAAACTTTCTTATGTCGTCCAAAGATAGCGTTCGATCGGGACCCAGGCCCAGGCCGGAAAAGACGGAAAAGACTTCCAGTCATGTAGTGATTTGCAATTTGGAATTGCAACCCTTTTGGATAATGACGGACGGAAAAGCGTTTGCAAGACAGCTAATCACCTCAGTTTCGCATTCGAAACTCCGTTGCCCTCGATAGAATCGGTTCCAAACATCTTCCGCCTTGATCTTCGGCTGTTTGCAATCAAATGATGATCTAGATCAAACTGTTGACGTCAAACGAACACATTCCAATCCAAATGCTTGTTTTTAGCATCTCTCTCCTTATACGGAAAACAAAAGGGCACTTTAATACCGTTTATTCAAGACAATGTATCTCAGCTCCCGCCAGAGATATAAAAAAAGGTGTCAATTGATGAAATGCTCACTACGAAATTATCTTCTTTTAATCAGTTGGTACACTTTTTGATATCTCTACCGGTAGCTGAGATATATCGTCTCGAATAAACGGTATTGGAGTGCCCATATCGCTTTTCAGTCCTTCCGCTTTCTGCGATTCCGTTTACGCCCAAGATATAACTTATGAATTCAACGAAAAGAATGTCTATCTTCTCTCTCTCTCTCTCAAACAATTCGATGTTTGGCCTCTGTCGGCCGATGTGGATGTATACAGTCAACACGTGGTCGATCGGAAGAACTTTCGAACTTATCATACATTGATAAGGGAGAGAGAGAGAGAGATGCGAATATCATCCTTCAGCTACAAAATCAGAAATCGCTGCTATGGAACAAGAAAAAGAGAAGAAGGAGATGATGATGATGATAATGATGGAGGAACGGGAAGCAGACGATCAGTTAGATGAGTATTTCAGGCCAATGTTTTGGATAAATAACGATGATGTCAATGTGTTAGAAGACGTCAAAGATGGAAAAGTTTTAGTGTAGTGTTTACCGTTTGATAGTACTTTGGAGACTAGTGCATCTTCAAGCGCCTATGAGCTAAGATGGTGCTAACTGCCACGAACTCTTGTCAGTAGTCGTGGCACACAAAGAGCTTACTACTTTCGAAAACTGTGAGACGAAAGTGCACCTTCCGCAGGTGTCACCGATATGATTACAAATCTCCGAGAACCTCTTCTGGTCAGTGATCTCAAAATCATCGTAATTCCGATCAACTTCTGTAACCTGACGTCTTCTGAATCGGCTTTCTGAATGCAACCAAAGTCACGTCTTTTGCACATGCCCCAAATCTACCGTACTCTCACGAAGTAAAAATAACAATGTTGTTATTCCGTTTCTCCATGATGATCTGTCCTTTTCAGACATGTACTTTTTATGTTTCACACTTTCATATCGTCTACAGTATTCTCGGAATAGAATATCGTCTTCGTCGCCGATTACAACACAAAATACACGTCCATGCACAGGCAGAACCCTTTCTGATCTTTTGAGAATTCCTCCGACCCACTCGGAGACAGATATCATTTCGCCGCTTGTTTTGGTGATCGCAAAGCGGGCAAAAGAAAACATATGAAAGAAAGGGGCACAATTTTGGGGGACTAGCACGGTATTCCGAACATTCGGACAGTTGAAACTGACAGTACAGATTGCTGTAAAACTGTAATAGAAGGGCTCTCCAGTGCCGTTTATTCGAGACAATACATCTCAACAGCCGGTTGAGATATAGTGTTCAACTGTGCTCAACTGATAAAATGTACACCATTTCTTAGTGCACATTTCATTAGTTGACAATTTCCTGATATCTGTACCGGTAGCAGGGACACATCGTCTCGAATAAGCGACACTGGAGAGCCATACAGTACTTACAGTATTCAGTTAAAGTCAAGACTTTGTCAGAAGCAGACCTACCGTATTCAACCCGTTAAGCGCCAAAACTGAATAGCGTCGTGTTCAAGTCCCAGATTGAATATACTTCTGTACGCCCACGGTCTCTTGAGCTCACGGGATGCTCAACTATTGTCGGATTGTAATGTTCCTCAAAGATAGATCGTTCGGAAAGTTGCGATAGTGATTCTTTGCGTCCCTTGAAGGAGACTGACTGGCCCCGAATTCCGTGACTTTTCTCAAATAGTTCCGAGTGCGATCTCAATGTTTATTAGCATGAGTTGGTTGACACAGAGAATAGAATCAGATTGGAAAGAAAGAGAGATCATTTCGAGTATCCACTATCTAGCCTTGAGTTCCTTCCGCTCAAGTACTGGAAGTGCACGTCCATCCTCTGCAGAGCGGGAAGTATCCTTCGGCATCCTTGACTCCGTATCCATTCGAGTACGCGTATCCACTGGCTGATCTTGGTTGATAGGCTTGTCCCATCGCAAAAGGGAAGAAGAATTGAGCAGAAGCGGGGACGGAGAAAAGAAAAAGGGAAATGAAGAGGGCGAGGAGTACGGTAGCAGTTTGCATGGCGAACCGAATCGTTTGCCGAATGTTCTGTTGTCTCCCTCTGCTAATTGGACGCTTTTATAGAGTGGCTGCTCGGATCCAAAACAGGGGCGGGATCTGCAAATAGATGTCATGCAATCCTCATCAGACCAGTTCGATACTTCGATCTTGGAAGAAGGTGTGGTAATAATCAGAAAACGGTCATACTACGACACCATGAATGAGTTGAGAAAGTTACACAGTAACTACAGTAATCCCGGGGCGTGTGTAACTGTAGTCAGTGATGTGTGTCCCCCTGGACGGACACGATGATGGGTTCATCGAAGCACTTGGGCGTTCTCTGATGCGACGGACGACGCATGTGAAGTCTGAATGAACAGAATGTGGACGGACGGGGTACGGTGGCATCCCAGATGTGTATTGAAGGACTCTCAGATTGCGCTATACGCATTTTTGTGTTTTTGTGAGGTTGATGGTCAGAAGCAGTGGGAGGGAGACCTTGAGAGTGGCCTTCAGGTTAGCTATGCCCTCTCTGAAAATGTTTATTACAGTTTGAGACATTCAAATTGAAATCAAAGTTCAAATCTAGCTCTGAGAATGTGCTGAAGCATAGCGAAGGAACTGGTGAGTCCAACTTCCGATCTGTAATTAATTCCATCATTCCAACATCTGATCCCTCTCAGATGACGTCGTCTGAACCCGGAAGGATTCTTTCTTCAAACAATAACCCTTTCAGACTTACACCAGAGAACCCAAACCGCTTGCCTCCACGCTAAAGAGCGATCATTCACAAAACGACCTCTGCGTACTTCTAAGATCACTGAACCATTTGCCAAACTGTCTACCAATCACTTTTCGAGAGAAAGGGAGCGAGAGAAAGATGCCAGCTGACTTTCCTTATTCTAAAACCTTCCAGAACTCCGCGAGACCCTTCTCCATAGTTGCTCTCTCACAAAAAACTGACAAACATCCTGAACTTTGTCCCCATTCTCCTCCCCCTTTCCGCCGTCATTCAGTCTATCATCTCGCCACCAAAAGAACAACCGAAAAAGCGCCGCCCACTTCAGAATCTCCTCCTTCTTCTTCAACGTCATCAAACCATGAAACAGACACCGCCTCCGTGACCACTCCTATAAAAGGGTCACTCTTGATCCGATTCAGCACCAAGCCCTCTCAGCTTCTACTTCTGCTACTTCTGCTTCCTCCGCCTCAAACTCAAAAATGCAGTCCTCCACCGTCTTCTTCGGTCTTCTCATCGTCCTTTCGTGCCTTCTCCTCTCTGCCGACGCTCAATTCTTCTTCCCGTTCGGAATGGGACAGAACAACGTGGCGCCGAGCAACTACAACAACAACTACGGAGCCACCTACGGATCCGGATACGGAGTCAAGGACTCCGAAGGATTCTTCACTATGTGCAAAGGATGGACGTGCCAGAACTAGAGCCCCTCCCGGCTCCCAAGCTCTTCGCCGCCGCCGCCGCTCTCGCCACTCTTCTCCTCGGGTCTATTCATAATTTTCTCTTTGTTGTCCGCATTGGATCTCAGTGACAATAAACCGATTTCATTTTACATCTTTACATTGAAAAAAGCATTGAAAGAACGGCTCCAATTCCAGCCTATTCATCTACAATTCCTTAGCTCAAAGTTTATCGCAGAACGGCTGAACACTGGTTTTCCTAGTCCAATCTCAAATCAGACACCGTTTCATAATGCTCGAAACATTTCTATTGTCAGGTTCTCAAAGAGTGTCACAAGTTGATTCTGAATAACAGAAAGGTCTAATATCACAAGTGGAGTGATTGATTTTCAGACTGTAAACACACAAATCACACGGATCTTTTGCAACTAGAGTACGTCATAGTTTGTTGCAAACTAGCCAACTCGGTGGCTAAACTTGTTTCGAAGCTCAATGAAGGTTGAAATTTGAAAATGTTTCATTATGACATCCACTTTTCTGTCTCGTACCGAAAAAATATTGGAAGCGATATGTAAATTCTGTCGAAAATTGTACACTTCTGCCTTCAACGCGATCCCACACCCTTCTTCAGTTTGCATCTGAAATCAAAAGAAACCTGAATACAAACCAGGTTTCCTCTCCCCGAAATGCTTTCACTTTTCCCTTCAGCCACAACAAATATTGACATGCAATCGCGTGAGAATCAGAATCAGAAGCCAGTGCTCTTCTGGTTTCATATCCTAAACATGATGCAAATACCGTGATCGGGCGGCCTCCGCTTCACATGTTTCCCACGAAAACATCACAGAACACTGAACTTGCAGCGTCTGGGAAGTGGCGAAGAATCATTGAACGATTGGAGGAAGTGAGAACAAGACGAGCGCAGATTGAGAAAACGATCAAAATGTGTAGTCACGGTCGAATATCGCTGACGTCGTTTTCAGGCGAACTCTCCGCCGTTCGCCCTCTGATGACGAATCGGTACTTTGGTGTGGACCAAAGGGAAAGAAGCATCTGAACAAGGTCAGATTAGGAAAGTGGAGGAGGACTGTGGTCAATTGGAAGGGCACAAAAGATCGAAAGGATAATGAAAACTGTAGTCTTCCTTTCAAAAGACACTTTACAAGTATCAAGGAGATTATAACCCCAACTGCCACGTCATCATGATCATGAATTGCAGTCTGGAAATAGAGTTATAATCTCATACTTGCTCACGTTTTCATCCAGGTGAACAAAAGTACGAAATGACGAATTGAATCTACATATAGAGCACATTTTAAGAAGATATGTGATCTTCGAAACCTCAAGAAGAAGCCTTCCGATATGATTGCCTTTAACTTCTCTAATTTCTCGTCGCTCGCTTTTCAAACCAAACAAGGCAAAAGAGCAGCTGTTTCTCGGTTGCTCAGAAACAGAAAAAGAGCGGGGAGACGGAGACATTCCGGAGAGCGCTAAGACGGGGATTCACTCCCGTTTTCTGCCCTTCAAAGATGCGCACTTTTGCATTGGAACGCGGCAGAGCCATTCGGTTTCTGCGTGCTTTTTTTTTAGATTTTCTGATCCCGAGTTCAGTTTCTCACGGGCTACCTTTCATTCATAGTTTCGTTGTGTGTGGGTGGCAATCAGGCCCGGGAAACGGCCGCCTGGAAGACACCGAACTTTTGGCACATTTGCAATAATCCGATCGGGCCCAAACCTCGCAACATTCTTAGACTTGCATTGAAGTATTTTGGGGCCAAGTTTCAGATCGATCCGATAATTTACTCTAGAGATATGTGGATCAGAGGCCGAAAAGGTCGCACTTTTCGCAAAAACCCCCCGGCCATTTCGGCCACCTGTACATATCTACAAGCCAGATATCCTATCCTATCCTATCGGTCTGAGACTTGGACCCAACATGCTTTCTTCCAAGGCCAATGAGCCTGCAAAGTTTGAATTCGATCGGAATATTCCAGCTGGGCCAAGCGTCAAAAAGTGTTTAAACAGCCAGGGCCAGCCATCTCAATGGTGACAACCAGTTCCGATTCTCCTTTTCCCCGGTTACAGTGCTCCGAAATGTCTTGCTCTTTGCTCTCTTGCCTCTGTGCTCGTTGCCCGTTTCCAGACTGCTCTCCCTCTTGCAAAAGCCCTCCTCCGCACCTTCCCACCCGTCTGACGTGTTGCTTTTCATCCGTATCAATGAGAGATTCATAGGATTCCGTGGCGTGCGAAAAAAGAGATTTCCGACCAACTTTTCGCTCATTTCCAAGTAGTCGGGACCCAGTAGAACCAGTCGACGATGGCAAATAATTCATGAAATGAGGTATGTGAGAGCCCTGCCCCGGACCGGCTCTTTTCCTCCCACAAGAACAGCTTCTCTCCTTCTCTTTTCAGAAGTTTGTCTTGTCCTGTGAGCCGGGCGCACAATTAGCCTCATAAGTCCGCGGACAGCGCCGTATATAAAATAAGCGCGAGCTTAAGTCAATTCTGGCCGTGTCTCGCACCTTCACGCCCGTCTATTTCTCTTGTTTTATGCAAAATGGAACCCTCTTTTCGGCGCGACGACGACGACGACGAAACATGCGAAATTGAAGTGACTTACTGGCTCGGCAGGAAAAGAGCACTCATAAAATATTCGCTATAAATCGTGGCACCTTTTTCATTCACTCTTTCCTTTCTGTTCGTCTCAGTTTTCCGTGCGAAAGACGCCCAGTTTGTGTAGTTCCGAGAGCATCTTCAAGAGCAAAACAAAACGGGACTCGGCGCAAAACAATCAAGAATTGAATGTGTTGGTTGAGTACCTCCAAATCCGTCCAAATCCTTCTCGAACTCCTGCCGATCCATTATCCATTTCATTTCTTTCTTCCAGTTTTCCGCCTCTTTTTCCGCCCAAACCCAATTTCGTTTGTCCATCTGCTCGTGTTCCATCTTCCTCTTTCTCCCGCGGACCCATCCTTTTCCAATATAAATAGTGTTTTGTGCCCGAGTGCAAGTATGTGTTAAATCGCTTCGAAACGAAGAAGAAGATGAAGAAGAAGAAGAAGAAGATGGAAGAGCGACGAAACGGATGGAAACGAAAGAAGAGCCCATCCACTCGGCGGCTTCAAATTGACTCTCCAACCGAATGGATCCCAGTTGGCTCCCCGTTTCATTCATTTCACCTAGATTCTGTGAAACATTTCTGGCTTTCAGAACATGATTTCTGAGACGACAATTTCTTCTTTTTTTTTTCTGCCGAACTTGTAAAACCTTTGAAAGATCACAATGCTGCTCATTCAAGACGATGTATCTCAGCTGTCTGTAGAGATATCAAAAATCAAATGCTAAAATGTACAATATATTTCAATGCGTAATTTCTCTGGATATTTCCAGTGTCGTGTGAAAGTGACTCCCCGAGCTATGCGTCGACTGTAACTCTCTGAAACTCGGAACGACCTTTGCCCTTTTCCACCGGATTCTGTCCATTCGAACCCATTATTAGGAGGTCTCTCTTCTCAATTTCCCTCCCCGCTTCTTCTTCTTTTTCTTCTTCTTCTTCTTCTCCTCCTCATTACAAATTCCGCTCATTTCGTCCTCTTTTCTTCTCAGATTGCCTCAGAATCTCTGCGTCTTCACCACCTCTCCGCTCATTTCAATAGAAAAAGAAGACGTTCGTCGAATTTCGATCAGAAATTCTTTCAGAGATTCCTCTATTCATCCGTTTGCTCGCAGCCAGAAGAAAGAAGCCATTGCTCGACCGTTTTAATAACATAGCAACCATCTCCAAGTACGAAACGAAGAGGCGAAACGAAGAAACCGATTATTATTATTATTCCTCAGGTGATATTTCTCCGTCCGTTTGCATTCCAAATCATGCATTTTGCCAGGTCTCCTATGCGCTTCGAATGTGGCTCTTTCCCTCTTTTTCTGATTTTTCTCCTTTCCCTTTCGTCCGGCAGCCAGAACTATCAGTGGTCGTACGATTCGGATGTGTTCGGAGGCCCCGACTTCTGGGGACTCGTCGAAAAGGACTGGTGGATGTGCAAGAAGGGACGGCTGCAGAGTCCGATTGACATCCAACCGGACCGGCTCCTCTTCGATGCGACCGTCAAACCAGTCAGACTGGACAAATTACCGGTATGCTCAAATATTGTGCGAATCTTGAAATGACCAAGCACATTTGCAGGTGGTTTCTGAATTCGTGAACACCGGTCAAATGGTGCGAGTCCGCATCGGATATTCATCCAGAAAACCATCGGTTAACATCACGAGCGGTCCGCTTTACGGGTATAGATATCGGTGAGGCAGAACAAAACCGGAAGCAATTCATCAAAAATCTTCTGTTTTAGGGTACAAAGAATAGATTTTCATATGGGTCGAGGTAATGAGAACGGAAGTGAGCACACGATTGACGGGCGCAGATTCCCGATGGAAGTGCAGCTCGTCGCTTTCAACACTGACTTGTATCCCAACTTCACGAGTGCCTCCAAATCTCCTCACGGAATCGCCATTTTGTCTATCTTAGTCGATGTAAGCTTTGAGATGTTCTTTACCTACTCGAACCCGTTTCTTTTTACAGTTCGGGGTTGAGACGAATCAAGAGCTGATGAAGTTGACGATTGCCACGGCGAGCATTAGCTACAAGGACCAGCGGGTACAATTGGCAGACTTTGAGCCATGGAGACTTCTTCCGTTCACTAGAGACATCATAACATACGAGGGCTCATTGACATCCCCAGGTTGCCATGAAACGGCCACCTGGATTATACTCAATCAGCCAATTTTCATTACCAAGGAACATGTTCGTGATCGTTTTATTATGTCTTTTACCTTCACTTTTTAGTTTGACGAGTGGTCTCACTTATATCTGAGTATGGATGGAGCCGAGAAAGTTCCAGTGGCTCCCAACTATCGTAAGACACAGGAGACCAACAACCGACTAGTGAGGACTAACATTCAGCACAAGGTATGCTCTAGATGTGTTCACGAAAACATTTATGATTACAGATGAGCTACAACTGTAACGTATCTGTCAATAAGATTCACTATCGTGCGAACCATTTGAATCCGCCGCCCCCACAACATTCGTCGCGCAGACACAATAACCCGATTGCCTAACATTTTTCTGTTCTTTCTTCTTGCTCAAATTCCAAAATATTTTTGTTTTCTCTATTGCAATTAATCTGTTTTTGTTCAAATTCAATCGATTTTTTATACACTTCTGAAACTACACTTGTGCACAGTCTCGTGGGTAACTAAGCAAACACACAAATGGTGACGTTAAGATTGAATGGGGTCGTCGATTTAGTGCTTCTCGCGCTCGGCCTCGAATCCAACTCCTGGCACGAACTGCTCGGACTTGTTGTGGAACAACGAGTGGTTGCCGTCTCCCCATGGGAATGGCTGAAATTGGATCCGCAATTATTTTTGGGCGAATTGGAATCTCGGAGCTTTGCTCGTCTGGTAGTTTGTTATAAACAAACACAACTCCACTTCCGTTTAATTCGAAATGCATTTGGGGGAACTCACCTTGTTACGGACGTTCAAGAAGGAATACTCGATGTGCTCCGGACGATCGTGGCTCCTGAAAACAATGAATTGTTCTGGAATACTGAAAAATTCTTACATGTGCTTCTTGTGGTCGGTGAAAGCGGCATACATGGTGAGAGCCAGGCATGGGATCGAAGCGATGAAGAAGATCTTCTTCCACGTCTCACTAGTGTCTGAAATCAGTAAAAATATGCATGTTTTTAGAAAATAATAGTCTCTACTTACTCTGGGATTGCTTCAGTGGGGTGGTGTAGGACTCCTTGAATCCGTCGACGTTGTTGGATCCGTAGAACGATCCGGACGACTTACGCTGGAAAGTCTTGATGACCGTGCGGGTGGCTGGCTGCGCAAGGCGGTTCATGTTTATACCTGTAACACAATTATTTATGAATTGAAAACGCATATGCTGCAAAAAAGCTAGAAATCGAAAAATGCAAGAAATAGCAGTGTTTAACTTAGCCGTCGGCGGATTTATGTCACGAGAAATTGGTGAAAAACAACAGGTGACTGAACAGAAAGTGCAAACTTCATGCTTTATCGAAAACTCTGAGAACCGGAAATCATTTGCTAAACAAATTACGACACTTCTAAATGGTATTCTACAACGACGATGTAAATTGAACCTGAAGTTCAAACATATAAAAAATCGATAAAAATTCATGAAATTTTGACTTTTGGGTACTTAAATTGTAGATAATGATTAGGTGAATTCGTTAATGATATACATTAACTGTTATTTGCACCGAAACCTGAAAAAAATCGAAAGATTCGCACGTGCGAACTGTTAAAAACGAGAGAAATAAAGGAGAGGCCGTCTTCGTGGCGAGACCCGCCGCAGAAATGCCATGCGCCTTTAAATCCAAGTACTTTTGGTGCTCTTCAAAACAGCTGAAAATGGATGAAATCAGTTAAAAGTCGGGAGAAAAGTTGGAAATAAGCCAATCAACCCACAAAAAAATTTTCATAAAAATCGGAAAGTTTCATGCAAAGTTATCTGAATAAAGGCGATTCTTCCTGTTTCCTGAAACTTTTATCATTATCTGTTAGAGGCTCTCTCGACCTTCAAAATCTAGCCCCATGTTATCTCATTTCAGAATTTGCCTGAATTTCTGGTCAGAAAAGAGAAAAGAGCGATGGAGACTAAGCCCCGCCCACCTCACGAGTAATGCATAGCGGAGGGCGGAACCCGTGACATGTCTGTCGCTCTACTAGTAGGCTCTATATTAACGCACGCCGTCTATGTCGTCGTGTTCTTCCGAGAACATATACTAAAATTGGAACACACCGTAAAACGGGAAATCCCAGAGTGATCCCGTTTCAAGAGTGATCCTACACTAACTTCTCAGTGATCCCGTTTTGTTCAGTAGCTCTTCACTAATCTTTCGCTCATCGCGTTTCACTCATGCTTCGCTAATTCCTCACTGCGCTCCTCAGTAATCACAGGTAAAACGCGAGGCATGCATTATGCAACTCATGTGGATCGCGCGTGCAACTTATTAGTACGGTAAACGCATGCACAGCTAACGCACGTTTGTGGCACGAGGAAGCATTATGGAGGCACGGCGGAGCGACGCTCGCCCTCCGCTCCCCTCCTTGCTTGCCCTCCGCTCCTCTCCCCTCCTCGCCCCGCTTCCCTTCATTTCCCACACAAAAAGAATGATTAGAGAACAATTTCATGTAGAAACAACAAAATTACATCAAAAATAGAATAGAATAGGTTATGCGAAGAAAAATTATCAGAACGACGGACTCAGACAAATCAATTCGAATTTAAATAGGTTGCGTTAGAAACTAAGATCATCTAATTATGGGGCTATTCAGCGTATGTTTGTTTTCCGCTTTTTTTACACCGCTGAATTGGGTTTTTTGTAAACGGAAAAAAATAAACGGAAAAAAAATGATTTTTTTCACAGCCTGAATAACCCTATTAGACGTGGTTTTACCTAATTTGTTCTAATTAGATTCGAATTGATTTGTCTGAGGAAGCAGCAGAAGTGATCACCTCACTTGTCGGCGTTCCGCACGGTGCTCCAGTTGGCGCTTCGGTCGGCCTTCCTGTCGACGCTCCAGTTAGCGTTCCGTTCGGTTCTCCAGTTGCTTCTCCAGTCGGCGATCCGATCGATGTTCCGTTCCGTGTTCCAGTTGGCGCATCGCTCGTCGTTCATGTCGGTGTTTCTCTCGCTATTCTCGAGTTTCCGTTGATTCTCGGTGATCACCTGAAAAGCGCAATTGGAGTGTGTTGAAACGGTCTTCGAAAATACTTACTCTTGCACTTTGCCGCCTGTCCTCCCAACTTCTCTTGCCGATTGGCTGCGATCTGCACGCTCGCCATGTTCTGCTTCTGAATCGGTCCGAGAATCATGAGTGTTCGATCTCGAAGACGGCTTTTCTCGTGCCTCATCTGTAATCAAATAAGAATATTTCAAAAAAACTGGAGACCAAGTAACCTGATAATTGGCCGACACCGTTGCATTCGACCGGCATTTTTCATTGAGTCGCTTCATGTTCTCGGGGCTTACAGACGGAATTTCGTGGCACTCTTAACAATTTGAAGTTAAAACTATTACAATTAGAGAAAATTACCTGAAAGCGAAGAAAAGCAGTCGAAAATGTGGAAAAAACAGTGAAAACCCGATGAAATTAGAAACAAGAATATGTGGACGGGGCATGAGTTTTCGGCCGCCGGCCCTCTTCCCCTGCATATTCCCTCCACGCGCGATCCACGGGCGACGCTTGCCTCATTAGGAGCGGGAGATCGGCAGCTAGCACCTTGATGTTCACTTGTCGCTCTCGCGTCCACCCTTACCGAAATTACCTGAGTCTTTCCCTTCTCCATGCTCTGAGCGACTTAAGTTTTACCTAATCAATGTGATAGATTCTCCCGCACGACTTAAGTTTTACCTAATCAATGTGATAGATACAGTCGATATTGATAATGATGACCATCTTGACTTTCCTTAAAATCCTTTCCCGTACATTCAAGAGGACATATCTCAGCTGCAAGAGGACATATCTCAGCTGCAAAAAGTAGTCAACTAAAAAAATGCTCACTAAAACATTTTGTACATGTCATCAGTTGACCACTTTTTTTGATATCTCTACAGACAGTTGAGATACACTGGACGGAGCGCACTGTTCCTGCTCGGAACTTTGTGAATCCGTCTTGCTTGCAATAGCAGCAAATGAGCTGTTTCCGTTGGCGATGTTGGCATTATGCATCCATAATGCATCCACGGCCAACGGCGAACAGCGACAGCCGCTCGAACTGATAAGGCATATTCCTTCCACGCGCGATCCGTGCGTTCTAGAGGACAGTAACGCATATTTCATGCACGCGCGAAGCATATTCCCGTTTCTGTGCGCTGTGGATCCATGCTATATGCATGCACCTCCACGGTTTCTCCACGGTGTTCGCATAATGCATGCCTCGCGTTTTACCTGTGATCGGACAGTGATTCCTCACTGCTTAGCGTCCCCTTCAGTGACTGTTCACTAACCGATTACTGATTTCTGGCTAATCAGCGTCTACTCGGTGATCGCTCGGTAATCCCCGAGTGTTCCCGTTTTTCCTGTGCAATACACGGAAGATTAGCATGGCCCCTGCGCAAGGATGACACGCAAATTCGTGAAGCGTTCCAAATTTTTCGTGAAATTTGTAATATTAGAATGACGTTTTGAAGGACAGCTGGCCAGTTCCATTTCGGGGTGCTCTCTTGAAATTGGAGCCAACGTCAATTTAATATAAATAACCGTTATTTAGTTTCCAGCATGCCTGGGCAATTGGCCGGCACGGGCTTTCGTTGGCCGGCTCTTGACCTGGACTTTTGAACCACTTGAAATATTCCGATCGGACCCAAACTTTGCAGGATTGTTGGACTTGGATTGAGGGCCATTGGGACCAAGTTTCAGCCCGATCAGATCGGCGGGTCCCGAGCCTCAGGTAAAATTTCAACTTTTCTTGGCTCTTCTGAAGACATTCTCAAACTTTCTCAAGACAAACAACTTTTCCAAGACCTTTTCAAACTTTCTGAAGCACTAAAAACTTTTCTAAGCCTTTCTTAAACTTTTTAAAGAAATTCTCAGACTTTTTCAAGAAATTCTCAAACTTTTTCTAGCCGAAATTATTTCAAACTTTCTGAAACTTTTCTAAGCAATCCTCAATCTTTCTCAAGAAAAGTTTTGAAGAGGAATTCCTAGGCCACGAAGATTTGGACTCCTCGTGGACAACAATGATATGTGGATCATTGACCGATTTTTTCCAAAGAGCCCGGGCTTCCGGCCAATTTCGGCCAATGATCCACATATCTCGGGACCAGATGATCCGATCGGGCTGAAACCTGGTCCCAGTGTGCTTCAATCCATGTCCAACAATCTTGCAAAGTTTGGATCAGATCGGAATATTGCAAGTGGTTCAAAGGTACAGTTCAAGGGTCGGCGAACGAAAAGCCCGTGCCGGCCAATTGCCCAGCCTTGCTTTTAGAAGAAGATGTCAATTTATGGCTCATGTCCTCTAGGTGTTCCCGAACATGCAACTTGAGTAAATAAAAATAGGAAGAACCTTAATTATAAAAAGATAAATACGATTTTCAATTATTTTTATTCGGTGCAATAAAAACTACCGGAAATATTACACAACTGTTCAGTGAATACATGAAAAAATCAAAATTGACGGAATGGGATTTACGAGTTCTTCTGTGGAACCTTGATGGTGACCGTCTTCACTTCGGTGTAAGCTTCCAGTCCGTACTCTCCGAGTTCGCGACCGATTCCTGAAACAATCGGAAATGTCATCCGACTCTTTCTGAATGATACGCTTACCAGACTGCTTGAATCCTCCGAATGGCGCGGCGGCATCGAACACATCATAGCAGTTGACCCAAACTGATCCAGCTCTGGTCGTGTTGGCAAGGTGCAGGGCTTTGTCGAGATCCTTGGTCATGATTCCGGCGGCGAGTCCGTAGATCGTGTTATTGGCCTTCTCAACAAGCTCCTCCATGCTGTCGAATCGGATGACGCTCATAACTGGACCAAAGATTTCCTCCTGGGCAATGGTGTGGTTATCCTTAACGTTGGCGAAGATGGTCGGCTGAACGAAGTATCCCTGATCTCCGTGCTTCGATCCTCCGGTGACGAGCTGAGCTCCGTCCTTCTTTCCGGAGGCGATGTATTTGAGAATGGTCTCCACTTGCTTTCCATCGACTTGTGGTCCCTGAGTGGTCTTCACGTCGAACGGATCTCCGATGACGGCTTTCTCGGCTAGAGCCTTCGAGCGAGCGACGAACTCGTCATAGATCTTTCCTTCGACGAAAGTTCTCGATCCGGCGCAGCAGCACTGTCCTTGGTTGAAGAAGAGTCCGTGGTTGGCTTGACGAACAGACTCATCGAGGTCAGCATCGGCGAAAATGATGTTCGGGGACTTTCCTCCCAACTCCAGCGTCACCTTCTTCACATTGGACTCAGCGGCGGCCTTCATGACGAGTCTTCCGACTTCCGTGGATCCAGTGAAGGCGACCTTATCGACGTCCATGTGCGAGGAGATCGCCTGTCCGGCGGTGTGTCCGTATCCCGGAATGATGTTGACGACTCCATCTGGGAATCCGGCTTCCTTGGTGAGAGCGGCGACGTGTAGAGCCGAGAGAGGAGTCTGCTCGGCGACCTTCATGACGACAGTGTTTCCCATGGCAAGGGCTGGACCGAGTTTCCAGGCCTGCATGAGGAGCGGGAAGTTCCATGGAATGATTTGTCCGCAGACTCCGACCGGTTCGTGGCGGGTGTAAGTGAAGTAGTCTCCCTCGATCGGGATGGTCTTTCCGTGGTTCTTGTCGGCCCATCCGGCGTAGTAACTAAAAGGGAACGTGTCAGAATGCGAGCTGGGGAGTGAGCATGATACCGGAGAGCCTTGATGGAAAGGGGAAGATCAGCGTTGTAGGCGACGGCATACGGCTTTCCGTTGTCCAGCGACTCGAGGGAAGCGAGAATGACACGATCTCTTTCCATGAGATCGGCCAGTCTGTTGAGGAGGACTCCTCTCTGGGAGGCGTCCAGCCGTCTCCACTCACTTCCGATACGGAACGCATTCTGAGCAGCCTGAAAAGCACATGGAATTGAGGCGGAGAAGAATCGGTCTGTCGCACCTTGACAGCGATATTAACGTCGGCCTTGTCTCCCTCGGCAACGTTGGCGATGACCTTTCCGGTGGCTGGGTTCACGGTTTCAAAAGTCTTTCCAGATTTGGCCTTCACGAATTCGTTGTTGATGAAGATCTGAAAGTCATTACATTTGATACTTGATTGTCGAAACTCCGTGGATTCTCGGTCCCCCAACAGACCATCCACCAGTTTGTTTGTCGAGTTCATTGTTCATTTCGACCCGACCACGTTGCTGCGATCATATCAGCTTGTCTTTCTCTCTTTTCCGTTTTATCATCATTTTGGTCGGTCGTACTCTGTGCACTGGTCACGTTCGCTACGCCAGCACTCCCAGATAGTGCTAATTTCTCGGAGAGCACAGAGACGATGGATAGCAGAGAAACGTTGTCAGCACGTGGTCGGGTGGAAAACAGAAGTGAGTGCGGATCAACGGGATCAGTGTCTTTCTGACAAGCGCGTGTTCCCTCGCCGATGTATGAATGCCACTCTTCTTGCAGATCGCTTCAAGGCTGACCGCCGAAAACGACGATAAAGATCTTTATCGCATGTTTTCGAATAAAGTTGAACGAGGAGGGAAACTCACGCCTGTGTACTGAGGAGTAAGATTGGAGAGGCCTGGGGGCACTCCGGAGGCGTTTCGGACTTGGGAATGGGCACGGAGGACAGAGCGGAGCATTCTGCAAATTCGATATGGGAAAGAGTAAAACTATAAACAAAAGAAGAAAACGAATAGTAAACTGATTTCAGTCGAGTGACGGGCGATAAAAATGTAGAATTGTGATAAGAAAATGACCGATTAAAAATTAGAGACAAAGTTTTCAGGAATGTCAAACGTGTCTAAAGCTCGATCTTCGACACTTTTCAATGACATAATAACGTGCCAACTGGCGAATCTCTGACGGAGCGATTGACTGGAGAGTGAGCGCCTAGACATCTATGTGCTGCGGTAAAAGCAGTAACTGGTGAGAGCTAGGAACTCGTGCCATTCCAAAAAGAACTAAAGATTGCGAGAATGGACAAACAGACGGGACGAAAAAGAGATAAGAGAACACTGAGCGGGCAGAAAGGGAGGAGTCGAAAGGGGCGGGACGAAAGGGACGGCTGCACACACTCAGAGAAACACTTTCATCAGAAACAACAAAAGTTTGGGCGAAAAGAGTATGAGAAAGAAGATGAAGCACATGGGAGGGCAGCAACAAGAACCGAAGATCAAGGGAAAGCGTTGAAAAATGTGTTGGACACCGCACACAACATACATTTAAACGGATCTTTTCATGCAATTTCGGGCACATTTCGTTTCATGAATTCTCGTGATTCACAGCAAGGAGAAGAGAATAACAGAAACATTCGCGGATGGAAAACAATGTTTGACGGAAATGTTTACACTTTTCAGTTTATGGAAAAGACGTTTGAGAAGCTCTTCTCGACGAGAAAAAACGAAGCAAATTATTGGCGGCAAAATTCAAATTGAATATGGCGCCACGCTCGTGCAATAGAGCGCATTTACACCTTCGACAGGAAAACGTCGAAAAATTGAGAAGGGAGGGAAAAAAAATGTATTTATTGTGACAGACTACAAGTTTTCGTACATCTCTCCTCAGCGTATCCGTCGACGTCGTCCTCGGCGGTAGCCTCCTGGTACTGCTGGTACTCCGAGATAAGGTCGTTCATGTTGCTCTCGGCCTCGGTGAACTCCATCTCGTCCATTCCCTCGCCAGTGTACCAATGAAGGAAGGCTTTGCGGCGGAACATAGCGGTGAATTGCTCCGAGATACGCTTGAAGATCTCCTGGATGGCAGTCGAGTTTCCGACGAAGGTGGCGGCCATCTTGAATCCACGTGGTGGGATGTCGCACACGGCAGTCTTGACGTTGTTCGGGATCCATTCGACGAAGTACGAGGAGTTCTTGTTCTGGACATTGAGCATCTGCTCGTCGACTTCCTGCAAATATCATTTTTAGTTCTGTTTGGTTGCTCGTCAGTGACTTACTCTCATGGACATGCGTCCACGGAACATGGCGGCGACCGTGAGGTACCTTCCGTGTCGTGGGTCGCAAGCGGCCATCATGTTCTTGGCGTCGAACATCTGTTTGGTGAGATCGGCAACGGTGAGGGCACGGTACGCCTAAGTTTTCTTGTCGCAGAGTGGGGCGAATCCTGGCATGAAGAAGTGGAGACGTGGGAACGGCACCATGTTCACGGCCAGCTTGCGGAGATCGGCGTTGAGTTGTCCTGGGAAGCGGAGGCAGGTGGTGACTCCAGACATAGTCAAGGACACTGAAAACGTCAAATTAGAAACTATAAGTAATAGTTGAACTGAATACCGAGATGGTTCAAGTCTCCATAGGTCGGGTTAGTGAGCTTTAGGGTTTTGTGGCAGATTTCGTAGAGGGCCTCGTTGTCAATGCAGTAGGTCTCGTCGGTGTTCTCGACGAGCTGGTGGACGGAGAGGGTGGCGTTGAACGGCTCAACGACGCACTCGGATACTTTCGGCGACGGCACGACCGAGAATGAGCTCATGATTCTGTCCGGGTACTCCTCACGGATCTTGGAGATGAGAAGGGTTCCCATTCCGGACCCGGTTCCTCCTCCGAGAGAATGGGTCATCTGGAATCCCTGAAGGCAGTCGCATCCTTCGGCCTCCTTGCGAATCACGTCGAGAACATTGTCGATGAGCTCGGCTCCCTCTGTGTAATGCCCTTTGGCCCAGTTGTTTCCGGCCCCGGACTGTCCGAATACAAAGTTGTCCGGACGGAAGAGCTGTCCGAAGGTACCAGAACGGGTGGCGTCCATGGTTCCCGGCTCTAGATCAACGAGAATGGCGCGAGGAACGTACTTACCTCCTGAAAAGAAACATTCTGCAAGTGGTCAGTCTATGGGAACACTGACTCTTTCCTTCGTTGAAGTAGACGTTGATTCTTTCCAGCTGAAGCTCGCTCTCCCCTTTGAAAGTCCCGTCGGGCTGAATTCCGTGCTCCTCGGAGATTACTTCCCAGAATTTGGATCCAATTTGGTTTCCACACTGCCCAGCTTGAATGTGCACGATCTCTCTCATCTTGTATTCAGACGGAACTGATGTTGAAAAGGACAGAATCAATAAAAAGGGAGTGAAGTCAGAACAGGTCGATGTCAGTTCACGTGCAACGAGAAGGATTCATCGAAAGTTTAGTCAGTTCGATCCATTGGATTCCACCGGATCCGATCGAGCAGCGACGCGAACTGAAAGCTGTAAATTGCATCTCATAAATACATATTTCAAGCTTTAATTGAGTACAATAGTCTAAAAGAACACAGGAAATGTATGAAATCTGTATTCGGCTGAGTCATTTCGGAATGATAACAGAACCCTCGGTTAGTCATGAAACGGTGCTTTCGTGGGTTTGTTTCAGATCAGCAGTCATTCCCTGCGAAGTGAACCGGTCATTCCTTCCTTCTCGTAAAAGATAAGAACAACATCAAAACGTTATCAATCCATTCGGTGGTTTCGATCAGTGTCAAGAGAAAGGTCATAATAAAACTGACGTTTCGGAATGGATCGGTTTCGGTTACAGAGGGGGACTCGGTTTGAATTCAAGGTCTCGTCGAACTTTGCTTGCTCACCACACCCAGACGCTCTTGTGACCTGTCTGTTTTTCAAGATCATCCGCCTCCCCGAATCATCAAACATCAGGCATTCTTCGCTTTTCCAACACATCATCCCATATCAAACGGCCACTTGAACTAAAGAATCTCTAACCCATTGAAAGGTCATTTGCGGTCAGTCAGTTGCCTTTCTTTCCAATTGCTTCCCAATTTCCTTCCTCTTTCCGTACCAGGTCACGAAACCAGCAAAACAGAGAAGAAAAAAAAGCGCGCTTCTGTAGCTGTATCATCTTTTATTCTCGTTTTTCTCAGGGATCCTTCCATCTGCCTCTTCTTCTTCTCTATTTTGCTGAAAAAGTTGCTATTAAAATGGCAGGCAGAAGAAGTCACTTTGCGATTCAATTAGACGCTTTCTCCGTCCGTCCGTCCGTCCGTCCTACTTCACACTCCGAGCTGTTTTCCCTTCAATTTTTGTCGTTTTTGTTGTCTTTTGATTTGTTCGTCAGCAGCTGACCTTCAAAACCCAAAAAAAGAAAAGGGTTTCGGAACGAATCAAAATGGAATGGAAGGCGGAAAGAAGAAGAAGAAGAAGAAGGAGAATGAGAAGAGACTAATTGCCCGCCCATTTTGCAGTGACTTCGGCGGTGGTCATTCTCGACGAATATTACCTGACTATGAGAAAAAGCTCTCGGGGTTACTGTAGCTCTATCCTCTTTCTCTCTTCGCATAATTGTCTGAACAAGTTCATAATTCCCATTCAGCTTCAAAGCCGATAATCAGATATTTACGGCTTCTGCTTATATACCAACTTGACTCTCCTCTTTTTGCAGATCATGAACGTTCTTTCCCTTCTTCTTCTTCTCCTGCTCTCCGTTCTCCTCGTCAGTGCTCAAATCCAGCCGAGAACGTGAGTGAAGCCTCCCAGACACCCCGCAATCCCCTGTTTCCAGGTCTCCCCGTCGCACAATCCTCCGCCCGATGACTCGCAATTCGGGTAAAGGTGAACTCCCCAACTATTTCAGTCATTCTCTGTTTTTTCAGTTGGCCGAAGAGGTCCAGTCCCTCCTGCTCCCGTTCGTTCCCAGCCGCAGAAGGTCGTTCGTGAGTCGTGGGAATGAATTCGCATCTGGTAGAATAAACGGTTTCCAGATTCGCCAGGATTCAAGCCGCCAGTCGGAGTTGCGAAGAAGTTGAATGAAGCCGTTGACTTCAGAGCTCTTGCACGAGTCCTCTTGAAGCAATAATCTCCCGTTACTGCCTGTTTTTGTGTGCTTTATATATAGTTTCTTTCAGGTAACTAGCAAGTGTGTGAATAATAAACGTTTTTTGAGAAAAAACAATCTGAGTGAATGAATCAACGAGGGTAACCGGCGGGAATTCAACCGTAAAGAAGGGCATTCAGAAATTGGTCTATGGCAAGTCGGCCGTTGAGTTCATTGAACACACGTCTTTGTTGTGCGGAGAGCACCGGTCGGAGCATGTACTGGAGGTGTTGGTGGTAGAGAAGCCAATCGAGTCCGTGTTCGCGAGAGAGCCGCATCTGAGAAAAGAGGAATTGCATGAGCACAGACCGATGAATCACGAACAAAGTTTTCGATGCAATGCTTAGGAGTGTACTCATATCCTGCAAACAGTGAGGGATTGTCCAACAACCCGTTCGCCGCCATTATCCCGTCGACGCCTGTTTGTTGAGCCAGAAGGAGAGCTTCGTCCCGAGTCGTGATTCCTCCGTTGGCAATGATTGGAATGCCAACGGATTCGTTCACTATCCGAATAGCTTCGACATCAATTGGATCTGCTCGTTGTGAAGGCGTTCTTCCGTGAACCGTGAGATGAGTGACTCCAGCGGCTTCTGCCTGGAGACAACTAATTCTTGTTATCATTACGGACGCGTACTCACCTTTCTACATAAATCGACGGTCTTCTCAATATCTTGATTAACTCGAATTTTCAGAGAAACACTGAAATCGGGGTCGGGGACTCGTGCTCTTGTCTGTCGAACCATATCTGCGAGAAGCTCTGGTTTGCCCAAAAGAGCACTTCCGAATCCTTTGGAACGGACGTCGTGCTTTGGACATCCGCAGTTCAGATCTACTCCTGTGGAACACCTGAGGGAAAAGTGACGTTTAACGAAGCTCGCAGCAAATGTGTTTATTTACTTGTACACCATTTCTGCAGCTTCTGCGAGAGCAAACGGATCGTCTGTGGCAAACTGAACGATTAGTGGGGAGTCTCCTAAAAATCACTTTTTTTGCGGCTTTATTGCTATTCGTACCTTCACAAACTGACAATTCGCTGTTTCTGCATTTTTCTGATTCAATAAAGTTTTTTGCGTAAATCATCGGAGTGAAACAGACGTCAACGTCGTATAACCTGACCAACTGACGGAACGCGAGCCTGAGCATGGTTTTGAGCTACGGAGAAGGCGGGAAAATACTTACTTTGAGTACCTAACCATCGGAGCCAAATAGAACTTCGGTCGAGGAAAATTTCCATCATTTTCGAAACGTTTTTCCCGAGGTTCCATGTTGAAAATTGAAAAAAAAATGAAAAATCGCGACAAGTCCGAGAGGAGTGCGCAGCGTGATTTCTAGTCCAAGTATAAGAAAACTCGGCCAACTAGTGAAACTCGGATTTTCAGCAGAAAACAGACTGAAATTGGGATTGATTCCAAGGAAAAGGTCCAGGAGAAGATGATCAGACGAGAATACGTCATCTCTCTGTTGACAAAAGCGCTTAAAATTGCTCCAAGAGCAGAGAGTAAACCGAAAGTGCAATGTTTCTGAAGCTCACACATGACGTAACATAGCCAGAATTGAGGTTAATTCGAAAAGCAACAATAAATTTGAGGGCATCGAGGCATAAAAATGAGAACTCTCGCAGTGAGAGCCACCAGCGAGTTCCTATTTTCGCATTCCGAATGGTGCTCGTCGCGTCGCCCGAATCAAACCGAAGATGGTGCACATTACTATTGGACCGCGAGGAATCGGGCACGAGTCCGCGGAACGGAGCAGTCTCGCCAAGCCCGGAGATTGTGTATACGGTAGGCGGAGAAAAAGCAGACATGTGGGTGGGAGTTTGAACTTCCGATGAACAATAGCGTAGCAATGTAGGGACCACTTTCGGGAGCGAGTAAAAAGGACCCCTGGGGAGCAGGTGAATGTTCTGCAACTCTGTTTAACGGGGAAGACGTTTTTAGTCGGGGCTTGTCTGCTCAACTTTCATTCGTGATTTTGTGTCGTGTTCGAGTGTGTTTCAAGACAAACTCATCTTTGGCACTTTTTTCTTCTGCCTTTAGAGTTTCGAGCTCTAACGTTTAAAAAAAACGTTTCGATATTCCTTCCGGTGTGAATGACTACCAGACTTTGTAACAATTTCCGAAAGTTCTGCCGATATGTTCACAGTGAACCCAAATGATCTCATAAACGATATTTAGTATCATCTCTCGTGATAGCCGTATAATCACCAAACTTACATGACCACGGTATCTTTTTTCATAGGGGAATGGAAAAAGAGAAGATCCGATTTGCTCATTCTCCGAATTGTGCTGCACTCTTTTTGCTTGTTATTCTTCAATTCGCCGCCTGAATTGACTGCTGCACCAGACGGCGCCATTCGAATTTCGCCGACTGAAAACATTTCACAGCATAGAGAAAAAGTAGTTCCGCATTCGAGAATCGACTTCTGATTAGCTTCAGTGCTCACAGAGTGAACGGTGTGTGGTGCTCTTGAGTAGTGTGCTCCCCAAAAAGGAAGAATTCGACGGAAACATTTCTGCCATTTCCATTTCCATTCCACCGCCGAGGTCCTCCACAATTACCTTTTCACCTTTTCTTTTCGTTTCCTCCTTCTTTTCCTTTTCCGAGAGCAGTTTTTTTCCGGCTCAAAGTGGCTTGCCGCCCCTTTTTTCCTCAGAATTAGACTCCGCTCGAAAGGAAGCGAGAGCACAGCGACGAAACTAAATCGCAGAACTGCTCCCTCAGAACCCACCATTCCATTCCGTTTTACTTCTTTTCCCTGAAAAATGATGAACGAATTCGAAAAGGTACGTGGTGTTTAAAGGGGAGATTTCACTTTCGAAAATACTTTGGGTAGTCATCCGAGATTACTGTAGGCGATTCGGCAGAACAATCTGAAGCTGTTACGTAATTTGGCGACCGTGCAGTTGTTCACCGGAGTGGCTCCGTCCGCGGAGCAGAATGAGGTGGAGGCGAAACAGTTTGCATGGATAACCATTATGATGTCAGTGTTGTAAACGAATGATTAATTGGATGGAGATGGAAGACTTGGAAGAGAATGTTCATAAAAGCACGTTCATAAAAGCATGATTCATGTAACCCCAGAGTAACCTTCAAATATATTGTTGTCTTCTGAATCCTTCGAAGAATTCTCTAACCATTTATAGGAGAATCGGCGGTACTTTGCCGACCAGGAATTCCGTCGTCCACGTCACAAACCGGATCAGAATATGGTGGAGTACTGGGTGCCTCCGGAAAAGGCGCAACCGCCTAAGAAGACCACAAACGGGCAGGCTCCTCCGACGGGACAGCCACGGAAGGTTTGGTCCCAATGACTCTTGACGAAAACATACTATTCACAGATCAACCAAGTGTGCCCGACGAGCGCACCGAATGGGAAACGAGCCATGAAAATTCCGAAAGTGAAGGAGCCACGCGGAGAGAATTCGAGCAAAAAGAGTTCGGCAGGTGAGGAGAACGAGGGGGGAAGGGACCGGAAATGTCAGCTTCGAAACCGATAGCCATTGACTTGCGAGTAGTATTCTTATTCGGTCTCTAGTTTTTTGCCCCTCTAGTTCTTTCTTCAGATCAAGCACCCAGCGCCTTTCGAGTCATGTACTGGAAAGTCGGAAAGTACTTTGCAAAGGCTGGCGAGGCAGTTAATCATCAATACCAGAAAGTCCGAATGTTCAGGAATCGAATGAAAGCGAACAAAGTTGCTCCGATTCACACGAAGTCAGCTCTCTCTTTCTCTCTTCCCTTCCCTTTCTCTTCCCATTTTTCACTAATTCTGATTCACTTCAGAGTCCAGTCCCGGCATCTGGAGCTCGAGCCGCTGTGCTGTCTGTCCTCGTGCCTGGTCCGTGGCGGTTGCACCACCGTCGTCGTCTTCGAACTCTGCTACGTCGTCGCCACCGCTCTTTGCATATTCGAGGCGTTCTTCCGCAAGAAGTTCGCTCTCTGGGAGCCCCTCCCCAAGTCGTTCAATGGCTGGTTCGCCCATCCCATCTTCTACTACTCTATAGCTTTCTATGATATTGTGAGTCTGCCCGTTCCCCCTTCGAACTCTCTCCTTTCCCATTTCAGTCGCTCTTCATAATCGCTGTGGCAACTGCTCGAGCTCTCGTCAATTTCGACAAAATGACTCTTCGTGTCCACTATTTCTTCTGCTTCTTCTCTTTCTTCGTCAATCTCATCTTTCTCGTGTTCAGTGTGTGGACGCTCGCAAGCACCGGCCCACTCACTTTCACTCCCATCAATTGTTTGCTCATCTTCTGTTTCCTCTATCAACTTCCTCTTCAGATCTGGGCAGTTACCGTAGTCCGTAGCTGTCGAGACTTTTTCGCTCTGATTCATGTGTTCGTTTCCCTGGCCGAGTCTTGATAATCTTTGATCGTCTGTTTCAATAAACTTGGAGGGGATTCTTTATGAGCATAATCGAATCAGTGCCCCTCACGGAAAGTCAAGCCCCGTTCGAAGCTATCATTCGCTTCCGAGATGGTTTCTCGGAACGTTCTCGTTATTCTCTTCTTCTCAATAGCAGTTTCTGCTTCAGCGGAAGAAGTGACAAACAGTTCGAGTTGTCAAAAATATGACGACGAAGTTGCTCTCGTGGAGTATTTCATGAAGATCACCACTCCATCGAACAACTTCACGCTTTACAAACCAAATGGTAAAAGGGAATACTCAACCGTAAATCATATATAATTTCAGATGTGATCTCTTTCAATGACAACGAAGTCGGAAAGCTCGCAATTTTCTTGTGTGCAAGAATTGATCTCGTTATTGAGGTGGTTGGCAGCTCCCCATTCATTGACGCACGATCGCGCAGATCGAACTATTTCTCCATTGTGGATTACATTGGTAGGCAGACACTGGAGTGCGAATGAAAACGAACAGAATTTAAGTGAAAGGACGGCGCCCCGAAACGGAATACGGCTTCCTCCACCTAAACTTCACAAATGGTGAGAAGAAGACTTCGTTCGATGTTGTTCTGAAACTCCAATTGAAATCGGCGCCTGCGAAACTTTCGTGGGAGAAGGATTTCGAAGACTTCAGAAAGAGTCAAGGAGTGGAAGCATTCCATCCTCCTACGCCACGTTGTCCGAGAGAACAGAACGCAACAAATACGCTTAATCTGAGGGAAATCATTGTCAGAAGCATGTTGAGGTTATTTCTTATTGATCGTTATCCTGCCGGCGAAAGAGTTTTATATTTCGATATGATTAAAACCAAAGAAGACGTCACGTTCAACATGACACTGTCTGGAAATGCGCCGAATGCACTCACGCGTTCTTGGTCAGTCAACACGTATGGCCTCGCAGTGTGCGACACGGTGCTCGAGCCTGTCACAGAAGGGAATTGGATTTTGCAATTGGAAGGAGGATTGGCGTCAAACAATAGTGTTCAAACCGTTGAAAGTCTGGTTTCTGCGCTCTCTAAGATGAACTTGCCGGACCTGAAAACTGGGAAGACTGAGATTGAGAGAGTTGTCCTCTACAGAGATCAGGAGTCAACGAACCGTGTTTACACTCCTCAAAACGACATTTTCAAAGTTTGGAGGAAACAATTGCCAGACGACGTTTTGTTCGAAGATGAGCTTGTGTTTGTGCTGAAGGGAACTGGAAACAAGATCAAGTGAGGCGCCCAGTGTTCCGCCTAATCATTCAAAGTTTTCAGACTGACGGCAACCAGCAAGCAGACGGGAGGAGTCTTTGTCGCCTACGGAAACCAGCTCGAACATCGAGTCGTCACGATTCCATTCGAAGGAGTCAGGAACAGTTTGGAATATGAAGAGTTGGAAGTCGTTGTGGAGAACGAAGAGTCGAAAGAGACACGGACTTATACAGTGACTGTCGTTTTCTCACTAGAAGCCTCTGCTTCAGCGGAAGAAGCGACGAACAGTTCGAGTTGTCAAACGTACGGGGACGAGGTGGCTTCAGTGGGCTATTTCATGAAGATCACCACTCCATCGGAGGCCTATACACTCTATAAACCAAACGGTAAAAGGGAATATTCACTTGTGACTCTTGTGAATATACAATTGCAGATGTTATCTATTTCGATGAGAACGAAGTCGGAAAGCTCGGAGTTTGGATGTACTCAAGTAGTGTAGTCACTATGGAGGTGGTTGGAAGCTCTCCATTCATCGATGCAAGCACTCGCTACACGCAGTATTTCTCCATTGTGGATTACATTGGTAGGTAGGCGCTAGAGTAGGAATGAAAACGAACAGAATTTAAGTGAAAGGACGGCGCCCCGAAACGGAATACGGCTTCCTCCACCTAAACTTCACAAACGCTGCGAAAATGACTTCATATGATGTTGTTCTGAAACTCAAGTTGAAATCTGCGTCAGCGAAACTTTCGTGGGAAAAGGATCTCGAAGATTTCAAAAAGAGTCAAGGAGTGGAAGCATTCCACCATCCTCCTCCACGTTGTCCGAAAGACCCGAACGTAAAAAATTATGCTAAAATGAGGGAAATCATTGTGAGAAGCATGCTGAGGTCATTTCTTATTGATCGTTATCCTGCCGGCGAAAGAGTTTTATTTTTCTTGGAGCTGACAGAAAGTGATAACTATCTGGTCAACATAACATTGGCTGGAACTTCACCGAATGCGCTCGCTCAATCTCATTCCATCAAGGCGGATAGCCACGCGTTGTGCGAATCGGTATTCGAGCCAGTCATGGAAGGGAATTGGACTTTGACGGAGGAAGGAGGCGGCGTGTCATCAACTTTTGATGTGATAACCACCGGAAGCCTGGTTTCTGCGCTCGCAAAGATGAACTTGCCCGATCTGACAACTGGGAAGACTGAGATTGAAAGAGTTATCCTGTACAGAGATCACGAGTCAACGAACCGCGTTTATACTCTTCAAAACGACGTTTTCAACATTTGGAGGCAACCATTAGGCAATGTTTGGTTCGAAGATGAGCTTGTGTTTGTGCTGAAGGGAACTGGAAACAAGATCAAGTGAGGTGCTCCCAGCGTTCCGCCTAATCATTCAACGTTTTCAGACTGACGGCAACCAGCAAGCAGACGGGAGGAGTCTTTGTCGCCTACGGAAACCAGCTCGAACATCGAGTCGTCACGATTCCATTCGAAGGAGTCAGGGACAGTTTGGAATACGAGAAACTGGAAGTGATCGTCGAGAACGAATACACCGAAGAGAAGCGGACGTACATTGTCAATGTGCGGACAGGAGAGGAGAGAGAAATCATTGACGGAGAGGATGAGGAACTTGTTGAAGAGGATGGATTCTCGGTTATCGAATGATTCTGAACCCCTTCTGATGATAAATAATTCACTTCAAAACTTGCATCTTGAGTTAATCTTTCCGTCCCAACAGCGCCCTCCGCGTGAACTGTCCCGTTCCTGTGTCCTTCCGATTCTCCTTCTTCTTCCGATTTCCGTTCAGTTTCACTTCAACTCGTCTACTCGGATCCCCTTCTCTACTCGGAGACAATCCTATCATGAAAAACGAACTCGCCAAGGTACACCCTGTTTTCTTTGCACACAACTCGCGTCTCTTCAGAAGAAAATCGCCTCTCCGAAGAGATCTGAGGCGTCGAAGAAGTCCAAGTCGAAGAAGTCCAAGTCGAAGACTCGGAGAACTGGAAAATCGGAGAAGAAAAAGGGAGGATTCTTCGGGTGTTGCGCCAAGAAACGCAAAGTGAAGCGCTCGTCGAAAAGCCGTTCGGTGACCAAAAAGAGGGCCGCCGCCCCGAAGAAAGTGCCGGTGTCTCCGAAGAAAACCGACGTCAAGTCGCAGAAGTCGTCAAAAAAAGTGACAAAAGAAGGTTCTGCTCGGAGTGGACCGACTGGAAAGGCGCCGAAAAAGCCCGGAAAGTCCCGTCAGGAGGAGATTCCGAAAAGGGCCGCCATCGGAAAGACTGTTCCTCCTCCTTACGTGCCGGTTCCGCTTTCCGCGTCTGCTCGGCCGCCACCAGCCGCCGCGGTGCCGGACCGTTCGGGCTCGAGTGAACAAGTCATCGCTCCGATTTATCAGCCTGCATCCACCACTCCAACTCTGACTACGGCCACTCAAACTGAGCAAATGGCTACGGCGGTGCGGTTCCTTTTCGTATTACAGACTTCATTCTTTGCTTTCAGCCCTCCTCGATTGCTCCTCCGTTGGTTGAGCAGAAGAGCACGTCGCAAGAGCAGATTGATGTGAACGAAGCGAAGAGAGAAAAGAGCGAGAAGCAGACGAGAGAGGATGTGGAGGAAGCGTTTAAAGAGAAGAAGAGCAGTGCGTTCCCGTCGCGGAAGTTCTTCATGTCCCAGTAAGTGAAGGAGGAATGGGAGAGGATTCAAATGAATTTATTCATAGATACGTGAAGGACGAATGCCGTGTTCGTCGCTGGGTGTACGAGGATTCGGTGCCTCTGACGGTGGAACCGACCAAAAAGTTCCGAGGCGCTCGGAACGAGAAGGAAAGACGCGGGGACATGCTGAGAGACCTCAACGAGCTGGCGGCCATTCTCGACGGTTAGAAAGTGAACGTCAAAATGGGCGAATGTGAATAAATGTGTGCTTTTGTCTTCCTACCGTACTCTCCAGATGACGTGTCCGTCTGTCGGACTGCCAGAATCCGATTAAAATGTTTTCGTCGCAAAAGAAAGACGAAATGTTGACCGACCGACCTCGTGCTCCTCGGAATCCAATAAAAACCCCGACGGCTTCCAATTAGAAACAGAAATCAGACGCCGTCGGCCGCTCCGCTCCCCTCGCCACATCTTCTTCTTCTTCTTCCGTTTTGCTCGGTTTCAGTCACCTTCTTTCAGACGTCTTCAAGTTCATTACATTCCGTCATCCGTCACTCTGCTTCTTTGGAAAGCACCCGCTCATTTCCCTGGGGGACTTTCTAAAAGGCTGAACCAAAATTTCGCGGCCGCTGGGCTCCGTTTGTTTCAGCTGAACACTTTTCCCAAAGACTACCCGCCTATTGGAAATTGTCGCTTTCCCCGGGCGGCGCACTTCCTGCTGCACTCGAAAGTTCTCAAGAATCTCGTCTTCTGCTTAACAACTCTTCTCCTTTCCGCACTCACTTCATCTTCTTTCTCTTTATTGCAATTAAATTTCAGCCGCACAATGACTACCAGCCTTCTCAGTCGCATGCAAATCGGTGAGTCCTCTCTCATCCCATTCTCGAATCTTCCGATCTTTCTTCAGACCGTAACCTCCGTCGGTCGACTGAACACGTCGAAATAGTTCCTCAGGAAACATGTGTTCATCATGAATGTCAGTTTAGCTCTCTCTCTCTCTTCTTCTTCCAACTTTCCCTTCTTTTCCAGCTCCCGAATCAGTGCTCACTGAATGTGCCACAATGTCCACTTCGACCCACGGCACATCGAATCCATCAACCGTAAACAAGTCGTCGTCAGTGGTCTCGCCGCGAAGAGCCAGCGAGATCCCTGTCGATGAGTCCAAGTAGACATGATCTTCGGCTTTCGATTCGCATTTTTGCTCTCCTTTGCGGGCTTCTACATTTCAGAATCGCTAGTTTTTGAATTCCCATTTTATTCTCCTCTTTTTCTAGTCACGTATTAGCCACTCTCTGAATATGTTTCGCAAAACAAAATAAAAGAGAATTTTTCGTTTTTCGTCGAACAAAACGTCCCAAAGGACGAGCAGGAGACGAGGACAAATAGAAAAAGTGAGGAGGCGAAACGAGGAGGATATTTCGAGCCCGGAGAGTTCAACTGTAATTCATTACTTTTTGGTTTCTTCGGAATCATGACGTCGACGAGGAACTTTAAGAGAGCACATTCATTTCCCAGAAATGTAAATGCAGATAAATATAATCGGAAAAGAGGCAAGTTATAAATGTGAGTTATCTGGTTTTGAAACGGGAGCTTAGTGGAGGCTCACAGGCGGAAGATCGGCTCTCGCGACGAGCATGTGCAACACGTTCGACTGCTTTATGAACTTCACCGCCCGATCATGAGTCATCATCGTGAAGTCGGCGCCATTAACCTGTAAATAAAAACTATCGCTTTTTAAACTTCGTTACTTTTGTATTTCTCTCACCTGCAGAATCTTATCGTGCTTTCTCAATCCGGCCGCTTCCGCCGGCGACCCCGGCTCCACATTGGTAATGTAAACTCCAGCGTCCGGGTACTTGAACGGCGCCTTCGTCGGATCCTGATCAATCCCACCGCCAATCTTGAAGCCGACACGAATTGTGACCTGTCCCATCGCATCCACCACCTCCTGCTTGTGCAACTCGACGGCGATTGAGAGGCATTCGATCGCCTCGCCCGGCATGTGTCCGTACGCAGTCATCTTGCAAATTGGCCTAAAGATAAAGTATGACGAAGGAATCAACTGAAGGTAGTGAGAAGCCAAGTAAAAGTGGAAGAAAGACGGATGGAAATGACACGAGTGACTCATCTCCGTTTCATCACAACCTCTCTGTCCTCCACTCCGCTGTGCTATTTCTTCTCCTCACAATTCTGTCAATGCCAAATTTGCATACACTCTCTCCGCACAGTGACGCGTCCTTGTCCTCGACCCACTCGATAACAGTTCTTATTTTGAAGCGACGGGATCGATAAAGTAGTAGAAAAACTTGAAGTCAGGGCGAAGTGAACATAACAAGTTTAGCTTAGTATTTATCTTCACAAATTCAGAAAGAAAATAATCGTTTTTCTGGAGTACTGTACTTTATTGTTAATTTTTCTCTTTTCCAATTTACTTTTACAGCCGGAATAGAACATGATTATCTTCTAAAAGCATTCAGGTTGCATTGAAATCAGAAACTTGTAACGATTAACAGTCTAAAAACAGCTGCTATTGTAAATTCGAACTTGAATCAAAATCAGATCGCCGAGTCGTGCGAAACAGCGTTGTCAACGGAGGAGACTGCAGACAGTGGACGAGTTTGATTTCTCGTCCACGCCTCGTGTACTCCTCGAGGGCAACTATTCTGTTATGCAGAGTTCCATAAAATTAGAACAAATTTAAGGTTTTCGGTTCTTTATTTTCTTTTCAATGCATAAAATAATCTTCAATCTTCTTTAAATATTCTCTTTTCGTTTCAGAAAACAATGTCATCAACACCGAACCTCCGAATACCACTAAAACGAGGACCGAAAGTAAGTTATTTTTATAATTAAAAAGAGAATCAATTATCAGTTTTCAGCCTCAGTCTTTCATTGAAGACTCCCCAGTCACTTCGGATGATCCAGCAGACTTCGAAAGCCACGTGGTTCTGCGAGTTCCGGAGGACTGCGTTCATCGCATCGAGAGCATCATTGCAAGCGACGGAAAAGTTGAAGATTTTTCACTCTGCCTGAATTCCGACGCACGGAACGCGACAATCAGAATAGGAAATCAATTGCTCAACGGAAAAGTGCTCGATTTACCGACAGTCACAGAAGTTCACAAGACGATGGACAAGAGAAATTTGTACAAAGTTGCTGATGTCTCCCAGATGATCGTCTGCACCCACGACAGCATAAACACTCCCTCGTCGACAGCTTCTGCTGGTGCTTCTGCAGAGGGCGAAGGAACGGAAGCAGCTGCCAAAGCGGCGAAGAAGGTGGTCAAGCAGTGGCAGTATCCTCATGGACTGACGCCTCCAATGAAGTGCGCGCGCAAAAAGAGGTTCCGTAAAACGAAGAAGAAGAAGTTTATGGACGCTCCGGAAGTCGAGAAAGAATTGAAGAGACTGTTGAGGGAGGACCTGGCAGCAGATATTGTGAAGTGGGAAATCGTGGACGGCGACAAGGATGGAGGTGCCGATGAAGGCGGAAGCAGGAGCCAGAGACACGTCACTTATCCGTCGAGCAGCGAAGATGATTCAGATGTTGGCGACGAGGAGAAAGAAGAATAATCGGAGATTTCTCATATTCTAATAATTTCATCCGTTTCAAATAAAAGTGCACCCAAGCCTCGTACTTATATCCTTCATATCTCATTTAAAAGTCACGATGTTCTTTGCTCATCCATGTATTTTTGATGAGAAGATCAACTCGCCCCGGCTTCGGAGAGATGAGATTATTCTTATTCGTATTCCCCCTTCGCTTCCAGACAAATCCCCTCAATATCGCTTCGTTTTTTTTTCAGTTTTCAAAGATAACATCAATCAGGTTTTGCCCGTTTCGGAAACATTTTCCTCCACCTCAAAACTTGTTTTCCTCCATCGCTTCCTTCCTCACTGTTTGACGCTGAACTCCCTCGATTTCTACTGATAACTGTGTATATCACTGATAATGTTTGATCCACTACGATTGACGGCTCGGATCGATTCCCGGTGCTCCTCCTGTACTTTGTTTGCTTTTTTGTGTTCACCGCCTTTTTTCGATCGCACAAATGTCAGTTTTCCAGTCAATTACAGCTCGGAAGAGTAGCTACTTAAATATAAGTAGGCGTAAACAAGATTTGTTTGTCAAGTTTTGCGCTGAAGAAGTAATAAGGTTTATCTCGTGGACTGCGCGCGAGAGAAAATTAGTTTCGTTCCCATTCTCGAGAGTCATTCATCCGCTGCCTGCCCTCTAATCATATAGTATTGACTGTGTATTACTTGGTTCCATAGTGTTGAGGCTGTGACATGTCCAAAACTAGACAGAACACAACCGGAAAGTGAAACGTAACAGAAATTTTGTAGTTGAACACAGGGTGTGTTTGCATCAAAAATCGCACCAATTTTGTAAGTATTCATCTGCAGACCATTCAACCAAACATCCGCTCTTTTTCAACGTTAACAGTTGATCCGTGTTCCATTGGTCGTGTAATCCACCTGTCCGTCGATCCCATTTCTTGACCGAAAGGACACTGGCTTCTCTTCCACCCTCTCCATTCCACGTGTTCCCTCGAAGCGTTGCCTCCAATCATTCCGCCCACCACCGAATTTCCATTCGTTTTTCCGCTTCGTTTCGGATTATGACAGGTCTTGAGAAATAGTCGAAAAAGACACTAAAAAGGCATCCATTCCCTTTGCTGCCGTCTCAAAATTGCCCTCTCCTAACATTTTGCAAGTTTTCAACAAGTTTTCGTCAGGGGAATTCGCTTTTATTTTCTGTTTTTCAGCGCCATTGTTTCGCTCTTGGATAGAGCGTTTTCTTTCCAAGATATTCCTTTCTTCTCGTTCTAAACGAGCGAAAAGGACCCGTTGGAAATTGATTTTGTGCAAATATTTGAGCAGTTCTGTGAAGAAGATGTAAGTATGTTTACGGCTATCTGCTGCTAGCGATCGCCTTTTCGCACTCGTACCTCAGCCAAAACACCGAATGAAACATGGTGTTGGACGCGCTAGAATTCTCTCCGTTTCTTTAAAAAATCCGTCTTCTTCGTCAAAGAATGTCAGAAAATGGGAGAAAAAGAAAATTGGAAGACGAGCAAGAGCTTGAATTCCCCCTCTTTTTTTTTGCGTTTTCCACTCCGGGCGCCTCAGTCTTGATTAGCTTTTCGCTCTTGCAGCTGCCACTTTTCTTCCAGAAGTCACAAAATGTCGTTTGTTTAGATTCCTTTCCCCAAGTATAGTACTTTCTCGTTGGTCAATGGAAAACATAGATGCACTTGAGAACGCTATGCTATTTGCTTGTAAGAGACACATTCCGAGCACGCAAAGAGTTTGAATTGCATTTTTTTGATGTGACGCACAGAAAGAGCCATCTTTCTAATTGTATAGCAACGGGGCACCATGGGAACTGGTCACCTTTCCTTCCGAACTGGTCTCTTTCTCTCTCTCTCTCTCTTTCTTCTTAATGCACTTGCAAGTCCACGCTCACTCCATCGACCTTCCGTCTTCAAATAGACTCTCTTTTCCCTTCCCGATTCCCTTTCTCACCGTTAATTTATCTCGCTCCCCGAATCATCTCTTTTTCTCTTTCTCCGTCTCTCCCGCTCTCGTCCGTCCGCTTCCCATCCAATTCCAACACATCAGCATAAATCAATACGTCCATCTCAGAAGCTTCCCGTTCCCGATCCCATATGCACTTGTCGTAAAATGCGAAAAAACCGCGAGTTTTTTCTCGTTCTCTTCCTCGTCGTCTTCATTCTCTTCTACTTCATCACCTCCAGGTAAGCCCGCTGAATTGGTGGCTTCAGTCCAGACTCCGCCTTTTCAGGACATCAGAAGATCCGTACTACACTAGGCGGGAAAAGTTTATTGCCGAGAAGCCTCCATTAGTAGTGAGACCCGATGATGGATACAATAGGACGTCTCCTTTCATATTCATAGGTAATAAGAGCGCCCAAATGTGGGTCAAGAAAAGAGAAAGTCAAAAAGACATTTAAAGTTCAAAAGATCTAAATATAAATCTGAAATCACCGGTGTTTGATGCACTATCGTTCTAGAAACTTCCGCCACTGATCATCCTAGCGCAATAGGTAGAATTCCCCCGTCTGATAACTGTTATCTTCCGAACAAACTGTCATATCAGTTATAAAAATAGCAGATGGAATCGTCGAAAATGTGTGATCAGGGAAGAGGGCATAAAGCACGTGTTCATAGTCTGAACTATAAAAACTGATGAATATTCAATTTGAAGGAGGAGTCCCCCGTTCCGGTACTACCCTGATGCGTGCAATGCTTGATGCGCATTCGGAAGTTCGGTGTGGAGAAGAGACACGTGTCATCCCACGCATTCTGAATCTCCGATCCCAATGGAAGAAGTCGGAGAAGGAGTGGAATAGGTTGCAGCAAGCGGGTGTCACCGGAGAAGTCATCAACAATGCCATCAGCTCGTTCATCATGGAGGTATGAACAAATGAAAAACTGAAATTAGGACTATTCGGATGAGATTTCAGGTGATCGTGGGCCATGGAGATCGGGCTCCTCGACTCTGCAACAAGGATCCGTTCACAATGAAATCGGCGGTTTATCTGAAAGAACTGTTCCCGAACGCCAAGTACCTTCTGATGGTCCGCGACGGAAGGGCCACTGTGAACAGCATAATCTCCCGGAAAGTGACCATCACAGGATTCGATCTGAACGACTTCCGACAGTGCATGACTAAGTGGAATGCGGCCATCGAGATTATGGTCGATCAGTGCGAGAATGTCGGAGAAAACTGTCTCAAAGTGTATTACGAGCAGTTGGTTCTTCATCCAGAAGCGCAGATGCGGAAGATCCTGCAGTTCCTGGGACTCCCGTGGGACGACAAAGTACTGCATCACGAGCAGTTAATCGGGAAGGATATTTCACTTTCGAACGTGGAAAGGAGTTCGGATCAAGTGGTGAAGCCGGTGAATTTGGATGCGTTGAGCAAGTGGGTCGGCACGATTCCAGAAGACGTTGTCAAGGATATGGATAAGGTTGCGCCCATGCTGAGGAGGCTGGGATACGATCCGAATGCGAATCCTCCGAACTACGGTACAGAAGAGCTTCGCGTAATTTCCCTCATTTCTACTTTTGCAGGAAAACCCGACGAAATTGTGGCAAAAAAGACGGAGGACGTACACAAAAACGGGGCGGAATGGTACAAAAAGGCGGTGAAAGTGGTGAACGATCCAGCGAGAGTTGACAAACCGATCGTCGACAGTGAAGCCGTCAAAATATAAAAATGGGAGAGGGGTCAAAACGCCTCCGGAATACGGGTCAAATGTCTCTAGTTGCCTTCTCTGTCCCTATCGTGATTTTGTGTGTCTGTAACTTGTTAGAAATTCTTCATCTTCTGCATCCGGGTTTTGTTTTCAATCAATCAACCAATTAAATATTTACTTTATCTTTTTTATTTCTTCTCAATCATTTGCAGCATTCTTGAACAAATTCTGCATGTCCTCAAGGCTGTAATCACTAGCGATCAGCTCTCGGATCGCGTCTCTTTTCCCTTTCGTCGATTTTCCAGTCAGTTTGGCCCTCGCCGTCATCAGATTCTCGAGGATAGCCAGCACTCCGCTGTCTTCGATCGAAACGCCCTCGGCCCGCTCATAAATCGCATCGTGGTCCCTGAGAATCTGCGCGTTTTCATCCGAAAGAAAGCTGAAGACGTCGTCATTGTTCGATTCCAATTCCTAAAAAGAGAATAAACTTTGTAATGGGAATACGACGTCGTCAGTTCCGGTAATCCGACGCCGCCCGTCTAAATGGTTTCAGAAGTTTCGTTCTAATTGTAAGTGCTCTCCCTCTCTCCCTCCCTTCTATTTATACCTTCAAAGCGGCCGCGTACATCTTCTGCTTCTCGATCTTCAACATTGAAGTGATCTTCGGGTCTATCAGCTTCAAACAATGATCCACACTGTCCTGATTGAGTTCTGAAAAGCACCAAGGAATTGGGAGGAAAAAGAGTGAAGTACCACAAGAAACTTCCACTCGAATCTGCATTTTCATCGTTTGCTCGCTCACTTTGTCGCGTATTATGCATATTGTTGTCATGCAATCCGAACGGAAAACAGCCGTCCCTTTGCTGGAATCCAACGGGCGTGATTGGCGCTGGAAAGGGAACGTACCTGTAGGTGACTTGCAGTTGGCTGCCTCCGTTCGAAGCGCACTGATAGTTGTTGGTGATTGTGTCGGCGGGCGGGCATTTCGAAGGCACGTTCGGAAGAAGCGTGTGGAGCCACGCGTGCGCTTCCGAGATTGAGAACGAGCCTGAAAGTGATTGAAGTGGGCGGATTGGAAAGGATGATTCTGTTTCAGGAGAAAGGGAATGTGCTTTTCAGAGTTGATTCACATTGCATCAGGCGAATCAACTCAAGTGGAATCTGCACTCTCAAGACTACTGTAACTGATAACATTTCTGTGAAACATGAATCTCGCTCCTCACTCTGACTAGGAAAGTCCTTTTGAATACCGTTGGAAACTCTTCAACAAGTGTTATAACGTTTTTCAACATTCCCCAAACGGTACTAAAAATAACTTTTCTAATAATACGCTGTCGTTTCCATCGTGACTGTACCTGTAAACTGTAAAACGTTTATCGGGCGGATCGAGTCAAAGTCGTGGGATCGCATGTGGGACGAAAGGGCTTTGATGAAGTGTGTTGTGATCTTCAAAAACGGTTCATTTAGATACTATAGCCTCGCATTTCCAATTCCGTTTTACTTCATACACCCTGGGAACAATACGAATCTGTTCAGCAATCTCTCGAGCTCTCCGTACACGTCACCGCCCGCGCATGTATACATATCTATAGCTTTTTTCATCGTGCCGCCCAAATTTGGTTCTATTATTCAACACTCTCATCGAATTCATTTCTTCCGTTTCTGTTTATCAACCATTCCGGCCGAGTATCGCAAAACAGAGCGCTTTTCGGCAGAACTCTCCGGATGCCACGTCACATGACCTCATGGCCGATCTTCGAGCCACAAATAAACTTTGTGACTACGAATACCACGATCCGGGGCATTCAATTTCGTTCGGTCTCACTTTCCCCTCTCTCTGTTCCTCTTCCCCATCTCACAGTTTCTTTCAGTGTCTCCAGAAGTGGGCGTGGCCTCACCGCCTACTTTTTCTCGGCCGAAAAGGAGAGCAACCGGAGGCTCTGGAGGCTCATTTGCTCGGAGGATGCGCGGGTTCCTGCTGCTCGTCGTGCTCTTCTGTCTCCTGCTCGTCGCTTCTGTTCACTCGCATCCGTTCTTTGTCGCTTTGACTAGATTACAGGTCAGTTCAAGACACGTACTTACGCGATAAAGTCAGAAAGATAGAAAGTAGGTTATGAATTCAAATACTTTTCGAATCGTAAGAAGCTCATTTTGGATACTGAACAAAGGAACATTCTAGAAATGTTATCGCGCCCACGCACTCATTCTCTACTCCGGAACGCTTCTTCTTTCTCTCGTTAACTCTACTTTGATAATAAAGAAAAGTTTCGAGTCGTACGACGTTGAAACTTTTTATCCGTTCTCTCTCCGTTTTTCAGTCAATCCGTTGTCTGTGGCGTCACCAGGTCGCCGCCGACAAAACAAAACGAGAAACATTGATAAACGAGCCCTTAGAGGCCCGACGGCTCATTTGTTATTCATTCGGCACTGAAATCGGGCAAGGGCAAACAATATAAAGCAGAATCGGGTGCAACTTATGCACTACGTGCTCCAGAAAGCTACCGTACTCCCCGTCAAAAGACACGAGTGATTTCCTAATGACGTCGCTCTCTCCTCGCCCTTCGCGCACCGATTCTTTTATGTTTTGCTGTGCCTGTGCTCATTGAGCCTCCCACCGCGTGCATAAATTCTCTCTTTGCAGGACGCCGAGCAGCTGATGTCGAAGCGTGGACTGGACAAGTGCGGCTGCAACCTCGGCTGCTTCTACTCGTCGGCGCGCGACTGTATGAGTTGCTGTGCTCTCGCTCTTTAGCCGCTTGCACTTTTCGTGGATCTCTCTCTCTCTCTCTCGCTCTTTTGATGTCTGTGTCTCTGTGTCTCTTTCTGTTTCACTTCGATCCAATGAAATGAATGATATGATACCTGTTGATCTCTCTCTCTCTCTCTTACCTGCGCACATTTCGGCATAATCTTGGGACACACATAGAGATTGACGATTCCCGAATCGCCTTCGTTCGCCTGAACTCTCAACTCCAGTCTGCACACGTTGGCCTGACAGCGGTATGAAGCGAGGAGCGGCCACGGATTGAGCGCGTCCTGCCGGACTTCGCTCACCACCGACGCGTTCTTCTCCACTTCCATCAGACGGATCGGAAGTTGGCTTTGAACGACGACGAAGTCAATCGGAATCACGAGCTCAATCGTCAAGTTGTACGCTCCGAGAGCAGCACTGTACTCGAAGTTCTCGTGGACCTGAGCAAGTGGGATTACACTGGCCTCTTGAGCCCCGAACGAACCTGGAAACTGTGGAAGAACGTGGCTCCAGCGCCGCCGCCTTGCTTCTTCGTAATCTCTTCGTATCGAAGTCTCTCCTCGTTCACTTTCGATTGCAATTCCTCCACTTCGGACCTGAACTTTCTTGGTCTCATTTCTTATTACAAAAACGTCATAGCCTTCAGTAGCCGTCAGGTGTCGAATTACCTCAATTGTTGCATTTTCACACTGAAATTGGCGGCAACCGGAAGGTTTTCGATCATCGGTCGACTTGTTTTGGCGAGGGAAAATAGCCATCCTGTGAAGGTGCACACAATTATGTCGATTTCAGTCTTCGAGGCAACGTTTCCACACGAGATTCCCGTGATTGACTCCTCGCAAGCCTAAAACACATCAGCAGTGTGATCAAAAGGAAAGAACTCACAAAGGTTCCGAAGAGCGTCGGAGCGTCGGTCTCATCGATCGTGTATATCTCGATCAATCCGTCCTCTTTTCCGATAATGATGTCCGGAAAGTGTCCTCCGGTCACCTGATAACAGACGATCGTGGTCACACACGCGCCGCTCGTCGTGTCAATTTCCCAGACGATCTTGCCGGATCCTTGCGGGAGACTCGCCAGTCCCAGCTTCCCGCTCTTCGTTCCGTAAAGGACCATCATGCGGGTGTGCCCTCCGTCGCCCATGAACAGACTGACTGTGAACGGAACGCTGTTCAGTTTGAGGTCGTACGCGAGATTGTTGCCCTCGATGACCTGGAGAGTGGAGTTGCCGCACGCGAGCACCGAAGCGTACTCCCGACTGCCCCACGCCTCCTCGTACACCAGACTGACCACATCGTGAATGTCTTCGGTGCACAGATAGCTCTGAAAGAACCCGGTTGGTTTGTCAACTCTGTCACACTTTTTACATTCGTATCGACGGTGTCATGGTACCGACTGTAGCTCTTTCTCCCCGTCAAAACGACATCCAATCCGCGGACGAACATCCTATTCGCCGTCTCCGCCATGTTCGTCTCCATCGAAAAAAACATCTTGCCTTTCCGATTCATTCCGCGCACCGTGTTTTGCGAGGCCACGAACACCTTATCCTTCTTTTTCGAAGAAGCCGGACCTCCGAGAGCCAGCGATTGGATAGGAGGGCCAGGTTGCGTTTTGAAGATTATCTGGAAGAATTGAGAAAGGTAACTTCAAGATTGCCTCTGAAAAATATTATTCCAGACAGAAATCTAGCTCGTAAACAACGCCAACTTTTGATCTCAGCCTCCGACGCGCGCGCGATTGGCAAATGCCGAGGGACGTTTTCGGTCGTTTCATTCGCTCACTCGCTCATTCTCTCCTTTGCTTGCATCCGAATAGGTCAGTTTTAACCTCATTCCTTTCAAATATATTTTCGAGTTGTTCAGGAATTAATAATGTCTCGCGACAAATGCATTCCCTCCCGTCTGACGGATTTCCGCCGCCAGAATCCGAAGCGTTCCGGTCCCGCGAAACACTACCAGAGGACCGTAAACTACCGCCCTCGCGAACGTCATTTCTGGCACAAGCACCAAAACAAAAGATCTTTCTCCAATTCGTGCCCAGTCAAGGATGCGTCTCTGGAACTCCGCGATTCTGACAGATCTTCCAGTGACTCCTCGCGATTCTCATCTCCCACAATCTCTCCGCTCCAGGAAATCCAGGAATCTCCGTCGGCCACCCCTTCCATTGAATCCACGTTCACATTCCCGTCAATCTACATCGGTTCTGTGTTGGGTCCATTCGGAATCCACATGGAAGGAATCAAATTTGAGAGCGGAGCGAAGGTCACTGTGCTTCTTGAACCGTCGGAGAACATCGAGACACGGAGTCTGCTTTTGGAGGGTACGGAGGAGCAGGTGGAAGAGGCGGCCCACATGTTCAGATGGTACATCAATGAGAACGTGCCGAGAGATGGAGACGTCACTGTGCTCGAGATGGAAATTCCGGCAGGATTATTTCCGAACGCGCTCGGAAGACACGGACGGACACTCAGAAGGATCACGGAAGTCACCGGAATCCGGGTGAGCGTTCTCGATCCCCATGAGCAGAAGGTCCGCCTCGTCCTCGCTGGAGATGAGATCAACGCGCAACTGGCCCGACATCTCATTCTCATCGCCATCGGATCCGTGTCTCGAACGAATCCAGCTCCTATTGAAGTGGATCTGCCGAAGCTTCTCGAGAAGATCTTCATGGACGAAGGATTGGAATCGGATCGCGAACAAATCGAGTACTCGGATCACATCGGAGACTATGCAACTGTCGAGTTAATCGAGAATGAAATCAAGCAAAAGGAGGCATGACTTCTATTAACAATTTTTAATGTTTGCAACTTTAACACTTGTATTTTTGACCTATATTCGTATGTAAATAATTATTTTGCCACTAATAAAAAAAGCTCTGACTCACGGTCGTATCATTGGATTTCCGGGAAAGACAAATGAGACTTCCATTCTGTCCTCCGACCACAATCTGAAAGGATCAATACCAATAAATATATTATCGGTTTCCGTCACTCACCAAGTCGAACTCTTTCGGTTTGTCCGCAGGAATCACTTTCATACATCCTCGGTTCGTGGTCCCGACTTGAGCGAAATCGGTTCGAGTGTAGTTTTGCATGGTTTTCATCGAATGACCAACTCAATGAAGGGGGCAAGAGAAAATGTGCGCGCCCTCGGGTTGTCATGGCGACTCGGAGCATGGAGAGAAAGAGAAAAAGAGAAGTGCGGAGGGGCATTCTTTTACAACTTCTTTATCGGGGAATTATTTCGAGGTCAAATGGAGAAAAATGAGGTACAAAGTTTGGAGGCAAATATCTGACAAAAATATATGGAGGAAACACGTGATATAACATTTTGGGGACATAAATTTTCGGGATTATAGTAGAAAAAGGTCAGGCTCTCTGGTGGATGTATCATCTGAACTGCTGGTTTTCTGCACTTTTGTCGGTGAACTTTCTTTAGCATCTTTTACGTTTTGTTCTCTTTTCGGAGCTGCTGTAGGTGATTGAGATTTTTCTCCTCTTTCCACCTCTGGATTGGTTTCTGATGCTTTTCGGCTCTCTGATTCTGGCAGTGGATGTTGTTCTGAAAATAAATGAAGAAACAGCTGAAATCGGCATTTCTAATCAACGAAATAACCTTCTGCAGACTCTATTTCTGGAACATTCGGATAACTGGGGCCTGAAAGTTGCTCAGATTCCCTTTGTTCTTCCTCTCGTACTAGAACGGAGTGTGTGATAATCGGTCCAATGGGTGCTTTTGTGGCTACTTCTGTAGGTGGCACGGATGAGTCCGATTCTGCTGACGACGACTTTCGAGAAGCAATTCTTTCCTCTTCTTTCTGTGGATCATCTACTGAATCTTCCGAGGCCGAGTTGTCATTTGAGGAGTCTGAAACCAAATCGTTTTTCGAATGCTCAAAGCTTTCATTCACCTTCAGAAGCCGACGATCTGCCTCCAGACTGTGACAGTGACTCGTGTGGTTCTAAAAGATTACCAATCGAATGTGGGGAAGTAGTCGTTGACTCTGAAAGATTAGCACGATTAGCGAACACTAGAGAAAGTCTCATTACCATTGTTTTTATCTGAATCGCTGTGTTTAGTGTCTTCTGAAGACCTGCCATGAGCAGAATCGTCCAAAGTTGAAGATTTTCCACCTTCTTCTTGCTTTCGACTCGATTCATCGTCAATTTCATCCTTCTCTTCAATATCATCAAGTTCTCTTGCAATCTCTCTACCCTCATTCTCTTCCACTTCCGGCATCGATTGATCGGTGGACGAATCATCATTTGAAGATGTTGACGTGGGCGAGGCCGGAGAGTAATCTTCGGAATCCGATGGTTTAGGCGATCGTTCGTAAGCATTCAGACTTTCTTTCGACTGATTCTCAGTGTGACTTGATATTTCGCACTCTGCTGCTTTTCTTGCGAGTTGCAGAACCTGCGAGTCTGTTGCTCTGTCAGGTTCTGGATTACTCGACTTTCGAGAGTCAGAACTTTCAGAATTCTCCGATTTGCGCTGTTCATGTTGCGAACTAGGCGGGAGAGCTTCATGTGATTCTGAACTTGCAACTGCGTCTTTGGAGACGAGTTCTTCTGAACTCGGCAAATTCTGTGCTGTTTTATGTTGCTTATTATTCTGCTCTTCTGAAGAACGCTGCACGGCACGAGACGGCTCGAATTCAGGTGACTGCTCCGATGGAGCGGGTGGAGGAAGTGGTAGAGAGACTTGCGGAGGAGGTGGAGACCGAGAAGTTATGGTTCGGATGGCTGGAGCCATCACGGCCTGACCTGGCAGGTACATGGACTGCGTGAGTCCAGGCAATGGTCTGCCTCTGCCCATGCTCGGAACGAACTTTCCAATCGTCGGTCCTCTGACACCTCGTCGACCTCTTTGAGCTCGCGGAGCACCTCTTTGAATAGATGGCCTCCATTGGGACGGGTCAGGGAGCATCGGAAGTCGGGACGACCTCGAGAGAACGTATTGGGGTACTGGCGGTCTGACTTCTGACTGTCGAATGCGTGGGCGGTTCGGCGGAATTGCCAATGGAGAAGGAGCATTGGATGGTGCCGTATACTGGCCTGATCGTGTCGACTGCGGTCTTTTCAACATTTCCAGTTCTAAAGTCGGGACCGTGTTGTTCTGAAACGACATTCTTTAGATAACACGGGGAGAAGTTGTTCACCATGATCATGTGCTCGCATGCTGTCCTCAGTTCTTCGTACGGAATGGGAGCGAGGTAGAAGAAGAACTGAACAAAACATTATCTCATTGTCACTATTTTCACGTCCATTACCTCATCCTTGTACTTTTGTACTGTCAGTTCTGCTTTTCTCTTCAAGATTTGCTTTGTTTTCTCGTCTTTAAGAAGGCTGTCGCACAGACATTCCGTGTGGTTTTCCGTATCTCTGATCCTTTCTCTCATGTGATACTTTCCCTTTTTGAGGAATTCTCTCGTCTTCACCACTGCCACAGCTTCCAATTCAAGGCAACGGCGCCATTCCTGCAAGCACTGAACTTGCGCCAAAATTCTACAAAAAAAGAACCCACGATTTCGGCGATTGCTTTGACTTCGCAGACGTCAGTCATCAGTCGGAGCGGCTTGAGCACTTTCGTCACCACTTCCAGTTCCTCTTTCATCCGTGACTGTTCGCCCAGAAGTTCGCAGAAGAGCCTCGTGAGCACCCTCTCGAAAATCATCATCGGGGTACACTCGAATATGACTTTATTGTTCGGTGGCCGAATTGTCAACCTTCTTTCCAATTCATGCAGTGATTTCAACAGAGATTCGGCCGATTTGTGGAAACGAGAGAGGAACGTATCTTTTCCAGATGCCTGCAATTTCGCTCTGTTGACAAATGAACATTGGGGGCGTGTTTACCACTTTTCCGAATACTTGCGAAGAATGAATCACACTCGTGAAATTGTCAATGTCTCTGTAGAACTCCTTCACGTGATGAATGAAAAGTGGAAGTGGATAACCACGCTCGCTGGTTTCGCCCATGTTTCTACAAACTATTGCGGTCGGCGATTTCAGAATTTGAGAACTGATGGTCAGGTATTTAAATGGACTCTCTCCAGTGCAATTTCTTTCAGAAAGTTAGAGAAAACAGATTCATTCAACAACAGCCGACAAAAAAGAAACATAAATTGTTCAGACGTGTTCTGCTTGTTCAGCATCCAGTTCTTCTGGGAAGTGATCCTTCACCTCAAGGTCCTCTCCGTATTGAATGGTCGTATCGATCGTGAGCAGCACCTGGTTGATGCTTTCCTCGTCTTCACAGTTCAATGGCAGAAACTTCACGATCGAATAATCCTCGAGAACTTGGGCAATTGCGCGAGTGAGCCGTCTGTGCTTCGTGTTCCAGATGGTCTCTTCCTGGTCGACAATGGAACGAGTATCCGTCTCGAGAAACTCCTCGACCAGTTGTTTGTTTCTTTCGGATAACAAATCCATTTTGGTGAGCACGTTGATGGCTGGAGTCTCGATGGCGACCATGGCGGAAAGAGCGGTCAGAGCTCCAGAGATGAACTTTTCAGCTTCAAGGACGAAGTTGGTGTCGATGAGAAAAACGGAGCACACATTGAAATCCCATGATTTTAGCGCATCGACGATTTGCCGCATGACGGGAAGGTGACTGTAGAGCTCAATTTGGCCGGGACAGTCGATGACGAAGTAGTCATCTTCTCCTTCGTCCAACTCATCGTGCAGCCATTCGAGGTTTTGAACAAGATACCTGGGCGAAAGAACAGTTTTAAAAAAAAATAAATTTAGTGCATTCTTACTCCATGCAGAAGACAAGTGCTCCATTCGGTCCCAAAATCAGCTCTTCGTCCTCTTGAACGTCATTTACACTGATCAAGTCTCGAACATCTGAAGAGCATGTGTGCTTATCAGGAACACTTTTGATTTGGTGTTAATCATACCGACAACTGCTGGATAATTAAAAACTTCGCACGCAGGGTCCAAATTAACCATCCGAAGCGTTCGTCCCGTGCTCAGACAGTGATTGTATATGACAGAGCAGTATGTGGACTGAAAACGATTTTTTTTGAATTTATATACTTTGAAGTCATACCTTTCCACTGCCAGCAGGTCCCATTACAAGCTGGGCGTATTTCATCGTGAAATAAGGAAAATTTGACGGAAATCGATGGAAAAATAGAACGAAATGCCGCCAATGTTACTCAGAGTGCGGTGGAGCACACTTGCAACACTGTCACTTTTTGCTTCTTGAAAGCCAAATTTGGCAAGAGAAACACTGAAGTTTCCTGGAAATTAAGCTGAAAATGGATTTGTCAGTAGATGCGGACACCAAAGATGCAAATGTAATGCTCGGTTCGCTCATTCTTTTCTTTGCCACTGGCTGGCTTTTTTACACGAAACAGCTATTCAAAAACTATGAAGTTTAGTTGATTTGGAAAGATTCCCGCGTAATCTAGATTGATTTCAGGTGCACAATCGAATTGTCCAATTCATATTCTCCCTGACTTTCGCGTTCTCATGCAGTCTCTTCGAGCTGATCATCTTCGAAATCGCGGATGTCATGGCTCCTCTGTAAATGCGATTTTGACTGAACCCATCTCAAATCTATATTCGTTTCAGGTCCCGATCCCGTTGCTGGACGTTCTGTCTTTCTCTGATCCTTGTCCTTCTTGTCGTTGTCATTCCCATTTATTCGGCATCTCTCATGGTTCGCTGCATGGTTCGTAGTCCCTTCCGATTGCCGCTTTCCGTCGGTCTCTGGCTGATCTTCATCTATTTCTTCTGGAAAATCGGCGATCCGTTCCCGATGCTCAGTCCACAGCACGGAATCTTCACGATCGAGCAGGTCATCTCAAGAGTCGGCGTCGTCGGAGTCACCATTATGGCCATTTTGTCCGGATTCGGAGCGGTTAATGCGCCCTACTGCTACATGACTCTGTTCACAAGACCAGTGAGTTCTGTTGGTGTCTAGCAAGGCAAGTATCAGACTTGCAGGTCGAAGAGTTCCACGTGTGTCAGTTGGAGAAGAAACTGTTGCACACGATGGATTTGATCGTTCTCAAGAAACGGAAAGCGGCCCGATACGAGATGGAAAAGAAGAGATTGTCAGGAGACAGAAAGCAAAAGGAAAGCACCCTCTTCGAACGATTTATGGGGAGTTTCAGTGAAAAGAGCAGCGGATCGACGTTGGCTTCTCAAATTGAGTACGGTCGGACACTGTTCGGCCAATCTAAGAATCAGATTGCAGACGTCTGAAAGAAGATATAATTCCCCTGGAGACCCTCGCCCGTTTTCTGTTTCTGGATCTCGTAGAAATGAGACAAATGCTGAATAGAGTGGAGTTCAGCAAGACGTTTCTCGGCATTTACTTCAATGTCCTCGGCCACTTTTTTTCGCTTTACTGCATTTGGAAAATCTTCATTTCCTTCATCAACATCGTTTTCGACCGAGTCGGAAAAGTGGATCCAGTGACGAAAACTATCGAGATTGGAGTGCATTGGATGGGCATTCAACTGGACATCTCGTTCTGGTCCCAGTACATTTCGTTCTTCCTGGTCGGCGTCATCGCAGTCACTTCCGTGCGCGGCCTCCTCATCACAATGACCAAGTTCTTCGTGTCGATCAGCAACGCTGCCTCTTCACTATCCAATATTATCGTTCTTTTCATGGCACAAATTATGGTAACTGCTGATCGTAAACAAGGAAAAAACCGTTTCTTGCAGGGAATGTACTTTGTTTCGAGTGTTCTTTTGATGCGAATGAATGTGCCGGCACAGTACCGGACGATTCTGACCCGGATTCTCGGGGATCTCAAGTTCAACTTCTACCATCGCTGGTTCGATGTCATCTTTCTCATCTCGGCCGTCTCTTCCATCGTCTTCCTGACTCTTCTTCACAAGTCGGGATCTTCTTTGTTCAGAGCTTGAATTTACGCATAATTTTTCACATTTCGGGTTGCTATCAACGGGGTTTCATCATACATATATAAAGAATGGTTCACTTTTTCTGGATGTGATTTCATTTCGATTCATAAAACTCGTAAAACATGAGAGCGGAGCGTTCCAAAAAAGGATGGATAAAAAATACACAAAATATTAGCGGAAAATGATACAGGGTGAGTTTAGAGGTCAGCTGTGCCGACCTCTTTCGCCTCTTGCTCTTCCTCGATTTCGGCAAACACTTCCTCGAGAATCGTCATATCTCTATCAGTTTTGCTCAATTGTTCGTCCAGAGTGCACAGTTCCTCGACGAGCCGCAGATTCCGTTCCAGTTCCGAGTCGAGATCGGTTTGCAATCGGTCGGCCAGCACTCTCAGATAGTTGACTGACGGTCTTTCGGCCATCAGCTCTTGCTCGGTAATCCGTGGAGGCACGTGCGGAACGGAGATTGTCGTTTGAGTTGAGACGGAGAAGAACTGCAAAAAACGAAATTAAAGCGGTAAATATGAACATTCTAGAGTTATCGAATAGATAATTACCGGTTCTAAAAGCTTTTCGTGAAAATGTTGATGAATAATCGAGAGGAGAAACAGCATATTTCGGCCAATGACTATATCACATAAAATCTCGTTATCACCTGCCCCTCACTTCAAATGTTTGCGTCTCCGCATTCTCCTTGTTCTCCTTACTGACGACGTTGAATGGCGATGTAGTGGTGAGTGGTGACGGCACGATCGGCTGGTATTTCTTCAGAGTGGACAACTTCAGAGGCTCCACGACGTGTCTCTTGGTGGGCAACTCGGTATGAAGAGGGCTGTTTTGAGCGGAGTTGCTCAGTTGAACGAGACCAAATTTGTTCATCTGAAGAACAAGAATTAAAAAAAAGAACACGAGGAAGTAAGCGAAGAGATATTGCAAAACTGAAGCAAAACAGGAAAAGGAAGAAGAAAGAGGTGTGAAGACAAAATGCAATTATTCATTTTCAGACGAGTTCCCGTATTATATCAGTACAGAGGGTATTCATCTAGATGGTGTCGGCCGTTTCATCCTCTTCGTCCACGTCTTCTTCATCAATTTCATCATCTTCATCTTCCCTTGCTTTGCTCAGTTTCTCGTTGGCCAGATCAAAGAGTCGCGCGTATTCGGCTTTTTTCTCTTCCAACTGCTTCGTCTTTTTCAATTTCTCTTCCTCCATCTAGAATAAAAACGTTTTCCAATCCCGAAAACTGCACTTTTCGCTTACTTTCTCATTGATCATCTCAATCCGTTTGATTTCCTTCTTTTGATTTGCGACGACCGTTTCCCAGTAAGAAATCTCCGTGTTATCTTCACTCGTCGAGTTCTCATTGTTGGGCACAGCTCCTTCGACCGTTTGCGCCTCTTCTTCTCCAAGAGCAATCTGAATCTAATCGATAGATTCTCAAAAAATATGAATGTTAAACGCACGAACTTCCTCTGTCTGACACGCGAACTCCGAACGTACTTTCTCGTCGTTATTCTCTTCAAAAACGGTAAAACCTATCACTTTTGAGGACATTTCCCTGAAAACGACGGAGATTCGAAAAAGAAAAGAACAAATGGTGTCGTTGGTGTCGCAATTCAAAACACCCGCCGTGAGAATTGCAATGGAGCGTACTTGCACGTGGAGTCAAAAAGGCGGGTGTTGAAAAGAATACAGGTCTCAAACAATGCCTATCTAGCGCTAGCTGATAGTTGCCAGTTTCGAGTATTTAGCTTCAATGATACTTGTTATTCAATAAGCCACTTTTGTGCACAATATTTAGTCTGCCATCCCCTCATTTTCCCACCTTTCAAATATACGATAAGCACGCCTGCTGCCTGCACAAAAGCTTTCATCTAGATCGACGCATGACAGTGAGCACACAATATCGGACAAATGTATTCGTAATTTTTCATTCAGGAAGAAGGATCTGGAAAATTGAACTGCGTCGGTAACAAAGATAACAAATTTGAAGTATTTGGAGATGGAGAGAAGCCTATTTCCCCTTTTGTATGTCCTTCCGAGTACAATCCGGGAGCCACATGACATATGACATCCGCCACTTATACGATCTCAAATTCGACGAACTCGCCAACGTGCTTCCTAATTTTCCGAATATTCTTCGGCTGAATTCCTTCAGAAGAACGTCTTTGGACACTTTGGCATCTCTAGGTTCCCTTCAAATAATTTTATCTACTCACAATCAGTTAAACTCTCCCTTTTCAGCTTCTTATGAAGACGCGAATACTATTCTGCAGCTATCCGAAGACAGTCCAGAGCTAGTCCTCGAGGCTTTGAAGAAGAATGCCCACATGATTATCTTCAATGTTTTGCCGATTGATTCAAAGTGCGACCGTTTTCTGATGGTATTTTACGAATGGGCGAGATGTGTGAATCTCGTCGAATGATCGCAGCCCCTCTTTCCGTCTCCCTCAATTTCGTTAAAACATCGGAGGTTTTTTGTTAAGGACAATCGTGTTTCGTGGAGAGCGAAGTACTAAATTGTGTTTCAAATCAACTTTAAATTCTGTCATTGTTTCTTTCATGTTATAAGTAAAATTTATTCGCATTCATACACAATTGAACATTATTAATTATTATCCGACAAATTCCCTGGAAGTTACTGTGTCTTGAACAAGTAACAATTGAGTCCTCCCTGCGAGTGCAAGCAGTAGTTGGTGGTCGAGGTGACGAAAGAGAAGGCTCCCTGCGAGCACACGACTGTGAATCTTCCTCCGAGTTCTTGCTCGGCAGCCTCCACGAGGGCGATCTTGACGGCCGACGACTCGCCAGTGATCATCTCCTGAAATAGAAGCCTTTTAGTCATGTGATCAGTGACGCCTTCTTCTTTTTCATCCCTCTTTCTCTTTTTATCTTTTCTCGGGATTCCTGTCTTGGCAGTCTACGCAATACGGGAAAAGAACAACGAAAAAGAAGATGACGATAATAATTCGACGGCGCAAAGAGACGGAACGGGCTTATGACCGATGATATCGGAGGGAACAGGTGCTGATGATGTCACGCATCTTAGCTGCGTTTCAGGGGATCACAGGATCAGGCACGTACGTTAGCATGATCACTTTGAGTCACTACTGTACATTTCCAAAAATGCCCCACGAACCTTTTTCATAATGGCGAGAAGCGCGTCGTCGTTGCAGGAGACGTCCTTCGTGCTGACCGTTTCCTCTGCGACTCCCGTGTCAACCTCTGAAAGTATTCATTCGCTCGTCATTTTCATGCCGATACCCTTTTTCTTGCCTCTCTTCTTTCTGCCGCACGCACACGTCGGACAACACGGTTGGGGCAGTTCAATACGTGGCAAAGGGATGACTGGCACCTGGATCGGCGGCAATTGGATCGTCGTGAAGCACATCGGCGGGGGCGGCGGCAGGCAGATTGGGGGCGGCTGGCACCCGCAGCCGCCGTTGAAGAACGTGGCCGCCGAGGAGCCGACGGAGGCGAGAAGGATCAGAGATGAGAAGTGCATTGCGAGGGGATGAAGACGTCCGATCGTCTTCTCGCTCTTATAAGCCGCCAGGAGGACAGGTGCAAGTTTTCGGCTTATCTCCGCCTCCGTCCGGATAGCCGCTTACAATTCCGCGCGCGCGGCGCCATCCGCGAAAAGCAACAAAAAAACGCGTCGAGAGACAATTAGCCGCACCGTTGATTGAAACAATAATCGAGGTTTGCAGGGGGTGTAGGCTACGAGAGATGGATGGCAATATGGTGTGGATCCGAGAAATTCCAGTTCATGGTGGACAGAGAAACGAAACAAAAATGAAAATGAAAATGAAAATAAGAATTGAGAACACAGCAAAATGTTTCAACGATTATGGCACAATCAGTCATCGTCTTCTTCGTTGTCCGACATCACAATGCGTCTCTTGAACTTGATCTGCTTCGTGAACGGATCCTCCGGCTCTTCTGAAGTGTCGCGGGTCTCCTCCGCGCCAGCCACGGATCCCGAGGTCAGAAGGGCGTCAGTGTAGCTTCTCTGCAAATTACAAACTGTTTCATAGCCAGTTCTGATGCATACCTTATAAACAGCCGCGTCGTCATCTTCATCGGAAGACACCTTCTTCTTTTTCTTCTTTTCTCCGTCTTTTTCATCCTCATCGCTGTCCGAAGAACTCGATTCGCTGTCACTGGCCAACTGCGCGAGTTTCCGTTTTTTGTTGGCAATGATGCTCATGAGCGTGTTCAACTTCTTCGGAGGCTCCTCCTTCTTCTTCTCGGTTTTTTTTATGGCCGGCTCATCCTTCTCTTTCTCCATCACGGGCACTGGATCCTCGTGTTCTTCCTCTTCATCCGAGTACAGAATCGCCTTCCGCTTCGGCTTCTTCTTCGGAATCTCCTCGGCCTCCTCCTCTCCCTCACTCTTCTCCTTCTCCAGCTCTTCATCGCTGTCATCATTCACAAATCCGTAGTCTTCCATTATTTTCTTTTTCTTCTCTCTCCGCTCGCTATTTTCCTTTCTCCGCCGTTCCGCAACCTTCGCTCCCATCGAAATCAGATACCTTTCGACCTGCCTCGAAGGCTTTTTCTCGCTCAGTCTCTTCATTACATATCGCACAATGTCAACGCCCACTGAAAATTGAAAGCATTCTTTTCTATTCGTTTCCTTATTCCAACTCACAAATGTTTTCCGCGTCGTCGATCTCTTCGTATTGCTCTTTCAACGCAGTTAACTCCTCCACCAATGTCTCATTCCAAACTGGCAGCGGCTTCTGTTTCTTCGGCTTCTCGTACGCCAGTCCCATGTGAGCCAACTGCTTGATGATCTTTTTCCGTGCGATCTCCGTTCCCAATGATTCCGTGAGCTTTTCCTGGAGCACATTGACGACGTCTCCTTCTGCTCCCGATTCCTTCCATTCGTCGTGCCATTTCCGAATATCTCCGATCGGAAGAACGGAATCCATGTGCGCCTTTTCGTTTTTCCATTTTGCTCCGTGTAGATCGAGTCCAAATTCGATAAGCTTCTTAGCAATCTGCTTGCGAGAACGGGCTCGCGAGAGATTGTGCTCCACGAAGTCGAGCACGTCGACAGCTGCAACAAACGAAAATTCAAAACAGTCAAATACTCCAACTCTCACTTTTCTCCGAATCGTCCGTCGTGAACTCGTCGTACAGATTCCGTACCTCCGTTTCCAGCTCTTCCGTCCACACTCGAACGTCCGCCTCCTTGCTTTTCGTCCATGATCCATAGCCGTTTTCGATTTCAAAGCACTCTCTCGGTCCCTTCCAAAAGAGCGCTTCGATTGCTAAATCATTTCCCATTTCAGCAAACTTTGCGAAGAACTTTTGGAGCACGTGTTGTCCGAATCTGTACAGTTCATAGAGGTGACTTGTCTTCTTGAGCTCTGTCGTCAAATTCGAAAAGTGCTCGTGAACTTTGGCGAACACTTGGAACAGGGACACTTGGTACAAACGGGTGATGAGTTTCAGGTCGACGGCGATGCGATGGAGCATCTTGACAAGTGCTTGATTGAGCTCGACGGAGTTGCGGGAGAAGTCGTTCAGCAGGAAGACGTACCATTTGAGCACGTCCACGTTTGAATACTTGTTGACGTAGGTCTCGAACTCAAAGTCGACCTCTTCCACTTTCCACGACGGCGTCTCTTCCTCCTCGTTATCCTCGTCTCCTGCCTCATCTCCTTCTATTCCTTCTCCTCCTTCCGACCCTTTCGTATCGAACTTCTTGCTCGCTTCCTTTTCGGCTGTCTTCAAACTCTTCGCCACTTCCTTCAGATCAGTCGTCATAATCTGTTCCAGTTCTTTCAGCTCTTCCTCAGCAGTCATTTCATCGTTCCCGAAGATGGCATCTGTTGACCAGAGCTTTCTTGAAGCATGATAAAGACCGACTGCAGCCGGAAGTCCCTTGGATCTCAATGATCTTTGAATTGAGAGCATTGCGAACTGCTGCTGAACATGATCGTCTACTTCTAATTGCCAGTTCAACGGGTTCATATCTTCCATCTCCGGCTCCTCCTTTCTCAGAATTCTTTCCAATTCTTCCTTCACTTCTTCCCACAAGCCTTCCAGACTTTCCTGTGTCATCGAGTCGAACTCCGATCGGTTGTCTTCTTCAGAAACTGCGCGTTTCTTTGCCTTCTTGTGCTTTTTCACTTTCACTTTCTTTGTTACTTTTTTCAGAAATCCAGTCTTCACAAACTTTTCAACGAGTCTCACGTAATGATGAGTCGTGAGCACGAGTTCTCGAAGAAAATTATTGGAAAGAACGGCCGGCGAGAATCTTTTCAGAATCGAAACGGGCAGTTCCCTGTACTCTTCCACATTCACAATATGCTCCAGTGCTCTTCTCGCCATTTTCTTCTCCGCTTCGTCCTTCGTGTGCTCGAAGACGTGCCTGTGCAGGAGCACGAGCTCATTGTATGCTCCCAAAGCGTACTGCGCTTTCAGTCCGAAACTTTTCGCCTCCACTCCTTTCAGATTCGTCGCATTCTCCACGTACTCGGTCAGTTGAACATTGTTCTCGTGGAATGCTTCCACTCCGGTGCACTCGGAAATTCGTTCCAAAAGCGATTCTTGACGGGAGAGCCGAACGAACCGGAGAACGAACTTGACGAGGAAAAAGTAATTGATTTGAGAATTCCGTTGGAGAACGTGTCCTTGCATGAATACTGTAGACTTTGCAGATTTTATCAGTCGGTTGAAGCACGTCTCCGTCATTCTGATGACCATATCTCTCAACTTCTGTCGAACTTCCGACGATGACGAATGGGCGTTCGTGTCTATTTCGAAGGGTCGTCTGGTCCGCGCAACCGTCTTTTTAGCCTTCCGATTATCCAAAAAATTGTGTTTGGCCACATTTTGAATTGGCTTGAAGACAACTTGATTAGAACTTGCCGAGATTCCCTTCATTCCCTTAATGACGTATGATCCACCGAATCGAGAAAACGACCGTCTCTTCTGGGCTTCTTTGACTGCGTGATTCTCGATAATCTTCCGGAACTCTTCTTCCGTCTTCTTCTTTTCACTCGCCGAGACACCTTCTTCCTCGTCCTTTGCCAGATCATCAGCAGTTTGTTCTTTCAGAATCAAAGCGAAAATGTCGAGAATTTGAACATGGAACTCTTTTTCTCTAGGCTGATTCGCAATGTGCATTAGAGTTTTGTCGACTCCCGATTCTAGAAACGCCACGATGACTCTGTCGTGACAGCTGTCTTCGATGCGCGTGCGATGGCCTTCCGAAGTGTCCTGGTTGATCGAGAAGATGTATTTGATGAGCAGAACGATTCGTTCGACCACCAGTCTCAGTCTCTCCTCGCGATCTTCATATTCCGTCTCGATGAAATAGTTGTCGATGCGTTTTTTGACGGAGGAGAAGAAGTGAGGATCAGTGAATGCGTTTTTCGCTCTTCTCAGATTCTCTTCCAAATCCCAGTACATCTTCCACTGATCTCGGTCTGTCGGCGCTTTTCCTCGCATCGAAGCGATTGCCGGTTGACACAGGTTAACCATCAATCTGAAGGAAATTATAAATTCAGTAGATTCTTCCGCAAAAAATACCGAATGGCAATATCGAACTCCTCGTCGGAAAGATCATCGCATTTCACCATCGGCACCAGATCTTGCTCAATCAGGTTGTGCCGTCCGCACTCGATTCTTGCCGTGTAATCATCTCCATCTTCTCGCAAATATCGAATGAGATCTCGAATTGTCTCTGGAAAACTACTAATTTTATCAGAAATCAGGAATTGAAAGCTCACCATAGCAGTCCGGTTCTCTGTTGTATTTTCCGTCTTCGTAGTACCCGAGAGCGTGAACTGCTCCCTGAACGAGCACGTTCATGGGGAATCTGAAAGAAAGACAGAAGTTTTGGAAAAGAAATTCTTAAAACTTGAAGAAATTTGGAATGCAAATTTGGCGCGCCTGCCTGTTTCTGCAAACACAATGCAGAAAAGTGGGCGGAGCTTAGACGCACACAAAAGATAGCGGGCGGCGGAACCCGCAAGATGTCAGTACATTCGCACATATATATCCACGTCAATCGCCTAGGTTTTCGGTTTTAACCCAGTTAACCAAGGTTAGCATGGAATTCGATCTCTCGAAAGAGTGTGTCGATAAAATAATTTTTGCAACGCTTCTTCGGGGTATCCGTTGGAGCAAAATAATAAAAACGTGGTGTAATCGGGATTGCTGGTTTTGTTAATTCTCGCATTTCCGAATTTTTCTCGCGGAATGGGTGCTCGAATTTGCAAACTGATCACAGAGTCGATTTTGGAGAGCTCGGAAATCGAGGACGAGCTGGATTTGGAGTGCGGCGAATCGGATCCCACTACGTGGGATTCCTCCAACTCATCCAGTTGGTTTCTGATTTATGACTGTCGGCGAATCCCGTCCGAATTTAGGCGTCGAGGAGTTCGACGCGTACTCGTACGAATGCATAATAGAGCCGGTGGACAGTTCGAAGGATCCGTACATTGTGGAGAAGCGGTTCATCGCCGGATCCAACAAGCCGATCTACAATATCATCAAAAGAAAGTGAATGCACAGCTCGCACTCAAATTCGTTCTAACTGTTCCTCATCGCTGCAAATAAAAAGAGCACTTTATGAACGGGTTGAGATCAAATTTTTGAAGCATGTGGGAAAGAAAACTATACACCGAGCAACCTAAAGACACTATTATACATTGAAAGAATAAGTTAGAAAATAAATTAATAGGGAATTTCATTCTGGAAGTATTGTAGTTGATCGTACATTTTCGAGCGAATGTTTAAGAAACAATTGGTTATCACCGAATGCATGAACCTGAAAAATGTACCGTTTTCTGGGATTGGGAGTCCCGGGGAAAATACTCACTTGGCCGCATCCTGTTCGTTCAGAGTTGGAGCGAATCGGGATCTCAGTTGATTGATAGTCTTGCCACGGAAACACGGAAGTCCGGTGTCGAGCATCAGAGAAACGAGCGAGACGAATTCCTTTTCATATGGACGGACGGCCAGAAAGGCGTGCACGCAGAGGCTGGCGAACTGACGGAACGGAGCGGCTTCCATCTTCCCGCCCATTATAGCCACCATCTCTTCGCTCAACTTGAAATCCGGCTCGAAGCCCAAATTTCCTCCCGGACTACTTTCGAACATGAATCCAAAGTCTGAAAATGGAACTTGCTGATTTGACTGTATTGAATTTTGATCCAACCAATATGAATTATGTGTCCGTCCAAATCGATCATAATGTTTCCATTGTGTCGATCTTTGATTTGAAGCAGATAACTGAACACCGAATAGGCGGCCATGCTCCGAACGAAGTTTCTTCTCGCCTCTTGGAATGTTTCGCTACTCTCGTCCCCGTACTGCGTCTTAAAGTATTCGTATAATCCGAAATCAGTTTGTCTTCCCAGTTGGTCTCGGCTTTTGGAATTGGGCACGCATTCGATGACTCCGCAGCCGGGAGAAGTGGCCACCACTCGGTAGGGGAACACGCGGACAGGCAGACCGAGTCCCGCCCACACGTTCTTCATCAGTTGCATCAGTTGCAGTGCGAGCATGTCCTGCCGCACGTCGTCGCCCACTTTGAAGATGGCCGCTTGCCAGCAAACTCGACTGTCCTGAGCTTTCTTCAGTTCTTCCAGATCGCACTCGACAGTCCGTCCGTTCTCCGATTGCGCCTGCAGTCCGATCCTTTCCAACTCGCGCACTCCGCATCGTTTCACACGGAAACGGGCGAGAAATGGGGCCTTGGCAGCTGACTGCATGGGAGTTCCGGACGAATAGTCCAGATCGAGAAGGATTGCCTCTGGATTCGACGGCAAATAGGTGATCGTCTCTATTTTCACATCAGCCAATGCTTTCAAACATGCTTTCTTCCGAGCTTCGCCTTTCGGGAAAGGCTTTATTGTGCCGGAAATGGCAGTCAGTTGGTGGAAGAGCTTGAATTCGGCTTCATGGAAACGACGAGCGGCACCTTCCAGTTGAGAAATAATCTGAAACCGAGAACATTAAATAATTAATTTCTGATGTTTTCACCTTCTGTGTGATGTCGCTGAGAGCATCGAACAACACGGGATCCCTGTTTTTGCTGTCTTCATCTGTGTACATATTCGTCTGCATGTTCCAGATCAGCTGGTGAGCCAGAAGTTGTGAGTGGCCGGCCAACCAGATCATCAATTCCGAAATGTATCCCATTGTGTCGAAACGGACGGCTTGCACAATTTGCGGAATGTACATGAGAAGAGCGTCGGCCGGATAAGAACGGAGCACGCGCACGGCGTATTGCATGGTGATCGGATGGGCCGGATTCTGGCGAGGAGTCAGAAGGGAAAGGGCAGTGACCGGAGAGCAGCGAGCCCAGGTGAGCACGTGGGACATGTCGGCAGTCTCGAAGACGGAGGCGTCTCTGAGGAAGAGCGGAAGTGCTTGTGGCAGGTGAGCGACGAGTTCTGGCTGAGCTCGGACGAGTTTCTGAACGCACTTGATCAGATCTTCGGATCCTTTGAAACGCGCGGGCAGTTGGATGGCCAGTTCGGGAGAGATATCCCACGCGGACTGCACATGCTCCCTCCAGAGCTTGTTCTCACTGCGAATGTCCGGCAGGACAGTCGCTTTCAGCCATTGTTCGATGTCCAGAGTGTCTTCTTCCTGACTCAGTGCCAGCGGATGCAGCCACGCGCACAATCTCTCGATTTCATTGGCGAGCAGTAGCATGAGGAGATGTCTCTGTTTGTTCCACTTCTTGATTCTCCGATCTTCTTCTAACGACAATTTCTTTTCTATCGACTTTCCACTTCTCATTGACGCCGTCGCAGCTGCAATCGACTTCTGAGAGGACAAAGTGAGCGTGTTGGCGTAGTTCGTCGACGGAGGAAGCATTAGAGTCATCGTCGGAGTTCCATTGCTTCCAGACGTCGATTTGATGGTCGCCAGAGGGTCGTATCCACCGCCTCCAATCAGAAGACTCTTCTCAAAGGCAGACTGCATCTGGGACATTGTACTCGACATCACCATCTCTTTTCCCGTTTTTGCCATTGCTTCCTTTTTCAGATATCGCGAATCGGTACGTACGTGGTTGAAGAAAACGACTAGAAGACGGATATCCTCTCGAAGAGCGTCTTCCGATTGAGTAGGTCCTTGTGGAGCTAACGTGAAGTAATGGAAAGCACTGGAGTAGACTCTTTGTCGAATGAGCACATTGGTTGGACGAAGAGTGCATGCCTCCTGCTGCACCATTCCAAGAACCGTCGAAAGAAGACGGAAGCGGACTCCAACAGCTTCGATGCCCCGTGTTATCTGGTTGATGGACTCTCTTCTCGGAGTTCCGCTCAGATTCGCACTGTGTGTTGAGCTGGCTCCGTTCAGATGTCCTGTTCCGATTTGGGCAGAAAGAGTCTGTGAGAACATCATTTCAAGAACGTCGAGTTGTTCGCGAGATGAGTAAGATGCCACGTCACACCTCTCGGCGATGAACTCCACCCACGCTCGATGAGGGCGGAAGTTGGCGGAATTCGGTGGTCGCTCAAGCTGACGGCACAAAGGAGAAGTGCTCAAATTGTCGTGCTCCTTTTCAAACAGTCCCAATCCAAACCGACAAGAGTCGGCAAACGCTCTCGCTTGTTCGTGGAGGAAAGTGTTGTGGGCTTCCGGGCGAGCAGAAAGCAGCCAATTCCATGCCATTGTGCACAACGAAACGGTGGATTCGGTGAAGTTGCACAAGGGAGTTCTCACGAGAAGAGTGAGGATCCTCTCGTTCAGACTGCGGAGGGTGACGAAAAGCGCCGTGAGCAGCAGCACTGCCTGCTCCATTTCATTGTCTTTTCCGCTGCGACACGCTCTCGTGAAGTCCGTTTCGAGTTTGTCGATCAATCGATTCTCGGCGGTAGCTTCGTCGATATCTCCGCTCAGGGTGGTGGCCAGCATTCCCTTCACTTGCCCCAGGTACAGACTCCTTTTGTAGAGAGACGTCATGTACGCCCCACTCGCTTTCGCCATTCCTTGACCTTCACTTGTCGCGTCCAGAGCCAATTGCATGGCGGCATCGCACGTGGTTCCGAATTTGGAGACATATTCGAGAAGGTTGCTGTGCGTCGCAGCGGGAGCCCATCGAAGTGCTTCCTTCAGAATCTGTTTGACGCGGAGAGAGAAGTCCTTCACGACGGCGCGCCGACCTTCTATCGAGTCTTGCAACTGAATGCTCCAGCCTTGTTCGTATCCTCGAATGGTAAACTGCGGCTCCCGACAAGTGGGATCTGTCTGAAGGTTCTCCTCGAGTTCCTGGAGCAACCGGAGAATTGTGGTGAGCACTTCTGTGTTCCACAAAAGATACGGAAACTTCTCGATAAGTTTTGAGAGACACAAATCGGCCACTTTCCGTACTTCCCGCAAATGGTGATTGAACTTGAAGAGAAGGAATTGCGCGTGCCAGACGAGCGCCTCTCCAGTGGGTTGATCATTGTCTCTTCGTTTCATCATTTCAAAGCACCATTCATAGAAAACTTGTGGCGCCGCGGCGAGCATACACGTCCACAGTCCCGACTTGTCCTTTCGCATTGTTTTGTCCTCGATGTACTTGAAAAATGAGCTGAAGGCGTCGATGTTGTTTGCATGCAAAAGGCGCATGGTCTCCATTCGGTGGACCGACAGAAGGTACGTGCAGTTAGCGAAATCGAATCGATTGATGAGAGGAACGGCTTCTGCTTGGTGTTGAAGTTCTGCGAGTACAGTATTCCGCATCTCTTGTAGCTCTTGCGGGGAAATCGAATCACTGCGGATGGCCGCGTTGTCGATGAGTTCCGAACGAAGGTTCTCGGTGGCGATGAGAACTGGAGTCTTTGTGGCAGTCTCGCACACGGCATTGTACCATTCTTCCGGCCATAGACTGGATGATTCAACGTCAAATCCGAGAACAGTACAATAGAACCAGAAGTCACGGAACAGACTTCGCAACTTGGGAGTCGGTTGCGAAATGGGCTGCATCCGACGGAGCAGAGCTGCGATCTTCGGCATGAGAACTCCCAGGTTTCCGGCACTTGTGGACATCTGAAAAGTACGCTTATGATGGGAAGTGGAGTCTTCGCGTGTCTACGCACTACAAGCTACAAAACTAGTGGGCGGCTTCTCGCTGTTAGGAATACAGTGATTACGGTAAGCGGAATGAATTGAGGGAAATAAGAATGAGAAAAACACAACAGCTAGAGAACAGCACAGGAACGGAGAATGCAATTCACACCTTGACCGAGTTCACCGAAGTGGACAGAGCCACTATAGTCAGCTGCAAAAGATTAGAGCGAGAGATGAGAAGGAAGGATGGAACATGTGAGTTAGCTGGCACGCGCGGGGCTCACCTTAACTGTGCTCTTCGACACTTTCTCTCCGACGCGCCGTCCTTCGATGCCTAGTTGAACAAACAGCTCCAGGAGTCTGAACTTTTCAAATTTGTCGAGACCGAAAGATTGCCAGAATGTACCTGACGAGCAGTGTCATTTTGTCCTCTTCATTCCGAACTCCTTCGGCCATTCTGCTCATTGCCACGTCCACAGCTAGAGAAACATGCCTAAACCAGAACGACGTCGTCCTTTTCAGTTATCTTCCCGCTTACGTGTATCTCTGGTCATGCGAATCCGAGTTTCCCTGGCTGTAAACTCGATTTGAGGACTCGATGCATATTTGAGTGAACAGTTTCCAGACGTTTTCGTAAATCGTTCTCTGTAAAAATAAAGAAAATGGTTTGAATTGAGCAGATCACATACCGATCCAGCAATCCACATTTCCGCCAGGCACCTCACCATCGTCACGTCCAATTGTGACGGTGGATTTGCGAACCGTTGCAGGTAGATCTGCAGGACCATCTCGGGCACCTCGACGGCCGTCGAGTCCACCAACCCGACGCCGATTCCTCCGAGTGTTTGAATTGCATTCTCGCAAACCAGAGAGACAACGCTGAAAAGATTCAGATTCCGAAATATTTTGGAGACTATTCTATAGGCTAAGAGGTGTCAGTTGGGGCATGCGAATGCACAAAAAATCAACCGTATGCGGGACAATCCGGCGAGCAAATCATACCTGAAGTCGGGATGAATCGGTCTAAACTCGAATAGGATAGAATCAAATGTGGAAAAGGAAATGTAAAGAAAGGGAGAGGAGGAAGGATTGACTCACAAGTTGTTGGCATTCGAGCAGACGAACAGTTTGGAGGAGAGACTGGCGAGACACGCCTGTACACAGCTTACTTCCACTCGCATCGCTGATTTCAGGGCCCTGCACATGGCCTTGATCGCCGTAGTTCTGAGTGTATCGAGAGCGGACTTCCTTTTCAAACTGCCGTCCATTGCTCCGTTGCTCGATTTTCCGAGTTCTCCTGCTGATTTTCCTCTCTCCAGTGTCGAATCGGAAGCCAATTTAGTGAGCATCGGGGCCGGTTCGAGGAGGAAACGGGAGAGAATAGGAATGACAGTGGCAGTGGCAACGGCAGGGAACTTCTCCGCCAGACTGGCCAACGAACGGATCGCGTTCAGAGAAAGCGGCAGTTGCGAGATGATCGTTCGCTGTGTTTGATTGGCGAAAAGGCGCGGAGAAATCGAAGAGCAGATCGTATCGGAGTCAATGTCGTCGACGGCCGCCCACGCGATCAACTGCAGAGCTACGGTGGCTGCTTGCACATTTAATTTGGCTCTAGAGATTGTGGAGGAGTCTTCGGAGCTGTGCTGAATGCTCTGCGACTCCGTGTCCAACTTCTGCAGTGCCGTTCTTGCGAATGCGTTCACCTCTTTCGCGAATGCTTCCGTCACCGGTTTTTCCTTGTTCGTCGCCACGTTGTACAGAGAGAGCACGTCTCTGAGGAGGCACAGGCAGCACAAAGTGACTGCTTCAGCGAGTGTCTTGTACGGATTTCTCTTGAGACTTCCGGCAGTGAATGTTTCGGCTGCGATTTGATCGAGAGTGCTCAGAATGGACGGTTCCATAAGACGTTGCACCGAATCGAACAGCTTCTCCAGGTCGTGAGCGCTCATCGTTAGTTTGAGTCCTCCCGTGTAATTGAGTACTTGGAATGACGCTCCCAATTTATTGTACATTCTGACGAAGCGAGACCCATCCAAGGCCGAATTCGTATCGGCATCCGGCTCTTCGTACATGAATTCATCGATGTTCAGGCGCTGTCTTCTGGAAAATGACAAGCTTTATTAAATACGTGAGTCAGAAGTGATCGCACGTTTCACCAGAAGTCATTCCTTTGCATTTTTTGGTTTCGTCGACAGGCAGAGGAAATACAAGAGAAATGAGCGGAACCTCGTAATCAGCCGAGAACCTTCCCATCGATCTGATCAATCCCAACACGTAACACATCAGCTTCACAACATGAGCATGATTGTGCTCCAGATTCTTTTTGTCTTTCAGAAGATCGAGAACCGATGAGACAGCACATGCGAGAGCATCAGTTTGAGCGGAGACAATGTGTTCGCGGAATGGCGGAAGACGAGCGGCAAGATCGGAAAGCGCCGTATTGAAACAGAAGGCAAACTGCTCTTGAACCGGGATTTCTGAAAAGAAACAGACTACTTGTGAAAGACACGGGCAAGAAATTCACGGTCAGATTTATTTAAGAGTCCGTCGTCAATCCATGTTGTGTGTGGAAGAGAATTCAAGGCTCGGAGCAGCATGGGAACGAGCTCATCGGCGAACTGAAAGACCGAGAATTGGAGCATTCACCTGCCAAAGAGCTCACACCTTTCCGTGACTGTGGAGTAAAAAATTTGCGATTCCGATGAGCGAAGCACGAACATTATGGCTGAGTGGCGGCGATTCAAAATTTTCATTTTTGCCATCTAATGCCAGCAGTTGAAACACTTGCGTCAACTTTGTGTTTTCGTTCTGAAATGAGCCAAAATTCGATACACTTTTCAGCCGAATAACTCACTTTTGCGATACAAACGGCCAAACATTGTTTGTTGGAAAATACAAAGTCTTCGATATCCCTCATTTGCTGTCAAAAATTGACTGCATTTGTTTGACACCGCTTCTGGAAAACGAGAGAGAAATATCAGAGAAAAATGGAAGAGACGGCCGCGAGACGGGAACTTCAGCCGCCGCACTCTCTTCGTTCTACACACTCTCTCGCTAATGGTGCTTCTGCTTGCTTGCAATTGCAACAAGAGATGCAGTCGGTCCAACATAATAGAACTGGGTAGAATAGAACCGCGACATAATAGAACTGGGCAGAATAGAACCGCGACACAATAGAACCGGCCACAATATAACTGTTTGGAGCGCCTTTTGAACCTTTCTGTACAATAATTGTTTCGTAGAAAAAGATAATTTTTGAATCTCGTGATCGATTTATTGCATTCATTAATTTCACTTCCGTCGTGATCCCTCTTCTCTACGGTAACGAAAACCCACAAAATAATTTTATTGTACTATCAAAACCGAAAGGAAACCAATTTTCTAGGTTTAGACTGTGGTCTTCTGCTTAATTGTTCGAGAGAAGAAGAATTTTGCGAAAGTTAATTGAAAGGAACGGACAAAATGCTCATATAAATACACAAAAACAGATTCTGCGAACGGAATATGGATGGAACAAAACGTTCATAATATGCTGAAGCTTCATTGTGAATAACGCTAAAGGTTAAAATAAAATAATGATGTGAAGATCGTTTCCGTTGCTTGTCGTTCGTGCAGGTTCCGCTGAAAAAAGCATTCTCCTACGGAAGGCAGATGAGCGCAGAAACAACAAACAAAGGCGGATAGCCGTCGTTTCCTGTCGGTATCGGGAGGGAAGTTGTCTTTGCCGGCTGCGGACCCTAGAAAAGGACGACATCTAAACAGCATGCAACGTGGAAGTAATGAAAAAAGGGAACAAATGATAAAAAACGGGTTATCCAGTATTCGATGGGTCTTCTTCCGATATTGTCGACCTAACATTGTTGTCGTTGTTGTTGCCGCTGAAAATAAGTATAGTTGAGACGTAAATGAACATAAGCTTGTTTTGAAAATATGCATAGAAGGGGATCTAATCCTTGTAAATCTCACTAAGAATCAGTTTTAATTTATTGTTATGATCTGAGTGCACGCTTTAACAGGTATTCGCATGGACGATTACGTGGAAAATTTGGAATTGGAGCTCGGCGAAAAGGACTTCCTTATAGAAAATCTGCGCCGTCGAAATGATGATCTCCATCGCAATATCGTGGAGATCAACGCCGAAAAGCTGAGAACCAAGCGGCAGTTTGAGCAGTCTAAAACGATCTACCAGAACATAAAATTGGTCATAGAAGAGAAGCACTATATTAACGCGCGCCAAGAAGCAGAAGAGAAAGTTCAAGTACTTTTGGAAAGAATCAAGGAGCTCAGTGAATTCAGAATGCGTCAGGAATATTTGGAAAGAAGGGTCGTAGATCAAGATAAGCGATTTGAGAAACAGCAAGAGTATATCAAGAAGCTGCAAAAAGAGACGAAGGGAAACAGTACTTCGAAAGGAAAGGTTGCTCCGCCGACACCGTACGACAGTCTGAAAACGAACGACGCCATTGTGAAAAGAGCGCAGGCCGCAGTTTGAGAAAATAAGCGTGTGGCAGGTTCTTAGATCGTCAGAAACGAAAGGGAGAACGGTTTTTCAGGACAAACCGACTCGAAGAAGTTCCCACTTCGCGTGATCGGAGAAATGGAGAAAGCGGGGAAGTGGTGGTCGCACAGCTAGTAAACCTGAAAGAATTTATTGAAAAACGTATCCAAAACTTGTCTGATACGTGCTTCGTGCTTCGTGTGCTTCGAAACGTTTCTCTGATTGAACTGGAATGCCTCTAGAAGTTAGACATTTGACATGAATGACCAGCTTTTCCAGTGATCTTTCAAATCACAATTTGAACTTGGGCTACTGTAGAGTTGTATCCTCATCTGCTGACTCTTCCTTCGGCGCTGTCGCTTTGCGAACACTTCATTTGACTAACATCACAAACAAATTTATTCTAATTTTCTCTGGACGACAGAGCAGCAAAATAAACGAGAAGAGAGAGAGAGAGAGATCGAGAAAAACGCAAAGAAAATGAGGGAGAGGGGGCGAATCACACGAAGAAAGGACGGAATCGGACGGCGTCGACCGGGAGACACACGTATTTTCCGTCGACGAACTGACAAACCACTTCGTCGTTTCCTTCTGAATATCAGTTTAGTTCACTTCTCGATGAAGCCGTCTGAATACCTGAAGCTGCAGACGGATTCGCTTCCATCATTGCGCCGGCCGACCGTTTTCCGTAACGCGGGAGGACGGCTCGCCCGTAACGCGACAGAAGAGCCGGCCGTTTCTCGGGCTTCTCGGGCTCTTGGCACAGTGCCAACACGACGAAGAATGCCAGAATGAGGACAGGGACCCTTGTGAGCATGGTTGGTTCTGGAATGAAGGAATGAATGAGGGAGGGATCATAAGGTGTCGTGGGAAGAAGAAAATCGAGTTTGGTGTGAGATGTGAGTAAAGTGAACTCGAATGGAGAACTCAAAATTGGAGATCTGGGTGCGTGAGAAATTGCAAAGTGCATAGCAGATGTGAGTCAATTGGAAAGAAGGAATCATCAAGATATCACAAAGATCGGAGCCATCACTTCCAGCTCATAACTCCTGGAGAGCTCACTCAAATGAAGCGGAAAAATGGGTAGAGTCCTACCCACTTGGCTGCTTTTAAACCGCTTTTTTTTAACCCGATACCAGCTGAAATCAAATCATTGCGTCGGCGATCGACAAATTGTCATTTGGAATACTTGTGGGAAACGTGGCATTTCGTAGCCGAATCTCGGATTTCAAATGGACCGAATTTGGGGAAAAGAACGACTACTGAGAGCCACGACGACGTCTTTTCCATGCCTTTTTTGTTTTTCGGACAATAATTAATCGAACGGGGACGTTGATGACTTTTATATTTTCCGCTTATTTGGCAGGTTCTCTCCCCCGACGACACGCGATTCAGATGGCGAATTCGGTTAAATCGAAAGCCCGTAAACACGTTGCTTTCGGAACACAAAAAAGGAGAGATCTGTGCAAACACTCATGGAACTGTTCGGCGGAAAATGAATGAGCAAGAAAGCGAAGTAAATGAGCAAGAATCGAGTGTGTTTGGGCTCGATTTGCAATTCAATTCACGACTGATTCGGGGGAGGAAGAGTTCCCATTCGGGCAGGTATAAACAGAGAAAAAGACGGGCAAAGGGTGAGATGACGTGGAAAGGAGGAAAGAGAAGGAAAAGAAGAGGAAGGAGAAGAAGATGAACATCGGAAGAGACGAATTATGGAAGAAAAAGCGATGATGGAGTAATTGGGATCGGAGGTGACGGGCTGTGCAGAACATGATAATGTGGTGGGCGATCTGATGTGTCAGAAGAAATTCGAACACCGATCTTGGACAGAGTGAGCCTCAGGTAAAATTTCAAACTTTCCAAAGCGCCTCTCAAGACTTTCAAACTTTCTGAAGCAAAAAACGTTTCCAAGAAATTCTCAAAATTTCTCAAGAAATACTCTAACTTTTCTAAAAATGTCTCAATTGGCGCCTCAGAAAGTTTGACAATGGCATAGGAAAGTTTGAAATTTTACCGGAGCATGTTGATAATTCACAAACAGAGTAAGAAAGAAAGAAAGAAAGAAACGGACACACTCCGTTAGCCTTTATTATTATTAAGTAAGAATGATGATTCCAGCGCTTGTACGTCACGTCAGACCTCAAAGTTCAACAGATCTACTTAAAAGTGTACACTGCGCTCACTCCGTCTCCATTTGTAGCTTTTCCGTCGTTTTCCACGAAGTGAAGTCAGAAATGAACTTTCATTTTCTTCCTTTCACCCGATTATTTCATTCAAGCAGATTCAATCTGCCAACTCGTTTCGATCTTCCACTTTCTCTTGGCTTCTTTCTTTTTTTAACTAACTCGTTTCAATCCAACCATCGAATTTGTGATGAGTGCGTGCTCCCGATCTTTCTCTTTATCTAGATGCTCCGCTCTGCGTCCATTCCGTTCCAATTGTCTCCCGGCCCTTTCCGATTGGTAATAGAAAATAAACAAATCCATCGCGTCGCCTCATCTGCCCGCGCGTCCACTCGGTTCCCCTGTCCATCGGATTGTACATACTTCTCGGGTCGATCCGTCTGCGTCTCGCCGTCTCTCGTTCAGCTGTGTCATCAATCGCTCCTTCTCCCGCCTGTCCTTCCTTCCTCACGCACTATTCGACCTTTCTCCCGTCCCTCCCCCTCATCTCACTCAAAACTTTCTCGCTCCTCTTTTAATCCAATTAATCTTCCTCAGTCGAAGCACCATGGTTCTGTTGTTTTGGCGACGGAAAACCGTCGGTTTGCTATGTCTGTTCTCCATCCTGCTCACCGTCTATCTCTACGTATCAATGTATCCGGACGAGAGAGTTTCCGTGGACGCGCTCAAAAGCGGAGTCGCAGACATGAAGCGAACGGAGAAGAAGGTTCCAGCGATCAACGAAGGGAGGGAACAAGAAGAGGAAGAGGACGAACCGAAGGGACAGGTTATCGTGAAATCCGATTGGGATGACGAGGATGACGACACAGAGAAAGAGAGGAAGAAGAAGAAGAAGCAGGTTTGTTCGCACCTGAATAAAGGTAATTTAGCACACATTGAAAGCTGATCGTTTTCAGTCATTGTTCCCGGATCACTCGAAAGAACTGGAAATAGACACGGAAGAGTTGGGGAAGATTGACGGAAAGGAAGAGGAAGATCAGCAGACCCTCGGCTACAAGAAGTATCAATTCAACGGACTGCTCAGTGACCGTATCGGATCCAGACGCAAGATCAAGGACTCCCGGAACTCCCGATGCTCGGCCCTTCAGTACGCGGAAGACCTGCCGGCCGCATCCGTAGTCGTCTGCTATTTCAATGAATCACCGTCCGTCCTCATCCGAATGGTCAATTCGATACTGGACAGAACGAAAGCAGAACACATAAAGGAGATTCTTCTTGTGGATGATTCTAGTCAGTGGCCGAATGCCACCGAAGAGGCAAAAAAGTACAAAGAATCTCATGGAGTCGCGTGGAACAGTGTCAAGTTTGCGAGGACTCAGAAGAACGAAGGACTCATCAGAGCCAAGATCTTCGGAGCCAAGAGAGCCGTGGGCGAGGTATTGGTAAGTGTCGCATCTACCGTAATCCTTTCCCAATCCCTCACTTCTCGCAGGTGTTTCTCGACAGTCACTGCGAAGTAAACGAGGACTGGCTGCCGCCGCTTCTCGATCAAATCAAACAGAATCGTCGTCGCGTCGTCTGTCCGATCATTGACATTATCGACGCGATCAACATGAAATACGTGGAATCGCCAGTGTGCACGGGCGGTGTCAATTGGGCGATGACGTTCAAATGGGACTATCCGCACAGATCCTACTTTGACGATCCGATGAACTACGTGAATCCGTTGAAGTCGCCCACTATGGCCGGAGGTCTTTTCGCCATTGACAAGGAATATTTCTTTGAAATTGGAAGCTACGACGAGGGAATGGATGTGTGGGGCGCCGAGAATGTGGAGATCAGTTTCAGAGTGAATTCATTTCCAATGTTTTTTTCCAAGGAATGTTTTCTAGATTTGGACGTGTGGCGGTGAGCTTCTGATAATGCCATGCAGTCGGGTTGGGCACATATTCCGGTACGATCATTTATTATTTCCGTTATGAAATTCCTCGATAAAATTTTCCAGAAGACAACGCCCTTACGGTCTTAAAAACGACTCGATGGGCAAGAATTCAGTGCGCCTGGCGCGTGTCTGGCTCGACGAATACCTCGAAAACTTCTTCGACGCGCGCCCCTCTTACCGTACTTTCACCGATTACGGCGACCTTTCCTCTCGGATCGCTCTGCGGAATAACCTGCAATGCAAGCCGTTCAAATGGTACCTTGAGAATATCTACCCGGAACTGTTGCCCGATAACACTCCAAACCAGCTGGACGACAAGATTCTGGTGCCCGGCAAGAAGTACCTGGTGAAGGTGGCGAATGGAACGCACTGTTTGAGTGCGGAGAACTCGCAGGGCCGGATCGCGAACGGGAACCGCGTCGAGATGCGGAAGTGCAATCATTCGGAGCGGATGCAGCAGTGGAAGTACTCGCAGACGGGCGAGCTGCGGCCGATGGGCTCCTCGCGAATGTGCATGGACTCTCTGCGGGGGATCAGTGTCATTCTGTGCCACAATCAGGGAGCACACCAGAATTGGCAAGTGTCGGTCAGTCGCAGGCAGGCGCCGGAGCATCTGAATAACTGGGATTCGTTTCAGAAAAGTGGAAAACTCTTCAATAAAGCGGTGGGCAAATGCGCGTCCGGAACGGACGAGACCATGGCTCTGAGCACACTCAAGTTCTGCTCCCTGGCCCCGAGCTTCCAATTCGTAGAACTGTAACTCGTCCTGTGATTTCCTTCTTTACTTTATGGGTACTTCCCTCCAACTCAAACTGGTTCACTTTCTCAATTGCCTTTCTCTTACTTTTTCTTGTGACTATAAGCATAAAAATTTATTGAAATCTAAAAGGTTGATCAACAGCAGTGTTGGCATCTGAACTAAGAATCAACAGAAGTGATTAAAGGCTGATGTTTACAATAGAAACGGAAAGTACAATAATGGAAACTCTGAGATGATGTTTTTGACATTTTTGGGATGGAAATCGAGTTGGGATGGAGAAAACGTATATTTGGGGGGAGTCGAAGGTAGATTTGAAAAGAAGGTAATAAATAAGACATCGAATGGATGGATGAGCAATAAAAAGAAAGAAGGGAAGAAGCGCGATGAGGGGAGAATGGAATGAAAGAACAAATCGGGCGAGTCAAGGGAATCAGGTGAGACGACAGAAACTAGGGATATGCGGGGACTAGACAGGGAATCGGAAGGCCTTTCGTACTGTATCACAGACTCTTTTTGAGGGGGGACATTCACTTTTCACATGACCATTCCTTTGTGAGCGATTGGAGCTGCCGGACGGGAGGCGTAGTGACTGGCGTACACCATTTCAGGCGTCTTCTGCTGTTGTTCTGGAGCTGAAAACGGAACATTCATAATCGTAAATCAGATGAGAGTAACTCACACGACTCTACTTGATACTTGGGCAAGTACATCTGGTACTCCTCGCACGCCGCCTGGAACGCATCGACAATATCAGCCAAGCTCCGGACAGTGCTCTTCGTTGCCAGATACTTCTCGAGAAGCTTTTGAAGACGTGGTCCGTATTCCGAGTCTTGCGGGAAACTGCGATCGAATTGGATCGAAGCTGGCTTCTCCGGATAGTGACGTGGCAGCGTTATGCGCAAAGGATTGACCAGCAAAGTTTGCGCTTTCACACAAAGAATGACGAACGGAGCCTTGGAGGAGGAGGGAAGGCAATGCTCATCGATGTTCCAGTTTGAGATTTGCCTCAGCTCTTCACGAGCTTTCGGGGGTACCACCCAGGGTTGTCGGCCTTGGAAGATAGTTTTGATCTGAAACAAATGTATGTAAAAACTAGAAGAAAAGCCTGAAGAGCATACCAGGAACTGCTCGGGAATCTGGTTCACGTCTTCGTCGACGGACACTTGACTGCCAGTCTCTTCTTTGTCCTCTTCTTTCATCTTCTTCGCCGCATGTTCCTCGTCGTCAACGGAATCCGCTCCTCTTTCTCTTTTCAATATTTTCCGTTTCTCGTTTAATGGGCTCGGTGAGCAGGCTCTAGAACTCAGATTTTGGACAGCTTCTGGCAATCGAATCCGCAGATGCTTGAGCGAAACCCATGGTTGAACGCCCATCGGATCCTCTTCAGTCTTGTTAGCAGTCAGCTTCCTTATGGCTTCATCGGCAGCAGCAGACAATTTGTCTTTCTCGATAGGAGGGAACGTTATTTCCGGGGGATTTCCTCCTTGTTTTCGGAACACAGCCTTCCGGAGTTCCTCCATGATTGGGAATGTCGGACAGTCTCTGACCATCAGCCTGTGCAGCGATCCCTTCAAAGAGAGCAGATGCTCGTATGTAGTCGAGCGGTCTCCATCCAGAATGTTGATCATTTGCACAAGCCCTTTCACGGGCACTTGGCGTCGTTGCATCCCTTGAAGGACTTCCAAGTACTGAATCTTCATCTCACGGAGCAACTCCTTGTACCGAAGATCTTCTGCCTTCGGAGGATGAGCAGCGGGAGCAGCAGCAGGAGGAGCAGCTTGTTGAACTGGAGTTTGCTGTTGTGCTTGTTGTTGCGCCTGATGTTGGGCTAGTTGTTGGGCTTGATGTTGCTGTTGATGCTGCATTTGTTGCATTTGATTCTGCTGATGCTGATGTTGAATCTGCTCCCGGTATCCGTCGTGTTGCATTCCGTGTTGTTGAGCGAGCTGTTGCTGATGGTGCTGCTGTTGTTGTTGCTGCATTTGCAGTTGTTGCTGCTGTTGCATGTGTAGCTGTTGCTCCCGTTGTTGCTGTTCCCGTTGTTGCTGTTCTCTCTGCTGCATCTGCTGTTGCTGTTGTTGGTAATACTGTTGCTGTTGGAACTGCTGCTGGGCCACACTCGAGACTGACGCGGGACCGTGAGATTCTGAAATAACAGGTCGATGAGAGTTTGCAGGACGAGTCATGGGAATGTGAAGCTGTGAGTCAAAGACATTTCGAAGTTTGCACTTACGGGGCGTGGGCGGCTGCATGTGTTGTAACGGCTGCATGGCAGGTGATTGGTGAGCCAGATGTGCTCCGGGGTACTGTGGAGTCTGGCCGGGCCCCGGCTGCGCCATCATCCTCGGATAACCGTTCTGCTGGTGGTGTTGTTGCTGCTGTTGCATAGCCTGCATCCTCGCCAACTGCTGTTGTTGTTGGGGCGTGGCGCCGTGCGGGAATCCGCCCTGACGAATGATTCCTTGTTGCTGCGCGAGCATGTTCTTCTTCTGCATCTCCAAAATCTTGCGCTTCTCGGCAGCAGCCGGATCCCTTTGCATCTGCGCGCCCGGCGTTATTTGCGGCGGCGGCATCACTCCGGGAGCTCCTCTCCAGGCACCATCCACAGGCTCTGCAGAATTGTATCTAGCGGCTTGAGCTTGCTGACTTTGGTAGCTGTTGAACTGCCGATGGATCCGATCGTTTATAGAATGCACGCCCCGTTGCATTTCCTCTCGCGTGATCTGACCGGCGCCTAACATCCTGTTCAGTGACGACGTCGATTGGTGCTGGAAGTCATGCAGTTGCAACTGAAAGAAAACGGATTGCTTAATAAAAATAGTTCGGGAATAGTAAAAAAAAGTAAAAATAGACGAACATTATTGGTTTTTGACGCAATTGCTTTATTTTTGGACATCATAATGCGATTTCGCTAATAGTAAGTTATGGAATAGAATGAGAAATATCGAGAACGAACGTGCCTCTTTATATCCCCTCAACGAGAGCGCATCTACGCCTACGCAATGCCCTCCGGGGCGTCGATATGTTTTCATCGATTTCTTTTTCAACGAAAAACTAACAAGTTTACCTTGTACTGATTCGCAAATTCCGCCGAGAGGCCACCGGGGACGGGCATCTTCTCGAGCAGACTGTTGATGAAGGGATACTCATCGCCTCCTGCTGCACTCGCCCGTAGTGCTCCTCCGGGCGGTCCGAAGTTCTGCATTCTTCTGAGAGCGTACGAATGTACGCGAGTTTGGCGAGATTCACACGGTTAAAACCCTGAAGTGATTGATTTGAAAGTGGATGTCAAAGATAGGTTTTAGAGATAATTATGAAGCGGTAAATGTAAACCGCTGATATGGCAAAAGCGAAAGAAAAGTTAGATAACCATAAAAACGTTTTTAGGAAGTAAATAAGGAACAACATAGAATAGAAAGGTAAAAACAACATATAAATGAACAACAAAAAACAAACGAAACACGGGGAGACACGTCCCTTCTACAACTTGATCGCAGCCGAGTTCTTGTCGGTCTTCGTTCGCTTCACCACCTTCTTCTTCTTCGTCGTCGTACCGTTCTTCTTCTCGGCAGTCACCGTCTCTTGCAGTTTCGCGAAGAAGTTGCTGCTCTTCACCTTCTCGCCGCCCTTCTTGTCCATTCCCTTCTCTGCCTTCTCCTTCTTCTTGGCCTTCTGTTCGCCGAACACCTTCTCCTCTCCGAACTTCTCAACCATCGACCTCTGCTTAGCCTTCTTCTTTCTACGTTCTCTCGCCTTATCCGTCGAATCCCTCTCCTCCTTGCCCTTTTCGACCGCCTTCATCTTCTTGCTCACTTCTTCCGGAGCCATCAGTTGGGCCTCACTGGAAGCCGTGATTCCGACCTCTTCCACTCGGAGAGCAGCCATATTCGAGACCACCTTGACTTCTTCTCTCGCCTGATCTGGTTTGTATTCGAAGTGAGTGAGTGCGTCGATGAGGCGGAACAGATCCGACATCTTCTTCTTGATCGTCTCGTGAGACTCATTCACCTTTTTCTCGCCATCTCCACCTCCTCCGATGCTCTTCTCGTACTCTTTTTCGTACACTTCCGCTAAAGACGTCTTCTGATTGAACATGTTCTCGATGGCCTGAGTCTCGAACTTTGGCCCCTTCGCATCTACTTTCTTCACACGGATCACATCATCCCAGGCCTTGTCTTTAATGCGTTGCTTGATAAGCGACTCCAGACGATCGGTGAATTCCTCGGTGACTTCTGGAGCTCTCTTGGCGCCGTGATCGAAGTCCACGTGTTTCTCGAGCAGAGTGTTTTGCTCTCTTTGGTCCGCCGCCACTTCTCCGGACAACTCCCACGACCTCGGAGCGAGATTCTCCTCTTCCAGCTTCGAAATTCTCTCCTTCATCTTATTCTGTCTTTTCACAAATGCAGATTCTTCTTTCTGCTCTTCGAGATCGGCTCCCAGAAGAACGGGCTGATCGGAAATATCTTCTTCGTCGTCAACGTCTTCATCTTCTTCATTGTCGACGTCTTCTTCGTTTTCTTCCTCATCCATTGCGAAACGAACACGTTTTTTATGTTTTCTGAAACATTAGGGTAAAGTTGAAAGCATAAGTACTGATTAAAGTGTGAAACAAACCCGTCATCGATGGACAGATCAGCGTCCGCCGCCTTCCGCTTCTTCTCTCCCTTCTTTGCCGCTTCCGCATCGGGAACAGCGTCTCGAGATCCGAAAAAGTCTTCGTACGTGTAGTCAGCCTTTCCATCCCAGCTGTCCTAAAAAGCAAATTTGTTGAAATTCAAGTCATTCCGAAAACGTACTTCATCTTCGAACATCATATCTTCTTGCGCTTTTCCTCCGTTTCTCTCCGTTTTTTGCAAGAAATCGTGCATTTCTTCGAGACTGAAGAACTCGTCGTCGACGATGCTCTTTTTGAACTTTTTCGGATCCGACGTCTTTTTACTGTCATCGACGTCCATTTCCTCCTCCTCATCCGAATCGGTTTCTTCTCCCATTTTTTTAAGATCTGCGTCCAACGTTTTCAGATCCTCTTCCTTCAAGTTAAACAGATCAACGTCGCCTTCCTCATTGTCCTCCTCTTCATCAACGAATTCGTCTTCCAATTCTTCGTCTTCCACGTCTTCTTCGTCGTGTTCCGACTCTTCAGAATCGTCCGATTCTTCTTTGGTCGAAACGCGAATATGTTGTTTTCCGACCAATTCAGACAAGAACCCCTGAGAAAACGTATTTTGAACGTGAACCGAATCACGAACACACCTTGAACTTCTTGTTGACCGAATCGAGTTGCTTGTTCTGATGCTTCAGATAAGACCACACGACTTCCTCGTTTTTCGAAACAAACGGGAGCGGTAGGTTTTCTTCTGATGGTTCCAACGACGTCGACCACGAGTAGACGTCCGAAATGACATCGGTGAAAGTATCCGAGAACTTGGAGCTTCTGAAACAGCAAGATTACAAGGAAATGATGACAAAAAATGTCACGAACCCTTTAAAGAAGTTTGAGAAATCGCCGACTTCCGGTATCAATTCGCTCTTTTTTGCTTTTGTTTTCACCATGGTTTACCTGAAAACGGGAGCATAAAGTTTAGCAAAAAAGGTTTGAGGAAATAAAGTAAATATTGATCGGTCAGAGCAATATTGTTCGAGGTTATGAAATGGGGATGAAAATCACTGTTTAAATCGATAAATCAACAAAGAAATTGGTCAAATAATGAGCAATACAAATTTAGAAGTAATCCAAAAATGAACAATGTCAGTTAATTAGCTTCAGCGGGCGATTATTATGAATAAAATAGGGACGAGAGAAGGATTTTTTCGCATTCATTTTCTGTCGGCTGTCTGCTGCGATTCCGTCAGACAGGAGCGATGGAGAGGAAAGAGTGCGGCGGGGGCGGAGTGCGCAGACGGTCAGAGACGGGTAGAGAGGGACGTGAGACACAGAGAGAGGCGTTTCGTCGTTCTCTCCTCCCGTTGACACTCTCTCCTTCCTACCGGACAAAGAGAAGAGTCGGACTGTCAGAAACGAGATAGTAAGAGGATTGTTGAGGAAGAGAAAAATAATAGAGAACAGTTCTCCCGAAGCACATGTTCACGAGCTCCGAATCCGAAAAGGGATCGGCAAGGCAGTGCACTTCCTTTTGCACTTTCCATTCCCAAATCCACTACGGACTGGTTTGGGCGGCACGCTTAACCTCTCGCACCGATGACGCAATTGAACAGACTTTGCGGTTTCGGCATTTCTTTCCGCCCGAACGTTTCGCTCAACACAATGGGATTTACGAGAAATGCGGCAAACGAACGCAGATATTTTTGATCGGAATTCATTTATATCGACTGGAATAAGTGCTGAGTTCTGTGAGGGGTTATAAAACATACAAGTCCTGTGGCAAAACGACCTGATTGTGGATAGTTTCATCATCATTCATATTCAATAAAAAGCTAACTGATTCTGTCCATATCTATCTTCTTTTGTCTAATAACTTTTTCAATTCAAAAATAAAAAGTTGTGACGTAGAAAAAGCGACAAAGTTAAGATTTTCAGACTCACTTTTATTTTATATCGTAATTGTACGACACTTCGTCGTAAGCATGAGTATACGTTTTTTAGTTGGGCGCATTGAAGACGGACATTCTTAATCGAGTTTAAATACATTTGTTGAAAAATTAATAATAACTCATTTATTCTCTTCAGCCACCTAGGAATAAAATTACAACAAGAAAGAAAGAAGAGAAAAAAAAGAGGGGGAATGTGGGTGGGGGAAGGAACAATGGCTTGACATGACCATTGGCCGGCAGTAGCCAGAGGTCAGTTAGAATACAAAAAGCTAGGGGGGATCTTCTCGATGCGCGCCGCGAAGGCCTCAGAGGACAGTCTTTCGGGAAACAACTTGGCCACTCGGTTCCAAAGGGCAAGATGGGTATGTAAGAAAGAGTCATGGGGTAGGCCAAGGGAGGATAGAAGGTACGGGTGACGGGGGGAGACGCCGGGTTTGAGGAACATGCTTAGGGAGGGGAAATGGTACTTGTGCGAGATTATGTTGTGGAATGTTCTGAGAATAAGAAGAACCCTTCTGTGGAGTATCGATTTTGAATTAGATTGACTGAGACGGTCGGTATAGGAGGAGAACCGCATGTTACATCTTTGGAAGACTCTTCTACTGAAAAATCTAAGGGGAGACTCTAATTTGCTGGAGAGGGATGTCGATGAGGGATGGAAAAGTTCACAGCCGTACTCGAGAATGGGTCTGACGTAAACGTTGAAAAAGTTTAAAGTAGAGACTGGGGTTCGAGGAGCGAAAGGCTTTCAGAATTTGTTTGCATTTCAAGAGGGCGGTATTGCTAACTATTGTGATATGCTTATCGAATTTGAGCTTGTCGTCTATCCAGATGCCGAGGTCCTTAACGGAATCTTTTGATTCGATTTCGATGCCATTCAGGAGATATCTGGTTTTGGGATTTTTCTTTCCAAAGTGGAGAACTGCGGATTTATTTTCTGCTAGCTTTAGTTGCCAGGTTTCGCACCATGATGCGACAATGTTTGCACTTTCTTGAAGCGTTTTTGGGTTATCTCCGAAAATTTTCAAGTCATCAGCGAACGCGGTGACATGGACGTCGGCGGGGAAAAGGGCTAGCAAATCATTAATGAAGACCAAGAATAGGAACGGCCCTGTGACCGTTCCTTGGGGAACGCCTGATAGTACTGGGAAGGAGATGTCGGAGATAAAATTATCGATTTTTACGGCAGATGAGCGACTTTCTAGAAATGAGGCGAACCAATCACATGTTTTAGTGTCAAGGCCAAAGTTCTTCAGTTTGCAGATGAGGAGATTGTGCGGGACACTGTCAAAAGCTTTCTTAAAATCAAAGAACAGGGCATCAGCAAACTTGTTTCTGTTCGCAGTTATTTGCTGGATTTTTGATATCGAATCAAGTAGTGCGAGTGTGCACGATCTGTTGTTCATAAATCCGTATTGGAATTTTGAGATTCGTTCTGAGAATTCAAGACGTATAGAGCTGAGCATCACTTTTTCAAAGAGTCTGGAGATCGGATGTGTCAGTGAGATCGGTCGGAAATTGGAAGAATCTGTGAAGGATCCTTTTTTATGAATTGGAATAACTGTGGAGGATTTGAGGAAGTTCGGGAAGATTCCACTGTCGAAAGACTCGATGAATATCAGTGAAAGAGGAATTGTGATGGAGTCACGACAATTTTTTAAGATAAAGAAGTTTATGACGTCTCTAGAGTATCCTATTTTTCGGGTCGAGAGTATCGATTAGGCGGCTTATGTTTAATGGGGAGAAGTCGAAGGCGATCGGATGGGGTTTGGGGGGCTGGGAGGGCAGGGAAGGGATCGGAGGGCATGGTGAACGCCTTTGAGAAAAACGGAGGAGAATTCGGCGGCAATCAGAGAGGGTTCGGTTATAATGTCGCCAGAAATCAGTAGTTTTATTTGCGCGGAGCGCGTGGAGAGACGATTTTTGACAAATTGGAACAGTTTTCTGGGATTTTTGGCTCTGATTATGCTGTATTCTTGTCTGGCGAGACGTTTTTTGATGTTCTTAAGGTGGAGCCTGTGCTCGGATTTAGATTTTACAGCGAAATGGGAACGGCGTCTGAGTTTTCGACAGCGGGCTTGCACTGATTTACTCGTGAGAGGGCGTTTGGGGCGAAATGGAGGGGTGCTGTCGCGGATAAGTTCGTTGAAAATTTTCAGGAAATGAATAAGCTTTGTTTCACAATTGGCAAAGAACGAAAGTTGGAGAGGCCAGTTGTATGCTGAGAGTTTGGTTAAGTTCCTTGAAATTGCACTTCCTATAGTCAAGATTCGCGATCGAGTGATGGCAAGGCACCGGCTGCTTTCTAATTTCTAGCGAGAAAGAGACAGAATCGTGATCGGAGAGTAAGAACGGTGGGGCTTTCTCACAGTGGAGGCAGATGTCAGGCGAATCGGTGAGAATAATATCTAAGAAATTGGATTTACCGGATGCGGCAGTACGTGTGGGGAAGTGGACAATTTGGGTCAGGCTGAGTGTGATTATCATATTGGCAAGATCAGGATGGATTCCTCGGTTATCTATAGAGTTCCAATGTGCACCTGGCATATTGAAATCGCCAATCACAAAATTGTGCTTGGCTCGAGAGCTGGTGAGTTCGATGATATTCCGAACGAGGAAGCTGGTTTGCTCGGGTAGGGTATTTGGCGGTCTATAGACGAGGATATAACGAGACTTCGAATGTTTGTGGTCAACAGTGACGATGTCGCAAAAGTGTTTTTCGTAAAAATTTTCGGAAAGTGAGTCTACTAGATCGAGCGGAATGCTATTTCTGTAGAATATTGCGACACCGCCGCCTCTGTTTTTGGGGTGGGTCGGTTGACGATCAGAGCGGAAACAAGAGTATTCACTGGAGGTGCACAGCGACAGAGGGACGGCGGAGTTTAGAAAGTCTCGGTAACGAAAGCTAAATCTGTGGTGTTGTGCGATAGAAATTCGAACATAACTTGTAGACGTTCGGCGGAGGCAATCGAGCGGGCGTTGGTAAGGTAACAGTGGAGAGATTCATCGGAGTTATGAGGGAGAGAACGCGGTTTTTAGGGGAAATTTTATTCACAGGACTTTTTGGGACTCGATAGATAAGCCACATTGTAGTCTGAAGATGGGGAATTGCGCGGTGATGGGCACTTGTGACGGATCATGGGATGGGGAACCGAGTGGCAAAGAATTGATGCCCGGGAGACCGATTTGTGGCCGGGTTCCTAGGCATGGGGTGAGCTGGCGGGGGCGGATGAAGGGGAAACACGGAAATCACGCGGGGTTTTCAATTTGATGACATCAAAGTCACGGACAACGGCGAACTCGATTCTGCCCGCTTTCAGGTTTCGCTGGTAGGCATCTTGGCGGGCCTGACGGAGAAGCGTCAGCTCATCGGGAGTCATGTCGCGCCGACAGCGAATAGGGCGCTTCGCGGAAAAGCGGCTGGGCGATTTCCCAAGGGCCTTGGAAAAATTCATGATGAAAAGGTCGCGGGAGCTTTTCGACTCGAATTTAACTTTCAGCGGCCGGGAAGGAATCTCGGAATTGCGGCAAATGACACGGAAATTATCGATTGGCTCGGGAAGTTCAGGGGTGAGAGCGCGCAGAGAGTTTATGAGTTTATGTAAATTGGTAGAAAAGATTGCAGAGCTAGAGAAAGAATCGGACAGAAAAGAGTTCAGTAGAGGGGGGAAGAACGAAAGCGATCAGATATGGGACCAGAATGACCAGCGATCTGAAAGAGTTTGCACACAATTATAGCAACAAATCGTTCTTGAACGAATTTCTCAACATATTGTCGTATAGTTTTCAGTGAATTCAATAAGCTTAACTATAAGTTATATTGCCATTACTTCCAAAAATCCCGTAGACGGTAGTCAGGAATTGGCATAGGCAGGTGCTCCGAGGGTCATTGAATATAATTGGAAAGTGCATAGTTATGATTGCATTTCCGGTCAAACTGGGCCAGACTTCCCCAATGCGCTCATTTCCCAGTGTCGCATAATCTGCTTTGCATTGTGTCT